TTGCCTCGATTGAGACTGTTGCCGGCGTATATGGCCTTCCAACTGGGTCTTTTGTTGCTGGGTGACGGCAACCGCTGGCTTACTGGTAGGCTGAGCCATAGGAGCTTGGGCCATGGGAATATTAGGCTTTTGTTGCTGTTGCACGATTGGGTTTTGAACCTCAGCCACATCATCAGCACTGGGCCGTTTAAGTGATTTCAACGATTGTTTAGAAGGCTGAACACGTGGAGTCCTTGTGCTAGTGGAAGCCGTAGGCTTGCCGATGGGAGGCGAGATTTGCGTTTTGGCTGGTTGGCTTGTGGGAGGTTGTGCCACAGGAACGGGAATTTGTTGAGGTTGAGGCTGGGATTGGGGTTGAACGGGCGGCTGAAGCGCCTGGTTTTGATTCATGGCCTGAGCAGCGTATGTGCTGGGTGGCACTACTGCACTACGGGGTCCCATATGATGCCTCTGCCTGTTTTTTTCCAAAAATGCTTTAATTTGTTCGTCGGTGTAATTTTGAGCTTGAGGACCTAGCCTTTGTCGAGCAACCTGAACTTCGTTCGCAGTAATGGGGCGCAGCATAGGCAGGTTTGGAGGACGCTGAAGTTGTTGCTGTCCAGGTTGGAACCCTTGCTGAATGTTGAAGGGTTGGGACTGTGGAAGGACACCACCAGACGACTGGAACTCTTGATCTGTTTTTCGAGTTCCCTCTCTATGCAAATTCAGCTGCACAAAGTGGTATCTTTGTAGCGCTTGGAGTTTGGGCAGAGAGGCATCGCCAAGGGCATGAGGGTTTTGCGCTACCCACAGTTTGAGTTGTCCCCAAGTCGTAACACCTTTTGGCAGGGGTTGGGTGATATTGATATTCGTACTGATAAGGAGTGGGTGAAATGGAACACGATCCATCTCTTTGATTTGATCTTCTGTCAGTTCTACATTCGCTTGTTGTTGTCGAGCGAACTGCATTTTGATTTCCTGTTGTCGCTGTTGCAATTGCAGCTGCTGTTGCTGCAATGCTTGGCGAGAAATATTTTGATTCTGGGGCAGTGGCACACCCAGCCCGTATGTTTGAGGTGACATTGTCATTGCATTTCGCATTGCTGCCTCGTTGGCTAGTTGTCCATTGCGAGTGGGTTGCTGATTAACTTCTTGTGAGGTCTGTGGAACAGGAACGCTAGGTTGTTGTCCTGAGCGAGCCATTGCTTGGTTACTGGCAAACATGCGACGCTGATAGCTTTGCATAAAGTGAGCTGCTTGTTCTGGCGACATTTGTGCTAGTTGATTTCGAAGGCTGGGAGGCAGCCCTGGTGGAATAGCATGTTGAGGGTTTGGAACCACCGGGTGGTCTTGACCCATACCAGGAGGCCTTGGTGGAGGTCGGCCCTGGGAACCGCCTTGAGGCTGGGGTATCTGGCCGATGCTTCCAGGTCGATTGATTGCTGACATTGCAGGGCTCTGTTGTGGTAAAGATTGTGGAATTTGAGGATTCACTTGCGATGACATTGCCATTTGTGCCTTAGCCGCAGCTTGTATACGAGCCTGGGCTTGAGCTTGCGCCTGTGCCTGTACTGCTTGAGCCTGCGACTGCGCCTGAGCTTGAGCCTGAGCTTGAGCCTGAGCTTGAGCCTGAGCTTGAGCCTGAGCTTGTGCCTGAGCTTGAGCCTGAGCTTGTGCCTGAGCTTGCGCCTGAGCTTGCGCCTGGGCCTGAATCTGGGCATGTGCCTGAACCTGCGCCTGTGCTTGAGCTTGAGCCTGCACCTGAGCCTGGAAATGTGCAGCATGTGGCCCGGTATCTTGTTGGGAATTATGCATGTTCTGCCGTTGTTGATGTTGCTGCGCGAGAATCATAGGTGTGATATTTCCTCTATTAGTATTTTGCTGCCCGTCTGGAAACATACCAAGCTGCGAATTATTAAAATGTGGTTGGACCCCCATCTGGGGAACGCTGGCTGGAACAACAAGTTGACCTGCATCTTGTGAGCGGACCCCATCTGCCTGCTGTCCTTGTATATGATCAATACTTCCTACATATGCATTGTCAAGGTTTTGATGTCCGCTCACAGGAATCGTAGAATTGCCTTGGAGGCCCATAAGTGACTGAGGTATTTGTCTCTGGTGCGGGCTCATCGACTGATTGGAGATCGTATTATTGCCAGTGTCGGGAACCTGGTTCTGAGGCAGTATCATTTCTCGAGAATTTGTCTTCTTTTTGAGTTCCTTTGCGGCTTGTAGACGGAAAAAGTATAGAACCGGATCTACGCCTGTCCGAGCCACCCGCTGTTGTTGCTCGGGGTTCATACTTTGAAAGCCTGATCTAAGCTTCTGTATCACAGCTGGTGGAGCTTGTTGCATCATCTGATCTGCTCTCTGGCGGACGTGTTCTAATTCGTGAGGTTGGAGCCCGCCCATTTCGTCGCGAGAAGCGCCAGGATTCACTCGTTGTCCGTTTTGGGGGAAGCCAGGGTGATGCATCTGCGCTTGTTGATTCGGTAGGCCCATTCTCATTCCTGGCTGTTGGGGTTGTGGTTGAATCTGCATCGGAGAACCTTGCATCTGTTGTTGAATTTGACCAGGAAACACATTTGGCTGGGCATTATTTTGTGCAGGAGTAGCTATGCCGGGATGAGGACCACCGTGTGACATCGTCATGCCACTTTGCATCATGTTCGCCGCTCGTTGCTGTCTACTATCTCTTATCTGCCCTAACTTGTTGGTGCACTCTCTTTCATACTCAGCCTAAAACAAGTCAGTAACTTATCTCGAACGGTCATGTAACGAGAAATAGCGTACCCTGTCACTTGATTGTTTGAAAGCCTTTTCTTCGTAGTTCACGGCGGCAGCTAATATCTTTTGAAGGTTATTTTCAACCAGGCGCAGTGAGGATATGCTTGTAAGTCAAAAAGAAAACTGCAGGTTAGCGTTTGTAAATTTTTGGCTGGGAAGGCTCTTGACATGACGGGACACCATTCGAAGGGCAATTTTCTCAGAGGAAGCACATTAACAAGAACAACCAGCAAGCAGCCCAACGGACTGGAGGTGGCCAATGATATCTTACATTTGAAAGATCTTGGAGCCTCGGTCTCGAATCGGCACATCTCGTTGCCAGCCTTGAAATGGGCCCTGTGACTGAAGGGCCGCAAATATATGTTTCAGTAGCATCTGATGTGTAGGTTCATTTTTCGGTTGGTTCTGGATGTGAGGAAATGGCGGTTTATCTCCCATCGGCATCGGGCCTCCATGGTTGGCAAAGTTGACTGGATTCATATTGGGAATGGAAGCCTTCAAAGCCACCTTCAAAAGGCTTCCCGACGGCGCGATTTCGGTCTAAGCATCAACCGATATCACGATAAACACCCCTGATAGTGAAGAAGGGTCTTTGAAGGTGTTCAACTTCCACGTATAGTGGGTGTTGGCCTAGCCGCCAAATTTGAGATCGAACGATGTTCATGTACTGATGGGACGGAGCGGAACAAAATACAGATAGAAGTTCGACGACGGCTATGATCTGACAAGCAGAGCAGATGTACGGTGTCTGGCGGGGAGATAGGTTATGAGATGTGAGGCAGAGACGAACGTAGGCTATGGCAAGTTATCGAGAGAGGATAAGGATTAATCTGGGTGCTTTGCTTTTGAGATTCTGGGGTTGGAGGAGTGCAGGCGGGTATGGGCGAGGAGCGAGGCAACGAGAGAGATCCAGACAGGCTGAACAAGGGCCAAGGTTGTTGTTACCCAGTGCGTTAGCCCGCCGTAGCCAACGATGTGACAGGCAAACTAAGAATTCCTGTTAGGCACAACAACGCTGCTGGCTTATGATCTGGGCCACATCAAGCACAAGAACAAGACGAGATAGAAAAGTCGTTTGGGCGAGAGGAAGGACAAGCAGAACGACGAGGGCCCAACAGAGCCTAAGAGGGATCGGAGTCGGCCGACGTCTGCTCAGAAACCTGATCGATGAAGATGAGCTTGGGAAGTTTATTGAAGGTTAGTTGGTTTGACTACCTAGACGCAGAACCCTTTTTTACTGGCTTGGTTCCCCGCTGTCACGCACCACCTCAGGGTGTTATTCGGTAACTATTAGGTGGTATTAGAAACCAGCAAAATTGCAATGGGAGCAGAAGCCAACTCAAAATACTCCGTAGTGACCAAAGGAAATGAATGGATAAAGATAAGCACATTCAACACGGTCTTTGTTACCAGCTTCAGCGTGTAAACCAGGAAACGAGGCTTGGTGACGAAAATTACTAGCGGTAACAAATCATGTCCAATCAGGTCTATGCTTTGCGGGTGCTGACCCCTGCTGATTATCTAACCCGCACTGGCTCCAGCATCCAATCATAGTCAGTTGGCTAACTAACTGGGGTTGACTAAAATTAGCCGCCTCATGACCGAGCCGCGATACCTGCGTCACTCCATGCACCCCATATCATATCACATCGGAGGCACCAACCAACAACCGACCTCTCTTCTCCAACTCAACTCCTGTCTCCACCTCAATAGCATAGGCTCTTCAAAGTATCTTATACACTTTTCTCTCGAGAGAACGAGGCGCCAGTTCGATGAGACTAGCTTACCATGATTCGTCGGTAGAGGACTTGACCTAGCTCTTCTACACCGAAAGCCATCGGTGTGCCCGACCCTGTAGCCATGTCTCCGTCCGTTGCTGCATCTAGTTCCGCCCCTGTGGGTTCAGGCATATTCGTGTGTCTTGCTCTTCTTGTCATATCGATTCTAGTTCTTCTTCTTCTCAGACTCTATTTGCCGTTGCGGTCAACCCCGGCCTTCCTCTCTTTCCCCGTCTTTTTAGCTCTTGCCCTTCCCGCAAGCGTGGTTTTACTTGTCCCTATAGACCTTACATCGAGCACGAGAGGAGACGAACCGAGTTCGGGGATATGGCTTCCCCCTCGCGTAATGCTTGTTTCGTGGAGGATTGCTTATTGGTTGACATTCGTTATGACCTGGTTAGTAGTCGATCTCATCTTGTCTGCTCCCTTCCTTTCCATTTTGTTCGGCCGCTGCCAGATCCTAACTCTCTGCACTTAGGGTCATTCTACCTCTACTTGGTGAATACGTTGATTCCGGATATCGCACTCCGAAGGACCGTATTTTATACTCGCTGCGCTCGAATGGGCGGTATCAATTGATTGTTCTTGGATCTGGTATCGCAGGACTTATCTACATATCTATACAAAATGGTTTCGATTTTACATCTATAAAAGCCCTTGTCATGGCTCTGGCTTATTTCTGGGGGCTGGCACTCGCAATATACCTGATGGGACATGGCTTAGTGGTTATCCCTCGTACTCTCATAAGAAATGCAAACCCGGGGAACAACCTTAGGAGGATCCAAGCCCGAGCCCCTCGAATACACGATCGCCTGACAGATTCCATGGCTGATCTTGAGGATCTTGAGTTTCAAGTATCCCAGCTACGCAAAAACAAAACAGGTGCCCCATACGATTTACAGGAATGGATTGACGAACTGGTTGATATGACTAGTATTCCCGAATCAAGGCTTCGGGCCTCTGCTGGCGCCAATGAGTCACGATCAAGTGTGCCGCCCACAATTACCGCACGATACCTCGCAGATATCACCAGACGCCTGGCTCGAGCGCGCCATCAAAATGCGCGTTTCGCCAATGCATGGGAGAAGCTTGTTAGAGAAGCTGCTGATACCCAGGCGATTATTGATTCATCCGCCTCCAAACGTCTCGAATTCTCTCATCCTTCATTCCAGCCCTCTTCGAATAGATCAATTCCTTATATCACCCCCACCCTGCGTTACTACATCTACGTTCATATTCTACCGGCGGCGAGGCTAATTCTCGCGGGCTTCTTTTCGTTAGCGTCAGCTTGCGTTGTTTGGTCCGAAATTATCAAGTCTTTTGCCCCTAGAGCTTCTATTGTCACACTTTCAGTTGTCCACAATCCCACTCAATCCGAGCCAATTGGGTTCTTGGGCCAGGTAGCATCTGCAGCATGGATTTTCTACATGTGCTCGGCAGCATTCGTGGGTGTAACGGATGTCAAGGTTTGGGGCAACCGGGCTCTGGTCCCTCGCAACACTTATAGTGAAAGTGCTTGTTGGTATGCAGGCCAAATCGCCAAACTTACGGTTCCGCTTTCTTACAACTTTCTTACATTCCTTCCCCAGGACGTCCAGAAGAAAACGACGTTTTACAACTTCCTTGGACGTCTGATCAACCTAACCCCGCTAGGAAAGGGATTTGACTACATTTTTCCTATATTTATATTGATACCCGTTTGCGCGACGTTATTCAATCTATACGGACGAGTTAAGAGCTGGTTCGATTTCGGTCTGCTCGAAGACGATGAGGATGTGGCACTCAATTCTAGCGGATTTGGAACTGGGGCCTGGCGGGAAGGCAGGGAACTGATCGAAAGTGAGTTAACTGGATCGGGCGCTCTGGGCCTTTCATCACAGCGGGCGGCGCCAGTACATAGACGAACAGCGTCTACACCTTCCAGCGGTCCTACGATATGGGTACCGCCGGCAGATCTACCGAGGAACCAGCCTCAGGGACCAACCGCCAGGGCTACGGTTTCGACTCGTATACAAGCGGTCGCAGCCGCGCCAGAGGAAGATGAAGAGGAGAATTTCTTCCAGTCATTCGCGCACCGCGTCCGAAACACTTTCGAAACGGCGAGCACGCCACAGTGGCTGCGCGCGGACAATGTTGGAATCCAGCGGCCTAGATGGCTCGGAGGTCAAGGATCTGATGCAGGAGATGGTACGACAAATCTTGGGAGGTGGTTTGGTGGGAGACCTGCGGAAGGACAGGTGCAGATATGAAGCGTGAAATCGAGAGATCCTGGAGATCAATACTTTGCATAGATAGGTAGCTTCCGAGATTCTAGGGAGGAGTCATGGATGCCTGCCGCTCGATTAGATATTTGTGGGCTAATAACGTTCTCGAAGTTTTGTGTCATCTGTCAAATTGATCTGGCGTTGTAGAATGGAATATATGTACTCTACTCCCTTTCAAGTGTTTCTGTGCAATTCACTTTACATCATAATCCTAATGGTTGGTGGTGGGGATGCTGTTATTCGAGATGAAATTGTGGACAAGCTCATTTTTGCGAACTGTCATTGACCGCTATGGACTGGTTGGTTCAATTTTTCTGTGGAACTCAGGAGAAATAACCCTTTCTATCAAAGTATAATTAATCAATGATTTTTTTTTTTTCCTTGTTAAATGATTGTTCTTCCATTTGTTTGCTGGTTTTGACACATTGCTCTGGAACTTGGCTTTTGGGCGCTGGGCCCCTGAAGGGACCTAGCCCCTACTACGCCTAGAACCAAGCAAATAATAACAACTGGGCTGCCATCATTTGCCATCCCATGGCCGCTGCCTGAAGTCAATGCTTAGAAAAAAAAAAAAAAAGAAAACACCAGGCCGCCGATGCCAACTCTGCGATGCACCACCAAAGCCCCGCCTACTTATCCTCCATTTGGCACAATCGGTCCATGATTTTCGTTTCCTCTCATTTTTCCTCCATCAGCGCGACGTCCGCTTCTTATCTGGAGTCTTTGGCACCTCATCTGCCTAACTCCCTGCGTTCTGTCCTCTCACGCTTTGCGATCAAACTTGCCAAAGCCGACCTAACATCGTCACCGAGCCTTGCGAAGCCCTTTGAGTCCCTACCACTTCTTACCTCATCAACCCCCACCACCACACGCCTCGCAGTCACCGTTCTAGCAGCCTTGCTTCTTGCGGTTATTGTTGCAATGACCTGGAATCCATGGAGAGAGCGCTCATCTCCATATCGGAACACTTCCCCACCAACCGTTACCAATGAAGACTACAGCTACGTAACAGTCGATGACGCCGACTACACCAGCGCGCGACATAACCTAGGTTACTCCTCCACTGACCCGCAGAGCGGCCGGCATCCCCTCACAGTCGCCGACGACGAGTCTGAGCCAGATGTTATCATTCTAAAATATAGAGGGAAGACGTACCGTCTCAACTTCCCTGCCTATTCCATCGGCGATGGACTGACAACGGTTGGGAGCGTGAAATTGGCCGCTGCCAATGCGCTGGACGTTGCGGACACAAGGCAAATAAAACTTCTCTATAAGGGCACGGTGTTGAGAGATGACTCCGCCAGGGCCAGGGATGTCGGGCTGAAGCAGAATTCCGCAACCATGTGCGTGGTATCGAACATCCTCCCAGAAACGTCGAGTGAGGAGAGTTTGGTTACGCCTGCATATTATGAAACCTCTGAAGCTGCGGAGCAGTCCTCATCTCCCCCTCGCGCCAACGGCGCCAGTGGCGGTGGTGGCCGCAAAAAGCGACGTCAGAAGAAGCGTAAGAATAATAACGATGATAAAAATAAGAACGCCTCCAACGACACGCAAGCATCTGCACAAAGCACATCTAAGCCATTTGCGATACCTATCGAGCGGCATCACCAACAGCATCCACAACGAGCACCCCAACAACAACAATCTCCACCATCCTCCTACACTAGCAATTCACCCAACCTGTCCGCGCCGCCTTCAGTTGCAGCCTCCACTGACTACCGTCCCGCCTCCTCCGCCAGTGCGTCTGCATCTCCCCGCCCCTCCCGCGTCCCCAAACCGTCCCCAAACCTCAACTTTGTCGGTACACCGCAAGAGAAACTCAGCCTCCTCAGCAGTTATTTCCACGATTCCCTCGAGCCTTTACTTCGCGAATTCATCCAGCATCCACCGGGGGACCAGAAGACGCGGGATGTCGAGCACCGCAAGCTCAGCGAGACGACGATGATGCAGGTTATATTGAAGGTTGATGGGATTGAGGTTGATGGCAATGAGGAGGCGAGACAGCAGAGGAGGACGCTTATAGTCACGGTGCAGAATTTGTTGAAATTGCTTGATGAGGCGCATCGGCGGGGGTAGAGGATTCTGTCTTTCATCTCATTTTATTTTTTTCTATTATGTGCCCTGTTCGTCCTATTACATGTCGCATACATGGGCTTTGGTCTTTGGCCTTTTTTTTTTTTTTTTTTTTTTTTTTTAATAAATTTTGCTGTTCTCAGTATTTATGCATCTTTTTTCATAATTGATCCTATTTCTGTTCTGTTTCTTCTTTTTGATGCTTTTCTTTTCTTGTCTTTTCTATTTTTTTTTGGTGGCGGTGTGGTTGGGGGTGAGGTAATTCCGATATTGGGACATGGATTTTGCATTTTTTTAACCTCTTTTTTCCCCCTCATATGGTTTTGCATCTAGGTAAAATAATAGATGAGATGGCATGGTGAGAGATTTCCTTTTTCTTCTGCACAGCACATTGTTGGCATTCTGTATTTTATAGCTCACATCAAACCTCGCATCGTCTGTCATGTTGAATTCAATCAATGGATCTGTTTTGTTTCATCCCAATTTTGTTCCGATAATCGCAACAAAGATATAAAACTTCTGTGTCAATGAATGACGCATATATAGATCAATTTGCTTTTATTTTCCTTGAGCTTGTTGGTGAGGCTGTTCTGGATCCGGCTGCCAATCATTTATATTGAAGGAACACATGTAGTGGACGAAACATGACACTAGAAGCTATTCAGAACAATCAAACCGGTTTTTATTCAAATCATAAGAGAAGAAATGAATAAAAGTAAATAATAAATGGGCAGAGAGAGAAAATATAAACCCAATTGAAAACCTCATTAAGTTTTCCAGACCTATGTTTTCCAGTGTCCACTGGAACCATTTCCCAAGGTACAGTATTATGATTCAAAGGCGGACCCGCTTTCTGCTCGTTTCATGACTCCGCAAAGATGGCGAAAAAAGAAATTAAAAAGGATGGTATCCCTTCGAATTCTCGACTTCCCCTTTTTTTGCGAGTAGATTGTAGGAATAGGAACATCCACTGGACACTGGGCAGTGAAGGAGATTGAGGTTTCCAACGACAGAGCCAATCACATTAGCCCCTGACGATCCTGGGATGGCCTTTTGCCAGGCCCACCATGGGGGAACCGAAGCGGCAAAACAATCCTCAGACGCAGCAATGCGTACAGGAGAGCCACAGGATATGCACAGTACATATCTTGAAAGGACTACGGAAAGATGCAAGCTGTAGCTGTGGAGTAACCGGGTGGTTTGTTTTGGGTGGAAGCACTCAGTTCAGCACAGCTTCGAGGTTCACGCTAGCCAGCCGCATCGGGACCCTTCCTTGCTCCTAAGCGTTGGTGATTCGCGAGCACGCCCCCAACCAACAACCTCGCTCTCTCCAACTTGACTTCGACTGTCCAGCCCAGGCTATTGTCTGTGTTTTTCAGGCTCTGTCTCGCTCTCTCCTTCTGCCTCTTCTTTCTTCTTCTCTGCCTGCTTTGTACAGTCTTCTGCGCATGTCACTCCTTTGTGCCTGGCAGGGCTTGTTTCTCACCTTCTCCTCTTTTAGCCTGGAGTTTTGTATCCCTGTAGTTCTGCCACCCTAAGGGGAAAACATCAACCTTCTCATTCTTACTGCTCACATCTTCCTTTTCCCTTCATTCCCCCAACTCTCACTGGGCTGAGCAGCTCAGTAGGTGCTTCATTTAATTAATTCCCCTACGCGGGGACATATGAGCCGATCTTTTTTCTCTCTCTCTTTCCTTTAATCGCTGATCGATTTCCTGATTCGTGTTGACTCGACGCCGTTACAGCGTCTTCGTGTCCTATGCTGAAGACTCCCTCGCGCCTCACAACGACAGAACTGCTCTCTCCGACCTTCATATCCTCCGCACTCCTTTTCTCGACCGTTTTTGTGGAATTCCGAGTGCACCAGCACATCGTCGTTAATCCAATATCATAACCCCACCTCGTTTCGTGCCTCCATAGGTTTTTGTTTCGTGTTACGATTCTAGTCCCTTTGATTTGTCTGGCCCAACCCACCACAGAGTCCGGCTTAAATGGGATCTAGTATGCTCTACAGGCCGGAGTGGATTGACCGATAACAACCTATCAAAGGCAGAAGACGAGGAGAGAAGAACAAAAGGGAACCATAAAGATAAGAAGTAGATCTTTCTGGCTCGTTCCAGAACGGATTTGTTGCACAATAGAAATAGAATAGGGTTTTCTGGCATGGCAGAGGCTGCTGCAACGCATTCTGTAGATGCTCTGCCATCGCCAAGCAGCGTCAATGGAAAGGAGCAGCAACCATGGGATTTCTCCGTCCCAATCAGCCAAGACGTACGTGTGACACCGTCCCCCCTCAATTGTTTCTTGTCTCTGTCTGTTTTCTGTCCTTTCCATCTCTCAATGGGTGCTTAATTACGTTTGTTCTGATGTGTATGGTTTGTATGGCGTGTTGTGACCCTCCAACTCCGTCTCCCTATCAGGCTCCCTGAGACCGAAAATGCCAATCAGACGAGCTGACATAGGTCAAAAAATTATACATCATTCCTCTTTCAACCTTGAAATACGCCCTTTCATATATGTCTTCATCCATTACGTCAAGATTTCTTCTTCTGGAAAAAGCCCCTTCGCTAATTGTATCCCAACAGTCCCAGCCGCAAAATGCACATTCATTCTCTAAGCCACGAACCTCGAACGATTCGACCGCCACATATTCAAAGTCAAGTCCGCGTCATAACCAACCTGCTCTAGTCAACGGAGCCTCACGATCTGGGAACTCCTCGCGGTCTGGCTCGAGGCAGGGCGACACAGGATATCTCCTACCCAACCGAGTAGATGCGTTGGGCAAGCGGGAACCAACTCTCAGCAGGACGGGCAGTGAAGTAGATAGTCTTTTGGATTTGTATGGTCGAGAATCAGCCAACAGGAGTGCAGTGAGCGTAATGGAATCCGAGGAAAAGAAGACTGACAATGTTGGCTTCAGTAACGAAGAATTAGACAGTGCTAATTGGATTCATCGGGACAAATTGGCTAAAATCGAGAGTGAGGAATTGCAACAATTTGGCATTCAGCTCCACCAGCGACAGGTTCGTGCCGGAAGCAAGTCAAGCAGCAGACGAGGCAGGAGCCACGATTCCCATAACAATGTCACAAACGGCACGGTGGAGATTGGCGAACAATGGCCTGGAACACGTGAAGAAAAACGACAGCGGATCACATCCCCAGTGCCTGTTGAGTATGAGGAACAAGAACCAGATGACAGTGGACCGGTCGTTTTCGAAGACCCTCGCTTACCCGAGGAAATCGCTGCAGATCCGTACGAGGAAGGAAGAAACGCTTCTCAAGTATATCGCCAAGCTTTTGGACTTAGGAAAAGTTCTTCGAAAATACCCGTTTTTGCGACCAGTCCCCATCCTATCCCCCTAGAACACCTAGAACGCGAATTCCCCCTAAATCGCACACGCAACAACACCCTTGGGAGCGGAGATGATGACAGCATTTCATATGCTAAAACTCGCAAGTTCAGCGATCCTCTATCAATCGCAGCCGGTGACGCTCCTGAACCAGAAATCCAGCCGCAATCGCTGCAACAAACGGAGCGGCAAGCAAGACCTCAGGCGCAACCATTGACCTCATCGGACTCGACTCCTCCCACGAGCCGACCCACTAGTGGCAGTATCACTTATCAACAGCAAGCCTCTCCTACGAAACCGAAGGCAACTGCTAGACACTCAAGCACCGCCCGTAAATCATCCAATCCCCCGAATAATCGCAAGCCATCAACATCAAAACCCAAAGCGACGGCCGGCAGCAGCAACAATAACAGCTCCATCAGCTCCTCAAATCCGCGTCCGTCTACTAGATCTGGGGATGATCGCCCCCGGACCTCAGTTAACCGTCCAGAGGGAGATCCGCCATGGTTGGCGACCATGTATAAACCCGATCCACGCCTACCACAAGACCAACAAATTCTCCCCACCCATGCGAAAAGACTCCAACAGGAGCAGTGGCAACGAGAGGGCAAAGTTCCATCTACGTATGACCGAGAATTCGCACCCTTGGCTATTAATGAAGTTAGCAAACCCACTCTTCCCAATCTGGATGTCGAAAAAGCACAAGAAAACAATACCGCTTCCTCCCTCTGGCCACCAACACCGACGGCGAAATCCCCGGACAACAACAATCGCCCAAGTACAGGCGGGACGGACCATGGTGGTTACAAAACTACACCAACGGTGCAATCCTCCCTATCTCCAAAGCCCTCACAGATCTCGCAACCGAAACCACAACCTCCACCTGCGGATGATCCGCCAGTGAAGGAGAAAGGCTGCGGTTGTTGCGTTGTCATGTAAATGTATCTCTTTAACAATAACAACAGTGGCGCTTTCCACCTCACACGAAATGCTCAGATGATATGCCCTCCTAGTTGAGCTGCAGCCAAACGAATAAGGGAGAAGGAAAAAGGAAAAGGGAATACAGAAATCCCTTCAAATTCCTCCCCAAAGCTTGCGCAGCAGTTCTCGGAAACAATCTTTCCACCTGCTAATTATATTTCTTATTCCGTGTCAACTCTTCCGCCGTCGCACCTCTTCATTTACCTTCGCCATCCTATCTTCTTATCCTCTATCTTCTTCAATTGTGTTATTTATTTCGACTGTACATTCATATACAGGGTTGCCAGAAGCTGAAGTGTCATATTTCTCTCCATCCTTGTTCTTCCTCTTATGCTCTTTCCTTTCTATAATTTGAAGCCCATCTCGTCTGTAGCCCATCGGCGTTTTTTTCTTCTCTATTTGATCCCCTATTTTGTTCTGTTTCCTTGCCGCTGCCCTTGCGGTGGGCTTGCCCCCCTTTTTCCACTTCCAGCCTTTCTCCGCTTGGGTTTCCTTCTTTTTCCCTTTCATTTTTCATCCATCTACTTGAGCAAGCAATTAAACTCATTCCATACATACCCACATCTTCGTCCGTTGTCTAGCTACCTTGTTTACCACTTTTCTTGCAGCTTATTCTCACGAATTTTACGATATCTGTTTCTATTATTAAACTATATTCCCTTCTTTGAAGTGGTTTCTCTCTTGTTTCCCTGCCTGTTGCTCCTTTTCCCTTTTACTATTCCTTCATTTTCCCGCCTCGCGTTCTCCTCTTCCCTAGACAAAAATACATCACCGACTTCTTTTCCTTTCATTCCCGTCTTTGGTTTCGTGTACTCTCTGTATTGCAAACTCCTTTGTCGCTGTCTTTGCCATTCAACTTTTCTCTTTACATCCTTTTTGACTTTCGATTATTTGATATTACCTTCGATCTATCTACTTTCTCTGGCTGCTTTAACCACCAAATCCCTTTCAACAGCCACAGACCAACCACCGCCATGCCTTACACAAAAATCTTTGAGGGATGGTTATTTTCTCTCTATCCTATCCCGCTCTGGTACATAAAGCCTTCCGGGCCTCTATGATCACCCATTCATATACCCATTATTTGTCCTTGTTCCCGTCCATTTCCCCTTGTATCTCAAGAGACTTCAAAATATTTTAACGGATGAAGAGGGCATATAGGAATATATACATATTTAAATACTTATCAAAATATAAAAACAAAATGGCCTACTCTCGTAATTAATGAAACTCATACTAATACTCATCCTTCTCTTGTGCTGGGCTTTTGTTCATGTTTCGGGCATTTTCTTGAACCGCCATTCCTTCCAGATTCCTTCACGTCAATTACCTACGTAGGTTTATCTATCATTGTGATATCCAGCTTCTTTCCCTTCCTTCTTAGGGCTTCCTGGGTTACAATATATTTGTTTTAAGAGCAGAGTAAAATAGAAACTGGTTTATGTTCTCCGTTCAACCCAGAAGACCTCGTATGTATGGCGAGTTGGCTAGGGCCGTAGGGTGTAGTAAGAAGAAATGTATTGAGCAAGAGAAAACAACTTAGGGAAAGGGTATCGCAAGAACGAAGGCACGGGGACTGGAGGATGTTTTGCGGATTTTTATACTGAGTATATGTAGGTTTCCCTGCAGAACTGAGCCATACTGTGCATCTGAATGTTGTTTGATGCACACAAAAATATGGGAAACCAAAACCAGTGCAAGTGCGGATGAATTCCGAGTGATGCTCCCAACCATGCACGCCCAGCATTGGCGCCATCCCACGCGCCGATGCGGTCATTCCTACCTCCTCCTTCCTGCAATTGGACATTGTCCATTTTTGCCTCCATAACTCTTAATCAAAATATTGAGGTGGCCAATTTTGATCGTCAGTAACAGCAGAGTCAACACTGCAAGAAACCAGCTTGTTGTCGCTGTTCCAGTGATCTTGTTCCAAGTTGTGCATAAATAATTAAATAGCAGAAATCTGCCCAGCCACCCCTACCTACCTTAGGACCTTTCACCAATAACTTCAACAATCGCCACCCAGCACATCGCCATCACAGACAGCTCCTCCCAGCGAACTTCAGATCCTCTTCTCATATAAAGAAGGGCAAGCAAGCCTCTATCTACTTCCTTTTTCATCCCCAGAAACGAAGGCTCCTGAGCCTTCCCCCAATTGCCCAACATCGCGTCCATATTCCGCCGTTTTCTCGGGTCTCTTGCTGGCTCAAACTCCGTTACGATGACTGGTGCAAAATCCAAGGTTGAGGATATTATTGCTGGTCACCATGTTGGTATGTCTAGGCTACTCACTCCTTCTTGTGTCTTTATAGGTCTTACAAGGATTGGCATAAGAACAAGCAATTCCTTCATATATGTCCACTTTCCAAGCTCCTGTTTTAGTTTTGTGGGATTTCTTGAAAATATGAATATCAAAATTCACACCGAAATCCTTGCAAAAAAAAAGAAAGAAAGAAAGAAAGAAAAGAAAAAAGGTTTATTTTTGTTAGAGCCAAATTGCTAACCTATATTTAAATAAACAGTCATCTTCTCGAAAAGCTACTGCTCCTACAGCAGAGCCGCTAAATCCCTTCTAAATGAGCAGGGCATCCCCTTTTACGCTCTAGAGTTGGATCAACTCGGTTCGTACTTTTTAATAAATCAATAACACACCAATACCTCCCCCAATGGCCACCCTAGCCTCCTACGATTTAAAAAAAATAGCCCCTTACTTCCCATCCCCACCTCCCCCCCCCCCCCCCGCTCTTCCCCTCTCGCTCGGCTCGAATAACAAGAGAAGAAAGAAGAAAAAAAAATTGGCAAGAAAGAGACCACCACCCTGTTAACACCTAACAAATACCAACCAGATGACGGCGCCGCCATCCAAAGTGCACTTGCGGAACTCACCAACCAAAGCACCGTGCCCAACATCTTCATTGGCCAAAAGCATATCGGCGGCAACTCTGACCTTCAGGCCCGCAAGGGTGAGTTGTCTGCGCTGGTGAGCGCTGCAATGGCTGCTAAAGCGTCCAAGGCGTGATGTCGTCTGCGCGAATGAGGAGGAGGGGTTTCTTCCTCTTCCTGGTTTACAATGCTGGGCGCGATTTTTATTTTTATTTTTATTTTTTTTCGTTGAAGGTGCTGGAGGGAATTTTTGTGATGGGGGTGGATGTCGGGGTTAGTAGGGTAGAAAACGTGGAGTTTTAAAGGTGCCATTGATGTTAGATTGATGGAAAGGGTGATGGGATAGACGAGTGTTATTTTTCTGTCCTTGCTTTTGCATTTTGGTGAGACAGGGTTAATTCGAGGTTTTTTTTGTTTTCGCTTTAGTTTCTTTGTACAATACCTTGAGATACAATCGATGTAATTAACAAAAGAAAAAAAAAAAATACATAGCCCAATATCTGTTCTGCAGATGAAAAGGATAGGAATTACAAAATGCGAAGCTCTCAAATTTGCTAGGGACGTCTAATTGTGAGTGTTATACAGGTAGAAAAATATATCAACTCGAAGCATATATTATACATGTCCTCAACCAAAAAAGGGGGAAATTTGCAAGTCGGAATGCTGAATTTTTAATCCAATGATACATACCCAGGAAAAACAAACCAAATGCATCATTGCTGCGGCCCGCACTTAAATCGTAGCATCATGCAACTCTCTGCTCGACAGTCCCAACCGGCCTCTCTACAATCCCGATAGCCCCATCAACCACGCTACTCCTCATCCCCTCACTAGCCACTTTCTTCCCTGCCAGATACGCCATCCACAGCAGTCGACTTACACGCTCATCTTGCATCGCACCCAGCCAAACCACCGGCTTCCCATGCCCGGCATGGAACATCGTCTCCAACCCCCCCACTCTATTCCGGAGCAAATACAGAATCTGGCCCTTGGGCACATTCTTCCTCACCCCGCCCCCGAACAGCGACTTGAAGTCATTAAGCGCAATGCCAAAGCTGTCATCCTCAAACTCAGAAGCCACCAGAGCACCGGCTGGTATCGATGAACCCCGCTTCGCTGCAACCTCAACCTCCTTCGCCCGCGCATTTGCACTCTGCGCCTGCGCTGTGATGGCTCGCACCCATCCGTCCCTGAGATGAAGGAAATCCGTGTTCCTCGTGGGCACGATTCGCAACGCAGTGCGTAGGTGGGTATCCCTGAGGATCTCGTTCCAGGCCTCCTGTCCCTGCTCCGGGTCCAGCAGTATCTGCTTCAGCGCGTCCCGCTCGCCAGGAACGAGTGAGGTGGCTGTCACAGCACTTTCATTGGCCGTAGAGGCGCTGACGGGTGTCGCAGCTTGCCTGACGAGATGCTGCTGTAGAGCTGCGATGTCTGAACTGGCGATATAAAGGCCCACGACGTAGACCTGGACGCTGAGGAACGAAACGGCGCGGATGCCTAGGCCAAGTAGGGTGTATTCTTCCGTCTGAGAGTCAGGGGGGAACTCGTCGCCTGCTCGTCCACCTGCGGACAGTGCTTGAGCGCCATCGCGGGGGAGTCTGATGGTTTTGGGAAAGGTGGGAATTGTGGAGTTCCCCGTAGGAACTTGCTCTATGCCGTCGATGATCGTGGTTGTAGGGTTCTCTGTGAGGCCGGTTGGACCCTCGAGTTTGATAATTTTGCCTCTGTCATAGCCTCTATCTGATGTCGATGACGACTGCGCGCCGGTTTTGCTGTTCGGGACGTTCTTGTCTAACCCTGATGTACTAATGATAGCATACATGCCAAGGGCAGAGGCGACAATTCCAACAGCGCAGAAGGCGATGCTCCGCTTATATCGTTGCACAGGGTTGGTGGGATCCTGAGCACCGGCTCTTCGTTGGGGATTCACGGTAAACCGCGGCAAGGGAGCCGGGGCCCTTGCGGATAAATGGCGGCGCTGGTGTTGATGTAACTGGCTTTGCTGGCCATTTCCAGGTGGAATGCGGGTTAAGCGTTTTGTTTGACGGCGGATACATTGGTAGGAGGGATGGCGGAAAGGGATATGGATGGGAGAGGACGATATATTCATCTTGGCGATTTTGCTGCACCAGCTGCCAATTGATGATTTTTGTATTGGAAGCTCAATTGAGGATTGCAGGCTTCCGTCGTTCCTCCCCACCAATGGTGGAGTAGAGCTTTGGATCCGGAAATGATGTTTTGGAGCAAAAGAGCTCAGTTACCACCAATAAAATCCCCCCAAAGATGTTGCTAAGCACTCACGTGATGTATATCAAGGCTCGCCAGCAATTCTTCATTACGTGCTGGCCATCGCACATATTTGCCTCAGCTGTCTACATGCTAATACAACCACTTAGACGTCCCACATATTTGACCGATAAAAGTATTTGACCGGCAATTGGCGTTTGTATCATTGATATGTACTATGCTCTCTCTATGTACGAATATGCACTGTTGCATGCAAATGCCCGGATATACAGTCGTCATCCATGTCGAATCCAAGGGGCAGAATAAAAAGGCTGAAAAAGTGAACGTATAAGAGGGTGTGCTTAAGCTAAGATAGAGGATGTAAATGAACAAAAATGCTCATGATAATGAAGTCAAATAAGCAAGGGATAAAGAAAGGAAAGTGAACAAGTTAGCATAAGAAAAAATGGCGGAAAAAAACATGTGTGAAAACAAGGAGAAGATAAGAGAACATTCGCTCGCAAAATGCTAGAAAAATGCATTGACGACTTGAAAAAATGAGAACAGAAATATTTCACAAGGCCACCGCCCCCTCAAAACGCCAAAAAATTGTCGTAAATAACATCAATACCTATGAGTAGTTAAGTAATTCATGCATCATTTTCAGGTCGATTCCCATCGCCTCGTGGCAATCTTGTCCAATGTGTCCTCGGCCTGGCAGTCATTGCAGAGCATGATGGAACATCGGTTGCACTTGAAAAGCTTCAGTTTCGTTTCTTGGCTTTCCTCATCCCTAGTAGACTTTTCGGAAATGAACCCGTACTCCACCAATTCTGCCGCTTCGGGATATAAAAAGGACCAGGGTGAGATATCACGCCAGCATCTTTCACAAGCATAGTTTAGGCTCTGGTTCACATCATCGGTGGTAGCTTTGATCCAGATGTGGTAGCAATCAATAGGGTCATAGTGATGTATAACGGGCTCCTCGCCAAACTCATGATCTCCGTCATCCCAACGACTTCTTCCGCCGCGATCTAGGTCTCGGACCCTTGGAGTTGTTTGATTGGGCCTTTCGTCACTTCCAATTTCATTCTCGTTGCCGTTGTCTTCTTCGTCCCAGTCGGAATCATCGTCGTCATCATCGTCTTCTTCCCCGTAATCAGTCCCATCGAAAAAGCAGCCATTTCGCTGGCACACTTCGATAGGCAATGTACAACTCCAGCACCATTGATCACCACACCTGCAGGCTACATGGTTGCAGCCGAACATTAATCGCACTGCGCCACGGCATTTAGGACATCGTTTGATTTTCCATTGTTTCAGAAGCGCGGCTAGTTCGGGATCGAGCTCGTCTGCACCTTCACAGCACTGCGCGCCTTTGTGCGCGAGTTGTTTGCACTTGCAACAGATTTCAATAGAACAACCTGGGCATGGGATTGATGCAAGCTCTGGAGGTGGCAGTGAAGTCGAAGTTGGAGGTGTTGGTGGTGGAGTTTGTAGTTGTGTTGGGCCGAGGGACACTGAGGGGGTCTCTAATTTAAGCTCCGCCAGCTTTGTAGAATTAGGACGGTACTCAAGGGGAAAAAGTCTATAAGGAATGAAGGCAGAGCATGTGAGAACAGGGCAGTAGACGCGGTTGGCAGTCGACCATTCCTCGTGTTTGTTTTTGAACAGCTCTAATTCTTCTGCGGTAAGAACTGGAACAGCCGCACCAATATTTAGAGGGCCGCAACAACGTGGTGGCATCCGTGACTCATCACCGCAGGCAGAAATGAACATTTTCCGAATGCAATGGTTGCAGGTACGAGAGGTACATGACGTACACGGGGAAGACAAGATAACGTCCTCGGAAACAGACTGGCAACAAATGGAGCACTCCTCAACAACAACGACCTTGACCTCACGGACAGTTTCTGGCTCATAGACTACTGCAATAAAATCTTGGTTCCCATATTGTCCCATAAATATTTCGTTACTCAGTTCCATCATTGCAAGATCGAACTCCTTTTCCTCCTCAAACATGCCGGGAGCATCGTATATCGCGGCAAAATCCGGATTTCCAAAGTGCGCCGTGAATATATCGCTTGCTATTTCCATCATTGCAACATCGAACTCCAGTTCATCCTCAGCAAATACGTTTGGGGAAACGCCCGTATCCGCTGTTGAAGCCAGCTTATTCGGTAGAGGAGCTCTCGTTTGTGGAGTAGTTTCGAGTGTTTCTAGATCGAAATCTGGTGGAAGGATGGTGATTGTCACGCGCTTGCTGTTCTGATAGCGGTCTAGTGATTTGGCCACGATTCGGTCGGCATCGGGCTCCTCACCCGTCTGGGTGGAATTAGAACAGCCCATGGCTGGGCCAGCGATATAGTTTTTTAACTGTGGAATAAAGGGGAGAGGGGGGAAATAATTTACAGTTACATATAGTTTATAACCTCGTGGCAAATGGAGTAACTTTTGCAGAGAAGAGAAATTCTGATAGAAGTCAAGCTCCTGTCTGGGAGGAGTAAGACAGAAATCCAGGGAAAGGGAAGAAAAGTTAGGAAGGAGTCAAAGGAACCGAACAGAATATGGCAGACTAGTCAATATTTATCTCACCCATCGACGACATCGTCATGATTGAGTTTTTGAGTGGTCTGAAAAGAAGCTGGAAGTTGGACTGTCTTCTAGCTCGCAGGCAGCAAGCATCAATTGAGTCACTAACGAGTTGGCTCGACAAGTCATATTCCACGAAGACCCATGGACCCGTTAGCTACCGTGGAAGGGCCACCAGTCAACCTAGCAAGAGAAGATCCCGCACCCGCATCTCTTGGACGACTCATCCATCGCGCGGAGCGGAACCGCAACCATGGTCAAGAAATTGAAGGCCTGGGGCCAAAGAACGGGGCAAGCAATGTGACTCACCGAGGAGTCTGTTCCCTGATTGGCGCTGCTTTCCAACGAGTGTCGCTACTGACTAACTGGGCTTCATGGCCGTTGCTTGAGAACGGGGCGGATCTAGAAAGACGCCAGGGATCACAAGGCGGTCACCGAATATAGCTATGTAAGCATGTGGCACAGGCAGCCACCAGCCACGGATGACTACTATGTTACATCTTTACGGCAAGGAGATCCCTCCATCTCTCTCAGGCCACACTGCGTCAAAGTCCTGTCAGGCTGGACTGTCATGGAGGATCGTTATTGCACAGCATACATTCACGAGCCAAAACTTAGGTACTGGGGCTGCCGCCCTCTGTGGATAACTGCTCGTCATCGTGCTCATCCTTGGTGGATAAGATATGGCAAAACAATTTAACTCCTTGTTATTATTTTCACTGCTATTCAACAGGGTAGCAAACACATCTTCCAAAGGATAGTTAACTATGATATGAAGAGCATGTAAGATGACATTGAGCACTGTCGAAAGCCAATTGAGTGATCTCTATTTTTAATCTGATTTTAGCTTAAGCGCCCTCAAGGAATTCCAGTCCGCAAGACCAGAGATCATCTGTCATTCAACGACTTTTGTCAGCCAGTGGCTTAAAAACATCTTTTAATTTGAAGGCACTGACCATCACTTACTTATTATCGAAGGCAACCAGTGCACAGTTGTCATCAGGAGCGGAAGAGGTGCTTTGGAAGAACGTTGAATACATGCCAGTCAAGTGCAAGGCTGTTTTTGACTTGCCGGAATCAACTTTTCATCAGAGCTTTCACGAATCGAAGCCCGAAATACTGTGGGCTATTAAGGGGTTCCGCCTGCCCAAATTGCCCGATCCTGCTTAGTTCCCTGCGAGCCGAGCCTCCAAGTTAGTGGGCGCACGGGGAACCGAGAACTCTGCTGATCTTCACTCTGCCACCCCAAATCTTAATCAAAATAATCCAAAGCAAACGCATTGGTTTCGGCCAAGGATGCTCCAAAATAACCGCCATCTGGGGGAGGTTCGAAGCGCTGATAAATGGACTATTTTGTGTAAAAAAGAGAGGAACCTCACACGTGTGCCAACCAACAAACGGCTTCGGATCCATAGCCGCCTTGCTAAAATGCAGCTCCCGATGCAGGACCAGGATCTTTCGCATGCCAGGGCTGGGTTCAGGCCCAATAAACGTTCCCCAATATTGAGAACTGTCAGGCTACCCTGTTGTCAATTACCAGTGTCGGCCCAGTGGGTTGTACGCAGGGCTGTGTTTCCTGTTCTAAGAGATCATTTATAAGGAAGATGGCCTCGCAATATGTTTTCAGCAGGAGCCGAGATCCCGATCTTATCAAATTGCCTAGATCTGGATATTGGCCCTCCAGCGACATTGATAGCGTTTGGCTCTGGTTTCTTATCACGTTCGACAACGCTCGCTCGGAGAGCGGAAAGTCATGTCTCTCCGGGCTCGGTTTAAGCGCCTCTGGGGGAAACACCGGACCAGGACCCCCAAAAATGCTACAACAACTGTGAATGTCCGTTTATTCTCTCTCCTATGTGAGAACAATATTAACGTGCTATCTGCCCAGGCAAATCCGACCCCAGAATCGCATTTCCCAAAGTTGGTCCCAGACGAGTCGGCAATCTTCGTTGCGGCGTCCACCACGGTGCTCGCAAGCTCAGAGAGTTTGAAAGAAACTAGATCCCTGAATCCCGGGCCTACACTAGAAACAATTCACACGCATAATGATACCCCTAGGTCCAGCCAGGACCTGAAATTGAGCAGCCTCTGGGATGAAGCATATGACGAGCTTCGAAAAGAAAATGCAAAGCTTGTAGATGCCTATGAGCAAGACTTGTTTTCCATTCAGAACTTGGGACAGCAAGGTATGTGTGACAAAACTGCCATTTTACAACGTGGACGAAAAGAATAGATAACAGCAAGCCATCTGGGATGACTTGACTTTCCATCCTCATCATTCTTTGAAGAATCAGATATTAACCGAAATGTGATGGGAATTTAGCCCCCAAAGGCGAGGATAGGGAGATCCAGCTTCAGAAGCTACTAGATTCGAAGCTTCAGAACATTGAGAACTCGCAAATGAAAATTTCCATACATGGAAAAGACGTTGTTATCAGAGATCAGGCTAGGAAGGTCGTACATTCCATCCTTTCAGTGAAAGATTACATCGGATCTATAGCCTTCGCAGAGCCACATGCGGCCCTAGCTTGGGCAGGAATTTTAATTATTCTCCCAGTAAGTCCCCGTATATCAAGAGACTCTCTGCCAGTGCTGATTGTCACCTTCGACAGGTTATTACAAATCCAATCACACAAGCTGAATACGGCACTGAAGGTCTTGAATATATATCAGAACTTCTGGTTCGGTGTAAGGTAACGGAGGACACCTATCGTGAGAACCTTGCATGTGTGCTTGCAACTTCAAGCCCAAGGTAACGACAAGCCATCAAAACCCCTGCTGTTATTGATCATTTGCGTTGTCCTTCCTCCCCTTGCAGTAAATTTCCTGATATGTGCTAATTCATTCACATAGCATACCAGCATACCTGGTGGAATTAAATGCCTCCTTCAGAGCTAAGACTATCAGCATTTACTCACAGATACTAAAGTATCAAATAAGCCTCTCCCAGCAATGTTCTCGTTCGGGACTATTTCGCTTCTTGAGAGACTATGTAATTGCTGATGATTGGCAGGGCATGCTGGAAAGCATAAAAGGCACTGAGGAAGACATCAGCAGAGTTTTGGATTCATTTGATAGCAGAACTTTAAAAAAGATAGACGAGCAAGTTTCTGTTCTTCGAAGCAACGCGGATAAATCCTTAGGTCTCTTGTTAGAGACTAAAGCCGGTGTTGAGGTAACTTCATCCCACCGCCTTGTTTTGTGGCTTCTCGTCACGGCCATATGCTGAACATATCTTCTTTTTGTCCCAGAAAATCAATCAGGCGCAATTGCTTGGAAAGCTCTATCGTGCGGAGTATGCTGCTTTTAACACATTCACAAAAGCGGATCGCCGACCCCCAAGATGCCTGGAAGGTACCCGCATTGATATCCTCCGCGAAATTCAGCACTGGGGAGACGGGCATCGTGAGGAATGCATGTTTTGGATTAAAGGACTTGCCGGGACTGGCAAATCTACCCTCGCTCGCACTATCGCCCATCACTTCAACGAGAAGGGGAAACTTGGTGCAAGCTTTTTCTTCTCGAGGGGCAAGAAAGATCTGGGGGATGCCACCGCTATTTTGACGACTATTGCTGTCCAGCTAGCTGAGGCGTTACCTGATTTGAAAAATGACATCTGCGATGTTATAGAGAAGCATGGCGATATTGGCCAGCAGCCATTGTATAACCAGTGGCGGGAACTTATATTCCAGCCTCTTCTTAGGTTAGATAGAAAGCTGCTATTGCCCATTGTTCTGGTTTTCGTTCTCGACGCGCTTGACGAGTGCGAGGGTGATGAGCACCTTGGTGAAATCCTGCGCCTCCTAACCGAACTGAAATCGCTCAAGATCTTGCAGGTTAAAGTGCTCCTAACTAGCAGACCAGAACGATCAATTTATGCTAGTTTCCGCGAACTTCCCGACATCGTCCATCATGACCTAACTCTTCATTCAGTCCCCAAAGTCGTCATTGATGGTGATATCTCGATTTTTCTGAGATACGAGCTGGGAAAAATTCAAAGTAAACGACGTATCGACACTAGCTGGCCTGGAGATGAAAGCATCCAAACCCTCGTTCAGCGGGCAGACCGCCTTTTCATTTATGCAGCGACGGTGTGCCGGTTTATCGGCGAGTCTCGTTTTCCAGAAAAGCGCATGAGCGAAATCCTCAAGACCGAGTCTATGAGTCGATCGTCCACCAGCGAGCTTGACAAAATGTACTCAGAGATTTTAAAACACGTTCTCGATGAAGGCAGCGATGAAGACAAAGAAGATATGGCAGGTCTGTTCAAGCAGATTGTTGGATCTATCATCGTCCTCTTCGAGGCCCTTCCAAAATCTGCTCTAACTTCGACGCTTGATCTTCCATCAACGGATATTACGGAAATACTCGAAGCCCTTCACTCTGTATTAGATATCCCTGATGACGAAAACATGCCGATCCAACTGTTCCATCTTTCTTTTCGTGACTTTCTCTTCAGTGAAGAAAGATGCGCAAACCCCACATTCACAATCAAAGAGGAGGCTGCACATGGCGGCTTGGTAACTAAGTGTCTCAAACTCATGTCAAAACACTTAAAACAAGATATATGCGACCTTCGACACCCCGGCACTTCCATTGCTAACATGAGAAAAAGCACAGTGGAAACACACCTTCCTCAAGATCTCCAGTATGCCTGTAAGTACTGGATTCGCCATCTCCAGAAAAGCCAGATCAAGCTCCTCGACGGCGGGGAAGTTCACATCTTTCTCCAGAAACACCTTCTTCATTGGATTGAAACCCTTAGCCTTATGGAAATTATATCGGAAGGAATAGTCATGATTAGGGCGCTAGAAACGCTGCTGCTAGTAAGTAACTTCAAGCAAAATCTTCAGAAGTGGATCGGTAGCTGACGGGCAAAGCCGAAATCTGATGCCCACTCGTCTTTGTTATCCTTGGTTTATGATATGAAGCGATTCATTCTGAACTTCAGATCCGTTATCGAAGCTGCTCCGTTGCAAATATATTCTTCGGCTCTTGTTTTTAGCCCAAAAAAGAGCATAATCCGCGAGCAATTTTGGGAAGAGGTGCCCCCCTGGATAGTGGACGTTGTCTCAGCCGAGGAGGATTGGAATCCTTCCTTGTTGACACTTGAACATTCGGGCCCGGTCCGTCAGGTGATATTTTCGCCTGACGGCCAGCTTCTTATTTCTAATGGCTTTGACATTCCTAAAGCATGGGATACCACTACTGGCGCGCTTCGTGGCGCTTTTCCAGACATTTCGACAAGCCTTTTTGGAGCAACTATTTCAACGAAAGTGGCCCTGTCGCCTGATGGTAAATTCCTTGCTTGCACCTCCGGTTTCGATAATAACATCAGACTATGGGATGTAAAGAGGGTTGTCTTGTGCTCCACCCTTGAGGGCCATGAAGCTGGTGTTAGTTCGATTGTATTTTCCTCTAGCGGCGAGTTTCTTGCATCGAAATCCCGGGACAGATGCATCCGGATATGGAACATAACAACAGGTCACGCGGAAATCCTATTTAATGGGAAAGAAGGTCGAAAACCTGTAGCAACTCAAAAATGCGATGATCCGGCGGAAATAATATTCTCTCCAAATGGTGACTTCATCGCCGGTTGCATAAATAGCCACCAAGTTCAACTTTGGGATGCGAAAACATACAGTACACTCGGGTTGCTCACTCATTCACACAAAATCATGAATTTCGCATTCTCTCCTGATGGAAGGCTTATCGCATCCTCATCCTTGTATGGTCCAGTAAAGACTTGGGATCCAGTCACAACGAAACCATGCGGGATTCTGGCACGAGTCGACTTAGGCCAATTAATTACAAGTTCATCCTTTTCATTTTCGCCAGATGGAAAATTGATTGCGTGTATAGTGAATGGGGCGGTCGAAATATGGGATCTAAAGACTTTGTCTTTCTGTGGCTCGATTGATAACTCCCAGGGAATTAAACATATAACTTTTTCTCCGGACAGTGGACTGCTTGCGGCAATTTCAGGGCAATATGTTAAGTTTTTCGATCCCCAGACCAGAACACTATGTGGGCTTCTTGAGGGACATACATCAGACGTAACTTCAGTGAAGTTTTCACCAAACGGCCAGCTTGTCGCGTCGAGCTCTTCTGATCATTCTGTGAGGCTCTGGGATGCGGTGGATATCGGGATTGCTGAAATTAACGAAACTCGCATTGCCAAGTTGAAATTTATAGGTAATGGACACTCTATCATTTCCTATTCGAGCGACGAGACCGTTGAGTTAAGGGATCCGTCAACTGGCACGTCAACCTTCACGGTTCCCGATTTTATAACTTTTCATGATAAAGTGGAGTACTTTCCTTCAAATAATCTTTTCGCCTACGCAGATTTCGATACAATAAACCTCTGGAATATGGTGACTGGTGAATTCTATGCGAGCCTTGAGGAGCCAGATAAGGTAGTTACAACAATCGCATTCTCACCAGACGGGAAAAGCTTGGCGGCGTCATATGAAGACCATCCCGTCGTCATTTGGGACTTGACAAAAAAAAAGCGACGTTGCGTTCTAAGTGGACAGTTGAAGAATGTTCAAACGCTCGTGTTTTCCTTTGACGGTCGTCTGCTAGTCGCGGATTCATTGTATTCTTCAATATGCCTTTGGGATCCAACAACGGGCAAGTCACTCGGCACCCTCCAAGGCAAAATGGGAGTAATTTCTGGCATTGTGGTGTCTTCCGATGCCAAGGTCATCATTTCTAAATCAACTCATTCTGTCAAAGTTTGGGACGCGAAAACCGCCCAAGTTATCATGGAATCCTACATGCTGAATAAGAAAGTCGTAGGTGGCGTGAAATTACCGATTCTCTCACCTTCATTGTCTGAGTCTCTTAATCTGTTTCCCTTATCCGCATTCGATTGGAAAGAAAACAAATTACTGTGCTCTGCGGTTCCACTTTGTGTACGAAGGTCATGGGTAGTTTATGAACTAGAAGACGTTATATGGATTCCCAGGCATTACCGTGACGATTTGGGTACCAGCATTGCCATACACGATAACAGAATTGCGTTAGCGGGTCCATCTCAACGATTGATGCTTATCAAGGTCGATTCGAAGTTAATCCCATCGAGTAAGTAAACGTTGCCTTTACCTTTGGTTTTCATGAACCGCTTGGTGGCTATACTTTAAATAACCCAATGCATGATGAACACTAACGCCGTAGTAGAATCGATCCCGATCGTATGATAGTACTGTTTCCACACCCATTACCGCCAAAAATTTATCAATCCCGTTATTGGCTCCACGAGTCTGAAATGGGTAGGACACAGTGGCGCCCCGGCATATATTTATCTGTCATCTGTATATCATATTATCCTGCCTGAACAACCAGGATGAAGATCTGATTCCACATGTATGGAGAGGTGACCAAGATGACTATGGGAGCTGACGCTGAGCGGATATAGGAGTAGATAAGATTGAATAAGGATCTCTTACCATTTCGGAATCGGGCGGCGGACATAGTGGATGGTGTAAAATTACCCGTTGGTAATCGTTTGCCAGAAGATTTGAATTGTAGAATTTTTTAGTTCTTGGCACAGGAGTTAAATAGGTCTTTACAGATCTGCACATAGAGTTTAGATAATTGGGCAACAAATTGTAGTTATATATGAAGTTAGAGAGTTCACGGAGTAGACTTTTCGCCTTTATATTGATTGCTCTAATGATTGTCACTGAAAGGTATCATGATCGGAGCCTAATATATTCTTAAGTAAACGATATATCTGGTCCCTTTTAACACTGATCCTAGTAACTGGATTACTGCTTTTCCCTGTCGAGTAAACTGCTACTGGAAATCTTTGATTTTGTGCCCAACCGGCTGATGTGGAATTGAATGTAGCTGGTAGGAATGGGAATGTGAGTAGCTATTCGTGTTGGTAGTGTTAAGCCAACGCAATAACTGTAAATTGACATTCCGCGCCGGAGAACAAAATAAAATATCATTTAGATATATGATGAGCAGATCAAAGAATTGAGGAAGATTGGGTATTCTGAAGGTTCTCTTCTTATACGAGCAAGAGACGCCTCCCTTCCCTATCGCTCGTGTATCTAAATTTCAGGAAACGGGAAATATGTCAACACGAAATTTTAACCCAGAAAATTTATTGGAAAAAGGCGCGATAACTCATCTGGATCTGGAACTAGCGCATAATGGAGGGCATAGCAGTTAAGCAAAAATACAGGTATCAAAAGCGCACCCAGGTGCCCCAAAGATGAAAGATGAATGGCATAAAAGCAAGAAGCGCCGAATTGAGACAACATTTGTAATTGATGCGATACATAGTCCAAAACCTTTTCGTTTGATCTGAAGAAGGAAATTCATACAGTACAATCATACTAATTATCAGTCATCGTAATAAACTAAAACAGAAGTAATATGCCCACCTTCCTTAACTCTCTTTAGAAGACCACGGACTCCAGTATGTGTTGATCCTGTTGAATCCATACTGCACCGGTACTTCAAAATTCCGTGTTCTCAAACAATCATCTGTGCAACGCCTTGACCACCAAGAGTCTTGCTGCCCATGAATTCTTGCTTTGTGATGCCAGCTAGTGCGTAGAATATTGCTGAAACCGAGAGAACGACAGCAGCAGCAAGGAGGCTGGAAGGTCCGACAATTAAGCTCAGCCACTGGACGACGCTGAGGATGACGTACATCAAAGCTCGCATGTAGTTCGTCGTGAACCGTCTGATAAAGGAATCGAATGTTGAGGACGTGGGGCAAATTCGTAGAAGAAGAGGAACTTCAACGAAGATTATGACAAAGGATGAGGCTCTATAAGTGCTGTCAGGTAAAGTAGGGAAGCATGGGAAAGGGCAGTATCGCAACAAAACTTACAAGCAAACTATGCTGAATGCTATGACCTTACTGAAAATATTCGCAATCCCCAGCGCGAAACAGAGAAGTATGCACAGGACACCAGTCCTATTTGCGGAGAAATTAGTTTCTAATTCAGTGGTTCCAAGTGTTCTCAAAGCTCAAGGTGCTCCGCGACGGTTGATCAATCAATATGGGTGTATTCCGCCACAATTAAGAACAACCGACACCTTTCACGGCGTTTCTAATGCACAAACTTGTATACCCGGTAACGGTAGAGCAGAGCTTTTCGCGGGGATCGGGCACTAACCATTGTCCATAGATGCCTGCTCGCGGTTAGTTCACGGCATCACATTACAGTAACACGGGGAAAAGTCTGAATAGACTTACTAAAATTCCTCGACTTGAACTCCTCTGCAATCGTCATTTTGTCCAATGTATAGCGCTTGTCCGGGAGGCGCGGGATTTATTTGTCGCTGTGACCTTTACTCAACTCAGCCTTGTCGGCAAGGCTCTGGAATCCAGCAAAGACTTGATATATGCCCTGGAAAATATCTCCCTGAACTGGCTGGAGCTAGTTGGAATAGAGAGGACGCCGTTCACACAAAGATCGATCAGCTACAAGTTTATGACATGCATTAGTCGTATGGAAACAAGCAAAAGCGATCCGATGAGAAAGAAGTAGATCCGTGAACAAGTTATAAAACAGCTAATATGAGATCTCAGATCTTCCGTTCAATACACACCAGAGGAATCAATATATAAAAGTCGAAGAGAAGGCTCAAGCGCAAAGTCCGGATGCCAAAGTGCTTCAAATGGTTTGTTGTTCTCTTGGGCAGGCGAGGACAAACTGCGGGAACAAAGGAGAATATCTTCCAAGTCGTTTCAGTCTTAGGTTTAAGGAAAAGGACAAATTACTATTGGAAAAGTATAGAAGTGTTTGGCTGGGAGGAGAGTTCCATCACGATGATGGAATAATAAGGTGGAAAGGTAGTTACGGTCAACCTGTTGCTATTTCTGCTTTGGGATGCCAAGACTTTACCTCACCAGTTGCTATGGCGCAGCGCTAGGCTGCTGTATAAATTTGTGCTTTTGGATAGTCAGCCCTATCACCCGCCACGCCACCCAGATACGTATATATTTTCGTGAATTAGATAGCTGGAGGAAGCATTGATTCGGCTGAGAAATTTAAAATTGCAGCAGCACCTGGAATCGCTGGCAAACTCACGCGGATACTGTCCAAACAGTAGTGTCTACAAACCCAAAAGGGGGTTTTCGAGTCCATTTGGAACAATACACTTCTCCTGATAATCAAGATATAGACACTCATAAAAGATAAAATGGCTAGTTTTTTTTTATGGTACTGTTCGCACTCATTTCCCGCGGTCTAAATAAAATAGAAATGGATATTATTATGCACGAGCGAGATGGTGGTAAACCATTATTTGTTTTCCTCTGATGGCAGGATATTGGGTATCTGCGCTGGCTATTTTTCCATAACACACTGGTAACACCATTAAAATGTCGGTGGCATCGAAATTTGTACACCTCTAACTCCTCCCTCATGCGCTCCACAGCCCTTTGTTGAGTGTTGTCCAGTTGGTACATGTTTATTGAGGATAGACAAGTTTAAAGATATCATTATAAACATAGTAACTCCCTGATCCGTTAGGACGGAGGTGGAAATGCTGCGAGAAGTTCATCGGTTTCGTTTCTTCATCAACCTATAATTTCGCACATTTTTTTTTAGCATCAGCAAGGAGCCAGGAGGTAAGTTAGAAGGTAAAAACGAAGTCTTAACTCACCATCAGAGCACCGATCACAAGGACTACAACGCCACCCTCTTCTGTTGGTTGAGCATCAATTGTTGAGTGCACGTGTTGAACTTTTTGAAATGGCAGGCTCTATATCTCCAGTTTCAGTAAGATTCAAGGCAAAAAGATCATCCTGGTATTTGCTGCGTACTACTAACCATAAGTTGTTTTATGATTGCATCGGAGCCTTGAACACAAGAGGTTTCAAAAGTCAACATTGATTTATCGCGCTGTTATCCCTATTATCAGCTACCAGTGTTCCAGGTGTCTCAATTTGAGGCTGACCACATACGTAGAGAGTGGAGAGACCGTCCCGCTTTTCACCGTCAAAAGTTTCATAATAAAACTTGACGAATTCCTCTGCAGTCAAGTCGGCCATCAGATAATGCTTTCACCATACCTATCTAATTAATTGAAGACAAAAGAGGATGGGCCGAACATACCAGCAACAGTTTGGTAGGCTACGTAGAGAGATTGCGTTAGTGACAATGTTACCAGCTACCACAATCAGACAAAATCATGGGGAAGTATGCCAATAAGGAGAAGTGGAAAAACAGAGGTAGAACAACCAGTGTGGAAGAATAATATCAAGTATACACTCACCCGCCATCTTGTCTAGGATTGATCGCAAAGCTCCTCTGTATCACGCCTATGTGATTGAATCTCTGCCGATGATGGATAGTTGAGATTGCAGTTGCGGTGGGGTTTTCTGTGGCGGGGGGCAATTCAAGCGAAAACAAACATGACTAAAAAGGGGTTAGTTTGGCGCTACCTTGGTACGCGGGCACAGCATAGATAAGGCCAGGTTCGGATGCTCAGTCCCTTCGGATTCTCCGGGAGAATAAATAGTATATTAAATAAAATATCTCGTCTCCAAATTCCAGGTGTATTATATCACAAATCAGAGATACCCGGTGTGTGGCAGCCTGAAAGTAAGATTCATCGAGTACTAATCATTACATCAAGGCTGAACTGCAACATGATTTGTCAAGGCAACAATCAAGAAACTGACGAAAAAGTAGCCAAGATGGGCAAACAACAATGGGCATTAGTCGGAATCAGAATCCGCAAACATATCCTCTGCTTTGGGCCGGCGACGCCTTGGGACCGGTTGGGCGTCATGTTCAGCCTCCTTAGTATGGCATGCATCGCTCGCAGTTTGATCGCCTGATCCGTGGGAAGATACACCTCGGGCACCTTGGCGTTCGCTCTCGTCCATGCCATTCCCTTCGGCCTGCTTAGTTTCCACGTCCTCCATATCGCTGTCCTCCATCGGAACGCCATCGATGTCATCATCCATAGGCTCACCATCAATGTCCTCATCATCTAGCATGGGAACACCATCATCTCCGTCATCAATATCCATTTTCTCACCCTCCAGAACATCCTCCGTGTTGTGCGTATCCACAGCAACTTCATTGGCATCATCTTCGACCGTTCTCCATCTACTCTTTCCTTTGCTGCCAAACACACCTGACGTTTTCTCTGCTTCAACACGCTTCTGTTCCTCTGATTTTTCTTTCTCTGTAAGGGGCGGCTTTTCAAATACCTGAACAAAGTGCTCTTGGCTTGACTGAGGGAAAACACACCAGCCTTCCCATAGACTTAAAAGACTGGTAATACTTCTCCTCCATTTTTCAATCTTCAGTCTGCCCCACCCGAGCTCTTTTTCCAGGCGGCCAAGATGTTCGAAAATTTTATGTGTTTTTAGGGACGATTCGAATAGTTGTCGGTATCTCCAGGCATGCCGGACTCCACTTGTAGACGATGATGATAGGATATCGGAGATCAGGTATAAACCTACCAGCTTAGAAGCCGAAGTATCCAGGGTCTCTTTGGACGATTTCTTCGTTAAAGACTGGGCCGTTTGGCTGTCATGCTCAGCAGGGTTAACCTCGTCACCATCGTCAGGTTTGCCACCTCGAAGTTCTGTCTCCCGTCGTTGGCGTTCTGGGTTTGCATTAGTAAAAGCCAGCGGATTGGTAATATTAGCAACGATCATCTCCACCACTTCATCTGCACCGCATCCAGCATGCCTGATTGCAAAGGAAGTTATCCGAGCGACATCACCTCTTCGCAACTTCGAATTGGTAGTAGGGAGTTTTGCAAGCAAATGTGCGAGTTTTGCTTTTTGAAGAGGGTTCAAGTGGCCTATCCCATCGCTATTGCGTTCTTGGGCTCCAGAGTCGAGACGCTTTTCATCTTCTCTGTCAGAGTCATCCTCCTCTGAAGAATCGTAGTCTTCATCAGATATGAACTCCTCTATTTTCGTAACATATTCAAATTGTAAATGGTTTTCGGGGGGCAACCAAACAGGCCCGCTTTCGAAAACAGACGTGGGGGAAGGTGGGTGTCTTCCCCTAGTTTTTCGTGCGCCCGTCAAGATATCCCATAACTTCCACCTGTACCATACACCTCCCGGGCTCCTCGAATCCCATATCCAAGCCCACTTTTCGTTTTTCTGGACTTCGGGTCGACTCATGAGAAGTGCCTCAAACTCGGGGCCGTATGTTAAGAGATTCTCCAAGGTCTTATGAATAAGTTTGAGTTGCTTCAGATCTGATGGAGGTTTGACCTCAACTTGAAAGGTAGATCCACCCCTACCACCGTAGCCTGGTCCGTAAGATGATGGAGGCGCAAAGCCTCCTCGATGACCACCAGGCGGACCACGACCGTAATTACCTCCTGAGCCCTGTGTTATTGGTCGTGCTCCGAATGGCTTGGAAGTGGAGGTATTTGATATAGTCGTAATTGGCATGGTGGAATTAATGGCAGCCGAAGAGAGATGTCGTGAGATCGAGAGATAGTAGCCCCATCCAAGATACTTGTTCTGTAAAGAGCTGACAACAGTATCCATCTCAGTTGCAGCTGTCTCTTTTGCGAGGGTGACAATCGCAGACCATACCCGTCGTTCTCCGGTTCCAGCTCCTTGCGGAGTTGCTGGTAAAATTTTAACATTGTCCACAACGAGCGCATGGGAAACAAGGGCCTTGATTACTGCTGGAGATGTTCCTGGTGGCAGCGATGACAGATGAAGGGTGGGCTTAGCTGCGGCCCTTTCCGCTTCTTTCTTGTCCGCAAGTTTATCCTCATCATCGGAAACCTGAAATGCAGCTGCGGCGTCCGCGTGAGCGGGGGGGGAGTTCTCGAAGCCGAACGGACCGTGCCCTAAGTCTCTCTCCTTATGAGATGAGTGCATCGCCTCAAACGGTCGTTTTCTTGAACCAAAAGAGTGTGGAGCTCCTTGGTTGTCGGGTGCAGATCTCATCGTGCTCGACGTGAAATGCCTCTTTGAAGGGGCAACAGGCGCCCCCGAATGTACAGCGCCTCCGCGGCCATATGAACCCACCCTGCCGCTGACACCAGGACCCGTAGGTGTATCAGCATCATTTTGAAATGATTTCACAAAATCCTCGTAGACTGCCTCAGTCTCTGCTTTCTCCCTGGCGCGTTTGGCTTCGGCTTCGGCTTTCTGGCGCTCGAAAAGGGATTTTTTCGCCGGGGCGGACAGTTTGGACGATAGGTCAAGAAATCCTTTCGCTTTTGAATCTTCCGGCATTTTGGTAATGCGGTTAGACAACCCAATTACGGTGCCAGAACGTTTGCGTTGTCTGCTGCTCGGCTCTCAAAGCTCTTCATGGGATAATTGACAATGAGCTTTGAGGCTCAGCGAAGGCTCGGCTAGAGTTGCTTCCTGTGGGGCTAAATAAGCACCGAATCCATCCCAGCTTTGCCAACATCGCTCAACCATAAGGGATGCATCAAAGAGACCTCAAAATAAATCAAATGTCAAAAGTTTCTGTAAGAGATACATCTTGTCTCACCAGAAGCCAAGGCCGACTATAAGTGTTGAAGATGTCTACTCCGTCACAAATCCAAGCGTTGCTACGCTTCCTTTCGCAAGATTCAAAACTGCCCCTAGCTCTGGCAATTGCAAAGGCGAAAGAGCTCCAAAACGCTAATTTACTCACGTATGCAAGAAAATAAGGCATATGTTTCATATGTATTCTACTCTTCAGGGCTGAAACGGTAACTGACACCTTACACTTAGCCCCGAGGACATCCTGAAGAAAGATCTTGCATCTCTTCATTCCATTTTGGGTGAAGAAAAAGTTGCAAAACAAGTCTTAAATGGTGCCAGGAGGGTTGCTAAGAAGCATGCCTACGAAGCAGACGGCACTGGTCCTCCTGTAAAGAAAACTAAAAAGACCAGTGTAAACTCGGAAACACCATCTCCCTCTCAGCTCGAGTCGGCGCTCGCCCTCCCATTATCGTCCAACACAGACGAAATTTCTTCAGCTGTCTTGGTTACAAATCGGGCACCTCTTGTCCTGGCGTTTGCGGTAATATTGTTAAAATATACTATGCCAGAACAACCTTTATCTAGCAGGCTAAGCCTGGCTCAAGCAGCTGTCAGTGCCAACAGTCGATCAAAGGCCGTTAGCCTTGGAATCGAACAAGGAAAAAGCGCAGAAGATGAGGGATGGGCGCAGGGGCAGCCTACCGTGAAAGTCCTTGGAAGGGATATTCCCGTTTTAAAACGATGGGGATATAACTGGCATGAGGAATCCCCGTCGGATCGAGCTGCTGGGTTCGATGCGAATGTAGAGAACCTGGCAAAGGAGAGCAGTGAAAATGCCAGCCATAAATCGTCAGACGAACAGCCTGCCCTGTGGGGCTTAGATCCAGAAGTTATGAAGAGGTCAAACACGAACGGCCCAGGGCCACGCCAGACCAGCCCAGTGCTCCCAATCCATAGACCAGAGGCAGCCCGCGAATATTTATTAAAATCATTTACGTTACAGAAGCCAACCGAGTCCAACATCGGGAAAGGGAAAACGAAGAAGGCCTCTTCAGATTCTGTGTCTGAAAAGGAGAAAAGCCTTGCCCTTTTACTTGGCGCGATTGATCTCCTCTGCCAATCATGGACATCCGTGCTCAGCAAAAACGAAATAGATCGACGAGCTTGGTCATGGTATGTGGACGTTCGCCCAGATATTCAGCACGGTGTTGGAGGCTGGGGGCAGAAGGGGGAGGTTCAGCTCTCAAAAATCCTTAATCTAAGACGAAAGGGGTGATATTTATGATCAAGACCAACGCAGTGCACGGCTATATACATGCAAGCATGCGCAATGACGCACCCCCGATTGATCCCCTCTTATTCTCATCATTCCGTCATTAGAAGCCGATTTTCGAATCAACCTGCATTGTTCTCCCTGACTGCGCTAGACAATCAATGTCGACTTCTTTCCGCCGCATTACGGAGGCGGTTGATTACTCTCCCTTCCGCCTCCCGGTGGTGCTTCTTGACGATATCGATGATCACGACAAACAGCTGAGGTTATCCATACCCCGTTTCACACGCTCTCGCGCGGTCCTTTCGTACGTACCCAGAATAACGTCTCTCCAGTCTGTAAATGGTCCTCCCCTTGCTTCTCGTCGACTATCAAATTTGAAATTCCTCGCCTGACAGACCATTATCACAATGTCTCAGGGCATTTTGAACCCCCGTTGAAACCATGAATTCTTTTTGTTGTGGGTGAACACATGAATCCGCAGCGTGCCAGCATTTTCAGCCCTTTGACAACATCAAGTTCAATCCTTCTCCCCTAGTAATAGTTCCATGGCTCTATATGTATGGAGACCGGGATATCTGAACGGGAATGGGTACATTTCGTACTCGCAAGTATATGTCCTGCACATCCTGCACACATCTACACAGCTGTGGCCGCCCATGCCGCTCGCTAGGACACGAGCACGTAATGTTAGTCAATGATTTGTTGCTATTCTCTGAACATTCCCCCTATTTTGTGCTGAATCCCTTTGTTTCTGTTGACATCGCTGTGAAGAAATGCAAATCAGGGAATAGTATCTGTAGAGATAGTACGGAGAACACATCTCAAAGGTTGTGAAAATAAAGATAAGGGAGAAGACGGGGGCGGGGCGGCGGGGGGTGTTTCATGGTAACACCCCATGGATGAAGACCTTCTCAATGTCCTAACTTAAACATGCGTCCTCAAAAGTCCATCGACACAACCTCCCATGAACAGGTGATGTTCAAGTCTCCGCGATTCCAAGCGTGGGTTTATATACATGTGAAACAAGGGGAAAAAAGAAGAAAAAAAAATCACTTAAATATGCAGCCTTACAAGTCCTTCCCCATTCGAGGTGGTACAAGACCGAGCATGCCATTCATTGAAGTAAAAAGTGAACCAAGATATGAACCCCAGCAACCGGCCCAGCAACCGGCCATTGTCAGTAGTAGCACAGAGCAATAATGTGTTTGTAATTGCTGTACGCAGCGTTGAGTACTAGTCTGCACAGCGAACAACCTCCTCCTTAACTATATACTATATAGTAGACATACACGCGCGCTCCCAACTCTAGGCCCTTGCAAGCAAGCAAGAAAGCAAGCAAAGATCTTTCACAATTGGCAGCTTGTCGATCACTGACACTGATCAACATGGAGAAAAATGGCAGCTCCTTGTTGTTGCTTTTACCGTTTTATTCTGCAGTAGTTTGGTGAACGGAGGCGGAGGTGTTGACCAAGACATTTAAAGTTTGTTGTTTGTGGCAGACACTTCTTTAACCAAGTCAAGGTTACTGATTCGTTAAGGTGTCGCCGTTAGTTACGAGTAGCTCGCCACCTGTCCTGGGGACGCGGTAGGACACACATGCAAAATGCGAACGACGGTTCCTTTTGTGCTACTGTGGAGTAGATATAAAATCGTGAAGATTCGGAACGGCATTAACTAAATAAACCATTATCCAAATTAAATTAGAAGCAACAACATACATTCCAACCCAAAATCGTCAGAGCCGACACCCTGGAGGTTATGTTTAAGGGGTCTTCCGAAATTTTAGCCTACACATCATGCACTCCGCAAGGCTAGAATAGAAGGTGCAAGATCGACAATGACTTCTTTGAGCATCTCCGCAGTAGCTGGAGCGTGAATGAGCGATCTCCACGGCAGACAGATCTCTGTTCTTTTTTGGTCAAAAACGGCTATGGATTCCTACAGGGCACTTGGGGAGCTGTGACTGTGTAGCGGATGACTACTGGAAAGCTTGTAAGCTGGTGCTTCCGGTGGCTGCTGTTGCTGATATTGTTTCGGGTATCTGTTTCCAAAGCCTTTTTGCAAAAATTCTATTGGGACACGGGGGAAAAAAGCCAAATGACGTAGATCCAAGGTGCGTCTGATCGGATATTTTTTCCACGTCTGAAAAAGCATTTCATAACTAATGCTCCGTGCATGGCCCCTGTGATGGATGCTCTTAAGGCTTCGCCAAGGAACCAAAGTGAAATCGCCTTCTGGAAAACTGGAATTGATGATGGAAACTAGCCAACGTTGTGGAAGAGAGCGAAGAACATTGTATTTTGCTGGCGCCAAACAGATGGAGTCTCGGAGAAGCTGTCGACTTCCTAGGAAAAAGTGGATTGTGGGGTGTTTCTTGTTCGGCCTCGTGATTCGCTGTTTCGTTGGAATGACACTTTTTTCCCCCTTGGCTCCCCTCCCCTTAGCCTGTTTGAAGGAGAAGAGTTCTCCGTAGTCAGGAATGGGATTGGACGACACAATTGGAAACCCTGGGGGATTCAGCTCGACACCGGCGAGGGAAGAGCGGGGATAGGCCAAGAGGGGCCCACGGAGGTAGGCTTGTCATCCTTGGACTCGGATGCCAAACTGTGGACAATTTAGCGGCAAGCCTAGGAGGATTTTGAGAGCAAGAAAACCCTGGTGGGTAATCCGGCTGGGCTGTTTGTATCAAAGATATCCATGTAGGCAAACAGGGAGAGAAGCCTTCCCAAGCGGCTTTCTTGTCAATGCCCCCATCAGCGCAACTTCCCATATGCCGAAACGACTGCCAACTATTATTTGTCATGATAATGATGAGTAAAGATGGAGATGGATCTCTTCTGATAATTTCAACCAGTTAGTTTGTTCCTTGTGCTGGTTAGCTATGTAACAGCCCAAGAGAGCAGTTAGCCGACTTGGAGGTGTAATGATACCGTTTTGACAAGGGAGGGCTAGCGCGGCCAGAGCAAAAGCCCTGCTCTGGTGCTCGCTGCTTCAGCGTGAGCAAAAAAAATAAAAATAAAAATAAAATAAAATAAAATAAAATAAGAGAGTAAAAAGTATTGGCGGAGAGAGAGGAGCAACAAGTGGCTGTGGACCTTGTGGTGATAGATAACACCCGCAACAACTGGGTGAAATCGCCTGTTTGGCAGGTCAACGAGTAATACACTCACTGAGCATGTTTCTCCGTCCTGAATCGTCCAATAGCCCATGAAATCTTACTCCTCCGCTTCCATCTCTCGTCATAGGTAGGGACACCAGGAATACTGACCCTTTTTGCTCAAGGTTACGGTCTATGGTTGTATGGTGCACAGAGCCTAACTAATAATAATAAAATATCTACTCTGTACGGTGGAAATTCGGCGGAAGACGCCAAACCAGGGCCAAAACACCACTGGGCCACGCATAACCATCAGCACAATGCTAGTAATTTGGGAATGCACAATACAAGAATGAAAGAAGATGGATTGTTCTTATTCCACCATGCGCAGAAGTGTTATATTTGGCGACAGATAATGCACAGTAATTAACTCCAGTAGATAATAGTCAACAATATAGCAACCCAAAAGAAGAACTGGAGACAAAGTTGCAAATACCTGGAAGCACTCGTACTTGATGTTGTTTGTGTGGCCGTTGCTCAGACTCTTGGGGCCCAGCAAAGTTCCCCTTCCCTCGTCTCGTCGACCCTTCTTACAGCCAACCCCCGACGCTGATTTGACTCCACCCCATCCACCCAACACCCTCCCTCCCTCGTTCTGTCTCATCCGTCCATCGCTGTTGACTTCGGTTCTCCTCTCCTTCCATCGTTTACGTCCTGTACCGTTTCTTATACTGCTGCTCGACAGTCTCTCTCTCCGTTTGTTTGTCCCCTGGGCGTGGGTTTTGGGGTGTTTGTTGTGCTTGACAGGAGGGGACCGCTCCCCCAAGTGGGCAGTGCACTATGTCTGAGCGTGCCCTATCACCGTCACCAGAAGAAATTCACGAGCACTCTCTTTCTACTCAATCTCATCGCCGGCAATCTCCCCTGTCTGCTGGCCATCATTCCCCTGAACAGTCTTTCATTACGGACGTCTTCAGTGATGCCTTTTCTCTCGAGCCATTGGATTCTGTTGATTCTCCTCTAGGCCACTCTGGTCAATCCGACCACGCTTCATCGAACTCGTCTACCACATTGGATGACGAGAATGGTCTGTCCTCATACCTAAGCCCCTTTCGAGACTCGGTTGCTTCATTCCAGTCGCAAATGTCGCAACGATCGGGCTCTCCAGAACCGGAACCGATATCTGAGCGTGAACAAGCCGCTCCAAATCATGCTCCTGTCGTCACCCAAAATGCCGTTTCCTCGTCGATTACTCGTCACTCGTCCTCCGCCTCTTCGACGACCCATCCTCCTCCATCCGTGGCACATCGAAGCATTAGTGTTTCCTCTCGTTTCTCAATGCCTAGAGCCCTAAGCCCGTATACTGGCCAGACCAGACCTACACATCCATACGCTATGTACCCTCAAGCTACCGGTTTGGGTCGGTCATCATCTAACTCATCCACTTCGACTGTTCGAGCTGTAGAACGGAGTCAGGTTGAGCCAATGCCGCCCCAGCATCCGTACGCCATGTATCCGCAGAATACTGTCCCAGAGGAGGAAGACGTGGAAGTGCACTCTCCTATCCCAGTTGGTTTCCCTGGCCGCGAACAGGCATTCCGGTCCCGGGGAAATGCTGGCGCCAATGAAGTTGGAGATATTGTCGGGGTAGATGGTCATACTGAACAACTGCCGCCTTATACGAGATATCCAGACGGGACACCCCAAAAATTTGGAGCCCACGAATTTGTCACCCCGCCTCCGCCGGTGACGTTAGCTAGTGTCCCGGTATCCCCAGAATCAGGAGTATCATCCCGAACCCTATTGGATGAAGATGGGGCTGGCCGACAAAATGCTCCCGCTGGTGAACCTCAAGCGGATGACCCAAGCGGTAGTACCAAGGAAAAACTGGTCGAAAAAGGCAAAACTAGGGTGTGCTGTGGTCTCCAAATATGGACTATTATCCTCATTGCTATTGTCGTTTTGATTGGAGCAGTAATTGGCGGTGTTGTTGGAGGTGTAGTTGGAAACAAGCGAGGGGAGAAAGCAGGTGGAGCAAGTGCTAGTTCTGCATTAAGTGGTGGACGGTATGAGACGACTCATTTTCCACCCCTTCCTCCACTCTTTTTTTTCTACTCTGTTAATATTTTCTAGTCCTACTTCCGTTTTTGTAACGGTAACGGCCACCACTATGTTGGATGCAGCACAGTTAACGACTACGCCTTCCCTTCTCCCAATCCCTACTGGCGATTTCCAGATCCCTGCAGCTTCGCTACATGGATCATCAAATAGCTGCGTCAATGACGATGATCTTGTGAAGTCATGGCAGTGCATGAACAAAGGTTCATTTTCTTGCTCGCTCTCCGAGGAAGACGACGGATCAAAAAGCATCGAACTCCAATCTTACAAGCGGAATGGGAATTTTATATATGGTGCCCAAGCTCCAGCACTGGAAGTCACGACTTTCGACCTCAAACTGATGCTCGATAAAACCCAACCAGATTTGGGTCCAGCCTTATTCTTTTTCACGCCGTTTGATAAACTTGTGATAATTCATTCCGATGACTTCCCTCACGTTCTTTCAGGACAACCAGTTGATGGGGTCCAGCTCCGTCGACGTGCGGGAACTACAGCACCCATGGCGTCAAAACCAGGTGATCGGCCTTACTTTTGCTGGTGGAATAGTACTTATTTGGAACTTTTCATCTATGTCAACCAGCAACTCTCCGAGCCTACGACAACAACGGGCTCGGGTCAATATACGCCAACTAAGACCTCCACAACACTCACATCCACAACTGCACTCCCCTCTCTAGACCTTCGCGGGCTTCGAACAACTTCTTTGGCGGCACCTGGTGGCCTACCAATGGAGTACCCTCGCATGATCAAATTGGAAGAAATAAGGTCTTCCACTGATGGAACTCCTCCATACTGCGAGCAGATGCAGGTGATGGATGATGGAACTATATCAGGCCCACTTGGGTCTCGAGTTCCTGTTGACGAAGCCGAAACAACACTATCCAGTTCGCGGAGTGATGGTAACAGCACCTTGAGTGCTCCGGGCGATGATGATGATTGTTTCTGTCAGTGGATCGTTGGTTAGCGCTTGCTAGAGATTGGAGGAAATTAAAGAGCAAAATAAGGCGTTTGGGTTCCGGGGATAATCCATCCATCCCCCTTTTGCTGGCATTTCACATATATTTGGTTTTTTTCTCAGGCATTGGCGTTGATATATGCTTAAGGTATATTTGGTCAAAGGGGTATATCTCTCTCTTTTTTTTTTATTTCTTCCTCTTAACATTTTCCGATATATCCTTCGTCATTGTTATTAGTGTGGTATTTCTTTTTAACCTTTGCTTATATATTTTCCGAGGATCATGTCGTGACGATTTATCGGAGATATGCTACCAACCCAAAATATCATCATCGTCCCCATTACTGCCACCTAACACCGCCATTTCTTCTGTTTTTATTTAACCCTTCTTTTTCCATCATACTACATATATACACATGGTCTTGAAATCTACCTATATAGGCCACTCGGGGAAATGAATGCCACCACATTGAATGCTTTGGTTGCCCGGAGCATCTGTTTGATAAATATGGGCACATACACATACACTCGCATATGACATGAGATAGCTATAACTATATCTTGCTGCTATATTCATCCCTTTTCTTTTCCTTCCACTGCAGAACGTGCATAGAAGTATCAGCACCGTCCATATATTTCTTTCCTCTTTCCAGTTGCTTTGTTGGTTGGTGACATAGTATAGTTTTCTCTCTCGGTATGCTCCATTATTGGGAGTAGTGCCAATCAGGATGGAGTGTCTATTCGGTTGAGTGAGTGGATAGATCATCAAAGGGGGTGAAACACAGGCGGCACAAAGTGTGTTTTTTTGTGGTGTTCCTTCAAAGTAACTAGGTATATCTGTTTGTCATGTAATTGATCTGAAGTAACTTAAAGTAACTAGTTAGTTACAAATTTCGTATGTTAGTTATCTAGCGAGGAGAAAATACTATACCTGATTGACATGGTGTGTCAATTGTGACGGATAGGATAAATGAGATGGCCTTGGTTGGTATTCAACACGTCTCATCATACATTCCATGAACTCCGCTCGCTCACACCACCCTATCAATCTTAAATAAACAAAAAGGGGGAAAAGAAAGAAAGAAAGAAAGAACGGGAAGCAGACTTTTCGAAGACAGACACTCCATCCCCTCCATCCTGTCTTTACTGGTAAAACTAACTAAATCGTGCCTTCGCTTATTCCCACACCGGGTGAGTTTTATCTGATATTACAGAGCTCGGAAGTTTAGGCACGGCACCTAGAGCTAGCCAGCCTTTTTACTTCTACTGTTGTTAAGACTGGGTTGTTGCTGAGAGATCACGGCAATGCAACAATGCAACAATGCACACGACCTCAGGCAAGGACCATCGCCATCGCCGGTGCATAAGGCGTGACTGACGACCCAAGGCAAACCGGTGGTGGCTCGATTTGGAATGCAGCGAGGCGGAAGGTAAACTACACTGTGTGTGGGGGTGAAGGTGTAGGGGACGATATCGAAGTGCTGTAGGAAAGTGTTTTGAGTTGGTCCAACAGATTGCGCTGGCGGTTGGCCACGCTGTGTATGTATGGATGTATACTAGTATTCACGCCATGCCTACACTTTTTCCAATGGTTGAATGGAGCGGACGATGATCTGTGTGGTTTTAACATTCCATGGGTTGGTACAGCGCGGCTCGGGACCGGTGGAAAGTGGCTGTTGTTGCTCCATGGCATTTTGATATGATTCGACAAATATTCCCTCTCGGGAAACGGTTGGGGCGGTTAGTTCTTCGATGTGTGCCGCCCTATCTCTGGCATGCTCTACTAGAACTAACACATTCGCTGTTACATGAGCAGAGATGGATTGTTTAGCAACGATTCTGCAATGTGTCACATTTTTTTATATCAGTGTACTTTAGGTCGTCCGTCCTCCTAAGTTGAAGTATTCAAGGAAACAAACAATCTAAATTTACCAACCTTTTTCAATTGAGTCGTTCTCCACATATAGTTACGATTCGAGGCAAGCGGTAGAGCATTTCTGACAACTGTTTCGTCAACCTCCCTCCCTAATGCGTATTCATTCCCGTCCCTCTGGCGGACGCGGTTTTTTTTCCCTGGCAGTCAGCATAAATCAACAAACGATGGAAAATAACAAACTTGCCACAAGGGGCACTCCGCATATTTCCTCAATCCCTGCAATTTAGTTGCCAATTTTGCTCATCATACAGTTCAAGTTGATAGAAGCAAGCAACAGACACCAGACAGGCTTCAAAGTTGAATAAAGTTGAATAGAATACGCCCACGATCTAAGTTGCTGTTTCCCAACCACAATCACCCCCCAGGGAAGATGCCAAACAATCATGGAATTCACGCTTAAGGAGACTGCGGAATTTATCACAGCATCACAACATCTCTATTCATCAATAAAGGAGAAGTATTTGCTCTAGGTACGATGTCGTTATAGCCCTCTCTTCCCTAACCTGTTGACCACTGTTGACTGTTTGAAAGCATAAAGAAAATGGAAAGTGATATATTGCTACGAGCAAGAAGACGTTCCACCAACCATGCTAGGATTTCACATCTCGAGCGCAAGTGCCTGCTAGTGACGTCATCGTTGTGTTTCTTATCTTAGGTTTGTTTTTTGTGGATCAGCCCGGTAAAGCTTGTGGTAGCTCGCGGTTTCATAGGTCCAATAGGCCCCTTCGTTTCCCTACAAACTCCTATTTTGAATGGAGGCAATCGGGTAGCTTATTTAGGTCCCTAGGTATTTCAACAGCATGTGACAAAAGTCCCTGGCTCCAACACAGTTGTTTTGTTACTTGGTAGTATGTAAAAGTATACTCTGTTTTCTTGTCTGGGCCGTGTGGCGTCTGATGCTGGAACCCCCATATCTGCTTAAATACTCGTTGCTTCAGCATAATATGGGGGCGAAATCTATTATCGCTTTTTGCTATCACTAGCCAACGATTCCTCGATCTCAATATCCATAACTGACACACTGACGTCACTTCTAACACACCTGTTTTAGGGACAGGGGCGAAGGTAGGAAGAAAAGCAAATATCTATCGAGTGGGGAAATATCTTCAGAATTACACTCCGCTTTTAACACCCCACCGCTCCGGGAACAGGGAAGGAGGTTCGCATAATCCAGAGGCGATTCTTGCTGAAGACACTACGTCACCGCTGGAAACTAGGCCAGCCCATAGTAGGTAAATATTTGACCTCATGGGTGTTGTTGATGTTAAAAACGCCAGGAGCAAGTTTGTAAGATATGGAAATATACCCGTCTGATTATTTCGTTTCTTGTCTTTTTGGTAAACTCAAGTAGAGGGAACGGCATATAAACACCTTCAGTGCGGAAGTTCATGCTAGCATCTTTTATTGGACCAAAACGTGGATAAGAAGGCGTCGGAAATTCAAGAGCATAAGTGGAGGAACGAAAACGAAAGACGAGGAGAAAGACGTCATATCGGAATGCATCGCCTATCACGGAGAGTCGTTCCGCAGCTAAGGTTGCAAGCACAAGCTTACTGCTCGCAGTCGCGCTTGCCAGCTAAGGCATTATATCAACCTGGAAAGGGACGAAGGAAATATTCCAATTCCGAAGCATCGCCTGGACCAAATAAAGAGAAAGGGAGGAAGGGCGCCGCATATGGCAGTGGGAATGGTGACGGTGACTACTTCTGCCCCATCCCCTTTTCTCGCATCTTCGAGCCTTAATAAAGAGTGTTGGTTAATTAACCTGATCCACATGGCCGTAGAAAACGAACATTACTCTCGAAAACACCAACCGTCCCCAGAGAGTTCCGAACGGGATTCCTTCTCAGAAGAGTTCGAGCACCGAATTCCATCCAACAAGGCTCATCCTACGCTCAGTGACGAATATCAGCACAGCGGCGCCGATCCGCAGCACCCTAAGCGTCCTTCGAAGGAGGAACTAGGTCCTGAGGAACGAAAAAAACAGGACAAGGCCGAGGAGGATGTGAAAAAGCATAATGAGGATATGAAAAAGAGATATGATAGGGCATATGTTCAACTCGGTAATCACGGCGAGTTTAGATCATTGGAGGAAGAGGTTGAGGAGTTTAGGAATCGGGTGAACTAAGTTGGTAAAGATATTGGCGCATGCTACTATTTTTCGCCCGTTGGAGTTGGATTCTCATATTGTATGAAATTAGCGGACTTTCAATTCGGTGGGTATTCTCTGGGCAGTCTCCACATGCTATTCTTCGGCGTTCCTTACCGCGAATCGTTGGTTCATTGAATAACTGACCAAAATTGTCAATGGGTAGAAGCGGTATTGAGCCCAGAGAAGAATGAATAAGGCATATATTTATACTTTGGATAAAATCGGACTTTAGGGGCATTGGATCGTTCCAGTGACGTGATGAAAAGCGGCGGGGAGATAGCAAAGAGGCTCCATTGCAGAGCAATGAAGAATTGTCTACACAGAAGGTATTATATTGAGTGTTTAAATCCGACAGGTATAAATATATAATAAATAACCGAACATCCATGTAAAATTACCCAGTGCTCTGAAGCAACGGTGTTTCTTCTGAAGGATGGTTCTCCTCGTTGCCGCGATGAGCCACGACCCCGTTGGTGCCATCGTCCGTTCCCGAAGTATCCGTGGGGCTTACGTCAGTTTCTGCTTTCGATGGATTGATATATTCGAAATAGATCCCCATAATGAGCAGGGTTCCTTGGAGTAGGGCTGTGACCACATAAACCCCCCATGTGCTCCAGCCCTCCGTACCTAGACGTGCTGCTAGACTAGCAGCCCATACTAGGCTGCCTGGTGTTTGGATGCACATCATCGGAATACTCAGGCTGCCAACCCGGCGTAGGCGGAAGGTTGTATAGATCTGAGGGAAGTATTGGATGGATGATAGAATGGCCGCGAAGATGCCGAAAAGGTTTGCGTAAAATTGACGCTTGTTTGGATATGCAACGACAATAACGATGGCAACGATGGCGGTCGCTATTGTCTGAAGAATACATATTCCAGCGATTAAGATGGCAATTCTGAAGGAGTGTGTCCCGGACGAGGATTGCTTAACAATGGAAGGGGTCGAGCGGGGATAGAAGATGACAAAAAGGAAAAGGCTGAATTATTAAGTCATGTTAGTATTTTCCAGTAAATTCATATCTTATGCCCATATTTAGATGGAAGGAATATGTAGGGGAAGATATTGCTCATCTCACATGATCGCAAAACAGAGTGCCTGCACGCCGACCTGGAATATGCCTAACAGCCCAGCAAAGCAGGAGAACCCATCAATCTCTTTGCAGCAAGCAATGTCTTCTCCACTTCTTGGGAGCACAAGGATGTTTGAAAAAGAAAAAGTCCCAGATGTAGTTCCTAGTAGAATAAAATATGGAGATATTCCGAAGGAAGACCGCCGGGATATAATTCTGTGATGTTGAGGAAGATACGAGAGAAGAATGCCAAACAAGATGCATCTATAATACCAAAGGTATATTAGTGAAAGCTCCTTGCAATCCACAATTCCAGTAGCTGATATTTACATTGAGAGAGCAAAATTCCACGGATTTGGTGACGCCAGGGCCTTGCAATGTGGGCCAATCGACTCTTCCATGATGGGCTTTCGCTGATGTTGGCGTCAGGTAATCGCAAGTCGGGTCATAGATATTAGTAAGGTAGGTCTCAACTGATATACGTAATCTGTGGTACGTATGCCTCTCGCATCATTGCGTTGTAGAAACCGAATAAGTATATTAAATGAAAGCTGTGAGATAGATAGGATGCCTAGAAGAGGTTGGTTTGAGGCTCCAAGTTTCCGCGGTGTCAGATGGGGCTTCTCGACATGCTGATTGGCTATAATCAAGCCTTGGCTTAGTTATTACTAACCGATTTTTGTACCGTTATCTTACCGAGGCATCGAGCTTGGATATCAATCAGCTCTTTATCAAAGCATAGATCGCTATTAGATTGCTCTAAAAACCCTTAGAGGTGGATGCGGCAAGCACGAAACGGCTATTTTCAAGGCCTTGGCTCATATCTTCACCTAAATTTCCAAGGAACGCATCCGCTGGCCAAAGCCAACGCAAAGTTTAACTCCGCCATACGTCACACCAGTGTCATCGGCATCCAAACACGTTCGACTTGCCCGCGAAGATGTTGCTGTATGCTTTTCGTTAACTCAACTCTACGCAAAAGGTCTTTTATAAGTTATAATTAACGTAAAGGGTCCTTACCTCCCTATCAAGCATTCGGATCAGGTGCCTACACCTTTCGTTCTTGATACATGCCATTGCTATCGGCGAATTACTGCACTTGTGCATAAAAAAGCCAAAATGAGACTCTCATGGGCTTTGGGCCTTGTGGTCACTATATTAACCGTGACGGAAACAGCGGGTTTGAGGAACTGGTTTAGTAAAGCTGGTATGTCTGTCTAACGACGATGCAGGCTGATGTTTGCCTTGCATCTGTTCTGCCTCATTTCTTCCCATACGTTTCTCTATCTGTTGTGGGTCTCTGTGAAGATACTCTGATGATGAGGAAGGCTAACTATGGAAATGCCACAGTATACAACAGATGGCACGAAACAGAGCTTGAACGTTGGCTTTCTGACCACGGCGAGTTCCTTCCATTATCTTGACAACGCCACAGCGACATAAACTGGAGCGTGGCTAACATTTATGTAGATATTCCATATCCTACCCCAGCGGATAGAAAAGATCTTGAGGAGCTCGTGAAAAATAATTGGGAGTCGCGCGTGCAAATTCCCATCCATCACACGGTAGAACATGTGGCTGACTATCTGGGCGATGCGAAGGAGTGGATTTTTGATACGTATGCGTTCCTCGAATTTACTAAGAAATTCATTTGACTGACTTTTTTTTTATAGCTGGAGTGATTCCCAATTGAAAACCTTCCTTGATAAACATGGAATTTCTAGCCCACAACCAAACAAGCGTGATAAACTATTGGCGGTAGTACGAGAAAACTACGAAGCCATTGCTCGAAAACTTGGACAAACCACATTCTACCCTGGGAATTGGCTTTATGAGCAATGGTCAGAATCCGATCTAAAGGAATACCTCGACAGTCATGGGTATCACGTACCGCAGCCAACAACTCGGGATAAACTGGTTGCTAGCGTACGGCGTAACGCTCGTCTTGCGAGTATAAAATCTCGCCAAGCCGCCGCTTCCGCATCTTCGTCAGCGGAGGCTGCTCAGAAATCGTTATCAGAGGCCTTGTTTAATGCCTGGTCAGAATCTGAATTCAAAGAGTTTTTCGATAAGCACGGAATCAAGGTCCCTCAGGGTTCGCGACGCAACGAGCTTATTGCCCTGGCACGAAAACATCGGGCTTCTTTGCTACAAAAGCCCACTGCATCAGTCACACATGCGTATGGTGCGGCAACTTCAAAAGCTGGAAACGAATTTGCTCGTGCGACGGAGGATGTACGACTCAGAGCGGCAGATATGTTCAATTCTGCCATTAGTCAATGGTCTGACTCACGCCTCAAGGCTTATTTGGATGCGCGTGGTGTTCAGGTGCCGCAGGGAACGAAACGAGATGAACTCCTTGCCAAAGTGCGCCTCCACAGGCGCAAAGCAATGACTGGATTCTCTGCTTGGACATTTGATACCTGGACCAAGGAAAATTTAGGGTATGACAAAAATCACACCTTTATCAGTTTTTGCGGACTGCATGTTAATACTGTGGAATATAGGAAATATATGTCTTCCCAGCATCAGAAGATGATGGAAAACGTTGAATATACCCGCGATGAACTCCTGAGAAAGGCAAAATCCGCATACAACCAAGTTTCTAATGCCGGTGGAGAAGATTTCGCTGCCGTCACGAACTATTTGGCGCAGCAAGTTAGCTCAACCAAGGACGCTGCATTCGACACCTGGTCCCGGGTTGATCTGGAAAAGTACATTGATTCATACGGTCTTAAAGGACATAAGACCTGGGATATTAACAAATTGCGTGAGGAAGCTAGGCGGAATGCTAATTTCTTCCGCTACGGAGAACTCGCGCAGGAGGCCACGCTTGTCTCTCGGTTGGAGGGTGGCATTCAGTGGGTCTTGGACCAGCTGAAAATCGGGATGTTGAGTGGCAGGAGGGAGGGGGAAAGAGTAGCTGATAATATCAAGGAAACAGTTTCACATGGTACACAACGTATGGCCGACGAACTCTAAAGAGAACACTTGGAGCTCATCTTTCTTAACTTCTGCAACGGGTCAAAAACATGGGTAGGTGCTCTGCGAGAGTATGAAATTGTGTTGTCTTAAAAAATTAATGTACACGCTGCATTTTTTTTTTTTTTTTCGGTGTCCATTTTGCTCTTTCTTACCCTCCAATTTTGTCAAAATGTTTGTTCTTCATGCTCTTCAGTTTGCTGTTTATTCTTCTATTAATTTTGATGGCATGACATGATTGATTAAACTGTAATGATGGCAGTTATATGAACATAGTTCAATCTGATAATGAGAAACGAGATCAAAAAAGAGGGAACCTTTTTTTAAGGTACAGAAAGCGACATCCTTTTTCCTACTCCTTGCGCTTTCCTTGACGCTTACTTTATACCCGAATACATCCGGTAATTCTTGCTTGGGGCATACTATTTCCAAGAAGCAGATTGTATGCTTTGTAGGAGGTGGATGTCTATCGAACTAGTGGAAACTAATATAAGTGTGGGTCACGTGCACATCCGACAAACAATGCATCCGCCCGGCGCATTGGCCAAAGAGCAGCGAAAGAAATCTCCGGCAACAAACAGTAAATGTCAATTAGAACTTAAAATTACATTCTCACTCCCTGTAATTTTTTGCTCAATTTGTATAGACGTACGGGGTTTCGAGTCCGGGTTCAAGGATATACCCCCTCAGTACAACTCCAGCGTGTACCTGACTCATACTATGCAGGTATGAGACATGTAAGCCTATCAAGAATTTCCTCTCCTACCTTGACTATTTCTTTCGAATGATGGACATATGTGATGCTTATTAGAACGTACTCAAAATTGGAGGGCCCCCTACACCACCCTCGCCGCCCTCCTCCGTAGATGAAAGTCCTTAGATAATCCTCGAGCGTCGTCAACTGACGAATACCGGTAATCAGTGACAGCCAATTTTGTACATCCACAAGAAAAAACTATTATATCAGTCGTTTGCAAGAAAGATCCATTTCCACTACCTCGTCACTCATCATTCCACCCACCGGAGATTATATATATATATAAACGTCATCAATCGGACTTGGGCGCCTCGGGATTCCCCTCCGCAACCAACTTGCCAACAACGAGGTACTTCTCCAGAAAGCGCTCCTCCCAGCCGCGTAAATTATCCATTTGATCGGCATCCAGCCCACTCAGATCATCCAGCGGACCTTTGAGATCCTTTGTTAGCATTTCCTCGTCAAAGCTCTGGCAGGCTAACCCGCGAGTCGCATCTCTGCCCGCAAAATTTTCATAGGGGCCACCCTATACATAACGTGCGACGGAGTGGTTAGTTTTGAGTTCTCTTTATGTATGTAAATTAGCCCACGCGCTTACTGGGCCGTAGAAATTGCGTCCGGAAGAGACGTCAAAGACTCGTCCGCGGACTGCTAGGTAGACTGGGGAACCATCTTTGCCGTTGAATGGGAGAAGAGTTGTTGGGGTGAAGGTGCGGAAGACGATGGGCGGCGGTCCTTTCGGAAGGACGACGCGCTCTCGGGGTCGAAAGTGGAAATAGAGGAGGACGACAAAGAGGGACGCGAGGACAAGATTTATCGGGGTGGCGATGGAGGCTCTATTTTGTTACTGTTTAGTTTCAATTTCAGTGCTGTTACATGTGTTGTACGTTTGTTTGTTCCGGCCGGATAGTGGTCATTCATTGTATGGACGGGAACTTACACCTCAGCAGCGGGCGGAGTGGGATCTTCCAGTGGGGGAACGACAGTGTTAGCAAGTTGGAACCAATACTACTGGCAGGATATGGTACCTACCTGTTGCCATTCTCCAGTACTTACTCAGGTTCTGAGCTTCGAGAGCTAACTGCAAATCGGAAGTTTGATTGTTGGTGGATGTTGGAGAGGAACCTTGGAACTGAGGCTGTGAACAAGTCCGCTGCGATTCGGCTCTGGAACCACTGGATTCTTATCACGTGATATACTCTGAAACGGGGTTGCTGGAAGCTTTGGAAGCTTTGGAAGCCAGGACTTCAGGATGGAGCCAAGTGGTGGAGCAACAAGAAAATGAAGAGCTGAATATCGTCCACCTGTACCATGGAAACCATCACACCCTCTGAACAAATAATTTTACACAGAGCTGTGATCCGCTCCATCTTGAGAGCCAGTGACTCCAGTGTTCGGTGGACAAATTGAGTTAATTTTAGCGCAACCCACAGGCTGAAACAATGTAAATGGCTGTTTGGCGTAGGCTGCTGCTTAGGCATTTTTCCGGCGTGTTGGTGGGCCAAGCCTGTGGGGTTAGTCTATGCGCATAACCCTCACTCGCGGGCCATTTTGCCTCCAAATTAAAGGATTCTGTTGCCTAGGGCTTGGAGCCATTGCTTCACAGGACGCGGGAGAACCCCTTACGGGGGGGGGGGGGGGGGTTGTTATATACCCGTGGACGTGCGCCCGCAACCGGCGATTGAATTGATGATACATATGAGTTTCGCATGGCCCCCTGAAACACCACAGTTTGTCTTTACCAAGGGTTCTAACAAATCTTTCAGGGGAAGGGAGAGTTAATTTTTGTTTGAACCAGCGATGTGGAAGAAGAACCTTAGATCTAGAGGCCCCGTGATTGGCAATCCAGTGCTCCTGACGACGACTTTCGACAATGCGACGCTGGAGAACATGACGACTGTCACTACTCCTACTAATAATAATCAGAACTACAACAACCACAACCATCATGACAACGACCGGCATAGTCCATCTATGTGAGCTATCTCGGTTTTCATAACTCTCTCTCTCTCTTCTTCTCAGTCTTATACATCGACGTCAAGCACGGGGAAGGGTAGTGAAACTAATATCTTGTTTGAACCTGGAAGTAAGCCGACAGAGCCGGATTTGCGCAGACCCAATCCCCCTTTCCGACCGCCAGTCGCATCATCTATATATTCAAAGCGGGATTCCTACGCTGCAGGCAACATGGCGTTAGCCGATCATGACGTGCATCCATCGAGAAGGAACCCCAGGCCCTATCAGTCGGAGTTCCGTGACAGCCAATACACCGATATATCGCCTCCAGATTCTCCTGTTTTTGCTCCCACCGGCCATCGTGAAAGCCCCGATGTATCTCCCATTGACAATAACCCGCCACAGTTCCCACCTCCCAGACCACCTCTCAGGGAACCCCTTAGGGAAGGCCGGCTCCCGAGTGCTGTGCCCGTACCGTCCAAAAATGTCACTCGCAAACCCAATGCAGCACCCACGCCAGCACCACCTCAATCATATGCATCATCTTCTCCGGCATCTCCAAATCAGGAATCGAAACGGCTCACAAGGTGGGATGATTTTTCTGGGGAACCCACTCACGACGAGAAGGGCAAAATAGCTCAAGCCACTCCCGGAAGCGTTGTTCCTCCGGAGAACCCGCCGACCAAACAGTCATCTAAGCAGGGGTTTAATTTCATAGCCAAAGGGAAAGAGTTGAATCAGGCAAGAAGAAAATTTATGGATGGCCGGCGCCATACTGATAAGAACGATAAAGATGATCCGGCCCTTTCACCCAGCTCCCAAGAGCCATGGAAAGGTGCAAGTGGGCGAGCAGCCATTGTTAAACCCATAGAAACGAAGGAAACTCCTCGACCGCGACCGCCGCAGACTATTCAAACCCAACCCCGAAAAGTCAGTGCCCCAGGAATAGAACGCAAATCACTCCCTCGCAATAATGCCGCTAGCGGACTTCCACCCCTTACGATATCTAAATCGAAAGCCGTAGGCAGTGCACCTGATGATCCAACCATCAAACCTATTGTGCCATTAAAAGCAGGTAATAACACACCGACATCCGCCAAAAGCCCTTCGACTCCTACTTCACGGTCGATAAGCAACGGGACTCCAGCGCGATCCGAAACTCCCCGGCCGACGGAGCATGGACCTCCCGACCCGGATCTTACTACCGGGCTCCAAAACGTAAATTTAGAAGAACAGCCATCGAGCCGTTTCAGCACGACTACATATGCAACGACCGAAGCTCCAAGCAGCCCTCCTGGAACACCACGTGCTCGAATGGCCGAGAAAGATGCCCCTCCCCTCCCTGCAATTCATGCAGAAAGGACAGAAACTATATCATCGCGGACCTTTGTCAGAGCCACTAAGCGCAAACCAACACCATCAGAAATTACATCGTCATCTGCAAAGACATTACCCCGCAGCCCTCCTGAGCTGGAAGCCGAAAACCGCATCGAGGCGATGGAAGCTCGGCTCAAAGATCTCGCCCAGCGCAGAGGTAATATCGATACGATCCTCCATGAGTTGACGCAGGTAATACAGCCCAGTTCCATCGCCTATGATCTCGCGACGAGGAGCGAGGTCAAGAAGTCGGTCAACAGCTTGAACAACGAACTTATGGAGATTAGGAAGGAGGAACATGATGTGGGAATGAAGTTGATGAGGGCGAGGAAGAAGCAGGATCAGGGAGATTACTATCAAGGGTCCAGCATTTGGGTTAAGAGGGTTACTGAGGATTACTGAGGAAATTTTTTTATTATCTGGCAGTTCTTTCTTTCTCACCATATTTTCATTACTACATTTGTCCCTGCTTCAATCTCCGTTTAAGCAGCCCTAGTTCCCTCTCAACCCCTGCCACATTTTTGCTTTTTTGGTTCTCTTTTTCCTGTATTTTATTTCCTTTATTTATTTAAAAAAAATTTTTTTTTTCATGACGGGGCCAGAGGACACATCTTTTCTCAAAATCCGGCTTTCCTTTATGGTCGCCTTTTCCTCATAAGTCACGAGCACGAGCTCCCGACGCTCTCAGTTAGCTTTCTTCGTACATGTTGCAGTTAGATGACAAGAATAAAAGGGAAAGGGGGAGATCAACACCCGATGTGCTTTTCTATTTTTTTTCTTTTCTTATCAATATGATTCTCTAGACGTGATGTGGACGTCCCGGACATGAGACATTCAAAATTTAGAAACAACAAAAATATATATCTCATTTTGCAAAAGAAACCCTGCCATCAGCATCGAAAGCCGGTGTTGAACGCGGGTGGGTATCTCGCAAGAACATAGAGAACGCCATGTTGTTATCCATCACTCCATATCTCGGACTGCTTCGTTTATTCGTGAATGTAGGTTTTTCGCATACACAGCAAAGGCTAACGCTCATCCCTCATATACCCCCTCCCGGTTTGGTCGAATCGAACTGGTCGTTGGTTGCTAATGGATTGCAAGTGTACATAGGAAATAGCGTGTATTTATGCTGGTTGCTCCCTCGTGTTCTATTTCTTCCCAGATTTCTTGATTCCCTGTTGTCCCGAGTTCATCGGGCCTCTGCCCTTTGCCTTTTCCGCCAGCTCCTTCTTGGCTTTGGCGTCTAGATGGAATGAAGTTAGTGATCGTGGGTTTGCACGAGCATGCGGCACATGGAAGTGTCAGAGAGCCATGGTAATGAATAGCGAAAATTGGACTGAGTGTCATACCAGCTTTCTGCTTCTCTCTGAACGCAATTTCATCCTCATCGAGTTCCTTCTTCTCCTTCTTGGGAGCCTTGAGCGGTTTCGCTTTTCCGCCTAGAGCAGGGTTAAAATATTGATAATGCCAGTGGGGGAGCAGAGTGAGGTGCCAGTCAGCCCTCACCTTCTCGTCCTTGTCCACCCATTTTCGCCAAGTACTGTGGATGGAACTGAGTGTATTTCTGGGAATAGGGGATGCGTTGGTTAGCAACGCGAAGCAGGTATTTTCTTCTCGTCAAACGACCTTTTGCATACGAGCTTTAAGGCTTGTATTGTCGGTGGAAGTGTTCTTCGTTGCAAAGTGGCGGGAAGACACTAGCGCCTAAAATGGTTAGTCCAGCCTTGTTTCGCCGCTTTCGACTTCAACGTCTTCTCTCAAGTGATGTGAAAATACAGCTTTTGCTCTCGTCACAACACCGTCAATTATCTCCAAGCTCTCTTATAGAAGAGTACTTCTTCCCTTTTCACCTCCTTTGAACTATCGAATGTGTTTCATCTAGTGGTGCGCCGCATGTTGTGGGGACATATTTAGTCGGGTTGGACGTTTCACCATCACCCAGAGCCCATTATTTGAACCATCCGAGAACAGAACTATTGCTAACTGAAGATATCACAACTCCGCAAGCCCAATCCCCCGACGTTTGGCCGAAAATTACTCGCAGAAAGGGAAATACCCACTGGCCTGCAAAAGGACTGTTCTTTTCTTTTTTCAAAAGATAAGATCAATCATCGCCGGGATGGCATCACGACGGTCGAGGTCTCCATCGACCCCATCTGAGGGTGAGATCATCGAGTCAGGCTCAGATACGAAGGCAACTACGTCACAGGCTTCTGTTAATGGCATCAACGTTGACCGTAATACCAGAATCGATATCTCTGCCCCAAGATCCCCCCCTTCTCTTTCCAGACCGTTCTATCGTGAGAGATCGAGATCGAGAACAAGATCCCGTTCCCCATATCGTGGATTCAAAGCCGACAAACGAAGACGCGATGTCGATTACGACTATGAAAGGGGCGGCCGAACGAACCCGTCAAGCCGTTTGACTTCTAGATACGATGATAGATCTCAAAGCGGATACAATTCAAGACGGCGTAGGAGAGGGTATTACGATCATGATCGAGACGACGGTAATTACGATTCTAGGAAACGACCTAGGACCCAAAGCAGGTCTCCGTTCCGCGATGTTAGAGGTTCGAAACAATATTCAGGTGATGAGCGAGATGACAGTGACAGACCATCCAAAACCCGTGACCTGAGTGGTAAACCCTGCGTGGGTGGTAGGAGGACGTCTACTGAACAGTTAGTGAGCGACAGGGGGAAGAACCCAGGTGACGCTCGAAAAGAGAGACAACAGGCTGAATCTCGAGAAAATCAGATGCAACAGTCTTCATCCACCGTCGCCGCATCGGATAAGTATGTTCTCCCTCCGCCCGAATCTGGAATCACTCCTAACAGTCCTCCTAGTACTCCTGCTTCACGCAATGGTGACGATGACTATGTCAACGGGCTGCCCCCAGAGCCGGTTGATGAAGCCACCCTGATTGAACAACGCCGAAAGCGCCGTGAAGCCATCAAAGCTAAGTATCGTGATCAGTCTACACCTCTCCTCGTAAAGGTCCTGCAAGCTGGGAATGAGACAGAATCCACAGTACAGAATCCAGGTCAATCTATGGCTCAGAATGAAACACCGGCAGGTCAGTTACATGTCTTCTTTAATAGTGTTATAAACGAGGCTAATTTGAGTATAGATTCGCATCTAAATACCCCTTTAGAAACACCCGAGGATACGTCAGGCGCGCCATCGCCAACTGAGCTAAGGGTCTCGCGAGATGAGGACCTTGCTAATGCCAACGTTTTGACTACCAACGGCGTCGACAAGGACGAATCGTCTTCTGCGGACTATGATCCAACTCAAGATATGAGGGAGGATAAGATGCGTCACGACAAAAGACATTTTGGTGAAGAGGTATCTTCTGGTACTTACGATGAAACTAAAACAGCAAAGCAAGATGTGCTCGTTCCCAACCCAACCACGGAGAACCCGGCCCAAATTAAAGCGACGAACCCTCTAGAGATAGACATGTTTGCCCCAGAAGATGATATGTTTGCTGAGGAGGCTCCCATTACCTCCAAAGCCCCTGAAGCTATTTCTAAGCCAAGTATACCGCAGAAACTCGATATGAGCATGATGGACAACTGGGATGACCCTGAAGGCTACTACAACGTCATGTTGGGGGAACTGGTGGATGGGCGGTATCATGTTCAGCAAAATTTAGGCAAGGGTATGTTTTCTTCTGTGGTTCGTGCTACGGATTCGAAAACAGGAAGGCTTGTTGCCATTAAAATCATTCGCAATAATGATACTATGAGAAAGGCCGGTATGAAGGAGATTGAGTTATTGGAACAGTTACTAGCGGCAGATCCAGATGACAAGAAACATATCATCCGATTCGAGAGGTATTTCGAACACAAATGCCACCTGTGCATAGTGTTCGAAAATCTCAGTATGAATCTCCGCGAAGTACTAAAAAAGTTTGGTCGTGATGTTGGCATTAATCTCAGAGCCATCCGTGCTTATGCCCACCAGATGTTCCTAGGCCTGAGCCTCCTCCGAAAATGCAATATCCTCCACGCAGATCTAAAACCCGACAATCTCCTCGTTAATGAAAACCGAAACCTTCTGAAGGTATGCGATTTGGGTTCGGCGTCGCCGGCCTCTGAGAACGAAATTACCCCATACCTTGTCAGCCGTTTTTATCGTGCTCCCGAAATCATCCTCGGAATTCCATATGATTATGCCATTGACATGTGGTCCATTGGATGTACGCTCTTTGAGCTGTATACTGGCAAAATTCTCTTCACAGGTCGCACTAACAATCAAATGCTCCGCTCTATAATGGAATGCAGGGGTAAATTCCCGCCCAAATTCCTCCGGCGAGGCACCCTTACTTATCTCCATTTTGACGACTTTTTAAACTTTCGCAGCACGGAAGAGGATAAGGTCACGGGCCGCATGGTGACAAAAATCGTGGATTTTAAGAAACCGACGAGGGATTTGAAAACGAGGTTGATGGGGAAGGGGTCGAAAGGGATGAGTGATTCGGAAACAAAGGAGCTCACGTTATTCATTGATCTGTTGGATCGGTGCTTAAGTATCAATCCAGAGAAGAGGTGTACGCCATCAGAAGCATTGAAGCATCCGTTCATCACTAGGGGTAAAATTTGAAATGGTCGGGCTAGGGGAAAATACTAGCAGGTCAATAGATGCAATCTAGACATAGCATGGTGTTGTAGGGCGGGCTTGTTGCCGGATTTCACTTTCTCCAAAATCGGTGGGTGACGGTGATGCTTTTGCCTCGTGATTTTTTTCCCCCGTATCATACTATATCGTTGTTTAAATTATTATCATCGTCATCATTATTATTATTTTAAATATAGCTACTCAGCAGCACTTAGCATTCGTAGATAGATAACAGAGTTCCAAAATGTATAAACAAATCAATTCGGAGGCTTTGTCCCTTCTGGTTCCTAAGTTTCATATGATTGACCAACCGATTGATCAGTACATATTCTCAAATGGAAGCCAAGTTTGATCCTCTCTATTATCGCAGGATAACGCTATCAAATGCATGATTTTCCAGTAGCCATCTTGTCACCCCTCAACTAGTGACCCACGGTCTTCGACAGGGTACTTATCCAAACTCTCATACCATTGGATTACTGAGCCGACCAAGAAGGCCCATGAACCCCAGAATGTCGAGAGGCAGGCTTGATATTGCAAACCGGAGTTGTTATACGCAAGGAGGAAAATACCGGAGAGCTGTTTTGGATTCCAATCAAAAGTTGTTGTTAGTCATATGCACAGGAAGGAGCCATCCCAGCAGGAGGAGGGAAACAAACAGTGAATCCGAATGAACCTATGAGATTCCACAGGTTAATATGCCATCCTAGTGTTCGAAGGGCCGGTGTGTACCAGTTTTTCTGCGTTTCAAGCATGAATAGTGTCCTACGAAAATGTTAGGCATTGTGCTACTGAGGGAAAAGTCGATCCCTACCAAAGTATGGAGAGTGGGCATCAACTGCTAGATCGAAAACTTACGAGCTTATAATAAATCCAACTCCACCTATTATCTGAGGAGCCCGGTACACACCGTTGGCGAGGTTTTCGCTAAGATGGTTGTTAATCCCAGGCAAAGAGGTAAAACCAGCTATCCAAAATATGCTTGCCCCGATGAGTTGCATGGAGGAAGCTAGAAAGCCCAGCTCGTGAATATAATGAGTTCGAAGGTCCGTCAGAGTTGGCAACCATTTGAAACTCGGTGACCTAGGCATCCCCGCCCTCGGTGAGCCTACCTCACCAGACGAGTTGTTGGTAATCGGTGTTTCTAAGCCACCTCGGCCAACAAGGTTTCTTTGGTTTACATGATGGTGGGTGCAGCTCCTTGGATCGGGGTAGACTCGAAGCAAGGATTCACCTTTTTCGGATATGAAATGTTCGAGCGCCCATCCAAAACAGCCGGTGTCATGCACATTGATTGCTTCTAGTACGAGGAAGATGCTTCCCACTTCAAAAATTGTCGCCCCCACGAATGCTGATACCCCCCCGGCGATCAAAATTTCATGGGCGAATTCCGACTTCGGTTGAACGAGTGGTAGGAAAACGAAGAATGAGTTCATTACCCAGACAATGGAACCAAGAGTGAAAGAAATTGCTGTCAGATATGATATGTCCCAATATGGGTATTGTACTACCATGCGTTTGATGCCTCCCAGAGTTGCCCTAAAGGAGTTCACCCATTTGGATACAATATGTACACGTTTCCCGGGCTCAGTTGGACGTCCAACTATTAGTGAATGTCTTCCTTTTCTGTTATCTCGTGACCTCCATTCGTAGCTGATATCACCTTTCACTTTCCTTTCATGTCGCAGTTGACTTTTCGCGAGATGGATAATCTTAGCAGATGAATGCTCTCGAGCATGCACAAAAGAAAACGGTTTAGAGATAACGTGTGTAGGATTCAACCAAGATATTGGCCCCTTGATATGGGATAACTGCAGCCTCTCATCTTGAAACGGATGACCATCAGGGTTGATCGATTTGCTCCGACTCTGGGAATAGTCCATTGGGATTGTAGAGGGGCTTGTACGCCACCATTTAAATGCTACATATGCCCGTGCGAAAGCATATGAGCTTCAATGTTGAAAGAACTCAAGGAGCTAATTCTGAGGCAAATCTGATCTTCCGACCATGAATACTAGATTAGAATACTGTGTATATACAGACCGGTTAAGGGGTGGTTCGGTGACTTACTTGACCTAGCGGACAGGCAATCCGTACACAAGGTGCCCCCTTTATGCTCTGTTCTAGTAAAACAATGATGTGCGGCTCTATCGCGCATGTCGAATAAATGATGCCAAGACTCGATGTGGATGAGTTTACTACCCCAGAAGGGGGAAAGCGTTGAATTTAACATCCAGCCTATGCAGCATCGAGTTGCAGCGACTATGTTTCCCTCGAATATTTCAAGGAAGCATCAGCTCAAAAGGAACCCAATTGTCACTTATAGTGTTCTGTGCATGCTGATGTTGTGACACTCTTTATTTTGGAACCACCGGCTTTGCTGTCACTCGACTATGAGATGTGTAGTTTTACGCATTGGATACTTTATAACTACTTGTTAATCAACACGAAAATTCATTTGTCATGATATTCGCTCAAGGCTTCATGCTTGCAATCACCTGCGTAACCAAGATGCATTCTGCTCAACAAAGCGCCTCCCGAAGTGTCACCACAGCCACCATTAGATGTGACAGCATGCCAGAATCCAGCATCAACGATGACCCGAAAAGGTGCGCGTTGCCTTGGTTCACTATCAAAGGATCAAAAGGGACCAACAAGCTTGATTGAAATGTTCCTGATCGAACTTGCCTCTGTCCATGGAATCGGCGAGGCTTTCCCAAAAACAATGCTGTTCCTTTCCACAGGAATTATTTAGGGTTCAATGGCTCAAGCTTGCAAAAGTCAGTCATTGCACTGGACATTTCGGATATTTCTTTGTTCATTGAAAATGAAGCTGGAACTACCATACGCTTGGCCCTTCCTGGAGACTCGAGCGCCTGGACTGGAATCAAGGTGGACAAAAACTAAAATATTTTTCGTCCAATGGGAGATCATGTTGTCTTTTGAGTTCAATAGTGGAGCTCAAGACCATTTTCATCGAAACATATCCCAAGACGTGGTCGGCGCATGTTTGCTTCTAACTTCTCTTTAACGCCTTTCAAAATTCTGCGCCGCGAGAAGAGAAGTTGTTTTTATGGTAACCTTAAGGTCAATCGGCTCGTCCGGCGCCGATGAAAAGCGACTTTGGAAAATCTGAGATCGGCTTGTGGACAAAGGTCGAAAGCGTGGTTGGCAAAGTTTTGCCGGTGTTCTGTGATCAATCAAGTCTTCAAGCTTCCTTCGGTTGTCGGTCGAAAGTTGCTTTATTTGCCGTTCTCTCACACACAATGAATGGGCAACCTTTCCAACCCCTTGTGATTATGACGCATGGGATTCGCAATAATGAAGAGGATTTCCTAGCCCTTTGCGGAATGGGAAGTCCTCTCCTACCAACCTTTTTCCGTAGAATTCGTTTATTGTTCACGGATAAGATGCTGCTTATCCTACCATAAATAAAATCAAACAATGATTTCTTACGTTGAAGCAGAATGACAAGGAAGATATATCCATCGAGGTGAGGTTTGAGCACAATTACGGGCATCCTCCCTCGAATTCTCACCCACTTCATTAACCACAACGAACATATATCATCTAAATTTGGTGGTTTCAGCCAAGTTTAATGATAATTAATAAGTATTCTAACACGGTGCACTGACCTATGGTGCCAATCTTAGCCCCGAAACAGCGTTTCCCCTTAGCCCTCTTTCGTATTTTGGGGCTTGGAATTCGGGACATTGTTTCTTGATATTATTTTTGATGAAACACCACGATCATAAGAATATAGTTCAGCTGATCTTTTCTGGAATTTTCAAGAAGACTATTGACAGGCAAAATGTCTGTCCATTCCCCAAAACTTGGCTGAACAACGTCTTGAGGTTGCAAGATCGACTTCAGGTGCGGAGATATATCCTGTTTTCAGCCCTTCGCACCCAGCCCCCTGAGAATCCATAGCTCCTCTACGAACTGGGGTCCAAACGAAAATATCCCAAGTGGCCAAGCGCTTAAATCAAGGAGCTATTGAAGCGATATGTCGGAAGGAACAATACATTAGTTCTCGTGGATAACATATGGGATATGATTTGGGCCCCAATTTTCTAACTTGGGTGTAATCGCATCCATGCGCAGTACTTGGACATCTCTAGACACGATCTCGCTCAAAAGAAAGACGGGCTTAAAGTGAATTAGGGTTGGTCGTTGAAGAGGTAACAACTAAACATCGTATTTGCGCACCTTCTTTGCAGGGAAGGTTTTTGTTCCAACAAGGCCAGCAATGGCGGTTTTCATTTGACAGTATTTTAGTTATAATTAATAGCTTGGAGATGGTGTGAATGCACTTAGCAAAGTAGACCATCGGGGTCCGGAATCCCGTCAAAAGCTGCCACTCGCAAGGCGCCCGGGGATAGAAACCCTCTCATCGAAAAAGGTTGCTTACTGGCTGGTTGGTTGATGCTCTCGTCCCACATCCTGCGATGCATGTAGTACACAGCATGATATCAAAGGATGTTCGGTGAAATTGGATGATTCGGCCCCTCATTGGTAGATTCAAAGGGGATGCATTTATGCCTGCCCACTCATATCCTTCCACCTTTGCTGAATGCATGAGTGTATGCTCGTCAAACCCACACTCTTGTGGAAACCAACAAGTTGCTTCTCCTACTGGACTGTGCGAATAAGAAGACAGGGAGTGAAGAATTATCGACGATGACAAAACGCTGGCAAACCCACCAAGCAAGTCCCAGCCCGCCCATCCACAACACAGTTCTGGTTTGCCCAGCCTCACTTTGTTATGTCCAAACCATCTTGGACCAACGCGAGCCCGTCTCCAGTCTTATCAGCTGCTTGGCAGGTCAAGTATTTGCATGGTCGCAATGCTTTTCATGTACAGAGGTATTAGCCGTATCCGATTCATGATGCCTTGCCCGTCCACCAGACTTTTGATCAGCCTTGTTTCTTCGAGGGTCTCCCGTCTGTGGACCACATTACATTTTACAAATTAAAGCGCCATCCATCCTTCCCGTCTCTTATGGAATCGATGAAATTTGTTCTGATCATGATGATTTTAGAAACTAAGAAAATCAGCAGGGTGAGGCAGCTAATCATCATGTGACCATAGTGCTGAAATCCATGTTCGACGCACCTAGAGAGAATGCATGCAGTAAGCGCTGCCCCCGGCTGCTCTCGAAGCGTAAATTACTCTCTGCATGGTCCAGATCCTGGAGGATAAAACAGAAAACCAACAGCCAACCTCGCCAGTCATGATATCACAGAGGAGGGCTAAATTAGGTCGTCAAAAAATACCAATGACACGAGGCGATGAAAAACGCGTGGCAGGAGAATAATGTTTCGGAAAGCCCCAACATCTTTGAAGCGGCAAATAGGCCCAAGCCCCAACCATATGACGAACACTAACTAGTAGTATTGAACAGCCTTCGCCTGGGTGCCTGCGGCAACACAACCTTGGAAACAGGCCGGAGAGATGAATCATTGTCACGTGAGTTGGAGGTGGCAAAATATGCGCCTAACTCCCCTGATTCGCTGATATCCAAAGCGGTGTGAGAATGACGTAACCACCATTCTGGCTCCCTTTTCCAAACAGTGGCAGACCCGGATGAGGCTGAGATGAATATCGGAAGATCCGTGGCCCGACAAAGTGTTCAACTTTCGCCTCCACCAAGATATTTTCTTCCAGCAAGCTAAGGTACATGGACCTGGGAGCACTGGCTTCATTCGGCAATTTTGCCAAAATCTAAGTTTCAAGACATCAAATATGATAACAACCAGGCCAGCGGTGATTCAAGGAGAGACGGACTTCCCATGATGGGCCTGGAACGCACCCTGAATAATTTTCGCGCTGATGGAGAACGAAGCGGGTCTCCGTGTGGAGCGGTTGTCTGCCTGCAATTTTGATTGTGTGTCCCATCCTTGCATCCAGTCATCTAAAATTAAATTTTATTCAAAGGGAAAAACTCTCCAGTTCAACGTTGGAAACCCACGACTGACATGAACAGCCCGCTTGCTACTTTGGTGGCAAGTGAGGGGTAAAGTCGTCTGCCGCCCTTCAGCGCCTTCGCGGTATTTTTGGTGTGTCCCGAGAGGGGGACAGCCCCTAGATTAACCAGCGGTTTTCTCGGGCATAAAAACGCCCTAGGAGAGTTCAAGCGTTTTGTTGACCGTCAGGGATCGCCCTCAGTATTTTTCAGAACGCCCCTCTCGCCTGATCGTGCGATGGAACAATTCCCCCCAGCCTTGCGGCATGCTACTTGAGCCGTTGAACTAAGGGATGGTTGGGCAGGCATGTCGGTAATTCCACTCCCTCGATGGTGACCAAATACATCTTTTTGTTCTAAAATAGTTGATGGATGCCATCCAGCCATGCAAGCGTGCATACATTCGCATTAAGTTGTCAGCATCAAGTTATGCAAGTTATCCTCATGATACTGTCCATCATGGACATTCACACGAAATCGATTGAACAAACTTCGATGAAGTCATGCATTCCTCTGAGATAAGTTCTCAGAACAAAGATGGAATTCTCAACATCATGGAATAAGGAAACAACATCTCCTTTCTAGAAACTGCTCACAAGAGAGATGGAGACATCAACCTTGCTAACTGTCTTCCCGCCCCCATCGATGCTCTCTCCAGTTAAAACAGTCATTTTCAAAGCCGACTTTCAGAACACCCAACTCCTTAACTTCACCTCCATATCACCTCACAAGATTCGTCTGGAGGGAGAAAAAGGACCAGAGTCCCCTTACTACAGAGAATAACAGTTGTGCAAAAGAGAAAGCAGCATGCCCATTGTATCAACAGATTGATGAGTTAGCTGTTTGAAAGGCCCATCGCAGCTAACCCTACACAGTAAAGGCCACCTCTGAAGTCTGTTATGAATGGAGGCGATCCCAGCAAGAATAATTATTGTACGGATCCATGACCGCGATGGGAGCAGATCAAGCGACCAAAATATGCAGTGATTCTTGGGAAGTTGCTCAAGGCTCCCGAATTTGGGACTACCAGCACCCGAAGATTCACCAGCAGGCACAAGTGCAATATCAATATTTAGCTCTGGAAATAATACGCATATGGAATAATGCCACTCATTTGTAGGCACGGTCACGAGGCTTGAAGGCGCGAATCCTCTGCAGCAAGCTCCGCAGCCAGCCGATAAGAATGGCAAACACGAGCCACCCATTATGATTTTCACTTCATCCTGCAGCAACTGCATAAGACTGTGCTTTGACACCACTTATGCAACCTGTTTTGCCAGCAGGGCGGCGGACGATGACAAGGGGCTGTGTAGTTAGCCTGTGCTGGAAACTACGCTCGAGAAAGGGCATAGAGCATGGCATCACGCCACGTATTGGAGCATTCGAGGCAAATGAATGGCCCGAGGGCGCCTTCGACTCGATGCTCTCGACCGCTGCTCAAGAATAGGGTCATTGATAGCCCATCGCCACGGCTGCGCTAGCCCCAAAAAGCGAAACGCTTGCATTGCTCATCATTTCGCATTGTCAATCTTTGCATATGACGCTTGGCCCAAAATGCATCCATGACAATCTCGTCCCTCCCTTCGCTGAGGGCGCCAGACTCCTAAGACTGTTCCTCCCCTTTATCTTCTCTGGTATGACTTTGATTTGGTTAGTTGTAAATACTACAAGAAGAATAATAAAAAATTAAACTTCAAGAAAACTGGCCGACACAACCTTCGCTCCATTTTGCTTTTTGAAAAGGCATGTCATGTTAAAACGCCTACTTTAGCCTTGATTTCGTTGGCTTCATGGGTCAGAACTCAGCATGGATCATCCATCCAGCTTCAGTCAGAAATTAAGTGGGCTTATTTTTTTATTTTATTTTTATTTTATTTTTTTGGTTCGCTGGGTGTGCGCTAACCGTTAGGACGAGCTCCTTTTGGCGCTACTAGGCACAACTTCCATGCGAAAGTATGGGTCAAGGCCTCAAGGATGAAGCTAGTTCCGTTTCCAAGCCTCTTTCTTGCAGCTCATGCTGGTTATTTGCCCCGTACCAGAGTTAGCCCCATAATCGATACGTGGGTCTGGGATAACTTTTAGGCTGGGTTACTGCTGGGACTTCCCGCAACTGCCGACTTCTGATTTGATTCGTGCGAATGGAACAGCCAATGGTGCACCAGGGACTCCAAGGCGACTCTCGACGCTCGCACAATGTTCCATGGGCCGACCAAGGAGTGGCACCCTTGCATTCTCCTTGCACCCTGATTCGCTTTGCTCTGATGAACGAGAGTTTGAGTGCATGGGCCGTGTCATTGTGGATATGGTTGAATTATCTTTGAATCGTGATGGGCCCAGGCTAAACCGGATGCGAAGCTTGAACTCGCATCATACCACCGTTGTCGCCTTCCATCGTCAACGAAGCTTCGATCGTTATCAACCTTTTACTTATCCTCAAAGTTCGCTCCTTTTTTCCCGTCCCCTTCTTCCATATCACCAGCCTTCGCTCTCCTTCCTTTCCTCTACTTAATCTTCGACTTCATACTTACTTACAACCTCTCTCCATTTAATTATCCTCGTCCTCTCCCTACTCGAAAACTCCTTTTCATCCTCGTTGTTTTGGTTGCGCATATCTTTTAGCTGGGCAACATTGCCCGAATCATTCCTTTGAAATATCCTTTGGACTACGGCGATTTCGTTTCATACTATATATTAAGGATCAGGATCCCCAATTACCCTTTGGACTCCGGATTTCACTTGTCCTGGGAAATTGACGTTGCAATACCGTTTGTTTGCTGCACACCTCGAAACCCCAACTTCGGGAGGTATAAATGTACCCCACAATGTTACCTACACCACCACAATCGCCTCCACCCGTTACAACATGCGATGTCCCAGAGGATAGGCTCGGTTTGCTACTCGCCAACCGGCTAGAACTTACAAGCGTTCTTGGGGTAGGTGCGTATGGTGTTGTGTATTCCGCTATCGACATCCATACCCATGTGCCGTACGCGGTTAAAGCCCTCAACAAAGCAGGTCTGGACTCTAGACAACGGAAATTTCAGCAGCGGGAAATCAAGCTCCATCATTTGGCCAGTCAACATCCCAATGTGGTTTCTTTGGTCCGCATAATGGATTCTCTTGATTGTACTTTTGTTGTTATTGAGTTTTGCCCGGAGGGCGATCTTTTCTCCAACATTACTGACAAAGGCCAGTTTGTTGGAAACGATTTCCTTGCCAAACGTGCTTTTCTCCAGATTTTGGATGCTGTGCAGTACTGTCACTCCATTGGAATCTACCACCGGGACCTTAAACCAGAGAATATTTTGGTCACAGATCATGGAATGACGGTAAAGCTGGCCGACTTCGGCCTTGCTACAACCGATTACTATACATCGGACTTCGGATGTGGTTCAACGTTCTATATGTCACCAGGTAATTTTTAGCACTCATTACTTTTTGATATTTTCCCCTATCTCGATACGAACGCTACTTTCTATCTTTCACTTGATCTGACGGTGACGCAGAATGCCAGCAATCTACTCCACGGCCATATGCTTCTGCACCCAATGACGTATGGAGCCTTGGAGTCATCTTGGTTAATTTATCTTGTGGGCGGAACCCTTGGAAAAGAGCTTCAACCGAAGATTCTACTTTCCGTGCCTTTCTTAAGGACCCACAATTTCTGAGGACGATTTTACCTCTGTCACCCGAACTCAACTCTATTCTAAGGCGTATTTTTGAATGCGATCCCCAAAAGCGAGTTTCCATATCGGAGCTGCGCAAATTGATTGTTGAGTGTCCAAGATTCACTCTTCGGTCTGGATCCCCTTTGTCCATGGCACCAACACCACCTTGCCAGAGTTATCAATACCAAAAGGATTCCTATAGTCCTGCCAATTTTGTTCCTTATCCGGTCTCTCTTCCAGCAGAGCCTATCGAAACCGAATATTCGATGTCAGCTGTTTCTGATACTTCTCTCTCCGACGACGACGGCTCCTCCATATCGTCATCTTCATCGTCTTCATCTGAGTATGCACCTTACAGCCAAGCACCCAGCCAATTCAGATATGTGCCTCCAATGGTTCCCAACTTCTGGGGATCTTTCATTCCTTTCACCGACATTGCTGAGAAGAATCTTGGACGACAACATCCTGTGGAACCCGTCATTGCCGTATATTGAGGCAGGATCTACAATTTCTTGACCTTTTTTTTTTCATTCCATTCGCTTTGGACATTTACAACTTATTTAAATTTTTTAATACAAGATAACGGAACGAATCTCATGTAACGACGAAAAATCCCCACAAGTGCAGGATTTCATACCTTTTGGAACAACCCTTGGGAATTTTTTACCCTACTACGTTTCGTATGCCGCAGGAACCGACAACTGCTACGGGACTTTGTCCACTGGACACCTGATGGACATGCGGATTTCCTCTATTTTCCGTGGAATGTCAATTATTATCTGAATTGGAATCCCTCTTGGAGTACCTTCTTTTGGAAACTGTTTCTATTTTTTACTTTGCATCCGTCTACATGCTTCGCTCTTTTTTTTCCCTCAAGTCTTTGTTGCCCGGATTTGTCCTTCGATTGTTTACTCGGAAGCAATTTTTCTTCTACGCCCTGTAATAACATACCCTTCGCTTGTTTGCGCATAGCAGAGCTGTACAAAGTTTGGTGAGATGTTGTCTTGTCTACCGGGAAGCGAAATACTCTATTTTGGCGTTGGATTCGCGCACCGCAACAAAACAAAAATACGGACAGGGCATCCTTCAGGAGTTTTATATTCTACTGGCACGGCTATATAGAGGAGTTTTATTTTTATTTTTTCTCTCTTCGTTTTTCGTTCTTCGCTTTGGTGGCTCCTATCTTTTGGCATATATTTACGGCGTTGTTTGGTGTTTCTTGTTCGAACCTGAGGTGGCCGGCGATTTGCTTTTTTTTTATATTCTCACCTTTGTCCGATATTTTCCATTTCATATCTTGCGTGCTCCTGTGCTCGTCTTGTCACCCTGATACCCAACTCGATTCTTTTATCTTTCGATATTACACTTTACAACCAGAGGGCTATTTTCCCTATTTACAATATATACATACACGTCTGGACAGCTTATTACATGGATATACTTGGCTTTATACTTCTCATCAATAATTTGATAGATTCCATGTATTCATGCGCAACAGCGCCGCTACCCGCAAGTATCTCGGAATAAACACCGCATTGTAACCAGCAAAGCTTATCGTCAATGAATAGGGGCTTTTCGATGCTATCCACTCACAGAAGTCTCATAATTCATCCTGCAATGCATGGATTGCTCCAGCTGTTTCTGTTCACAGTCTGATAAGATTCCGTTCGAAGTGGTGCAGGTTCATGCTCCGATACGTGGCACGACTGCGTACATATCGCACATGCACACAGAGTACACGCACATGCAATTAGGCAAGAATCTCCAACGGGATCCACCGCGATTTGTAGGCCTTGCTATCGACTCAGACTCAACCATCTGATTCCAACGAGATGACGGCAAGATAACTTAACTAGTAACGACCACACACCATTGGTCTTGAATGAAAATCTGCATTCGCGTCTGAGTACCATACCATTTCCCAATGAATAAAGAAAATTGAAATTAAAAAAAATAGACCGAAGACAAAGACAAAGGCGAAGCCACTCATCATCACTACCTCCCCCAACCCCAACTTACATATTCCGCCCTCCCGTAACCATGATAGTTTGCCCGTTAACATAGCTCAGCAAGGGGCTCACCACTGCCAAAATCGACCTCGCTGCTTCCGTGGGAGTTGCCCCTCTTCTCAACGGGATATCAGGATACTTATCCCTCTCATCGCCTCCAGCCCTCGCCGCCAACTGGGCTGAAGGTATACCGAGAGCGACCTTTTCACCATCAGGCGTTGTGATAAAGGCGCCAGCCTCCTTGGCCGCAGTCAGCCGTGTTAGCACCAAGCCAAAAGCAATCGTGTTGGCGCGGACACCGAATTGGGGACCCCATTCCTTCGCGATTGTTTTGGTGAGGCCGACCATACCAGCCTTGCCGACGGCGTAGTTAACTTGGCCACTGTTGTGTTATTTTTAGTTATGGCGGTCGAGGAAATGGAGGAAAATTGGCGGGGCCGGGGAAAGGTTAAGACCTACGGGTTTCCGTGGATGCCACTGGTACTGCTGATGTTCACGATGACTCTGTCAGCACCATCTTTTACTCTGAAGTATGGAGCCGCGGCTTGGACCAGTTTGAAGGGTGCTGTGGCGTGGACAGCTATCATGGCCTCCCATTGCTTATCCGAAAGCTATTACTGTAAGTCAGCCGAGGTCATACGTATCCCTGCAAGGGGGGCCGTATCTATCTATGTATATATACCACTAACTTTATGAATAACGCCATCCCACGTATACCCAGCGTTATTAACAATAATATGAATCTTCCCGTTGCCAAATTCGGCAGCTTTTTGCACGACCCTTTTCACATATGTGGGGTCCGTCACATCGCCAACTACGGCAATGGCTCGTCCGGGCGAGGCATCATTGATCGATTTCACAACAGCCTCTGCTTTCTCTGTGTGCAGTTGTAGACGGAATCAGCTTCTGTTTTCTCTAAGAAAACCCCAGAAAAGGCTATTTACTCGGAAATTTCATGCAAACATTAGGACGCGGCGTGTGGAGGTTTTCTACTAACTGGCATCAAGATCTGCAACAACTACTTTCGCTCCCTCGTTGGCAAATAGGCGAGCAGCTTCAGCACCAACACCCTGACCAGCGCCAGTGATAATGGCAATTTGGCCAGCAAGCAGACCCTGCGGGTAATTAAGATGGGAGGACACCTGTGCAATACGGTCTTGAGGGGCCATTGTAAGCTGGGTGGACTTAGTTAGGGAAGATAGCCGATGTACAGTACAGTACGTGTGCCCTAAAGGCAATACTCAGAAGAGAATAACAATCAATGTCTTGAAAACAACTGGAAAAGAAAAACAGTAAATGCTATTGCAGGTACCAGAAGAATAGGCAAAGTTAACCGGCAATTTGTTAGTTATGTAGGCCTGTGTTCAGCGGGGGATTACAGTTAGCCTGGAAGTGCTGGCAGCCGAGGAACAGCCAATTGCCGCTTCCGACACTGGCAAACGACCGGAGAGGCATATACAAAGCACGATTAGAGAGTGCTCGGTTCCGGTACGAGGAGTATGGGAATTGGAGTTGAAATCACGGAATTTTGCCGACGGTTAGCATCAGGTTCTGGGTTCCTGGTTGAAACTTAAATTCGGCTATATCAAGGCGCCCCAGAAAAATTTGGTATAAAACACATAGTATATTATGAGCTGCTTTTCTCAAAAAATTATAAACATGATAACGCTAGACCGCTATGCCGATAGTCAAACGCTTGCAGAAGGCCGGTCAAATGTGAGATCGCTGCCAAAACAACAAGGACGTGGAATATCTGATGAGAGCTGCCTAGGATATCAAACCCGCCAGGATACCATCGCTCGGGCACTCGCGCAGCATATACAGCCGCTCCGATTATATACAAAGCGCCCTGCAGCACGAGCCAGAATAGACCGATTTGCTTCAACATCAATTCCACCCCAAAGATCGATACACCATGTAGCACCGGAAAGACGGCGGAGAGTCCCATGGAAACAAACATGCCAGCACGGAACGGCCGCCAGGGAGGAGTTCTAAAGCGTGGCATGATCGAGATGATAGTGCACCCAGCCCCGATCAGCAATATCATTGTCCAATATATTTTCTTGAATCTGGACACGCAGTAGAAGCCATAATACACGCTTGGGATAAAACTGCCTGTGATCAAGCCGACGATGCCAATGTAGTCCATAGCGTTTCCAATGCGCGCGACTGCGGGAGAATGGTTGGATATCGTGTGGTACATGGAACTCATACCAAGACAGAAAGCGGCCCCGGCAAAGAAGCAGCTAAATACGAGCACGTCACCATGCGTAGCGCTATCATATCGTGCGGAAATGGCTTTGTAGAGGTATAATCCACATGGTACTGATGATATGGCTGGCAGCAGGTGGGTGTAGATATTCACGGTTTCGTTATGCACATATCCCAATGAATGAAATGACACCATGAAGGACCGGGATGCCGGCCGATATCCCGTATGGATGAGGTGGTTATCCCGTTGCCAATGTTCCAAGTCATCCCAATGAATCGTCCGGCGTGCCTTGTATGCTATCTTGGCGGCTGTGTCCGTTGCTTTCTCCGTAACAAACTTGTCAATTGTCACGCGGGAAGGATGCCTATGGTCGTCTTGCGAGCTGGCATTTGATTTCCTCCTTTTAGACACAAACATTGCCCGCTGTCATGAATCAAGGATGTTTGAGTTGTTGAGAAAATATGTTGAGAATTAGGCCATAAACTCTTGAGCCTCATGCAAACAGGACAAACATGGAGGAGGGGCTTAGGTTCGAAGCTTCCCTTCGCGAAGAAATTCCACCAGACACAAACGGGCATCGCGAAACCAGAGGCTGGAGGCTAGATGGCGGGACCATGACCGAATCGTGCTTCACTGCAAGTCAAACAGAGGTTGCTTTCTGAAATTCCTAATGGAGGATACGTTGCGGCCATCAAAGCCTACTCCCAGAGGAAATAAGACGGCCGCAGATTCGCTTAGCCAGGTTGGGTTTACGTCAAAGGGAGATACGAAGTAGGTTTTGTGTACAAAATGCTGAAGGGCGGGGAAATATGGTTTTTTCCCTTTCATGACCGGCATTGACCAACACGTATTATGCAGACTCCTAGATCCCAAGGCCCAAGAACAGTACTATAAGAAGATTGTGGACAGATATGTGCACTTTTGCAATGTCCACTCCGGGAACCTTGATGCCGCGTTCAGCTCCCTTCCAAGAAACCGCTCTGAAGACCCAACCAAGAACCCTCCCGTTCCTATACCTATAAGGCCAGCGTCTAGAGCTAGATCTCGGTCCCGATCACCAAAACCACCCATCAAACCCGCTGCCCCAACAGCGGGGACCAAAAGCACAGTTCCATCAGAGCAGCATCCAACACCAGCTGAAGAACTTTCTATTCTCCTTCTTTCGCTCCGTAAACTGCGGGAAGCCATTCTAGCAACGAGCTCCAAAACGCCCATCGCATTCTCCCAGCGTGTCCACATATTCTGCATACGCGTATCAATCCTGGCTCAGCACCCACCGTCATACTACCCCCCCTTGCAGCGCCTGCTGAAACACCTTCATTCGTCTACCAATCCACTGGACCCGTCTGAGCTGCACGAGTTTACGACGTACTTGATCCTGGACTATGCCTGTCGACAAGACGATATGTCGGCTGCATATCAGCTCCGAGCACGTGCAAAGGCAGTATTCGGGTATCGTAATAATTCTGTCGACAGTATTCTAAGAGGAATAATGCATGACGACTGGGTGTTATTTTGGAGAACTAAACGGAACCAGAATGCATATACAAAAGCGTTGTTGAATTGGGTGGTCGACAGTGTGCGCAGGCGAGCATTGAAAGCGGTCGGGAGAGCATATCTGTCGGTGGACGTGAATTATTTGGTGGAATGCTGCGCCGGCGAAAATGAAGGTTGGACATGGGAAGCGCTGGTGGAAAAGGAGGGTTTGGGATGGAAGAGAGAGGGTGATAAAGTTCTGATAAGGGCTAGGAAGCCAAATGTTGAATCCAAAAAGTAACAGTCCATGAGAATGGGCTTTGTTTTGACGATATATACATTTGGGCTGCCGCGGGCATGATCGGGAACGTAATGCACTTGTCATCTGCAGCCAAGTTGCCGTCTGTGAAAGGCTTTCCTTTAGACGCATAAGCGCGGAGTTTCGGTGTTAAGGTAGGTATTGAATTGTATTTATATATGATGGTACAACAAGCGTAGATTTTTGTGAGCAGAATATCCTGACACTGTAACATATTTGGCAAATAAGGAATTATTCTCTACGGCAAAAGGCGTCATTATATCTTGAAATCCGTATTCGGCTTTTCCCAATTCCGATATCTTGACGGCGGCTGCTGGGCTATCCTTTCAGTCAAGTTGGATTTGAGAAGCCTAGACTTTTCAGAACATAGTTCATATATAGTTGCCAGATTGAACGTGAGACTTTGGAAAGAATAATTGTTGTTTACCAACGATTCAAGGAGGTCGCGGGACTATATAGAGATGTAATAAAATCAGGTTCTGTCATCACCCCTAATCATTGGGTCAAAGACTAACTTACCTCATTTAGCTTTCCTGTATATAATAAGCACACAGCGAGATTTTGTATGATCAGAGCTGCATCCTCATGTCCAATGTGGCTTGCGCGAAGGGCCTCCCACCCCGCAGCTGCTTCATCATATCGACCTTCCGCCATATCTAACAGACAGTGCAAAGCCCCATCCGCTTCGATTGGAGTATTATCTAGCAGTTTTCGAGCAGTTTCAACATCCCCAACTTTGAGATATAACAGCACCATCCGTGTGGTCGTTAAAGCTTGCTCCTTGGGTGGGGCTTTTAGGTTTGCGAGTGACCTTCGCGCAGCGTCTAAGTCGTTCATTTCTATTAACGAATTCACAACTCTGATCCCCAAATCTGCCAATCTAGTTTTCCAAATATCTCTTTCATCCCCCGCAAGCACTTGGCGCGATAGATGTTTTCTAGCTTCTAATCCAAGCTCGTATAAGGCAGCAATGCCTCGTCTTGAGTCGCCGAATCCAATGCTTTGTAACCTCGCTGCAAGAACACGGAGAGGCCATGGTACAATATGTCGAGTTTGATCATCTGGAACAGTGTCATTGGCTGTCATCTCGTTTTCCGGCTTGGTATCGACAATGTAAAACGCAGAACTTAGATCCTCCAGCGCTTTCGCTTCCTGCGCTGCTAGAAGGGTATTTCCGGTCAGCTCTAAGCATGCAAGTCGGATGTACAAGAGAGAAAATATCGTATGGTGGTCGTTGTGAGCCACCACGGATGATGATAGAATAGCTGCTGAGAAATGAGCTGCAAGAAGGAAGTGGCCAGCATTCAAGAGATTATCAAGGGTAGCTAGGGAAGTAGATAAAGGTTCATTCGGAGCAGGCGTAGGGATATCCGAACGGAAAGCCGGTGATATATCCAATAGTGAGAGGGGATGGTAAATGTCAGGACGCAGGAGGTATGATAGGTTGATATCCACAGGAACTGATATAGTATCTATAGTTGAAAACGTGGATAGCGAACGATGCGGGGAATTCGGAGATGCCCTTGAGCGACTTGGAAGATTGAAGGAATTCGGTTGGTTCGGAGATACGGTAGCAGCTGTAGCAGAGCTTGGTTCATCTTCTTCTTAGCCTGGTATTCTTGGAAGAGGGAGTGGAAGTACGGAGCAGATTGGATCGTACTCATCTGGAGCATCTAGGGGCCCTTTAGTGGAGCTCCGTGGCCGGGCAGCTATGGAGCATTCATTTCTCTCAGCAATATATCCCTTGATAATGTAGGGTGATGACAGGATATTGTGTACTGTACCCTTGACTGGAGCACTGCGATGTTTAGCCCCTGGGCTGTCCATTGCGCTGCGAGCTTACAATTTGCTGCTTGGTAATTGCTTCCCAATAACACAATAACTCTAAACAGGAAATGAGGAGAATGAGAGGTTGAGAAGTTCAGAATTCTGCCAGGCGGTGAACCACGTTGATAATGTTGCCAAGACTGGACGAACATACAATTTGGAGGCCAGATTGCCACATCAGGAGATTAAAAAGTCATATATTTCTAAAAGAAGTTCCTCAATTCTGTATTATTTTAATTAAAAATATAATGAAGAAAGATTACACTCTCAAAGAATTTATATTTTAAATCAGACCTTCAAATTTCATATGTTCCTCAGTCTTGGCAACATTTTGTTTTCACAAGCTTTAACTACATCCGCCACAATAAGCTCAAAGAGGATGGACCAAGCAGCCCGCCCTTACCCTAAAACGGAATCAGCATCACCCATGTATTTTTACTAACCATCAGCAAGTTCCTATTGCTCTTTTCTAGATGTCTCCATTGCTCTTTAGCCATTAGACAGCAGAGTTCCGCATGCCCACCCGTGGCCCTCGGTACCGTCCAACCCTCCAAGTCGTGGACCAGAATTTGGTCTCCCAATTTTACGATACCCCTTGCTCTCGTCGAGGAAACACCACCATGTCTTCACAGAACAACAAATACTCCGTCATTCTCCCTACCTACAATGAACGCAAGAACCTACCCATAATCTGCTGGCTGATTGAGAGGACATTTAGAGAGAAGTAGGAATCTCCTATGTGCTTAGCAATTTCTCAGTGTGAAAGCTAATTTTGTCTTTTATCCTTCTTTTAGTAAACTAGATTGGGAGGTGATCATAGTCGATGATGGATCTCCAGATGGAACATTAGAAGTCGCAAAACAGCTTCAATCACTTTGGGGACCGGAGCACATCGTTCTGAGGCCCCGTGAAGGGAAGCTAGGTCTCGGAACCGCATATGTCCATGGCTTGAAATCGGTCTCAGGTAACTTCGTCATCATCATGGACGCCGATTTTAGCCACCACCCTAAATTTATCCCCGAAATGATCAAAATACAGAAGGAAACGAACTGCGACATTGTTACAGGGACTAGATATGCATCTCGTGGGAATCTCCGTGGTGGAGTGTATGGCTGGGATCTGGTCCGCAAGCTCACCTCTCGGGGAGCCAACTTGATTGCGGACGTGATGTTGATGCCCGGAGTCAGCGATCTGACGGGAAGTTTCCGATTATATAAGAAGCCCGTTCTTGAGAAGGTTATTAAAAGCACGGAGAGCAAAGGGTATACTTTCCAAATGGAAATGATGGTTCGTGCTAAGGCCATGGGGTTTAAGGTCGAGGAATGCCCCATCACATTTGTTGATCGTCTTTATGGCGAGAGCAAGCTTGGAGGGGACGAGATCGTAGAATACTTAAAGGGGGTCCTCACACTTTGGCTGAAGGTCTAATCAGCTTCTTGCATTTGATCCTTGCTCTTTCTTTTTGCCTTTCCCGGTTGACGCAGGGTCGAGGCAATAGCGCCTATTTTGTATATCCACGCAGCAGATAGTAGGAAACTGATGCTTAGGGGCGCAAATGGGCTTAGGTCCAGGTTGAATGTCTCCAACATATTTTAGTGATTGCTCATACCCTTCGCATAATTCCACTGTTATATACATTATCCCGTTGCTTAGTGTTCCTGTCAATACATTTTTTTTTTTTTTGCTTTAAAAACCATGGCTGAGGCACTATTCAATATGCCATGAAAGAACTACATGAATCTAAGTGCATTCCTGCGGTAATTTGTTGTCCCTAACACTCTGGAAAGATCAACTTTCACAGCTTCTCTAGTGGTGTAGATATTCATCTTAGAAAATATCAGTTCTGTCTCTCAATATCGGCCAAAAAAGCTTTAACCCTTGAAACCAAATCCTTGCGCGGTTGAGCTTGATCAGGCCCGCTCGGCGAATGCTTAGCTCCAACAATTATGGCACTATCTGTGGACCAGATGTGGGGATTTTTCGAGTCTTTCGTCGTTGCGGCCTTCCATCTTTCCAGTAGCTTTTCCTTATCAATCCACGGAGCCACATATTCATCATCGCCGCCCGGCATAACAAGAAGTGACTTCTTCAACAGGCCCTTAGACGAAATCATACCAAACGTCTCTTGAAGTCTAGCATCTGTAAGATCAGAGCTAAACAGATCGTCTTCCCCTGGAGCTTCCGGGCTATCTGGACTTGCCAAACTAAGGAACCTTGTAGCAGAGACGGCAGTGTCAGGGATGTATACCTTCCCTACCATCCAAATTGGCAAGATGACATCCTTCCCCCCAAGAGTCTTTTCGCTCTTCGCCATGGAGATGAGATTGTTATATATTTTAGTCAGCTCCGCCGGGGTGTCTTGATCATTTCCCGATTTTACGATATTGAGTATGGCTTCTCGATCCGAAACGGGAGCTTGCATAATAGCTCCGTCCACTGGGGGTCGTGGAGTCGTAGCTTCCGGCCCTGGATTTTGGGAATAGAGGTAATGAAGCACATCCTGGCTTCCAGTAGAATGGCCCATGATCACAATCTTGCCAGGTTCCTGCTCACTGGCGGATTTGTACTCCTTCACGTACTCGACACATTTGCCAATCTCGTCAACGTCACTGCCTAGATTGCTCAAGCCCCATCCCTTGTATGATGAGGTGAGTTCTACTGAGAACACAGACCATTTCTCAGCTTCGAGAGCTGTGGTGATATCGTTGAGATATGGCACGGTGGAGTAACCGTCACCCAACCCGCCGATAAATAGCAAACTATGGGGTTTGCTATTAGTTTCGCAGCCTCTAGCATTTGGGTCGGCTGCATACTCAAAAGCCGTAAGTTGTGGTGCCTAATAGCGTTTTATACTATAGTCAGCTTACATATTGTCCTTCATAAACAATGCTATTCACTTGAGAGGGTAAGGTCTTTCATACATAATTATGAAGGATGCCCGGCTGAAAGCTTCCATTGAATTGACTCAACATGGTGTAGAGAGTGTCGGTAATTTCGAAATAAAATAATCGTAACACCTAAAAGAACCAAAAACGAAGGACATTCATTACGCTGCTCATTGTCTACCTAAATTATTCTACCCTGTGGGATGTTGAACCACTAGATATAAGAATTCTTGGAAAGGTCATGCATGCTTGATTGATCAGGGGTTGGAGGGTGGTTGAGGGGGCTGAGGGGCTAAGGGACTGGGATGTTGTTTGGTCTTGCTGACTGGCGTTTTTCGGCTCATATTGAGCTTCGACAACATTTCGGAGCGAAAATCATGCACCACTCACCCCCTACCAATTCGACGATAGTGATTAGTTGGACGTTCCCAGAAATGATGTAAATCTAGTGATATGAGGGAGACTGACGATTAATTTAATTACAGTTCTTTCAACAATAGATGTCAGCTGCAACGCTTACCTGCTCCTAGCCTGTCTGATGGCTTCCTCGCCAATAAGGAGATCCACTCGCCGACGGACTGCGGTTCCAGAATACACCACTGACGTCTTTGAAGTTACTGGGCTTCAGGTCGGGTCTTCAGAACCCGAGCAATTAACCAGCGACGAGGAAGAAGAAACCGAAATATCAAATGTCGTGGCCACAGGACGCCGGGGTGCAAAGAGGAGTGTTCGCAGGGGGACGCGACGTAGGGACGATGAAGCGTATGAAGAGCAAGACAATGATGCTGAACGTAAGATCTGTGCTACTATGCTACTAATCGATTGATCTGGGGAATCAATATTTACTTATGAATAGGCATGGTGGAAGAAGATGATATAGTTTCTGCTTTGGGGTCGGATTTGGAAGAAACAGACAAGGCACGAAAGGCCCGATCAAGGCCAGTTGGACGCGTCGATGAACAGGATCCTATGGCTACTCATTCAAGAGGTCTTTACAAGTCATCAGCCCATGGCGCTAAAGTGACCTATCTGAAATTAACGTTCGGTTCTAGCGATGAGGATCTGTTGCCCATGGTATATACAAGGGTTAGATGGACAAAACGTAGGGATGTGACATTTCCCAGTAGTGATACATTACGGGAAGCGTTCAGCATGACTATTGATGAAATCGGAGCCGCTTTTGGCGTGAGCGGTGATATGTTGCGAAAGGAGGCGACCTCTGGCTGGGATTGGTATTATAATGAAAATGCCAGTGACCGGTTTCGCAAAAGACAACAAACAGTGAGCATCACAGCTGTGGAAGGAAAACGATATATACCCCGACCGGGGACGAAAAAGCACACTGTGATAATTGGACCTGCATCATCTCAGAAAGTCTATGAGCTGGATGTGGGCCAATCGCTGGACTTTGGGCAGTCATGGAGTGAAATCAGGCCAAAAGGCGAAAGGCCAGGGCGTCCGAAAAACCTCGGTAAGCAAACCCCCGAGGTGGTGGGGACTGAAGATCCTCTATCACCTGAAAGTGAACTCGCGTCGGGGATACCGAGTGGTTCTGCAACCCAGTCGCGAAGAACTCGCGAAGGGTGGATTTTGAATTTGGGTAACAAGATTCAATGTGTATCTTGGGCACCAAACTGCACGGGTGGTTCGCAATATCTTGCGGTGGCTGTCCCAATATCGGGTTTGCAGAAACAATCGCTGGACCTTGTGCCTCAGGGACCTCCGGCTTTTATGCCTTCCCCGCCATATCCATCTGCAATACAGATTTGGTCCTTTGAATCTACGAAAGAAAATAGCGATGTCCAACAACTTGATATGGCTGTCAAGCCGCGCCTACGGCAAGTAATATGCACCGATGCTGGCGATATCAGACGCCTATCCTGGTGTCCAATGGGCCGGGATAAGCGAGAAGGAGATGATACTGTTGAGGGGCTCAATATCGGTCTTTTGGCTGGTGCATGGGGAGATGGGAGCATCAAAGTTTTGGACGTGCAATTAAAGAAGTTGACCAGCGAAACGGAATATGGTTCGCAAAAGTCATTCTCCTATACGGATATTCAAAGGCTAACCATTCTGTTACAGTCCAGGTCCACGTTCCTGCTTTTGAAGCCAAACTACCATCGACACTTTGCACCTGCTTTTGTTGGCTGTCGCCGAGCGACCTCGCTGTTGGCACCGCCAGTGGGTTTGTTGGAGTTTGGAGTCTCTCATCGCTATCTGATGCCAACGAATCAGTGTCAAATCCTGCACCATACATATATTTTCCAATTCATACTTCCTATATTCTCAATATAACGTCATCGTATCCAACACATCCACATATACTTGTCACCACTGGAATGGATGGTAAAACGAAACTCTTTTCCCTCCTGGATCCGCGAGCAGATGTAACAGAGACTTCACGTTCACGGGTGGGATCATATGAAGTATCATATTCGCCCTTCTTGCGAACGTATATTTGCTCCGATGACACTGAATTTATCCGCATCCAGCCACTCCGACGGTTTTTCTCTACATCCTCCATATTACAAACGTACGATCTAGTATCTGCCATTACCCCAGCGACTCTATGCCACCCATGCTTTTTGGCCGGTAATGTAAGCGGCAATGTCGCGGCCACGAATCCACTTCGCAGGTTGATGAGTCCCAAAGAAAAGACCTGGCAACAAACATGGTTTAGCCATCAATGGATTCCAAATAAGCACGAAGAAGTTAGCGTTGAGCAAAAAGACGGTGTTGTGGGACCCGGAGTTAGCAAATTTTATGACGGGTTTAAGGCAGAAATACCTACACTAGTGAGAAAGCTGACCGGGGATAGGAGGATGGGTGACGGGAACCTTGCGATTGCGACTTTTGAAGAGAAGACTGCGGTTACTGCGCTTAGTTGGAACCCGAATAAAGCATGTGCGGGCTGGGCATGTGCTGGGCTGGGTTGTGGTTTGCTCCGCGTTGAGGACTTGGCCCTTCGATGAAGGACGTTATTCGAGGTGGAGACTGATGATTTTTCTCCACATGTTTACGAAGTACATAGTCCACAACGACCTCCTTTCTCCATCCCAAATTGAAGATGTTAAATGATTTACCTCCCCACAGCCATTCTCGAAATAGATGGCAAAGCATAAACAAGAAGAATCACAATATGCTATCAAGTTTTCAGAGAAATAATAATTTCTTCAATTTTATATATGGGATAATGGGTAGGTGGTCACTTGTGAATAAAATTCTATGTAATCTACTCATACTAGTTATGACCACACAAGGAGTAGTACTACTTCAATTTACACTCATGGGGCGGAGAGATCGGGTTGTTAGAGACTTCGTATCTTTATTTAGTCGATCGTTTGGGTTCGACGGACTCTCCATATATCTATACTACTGCGCACGGAATATTCTAGTCAAGCAAGCCGCGATTACTCTGGAGTACGCGCTATATGTTGGGGGTTTGGATTGGTTCGTCCCCTCGACTACCAGCATGGCGCTGGTGGTGATCGAGCTCTATTGCCCCATTGGCCGAACACTGTAACAAGCCGCTTGAATGATCTGCGTCGTGTGCGCCGGTGTCTTGGACGTGTGGTGCTTGGCAACGGTGTCTTGGCACCGATCCCCACCTCCAACTCTTGTCACAGCCAACCTCCTTTTGCGCTCGTGTCAACACCGTTTTATTTTTCCACATCTTACAATTGCCAAATTCCCTGGGAAACTGGATTCTAATTCCACTCTTTATGATAATTGGAATGAACTGTATCTCTAACTATTACACCATGTCTATTTCATGTGACTGTGAACTAATGAACGAAATGCAAAATAATCGATGGCTGGGTTCCCAGCCATCTCACTACCATCTACTCTGTACGGGACTGACAATAACAACAGCCCAGCCTCTGCAATTTAGCGATGGGGCAATATGAATTTGGAGCTTTTATTGCGGCAGATTTTGCAATCTCCTTTTTATTTCTCTTGTCCACGATGTTGAGTGCGATTTAGCCGTCTATCTTAGCTGATTTCTTTAGTTTTCCGAGAAAATTGGCTAGAAAATTGGCTGCAATGGGTTTCACCATGAAACTCAGCGTGTCGATACTATCATTCATGGCGATATTCTCTACAATAGCAAATTCATTCCCGTTATCTCGAAGGGGGCAACAACAAATCGAACCGAGACAAGTGTCATACTCAGTCGTTCTCGTTGGTGGTGGTGGCACGACAAGTGCAACAGCCGCACCCTCAGGTCTCCTTGTCACAGTTCCTTTTCCGGTTACAAAAACAGTCTCCTCCGTGGTCACAGTAACTAAGACTTCTACACCAACATCAACTCAGAGCACATCAAGTGAAACGCCAAACTTCTTCACACGGACGACTATGCCACCAGCCTCTCCGCCTCAAATAACATCTTGCCCTTCGACATCTTCCCCTTCGACATCTGCATCTCCAACCACATCCTATGCATATCCAACCGCATACTATCCATATCCAACCGCACCATATGCATATCCAACCACATCACATGCATCCCCTTTCCAGCGACTCGGTGCCCTCCAACCTGGGCGGCCAACCGGTCGGCGCTTTTCGCAGCCGTCGCACGCAGCGCTCAAAATTCCCTACCCTCTTCCGTCCCACCTGCCCCTGTCGAGACACGGCTCGAGGAATGGAACATATCATGTACCAATGCCAAGTAGCCGGTTTCTAAATTAAGACGCAAGTGGAATGAATGCGCATGATGACTTAACGGCCGATGAAATGGATGAATGTTGAAAATCAATGTGAGTTGCTCTGGGTGGCGGGCTTTTGACAGTAATTTTTTTTTTTCTCTATATATATATATATGTTATCTCTCCCTTTTTTATTTCCTTTGTAATGCATAGGTTAAGGCGGGTATTTATCGGCGCATGATGCCTTTTTCTTGAAATCTGGAGAATAACAGTACGAAAGGCATCTTCCATGCTACCACTTTGGATGATTCCAATTCGAAAGAAGGGGAGGAACGCATAAATTTCTAGAGAAGGTGTTGGGGATATATATCATGGGGTTTTCTTCATTCTTTTGTTTGACGAAGCTTAAATGTAAAAGTAATCATCCATTAACTAGGATTGAAATTAAAGGAGATCTTTACAAATACTAGATCATTTCACTAGAAGATTATAGTTAGTGCCTACCACAGTCCGCGTCATCACTGTATAAGGAAGAATTGTCTTCCGGATTTTAGATATTGGAACGTCCGAGGGATTCGCACTACTTTCCCCTGTCAATATAGCTCGCATTTCCTTTATTATGCGATACCAATAGGGTAAATGTTTCGAAATACTCGGCCGGGTGGTTAATCGTTTACGTGGTGGCGCTGCAGAAAGGAGATACGAATGACTTGCCACTCGGCACATCCAACCTGAAGACCAAAGGTCCACTGCCTGTACTGACCAGTTGACTTTGGAAATTCAAAGGAAGTGTGCCAGTGGCAGTGCAAGAGCCTCCCTCCCTCTGAGAACGCACTTAACTAACGTATTCAGGTCCACCCGGAAATGCCATCATCTGCAATCAAGCAACGCTCAATGGGTTTCGTATCCCCGTCTTGGTTAAGATAACTGAACTGGAGCTGGAAGTGGTTCGCTCCGTAGCAAAATCTAGCATAAAACTAACCGCAGAGGATAATCCAGTGCTGGCTGAATAGAGCATAAATTGATGATTGCGTGGAGACAGTAGAGAACCAAAAGTGTAGAAAGTAACTTTTAACTCGTCAATTTTACTTCTCAAAAAAAAAAAAAAAAAAGAACGGTTGGTCCCTTATGGTGCTCTTCGATCGCCATGGTATCAAACTGGTATGTGAGCGTGCAAATGGTGGTTCAGGATGAGGTTCGCGGGGTTGAACACTGGCAGTGTTGGAGAGAAGTGTTAAGGAGATATTGGCAGCCAATATGTTCCTTGATTCTTTCCTCAGAGCCTATTATTGTTATTATGTCTTATACACCCAGGCGCATGGGAGATGCATTCAGGTTGTTTCAAGGTTACCACGCTTCATAAAACGAAGTCACAAATGTATGCCTTTTACATCGCCACAAAGCCCCGCGCGAGAGCACTATCGCAGAGAACCGTATAGTCTTGTCGGAAGCGGAGGATGTCATATGGCATATGGCATATGTATCGTCACCTAGGTAGTTCTGATAATTCTGAAAGCAATCGAATGTGTAGTTAGATGTATTTTTTTAAAAAATCCTAATAATTTGTCGATGTTGTGCTGTACCGCAAAAACAACCGAAGATAAAAATATGATGAACCTCATTCCGGAATAGTGTGGATTGTCAGCAACCAGGAACAAACATCCAGCAAACATCCCCAACTCCAGGCAGCACGAAAGACCTCGACGATACTCTGCTACAAGACAACTAACTCTCTTTGAATTTTGTTTCTCTGTAGAACAATTGCTGTTGCTCGCATTCCAAAATACATAGCTGGACTTTACAACTATTCCCGGCCTACACTCCCGGGCTTAGTTGACAGACTCTGGACCCATTGGTCCCGCTTCTGCCACAATGGCGAGCCCGCCCAATGTTCCAGAGGAACAGAGCCGCTTGCTTGAAGATGCCCTCGGGGTTGTACGACAGCAGGCGCATATGATGCGAAGATGTCTGGAGACACCGGGGAAGCTCATGGATGCGTTGAAATGCGGGTATGTAGACAAAAGCAACATGAGAAGGGAACCATACCAGGTAGTTCCAAGAGCTTCACATGCTGACAGACATCGCTCAATATCAGGTCGACATTTGTTTCCGAACTCCGTACCCCTAGTCTCGGCCCAAAGCAATACTACGAACTGTACATGGCTGTTCATGATGCTCTCCGCCATCTATCCGTCTACCTCAAAGAGAACCACCCGGTCAATCATCTCGCCGATTTGTACGAGCTAGTGCAATATGCTGGAAATATCATCCCGCGCCTGTATCTTATGATTACTGTCGGAACTGTTTATATGGGCATTGAGGATGCGCCGGTCAAGGAGATCATGAAGGATATGATGGAAATGAGCAGAGGTGTTCAACATCCAATCCGTGGTTTATTCCTGCGATATTATCTATCCGGCCAAGCCAAGGATCATCTACCCACCGGCACCGAAGACGGCCCGCAGGGCAACATACAAGATTCTATTAGTTTCATTCTGACTAATTTCGTGGAGATGAATAAACTTTGGGTGAGGCTACAACACCAGGGTCATTCGAGGGAACGAGAAATCAGGACACAGGAGAGGAAAGAGCTGGAGCTCCTGGTTGGAAGTAACTTGGTGCGACTGAGCCAATTGGTAGATCTGGAAACTTATAAGTCGATAATACTCCAGCCTCTGTTGGAACAGGTTGTACAATGCCGTGATGTATTGGCGCAGGAGTACCTGCTGGAAGGTGAGGACGCGTCCGTCGCTAAAATTGAGAGTTCCGATTACTGACCGGATATATACTACAGTAATGACGAAGGTCTTCCCAGACGAATACCATTTACATACTCTTGATCTCCTACTCTCCGCCATTGCCAGACTAAACCCTCATGTTGATATGAAGAAAATTGTTATAGGTTTAATGGACCGTTTATCTTCTTATGCGGCACGAGACTCGGACAATAACAATACCCCTGAGAAAAAGAAGCAGTCAGAAGAGGAAGCGACTGCTAGATTGCTGGAAAAATTGCGGTTAGCCAAGGAGAACGAAGCGGCAAAACCTGTTACTAATGTGGAAGTTTCTGGAGAGGATAAGGACGACACAACAACAGAGTCCAACAAGGAACCAGATGCCACAGAAAATGGAGAACAAGAACACTCACCCGTTGCCAATGGTGAAGAGGACGTTGGATCGAAATCCAAACTACCAGTCGCTATCAAGCTCTATGAAATATTCTTCGAACAAGTTGTGAGCTTAGTCAGAACAAGAAACCTTCCGATACAAGACACGGTAGCTCTCTCGGTATCACTGGTGAATCTAGCACTGTAAGTTGGGCTTTGCACCTGTGATAATGGCGTTAACTAATGAGAGACAGGAACATTTACCCGGAGAGATTAGGTATGCGATTGCCTTTGTTGTTGTTCTACTTTTGTTGTCCAAGTTGCGCCATTAACCTCTTGTATAGAATACGTAGACCAGGTTCTCGAATATGCGACGAAGAAGACATTGGAGTATGCCGATACCGCTGACCTGCATTCCAGTGCTGCACAGTCAAATCTCTTAAATCTACTCCTTGCGCCAATACGTGCATATATTTCTATTTTCACAGCGCTTTCACTCCCCAATTATATCCCACTATTTGCGGCTCAGCCGTACTCCACACGAAGAGCTGTTGCTGGCGAGATTGCTCGGGGGATTTTACGAAACCGGACAATAATTTCGACGTCGGAACACCTGGACGGTGTGTTACAGATATTGAGAGTTTTAATAAAGGAGGGTATTCAACAGCCTATTGGCTATCCAGGTGCTCCGCAACAACGGCGCTCAGGAGAGACGGAAGAGACAATTGAAGAACAAGGATGGCTGGCACGGCTTGTCCACTTCATCCAAGGCCCGGATAATGACACTCAGCTCAAGGTGAGTGTTAGCCCATGTGGTATCGTAGTATCTGTGCTGACCATCAATCGAAAAGCTCCTGCAAGAGACAGGTAAAGTTTTTTCAGAAGGAAACGAACGCATTCGATACACTACCCCTGCTTTAATTACTTCCTCCTTGAAGCTAGCTCGTAAATATAAGCTGCGCGAACATTATGATGATAACTGGCAGGCACAATCCTCCACACTCTACCGATTCATGCACAAATGCGTCAGCAATTTATATCAACGAGTAAATCCCGGATGTGCTGAGCTGTCTCTTCGCCTCTTCGTCCTTTGTGGCCAAGTGGCCGACCAGTGTGGCTTCGAGGAATTCAGCTATGAATTTTTCGCACAAGCATTCACTATCTACGAGGATTCCATAAGTGATTCTCGAGCACAGTTCCAAGCTGTATGCATTCTCGCGAGCGCACTGCACGGAACGAGGGGATTTGGAAAAGAAAATTATGATACGCTCATCACCAAGGCTGCGTTGCACGGTAGCAAACTGTTGAAGAAGCCGGATCAATGCCGTGCAGTGTACCTGGCAAGTCATCTTTGGTGGGCCGTTGAGAACCAGCAGAAAGAGGACGAAGATGCGAAAGATGTAAGATATTCAATCCAACGATGACTTTTGTTACTCCGTTTTGCTCAACTGTTTGTGCATGTTGACTAACATGATGTACTATTCATAAAGCTATATCGTGATGGCAAACGCGTTCTAGAATGCCTCCAAAGAGCTCTACGAGTCGCGGACGCATGCATGGACACAGCAGTATCCGTGGAGCTTTTTGTCGAAATTCTGAACCGCTACGTATATTATTTCGATCAAGGGAACGAGACCGTGACTACCAAGTACCTGAACGGGCTCATCGAACTCATCCACTCGAACCTCGAAACCAGCCAGAATGACGGTGTGCCAAACTCCAGTCTTGATAATCCGAAGCGCCATTTCCAGCGCACACTGGATTATATCAAGTCGCGAGAGTATGAGGGCATTGTGACGGAACCGAGGAGATAAATTATTATTAATCAATACTATTACTATCAACTATACTATTACCATTACTTTAACTTTGTTTTGTTTTGTTTTGTTTTGTGAATTCTGGTTTCTTCAAAATTTCCTTTGCTCCACTCTGTTTGCAGGGAGCTGCTTTGTTTATTTTGTACTGTACATGAAATAGATGAAATATGTATCTGGGGCCAAACCCCCTTTTCTTCTATCCTTGCTCCCTTTTGTTCTTTTTTTGGACCACCTGGTTCGACCTCGATCGTGTGTGCTATACCGGATTATTTTCCATTTCCACTTGTTATTTATTCCTTTTCAGCAGTGTTGGTGGGGTATTGGGCTTCAGTTGTCGTCCCTTTCGTTTCTCATGCTGGTTTTTGTTCTCAACGCCGCATTATTTGCTGCCTGCTACCGTTTGATTGTTACATACAAATTCTGTAGGTTTAATGATCACCTACTTTCCAAGCTAGCAACCCGTGGTAATCATCAAATCCTTTAGTGTTGGGGGCTTAGGTTAAGTATAACTACGCTGTAATATAACAGCCTCTGTAAACCTATCAAAGTGATACCGGGGAGGTATCAATCGATATACGCAAGGATTCTTCAGGGGCGCGGAAGGGGATGATCCATCCAAATTTGGAAACAGGGGATATTCAAGGTCACCGTCGTAAAAGCAGGCAACTTTCAAATGTGCATGCAGCCCTGATGCCACCGACAGGGTGAACCCCCCTGGCGCCATCCTCACGCGTTAAGTGGCTGTTGATCGCAAACCCAGTCTCTCGAAGATATACCCTCGCTCCGCCCACGCCTGGCGGCGTGCCCTCCCTCAAGAAAGAGGCCGTGTGTCTGTATAGCGGGTGCACGGTACATGCACATATCACGGTACCTGAGTCGTCGAACGGCCTTAATTCTCCTGCTACTCTCGCAAATCCTGTACTTCCACTATGCGTTCCACAAACGCTAATCAGTTACTGTGTGATGGTTGCCTAGGTGGATGCATCACACACATACAAAATAAAATGCTACCACCTTCCTAGCCGCTCCCCGCTCCAATCAGACTATAGGCGGGATCTCCCGCAAGCTTCATACAATCGAGCTCCCTATCCTTTCACCAGCCTGAGTTACGAGCCTGAGCCCTGCCTGCATGCGATCTCCCCTGCTCCCATGCATGACTGGAGAGGGAAGATAGAAGAGCTATAAAAGGGGAAAACTGAAAAACAGAGGTGGAGGAAGTGGGCGGGAGAAGGTGAGGTTTTATAGGGTTTGCTTGCGGCTCTTGATTCCGCTTTGAGAACATCCCGCTCCTTCCAAGGTTCCATACCTCCTGACATGTGACCGTGTCCTTCTAGCTATCTCAACTCCTCTACATCGATATTCGCATCTCATGGATGATCGGGGTTCGATTCTCTCCCCGCAAATATTTATTTATCACGTAGGACGGACGCATGCAAGAGTTAGTTTGAGATAAAAAAAGAGGTAGATAAAGCAAATGGATTGCAATTCTGTCAACGCCCATAGCCTATTGCAGGTTTCATAAAAGCGACGGTTGAGTAATCAAACAATCAATATCAAAATCGAAAAAAAAAAAAAAAAAAAACAATTGCTACCCTAACAGCTTGCCTGCTGTCATTCATAACCTGCCCGTCTGCCTGCCTGAATAATGTGCCTTCCTGGCTGTGTAGTACAGAACATGAAAGTTGTACCTCAGGCAGCGACACGTAGGAAATAACATAAAAAAAAGGGACAAAGGAATAACATAAGAGGGCAAATACCAGATCATTAGACTGAGACAAAAGCGAAGAACGGAATAGCAGAATAGAAGGAAAAATGAAGGGGAAAGGATTTTAGTGGCCGGAGATTGATAATAATGGTAGAGGGAAAGAAGAGGAAGGACGATGTTGGCTTCGGCGTTGAGGATAGGGCTAACCGAAGCGCAACGGTAAAAACGCTAAACCCATTTATCCTGTGGAAGGAGAATAAAAGTGAGGAACAACTAGTTTGAGGGGAATAGAGAACAGTGACGAGCAAACAATTCTCAATTGCAGTGAAGGCATATATGTGTTTTCCACGCTGGTTATACAGAATCCCACACTAGGAGGGGGATACTCAATCGAATGGAACCTAGTTTTAGAATCCGGTAGGCGGAGAAATATTCGGAGGCGCTGGGAATTGTCTCGAACCGCCGGTCGCCCCGACGCCACCAAATGCTGGAGTGCTAATGCTAGCAGCTGGACTGCCGATATCCCCCGGTGCGACACTTCCTCTGGGACCTGACGACATGCTGTTGCTATCCGGCTCAAATTTAACGAAGGTGCCGCGCGTCTCGTTCTTGATTACGAAAGAGCCACCGCCGTTTTGTGGGTTACCTTCCGTGTCACAGATATCCAACAGCTCATCAAGTGTGATTTGAGGCTCATTCGGTGGGTTTAGTTGTTCAACTTGTCGCAATACATGGTTCACACTATGGAAGCCTGAATTTCCCTTTGTTGGACTGGTTGCGTTTAGCTGCTTACAAGCCTGTGCTACAAGTAAACGAACCGTAACAGGTCGCGAAGTGTGAGGACGTGTTCCCCCTATGATGCCGAACGCGTTGTTGGACCACCCAGATCCTATATCAACGAGTCAGTAAGTTATATTAACTATCTCCTGGTGAGATAAACGAACCTGAGCTCGGTACTGAACCCCAAGACGTTGTCGCAGGGAATCCGGTGCCTCCGAATGGCGTTTGTGAACCCCAAGTATTACCAGAGCCCGCAGGACCAAGAGGAAAATTTGGATGCTTCGCTGAAATATTTGTTAGTTTTTGTAGCAGGAATGTAAATTAGAATGGTTGCTGCATATCTACTTACAACCGAGGGATTCGGTAAATAATGGCGACGTTCCAAATACCATTCTCCCAGCACCAGGAGCACCGGGAAGAGAGCTTGTGGGGATAGGTTGAGTTAGACTGGAGGTGAAAGGCACATCAGTCTCGTCGAGAAGAGCACTACTGCCGAGCTGGGCACTCAAGTCGTCAATATCTGAAAGTTCGGGTTTCGTTTCGTTTCGTGAGGCATTATGAGGGGTAGTACTAGCGGGGCGCTGAATAGGGGCTGGTCGGGATATTGGTAAATTCTGGGGTTTGTTTTCTAGGGAACTTCTTTCAAAAGATGATGACGCTTGTCTCGAGTGTGTTTGCCCACGTCTTGTTTCCCGGGGTATCTGAGGCTGCTGTGACGAAGACGAAGAGATTGGACTGGGTCCTAACAGCTGCGAATGAAATGGCAAACCATGACCGGTGTCTAGAGGGAAGCCTCGGCTTGGGATAATCGGGCGGGCACCATTTAACCCTGGAGCCATTGGTATACCATCTGGGGAGGGGAAACCTCTGAATTGTCCTCCCAGAGGTCCCTGTTGGCTGGGATACATCGGCATTTCGTGGCCCAATGGAATACGTGATGTCATTCCCGGTAACCCAGGGAGGCTGGAGGGTACTCCATTCAATGCAGGCATCGAGCTGAAACCCAAAGAATGAGGGCTGCGGGCGGCTCCGCCCAAGGGTGACATAGGGGCAGAAGGCTGAGGATGATGGAGCATTGGTGTCGGACCAAAGGACTTTGCAGAAACCGAACTGGAGGACCCTGATGATTGCGACACGCCAGCATTTCCAGGGGAAACAGAGGTATGTGATGTATCTGTTCCGGCGGGCTGGGATCTCGGAGAAGAAGCATGGGACCCATGTTGGGATGTTTGACGAGGACGAACTGGAGTTGGGGCTTTCGGTACAACGGGTGTTGCAACCTGGAAATGTGGCGACTGCAGCGCTGATTGTCCATGTTGAGGTTGGAGGCCTGGAGGAAGATATGTTGGCCCTGACTGGGATATTCGTTTGGCAGCTTGAGCAGTGGCCGCTTGGGCAGCTTGGGCAGCTTGTTCTTCGCGTTTAGCGCGCTCCTTGCTCTCGCGTTCGGTCTTGAGGGCGGTTTCTTTCTCAAGCTTGGCTTGTTCTCGGGCCTTACGTTCTTGCTCTTCCTTTGCCTTCTTTTCTCGAAGTTCCTTCTCTTTCGCTTCTCTCTCCTCTCGCTCCTTTTTCTTTGCTTCCTCTCGCTTTTTCTTCTCTCGCTCCTTCTGCTCCCTCTGCTTTCGTTCGATCTCGGCTTGACGTTCGCGTTCCTCCTGCAGACGCTTCTGTTTTTCGGCTTCTTTTCGTAGACGTTCCTCTTCTTGAGCTTTTTTCTCAGCTTCTCTCTTCTTTCTTTGTTCCTCTTTCTTTCGTCGTTGTTCTTCCTGTTTTTTCTCCTCGATGGCTTTCGCAGCAGCGGCTTCAGCAGCCTTTTCTGCCTCTTTCCTCGCCTTCTCCTCCTCTTTGGCTTGTTTCTGTTGTTTCTTCTTATCCTTTCTCTTCTGAGCCTCTCTTGCCTTCTTTGCCTCGCGTTGGACGTCTAACCTATTTTCCTCTTCTAGCTCCTCAATAAGTTTTAATTGGCGTTCGCGGGCAACCTTCTCTCGGTATGCAGTTAGGACACGCTGTTCAAACATTCGAGCGGCAAAAATTTGAAACATCCGCCTTCCTTCCTCCATACGCTGTTCTTCTGTCATTGCATCCTATGAAGTAAGGGACAATTAGCTTGAATACCTAAAACCAAACGTTGTGTGTTCACACAAACCATCTCATCCTCCTCGTAGTCCTCATCATCTTGGCTGTCGTAATCGTCGTCTTCTTCATCTTCATAATCTTCCTCGTCGAGGGGAGGTCCGTGGTTATGACCAGCATGTAGAGATTGATGTGCGGCAGAAGCAGTAGCATACTGCGTGTCTTCCTCCCGCTGCATTCGCCGTTCAGCTAGTTGTTCCATCATATCAATGAAATGCTTGCCGTCGTTTTTAAGTAAGTCATCTGCCACTGTGAGAATACCGTCTGCCAAGGGTTAGCCGCAATCGATCGAGGATATGCATATGATAAGTAAACTCACCTTTAACCGTCAAACTGTTACCAAACGCGAAAAAGTCAGCCCCACTGCTACGAGCAGCCTCTTCAAGTTCATCGTCACTGTACGGCTCATCTTCTTCGTCATCTTCGTCGTAGTCCTCCTCTAGGTCGTCATCATCAGGCAGTTCTTGAACTCTGCCCCTCGGCGGAAGTTGGCTATTCGCAAGGTGGGGATGCCTATCTAGCGGGCGAAGTGGTGGCTGATATAGTCGGGGAGGGACAATTGGGCCGCCATTTTCGAAGGAGGATTGGCTGTGATTCGCGTACTGCTCAAGCTCTTCGTAGTATGCATCGTACAGAACCTCCAACTCTTCTTCGATGGCCGTCCGTTTCCTCCCGCATACAGTGCAACTACATGAATGCTTCTGCTGCTCCTTCATCTTTCTCAAAACAGCCTCCTTTTCGACCTTTACAAGTGATCTCCGTTCCTCCTCACCCAGCTGCAGCCAAAATTCTTTGATATTTTCCCGTTCCTCTTGGGTCGATGTGTTCCATATCCTGTCCTTCGATATTTTATGGGCGGATCGAAGTGCGGCGTTAGATAGCGGAGGTGGAGGTGGCGCAGCGGGTCGTGTGGTAGATGTCCGTTGGGTCGACACGGATGTTGAGCTTCCATCGGCTGCGAGGGAGGTAGAGCGGTGTTTTTTACTCTTCTTTTTCTTGGATTTGCTCCCACTAGCTTCGGAATGCTGATCCATGCTACGCCTATCCGGATGGGTTTGAGAATGCCGCTGCGCATAAAGGTGGCCGTCGTCGTCGGTAGAATAGAGATCGTCGTTTTGGGCAGGGTCGTAGTGGTTTGGATCGCCGACGTCAGAGCCAAAATAATTTTGGTTGAGAGGAGAAGAGGAGTATTGGTTCGAATGGAGTGGGACATCGGGATCGCCCCATTGTGTGTTACGGGTGTAACCATTCTGGCTATTAGTACCTGCTGGGGGATGTTCATGTTTAAGCTGCTGTTCTGCAGCTAGACGTGCCGCTTGTTTCTGTCGTCTCTTCTGCTTTTTCCGATTCACTCCAGGTGTGGATGTTGGAGCAACGTGGTTTGCAACTGCGTGATTCGCAGTTGTATCTGAGTTCGAATTCGCAAGCGAAGCCGCGTTGGAGCCGTTGTTTTGCTTTGCAGCGCCTGCAGCGTCATTGCTACTAGCCACTGGAGGCGACAATCTCGGCGAAATAGATTTAGATGTATTTGTAGTGGTTGGAGGCTTGGATATCGTTGTTCGCGACTGCGCCGCACGCTTTTGGTTGGATGGCATGATTCTGTCTGATCTAGCACAGTCGTCAGACCAAAGTTAAAAGATAGCGTATACGGCGAGAGAGGGGGAGAAAAAGAAGCACGGACAGGCGGACTCAAATGGTATGTGGCCTGCTCTGGGTGAATGGTGAGTGCAAATAAAGACCCCGGCGGCAGAAGGATGGTGGAGGAGACTGGAGGGGGAAGCCGGACTAAAGTTAAGAGAATTGGGGAAAGGAGGAGGGACAAGAAAAGTTAAAGAATTGGTGTAGGACTACCAGGATTTTGGCTGTTAGATTAGATGCAGATCAGAGCCCGACATCGATCTGCTACTATGCTGGTTGGGATCGGGCAGACTTAAGCGGTTAGAGATCTGGCTCCAGCATCATCATCATCACACTGGAATGTGCTGCCCTTGTGAGTGGTTTGAGGCGTCAGACACGTGACCGTCGATTAGACGCCGTAAGCGAAGTTCCGAACGTCCCCATACGAGCGATACGATACAGTACGCGGCTGATACTTTGCCCAGAGGAAAGAGAAACAGGAGGATGGCACGCCATGGGGAATGATAAAATGTATCTTGTTAATTGATATATATCCTGTGTTATGAATTATTTCTTTCTCTCCAAGTCTCTTTTCCATTTCCCCCCTTGATTGCGCTTATCAAGAATCAGAGTCGTTCGATTCGAGATCAGTTCGATGTAAACATTGATCTCAGCCCCCTCGCTCACACCCTGGCCCAACCGATTTCCTCCCTGCTTTAAAGCATTCCACATAAATTTCCCGGGACCATCAACGGCAACCCCCTCTATCCCCACATCCGCAGCGTTAGCTCTGGTTGAAGTACTCTTTAACACTGCAACATCTACCTTGAACACGTTCTCTTGACAAACTATTCTCTTTCCACTCCCGTCCCGCGCCATCATCCCATCATCGTGTCGGACCTTAGCCTCCATTCGACACACGGGCAGCTGGTCTGTTCTCGTTGTCAAACACTCCTCCGAACAGAAGCTCGCAGTTTGTGTGTTTGCTAGACAACTAGCATTCCTCCATCCTCGTTTGCCCCCCAGCCGAACCTGTTGCACCCATTTGGCCTACTATTCCGCTCAGCTCAGCTGCTTCTCGCTTTCTTTAAACGCTTTTCATCGCGGCCTACCGACCTGACTTTGTCTTTGTCGAAATTTCTCAAAGCAATCCTTGGAGGACTATTTAAGGGAGACTCCATCTCAAAGGTTTTGTTTTAGTTGTTTGTTAGTTTTTGGTTCGGCAAATCCAGACTTGTACAAATATGGCACAACAACAACAGACAGACAATGTTATGAGAAGGTATGTGGATAAGGGATACATTCAGGTTGGGATCATTTGGATATGGGCCTCCTGGATGGGTGTATCAAGTTTTATCGTATTATATCTGCAATTATTGCTGCATTCTGAGCTGGGTCGAGTGGGAGTTTTGCACGGTTTGTGCCGACATTTTCGTCAAACGAGCTAACAAACAATTATTCAGGAAGCTGGTGATAATAGGTGATGGTGCCTGTGGCAAAACGAGTCTTTTGAGCGTGTTTACCCTTGGTTATTTCCCCACGGTAAGTGTTTTTGCTACCCTGTCAAATTAATATAGTGGTCTGGCAGCTTTAACTAATCTATCAAACTTAGCATTACGTGAGTATACGCCGCTACGTGTTAAATGTACGGGATCTTTTTGGCTATCATGACCTCTAACTTAATGCACAATCGAAAAGGTCCCTACTGTGTTTGAAAATTATGTCACGGATTGTCGCGTTGACGGCCGGTCAGTTCAGCTGGCTCTGTGGGACACTGCGGGGCAGGAAGACTACGAACGTTTACGCCCCCTGGCATATTCAAAGGCTCATGTCCTCCTAATCGCATTCTCTGTAGATACTCCAGATTCTCTCGAGAACGTTCGAAATAAGGTGAGCTCCTCCCTTCCTGCTGAGGGTAGCAAGGTCTTTATCTCAGTGTTTAATTCCTGCTCTTGCTGATAACAAATATAACATAGTGGATTGAAGAAGCAAACGAGCGTTGCCCTGATGTACCAATTATACTTGTGGGCCTGAAGAAAGATTTGCGTGAAGATCCCCATGCAATTGAAGAAATGAGAAAGAAATCCCTGCGTTTCATCTCGCCCAAGGAAGGCCATGATACGGCGACCCAGATCGGAGCAAGAAAATACTTAGAATGTTCATCTCTTACCGGCGAAGGTGTGGATGACGTTTTCGAAGCCGCAACCCGTGCAGCCCTTTTAACCTTTGAAAAGGACAGGAGCTCATGTTGTATAATCTTATGAGTTCATGCCGCGCTCCCCAATGGGAACAACCACCTTCACTGCCCCTTCATTCCTGGTTTGAGCATGAAGCAAACCCATTTGATGGATTTATCATACTTCTACACTGAAGAAACCTCCCAGATTTATCTGTCATCTTGTCTGGAATTCTCTTCCCAATATCGTTTGAAAAACTGGGTTATCTCCTTTGCACAAAATAGTGTTTGACAGGAAACAATTGATGGATATTGAGTTACATTCTGTATGTGACCGACTGCTCTCGAATTGATTTATATTATGCATCTGTGGCGTTATTTGGGATTCCATTTTTCATATCTTGGCAGTCTTGTGATTCTTACCACTTTCATGTGAATTCTTTGCATTTTTAATTATTAGTTGAAATAATTTTTCCACCTGTACTGTGTTATGTGATAATGCTGCCTTTCCTAACCTCTTTGCCCTTCACGCAACCCCCTTCCTTTCCTCCTTTTACTTCTCCCCTAAGTCCCTTCTCCACTCCCTAATTTGCTTTATATGTTTGTCCGTCGAGCTTACATTTAATACCTTTTCGCCTTTGAGTTTAGTTTTTTTGTTCATCTTCATCTCCCTGTTTCATGACTGGGCTTGTTTCCCTGCTCCACCTTCCATTTTACCCTATCCATACCCATACCCATCCGACTTAGCTTCGAATACGCCGGATTTTTCTTCCATTTATTACTTTATCTACCATCAAAAATTGACGAACGACGATATTCTGACAGATTCCCATCTACCATGACTTATATTTATTTTTTCCGTATTCTTGTGCCTAATAGCCTTCCTCGTTGCGTACCCCTATCCTGTATTTTCTACCATCCATTTCTAAGGCTGCCCTGCTGTTTCAATGATATCTTTCTTTTTAACTTGCTAGAGCAGAATGGATTGAGGTGGAATGCTTCGTCAGCGAAATTGTAGGCAAAGCTACGCTCCTCACTAGCTATCGGTCACGATACATATACTTGTTCTGGAGGAGGTATTTAATTTGTCTTTGGAAGGAGATAATGATATATATATATATATATATGTGTATGTATCTATGTATTGACTTTTGCATCGATGTTTAATATAATGTATAGTACAGAAGTCCTAGAACGGCACACACGGAGAGACAAGTTGATGCAACGTATAAATAAAGGAGAGGGAAACGGCAATAAAATGCAAGCAAAAGGACAAAATGAGGTCGTATAACCCCACAATTCTCAATTTCAATGTATCTTCAAAAGTGAAAACACACCGCTCTCTCGCTTCACCTCCATCAAACTGCAAGCGAATTTAACCCAACGCTCTCGCCCCGCAGCTTCCTTCCTCAACCACCACCAAAACCTCTACCTCTTCCAGTCATAATTCCATCCGTCCTTACTAGGCCCCTCCGTCTGCATCCTACCATACTCAATCGGTATCTGGTCCGTGAAGACGCCCCTTTTATTCATTGAAATGCGGAACAACTTGCCACCATCCCCTGCTCCCGTTCGTAGCTCCTCGCACGCATCCCGCATGCTGTTCCACTGGCGTTCGAGCTCGAGCTGGCGTGCCTCACGCTTCTTGGCGCAGTAGAGTTGCCAGGCACGGTGGATGGTCCAATGGCGCAGGTAACGGTTGCGGGAGAAACGGAGGGGCCGTGGTGTTAAGGGGTGATAAAGGAAGTAGCGGATGAGTGCTGGAGTGGGCAGACACATTAGTACTCTAGTTGCGAGGGTTTGAAGGTCAAGCCCGGATACAGAGACGGAAGAAGAAAGGGAAGCTCTGGGAAAGTGAACAGAGAAAGGAGAGGAAAACCAATTGCCACATATGCCTTCCCCCCAGCCCCAAATACAAGGCCAACTTCAACAACTGGCGTTTTCTTTTCTTTCCACTGCATCTTGTATTTGGGGCGCAGGGGGTAAAGGTACATATAGGTGGCAGTTGGCCCTCTATCATCCGTAACCCGTTCAACCCTTCTAGCCTAGTAGAATATAGGACAAGATATGTATATAATCTAAATCTACTTACTAACGCGCTTATCAATCACTTTCTTCCCTTTCCGCGCAGATAACACAGGGCCGGCGGAAAATGGTCGCGAAAACACTGAAGTCCGCAGCTCACCGCACACCCTGCTCGATAGCGGTGCTTGCAAGAATGATGAGGAGCTCAATGGGGAGGAAGCAAAGGATGCTGATGAACGGGCAATTGGGATCTTGAAGACGCTCGCGAGTGACGCCAGGACGGGAGATAGTTGTTGTCTCATCGCGGTTCGGATATGGTGGATTCGAATAGGTATTTCGGTTTGGTCTGTGGAGGCCGAGCCAGGATTTTTTTCGGCGGGCTTTGCTCAGGTAATTATTGATCCTTTCTGGAAGAAAAAACAGCAGAATAAATAGCTTTGTCCAGGGCAGACCCGCTTCCGCGCTTGTCTTTGTTGAATTTGCACAACGCGGAGGAACACTGCGTGGTGGATATTCTAATATTATCCATCAACTTACATGGAGGTGAGGCTCAATGAAATTTGGGATGTTGCTAGGCGGCGGCAGGGATGGCGGATGCTGGTTGGGCGGATTAGCCGCTAGACGCCACACTCAATCTAGAATACGACCACCTTCCAAGGTTCATATGAACGGAGTGGAAACCGATAGAAATTTTGTACGCTTTTTTCGTATTCATATAATCTAGATGCAATAGAGAGATATCGTAGTGGCCTAATTGTACACAAAGGAAAACTTCAAAATGGATACAATCTACTCGTACTCTGCCAATTGGACAACTCCGTTTGATAGTTGGCGCAAAGGCCATTCATGTCTTGAAAGTTGAGGCAAAATCATCATCCCACGCCTGCCAATAAGAAAATAGGCAACTCGCCTACCAAACATGCCATGGCCATGTCCCATCATGCATCGTGACGGTCAGGGGTTTGGTTCAGGATTAAAAAGAAATAAATAAAGAATAGACCGGAAAATAGCATCCTCGCTCAAAGTAGGAACGTGATGAGGGCTGAAGAAACAGATTTTCGCCTCTAATTTAAGATAGGTAGGTAGGCGCGTATGTATCTGTATCACATTTCGCATGGTAGTTATTGATGCGTAATTATTAGGATCATTATTTCGACTCTCCCCGCCCCGCAGCCTGCTTCTTCGTCCGATCATAATTGAGCACCTTTCTTTTCCGGTGTGTATTTGCCAACTTCCATCGACAATATAATACCAGCGCATCTTTCAAAAGTACAAAGAGGCAGCCTCCTACAACACTCCGTCCCCATCTACTTTGCAGCAAGCCATATCTGCTCGCCTCCAGTATAGGCGAAGAAGACGTTGCCACTGATGGGACTGTCGTCCAGGCTTTCGGCAATGCCATCTTCAGCACGCCACCCATCGACGCTGAGATGACCGGGAATAGCAGCGCACCCAGAACTGTGTCTGCAATGTTGCTCGTATCATGAATTATTGCCTCTTGTCGCCGGCCAAGTATCTGGTTGCCTTGCTCAGCGCCTCCTGCTTCTTGGTTTTGGGCAGCTGCACCGTCATCAGGAAGGTCCTCGCCGCCTGCTCCCGGTACCACGGGCATATTGTCAATGTCATCATTTCCTCCACCACCAAGTCCGACTTGTAGCTCTAAATCAATCTCCATGAGGATATCGCCATTCCCTCCGTCCGCTGCGCCTCCACGGTCACCATCCTGCTGTCCGTCAGCACCAGCTTCTCCCGAGCGCGGCTGTACCTCTGCAATCCACCTCTTCTCCAGTTTCCCAAAAACCCTCTCGTAAATCATACTATAAAAGCTCTTCACATATGGCAGTGCTGCAAACGTCATCGCAGCGCTGGGCGGCCAGAAATCCATCTCCAGCTCCTGGCTGCCAGGCTGGTGCGTAGCAAAAAAGAGAACGGGTATAGCCGGTAGCAGGCCCTCCGCATACTTCGTTCTCGAAAGTATGAGCACGACCGGTATGAGGGGTAATCCAATATTCAATCGCGGATTCCACGTCGATTCGTTCCGGCTCTGGAAAATCCGCTTCGCATCGTCCGAGCCAAAAGTTAGGTATACAGAGTACACCCCATGCGCACAGCAGCCTGCCCACAGAGTCCCAGCCAGCGTACAGATCATGCCTGGTAACACAAGCCGGCCCGCCAGCCGCTCAACAGCCCGCACCAGGTCGACGACAAGGCTTCGCGGACGCGAGATGACGATTTCGGACTTGCATTGGGGACAGAGCATTTTGGCGGGATGTCTGTTTCGTTTTCGAGAGTTTGGGTTCTCGAGGTCGGCGAGCCAGTCAAGGAGACAGGCTTCGTGGGCTGTCAGGGCGCAGGGACATGGTGATCGCCACTCTGTGTTCAATGGGGTATCTTCGGTTTCATCGGTGTAGCAGATCCAGCACTTGCGCGGCTCGGAGATTACGGTGGGGGTTTCAATAGGGGCACTTTGCTGTATTCCGTCTGGTGAGGAGTTATCCATGATGGAAGGCTCTTGGTTTTGTTGACCTGACTGCTCTTGTTGCGGTGATGTATCCGGTAGCTGTTGCACAGGCTCTATTTCTCGGACTCCCGAGGCCTTCGAGACGTTAGGAAAAACGTCTAGGCGTTCGACGGAAGCGTTTGTATGGAGGGAGGAATCTGTCTCGGATTGAGGAGGTTCTCCGCTATTAGCTGATGAAGCGCTGTCAGATATCTGATGGGACGCGGAAGGGAGCTGCCTTCCCGCAGGAGATTGTGGGGGCAATGATGCCATCGTATGTGTTATTGTGGCTTTTACGGCTGTGTTCAAGTTCGCAGCACACAGAACGTCTTTATTTCATTTAAGCGATTAGAGAATTACTAGAAGAGTTTAAAAACATTAACATGATTGAAGCTTGCCAGCTTAGCCACTCAAACAATGGACGTCAGAGGCGAAATATGGCACGTGACTAGGAACTGTATCCATTTATTTAAATACCTTGGTCTTTTTTTTTGGAACAGCGGAGGAGGGGTTCTCAAGGAAATGATCTCAAAAAGAACAAAAAAAAAAAAGGAAACAAACAGGAAATTTGGAAATATAAATCTAGAATAATTTAATGGAATAACATGTGCTGCATGCCATCAAATTGGGTGCTCGTGGTTAATCTCAGTTGCCGAAATTCGCCGTGAAAAAATCAGCCTGGAAAAAAAAAGCACCTATATACAACCCGCTAAAAGGAACAGATACCGGCTGATCAATGGATCAATAGGCCTGAAATGTCCTTGTCCGGGAAACATGTCCGACTCCTTTTCCAATCCTTCAGAGAACATGCAACCGACTATACAGTTTAACGCTTTAAGGTATTTTTGGTTGTGCTCTTACCGCGCTTTGCCAGCTTTTGGTTTGTATTTTTTTTTGAACCCCCAGAACGCCAATGGATATCAAGGAGGAAAAAACTTGAGGACAAGAAATGAAAAGAGAAAATGAAGAAAGAAGAGAAAAAAAAAGAAATATAAATTAGAATCATGTAAAGCAAATGAGAGCTAAATGCAGAATAACATAAATAGAATGGCCGCCCCTGACACTTGCAAGCATCTCACAAGGCAGCCATCCTCTTGGATGTATTAGCGGCCTGGTAATCGCGGTGTGCAATGGGAGTGGCAAATCTAATGTCCAGATCGCTGCTTCATGATGGCTCTTCGTTCCTTTTCCTTGGCTGTATTATTGAGTTAGCCATTAATGTAAGATCAAACATACAGCGAGAAATTGAAATTGAAAGCAATGAGTGGGGAGTAAACTGCATACCTTCATCATACACCAAGAACTCATGTAGCCCCTTGCCCGTCGGGACCATTGGTAGAACGGGGACTTTCTTATCGGTTGTCACTTCGAGCAAGGCCGGACCCTCGCTCTCGATAAGCCACTTCAAGCTCGATTCCACATCGTTTGGTTTCGAGCACAATCTTGCTTGTACACCCATAGCTTCGGAGACCTTGACGAAATCCGGATTCAGCTGGTGAGTATGGGCGAAGCGGTCCTCGTAGAACAGGCTCTGCCATTGCGTCACCATACCCTGCTCCTCATTGTTCAGAACGATGATCTTAACGCCAATATTGAACTGCGCTGCAGTTGACAACTCCGTGATGGTCATGTTGAACGATGCATCGCCATCAATGTCGATCACAAGAGCGTCCGGCCGAGCAACCTTTGCACCAATGGCAGACGGTAGCCCGTACCCCATAGTGCCGAGCCCACCAGAGGTGATCATAGTCCGTGGATATCGCCATCTGAAGTGTTGGGCAGCCCACATCTGGTGCTGGCCGACTCCAGTAGTGACAACGGTACGGTCCTTCATATGCGCGGTCAATTCGTTAAGTTTCTCAATAAGTGCTTGGGGTTTGATGAGGCCTTCTGGGGTTTGCCTTTCGTAGAGGGAAAGAGGGAATCTCTTCTTCCAGTCATTAATCTGCGCGAACCATTCGGGTCGTTCCTTGATAGCTTTGATCTGTGGAAGCAAACGAGCAAGGTTGTCTGCACAATCACCTTCAACGGGTATCGTTGCTTCGACTACCTTGTTGATATTTTTGGGCACCATCTCAAAGTGAATAATACCACCCCGGTTTTCCGAAGCGGCAGCCTTAGCTTGGGGAGCAAACTTGGAAATGTTTCCAGTAACACGATCATCAAATCTGGCACCCATGGCAATAATCAAATCTGCCTCTTGCATAGCCATATTGGCGTAAGCTGAGCCATGCATTCCCAGCATATGGAGAGACTTCGGATCCATTTCGTCAAATCCGCCTAGGCCCTGTAGAGTTGTGGTGACCGGAATGTTGGCCTTATCTGCCAGCTGCTTCAGCAATTCCGGGCCTTCTGGACGCGCAAGGAGCCCCTGGCCAACATAGAGCACGGGCTTCTTTGCAATGTTAATCAACTTAGCTGCAAGCTGGATATTGGCATCCAGATAGCGTGCATTAAGCTCTCGCGCCGCAAGGGTTGCAGCACTTGGCTGGGTGGGGAGCGTGCTGCTCATGGGGATAGGCTTCTGCAGAATACTGGCAGTCACATCTTTGGGGAGATCCACCAAAACAGGGCCCGGTCGGCCACTGGTGGCAATTTCGAATGCCTCTTTGATCCGCCTGGGGAGCTCAGCGACAGATTTTACCATGACATTCCACTTTGTACAAGCTCTCGATATGCCAATTACGTCGGCTTCCTGGAAGGCATCCGTTCCAATTGCGGTTGTCGCAACCTGGCCGCAAAAGACCACCATGGGAGTTCCGTCGGACATAGCATCCTGGATCGGCGTAATAACGTTGGTTGCACCAGGTCCTGATGTGACAAGCACTACACCTGGTTTTCCCGATGCCCGAGCATAGCCTTCAGCCATGTGTCCAGCACCTTGTTCATGTCGTGGAAGTATAAAGTCAAGGTTTTTCGAGTTGTAGATCGCATCAAAGACTGGCAAGATAGCACCACCAGGGTATCCAACTACATTATTGCGGCTGCGTTTAGTACATACCTAAACAATTTTCCCAAAACATGTCTCCTATTGGAGATTTTATTTGCTTTTTTTTTTTTTTTTTTTTTTTTTTTTTTTCTGGTATGACTCACATATATGCTTAACTCCTTGTCTTAGCATCATCTCATGAAAAATTTCCCCCCCACTCATTCCGATAAATCTGCAAACAGCTGTGAATAATATATCAAAAGATACAGGGGTGCCCACCTCACTGTGTAAATACGTACGATTCATCCACAGCCGGTATATTCTGGTTTTGGAGAGGTGAAATATCATTTTGGGGGGTATATTGATTGAAAGCAGGGCTCGGATATGGCCGTGCATGTCTGTTCTCATGCGCGACAAAGTTAGCTTAGACCAGCACAGATACACAGTGGTATGCATTGGGTTTCCGAGAGGTTGAAAAAAAAAAGGGAAGACAAGGAATGAAATAGGAAATACAATGCACAACGTACGGAGATGGGGCAGAAACAGTGCTCTGATCTCTTTTTGGTACCTCCCTTGCGGAAGATCTCTGGCTCAAGCGGCTTTGTGAGGAAATAGAAGCAGTGGCGGCGGAGGAGGAAAAGGGTCTCGAGCAGTTCAAGGAAGAAGCCTTTTGGGCATGGAGGGCGCAGAGGGCACGCCTCGATAGCCGTATCGACATCATTTTTGTGAGCGGCGAGAGGCCAGGGCCAGCCAAGTCAGGATAACTAGAAAACTTTGAGAAGAGGTTCCAAGTCGCGGAGAGGAATGGGCGGGGGAATTGGAAGAGGCGGGTGGGATTGAGCTGGAGGTTATTTATTCACAGCAAACCCTGGCGCTCACTGGACATGTCTTCCCATTGTCTGGATGCTGGACAGTCATAACGGGAGAGCTTGTGTGCAATCGGCGCGAGAATCGGGGGGACGGCGGGCACGTGACACCGATTCTCGGACAAATTGGAGGCTTGCCATTGGCTGGATTAGCTGACTCAACTGCTGTTTATCAGAGCCAAGGCGCTAGAAAGGCAGGGTTTTCGCTTAGTCATTAACTCTGGGGTGGGCCAAGTCCATGCACTAGACCTATTGTATACTAGTCTTCCTGCACTGGGAATGGCAGCTTGCCCCTGATAGTGTCTTTAAGTGCACCAGCCAAAGAGCAATGTGTGACATAGTACTCCGTAGAGGCAATGCCCCTCTTCAGATACGCAATATTGGGCGTGTGGAATGATGACATAGGTGTAGAAACCAGAACAACGTAACTAGAACAACGTAACCAAAGCTCAAATGGTTTTGCATGTAAGTTGGAGGCGCTTGCATTGTATGGATTGACATTGCTTGCATTCTCATACTAGTAACACGTGCTATCAGGCTAAACAACGGTTCATTCAAGGGTTGAAAATTGTGTCTCCCCGGACAATGGGAACAAGAGAGTGTAAAATCAGCAAAAAGGAAATATCATTCTGGGTTCATTGAGTCGTTGCGACGCGATTTGCTGTGAGCATACATTAAAAATATAGAAGCGTAAAAGCGTAAAAACGTTAAAACGTAAAAAAAAAAATAAGCGTAAGAAGTATAGAAACGTAGTAGAGAGGAAATTCCCAGCAAATCAATTTATATCTGACCACCATTCTTCCATCCAAGGACCCCTAGAAATGGCTCAGGGTAGGTAATTCAATTTATTAGAATGACGCGATTTCTCTCCCTCCTTTCGCCGGCCCCGGCACCTGGACCCAGCTCTCACTTGGGCTCAGAGATATTGCCCTGGACGAAGCGGCTCAAATAGGCGACCTTCTGACTCAACTCATTGATGCTGCTACCAACTGTAACATCAATGAGCGATAACTCTGTTCCGGCCTCTTTCGCTAGCCAGGTCCGGAATTCAATTGCAATCAGTGAATCAACTCCATTGGAAACAGTCGACTTGCCCGTGTCGATTTGATCAGCAGGAACATTTAGAAGTAAAGAGAGTTTGTTTAGAATGCCGTTCAGTGCTATTTCGGCTGCCTCCTCTCTGCTTCTTGCAGCCTCGAGTAGAGCGTCGACACGATAGGTATCTGTCGCTTCCGACCCTTGTTGTTGGAAACCACTTGTCTTCTGCAATATGGTGAATAAGGGGTAGTTGAAACATTCAGGCGGGGGGATTCCACGCTCTTGGGATGACTTCTTTGTGGCTAGGCCGAAGAGTACCTGGCATGTACTCTCGGTCATTTCATGTCGTGGGTCGATTAGATATTCCACGACTGCGTGAACTTCGTCTTCCCGAATGGGTATCATAGCCTTGGTCGCATTTCGAGCATACTGTTGATTTTCAGCAACGAAACCAACGGACAGCACCCCTCCGATGTCGAAGCTTGCTGCTCGTAGCCCGTTCGAAACGCGATGTTTGGCAAGAGCGTCCTGATATGTGTTACCTGCGGCATAGTTTGCCTGACTGCGGCCTCCCATAACCCCAGCAAGCGAGGAGAGCATGACGAAAAAGTCAAGGTCTTTGGGCAAAACATCATGGAGATTCTGGGAGCCTTGAGCTTTTGGTTTGATTGCCGCTGTCCAATCCGCATACGACAGGTTTTCAAAGAGTGAGTCCTACAATCCCGTTAGCGTTTATCTATTCATAGTCCCCTACTCTCTGCGGGTTGGATATCTCCTTTCAAAAGCGAAGAAATACTATTTGGATTACTCACCTTCAGGACCATTGAACCTTGGATACATCCTCTAATTGGGGGTAGTGTCTGGCAACACTCCTCAACAACCGATTGTAGTCGAGATACATCAGACACGTCGCACGTGAAGATTCGAATTTCGCACTCTTTCCCTTCCAGCTCGGAAACCATATCTTGAACTGGCTGCGTGATTTTTCCCGAACGGGACAAGAATATCAAATGCCTCGCGCCGCGACTCACCATCCACCGCGCCAAGCTTCTCCCAAGCCCTCCAAGACCCCCAGCGAGTATATAAGACGCATTAGCCTCAAATGTATAGGGAGTTTTGACCTCAGGGATAACGGGGACAATGTCCTTTTCGTTAGGTGCGAACACTATTTTGCCAATATTCTTGCCGGACTGCAACATGCGAAGGCCATCTTCAAGTTCAGAGTAACCCAGGGTTGTTAGTGGATAGGCCCCCTTGATTTTCTTGTCTTCCCACAGGCGTATGGTCGTTTTGAGAAGCTCTCGCACAACTTTTGGTCTGGACTCCGCAAGGGTAAGTAAATCCACTCCAGTAAACGAGATATTTTGAAGGAAGGGAGTCATATCCAGTTTTCCGCCGGCCTGCAAGTCTTTTTTCCCAATCTCAATAAATCGACCAAAGGGCGCAACACATTCAAAGGATTGCCGAAGAGACTCTTGAGAAAGCGAGTTGAGAACCAAATCAACACCGGAATTGTTAGTCATTCTCATGATTCCTTGAGCAAAGCTGGTGTCTCGGCTTGTGAAAATGTGATCTTCAAGGATGCTGTATTCCTTCTTGAGAAACTCCATCTTTTCAATGGTCGAGACAGTTGCGAAAACCTCAGCCCCAATGTACTGAGCGTATTGAATGGCAGCCTGGCCAACACCACCAGCTGCGGAGTGAATGAGAATCTTTTCTCCGGCAATAAGTCTACCTACATTTGTCAGACTGTAGATGACAGTAGCGTAAATAACTGGAAGGCCTGCAGCAACTTCGAAACTCATATTGTTCGGCATTCTGATAGCCAGCGATTCATTGACTCTGCCGTGGCTGTGGAATGTCCCCTTTTTTGGCGATTCGGTGAGGTAGACCACACGATCGCCGGCCTGCAAACGCCTAACACATGGCCCAACCCTGGTCACGATCCCGGCTGCCTCTCTCCCAACAACATCACCCACCCCTTCGCCCATTATACTTAAAAGGTCAACGAAGTTGAGCCCTACAGCGCGAACATCAATTTCAACGTCTGAGTCTCCTAGCGGCAAGGTAGAGGACGTGTCAGTCACCCATTGCAGTTTGTTGAGCACTCCCCGAGTGCCGTTCTGGAGTTTGACCGGACATCTTATGTTCTTCCACGGTACCATCTCGGGACTGAGAGTCGAAAATTGCGAACGCAAAAAACCGGTTGCCTTAGGATGGTTAAGGATGTGGTTAACGTAAATCAACCCATTCCGCAGAATATACTCGGCGTTTTGATGTTTCGTCTGTCCACTGGTGAATTGATATTGGAATATCTTCAACACCAAATCGACGACTGATCTAGAAGGGGAAGAACTGGAGTCACCGAGTCCGAGGGTAACAAAATTCGGGCTCTCCGCATCGTGTTCCCATCGAAGTGTGCGAATCATGCCGGTGCTCATGTTGAACGCCGGCTGGGCGGCCGGATCTCCCGTTATCCACAATAATCTTTTGCATGTTGAAAATAATTGCTGTAGGTTCTTGAAGTCGTCCTCAGAAATTTCAAGCAGCAGGGGGATTTCAAGTTCTAAAAGAGAGATGCAGATAACGTTGGATATATCTTTTCCCATGAACTCATGAAGCTGCATGACAGTGCAGCTCGTAACTCCAGCGTTTTGCGCAAGTTCAACTTTTAATTTGTGAATTAAATCGTGATCAACATCGGACGAAGGGGCAAGGATCACCACATCAGTTCCTGGCCTGCTATGGTCGGAAGAATCTGAGACAGCTGAGGAAATCATTGTGCTGAGCTTTACAAACTCAGGATATCGCGAATTGGGGATCTCAATTTCAACTCCCGAAAATCCCTTCTGACGAAGAAGGTCATTCCATTCTGGAAGTGTGATGAGAGGACACCATTTGCGATTGGGTTCATTGGACAACCACCAGCCAGAGAGAAGACCGAATATAAGTGAAGGCCACACAATGTCAGGCCTGACTACTTCATGGACCAAGATCTTGCCACCTGGCTTCAACAAACGTTGAGTATTTTCGAGAGACTTCCCTAGGTCTGGTGTAGCATGCAGCACGTTGTGCGCAATGACCAAGTCGTATTTTTTGGCAGTAAAGCCCTGGGTTGTTGGGTCGCGTTCAATATCTAATTTCTCAAATGTAAGGAGGTCTGTCCATTCGCTTAGATTTTCCTTTGCCTTGGAAAAGAAGCTAGGGGAAATATCAGTGAAGGTGTACTGGGCAACTGTATTTGTGCTATCTGTGCTTCCCTGCTCAGCCCTTGGCGCGAGAATATTCAAAAGAAGTCGAGCGAAGCTTCCGGTTCCGGCACCCACCTCTAGAATCTCAAGATCGCTGTAGTTTTCGCCGAGGAGGGATAAATATGCATCGACGTTCTCCGTGGCGTCGCCCTCATGCAACACCTCCTCATAATAGGAGGTCATGATGTCGTCTTGACCAAACATGATATACAGTGGATCTACTTCATTCCGCATAATCGCCGGAATCTGAGAACCTAATCGAATCATAAGTTCCCCATCCTTGTTCAACTTTTCGACCTCCTTGTAAAGCTCCTTTTTAAGGTTTGGATCCTCGGAATATTTTTTCCATGAGTCGAGTGGTGCATTCACCACTGAATTTGCTAGGACATTGTCCGCAATCCGATGCATCCATTCGTAATACTTTTGCAAATGACTTGTAGGAGGATTGACAGCTGTACCTTTAAGTTCGCTGAGGGCATCGGTAATCAGAAGCGACGATGCGAGCTGCAGCTTTTCAAATAAGTTTTGCTGCTCCTCGTACGACGCCGACGGGTCAACTGATACAGCCTGGTGGAATTCTGGAGACTCCAACATATCGATATCAAGCGTCCAGTCCATCGAGTAGCCGTGTTGTTGTGTGCCACTTAGCGAAGCGTCCTCATCCGACAAGGGTGTGAAGCGAACACCTGAGAGAGAGACCCGTGGCTGATCGTCGGATCCATCCGAACATTTGATGTCGAAACTATAGGAATCGTACGCTTCTAGAGACGCTTGTCCGTGACATCGAAAATTGGTTCCTGCTTGGGAATTGTTGTCCATGGAAATCCACGAGTCTTTGATGAAAGTCGGTACCATGGGTCGCTTCAAAACTGTCTGGCCGCCATGGTCACAGATGGCCACAAGCCCAGCAACAAACATGCTGTCTAACGTGACAGGATGAATGGTGTGAGACTGGAGATAACCCTTTGGCATTGTAGACGCCAATTCCGGGGTGGTAGCCGTGGCCGTTATGACACCTGGTTGTTGGTCGTTGGCTGTGATATCGGATAAGTTCTTAAAAATAGGGCCGTATTTTAGGCCGACAGTCTCGAAGTTGTCGAAGAGCTTTCCAATGTCTAGCGGCGTCTGGCAACTCTGTGCGCCTTGTGCTATTTCATCTTTCCAAGCCTGGGTAACCGCTTCAGCCTCACGGCCATTGTCGATTGGATCCGGAGAGGCTACGTATTGGACGGAAAAATAGCCTGAACAATGTTCTATCCAATCGTCATGGGCCGAGATGTAAGAGGACACCTGGAACCACTTCCACACGGTAGACTCCCAATTGTTCGATTCGTTCACGGGGTGAATGGATAAGGACACCTCCACGCCCTCTCTTGTATCTGGAACCACAAGAGCAGATTTTATGGACACATTCCTCAACCTTATTCCAGTTAGTTTGACTGCATCACCTGTGACTTGCCTTACCGCCTCAGTCACCATTGTCAAATATGCAGCTGCAGGAAGAACGCAACGTCCAGTGACCTAGAGAGACTAGATTAGCAACACACTAAAATATAGGTATTTCATTGACGGCTAGATCGTGTAACGTACCATGTGCTCTTTTAGCCAAGGATTTTCATAAGTTCTGAGGAAATGGCGCCATTTGCGATTCTGTCTGTTCCAGTCCTGGACGGGCGCACCAAAAAGTTGATGCCGTGGGAATTCTCGGAAACGTATCTTTTTGCTCAGTCTACTTTCGTAGTAACCTTTTTCGTCATGGTTGAAGGAGTATGGAGGAAGGCTGACAAGCAACTGTGGGCTCCGCTCATTTTCCTTTTGTCCCATGAAACCATGATTGACTTCATAAATATTGACTGGGGCTGCTTTGCCAATTAGGCTTCCGATAGCACCCATCATGGTACGGATACTAGGGTCTTGACGATTAAGGAGAGATGTGTACGAAACTGGAGGTGGGGAGGGAGTGGCAGCGATGGTCTGCTTGATCGCACTTTGCAATGCAGAGTGTGGACCTACTTCAATTATTTCATCTATCCAAGGTTGGTCGAATTGACGGGGTTCGATATCGCTATCATTTGGGTGGAAGAGCATAGCAAGTAAACCATCAGTGAAACGGACTGGCGAAACCATATTATCAGCCCAATAAGAGGTTGCAAGCTCAACTTCTTCGATCCTCTTCCCTGAAATTGTGGAGAACATCTGGATGCTGCGATTGCAATCGAGGAATTGTCCGGGAGGGGGGAAACCCATCAGTTCCAGATATTCTTCAGCAAGTTGCTGCATATGGGATGAGTGGTAGGCATTCTGGACTTTGAGCTTGCGTGCGAAAATGTCTTCCGCATCAAGCAACTCTTTCAGCGCGTCGATCATCACTTCGTCGCCAGAGACGGTATTGTTTCTCGGGCTATTGTAACACGCAACGACTAACTCCCCTTTGTGAGTCGCATGTACTTTGTCCATATTCACCTGTAACTTTTCCTGACTTAAACCAACGGCAATCATAGCACCTTTAACACCTTGTTGCTTTGCAGAGACAAAGCCGCGGTAGTAGGCAGCTCCCCACGCAGACTCCCTAGATATTTTACCAGCGCAATAAGCCGCAGCGATTTCACCCGAGGAATGGCCAACAACACGAGCTGGATAAATGTTCCAAGAAGCTAGAAGGTCTACAAGAGCAACTTGGATAGAGGTCGACGCAGGGTGGGCAATGGCAGGAGTATGAATTTTTGAACTGTCGTTGTCTCGAATAATTTCATCTGGTGCACAAATTAACAGAAGACTATATTATCATAGGTACAGCAACACTTACCTATTAGAGAGAATGGGCTCCCGAGAGTGTTCATATACTGGGTCGCATCCTCCAGACTCTTTCGAAAAACTGGGTATATCATGAACTGCTTTCCCATTCCATGATACTGGGCGCCCTGGCCAGTGAAAACGAACCCAATTCTAGGCGGACGATCAGTATTTGAGGGTTTGGATGGAGCCTTAACAGTAGATAAACTTTCTTCTAGCTCCGTAATCGAGTCTGCAACGACATAACTTTTCCATCGGAAATCTGATCTCTTTTGGGACAATGTATATGCAAGATCACTGAGAAACTCTGCATCCTCCGATTGCAAGGAGATCTTAGTTGCAAGGTGATTTCTCAAATCCGACGCAACTCTCTGTACACCATCCCTATCAAATGCGGACAAGACAAATAGTTGGGAAGTTTTCGTCTCGCGGCTTGACAAGGTTTCGGGCACGGCAGGGGAGCCATTCACAGCCTTCGCGTTCGTGACATCAGCAGCTCCATTCTTTTCAACTGCCCCATCCATGGCCTCACCGCTAGCATCAGTCTCGATTCCATTGGCCCCATTCGTAGCTTTTTTAACGGCAGCATCCATGGTCTCAGTAATGGCATCAGTTTCAGACTTTCCATTGACCCCATTCGTAGACTTTTCAACGGGCCCATCCATGGCCCCATTACTGGCATCAGTCGCAGACTCCCCATTGGTTCCGTTCGTGGCTGCACAATCGGCGACATTCGCAGACTCGCCATTGAATCCATTCGAGATTTCACCATTTGTTCCATTCACATTGTTCTCCGTGACAGCAATGGCCTCTCTATGAGTTAGCTTCACATTTCCGTTGGCAGGGACCCCTGGTTCCTGATAAATATTATTCAGTGAGGTGACAAGCTGATTGATTTCTGCCTTAGTTGGCACCCGTGTACGAGTCCTATGGACCCCGTTCAGGCCTTGTTCGTGCAAGAAGTGGTATGCGTCATCCAAAATGCAGTGTGCATTAGTTCCACCAAAGCCAAAAGAGTTCACAGAGATGCGACGGGCACCTTGTTTGGGCCAAGGTATGCATTCTGTAGGAAACTCGAGATTCCACTCATCCTTTGGGATCTTTGGATTGACTTTCTCAAAGTTGGTATTTGGAGTGATGATGCCGGCTTCCAAAATCATAACTGATTTAATGACACCCGCAATTCCCGCACCGCCTTCAAGATGTCCAATACTCGCCTTCAACGCGCCAACATATAGAGGTTCTTTGCGGTGTTCCGATCCAAACGCACTAGTAATGGCTCTTGTCTCAATGGGGTCTCCCACGGGTGTGCCAGTTCCGTGTGCTTCAACAAACATTGTGTCCCTGGGGTCCAATTTCGCATTGCTATAGAGTTGGCGAATTAGTGTTTCTTGTGCCTGAGCGCTTGGAAGGGCAATGCCTGGTGTTCGGCCGTCCTGGTTCACGAGGGTTCCGCGAATGACCGCTCGTATAGTGTTTCCGTCTTTAAGTGCATCTGATAGCCTCTTGACTATGATAGTTCCCACGCCTTCTCCACGAGCATACCCTTCGGCTCTGTGATCGAATGTGAAACATTTGCCTGATGGGCCAAGAACACCAGAATGGCTAAATGCGATAATATCTCCAACGTGGCTAATGACACTTCCGCCGGTCACAACAGCCTAGAGAAGACTCTTAGTATAACTCACTCAAGATAAAGAGAATAGACGAGTTGAGAGATTGAGTGGGTTACCATTTCACTGTCGCCAGACTTTAAACTCTGTGCAGCTAAGTGAAGGGAAACAAGCCCACTGGAGCATGCAGTATCAACCGTAACGCTGGGTCCGTGAAAATCATAAAACCAGCTGACCCGGTTTGAAATGATGGACTGCTCTGAGCCAGTCGACTTGTGTTTTAAGGACGTTTCAACATCCGTATTTAGAAGATTCCTGTGGTCATGGTTAAAGCCAGCAGCAAAAACAGCAGTCTTGGAGGATATCGCCTTTTCCATGGGAATTCCAGCTAGGGAGTTCAAGCAAGTTAGAAAATTTCTTTTAAATTTAGAAATGGCATCTGACGAGAGGTCTACTATCATATCTTACCGTTCTCAAGAGCGTGATATACATTTTCCATCACAAGTCGTTGTTGAGGATCCAAAGTCAGGACTTCGGTCTGGCTGATCCGGAAGAATCCTGCATCAAATCCCAATGGGTCCTCCGACAGGAAGTGGCCACCCTTGACATGAAACTGCAGAGAATAGTTAGCATAATATCCATTTGACTGATGACAAGCTTTATCTTGATATCATATGAATGAATGAAAACGAACCGTTCCGCCATGATCATGATCTGGGTGATAATATGCGTCTGCATTGAATCGATCTTTTGGGGCTGGAGTGGTTGATTGACGCCCTCTTAGCAAAAATTCCCAAAACTTTTCTGGAGAGCTCGCTTCCTGCGCGTAACGGGCTGAAAATCCGATTATGGCCAATGGGGTCATATTATGATCACCCATGACTAGCATAAACGCTCTAAAAATGGAAAGAAGGCGAAGCTTAAGGGTGGTTTAGCTTTGGGACGGATGCCCTGTGCTTTGAAACGATGATACTCTAGATCCCTGGTCTTGTCAAGAATAGTGGGGAATTTACACCCCCTATCCGGGAGATAGCTAATAATGGCCTCGATAAAACATTCTCCTCCCACGGGTGTCTCGTCCATTTATATATCCACGACATCTGAACCCAGCACCGATCTGAATCTTGCTTTTCCCGCGCTTCCCCTCCCCTACCCCTCCCCTACCCCTCTCACCCTCCGCTCATCAGAGAGCCTTGCATAAGCCTTGTCCATCATTATCACCCCCAAAAATCAATCAGTTCAGGCCACGTATTGTCCATTCTTGATTTTTAATGGACGATGAGGGATCGTTGGGAACTTGGCCAGTCGTAACTTGATGGATGCGGGGCAACGATGGAGACCAAGAGTTCTATGAGCGCAAAGCGCTCTAAAGGGAAATCTCCCCAGCGGATGACAGTGTAAAACCCGCGAACTTGCAGTTGTATCGGGGAATGCTTCGTCAAGGTTGCAATGTTGGAGCCACGTCACTTTCACAAGGGGCTTTTGTAGCAAAAGAGCTGTGTTTTGGATTGACTAAACTCAGCTAAGGAAGACTAAAGCGTGGACTTGAGGGACAAACTGCCATGGAGCTCAACTGTGGAGCTCCATATAAGTCTGCGGGACTCGCGGCATGCACCAACAACGGCTTCGGGCCGAAAGTAACGCCGCATAAGCTGCAAACCCACTTAGTACGAAGTAAGAATTCCTGCACATCTGAACAAACTTGGCCAGAGACCCTTCTGTATCAATACGGACGAGGCAGATTGCCTCTCAGCCATTTTCAGTTCCTGACGATATCGCGGGAGGAGTGGAAAATGGATGTCCGTGGTGTAGTTGTAACCTTGAGATATCCTTCAAGCAATCCAAAGTGACAACGGTTTCAGCTTCGGCGTTAACCGCCCGAGTCAGAATATTTTGATAATACAGCGTGGAATGTTTTCTGGGTTCAATATCCCATGGGAGGTGGACCCATACAGTAGCTGCATGCAATATGCTCCATGGGCAAGGGTGCAATGATTAATTTTTCCAGTCGCAACTTGCAGTAGTGCGTATGTCGTTTAGGGAGTCAACTGGGCCAATGGTGAGCGCAACCTGGGGTCCGCGCTACAGGATAGCGCCAAAACCCGGACATGGTTCTGATGGCCGCATCTGCACCCACACGGTCCAACATCCTATCCGATGCCTTGTTGAGGGTTGTGGGTGAGCGCAAGAACCATGGGCCTAATACATGTTTGATTCTCGGCCGGCCGGATTAACCTTCGTTGCGGCAGGGGATAAGGTGATGGGGCTCAAAATCGGACACATGGCTGAACCATCTTTTGATCTCCTCTGTGCAACCAAGCAAGCATTATCCTTGAATGCTTCCAAGTGGTTCAATTTTCCTGTGTATTGTCAACTTCGGGCTTTATACACATGATCTGTCATTGCTTTTTATGGAATGGATATCGTGCTTTTTCTGAATTATTATTTTTCGCAACTGAATGAACAAGAACAGCAAAAAAAGGCCAATGAACGCGCGGAAGAGGTGGAAACGAAGCTGGTGTGGAAATCCGGATCCCGCAGAGAACTTGGTCTGTGCCAGTGGGCTGGTTATTGGCCAACGGACTGGTTCTGATGGTCGAAATTCCTTCCTAGAAGTGTCTAGCAAAACTGCAACATCATGGTTTGACTTTTTGAGGGTTGGGCGCAGGCGGCCATGGCTCCTGGACTGTTCACCCCGGATGTCATGGCACTGATAATATTATTTGCAGGGTCTGACAGAGTAACTTCACGCAAACCGGAATTTGAAAGCCTGGGAGCTGCCTGACATGCACAGCCAGGCCAGCCTGGAGCCAGAGGAGAGCCCATAACCGCAAACAGGTCCAGAAAGGGCCTAGCGAACGCCAGCAAATTAAAAATAATCAGTCCAAGCCTGCAAGACCTGTCCCATGGGCCATGGGCCGTGGCATCCTCTCGGGCCATTCCCAGTCTCTGGGTAGTGTGGAGCGGCGTTGAGCCAATGGGATGGGCCCCAGTCTGGCCCGTGTCCAAGGATCAAAGAGGTAAGCAACATGCTCTGCTCCCTCTGTTGCTCGCTGAAGGCCAGGAAAACGTTGGGTTACCGAGTACCTAGAATCAGGTGGATCACGGATGCGACGCAATGCACCACCTCAACGGGGGACTGCTCTTGTCCAGCAGCGGATGGAGAGCTGGCTTGCCGATTCGTGCGTGGGCGTGCTTGTGTTGACTAATACCCAAGAGGGTTTACTGGCAGTCATAGCACCTCCACTTAAGTTCCCACTAGACTTTGCGACGCAGCCACCACGTCGTGAAGGATGCCCTGTTACCTTTGTCACGGATAATGTTGCAGCCAGGAAACTGTCAATTGCCACGGCTATTGTTTTCCATCACGCCGGAACTCGCTGATCTCTTCCCAAAAGTCCTGCTCCCAAGTGCCACCAGCCGTGAGCACAATATTAAAGTTGATCGTTTTGCTGGGTTTGCCGCGCCCTTCAAGCTCCACCGTCTTGCTTGGAGTCTTAGTTTTTATCGACGGCGCCTTCAGTCTCCTCTGAAATCCCTCGAAATCCATTGCCAGACCGCCTCCCCCGGGCCTCTGTGCTGTCGATTTCTCCGAAGGGAAATAATGAGCCACGATATGCTGTCACGTGCAACAGCCTTTCTGGCCTCTCCTTCGCTCTCTTTGTCCTTGGATGGGTGAACAGACCCAGTCCCCCGCCTCTAGCCCGTACCCAGCGTAGAATAGCCTGCAGAAGTGCGTGGCAATTTTATTCCGACTCTCCTATTCCTTACTAGTTAGTTCAATCGTGTTCCTGTAATTCTCCTGCCAGGAGCATGGGGAAACCACATCCTTGGTATCAACCACTCTCTCGGGAAAACACAAGCCAACCACCTCCTCACAACGCACTGAAACCCACGATTTAAATCTTGATATTTTAAATACACAGTCACCTGAATACTATCGTATCCGTCTTGAGTTGATGTTCGCATCCATGGATGAGGATGAAACATATTCCCTCACCTCCAGCATTCGCCATTACGAGTTAGTTGTCCCTACTCTACCCTTTAGCCACTGATTAGTTCCAATATTTGCAGCTAAACCTCTTATCCCCACGATTCTACAGATATTTTGGACATCGAAGATACCATGCCTACCATGCAGGTGAATACTTTATGCCGAACGACGAGGAAGAACAAGAGCGCTTGGATTTGATGCACCATTTGTTCCTGCTCAGTTATGATGGCGAACTCTACCGTGCCCCAATCCCAAAGACCGTTGGGCGCACTCTTGATATTGGATGTGGTACAGGAATTGTGAGTAGACATGATATATCCTTTATCGCCCTTCATCGATGTCTGGATTCGGGTAACAACTAATTCGTTTCATGACCTTGAAAATAGTGGGCGATAGATTTTGCCGATGCGCACCCCGCGGCCAAAGTTATCGGGTCTGATCTTTCTGCCATACAACCCGGCTATATCCCCGAAAATCTGCAGTTCGAAGTCGATGATGCCGAGGAGGATTGGCAGTACACCCAACCGTTTGACTTCATCCATATTCGGGGAATGGGCGGAGCGATAGCAAATTGGTCGCGGTTGTTAAAACAGGCATATGATAATTTGGCACCGGGGGGTTGGATAGAGCTGGCTGAATTCGATGCTTGGGCATCGACCGACGACAACAGCCTTCCCGAATCTTCTGCATATAATCAGTTCCAGACTCTCTTGGGAGAAGCGTCCGAATCATTCGGCAAACCGGTCAATGTCGCATGCAAGTTTAAGGAGTTTGTGCAAGAAGCGGGCTTCACGAACGTTGGGGAGGATAACCGGAAAATACCACTGTCGCCTTGGTCGTCAGACAAGAAATTGAAAAAACTCGGGAATTATATGCAGATGGCCATGTCGGAGTCTTTGGAGCCTTACGCCCTGGCTCTCTTTTCGAAGGTGTTGAACTGGGACAACATCATGATACAGGCCTTGCTTGCTGGGGCAAGAAACGATCTGAAGAATATGGACTACCATATGTACACCACAGTGTAAGGAGTAGTCTTTGCTAACATTGGAGAAAACAAGATTCAAAGGCTAACTATCAACTGCAGTCATCGCGTATTTGCTCAAAAGCCACTCTCTTGACGGGTTCTGGGCAGATATAAATGATCAATGATCCCATTAAAAATGCATGGTACAGCATTTGTAATATTCTTCTCGATATATCCAACAGACTCTTAATACCCCTTCGCATTCTTTTAAATTCTTATCGGTTTCTCTACGTTTGTCCTTATTGATTTTGATTTTCTCCTCCTGTTGGAGGGTCGGATCTGAAGCCGCTTGGGTATATTCTCGGTCATTAGCATAGCGCGTTATACGGTTCCATTTCATTTCGCAAATTTGAGAGAAAGGCTACTGTTCCTTTCGACCTTATTATTGTGGATTTTTTGCAGCAGCTGCTGCTACTGCTTTTATTGTGTCTTAGGGATCACTTCTGAAATATCTTTTTGAAAAAGACCCATTTCGGGATAATTTTCTCGGGCTCCGTTTTCCTTCATTTGATTTTTGATATATTCCACTTTCTCCTCTTGGCCGGTTTACTCCAAAATTGTACCTATGGACAGCAAATCCAAAACAACTGTCAGTCGCCATGTATTCATGCTGCCTTCGGGTGGGTAAATCTGTGAGGGGAATCTCTCATCAATCACGTGCTGCACCCCTTGGCTGACCTCACGATTGCAACCAGCTCTGGAGCGCAGGTTACGGAGTGTCCATGGATCAATTCCGTCATCTTACCGTATATGCGACTCAGATACTAAGACAAACCGATCCGGACTCAATGGTATTTCGGCCACCTCCTCATTTTCCATCACAAGTTGCCTTTTAGCTAAGTAAGAAAGAACAAGCCAGCTTCTCGAGTTGCATGTGGAGTGCCCCGCCGCGGACTACTCCAAAACCATCATGAATTCCCCAGGCGAGCTTGTCCCACAAACAGAATCTATCGCGGATGTCTACTCGACCGACCCAGCTGGTGGAGTTAGCATATCTTCCGACCAGAAACTCCGCTGGACCAATTTCATTGCCACGTTCAAGAAGCTCTACGGTGCCTCACCGGATTTCGTCGCGCGGAGCCCTGGCAGAGTCAACATCATCGGCGAACATATCGACTACTCGCTCTACGATGTCTTACCAACCGCCGTCAGTGTCGATGTCCTCATAGCTGTTAAAGTTCATCCAGCAGAGAAAACCCAAGAATCTTGGGCGAAAGTGGCTAATACCAACGGTGCAAAGTTCGCTAGTGGGCAATTCACTATCCCTAAGGATAAAGATGTTGAAATCGACAGCGCGAAACATGAGTGGATAAACTATTTCAAGGCTGGGCTGCGGGTGGCCTTGAAATTACTACGAGAAAAGAATCAAGTTGGGGACTTCACACCTGTTAGTTTTGAGGTGCTGGTGGATGGCAATGTGCCTCCTGGTGGAGGAATATCTAGTAGTGCCGCCTTCGTCTGTTCTAGCGCGCTGGCTGGAGTAAAGGCAAATGGCTATGATATTTCCAAGCAGGAGCTTCAAGATATAGCTATCGTTTCGGAGCGTGCTGTTGGAGTATATTCTGGAGGGTAAGCTTCCCGTAAATCGAAGCAGGCACCTTATAGCTGACCACGATCATAGAATGGATCAAGCGGCGTCCATATTTTCCCTCCGCGGCTATCTCCTCTACGTTCGCTTTTTTCCCTCCTTCCATTTCGAACACATTCCCGTTCCCAAAGCCCACCCAGAAATAACCTTCCTCATGGCCCAAAGCTTCGTCACATCTAACAAAGCCGAAACAGCACCACGACACTACAACTTGCGCGTCGCTGAATGTACTCTAGCGACCGTCGTCCTCGCTAAGATGCACAACCTCTTCCTCCCTAAGGACTGTAGCTCACTAGGCTACAGCCTGCGCAACTTCCACGAGGAACTCATGCGCAAGGAAGGCCGTCTTCAAGACCCGCTTGAATACCAACTCGACTCTATTATCATGGTTGCCGCGGATACGTTGACCAAGGAAGAAGGCTACACGCGTGAGGACGTTGCTGCATTGTTGGGCATATCCATCTCGGACCTCGAGAAACAATTCCTCTCTACTTTCCCTGTGCAAGCGGAACGCTTTCTTCTGCGTCAACGTGCGCTACATTGCTTTAAAGAAGCAAGGCGGGTTCTGGATTTCAAGTCATGTCTCTCTCGCTCCCAGAAGCAGGGCCATCTGGACGAGCATAATGTGAAGTACCTTGGCCAATTGCTGAATGAGTCGATGGCATCGTGCCGAGACCTGTATGACTGCACTTGCCCCGAGGTAGATGACATTTGCGAAATTGCTCTTCGGGCTGGTGCTCTAGGAAGTCGAGTGACGGGCGCAGGTTGGGGTGGATGTACGGTGCATATGGTCCCGCAGGAAAAGGTTGCTGACGTGACGGAGGCTTTGAAGAAAGAGTACTACTATAAGAAGTTTCCGGATATCAGCCAGGAAAAGTTGGAGGAAGCTATAGTTATTAGCAAGCCTTCGAACGGCACGTTTTTGTAAGTATACTCCCCTCACCCTCACTTCATTTTCCATTTAGTTGTGTTGTACGGGACAATTTGCTCACGGCGTGCCATCCCTAACTTTTTTTTCTTCCATGGATATTAGGATCTCCGGCGCCGCTATCTCGGAGAGTGCCTAGAAGTTTCTGCTTTTGCTGCGTATACGGGAACAGCTATCAAGGAGGCTTTGGATGCCCTGCGCTATTGACTGGCCTTATGCGCTCAGTGTTATACATGTGTGGACTAATTTAAACAATATTTAAACCGATGGCTTGCATATATACGTCAAGGGTGACTCCGGATTGGAGCAAGGCCTTTTATTCAGCATTTGGCTGACGGTACGGACAAATAGGTTGTAACCATTATCTATATAACTAATGCATATAATAATATTGAACATATAATTGTATCACATATGCTGCTACGGTAGTTAAAGTTCCCAGACCGCTCGTAGAGAGAATAGTTACCGATAATTGACTTGGATAATTGAGTTGGAGATGTATGGATGTTGACGGCACCACCAAACCATTCCTCACCATGGAGGACGGGTTGTGGGATTGTTTTCAGCTCGAGACAGGGAGTCTTGATGGGTCTAGGCAGCGGACCCTTGGCAAACTAGCGGAAAAAGACGTGAAATACGCCCCTCGTTGTGGTGTTGTTTTATCAGGGTTCACGCAGGAGAGTGGCGGTGACGTTGTCAGGGAAATAAATCCGCCCACAAAAGGGCGAGCAAGTGACAGTTCGGACCGGAAAAAGGCCGCTTCTGTCGTGAGTTTCAACGTTCCTGGCTTGTCAGGGAGGATATAAAACCGGCCGTAGTGATTGGAGTATCCAAAAGGCATGTCATACCGTCTTTATGCACAACTCTAATAAGGTCACATACTTGATCCACGCCTTATATTTATAACCTGGGATTTATTACTCCGTCACATTGCCTAAGTTTTCTTCTGGAAAAAGGCGCTCAGCTTCTTCATCCCGGAGACATTCACCTTTTTCAAATCTCTCACCGCCCTCGATTCCCCCATCTTCTTCTTCCTCTCTTCTTCTTCCTTCTTTCGCTTTTTCTCCGCTTTTCTTTCCACTTCTTCATCATCCTCAACCCTCCGTTTGTGGGAAAAATCACCCATTGAACGAGACGCTACTGCTTTGGCGCGCATTTCCGCGACGAGTTTTAAATGTTGGGTAAGGGGAGAAAAATCTTTGGGGCTCGTTTCGGGATTGTTGAGAAGAGTTTCCACTCGGGACGAGAGGTGTTTAGGTAGGTATGACGATGCTAAAAAGGATATCGCCGTGCGGACTCGGAGTAAGTGGCGCACGTCGCAATTAGGCGGTGAGTCTTTTGTAGGGGGTGTGGTTGCAGTGTTTGGTGTAGAAACATCAGACGCAGTAAAAGAAGCCGACGGGTTTGCAGTTGGTGTAGTGGAACTCGATGACTGTAACTCGGACTTCTGTTGAGAAGTTTCAACGGGATTATTTGTATCATCGGTCGCGTCAGAGGGGTTTGGTGACGTTGAAGTTGTTGGAAGATCATCTCTTTTCACGCTGAGAACTGGGAGTTCTAATGCCCTCTGTATAAACCGCTCTTCCAAACTCTGAGGAAGTCCGCCCGCCGCCATCCGCTCAGCCTTGAAAATCAATTCCCTAAGCAATTTATCCTCATTGAGCCTGTACATTGTCTCCCCAGCTTCGACAGTGTCACATATAACCGTCATTCTCGCTTCCACCTTTTCTCTGAACTGTATTGACAAGATGTGTTTCAGGCGTTTTGAGGCCGTATCTTGGGAATCGAGCATATCATCCAGGGGCTGGAAGCGTTTCCGGGAGGTTGAATTTCCGCGAGCTGGCGCTAATATGGGCAGGAGGAAAAAGAGGATGTCCACCGGCGTTGCGACGAACAATTGCGACTGTTTAGCAATCGTCGCTTTCGTTGGTATTCGATTTTCAACCATTTGCGGAATGATTTCGGTGTTTTCTGTGCTAACGTCCCCGACCACCATATTGCTAGAATTATTTCGTACAACATGCTCTTGCTTATCAGCTACTAGACTCGTGGCGGACTTCGTCGTGGTGAATAGAGTGCTCCTTGGAGAAGTAGAGGATATAGCCGTAAACTCATATAGCCCTAGTTTGGGACAGAAATAATATCGACAAAGAGCACCGCTTCGAGGGTTCTCAAGTAAAATAAACCGAGCCTCTTCGGTCGCATCGCATGGTAGAATGAGTGCTTTGAGGGGTTTTGAAGGTTCTGGAAGAGCTGTTTTGCACGTCTCGGTGTTGGTTGAGCTTCTGGAGGGCAGCGATCTTGTTCTCATGGCGACGAAATCGTGATAATGTATCAATTAGTAATAACTCGACAAGGAGGGCTATACCCTATACTCAATCTTCATGTTTTTCTTCTTGAACACGGAGAAAATGCCGTGTTGTTCAGCAGAACAACTTGAAATTTTAAAATGGATGTTGATGACAGGCATCGGCGGCTACGGTTGACGCGTTGTGGCTGGGCGCGAAAGTGACACGAGAACTGGTTTGTGCACTTCAAAAAATATACAACTCGACTTAACCTGGCGACTGCATTGTTCAATTGGCAGTTGCATAGTTATTCAATATATGAATAATATCAGAACTAGCCGCCCTATTTTATGATTCACGTTTGCTACCGAGCATATGATTTATAGCACTTGGGGAGCGATTGTCGCATCGCCTTCAATTTCAATGGGATTTGCAATATGAAAACAAAGCAAAATCACCAACTCCCAAATTAATATTACCTACGAAGTCGACAGCAGTAAGTTAGCCGTTCTGTCTGTTCTTCACCTCATATAACTAATGACCAGCTCGAAAGTGGCGGATCTACGTTGGCCTCCGAGATCTCCATATGAGGCGCTCATGAGTTCTCCTAATGGTCGCAAACGATTCCAAGAGATGCAAGAACGTCGGCAAGCCGGCAGGGCCTCCCTTAAGAGTTTCGATGCTTCCCCATATGTACGAACGAAAGCGAATCAGCTGCTGGAAGATGGGGTCGAAAATGATATGGAAGAGGAGGATGAGGACGAGGAAACATTACAGTTGAAACTGGCTGCGATTGAGGCACGTTTAAAGCTTAAGAAGTTACAGCAGAGCAAATCTAAGTCGAAGCCCCCGAGTTTCGAGCAGAAGACTCTCAGCGATACACCCGCTTCTCCTTCCTCGCGACCAGCCATGCGATTCATTCCGGAGCGCAAGCGGAAGGCAGCAAATATGTCACAGCAGGAAAATATACAGGTGCCGGTGTCACCTTCGAAAAGATTGGCCGCTTCCACGGATCCTGTGTCTCCGAGACGGATTGTTCTTGGGATTGACAAAGGGAAGAAGGGAACTGACGTATCGCTCAATAGGCCTCCCAGTTCGAGATCAACGGGGAGACCAGCAAGCTCGATTGGAGTATACCGGGGCGAGGCATTGTTACGGAAGACCCATATCTCAGCTTCCCACGAACCAACCTTCACACCTGACGGGGAACTCCAAAGACCCAAAAGTTTCAGCGAGAGGATTGCTGAGAGCAGGTCAATTGATAAAAGCAGATGGGAGAAAACACAACTTCTGCACCGTAAAAGGAATTCCTCTTTTGCCGTTGACAAAGGTGAAATGGAGCGTTTCCAGCTTGCAGCAAAGGAAGAATCGGAGAAAGCGTCAAATTTCGAGTCTCCAAGAAAAGCGCAACGCGTTGAGGAGTTCAGTAGGGACGATGTCATTCAATCTTATAATCGACCAGGTTCTGGACTTCGAAAAAGCAAAAATATCTCGAGTGCTAGCGGTAATTGTTCGGCTACCCAGGAATTTCAACTCCAGATGGAAACGCGGCCTACCTCATCATTGCTAAACGATGACAGCACCGGGGATAACTCACAAAATATTAAACCAACTATAGCAACTGATCCGTCCAAATTTGAACCATTCTCTGGACTTCACCTCTCAACTCGAATTTTGCCTCATTCCTTCCTCAACCGAACCCTTGATGCAAAGAGCCCCATGCGAATACCGGACTTATTAAGAACGATTAAAGGACCTGAATTCGACCCACCAGATGTAGATGGCGATTACGTCGTTTTTGGGATAATAGCATCTAAGTCAACCCCGAAAGAACATCAAGATGTGAAGAAAGGCGCCTCCAAGCATAAAAATCTTGACGATGACGGCTCAAACAATACATCTAAATATATGGTCCTTACCCTAACGGACCTCAAATGGTCCATCGACCTCTTTCTTTTCTCCACTGCATTCCCCAGATATTACAAACTCATCCCAGGCACTGTCGTCGCCATCCTGAACCCTTCAATAATGCCCCCACCACCAAATAAACTTGATACTAATCGCTTCAGCCTCACATTAAATTCATCAGACGACACAATTCTCGAAATAGGAAAAGCCCAAGACCTCGGTTTTTGCAAAGCAATCCGAAAAGATGGAAAAGTATGCGAAGCGTGGGTCGATGGTCGAAAAACAGAATTCTGCGAATTCCATGTTGACTTGCAACTTCGCAAGACAACGGCGAAGCGAATGGAAGTTAACGGCGGGCCTACTACATTTGGTCCAGGAGGTCGGTCAGGCTCCCGCACTGGCATGTTTAACAAAAATCGCGACCTGAAGGATCGAGACCGATATAGACTAAAGCCTGAAGGTCCGCAGACAGACCGCTCTACGGGATCTACTTACTACGTTGGGCCTCCTATTCCGGGTAGCCGCTCGGCAGCCAGTCTTATTGATGCAGATGACCCTTTCATCGTTGCTGCTAATGATTTCCCACGTGGTGGTAACGGCAAGCTGGAACGTTTTCAAAAGCGCCTCGCGGAGCAAGAGCGGGAGCGCAATATTGCTAAGGTACTTGGTAGATCTAATTCCGTCGGTGCTCAATACCTGCGTCATCGACAAGCCGGTGGCACGTCGGGACGAGACGGTTCTGATGCTAATGCTCCCAGCAATAACACCAGGCCAAGCTCTGGTGCTGGCAATAATATTAATGGGAAAGGCGATGAATCTGGGTCACAACCGGCGCGGGTAGCACTAGGATTGAGTAGCACGATGAAAAGTGCTGTCAATGTCAAGTTGGGTCCGATAAAGAAGAGTGCTGTTAATAAAAAGACTAGATTTGTCACTTCGAAGGGCATCAGGGATGCGGGGAGGGATAGTCTTGGTGGTCCAGGGGATGGCACTGGTAATGACAATAATGCGGATTATGATGATGACTTGGACATCGTGTAACGCATTATGCTTCATTGGCGTGGATATAATGCTACACGGGAATTGGGTTGTCTTTTTTTCCTCGTTTTTTAATTATTTTGTTTAAGCATTCTTCCTTGAGTTGACAAGGTGTATTTTATTCGATTTCTGGCGTGTTATTCTTCTGTGAGTTGCAAATATTTCCTTAGTTTTGGTTCCAGGGCCAAAGCTTGGTGGAATTCCGTATCCATGGATGCAAAACTTGACTCGAACGTGATCTTTCATTTTACCCGTTTTCGATTTCATGAGGGATGGATGCAGCATCGCATATTTTTATCTACAGTGTGGCCACTAGGCTTTGTATATATTTAATAAAAACAATCACAGCCGAAGTACAGTAAAACAGCGACTCTGCCAATTCAAATAACATAATTCAATTTGATACCCTCAGTTATGTGTAGTCAAATGAACAAGTCAGGAAGGAGTTCTGGGCTCTTCTAAACAACCACGTATGACGACTGCATGCCTGCAAATGTACGGTAAACAGGTAATGAAGAATCAACCCAACAACAGGGACGCAGAAGAGACAAAAAACGTTACGGAAAAAGTAGAAAGCAAGCCAAGCAAGGGGACAAAAAATAAGACATTTATTGACGGACAAAAATAATAAACACTTCCTATTCCTTGCCACGAATACTCGAATTGAATATGGTATCCCCAAAGGAGAAAATTGATAAAAGTGGGCATTAGAGTCTAGTTCAAAAGAGAGAAGCACCAAGTCAAGATGTAAACGACGTACACTTGTTCGGCCTGTTCCTGTAAGAGCTGCTGAAAAAATCGATCAAATAAGTTGGGAACGTCAAGGGAGGAAAGGATGAGCCATTTTAAAATCAAGGAAACATCAGATTGTTGTGGTCGTGATCTCGTCATAGAGTAGATTAAAAGGTAAGTAAGAGAAGAGGAAAAGGAAAAGGTTACGTGAAAGAATGGACGTCTGTGTAAGCAGGAGTAAAAAATAAGGTACGATAATAAAAGAGCTGTCCATTGAAGGAAGGTGGAATGATGTGGCCGATTAATGTGTAATGAGTTGTGACAGGAGGAGAGAGGGATTGAAAATGGTAAACCAAGCGGACTCTTCTGGTCAATGATGGACAAAAGAAAATGGAGTTCTTTCTCTCTTTCATTTGTTGCGAGCTTTCTTCATAACTGGTTCGATGGTGTCACTCGGGACAGTGCCCACTCTCTTTCTCAGTGTCGCCGGCGACGCTTGGGATTTCGTCCTAGTCCATCTGTCGAACGGGCTCATGCGAACTGCAGTCCCGTTGTTAGATTTAGAAGGGCTTTCTAAACCATCCTGGGCTTCTTTGGCGTGCGAACGAAGAGAGCGGCCACCAGTAATAGGAGTTGATGGTGTTGATATAGCTATTTTGGAAGGCGGTGTCGTAGGAATATGCTTATTGCTAATATGGGGAGGATCGGGATTGGATATCCTTTTGTCAGGTGTATCCGCTTCACATGTTTTTTCGGGGTCTGGGGTTTTTTCGGTACCGCCGAATCTCGAACCACGCGAGTTCCCTCGATGCAGTGCCTTTGGGAATAGTAGACGTGGTTTGATGGAAGCGCGAGTCAGGGGCTGGACATCTGGGATTCTCGTCTCTTCTAGAAGATCAGGTCGAGATGCCAACAGACCATGATCTGTCTCGTCATCTTCTTCACTGTCGGAATTGAATTTTCGGAAGATTTTCTTTCCACGGCTGGAAAAGATATTAGATTTGTTGATAAGAGTCTACAAGTTTAAGCGAACACTTACAAAACGTAGAGCATCCCATCATCTCTATGAAGGGCTTCTTGAACTTTCTCGTCACGCTGCATTTCAACGCTTATATTAACGTCATGGGAGTTATCATCAGGTCGGCTAATGAAAGGGTTGTCCGCGGTATCGTGAACTTCAGGGATTCGATCCCTCGAGTCGGTAAAGATCGTAATTTCGTCATTTCCCTCGTTCTCCAGATCCGCGTTAAAACTATCTAGAGAAAACCCTTTGAGCTTTTTGGCCCTTTGCCTTTTTGGAATTGGGGTTTCAATGGCTTTGGATTGGGAGTTGCTCTTGAACAAAGTACGAGCGACAGCGCTGGGGTCCGGGACAGCCTTCTTCCGTGGGGTTTTTGCAGGTGTTGGAAGCATGTTCGCTGTGAGTAATGTGTGTTCGCTGTTAACGTTTGACACACTGTGAGAAGCATCTGATGTGGGTTGAGAAGGCCTGTCAATTTCTCCTCTAGTGTTATCAGAGAGTGAATGGGTTTCCATGTATGGTCTGGTACCCTTGGTTATTCTGTCACTCCTCCTAGTGGGAGAGGCTTGCACGCGTTCGGGCGAGGAACATGAATCTTCTTCGCTGGCGCATCCTTTTACGTCCGTTACAACCTCGGCGTCATTGGATAAGTGCTGAGAATTAGGTATAGAGAGATTTGGGGAACCTCGATAGGTCTTTTGGTTTGCTAAACGAGTAGAATATCGGGTCGAGAACGGTTCAAATGAATTGAATTTCGACCCATACCGCGGAGCAGGTGGAGTCCTAATGGTACGGGGAGGCGGAGTTGTCGCCATTGCAATTGTCTCCCTCCAGCGTCCTCGTTTGACGGTATTTCTGCTGAATAGCAAATGTTGCGGGTTGTCAATATGAAAATTGTTCAACGAGGGGTGACGAAACTCGAAATAAAATGGCAAGGAGGGAGTATCCACGATCGTAAACGGTGACAGTCGATCTCGAGAACCGTAATGCGCGTCAGTTTTATGTGTTTGTTGGCAGGCAGTGACGCAGGGAGAGTTGTTGGCTGCTCAATGCAGGTAATGAGGAGGTTGGTTGTTGGTTTGTCCTGTTGTCTGGGCTAGTTTCGGTAAGCGCGAAAATTGGGGTGGCTGAATGGTTAAGCGCGGTAGACGCCAAAACTACTCTTGACGCGAACATCGTCTGTTTTGCATACACTAATCACTACTCTTACTCTCGCCGCCATGTCGATATCCAGTGCTCGTGCGGAAATGGAGAAGCTGCAATTTCTCGATCAAGATAATGAGGCAATGCCGGAATCCCCTTCCAAAAATCCTGATTTTCCATCAGTCCCTCAGAATTCCTCTGCTGCGCCAGAGGCAAACTATGGACGAAATAACGAATCCCAACATGATCGTGATGAGGCACGGGAATTTTCTTTGCGGAGTGAACTGGAAAGTATCCGGAACATCAACCGGGTGGTGGAAGATATCATTCATAGCTTGGATCGAGCAAAGGACAACATGGAAGTAAGATTTTAGCCAATTGGCCCTGTATTATTCATTGTTAAAACGTTTATTTTTTGCTTTACAGAATGTTTCCCGTACCGTCGCATCCGCGTCTACACTTTTAAACACCTGGACACGAATCCTAGCCCAGACGGAACAAAATCAACGACTCATCCTAAATCCGTCCTGGCAAGGTGCATCCAAAGATATCGCAGATATTGAAGGCGAGTCGATATTACGACAGCAGGAGGTGGAAAGAATTGAGCTAGAACTCCAGCAGCGGAGAGAGGCCATGGCTCGAAAAGCGGAGGAGGAGGAGCGGAAGAAAGAAGCTACATCCGCTGCTAGGGGATCGCGTGGACTGGCGCGAGGGAGATCACGAATATTGGGCCGGACTCCTTCTACGACCAGCTCATTCGGCACGACAAGAGGAACAGCTACGGCAAGAGGTACAACGGCAACAAGAGGCACGACAACACGTGGAACGACAAGCCTGCGAAGACCGGCGGCATCTGCACCGGGCACGAGGGGAAGGGGAAAGGTCCCGGGGCCATCATAATAACATCCCTAAATGATTTTATTTTATTTTGCTTTATGAGTTAGAATTTAATGATACCCCAAGAACGCAATGCGTAAAAACAAATGAGGAGCTTCTGTTATTTTTCATATCTACACATGCCATAACCTATTACCCCCACTTCAAAGCTTCACCAGCGGCGCGCCAAGACTGTTTCCCTTGGAACCTTACGCGCTTGTTGTAACCTCAGCTAACGATGAAGTAGCCAGCTTGAACCAAAGCGACAGGAGACAATATATCAAAACCACAGCACGCATATATATCTAAACAAAAATAAAACGTTTAAAGTCACATGGGTATCTCATAACCCGCTTCGCCATGAATTTTGCTCCCTACCAAGATGAGTCCCCAGAGATCGAGCGGGCCCTATCACCTCCACTCCGTGATGCAACCCGATCCAAATCCCCTCCTATACAGAACCAGAACCAGAACCAGAACCAGAACCAGCGTACATCGCCCCCATTCCCTCCGGTAGGGAGACTTCCCTCACCGAGCTACTTTGCCAACCCCGAGGCAGCGGGAGGAGATACAGGTTTCGGTCGAGATGTGGAAGGAGGGCGATTGAGCCTTGGTGCTTTCGAGACGAGCCTCCCGATCCGCATGGACTTCGAAGCTATGCTTGCATACCTCCTGCTACCTCCAGCTGGGGGTGTGTTCTTGTTGTTGGTGGAACATAAGAGTGACTATGTGCGGTATGTTATAGAACCTCGAAACGACTGTCTTCTCTCTAGCTATCGCGATCACAGACACTGATCACTAAAGGAGATATTTCAATTTTTAGATTTCACGCCTGGCAATCTAGCATGCTATTTACCGCGATATTTGTAGGCATCCATGAATGATATATAACCCGTTTATAAACTTCCTGCAGCTCATGTTTAACATTTCTGCTCCTCACAGATAATTCACATGATATTCGCCTGGTCGAGCGTCATTTCATGGCTACTTTTCGTCTGCGACATTGGCCTAATCGGCTTCTTAAGCATGCGGGCTTATGGAGATGGTAAGCTAACATGATGGGACTCCCAGCTCTCCTACTAAATTTCTAGTGATAAAATGGCTCATCATACTCTCCAACATTATAGTTGACTCCCTCGAACACTACGAAGTCCCCTTTTTCGGCCGCCTCGCGAACTCCTTTGTTGATGACGAATAAATAGACCATATCTATCAATAAACCAACCAAGAGACAGAGAATGCGATAACAACCCGAACCTGAAAAATGTCGTATCGTTCCATCCACATCGACTATAACCTCCAAACTGCCTCACGTCAATTCCCCAACCCGAACATCCTCTCTCCTACTTGTGGAAACACCACTGTACTATTACGCTAGATACCCATCAAGCCACGTGCACCTCATTCGATCGATACGACTGACTAGATACGTATATATTTATCAAACTAATTTTCCACTTTACACTCTACATTGCGCACCTTCTCTACCATGTCCGTCTTTGTCGTATGGCCCTCCGTTAGCTATCCTCCCTATTTGTGTTTTGTATTCTCATTGTTTGTATTTCTCTCATTTTGATATCTTGATATTCCTCTTTTCCTCACGTGAATAACGGAGTAAGGGTGGTAGGCATTGTATGAACCTAATTTTGTATAACCTATTTGCTGTTTGGTTTTTTTTTTTTTTTTTTTTTTTTTTTTTTAGGTTTTAATTTTGTTCGTTTGTGCCCTCTTCATGCATAGCCTGGTTTACTGATTTTTATGCAATGTACGTATCGAATTGTGATTACTTTATTCTCTTCAATGCAAGCCTTCTCAATTGATGAATCAGCAGCAATGAGTTTCATTTTCCTTGATGGGAATCTGCATATATGGGACAAGTTTCCCATTTGCATACTAGCGGCTTAGATAAAGAAAGGTCATAAGCTTCATTCGGATTTCAGTTGGCTTGTTTGCCCGAGATAGAAAATAAATAACACAGAAGGGAAAACGGGAGCATAGTCAGCAATGGGCGTAATAGAAAGCAAAGCCAGACTGTCAAAAAGAAAGCGAACAATAAAAACACATTGGCTGGCTGAAATCAAATCAAGGGTAAAGTAAAGTAAGAGAAAAGGATAAATAGAACAAAAAGCAATCAATGAGATCAAGGGGGACATTCTGGAGTACATTGCCAAAACAAAATAAATGTGGTGTGCATAGTTTCAAGAATGCAAATCCAAAGGGTTTAAAAGAATCGTGCATCAAGGGAATCATTTCCCTTCTTCATGAATTTGGGTATCAAGATGCTCTATATCAGAAGACCAGAAGCCACAGCCCACGTATATCATAGAAGATGTATGGGTGTCTGCGGGTCCTGGGCGTTCGGGGTGTAGATCGAGTTTAATCCGGAAAATGGTACCAAACCCAGTCAGTGTGTCATACCTTATCGTTGACATTTAGATAAGCGTGTGAAGGTGTTCCTTTCAGCAGTGTTGTAGATAGTTGCTCGGGACCAGACCAGGACGGGTCCGCTGAGGCCCGGTTATTTCTGCTTCCCACCATCCATCGTCTTGATGTCTGAGGACTGCAAGGATATCTCCTTTCGAGAAACCGAGCTCTTCAGGAATAGCAGCAGTATAGCTGTACATTGCACGCGCTATTTGGATAAGGTCAGTGAGGAAAGGAATAAATGCACGAAAATTGAGAAGATATATTTGACTTACCGTAATGTAAGACAGGGCGCACATCCACGCTAAGCTGCCGATTACCATCTGCAGTTGCGACACTCCTGCTTCTTGCACGGCTGCCTTGGGTAACGTCCGGTGCTGAGCCATAGTACATTGACATCGGCCGTGGGTTGCCTCCCCGGCTACCGTGATTTCTATAATCAGGAGTATGGCCCCCGCCATATGGATCGATGTGGCTATGTGACAACTGAAGCTCCATTCCACTCGCACTAGATGGCCTTTCCTGCCGTCTGAATTGGGGTTGAGGCGAAACTGACCGTTGCGAATGGATGTCGTTGGGAGACCCGTGAGACGAGTACTGCCGTGGCGAATATGGATGACTAGCAATTACCTTTGTCGGGGTAACAGTTGGAGATTGGCGATATCTACTGTTCATACTGCCTGAGTGGGAGTGGTAAGAAGCAGGGCTTGGATTTTTTTGGCCTTCGTATTGCTGGCGCTGCTCCCCTCCACGAGACGGGGGCGGCTGGGGGCTCAAGCTCCTTTGTGGTGCAGGGGACACAGCCCGGGGAATTGCCTGATTGACTGCGTTTTCTGCCTGGCTCGTACGAGAAGAGTGGCTGTTAAACATCTCCTGGGTCTGCCCGACATATTTACGAGTTGTTTTCTGCATCTGTGCTGATGTAAATGCTGGTTGGGGAGCACCAAGTCTTTTCACTGACGAATCATTGTATGCCGGAGGCGGAGTGCCACTCTGAGCAGCAGAAATGTTCACATCCGTTATGTGGCTAGAAGTAGCACTTGGGGGAACCGGGGTACTAATTCCGTGATATCGATCGGCCGAGACACGGACCGATGATTGTTTCCCCACACCTTTAAGATCCGCGAGGGCTTGGGCTATGGGGTCGAGGTCGTCTTCTTTCTTCGTACTTGTAGCCCCCGAAGGGACACCATCAGGAGAAGCAACATCGAAAACATTGTTGCCAACGTTTAGCTGGAAGTTAGCGCGTGGGTCAACGGGTTCAGGCGTTCCCGAATGGCGACTGACGCTATATACTGGCTTTTGATATGCAGGCTTAACTGGACTTATTTGTTTTTGCGGCGGGGCAGACCAAGTGTTGCGGTTCACAGGGGCAGTGATCGATGGTGCTGTTTGACGCTCCTTATCGTGCTTACTTTTTCTCCGGAAGGGGCTATTGCTAAAAAAACCACTTCTTTTCTTCTGGACTTGTTTACCGCCAATCATCCCGGGGAGAGCAGTGCCGTTAACCACTTTCTTCGGAGATTGTTTCGCACCTGGTGGCTCCACACTGGAGAACGAAGTTGGATTGGAGATGTCACTATGGGAGTCCCTACTAGATGGCCGATTGGCAGTGGTTCCACTGCTTCTTTCCGAGGGCGGTCCAGTTCTGCAGAACATTGTCATGCCGTCCGTGGGATACTCGTTGTGAGGTACATTTGGGATATCTCCATGTTGGGTTGGCTGATAATTAGGCGGAACGTGCCCTCCACGTCGGAGGTCAAGCGGAGGGGGTTGCTGCTCCTGTAATTGTTGCGGCGGCTGTTTCTGCTGTTGCGACTGCTGCTGTGGTTGATGCGATCGCTGTGGGGTCACAGTAGTTTCTCGGCTTGCTGATGCGGAAGGATCAGTATGCGTTATTGGCGTCGTCATGAGATTTGCCTGGGGGTCGTGATGGGATTCGTAAGTAGAAGGTGCCGGCGAAGAGCTTCGGTATGCTGGATTAATAGTCCTCTGAAATTGCGCAACTGAATAGCTCTCTTCCTCTGACGTCTCTGACGCGGTATCGTTAAGGTCACCGCGGCAAAAATTAATATATTTGGGTGGATCAGGAATCTCCTGTCCCGTCCCTCTCTCCATTATAAACGTGCTGATATCCTTTTCCACCTCACAACTCTCAAGCGATACCCGGATTCGTTCACAGGACTGCTTTCATTAGGAACTGCGTGTCAAATTCTAGCATGGTCATTGCAACTTACAGCATCGTCACTAACGCACGCTGTCGAAGCTATATTCGCGTAATTCCATAGGCTGCTCTTCGTAAAATCTAGCCGTTCTTCCTCTAGGTCTTGAAACTTCTGTAATGGATGTCAGTGAAAAATTAGGCTGATTGTTTATGTATAGGTTACTTACATCGCAAGCAACCTTCCATTCTTTATTCCAGCGGCCAGTTGTTTCTTCGAGAACTTTTATGGCTGCTTCGTATTCGCTGCTGTTAGACGCTAGTTGTATCTGTGTTTTTTCCAATTTTGCCTTATTTTTGCGTTCCTCTTGTCCCATGACCATATGTCCTTGGGCCAAATAGCCTTTGATTCGGAGGCAGTCTTGTTCATAGCGATCTCGCGACTAAATAATAGATTCGAATTAACGGCTGTTAATAATATGCTAGAAACCAGATTGAATACCTTGTTGACAGCTTGCATTTGTTGCATTTTGATTTTAAGAAGCTTTTCAATACCATTCTGTACAATCTTACGGCGTTCTTTCATACCGCCAGCAAAAGCAGCTAGCGGTTCTTCTAACTCGCTTTTCATCTGAGAAGCAATAGCTGCGTGCGTCTTCCCAATCGTTTCTGTCTCTCCGCGAACAGTATCGAGAGATGTGCGCAACGTCCCGGATTCACTAGAACCAAGGGCTTTCCGGCATAGTATTAGGAGCTTTCTTGCGTATTCATCCTCTATGGCAGCGCGGGCTGTATATGAAATGACGGTGAATATAAGAGCCAAATTCCCAAAATAATTCTGATGGCATAATGTATTACCACTTACTGCTATAGAAGGCTTTCAGTTCGTCGCACGTGGTTTTGGCATTGTGAACTCGTTCTAGCATTGGGGCCACGCCAGCGTCATCTTTGCCCCAGAAGTTGTTTGCAACTAGAAAAATATCCATATCAGTCTTCGTCCGATCGCAACTTCTGGAACGCAATCTGGATGTGGCCATACATGACAAAGACACACTTGGGGTCCCTGAGACAGGACCAGTCATTGTGAGTAGTCTTGGACAAAGCCAAAAACCATCAGGCTTATTTGAAGTAGGAAGATGGTCCTGATCTCCAGGCGTCGACCAGCGGGGCACACAAAAGGTTACTTCTGCAGCTGCCAAAGAAAATGAAATAGACTACCTCCTCTTAAAAGAAAAATCCTGATGTTTCGGAGAAGGTTGCAGTGGGAGGGGGGAAGTGGTCGACCTTCTTCATTGCTGCCGTCGCTCTGCGCTACTTTCAAGCCAGAGGGTTGTTTTTAACTTGTTTACATCCCTGGATGTGGTGGTTTCTCGGGGCAACGCTGCCAAGCATCACTGACGCCAAACCCGTTTCACGCAAGCGAAATCGACGAATACAGGCCGTGATTATTAGAACAGGAGAACGGCCACAAGAGCTGAATTGGAGGAGCGTATTTTTGAATATTGGCCTCGAAGCCTCATCTATGCGGACTCGAGAACTGGATTATTTTGTCCCATCCATGGATAGTTAGTTACTAACTAACTAGTAATCTATGTAGCCACGTGATCTAAGATGATCTTACTTCTCGACCCTAATACCGAGAAACTGAAGGATATTTAAGGCGCTCAGTAGATACTCCTTGACAGTATCCTGCGGTAGATTCATGATATAATTATCAAAGCCCCGCGGTTGCTCTATGGACGGTATACGCTGTAGCTCCGTATAGTATGCAAGGTTGGCCAAAGCGACGATTTGTGAAGCTAAACCACGAACAGAATGCCAAGCCCTAGAGCCTCCCGGCCAACCTCACCTCGTCTCTCTCTCTCCCTGTCGTCCTCAACATCCCCCTCCACCTATCCTCCTTTCAACACAACTATTCCGTTTTTCTAATGTGTCTTTATGACGTTGTAGAAATCCTACGTTTCAACTCCGTTCCTAGCATATTTTTCCTCCTGTTCGTTTGCTCCTTGACGAGCTTTCCACCAGTCCCACAATTTTTGCAGTCACACATCCAAATGACCGCATTCCCAACTTCATGAGTTTCCCTTCCCCCGCTCAATCTTTGATTGCTTCTGGCACCGACAAGCCATCAGCTTCCAGGACGGCGAGATCCCACCAGTCTGTCTGGGGTACAAGTGCGTCCCAATCTAACGTCCGCCGTGGCCTGACGCCGCTATCCACCAATATATCCAATTCAAACTCCAGTGTATCACCTCCCCGGCGTCCTGCCCAGCCTCATAGTCCAGCTCCTAGCGTTTCTGCGACATCTCCCCTTACCTCCAGCTTTTCCGCAGTCCTGACATCCTCTAATCGCATTCCCACCAACCGCCACAACTCTTCTCCGGCGCCTTCTCACGCCTCCTTCACTTCACACCAACAAGCTGGCTCACACCAACAGCAGCAACAGCAACAAAGCCAGCCAATTTCATCCCCCAAAATCAGATCTCTTACCCCTTCATCAACATCGCATCTGGCTACCTCGACGACCTCAGGAGGAGGTAGTGGGGGTGGAGGAGGTGGTGGAGGAGGTGGTGGTGTGGGCGCGGGTATATCCAGGAGTGCTGCGTTCTCTCCCCTATTGACAGGGAACACAATCAACTCACCAACGGGATTCCCCTCTGATAAGGCCGGAGCTACCGCGACATCAGGTGCAAATTCTGGCCAGTCATCTCTGTCCAAAATCTCCGTAGCTCAGGTGTTCCTGCTATTGGACTCCATCAACGAGAAGGAAGGGAAAGAGAAGTGGGAAACTAAAGCTGCACAGATTCACAAGGTATTTTTATTTTAACAAATAATGGGCTGCCCCCAGCTACACGACATGGCTAACTGTTCGATTCAAGCTCGTTGATTCAAACGGCATGGAAGTTTTTGCGAAGTATTTTCGTCGCCTACTTTCCGGCAACGCCCCCCAGATCTTTCCGGGAATTAACAAGGTGGTGGAAAATGCAGGGAACTATCCTTTGCTAGTACAGGAGGTTCACAAGGTGTCACAGGACCCTGACCAAAGCCAGAAAATTGCAGAGACAATTGATGCATCTGATGGTGATATCTTTCGTGATTTTGACCTCTCAACATTCCTCGAGCATTTTAAATTGGATCCCATTACCAAAGTCGCGTTGACACTCGCCTTCAAGAATGTCAGCAAAGCAGATTTGCGCACAAAAGGTAAGTTTAGGTTAACCCACTCACTTCAACAGGATTCACTTCGCAAAACTGACCGATTATAATCCCACCAGCCGATGCAATTCTTACCAATTCCACTACCCAGTTCCTACATAGCCTCTCTACCATTTCTGATACGAACAAAGAATTTACCACGTCATTTATCAGTCTCACCCTAGAGCGCTTCATCCTGCACTCTCCTCGTAATTTCGACGAGGACATTAAGCAAAAACTTGTGTATGCGTGCCGAGCGCGATACCAATCCGCGGACATGGACATACCACCTGAAATTGAATCAGCTTTGCAAATGTTTGGGTTATCTGATCCACAATTGACCTTGGTTCGCCAGATACAAGCTCGAGGGCCTAAGTCGATGGGCAGTCAGGACAGCATAGTTGAAACCATAAATTCAGCAGGTCCCAGTGGTTGGAGTGAAGAGCAAATTGCTTCTGCGCTATTGTATATTATAATATCCCCTAATTGGCTTCAGTTCTCTCCCGAATTACTTCTCACCACCGTCCAAAATCACCAACGAGGTGAAACTTTTAGCTGGCCAAAGCTCATGCGTGGTTTCGACAAGGTTGGCGTGGTCATCGATCCGAATCAGTTTGGTCGACTATTTAATGTACTCCATGTCGCTTCTCATGATAACCCAAGTCTTGATATTCAAGCGCTCTGGAGCGGAGAATGGGAAAATCGAGACACCCAGTTGTCCTTTTTAACCGCAGCTCTCTCCTCCAACATTGACATTTCCCGCATCCCCAAGTTCCGTTCGACATACCCTTTGGACATTTTTAGCGATGCTTCTGAAACTGTCCGTCAGCAAGCTGAGCAGGCCCAACATAGTTTACTTCGCTCCCGTGATGCAGTTAGGGCCATCTTTGATCTTATTCTCAAGACACCGGGAACATGGAGCCTTCCGGATAGTCAAAGATTCGTCAAAACAGTTCTTCAACATGATCTGCCCATATTCCTTTGCTCTGCGTTCGCCATTCCTCAGCCGTGGACTACTGTTCAGGTCAACTTCGTTATGCGATCTTTCTCGATTTTCATCTCTAAGCGCCAGGATGGCTATCAATTCGCACTTCATGGCGTTTGGAAACTTAATCGAGAGTGGGTTGTAGAACAGCTCTTCCACGCATTTACTCAGGATCCTTCGTGCACTGAACTGATCTACGACCATGCCGTAGAGCATGGTTGGTTAGACTATATTTTGGAATTTACCAACGGCCTAGCCATGGACCTTGCATCTTTAGCGCACAGGAAAGACGACTATGATCTCGAACAGTGGGTTAAGAAGGCGGCCCAGAAGTCTCCTATCGACATGGGAAATTTGTTATTGAAATTCCTGCGAATAAAAGCTGAGGACGAACTTCGCGTCCAACGGAAAGAACAGCCAACTCCACAGATGGTCAGTCTGTCAGTTAAAACCGTCTTTGCTCTCCTCCAAATTCTCGAAGACTACATTGTCGATCATGAAACTTTGACTCCCATCCAACGAATTTGCCTTCAAGCTTACCCACGATTGATAAATTACGGTGAAGGATTCGATGATATCATTGAGGTCAACGGCGCTCATGGTAACGCAATTCCGGTTGAAATTGATAAACAGATGCAAGATTTATTCGGCAAAATGTATCACGAAGAACTTTCCCTGCGTGAAATACTCGAGCTAATGCGACGGTACAAAACATCGCGCGACCCTGCTGAGCAAGATTTATTTACATGTATGGTCCATGGCCTGGTCGATGAATACAACTGCTACCATACATATCCACTCGAGGCATTAACAAAAACTGCTGTCATGTTCGGTGGCATTATTAATTTCAAGCTAATATCCGGTATCCCACTCAAAGTTGGCCTCGGAATGATCCTAGACGCAGTGCGGGAGCATGAGCCCCATCAACCGATGTATAAGTTTGGTGTCGAAGCCATAGAGCAATTAATTAGTCGCCTCCCAGAATGGGCTGGGTTTTGCAACCTTCTTCTACAAATCCCCTCTCTTCAAGGTACGCCGATATACCGCAAAGCAGAAGAAGTACTTCGAGACCAAGGTCACCACCCAATTAACGAAACCGATGGGGCTGGATTAAATGGACTGTCCGATGGTATGGCTATGACAAACGGCAATATCGATGAACTCTTGGCTCCTGATACCACTCATCGCAAATTCTCTTCCCTCCACGTGGATCCGCCGCTTCGCCCTGAAATATATCGTGACCCGGATGAAGAAGCTCATGACAAAATCCTTTTCATTTTAAATAATGTTTCTGAGCAAAATATCGAGGGTAAGTTAAGAGATCTAAAAGATGTTTTGCAAGAAGAACATCACCAATGGTTCGCCTCATACCTTGTTGAGGAACGAGCGAAATTGCAACCGAACTTCCAGCAACTTTACCTCGACCTTTTAGAGCTTATTGGCGACAAAACCCTCTGGATGGAAGTTCTTAGAGAAACATATGTTAGCGCAATCCGATTGCTAAATGCAGAATCCACCTTGAACTCAGCGACCGAACGCACGTACTTGAAAAATTTAGGCGGATGGCTTGGCTCTTTGACTATTGCCAAGGATAAACCAATAAAACATCGAAACATCTATTTCAAGGACCTCCTAATTGAAGCGTTTGATAGCCAACGCCTCATGGTTGTCATACCTTTCACCTGCAAGGTGTTGGTGCAAGCCATGAAATCCACAATTTTCAAGCCACCAAACCCATGGTTAATGGATATCATTGCCTTGTTGATCGAGATATACCATTTTGCGGAACTGAAAATGATTCTCAAATTTGAAATCGAAGTTCTCTGTGGGGATCTAAATCTTGATTACAAGACAATCGAGCCATCGACGTGTATTAGGGAACGCCCTACGCAACTAGAGGATGGCATTTCTTCGGCAAACATTCCTGAGGGTCTGGAGACCTTTGAAGATATGTCCCTAAGTAACATTAGCCGTGCTATCCGCAACGAACGAATACCCCAGACCTCTATAATGCCTAGTCTCCCTAACCTGGATCAAATTCTGGTGTTCCCTCCTTCTGCTAGTACGATGGCAGATCCTGGCATCCTCCGGCAAATTGTTCATAGCGCTGTAGAACGGGCGATTGCTGAAATAATCACACCCGTCGTCGAACGTTCTATCACCATTGCGTCTATATCAACGGCACAGCTTATTCTGAAGGATTTTGCAATGGAACCTGACGAGGAGAAAGTTCGCCAGGCTGCAGGAACGATGGTTCGAGCGCTCGCAGGCAGTTTAGCTCTGGTAACATGCAAGGAGCCCCTAAAAATGAGCATGACGAATTATATTAGAGTGATTCAACAAGAATTCTCAGACCAGCCGATGCCTGAAGGGCTTATCCTCATGTGTGTCAATGATAACCTAGACGCTGCGTGTGGTATCGTTGAAAAGGCAGCAGAGGAAAAGTCTCTGCCTGAAATCGAAAAGGTCATTGAATCGCAACTAGAGGCTCGCCGCCGCCACCGTGCAGCACGCCCTAACGAACCCTTCATCGATCCTTCCATCAGCCGTTGGGGATTTTTTATCCCGGAACCATTTAAGCAAATCCCAGGGGGTCTCAACAAAGAACAGCTGGCTATATATGAGAACTTTGCTCGGCAATCACGAGGAACTGGACCTACTCACATCCAGAATGCATCAACTGACTCGGGGAAACAAATTCCGGACGTTCTCCAGGAGTCTTTCCCTGCAATTCCTAACCTGTCTACACCAGCCGAACAACCTGCTGTCCCTCACCACGTAGCACAGACGCAACAAGAATCCAGCCTTCAGCAACCTGCGATTACAGCGCCTCAAAGCCAAATAAACGGTTTCCTTGAAACAGCCAATCCACGTGAGAAAGTAGAAACACTCATTTCTCAGTTACAACTAGCGGCTCGGAATGCTTCGGAGGAGCACCTCAAAGATCTTGGGCGTGATAGCAGCATCCTTCAGGACTATAATCAAGTCTTCCGTACTATTCTTAGCGCTCCTAACGGTGAAGATTTAGCTAGATTGGCTGCTTTAAAAATATGCACTACGTTGTATTCGCGGACTGAAAGCCGTTTGGAGGTTGAGCTGCTGGTTCACGTCCTGGCCAAGATCTGCGAGCTGTCTTCGCTTGTTGCCAGGTATACCTGGGCTGTTCTTGCCGATGTGGACGATGAGCATATGTTCAATGTTCCCGTCACTGTTGCGCTTATTGATGCAGGGTTATTGGATCTTCAACGCGTCGACATGATACTCACGAAACTCATCCAAGAAAAGAACGTTGCTGCCCTGGAATTACTGTCCAATCTTATTGATCGAGTCCTTCTAAACGACGAACCCTCCGCTTTGCGATCGGATTTCTCAGGCAGCCTAGGCGCAATGAATAAGTGGGTTGTCGAGAACCCAGATCTCCCCGTTGCCAAAGACATCATCCGGAAGCTCCGGGAATCAGGCATCCCAGAAACCGTCAATGCGCTCCTTACGGATCAAGCCCGTTCAAAGCGCGATCAAATGGAATACATTTTTAGCGAATGGATTGGCGTGTACAAATTCGCACGCTCCAATGATAGAACATACAGTACATTTCTCAAGGATATGCACCAGAGACAAGTCATGAACAATCAAGAAGATTCAGCCTTGTTTTTCAGACTCAGCATCGATATTTCAGTCGCCATGTTCGAGCATGAGTGCCAGAATCCAAATGGGAACCTCGATGAAGCGTTCTTGTATATTGACGCGCTCGCAAAGCTGGTAATCTTGCTTGTGAAATTCCAGGGTGAGAGCAGCGGTGCTGTTAAAGCCAGCAAACCTGTCTACTTGAATTCTATTCTGTCGCTTCTAGTTCTTGTCCTGAACCATCACCAAGTGATGCGAGGGGAGAACTTTAACCAGCGGGTATTTTTCAGGCTTTTCTCCAGCATTCTTTGTGAATATTCCACATGTGCTCTTCAAAATACAGATCAGCATAAAGAAATGATGGCTGTCTTTGCGGACAAATTTTTGTCCCTGCAGCCTAAGCATGCACCTGGATTTGTTTACGGATGGCTCGCCCTGATTTCGCATCGGATCTTCATGTCGGGATTGCTTAATATGCCGGATCAGTCGGTAAGTGTATAAGATGGTCCAGACCTTATAAATTGATCGCTTACAATATTAAAATCAGGGTTGGGAGTCATATTGCGAAATAATTGAAGTGTTACTCCCGTATATTGGCGAACAACAGAAGCCGGCCAATGTTTCATTTGTCTCTAAGGACATATACAAAGGCGTTCTTCGCATTTTACTTATTCTTCATCACGATTTCCCCGAGTTCGTAGCAGAGAACCACTACCGATTTTGCAATGTTATCCCGTCTCACTGCGCACAACTGCGAAATCTTGTTCTGAGCGCCTACCCATCATCATTTCAGAAACTCCCCGATCCGTTTAGAGAAGGCTTGAAAGTTGATAGGTTAGACGAAATTCGAAAGGCGCCGAAGGTCGCGGGTGATATATCCGCTCCTCTTCAACGAGCAAATTTGATCAGTATAGTCGACAATGCCTTCCGAACCGCTGTTCCGGATAGTACGATCCAACATATTTGTGATGTTCTATCAAACCCGGTTGCCAAAGCAACTGGACAGTTCTTCACTCCTATCAATGTCGATGTTGTTCTCATGAATTCTCTCGTCTTGTACGTTGGACAAAATGCCGTTGTTTCGACTGGTCAGAAAGGCAACATACCAGCAGCTTTCAGTAATTCTCCCCATACGGCTCTGTTGGAGAAGCTCTCAAAGGTTCTACAACCGGAAGCTCTGTACTACTTCCTAAGCGCCATCGCCAACCAACTGCGATACCCCAACAGCCATACGCATTACTTCAGCTACGTCATCCTCCACCTTTTCGGATATGAACAACCGGCTCAGCAAGGATCGGATATTCGTGAACAGATTGTTCGCGTACTCCTTGAGCGACTGATAGTTCATCGTCCGCATCCATGGGGTTTGATTATTACTCTCCAGGAGCTTCTTCAAAATGACAGTTATACGTTTTTCCGCTTGCCATTCATTCAGGCGGTACCCGAGGTATGAGTTCGTGACATATGCCCTTCTGAATATCCCGCCACTAATTCCAACCGTTATCATAGATCAATAATCTCTTTGACGCCCTGCTTCAGCACATCCAGCAGCAAAGCCCAAGGGCCCTAGCTTAGGAGAAGACTAATTACTCTACACAATCCAAACACTCTCCAAAATTTACTCCGGGCAACGCATTCTCCCTCATTGTGGGGAGAAATTGACTTTAAAGGTATATGCCATGACTATAATATCACTTTTTCCCTAAAGGCTCTAGGTAGTTCAAAAGCTGGTATCCTCTTTATTTCTTTATTCTATGATGTCGGCTGCAGGGTTTCTGGGGCTATTTTTCTTCTTTCATCTGCAAGGTTTGCTTCCTGTCACCGGTTTTCTGCACTATTTGCTTCAGGTTTGTTTTGGGAGGGTATGCATTTTCTAAACATGCTCACCATTATTGACTGAGATGATTGCCGTCACATTTTATTGGTTTCCTCTTTTCTTCTATGAATACGCAAGATCTTAACTTATGATTTAACTCACCATTATTTAAATTCACTTTGACGTGGAGGAAGACATTGAGATATGGCAAGCAGGGAGGATATTCACGGGAATGATGGCACGAGATATGAAGTACGGAGGGCGCTATCAAAAGAATTGCGCCGGCAAAAAGACAACTAGACAGCGCCACAAATCTTGGCAGAAATTCACACTGTATTTTATACTGAATACTCAGCTCTTGATTATTCCTTGTCTCTGCTGCTATTCAATATGGAATCTGTCTGCCAATCTGCCTGCCAACCTGCATGCCAATCTGCCTGCCAATCTGCATGCCAATCTGCCTGCCAATCTGTGTGTCAATCTGTCAATCAGATGAGTATTCTATTCCTCCACCTGTCTGTGCTGTCTTCCTTCTCTATACTCATTGCCACCTTCTAACTCTATAATCTTTTCAATATGTACAGGAATCCGCTCAATCCATGTCTGTATCTTCTCTTGTGGCAGATTCTTTCATGTCTGCTCTCATACTCTAACAGCTTCTGTATGGTTCTTAGGAGCTTCTTTTCTTGTTGTTCTGCACTTCATTCAGGGCCAAGCTGCCTCAATTGCATTGAGATCAGGTGAATTCCCACATCAAAGCAGCTGTTGAATCCCATGAATATTGTACATATAATGTTGGATATAGTGATTGTGTGAAGGGGTCTTATCCTCTTGCACAATAGTATTCGGATGATTGATTTGACACTCTTTTGCAAAGGGAAATAGCTTTGGTAAGAGAATTTGAACTTGATAGTGATACCAATCAATTCCATCATCTTTGCCATGAGATAGCTTGTCTGTGGTCTGTTTGAACTTTCATATTGGTTTTTGATCTGATTGCTGATGATCAATCTGTAATCTTTGAATGTCATTTGACAGCTTCCATTCTTGCCTCTTTATAGGTTCCATTTCAGCATTTAAAGTCTCAATATACTCAAGGGATTGAGCACACTCCTGCAAGGTTTCTCTGGCTCAACAATGAAATGGGCTCTTCTTATCATATGAGAAGCAGGCTCAGAATATGAATTCAGATGATCCCTTCCATCATTCATGTATACAGCTTTGAGAATAGGCCTCATGAGGTGCACATCATATTCTATATTCATCTTGTTGATGAAGAAGAATAACAGAGGTTTCATCTGATCAGATAACATTCTTTCAATTCTTCAAGGTTCAATCTTTATGCTTCAGACAGAATTGAAGTCAATCTAGTCACATCTTCTTGGTGAGTCCTGGCTTCTGTGTAGGCTTTGTTTTTTGCAGGTCTGCTTTGTGAAGAATCCTCCATATAGTCATAGAAGATATCTCAATTCCTTCATTACTGAATTCATTGGCAAGATCAGTATATGTCTTTTCTCATCCATATCAATCACATCAAACCTTTGCAAGAATAGTGTCCTTAATACTATCATTTCTCTGAGTTGGTCAGCCAGATTTGGGGGCATCTCAAAGCCATTCATTGTGAAGTATAATATGAGGCAGTTCAGAATCAAATCTGCATTCAATTGCACATTTATATATACAGTTGATTTGACTCTTTGAGATCTGAGTGATTTCTGTGATTTCAGCATTTGACTTGCCAAAATAGGGTGATTTAAGAGCCACCACAAGAGCTCTTGTGGCAATATCAGTATTGGGTGCCATATGAATCAGCAGATGAAATATTAGAGATGAGATATTTGAGAAAAAAGAGGAATCAATTCAGAATACATGGCATTCTCATATAAATAGAATGTGGGGTCATTTGAAGCTAAATGTAATTACTCATTAAAATGTTGTGGCGCTTCTTAGTTGTATAAATTGAATCTGAGCGGCGCAATTCTTTTGATAGCGCCCTCCGTAGAGGGGGTAGAAAGCTCTAACCTAGGTCGTTGTATTATAAATTTCATCAATGAAACGGACATATCTAACATCATGTATGAGCATCGAAATTGGCCATCTAAATTAAGATTGACCTTAAAAATAGTTCGCTTCCCAAGCTTATCTTTGGCCGATATCTGTCACATGCCACGCATAATTGGACTTGGCACATGACGACACAGCAACGAACAACAACGCGAACTTGACAACTTCGAAGAGTAAGGGCCCATCAATTGAATCAAGATGGAGGACGACACAGAGCTGAGCCAGTCCTTATACTCTATGATATTGGTATGTATGGAACATACTCATAAATGCCGCCATGTTCTGATTTTCCTTATAATTTCTTGTAGTTACAAGAAACAGTAGCTTACAGCTCCAGGCCCCGTTCACAGAAGCTCGGCGTACCATAATCTCCAAACCTGCACGGCGAGCCTATATCAATACCATCCTCTTCTGCCTCACCTCCGCCGCCCTTCTCTGCATTTCCATTGTCGCATATTGGATCTTCTACTACAACTATGTGCCGCAGATCTCGCTGGAGCGACAAGTTCATCTACAATTCGGGTATGCCCATCAATCAAGTAATTGGATCTGAACACCTCGGCCTAGAAATGTATTTATGAAACTGTGGTAGTGATGGACACCCTTATGGCACTGCGACGTTGGGCACAGAATTGATCGCTGCGCAACAATATGATGTCAGCGTCATTCTGTACCTCCCGCGCAGCCCGCCCAACCTCGCCGCTGGCAATTTCATGGTTGATCTTGCGTTATTCTCTTCTGCGAAAACAAATACGAATACAAAGATACCAACTGAGGCAAGTTCTATTGAAAGTTCGCGGAGGCCTGCAATTATGACTTTTACATCCCCGATGGTGGATACAGCCAAGAGGGTGTCAAAAATGCCACTCTACCTGCTCGGATGGCAGAGGGAGGCAGAGGGCTTGAAGGTTAACATGATGGATCGGGTGGAGTTTGGAAGAAAGAAAGGGGCTATGCCAAAGACATTGAGGCTGGAGATTGAGAGTGAGGAGAAAATACAGGTGTATAGTGCTGTCGTCAAATTCGACGCGAAGTTTAGCGGGCTAAGGTATGTAACCACCTGGGAATTTTTTTAAAGAGACCTCAGATCTCGTTCCTGACATTTGCCTTGGGCATACTATCTCAACCCTACAAAGTCCATGCAGGAGAATGTCTTTAACTAACAGTTGTTCGATTACAGATGGATTATGTATAATTGGAAAATTTTCTCCATTCTGACATTCACGTTGACTTTCTGGGCCGTTTCAATGCTCTTCACATCTCTAGTGTGGGTAGCTCTGGCGAGTCTGGCAGAGCCAACAGTAAGAACGAATCCAAAATTAAAAGATGAGACTGAAGAGGAAGAAAATAGCAGTGGCATTTCTGTCAAAGAAGAGGAGGGAAGTGATGGTGAAGGTGCTTCTTCTAAGCTTACTATGCCACACGAAAGACAAATGAGCGATGAACCAGAGAAGATTAAAAGGGAAGAAAATACCGAAGAATATACGGTGATTCAGACATTGGCTGGAAGCGACCAGCCCGAAGCTGAAGCAGGTGCGCACCCAGTTGGTACCAGCACGTCATCGCAAATAACTGCAAGGGATAACTCGGAGCTGGTCGCCCAGAGGCGCAGAGGCAATGTACGTTTTGAGGACGACGATTGACTCCCGTTTGCTTGCCAATTCCATACCCCTATAATTCTTAATTGCTACAATAGCAACAATTCAGAATCCTAATGCATTCTCCGATAATTCAACATGTTTCAGCAGGACCTGAAATTAGAGTAAACATAAATGTTCCACTACTCTCTGCACACTAGTAGTTAACGTGTGGAAGTGCGGGTATGGAAGTACTATCTATTACATTCCGTTGCAGTAGCCTTTTCAATACCACCACACTCGTTTTCCCCTGCTGCTGGAATGTATTATATAGGCTAATAGCGATCCAACGGCCAGCGTAAGTTTAGTGGAAGATTTGGAAAGTCAAGGGGAGCCTAATCAAGTTAGCAATTTATCCGGTTCAGTATTCAATTGTCTTCCCCCCGGCTGTTGGAAACCCCAACAGTCGCAAAAACGAGGATATCAGGACACCAGCCGCCTCGATCTAATCTCATTTTCAGCAATGCATATACTGGTAGGTCTATGGAAACATTGGTCATTTCTATGTTTCTAGTCTCCTCCAAATTGAAGCCCGGTCTATCCTTTCATGGCCTATATTTGCCCCTCACTCACTCACACTTCCATTAGGTTGTCAACGACGACGGGCCTCCCTCGAATCAATCTTCGCCCTATGTACATCCATTGGTTCACACGCTCGAATCCGCTGGCCATGTAGTCTCTGTCGTCCTCCCGCACAGACAGCGGTCATGGATCGGTAAGGCCCACCTCGTTGGAGCGACCGTGAAGCCTACATACTTCCGTCCGGGCACCCTCCACAAAGACGACGGCACCATCCACCACCTTCCTTTGGGAGCCGAGGGGGAAAACGATAATATGGAGCCGATAGTAAACGAGTGGATCCTCATTGATTCCACACCCGCCAGCTGCGTCCAGATCGGACTATTCCACTACTTCAAGGACCGCGGGCCCATTGACCTTGTTATCTCTGGGCCTAACTACGGTAGAAACTCAACTGCCGTCTTTGCGCTCTCGAGCGGCACACTTGGTGGTGCATTGGAGGCTGCAGTATGCGGATACAGGTCAATTGCTCTCTCGTACGCCTTCAGCTCGCGGGACCATGATCCTGTCGTCATTGCGGAAGCGTCGAGACATTCTGTACGCCTAATTGGACATCTGTATAAGAACTGGGAGGAAGATGTTGATTTTTACAGCATAAATGTACCCCTCGAAGCCGGGGTCAGCGAAGCTAAAATCCTCTACACCAATGTCCTAGATAATCGTTGGACCTCTGGGAGCTGTTTCGAAGCCATAGATGCTGCGGAAAGTGGGGAGGGCCCAGATTTGCAGGAGCAGAAGTTACGCCAGGCTGGGGAAGTAGATGCCGGGTTGGGGAAAGGGACGAAACCGGGAACAGGCACAACCACGCCAGGACATCGGCATATGCATTTCAAGTGGGCGCCAAAGTTTTCGGATGTTTACAAGAGCGTTGATCTTGGTCCTCCAGGGAATGATGGATGGACAGTTAAGGAGGGGATGACAAGGTAAGATTACTGCCCCGCGACCCACATTGGACCTATTTCATCCCTCTATTTTTGTCGAGGGTGTTCCAACCTACACTATTCTAACTATGCGCTACTTTGATATTACAGCGTTACGCGCTTGAAAGCGAATTTTATGCATTCACCAAGGCCTTTGGGAGAAATTCAGTTGTGAGTGTTAGCTCCAATGCGATGGCGTCTCGGGTGGGTTCATGATAAACGATTCTTTATTAAGTCTCCACACAGAGCTTGTAGTCATGTTATTGGTTATTTTATATCTCTCGTTTTCTCTTTGCCTGTTACTCTAAAACCCCTACAGCGATTGCTTATTTGCTCGTAGAAGTGCATTCTAACTATCCCTGCCTTTCGATCTTCGGACAGACCCTTCAAAACACCCATATTCTATGCTCTAGTGGAATGCCAGGACTCATATGTGCAACCCCTTGTAACCCAAGCCCTACGGACACGCTTGCACGGAATCCCTTACGAATTGATATTTTCCATTCGTGAACTTCCCAACCCCTCGTCTCCCCTACTTCAATACCGAGTGTACGAGCAATGCGATTTTGAGCACGTCTTATCCCATCCTGCAACTTCATTGGTAAACGCCTATGTCATCCGCAAAGCGCTAATTAGGAAACACTACTTATCAAACTCGGTGTCGAACTGGGTGGCAAAACATCCCGACAGCATTTTAAATGCGCACGTCAAGCCAGCTGTCCATTTTGAGCTGGATTATGCGGAGTTTCTTGACGAGGCGCTGGTCGAGGCATATGAGTTACAGGAGAGCTTCCAGGCTAATGAGGGAAAGGAAGAAGCTGAAAAGGAGTGGTGGATTCTAAAACCCGGGATGAGCGATAGAGGGCGGGGGATTCGCTTATTTAATAGCGAATCAGCGCTGCGGGAGATCTTCGAGGGGTGGGAAGACGACCAACCCGATTCCGAGGATGGCGAGGATAGCGAAAACGGGAAGGTCGTCGCCAACGGCAATGGGAAATTGAACAATGATGATAACCGTGACGATGACCACGGAATCATCACCTCGCAGCTCCGCCATTTCATAGCGCAGCCATATATCCACCCGCCTCTCCTGCTTCCATCGGAATCGAATAGGAAATTCCACATCCGCACATATGTGCTAGCTGTTGGCTCGCTGCAGGTTTATGTCTACAGGGAAATGCTCGCACTATTCGCTGAGAAACCGTATCTGTCTCCCTGGGACAGCAGTGGTGCCGGCGTCGACGACCTTACCCGTCACCTGACAAATACATGTCTGCAAACCGGTCGCGGCGGTACTGCCAAACAGAACTCCGTTCGGCGCTTTTGGGCACTCGAGGATACCGCCGTCCCCTCTCTTTCCTCCTCCTCTCCGCCAACTTCAGGAGAACCCAACGCCAGCACCAACTGGAAAGAAAGCGTATACCAGAAGATCTGCGCTGTGACAGGTGAGGTCTTCGAAGCAGCAGCACGGGGTATGCTGGTGCATTTCCAGACGTTGCCGAATGCGTTTGAGGTGTTCGGCGTTGACTTCCTGGTCGACAGTCGTGGCAAGGTCTGGCTGTTGGAGCTAAATGCGTTCCCGGACTTCCGGCAGACGGGTGACGAGCTAAAGGGGGATGTCGTCGGTAAGCTGTTTGAGGCGGTGGTGGAGGTTGCTGTAAAGCCATTTTTTGGTATTGAGAAAGATATTGAGCGGGCTAAAGCACGGGCTGCACAATTGGGGTTGCAGCTGGTTAGGGACCTGGATATGGGGATGAAGAGGTGAGGGGGGGTGTTTCTGCCACCCACGCTACTGAATGTTGATGAGCCCATCAACAGTAAGTATAGGGCCAAATACTTATCTCCGCCGATAAAATAAGAGGACAGTTGGGCATCATCTGGTTTCTTGTGGCCAGCTGATCAATGGGGAACTTCGGAGCCACCCACACCTCTGTTACACTGCTGGGTGCGTTTGCGGGAGGAATCCCAAAATCCTGTGCCATTATCACAGCGATCAAAGTGCGGTATTTAAGCTGCATCGTCTTGTGCTTGGAAGATTGGTTGGAGTTATGACTATATATTTTTTATTTAATTTTTTTTTCCTCGTCGAGATATCAACATGCGTTATCCGCGGGTTTTTTTAGAAACGGGAGGATTTTCAGAAAAGGTAGATATAAAGCATCCACAATTTATACTCATTCTTCAGCTCGCTTTTCCCTTGTCTATCCTTAAGACTGTAGCGGGTCGGAGATTTACTGTTAGCCTCAAGCTTGGCGATGTATTTATTTACTCATCCCCCCAGCTCCAATTGTTGTTTTGCTCGATTTCGAGAACGCAACGCACGGTGATACCGACGACGATATCAAAGACCCCGTGCGAGTACTGACTGCAGCACAATAGCAATGGATCCATTTTCATGCTTTGGCACGGCCCGTTTAAAACCTCAAGAGCCACTGCGCCGAAGCAGATTGGTTAACTTCGGTGATTTTTTGACATGGTCATACCTGCAACCATGTAGAAGCATGGTGTAACTGTTTGCTAACGAACATCAATAGAACCTCGGGTCCTTGCGAGAGCAGGTCTCGCTGCTGTCTCACATCCTTTTCATGGCAACAAAGGGAGATAGATACTGGGTATGTTCGCACAGGGTAGACCAGCAGTATCCTCGTCGTCAAGGTTGTCTAATTGCCTGACTACCAGCCCGGGGAACTGACATGGCCCTTAGAGCTCCAGCAAATACATACATTAGCTATGTAGCATGGGGGATCGTCAGCTACCCGCTCAAGGTTTGAGGTGACATTTCCCAGCATGCATGCTGAGACTAGCTGCATGTACTATTGATTTTCTGGTTTCTGCAATAGCTAATGGAGATTTCAACCGCTTTTTTTTTTTTTTATTTGATTCCTTGGCGATCCGGCGGGTTGTTCCAGGCGTCATTTAGTTATGCGCGGCCCATTACCTCATAATCGACACGGCTGACTATTTATATACACTGGGGCGTTCAATTGCTAGGGCCACGGGTTGGTCCCTGGCGGAATCATTATAAGTTCGTTAACTAACTTTAACTACAGCTGAATTGCTTACGCAGGACAATATCAAAGGTCAAAGGAATAATAACAACAATAACATGACGATGATCAGGTATGCAGACATAGTCCGTAGAGAGTCTCTTTGCCATGTTTCATTGGGCGTTGACGTACATATATCGGTGCATTATATACCCCTCGCTCTGTGTACGCGTAGAGGCAGGCCACTTACATAGTACAATCTAACCCAGAGCCCTCTCACCCTTTTCTCCTCAGCCTGAATCCATCTCAAACCCGTCTGTCTGCTTGCTTCTCCCGCTCCAGTAATTGGGCATGCCTCTCCGCGTCCGGGATGTGGTGGAGGAGATCCTGCTGAATCCTTTCGTCGTACCGTGTGCTTATTTTCATCATCTTATCGAGTTCTGGGTCCCTAACTAGCGCAGCGAGTTAAGAGCCTGCTAATCCCAGGAGCCCAACCTGGTTATTATTTTCGGCCAGTCTACTTCCTACGCCCAGCAGTGCTGTCTTAGCCCAACCAGGGATGTTAATTAACTCTACCCGTTATTTATTGTTTTCTCCTTCTGCGACACAAACAATCTCCCTACCTGTGTTCGTCTCCTCCCACTTGGGTTCTTTTCGCCTTCCCTCGAGTATCTCTTCCTTTTGGTCCTGGGATTTCGGGTGTTTTGTCTCCTATTATATTCTCCTCTCCTGCCTAGCAATCAATTGGTCCTGAGAAAATGGAAAACTGGCCGTAACAATAGCTCCTCATCTTCTGCTGGACGACCGGCTTGGAGCTTCTCAATGGTAAAATACGCCCCTCTGTGTGCTTCACAGTTACCTATCTTGGTCAATGAAGGAGGACTTGCAGCAGTTGACCAGAAACACCACAGAGCATTATTTGACGGCCGCTTAATCACGCCGTACACGACTACTAGTTATCAGCGTCCACATCAATTGGCCTGAATGACACGTATATCCCCCGTCTAACCCGAATATCCCGTTTACTTTTATGTGGCGGTCTGTCTTGTTCTCTTTTCTTCCCTCCTGGTCTAACCTGACGCTCGCTGCCAGTTGTCCATTCATTGAACTTTAAAAAAAAGAAAAAGCCTTACCTGCCCAAAGTCAGTTGCAAGACAGGAGCCTTATGTGGGCTCCATTATCATAACATCATTTTTGTTCGACGTTTGTAGATGCGCTCGCTTTTTTCTGTCGTTCCCAGAGGCTCTTTTCTCCTATGACGCTCAGAATTGCTGGTTACATTTGTTCTGGGCCGTTGGATTTCTGTTTGTTCTCTCTTTGCCCTATTAGCAGTGTTCTTGTGTGGAAGCAGACGGGGGCCGACTATAATTATCTTGAATCCCCTTTCCATTTGCATCCTCTCAGAAGGGCCTCCTTTTGTTTTCCTGCATTCCACCCTATCTATCTTCTTCTTTTTATTTTATATTCCGCTGGACTGCTCTCTCGTTCGTTTTGGAACATTTTAGCTGGGCATCAGGTCTTTCCCTCGACATTTACCGGCTCACATTTTCACTCCCTGCAGTCGTGAGAGAAGGGAGCTAGCTCCCTTGGAGTCTCCATTTTCATGCTTTATAGTTAGGCGGACGAGCTTGCGAACTTGCAGTGAGGTTGTTGATTTGTCCTCCTCGAGTACCCCTTTTATTGGCCTGTCTCGCATTCTCCAAGTTGGCACAGGTGTTTGTTTTCCCATCGTTTTGCGCCCTTTTTCTTTTTCGGCTCGTTCAGTTCTTGTATCTTCCCATTTATCTCTTTTCCTAGTTTTCCCTTTTCCCCCGCTCGCTTTTGCTATAGGCCTATTTCTTAATTCCTTCCTTTATTTTTCTTTTCTTTCCTCTTTCTGCTTCGTGGAAGAATCGACTGTCTGTTCGTTTCTATCGGCTTTCTGCAATTGCTTCGTTGCTTGTTTTAATAAGAGACGGAGGAACAACGGAACAGCTCACGCACAAGAAGAAATATAACCCCTTTTCTGTACTTTTTTTGCCTTTTGCGCTTTTTCTTGCACCTCTCCTCCATTTTTCCCCAGGCAGTTAGTTGTTTTGCGGAGTCTGCAGAAGGAACTGCGAGTTGTCTGTTGTTCCCCCGGCAGCCGATGTACTGGTCTTCCCTTCTATGCAACCTGGCGTGTTATTGCTTCCGTGTGTCTGTCCTGCACCTTCTCTCATTCCCTCCAGCCGGCGGAGTTTGATATAGACCTCTGTCCTTTCCATTTCCCCATCGTTTGCGGATAAACAAAAGTCTTCCTCTTTTGCTCCTCCAGCACGGCGTGGTTTCTGACTCCCATCTTCGAGGCACTTCTACTGCTGCTCTTCATTGCTTAGTGGAGGTTTCGTTTATCATACGCTTTTGTCTTGCCTATGACCTCTTGTGACGGCGTGATTTGCTTGCCCAGGTGCCCAGGTGGTTAACGCCATTACCTTCTCGTGGTTCAGCATTCCCCAACGCGGCGGCTTTCCCTTGAGATTTACGCCCCCAATCACAACTGCTCATCTACCACGATGGAGCTGAAAATGGATCGCGGATTTGAATTGCAGGTCGTGAAGTTTCTGCACTCTTTCTTCCCTATAATCGCTGCGACATATTACTTTGTTGCTTGCTTTGTGAAAAGCATACCGTCCCCTCGAAAGAGGAAGCCGTCTGCTCAACAGCCAAAAGGCTTAAGACTTGCGCTGGGCTGTATTATGCTCCTCGTATTGACAACTTATGTAAGTGTTGAAGTGGAATACTCAGTTGTGCCTTTGATTTAGAAATGGCTTTGTTTCCAGGCTAAAAAAATGAAATTGTATATGGCGAGGAAAACCACTAATATGAATTTTGCCTACGTATAGGTCGGCGATTCAATGGCATTGATATCCGCTGCAATTTCCAAGGGAGTTTCCTCCCCGCCGCAGGACTCCATCGTGAGTGTACTTTGTACTTTGACGATATCTCGGATAGATGAAAATGTTGCAGCTAACTCTATTAACGGGCAGATCTTTGCATTGGCTTCCTCGCTTCTTTGGTTCAGTACTATCTTGGCGTATATCGATGCTCAATCTCCTCCGGGCTATCCTCTTTACGGGTGCTGGATCCTCTATTTTCTATGCGAACTTGCGCTGCTTTCGCTCTCCCTTCGACTTGACCACGCTCGAACGAAGTTATCCGTCATCACAACGATATCCCAGGCAATTCGACTGTGTGTTCTCTTCTTCCTCCCCTGTACTATTTTCGGTTCTCGCCTGTGTATGACCAAGAAAGTTGGCGATGATGAAGAGAACACTCCGCTACTACGGGACTCTGTAAATAGGTTTCAAGGAGATGGCGCCGAAAACGCTTATGGTTCATGCAGCTCTCGGAGTAATTCAACAGCTGAACCCCACGTTTCTAAATCGGATCCTGAATTGAATAAAGAAGGCGAGGAGGAATTGAAACCGAGAGAGTTGAATTTGTGGGATTTTATGAAAAATTTACGGGTATGCTGACACAATTCTATTTTGGAGAATCCGAACTAATCGCCAAAATTCGCGAAACTGCGTCTTATCTGGCTAACCATGATATAGGCCATTGTTCCATTCTACTGGCCTTCGGGAAAGCCAAAGCTCCAACTCCTATATTTGTGTATTGGCATCTGTCTGGTATTCCAACGCATCATGAATATCGTCATCCCTCTTCAAATAGGGCTGATTACCAATATCCTCAGCAAGAATGACGGTATGCAAGGAAACTTTTACTTACCCGGATTTCAGATTGCTAACGTTCTCGTAGGAACTTTCCCCTGGAGAGAAATTTCCTTTTTCATTGCCCTCCGGCTTTTTGATTCTAGCTGCGGTCTGTCTGCGATTACGAAGTTCCTTTGGGTACCGCTGGAGGACTACTCATACACGAACCTGAGTTCAGCGGCATACAACCAAATCATGGCCCTGTCGAGCGACTACCATGACAGTAAAAGCTGTGCGAATCTGTGGCAATCAGTCTTCCGAGGCCAAGGTGTCAATAACATGGTCCACATGCTTTGTTTTGTTATCGGGCCTATGGTGATTGACCTTGCATTAGCTGTCAGTGTTTTGTATTACATATTCGATGCATATATGGCTTTGGACATCGCGGCTATCGCTGTGTTGTTTATGTGGTCATCCGGTAAAATAATAAATACGCAGGCAAAAAAGCGTCGCCAATTCGTTGACAACAAGTCAAAGGAGGTTGCTCATATGTGTGAGACCACGGCAAACTGGTACACAGTCTCATATTTCAATCGTATATCCTACGAAGAATCGAGATACGCCTCATGCATTAAAGACCAGCTGGTTTCCCGACGTGGGTATCTGCTTTGGGTCCATATGGAAGAGTCCGTTCAATCCCTGTTTTTGCTTCTAGGTCTGATGATTGCCTGTTTCATGGCAGTCCACCAAGTTATTAAAGGGACCAAACCCATCGGACACTTCATTATGTTGCTTAGCTACTGGGCGCAGCTGACTGGTCCTCTTCAGCTCATCGCAGCCGGGTTTGGCAGCCTTGCCATGGATATGATCGACATGGAAGGGTTCTTAGAGTTATTGAGGCAGAAACCAACTATCACTAATCATGTGAACGCAAAACCCATGCGTCATCCTGCCAGTGGTGATATTGAATTCACTGATGTGACATTTTCGTATGATGGCAAACGAGAGGTTCTCAACAATGTGAACTTCAAAGTCAAGGCCGGACAGACCGTAGCACTGGTCGGGCAGACTGGAGGTGGTAAAACGACAATTTTACAAATGCTAAATCGCTTTTACGACCCGACTTCAGGTAGTGTGAGAATCGACGGACAAGATATATCTCAAGTCACACTTGAAAGCCTCCGGGCAAATATTGGCGTCGTCCCCCAGCACCCCGCTCTCTTCGACGACACCATAATGGCCAATATCCGATACGCGAGGCTTAGCGCTACTGACGAAGAAATAATTGAAGCCTGCAAAGCTGTGGCTCTTCATGATCGGATTTTAACCTTCACCGACGCTTATAACACCATGGTGGGTGAACGCGGCCAAAAGCTCTCAGGCGGTGAGCTTCAGCGCGTTGCAATTGCTCGCGCGATCATCAAAAATCCAATAATTGTGCTTTTGGACGAAGCCACCAGCAGCATGGATAGCGAAACCGAAGCTCATGTTCAGGGAAGTTTAAATCGCCTTAGGAAAGGACGAACAACTTTTATAGTTGCGTAAGTTCTACTGTGTCCGATGGACTGCTACTGTGCAATACAACTTGACTAACCCTAATACCCCTAGACATCGCCTCTCTTCTGTCATTCACGCGGACAAAATTATGGTTGTTGAAGGTGGTAAAATCGTCGAGGAAGGAAACCACAGGGAACTATTGAACAGGAAGGGTCACTATTACCGACTCTGCGCTTTCCAAGGAGGATTCGACATTCCTGGATATCATCGGGCCAGATTTCCAAACGATACCATGGATAATGGAGAAAACCCACTATTTAGGAACGATTCCGATCCTGCTACTATCTCACCAGAAGGCACAGCAAGCAGCGGACACAGTGCCGATCAGCATATAGGCATCATTCACGAAGGAGCCCTTGGGCATTTGAGGCATACTAGCCCAAACTGCGCAGGTGATGTGTCCGCAAGAAATCCCACCTCGAAAAAAGGTTGGAAGCCAGACGCTCCTGAGTTTGTTCCCCGAACTTATAAAGCCTCTGATGCTATAATTCCGCCAGTAACATTTACTCATCCAGCAAACATCAACCATAACTTTTCTAGCGAGGTAACTTGTCGGTTTTCAAGCAACATTGCAGAGGAAGCTAGTGGTGACGCCGATCTTCTCAGCAGTTCTAAAGAGAATGTCCCGGCGCTAGCTAGAAAGAGCCCCCATCCCGAGCTCTCCTCGATGGAGAAAGGAGACCAAAAAGCCAAGTCATTATCCCCAAGAATGAAAACGATGTCAGGACAGCCTTCTATGCATAATGGTGATGCTGAGTTGGTGCAGGGAGGTGTTTGGCAGGGAACCACTGATGTTGTATCAGATTCCGCGGTTGTGCTGCCAAAATATGCTCAACGACGTCGGGAAATGACCAAAAGTGAACCAACAACCAAAAGTCAAAACGTCGACGAAAATACACCTTTAATTGATTTGGAGACTGCAGCGCCGTCCATTCCGCGCAAAGGCCAGTCGACAACGTCTAATCAGCGTCGTCGTCGGCGTTACCATAACTGGAGCAACAGTGAGAATCGCAAGCGGGGAACGGCCAAGGCTAGCATTCGCGATACTGGATCATCGTCTTGATTGAAGGTGGATAGTACTAGTACCCCATCACACACTTCACACCTCGGGATATATTCGACCTTAGCAGTATATTTGCTAACCCTACCGCATCTGATCAGACTAGAGAGCGAAATTCGAGATGATCAAATGATTGGAAAAAAGAAAGCCGGAGCCTTTTAAACTTTAGCAATGATGACTTGATGTTACCTTTGAGCTTTATGACTGTACCTGTATATATATATATATTGCATTCCCAGCGCAGGGTCTGAGGTTCGATCTTCGGCGTAATGGCATTCAGGGAATAGAATAGGGGACTTATTACTTAGTTGGATATCAATTAATAATAGCTTAATAACTTAATAAAGCAGAGAAATAGGTATAAACTAACATTTTGATATTCTACCGCTTATATTATTTGATAAAACTCTCAGCTGCCAAATCTTTGCTTCGCCAACTCCCTTAGCACACTCATTGTTTCTTCCTCCCTCTTCCGGTACGCCTTCAATCTTTCCTCCCTTTCCGCTGCCCGCGCCCTCAACATTTCCTCCCGCCGAATCTCCCTCTCATTCTTCTTTCGCATCTCCTTCTCCCTCTGCTTCTTCAGCGATGCAAGGTCATCTCCACCGCCACCGCCACCCATCAGCTCGTCATCATTTACTATACCATCGTCGTCGCCGCCCGCCTTCGACTCTGCAAAAGCACGGTTGGCAGCGGCGGCTTCGCGCCTCTTCTCCAAGCGCCGTTCGCGAGTGCCGGGTTCGGCGCGCGGAGCGATTTCTTCCTCTGCAGCGCGTATTTGGGCCTTGTGGGCGGCGCGCGCGAGGGAGGTTTCCTTGCGCTGCGTGATGAAGGCGGTTGTTTGGGATTGTTTTTGGGATTCTGTTCGTATGGGGGAGGTGGGGGTGGGGTTAGTTTGGGTGGGTTATGTAAAAAAAAAAAAAAAAAAATCCTTTTTAGGAGGGTCTGCGGGTGGAGGGGAGGAAGGGATTTATATAATATAAAGGTGGAAGAGAAAGGGAGAAATGGGGGCGAAATTTTGAAATTAAAAATACGAACCTCGTTGAAGTTGTAGATCTTGGAGGGTTGGGATTGTCGGGCCGGATTTTTCATCTGCTCTGTGACTACTGGAGCTTGGACGGACTATGGCAAGTGAGGGGTCAGGCGTGGGGAGCTTCGGGCCGTATGACTCCTCTTCCTCATCGTCGTCTTCGTCTTCATCTTCGTCTTCTTTTGGGTCTTTGGTTCTTTGGTCTAGAGACACAGCAGTACTTGTTGAGCGTTCGCGCGGGGGTTCGCTTGTCTCCTTCCCAACACTTCTTTTGTTCTGTTCTCCGTATTCCGGGGAAGCCCGGAGTCCATGCGTAGAGCCATGCCAGTAATTTCCGGCCGCGCTGTCTTGCTGTGCCTTTTGGAAAGTGCTCGGGTCGTACCAGCCCTCCGCGAGTTCTCCACGGTTCCTCAGATATGTCAGCATCAACTTGGGTTTCCAAAAGGCTTTCTTTAACTTCCCCCCAGCAGAGAAAATAAGATAAAGAACAAGTATAACCAAATGAAGGAAGGGGGAGCAGCCAATCGCCTTACCATTTTCCCACAAAGCTCTTCCACCTGCCTTTTACTTCCCGTTCATCCAGGTCCGCTATGTCGATATTCTTCTGTATATCTAAATACAGCGCGAACATGGGCTCAAGCACTTGCAGATCGTGTTTGGAAAGCGGCCTGGCATCAAACGGGAGTGTGGCTGGCGCCGCCACTGCCCGTCTTTCATGTTCTCGCCTGCTATGCGCCCTTTTCCTTCTTTCTGCAGAATGGGACCGTACATCTCTCTCATCGCTTGTATGACGATAGTGATCACGGCGTCGAGAATGCTGGGAACGTGGGGAGTGTGACGTCGACATCGCGTGTGAGTGTGGTCGAGAAGGCGATCGAGATCTGTAGCTCCGATGTTCATCCCGACGGTGTCTGGATGTGTCCATGATGGGTGTGATGGTGTCGGCTTTGGATATCTGACTGTGGTGATGACACCTGAGGTTGAAGTTCGGAGCGGAATTTTGATGATTGTTTGCCAAGACCCGCCACTTGGATTCTACGCCGTACAAAAGCAATGGGCGCCGTGTCAGGATCGAAATTCCCACGATATATATATGTGGAAATAAAGGGGAAAGCAGTTAAAAAGATGGCAAGTTAAAAGCGTAGTATATGCAATAGTACAAACTAGGCTCGATCCACTAACAGGAATTGGCCTTAAACTACAGTCAAGAATAGTTCAATCCAAATGACACTCAGAACATAATTATGAAAACCGTTTTAGCCCTCGATTACTTTCGCCTCGAAATTGATATATTACATTATATAGGAGGGAAACGCGTTTAGCTGGCAGGAGCACTTGTCTCTCGATCATCGGTACTGAAGCTTGCGTTCTCCACTGTGGCAGTCTTGGATTTATTGGAAGCAGCCATCTGCCACGCAGGGATGCTTGCCGGTTTTGCAAGCTGGGAAAATGGACTGCTGGAGTTCTCCCTGGACGTGGGAGCTGGCACATGCTGTGGTGCGGGAGTGGGGACAGGAGTGGCTGCGGCAGCTTGTGATGAGGGAGTTGTCACGCTGGGGCGATTTGCGGATGTATCTTGACTTAGCTGGGGTGTGGTGGAACCAGGCCGTGGAGCAGAAGAAGCCGCCGAGACACTGCCGGATGCTGAGCTAAGTCGATTTCCGAGAAGAACTTTCAAACTTCTAAGCTCATTACCAAGCTCTTTGAGTCGTTTTTCGTTTCCTTCCTTTGCCCCGTCGATGGCTCTGGGTATGCTGTCTTTCAAACCTTTTACCTCTTCCCCAATACGCCGGGTGTCCTCATCCCGTCGCCGCGAGGATGTCTTCAAATCTGTAATCACATTTTCCACTTCACGAAGCGCAGAATCAAGGCGCTCGGTCCGTGCTTCTTCCGCGCTCTTAAGGGTTGCTGTGTCGCTTGATAGCTGATCGAGGAGCGCAAAAGCACGAGAGAACTGTTCGTCAATGCTCTCTTTGTCCTGCTGTAGCTGAGGAGGGGTAGGAGGGGCGATAAGGGGTACGATATATCGCTGTAATTGACATTAGGTTTATCGGGTTCATGAATCAACGATGAGGAATCTCCATACCTTAGCCACAGAGTACAAGCCATATCCGACACCGCCTATCACTGTCGCCATGATAAACCAATCTCTCCAATCTCGTTTCGGCAATCTACAAAAGGGATGAGCGTTAGCATATCAAAACCGGGAGAAGACGTAACTGGTAACTAGAAATACCACTCACTCCGGAGGAGGCGGTGTATGTTGCCATTGACCCCCCGGACCATATGCATAGTTTTGGCCATATAGCTGAGTCGGTTGCCGGTAAATTGGTTGTTGACTTGCAGTGTTTTGGGTAGGATGCTGAGTAGCAGCTGCAGATGAGTCTTCGCCTGCTCTCGAAAGCGCTTGATCGATCTCTTCCTGTGTTAAGTTTTTTGATTGTAGGAAAGCTATCTTTTTGTCCAGCGGCGCGGATGAAACCGATGGGTCATGGAGGACTATGCATGTTGAATTTGAGGGTCAGCTATTGGATCCTCAAAACTGGAAAACAAGCCGTGGGCATCGCGTATCAACGTACAAGAAACCTAGAGTAGAATACTATGAGTGAATGCATATGAATATACAATGACAAGAACTATAAGAAGAACATACCGCAGAGGAGACAAGTTCCTCCCGGAGAGCCATGGCTGAAGATATCGCTAGGGAAAATGGTCGATAGCGAAAACTATCAAAAAGTTTGCAGTATGTATTTAATCAAAATATATCAACGTGCCCGCATCCAGCACGCATCATTCCATCTCTTTTTCTGATAGCTGATGGAGGCATGAAGGTCAGGAGCAAGACGACTCGGGAGGTCCTTTTCGTGACAGCCGCCGAGAACGACAAAAAGCCGAGGCTGGAGCTGGTCCAAGTCCCGTGATAACGGTTTGCGGGGATATATTTATCCGATGACCGGTGAGTTTGTTTACATCAGAATTTCCGAAGAGGGCAAAGCAGCAACACTCTGAGGTCATCTTTTGCGGTTACAAACCCTTTGCTTGTCGTCTACAGGATGATGACATTATTCTGACGAAATATTACACGTTCAATTTTCCTTGTCTTTCGACTTACCCTCAATTTCCCTCAATTTGATAGCGGGGTGCAGTCACCACATCAAGCAGTATGTCGCAAGACACTGGGCTTTTCAGCATTCGACGACCTCGAGAGGTACACGGTTATCTGGTTTTTTTTAACAGTTTCACCCTAAGGAATATCCAGGAATTGAATTGATATGAACTAACTCAATCTTCGGTGCAGACCCTTGCGAGTGTCCAGAACTTATCGTCCATCCCGCAGCCTGCCTCAGCACTTAAACGAACCAGTTCCGCAGCAAACCTCCAGAATCCACCGTACACGTCGCAGCATGTGCGCACAACTTCCATCGGCGGTCAAGGTTTTAATCGGCCACAACAACCAGTATTCCAGCGATCTTCATCTGGAGCTGACAATGGACTTTCATCCGTCCGCCGGTCTGTTTCAAGCAACATCTTTCACAGTGCCAGCGTTGGCCGCCAAAGCTATGCACCTGTATCCTCTCACCCCGTCCCCGCGCCGCAACTGCAACGGCGAAGCAGTGTTTTCTCGCGCCAGTCGACGGGTGGCCCGATGAGCCATCACCAGTCATTCTTTACCCAAGCCCCTGCCCCTGCTGGTGTTCCTAGAGACCCACGCCCACTCAAAGACCGCTCTTACCAGGCGCGAATCGGACAAGAGCTTTTGGAGTATCTGACGCAAAATAATTTTGAGCTAGAGATGAAGCACTCTCTCACGCAAAACACTCTGAAATCCCCAACGCAGAAAGATTTCAACTACATTTTTCAATGGCTTTATCGAAGAATCGACCCTGGCTATAAATTCCAGAAAAACATTGACGCCGAAGTTCCTCCTATTCTTAAACAACTACGCTATCCATTTGAGAAGAGTATCACCAAATCCCAAATTGCAGCTGTTGGTGGTCAGAACTGGTCGACTTTCCTAGGCATGCTTCATTGGATGATGCAGCTGGCGCAGATGCTTGATCGGTATTATTTGGGACATTACGACAATGCTTGTGCGGAAGCCGGCGTAGATATCTCTGGTGACAATATTATTTTTCATTTCCTCTCCAATGCCTATCGCGATTGGCTTCAGGGCGGCGAGAATGAAGATGATGAGGTGGCGGAAAGACGCCTTATTCCTCATATTGAAGCAATGGCAGCTGACTTCGAGCGGGGGAATGAAAAATATGTTCGTGAAATGCAAGAGCTTGAAGCAGAGAATAGGGAGCTACGGGATCAAATTGAGCAAATGGAGAAGAATGCCCCGGATATTGCGAAATTGGAAAAACATTTCAGGATTCTGGAGGATGATAAGAGAAAATTTGAAGACTACAATCAGAATGTCCAAGGAAAGATCACCAAATACGAAAATCGCATCAAGTTTCTTGACGAAGAGATAAGTAGGACTGAGGAGGACTTCCAGAAAGCCGATGAGGAACGCCTCGATCTGCAAAATAGTGTAGATAAACAGGGGATTACAATCCAGGATATCGATCGCATGAACTCCGAGCGAGAACGGCTTCAGAAAAGCGTAGAGGATATCCTCATTCAACTTGACGATACTCATGCTAGGGTCATGGAAAAGGAGGCCGAAGCAAATAGAAGGCTTGAATCCCTGGAGCAAGTTGTTAAAACTTTTAACACTCTTGGTTATCAAACGAGCTTAATCCCAGCGACCGCTGCAAACGCTAAGGGCCAAGACTATGAGCTCCATCTCAATCTGAATGAAATCAACTTTTCTTCATCCCAGTTGGGGACTTCCCGGACCTCGCCAGAAGGTGATCGTTTGCTTGCTGACACTTTCACCGGGTATCATCCAACGAACCTCTTGAACCTCGACCTTCGTGGCCTCGTTCGTAGCAACTTCATCTCTCTACGGAAAGAGATTAATGAGCGACGGAAACTTGCTCTGGATGCAGATATGAATCACCGGGACCTGTTAGATAATATCAAGGAGGCCATGGACGAGAAAAGGAGCGAGGTAGAGGCCCTTGAACACAAACGACGCGCGGCGGAAGAGGAATTCGAGAAGCTTAAGGAAATTACAACAACCCAAAAGTTGACATCTGACTCCCAAATTGAAAAGATGGAAAAGGAGCTTGCTAAAATGCGTGCTACCCTGACTGAAAACGTTCAGCTCATGGAGCAACGAGAAATGAACACCAACATCGAATACGAACAACTGGTTCTTCGAGCGAATGCTCTCCGTGAAGAGCTCCATACCGGTGTTGAAACTATGTTGAATGATGTTATCCGGTTCAAGGTGCACATTCAGAAAAGCTTAGAAGATTATGAGAGCTTTGTTGTGGATGAAGTAGAGCAAGAACTCGGAGGTGACAACGAAGGGGAGCCGGGGGCTTCCAATGACGAGGATATGTAGATAAAGATATGGACGAGTTATGGTACGATTGGCTTATGAATCATGATAGCATTGGAGCCATGGGTTTATATTATGGCTGTATATTTTGTTTTTCATCAGTTGGTTTGAAGGCTTTTGTAGTGGGAGTTGATATTTGAGCGACGACTGAAATATGGCCGCTACCACCCAAGCTAATGGCTGTGGGAATAATGAAACGTTTTCTTCTGGAACCTTTTTGATGTACAGATTACTTAGGGATACCTTGACATGATATTTTTCTCTCAGATATTAAGTGCACTTTTGACAGCTTTCCAGCGCCATATCTGTGGCTGACTAAGCTAATTAGCCAGTTTTTTTTTTTTCCTTTCCTTTCAAGTATACGAAAGCCTCAAGACTTTTGACTGACAATTTTGAGCAGGCTAATCCTCCCTCACTTTGCAAAGCCATTGCGAAAACATCTTGATGGACTGGGATACTAATATATTCCGAGCCAAATATGCAACGTCTCAGCTTGACATCTCCTCCCGTCGCTCCTTCATAGGTCTTTTTACCTGCTTCCCTTGACTCTGGTCGTGTCATGCAAACTTGCCTGCGCCCAAACCGCGCAAGATATTTAGGTCATACACTTCGTCTTATTCCGGGCACCTCGATCATCTCGTCATGGAAGCTTATCGGTTTTCGTTCACGAAACTTTGGCCCCCCTCCCTCCATCGACAGCGTGGCGACCTTGTTGGTTCGAAGTTGGAACGTCGCGCGACCAGTTCCCGTACCATACGAGGAGAAGAGGAACCCATCGCGGTGGATTTCAGAATTGGAAAATTTTCTTCCTTCGGAATTACGTGAGAATACGAAAGAGGACGAGTGCCCGGAGGAAAGCCCGGAGGAGGAGAAATGCCTGGCTCTCCTAGACCTTTTGGATCACGCTCGAAGCCCGGACTCCCTTGGGTATGATTTGTTGGCATACCTTGGTGTCAAACTTGGAAGGTGGTCCGCGTTTTATGCAATAGTCAACAGACTGCTTGACAATGCCGAGGAAGCTGAGAAGCCGTTCGCGACCCTACGGAAGGGTTCCCTTCCGTCAAACCTCGATTGGGCAAGCTTCGGATCCTTCGACACGATGACGGGTGACGAATGTGCGAAGCTCCAGGCTCCCCAGATCTTGCAAAGTGAAGGACAAATGTCGTTGGACTTGATTGATTTGTACAATGATGGACCGCGGGTTACAAGCAGGATGGGAGAGAAATTCTCTCGAATAGGAACAATGGAGGAACTGTGGCCTAGTTTGGGAAGCATAGTACTCGAGGCAGCTGATCTGCCGCCGGAGGAATCGCGGACTGCCATGTTTTATTTCTACAGGATTGTTGCCCGCTTGCATCACCTAGATTACATCCCACACGGGGTATACAAACGCGCTAGGTCTCACGTTGGGGATCAGTTGAATCGTGGCACCCCTGCCATGCATCTTCTATCATCCCACATCATGAACGTTCTATCTGATGCTGTTTGGATAGGCAACGAGGTTGATACTGCAGCGTCTGCGCTAGCGACTGGCAAAGATGTATCAGCAACAACCAAGTACAAAATGCAAGTCCGACCGCTTGGCCCCGAAATTTGGTTGGAGTTTATCTTGTGGTGCTGTGTAGAAGGAGGGTTCAATATCGAAGGTTCCTGGATATTGAAACAGTTAGCAACCAAAAAGAGACGATGGATTGTTGAGAGTTTTTCCGGCCATTCCATCCATTTAGATTCGATCACTGCATCCAAAATCGACCGATATGATACCTGGGCTAGCTGCGCACGCGGGTCTAAAAGTGCAGATGTCAGTGAATCAGAGGGCCCCTTTGTAGGCCTGGGCAAGCGGACCATAAGCAGTGAAGTAGTCACTTCAATGATTGATGGTCTTAATAACAGTGTCAAGGCCGGCGTCGGACATCGGGGCGTTTATTATACCTCCGTTCTTGATTACATGAAGTCTCTAATGGAGCTATTAAAGGAAAATAATGTTTATTTAAAGCCGCGAGACATGGACCACCTCATCGTTCGCACGATCGAAGCTCGAGGGGTGGTACCGGAGGTTGACCCGAAGTCATTGGAGGATTTGTTAAATCTTGTTTCATACCTTCCCAATCTTTCTGAGGAATCATCAGAAGCAATCGCCCATTCCCACCCACTTGACAAGTCAGGGGTCGTCTTAGGTCTGAACCATTATGTACTGGATTCGTACGCCCATACAGAACATGTCCACAGAGCCCGTGGCCTCTTCGACAAACTCAACGCTACTAATCGCTCCAAAAAAAAAATCATCGAACATCGACCCCGTTTGGAGCCCAATAATAACCCGGAGGGGAATTTGATACTTGGCACAGGCATGACACAAGCAGTGCCACGAGAGCCAACTTCGATCCCAGAGCAAAATACGGCATCCTTTACGGGATTCTCGAGTTCGTCCCTCTCGCAGTTGCTCACCCTTTCAGTCTCGTCAGGACCGCAAGATTTTGCATGTCAGCTACTTTTCGCTGATAAAGATGGACGCGCTATTATTCCACGAGAATGTTACTCGGACGATCTCCTGGCGCCGGCAATAATTAGATACGCAACATCCATTAAAAATGAAAAGCTGCTTAGCGCGGTTGCGGAGGAGCTACCGCTTCCGTGGTCAATTCCTGTTATTAAAGCATTTTTCGGCTATGCTATCCAGCACCATGACTGGGATCGAATAAATGAAATTCTTCTCCACCTTCAAACTAACGGGGACGGTTGGGGCTCTGATGAGGTTGCTTCTTTAGCGGCAGCGATAATACGACTGGATAGCGCCGACAGCACTGGTGGAAACGAAGAAACCCCGGAGCAAGGCCAAGCAAACCCTTTGGTAAAATCTGGGGAAATTCTAGCCAAATTATTACAGGGAGAATTCAACCCAAAGCCTAACTATTCCACAGGGGATACAAAGTACCATGAAGCGATTCTTTTCCAATTCTTAAGAATATTCAAATCAATCCGGGGTACCTTATCCGATGTATGCGAGAAGGTAAAACCACAATGGAAAGCTAGCCAACCTCCCGCAGTTACAATTCCCAGCTCTGCCTTCAACCAAATCCTGTCTGCCATCGTGGAGACAAGGGGAAGTAAAGCCGGAATACAACTGTACCGTCTCTGGTGCGTCGATAGACTTTCCTCCAACACCCAGCTAGGCGGGAACGTTGCGCTTCGCTCTATGGCACGAACCCCCGAACACCTCCGTGGGATAGGACAAAAAGTGGTAGATGTTCAATTAGGCCATGATGGGTATTCCAAATTCATCCTGCCGTCTCTGCAGACAGTACGGATCATTGCGCAAGCAGTAGTCCGTGAGGTTCATTCGTCGGAAACCAGTGGTAGGAGTTATGATGCGAGTGGATACGTCGATGGGGCCAAGCAAGATATCTTCGTCTGGGTCAGGGAACGTTTTTCGCTATTCAAGTTGCAGCAGGAGGATATTATCGATGAGTTGCGAAATTGTTGGATCAACGCGGCGCTAGAGGGTGCGCTGGAAAGAAAGGAAGAGACCCATTCTTCATCATCAAGGAGCCAGTTTGGAGAAAACCGGAAATTGCAAACCTCCTAAAATCCACCGTGACCGAGGATAAGGATCGGTGACGGGCTTCGGAGATATGCTGTTGCGCAAGATAGCCGTCATGTGTTGGTTTTATACTCCTTTAACCATTTTTCAATTGTTTCTCATCTCACATATTTTTGCTACTCATGTATACATATTATTATGCATTATATCCGGCGCCAGTATCAGCATTAGTATCAGCGTTAGTATCAGCGTTCTTTCTTTTCTTACAACACAAGTCACATACCCCTTTGTTTTTGGTAATGCATCACATGGTCTGGGCTTGTACGATAGAACGGGAGGATCGAGATCAAACATGTTAAATTATTGGCCTAGACAGAGATTTCATTTCACCTCTTAAAACCATCGAGTGATATATGCACACATGTGTTCGAAAACATGGTTGCTGATTTCATGCACAATTTGTATCTACGTGCGGTGATCAAAGTGAAAAGAAATTATGAAGGATCAAATTCAAGGCAGATTAGGAGGGAAAGGGAACTAAAATGATATATTAACCGATCCACAGATGATACGGATGGGGATCCCGAGGAGATTCTACCGTATTACTTTTCCATCCATAATCACCCGTAGATAAAGCAAAATAATATCAGCTACAAAACAACGACAATACCCTAAAAAGCAACAAACAAAAAAGGAATACCAAAGACGGTCAAAGTAAAGGTCGTCGTAGCAGTAGTAGTAGTCTACCTGACAAAACCCAACCCGCTATCCAGCAAGCTACTTGACGCCACAAAGCTAAACCCACGAAACGGATCATCCACAGTCGTCTTCACAGGTTGTTGAATATCCCGAGAAGAAGCGTTACCACCAGAAGCCATATGTCCATCATCACAAGCATCAGGGAACCCATTTTTCGTCACAACAGGACTAAGCGGCAAGCTGGTGAAAGCCGACGAGAAATTCTCCGCCAACGCCGGGTCCGTGATGAGGGGTTTGATGGGCGGTTCGAGCTCGCGTCTCTCTAGAGATTTCCAGTCAATCTTGCGGAAGAAGCGGTGCTTCTTGATCGTTTGGATGTCCTTGGGCATGTGGTAGCCGAGGCGCTTATGGGGTTCCTTGCGAAGGAGACGGGTGAGGAGATCCTTTGCATCCGGACCAAGGAAATATGGCAGCACAAGTTTCTGTTTTACGATCTTTTCTTGGATCTTGGCGTGGTTATTAGCTTTGAAGGGCGGTGAGCCCGTAAGGAGGTCGAAGCCCAAGGCTCCTAGTGACCACCAATCGCAGGCTTTTCCGTACGGCTTACCTTGGACGACTTCAGGAGCCATATACTCGACAGTGCCCAGCGATGAGTTGCATCGGTCCTGGCCATCAACGGCTACTTTGCTAAGCCCGAAGTCAGTTAGGAGAAGGTGGCCATCTGCATCCAAGAGACAGTTTTCCGGCTTCAGGTCACGGTAGACAACGCCGACGTTGTTGTGGAGATGCTCCAGAGCCAGCACTAGCTCAGCCATATAGAATGAAGCTACTTCTTCGGAGAACATGCGTTCCATAGCCAAATGTGTGAAAAGCTCACCACCCTGCGCATATTCCAAAATCAGATAAAGTTTCTCATGATCCTGGAAAGCATAATAAAGCTTGACGACAAATGGATGGCGGTTGACAGATTCCAAGATCGCTCGTTCCGTTTTGGTTTGCTCTACCAGCTTCCTATGTACGGTGAGAGAGGCCTTGCGGAATTGCTTCTGCGCATAGAGGACGCCCGTCATGGTATGCCTGACCAATAAAACTGTACCATAGGTTCCTTTCCCAAGACAGGACAACTGTTCGAAATCTGTAGCTGCCATCTTCCGACATAAGGTGTTCTTCACGCACTCCTCATTGCCAAATGACATGGCATCACTAGCAGCACCATCAGCGTCAGGACTCACGAAGTCATTTTCTAAAGGGACTTCATAGCTGGTAGTCTGGTCGCTGTCTGAGGAGACACTGGCACAGCTTGGGGTCTGAGAACCGAATTGGCTCGTGTTGCGAGACGCCGGACGGCTGTTCGACAAACTAAGGGTATCCAGCTGGAGTTTCAATGTGCTGATTCCTCCACTTGAGGAGGATGGTCGAAGGCCAGGGCTATTCCCACAACTGACGCGTGGGGGGAGCCATGGGGAAAGGGTCTTAGAACCGGGGTTGGAATAATCTGACTCATCTTCCGTAGATGCGTTGGCAACAAATCCACGGACGGTAGTGGCGGCAGCATGAACTTCTGCAGGCCGTCGCAACTTCTTCTTTCGTCTATTCTTCCCACGAGAACCTAAATTATCTACCATCAAATGTCCAGTGCCAGTCGACTGGACACAAGTCGTGTTTCTGGTGGGGCTGATTTCAGGCCCATATAAACGAAAACCCGTAAGTGATTCACCAGGAATTGCCTCAGCCTCTGCTACCCTGTTGCCGGCATGTGCCTCCTCCGAAACATGGTCGAAGTCTTTGTCGGTTTGCGGAGCAAAAACATCTGACACGGTGAATTCTTCCTGTTCTAGCCATGATTTGGCTGATCTCGAATCGTTGCCATCTTGATCAGTCGAGAGAATATTCAGTTCACAATCCAACGGAGGTCGACGCAACGGGCTAGGCGCAAACATCCCTACCAAGTGGGATGAACGATTGTTTAGATAGTTGTAGATTGCGATTCCGTAGAGCTCTTTGTCACGTTCATTCACCAAAGATACGTTTGGAGGGGGAGAGCAGTTCCAAGGCGGACGGAGCTCTCTCAATCCTAGTATCAACTTCGCAAAGTAAGCACTCTTTCACTCATTTACACAATGACAGGGTTATTATGGTCAAGAGATATCAAAAACTTGCCTCTGGCTGGGAACTAATATCTACTGACGGTCACAAGAGAGAAGCTACGCTCAACGGCGCGAATATCAGATTACCGTCCGCCCTTGTTCAGGACGGACCATTCACCGGTAGCCACACCACGTTGTCTGGAGTTGGGCCTAGCGCGGTCCTGGAGAAGCTGCGAGCGCAGATACTGGTGGAAGACTCCAAGGGAGGCAGGCAGGCGAGGGCAGAAGTGCAGCTGGTGCCAGCAGAGAAAATGAAAAGCGGAAGGCTGTTAGAGCTGCGTAGTCCCATAGATAATAAAAATAAGGAACCGGATAGTGAGATTCTTTGAGATGGTGATTACGTTCGGAGCCAGAGAACGTCAGAGCAAGAGGTAGTCTTTCGTAGAGTGAAACTGAAGGATGAAGACGGGAAAGGGAAAAATGAAGCGCGTCAAAGCCAGCGCAGAGGTTGGGCGAAGCCACCTGGGGCAAAAATATACGCTAATCCACTTTGGGTTGGCGCATATACTTTTGGCCGATGGACAGAACCTTCTTAACCAAATACAGGATTTCTTGCTCTCGAATTCGAGAGCAGAGCTAAAGAGATCAAAAATTTGCCCCTGTTCGGGGGAATAAAACTACTGTAGTGGGGATAGTGGTTGGTCCTGCAGTTGTCTAAGCGAGCATTCCAGAGCATGTTTTATTTATCCAATTTGCCCAGTTTTATGGCTGGTGAAAATCGCGCCTTACACGCCTTATCTCTACGCCCGAGTACCCCACAAAGGCCATCGCGCTGGGCTTTTCGACGCGCACAATCACTTCATCAAATTCAACACCTTGTAGGGTTGTGCTCGCGACCTGTTGAGCCATGGCTTCGACTGTTTTGAAGCTGGAGTTTTCGATCGCCTGTGATGATAGATGATAATGAGTTAACGCCAGCCAAAACATCTCACTGCAGACATACAACAAGATGTGATTATATCCCATGGTGTTGAAACTTTAGATAAGAAGATTAGGTGGACTCACATCAGTAACGCGTCGTGCTATCTCCTGTAAAGGCTGCAAAATGTTGACCTGCAGGTGTAAATTTTCGTTCACATCGTTAAACTCCAGGGAAACCACAACCGCCTGTTTGGTTTCCCTTTCATGGGGGTTCACTCCGATAATACAGTTGCAGTGTATGGCATCAATACGGCATGTGCGTATCATCGTAGCAATACCTGGTTGCGCGGCTTGGTTGATAGCCGGACTACCAGTCCGTTTGACGAACCATTTGACAACGCGATATGTCAGGCCATTATCAGCACTCAGAATGGCCTTAGGAAGCTGTATTGAAATATCGCTTCTGGCGCCCGTCATATCCCATCCCGCCCCTACAGGACCCCCTGGTATCGTTTTCCATACCAGCCCAAGAGCAGTAGAACAGATAGTAGAAGCCAACTCTTCCAAACTGATACTCGAGATACGCCCATCTTCACCTATTGTGGCATCCCTTAAGACTTGTTCAAGCTTGCGGTATAGTTCGCCGTAACTGAGCGTGAAGGAAACATCGTCGCTGCCGCCGCACAGCTCGATGAGAGGACGAGGATATGAAAGGAGAAGCGATAGTGTTGCCGGCTGTGGTTTACCAAATCGACCCCACGCATCGGGACCGAAACTGATCGGGAATGGGAAGTTGATGTTACGGAGGAGGAGGGTGTCGAATCCTGACGGTGACATTTTCTTTCGATGAAAGGGGAAACAAGGAGTTCAATCCGCTCCCTTGGCGCTAGTAACTGTAACCAGTGGCCGAGTTGGTTGGGAAGAAGCAGAAGAATCACTCCGTGTATGGGAGATAATGTCCCCACTACCTTGTCAAAACATCTAGGAAAACCCAGGATAGAAAGCATATCCACTAGGTATAACTATAAACTTACAAAACCTACATGACAAAGATTCTGGTAAACTACATTCCTCATCACAAAATGGATTTTGGCCTTCAATTATGCCACCAAAAACGAAGCGTCGCTGACTGATCATTTATTTTTATTTCCCCCTGGTATCGTTTTCAACAACGCGAGTAAGAAAATATAACATATACATGTCATCTGAGAAATAAACAGAGATCTGTGATATATAACATCAAATTGAAATCGCAGAGAAGAAAAACATTTTCATGAAAAAGAAAAAAAAATGAAGTTATTATTCCCACATCATCATTCATCATACGAAATCTTTTCTTCTCTTCTTTCTCTCTTTGGAAAAAGCATTGACAATTCCCCTTCCTCACCCAGCTCACCGCACTTTGGTGTGAAATGTCATAGGCATATACTGCATATATTGAAATAGAAGTTGGCCATTGTTACACCCTCTCAATTGTCATGAAGAAGAATCAAATAAGAGAATAATCAGAATAGAGCCAGCAGAACACAAAAATTGGGGGGATCATCAGTAAAATAAATCTCTTGAATCCTTTGTGCCGTTCATCCATGAAAATTTCGTAAATATCATCAGAAATTTCTTGTGGGGTGGACATTGTGCAAAAAAAATAAAGTCAAGAAGATGGCGGGATCAAAGATAGGCACAAAAAAATGAATCATGGAACAAGTCGGGAAAAGGAAAACAAGGGTGAAGAAAGGAAAATGGATAAGAAAAACTTTGTATCTACCGGTAGCTTCCCGCTTTTTCTTTTTTTTTTGGACCTCTACCCATCTTCGAAATGGGAGACGGACGCGAAGTTCCATTCTAGCCAAAGGTCGATTGACAGAGAAGGGTCAAGGTGAGCCGTACTACCTTCGTCAATGCCCAATCCTCTGAATAGCCGGTTTGGAAGTGCCAATCAACTTTTTTGAAAACAGGACCGGGGCGAAAGCCTCGCTGCCAATCCACGCTCTACGGGAATCAGACGGAAATGTGCGTTTCTAGGTAATAAGCATCAGGTTCGCGTACGGTTCGCTTTCGATCCAAACAAGAATTGAAATCTTTTTTCCGCCTATAACGGCAGAGTACAGTAAAGAGGAGCACAAGAATGATGGGTACGAGTGGGATATCAACGAAAGGTATGAAATTAAGAGGTCTCTACCAGTATGGGCGGCGCTCATAGCCATAATCGCCTCTTGGTGGAGGGCTCCGCGGGCGGCCATATGGCCTGGGAGCGTAAGGGTCATCATAGTGACGGGGAGGAGGGGGAGGCCCGCGAGGGTCATAAGGATCGTCATAGGGGCGGCGAGGTGGTGGTGGGTAGTCGTCAACACGAGAGCGTGGAGGAGGTGTCCGACGTCCGTAACCATCGCGATCGTAATAGTCACGACGGGCCGGGGAGCGTTCGCGGTAGTGGTTGCGTGGACTATACCCGCTGCGCGGAGGCCCGCGTCTATCATAATCATCGTATGGATGATACCCACCCCGTCGGCCAGGAGAACGGGAACGGTATGGATCACGAGGCTGGCGGTCCTCCTGGGATTGAATCTGGTAGACACATGAGAACTAAGTTATCCGGGAGGGAAAACCAAGGGATTTCCTACGTCCTGCGTGCATAAGACCCTGGAGCCTTTGAATTCACGGCCGTCTAGTTTTTCAACTGCGGTTTTGAGGTCACTGCCTGTTTCGAATTCGACGAATCTTTATGTTCACGCACGCAACATCAGCAATCCCGGTCCAAAGACGTGGAAACTTTGCTTCAAGGTCCTGAAGTTCGAGAATACTCACCCTCTTCCATCATGGCCAGTCTCTGAGTAGACTACATCGAGGCCGGACTGTCGTGCGAAGTCTTTGAGATCCTAAACAAGGTGAATGTATGAGTCCAGGCCCGAATAAGATGCAATTCCAGTTTCCTTCCAAGATATAGCTGGGCAAAAATAAACCAATCCAACAAGGCTTTGGGGAAAGAGAAAAGAAAAGACAAGAAAAGAAAACATGCTCCAGTTGAGGGCAATTTCTGAGGTAGCAACACAGTTACGTCGTCCGTTGTTGCGATAAGCACTTCCGCGATGAACCATTATGAATGAAAGAAGTAAGATGGATCCTCCATTCCAGCAGCTTCAGAGTATTATGGGCCAAGCTTAGTTGGAAGCGAACACCCAACTGTGGGTGCCTTTTAGAGTTTGTGAAGGCTCAAATTTCATATATTACAAAGTTTGCCAAGAACATGGCAAGCTTGCACACTTGTAATCAAGGAAGGGAAGGAAGGGGAAACGGTATAAGAGAGTGTCCAAATGGAAATATCTCCAAGGGGTTCCAGGAACGAATGGAGCTGAGCTAACCTGCCAACTGGTTTCTGGAAGTCCAGATATTTGCATTCGATAGATTGTCCGGCGCGGGCGTGGAGCGCTTGAGCGGTCCGACGGTCCAGAGAATGTTTCTTTGTGACGGGGTCCACGGGCAAATTGGACGGTGAGACGTTCACCCTTGAAATCCGTACCATCTACAAGTCAAGGCTGTCAAAAAAACGGAAGTCCCTGGCAGTGAGCAAGTTGGGAAATCTCAAGAGCATCGCAGACATACGGAAAGCTATAGAAAGACGTAATGGGTTAGTCCGAAACTCGTATGAAGAATTAGAAGAGACAATATATCAACGCAATAAACATCAAACTAAGTACCTGGCACAACGTCCTTCGCATCCATGGCATCCTCATATTCGATAAACCCAAAGCCACTCATGAGCTTGATTTCTGTGATCTTGCCGGAGCCGTGGTGGGAATTGAAATGATCTTCGATCTCCTGCTTGGTGACTGGAAATAAAGTCCAGGCCAAAAATTGGCGCCTTTGAGTCAGCTTTTCGAGGCCAAACGATCCAGCGAAGAGAAAGCCAGAAGTGTAATCCATGGGAGTGGAATATGATTGAATTTCTTGGCGGTTTTGAGCAGTGCATTTTTGGAATCTTCATAGCAAATCCTCTGCTTTTTCCATCGTGTCACATGTAGTTGTCAGTCCTCCACAGGACGAGGACAATCCAGAAATCCCAAAGGAACGTGGGGTTGTCTTATCGTTGGGTATCTGAACATATATGTGTGTATGTGTGTTTTTGTGCCAGAGCCATACAGTGGAGTTTGGATGTGCTTAATTAAGTACAAGGAGGATGTAGCAGTAATAAGACCAGCATACCGTTGCGGGGCAGATTCCCGAGATAGAGACGTGTGGACGACACTTCCGTCATGGCGGGCAGTCGAATGCGATAGTGTATCCTAAGAACACAGAATCGCAGATGCGAATAAAAGAAGGGAACAGGATATCCTGAAAGGGTGTGAAAGTTGTTTTTGTGTGAAAATCCTCAAGACGCTTAACAGTGCGACGACAACGAGAGCGACAAAAGAGACCAGGGTTTACTAGAGCGGTCCTTTCCAGGTTACCAAAGCAGTATTTGGGTAGCCTGGCCAGCTTTATATAAAATTGGATCGGCGGGTAGAATATTCCGTCCAGAGATGGAAACGTCAGTATGGCTAAGCGCTTCAAAACGAGAGACGCTGTGGATGAATGGTTGTTGTCGTAGCGAAGAGATGGAAGAGTTGGTGTTGGGAGAACGAGGCTGAAAAGGCGGTCAAACGGCAGAATACACACACCCGTTGACTTGGGCTGATTGCCTCACTTTGACTACCACTCCATACAAAACTTGTGCCTTGGTTATGTTAGCAGGCTGGGATGAATCTTTCTGTTGAAGATCGTGTTTTTTCCTGATTCGAGATCTGAGCGGATGTTTGTTGAAAATAAACAACAACACCCGATCTCTTTGAAGTTTTCGCCCTGTTTCCGCCTTTCTACAGCTTTCCCTTGATTTTAGATCCAAGACTGAATTCATCTCTAGCAATACAGTATGTACTAGCTACACAAAATACATTTTAGTGATGATAGTGGGAAAAGAAAAGACAGCAAACGCGGAATGGGAATAGTAATATACAACACGTAACCAACAAGTGATGCCTCTATCAAAGATTTGGCGATGATTGGACCCAGTTTTAAGGAAAGAAAGGAAAGAAAAATCAGCATTTGAGCTGGGAAAGAAATAACGTTATAGATAGCTTTCTAGGTGAGGTAATATTTCGGGCCCTCCCCACCTTGAGGAGTCTGCCAATTGATGTCCTGAGTCGGTACCTTGATATCGCAAGTTTTACAGTGGATGCAGCTGGAAGGAGGTTTGTTGTTAGCGGGCCTTCATGAACAGACTATATTACATATTAGACAGTGGGGGGCTTGCAAGACTTACTTTTGCGCATTTATTTGGAAGCGCACACCCAACTTTTTACTTGGATCCTCGACGTACTCATAGACCCCGGCGGGGCAAAACCTGTTCTCAACCCCTTGATATTTGGGATAACACTCCTCCGCATGTTTGTCCCAGTCCTTGACTTGAAGGTGGACCGGTTGGTCTTCCTCATGGTTTGTGCCAGTGCGGCTAACGCTTGTTAAGATGTCAAAACTAATAACCCCGTCTGGTTTGGGATACTCGATTTTCTCGCACTCGGAGGCAGCCTTGGTCGAATCGGGATCTGTACCATGGTGTTTCAGAGTCCAGGGCATCTTGCCACGGAAGATATATGCTTCTATTCCGGAGTACACAATACCACCGTAAATCCCTAAAGGAGTTGAGAATGAAGGGCGCATGTTCCGCACTTCCTTAAGTTCTTTCCAGATAGTGGAGTTTCGAAGTCCGTCTTCATAGTCGTACAGGAAGACGCTTCCGCTGTCGGTATTCGCAAGTGCAGAATATGCTGCCTCCGCAGCTAGCATACCTGATCTCATAGCAGTGTGTGTGCCTTTGACTTTAGGAACATTCATAAACCCAGCGCTATCTCCGATCAACGCGCCACCTGGAAAAGCGCATTTCGGTATAGACTGGAAGCCCCCCTCGACAAGCGCGCGAGCTCCGTAGGATATGCATTTCCCGCCTTCCAAAACAGATTTGATAAGGGGATGATGTTTTAATTTCTGGAATTCCCCATACGGCGATAACCAGGGATTGGGATAATCAAGGCCGACAACCAGGCCGAGACTGACCATGTTATCGCCAAAATGATACAAGAACGACCCTCCATATGCATCTTTCGGCAATGGATAACCCATTGTATGGAGGATTTCCCCTTTCCGGAATTTTTCAGGCTGAATCTCCCAAACCTCCTTCAAGCCCAATCCATAGGTTTGAGGCTGGCTATCCCGCCGCAAGTCGAATTTCCTGATGACCTGCTTTGTCAAGCTCCCATGGCATCCCTCGGCAAGTAACGTGACTCTAGCATGGAACTCCATCCCTCGTTCGAAAGAGTCCTTAGGCTTTCCATCCCGCCCAATTCCAAGATCGTTAGTTGCAACTCCTTTGACAGATCCATCCGCCTCATAGAGCACCTCACTCGCGGCGAACCCGGGGTATAATTCAACGCCAACCTCTTCTGCGCGCTCTCCTAGCCATTTGCATAACTGGCTTAGGCTGATAATGTAATTGCCGTGGTTATTCATCTGAGGCGGGCAGGGGATTGGGATAGCATGTTTCTTTGTAAGGAAACGCATTCTATCCGATTTCGCAGGCGTGGCATGTTCGAATCTCGAGGGGTTGTCTTCCGATAGCCAGTCGGGAAATAATTCGTTCATCGCACTCGGTTCCAAAACATTGCCGGACACTATATGATCCCCAATCTCGCCGGCTTTTTCCAAAAGTATAACCCGGAAGTCTTCATTGCCCGCTTCGTTTGCAATTTTTTTCAGCCGGATAGCTGCGGCGAGACCCGCGGGGCCTATCGTCTCACATAAAACGGTGTCGAGTCAGCCCTCCTGTTATTCGAAACAAAGCGCGAAAAAAAAAAAAAGAAAGAAAGAAAGAAAGAAAGAAAGAAAGAAAGAAAGAAAGAAAGAAGACGCACCACCACCAATAATGCACACATCGACGCTGTCCGATTCACGTTCAATTCGGGAAGGATCAAAGCTGTCCGAATCGCTAGCAAACCGCCTCTGTAGCGTGCTCGAAAAGTCCCGTTTCTGGTTTAAATAAATCGTTTGCGCTGAGAAAGGACGTTGATGGACTATTCGCCGTGGACTTGATCCGACGAGTCTTGTGGGGTGGCGGGAATAGGCGCAAGCGGAAGATTTCAGCACATCAGTGGCCCAGGAGCGCGGACAGATGGGAACAAGTTCACGCCTCAAGAGAGGCAGTAGCAAGGTGGTCTGTGAAGCCATTGTGTGTTGTGTGCAAGCAACAGGAGTTCAACAGACCACCTCCGGTTACAAGTGTTTGGTATGAATAGTGGGCTTGGATTCGCCGAAACCTGAGCAACTGGGGAAATATTGCCGTCAACAACCGAGGACTGCCCCTCAGCCAATGAGAGAGCGGAAGAAGGAAATCAGGGAATAATTCCTGCGATTGGCAAACATTCAAAACATTTTGGTTGGAGGGCGTATTTCATGCATGGTAGATAAGATGGAATCTGCGGACTCATTGTCAGTTGACTGGGCGCTTGGTTTAGTGGTATAATATGTCATTCGCATTGACGGGGTCGCCGGTTCGATTCCGGCAGCGTCCATTTTCTATCAATTTTTTTTGATCGCATTTGCATATATCCGCCACGCAACGATTGCTTGAGATAATTTTCTGGTTCTACAGGATAAAATTTTTCGGTTTAGATTCGCTTCATGATAACCTGGCAGTAAATTTTATATATATACAACGGGGAGACTTGGACTGGGCTAGAGATATATATACAGGTTGAGAACTTTTACCGGGATTCAGCCAAAGCATACGTGCCGCGCGCTCTGTCGATTGGATGCTGGATTGCAATTCAGTCAATCAGAAGGAGTATTTATTTACCCCAAGGAAAAAGAATGAATCAGTAATACACATACCCATTGAAGAAACCCCGTCCACAGAAAGCAAACGAGAGCTTCCTTCTGACCATCGATAGTTACATACAGACGTATCCGTACTATGAAAAGAGTGATCAACAAGATCTTCATATCAGATCGGCGAATCTGAGCAGAACGTCCGAGCTGACTGGGGTAGGAAAGATAGCTACTGATCTTCTCGAATGTTTCCGGAGCAATGTTCAAGACTAGCCTCTGCCGTCAGTTCTCTTCAATATTGTATATATATATATATATGTGTGTGTGCGTGTGGGTGAGTGAGAGAGAGAGATGACGAGGACAAAGCTATGGAGCCAGTGATCTGGCTTCAAAAAGATTCATGCACTGTGTATATCACCCTGCAGCTTTGAGAAGATATACGCTTCTCCCCTTCCCCCCTCCCTCTTATCCACAACACCCCTTACACCCCTTACGACTTATCAGCTTATATTCTCCTCACCACCGCCACCACCACCTACAATGGAGCTCTAGCACCGGGTAGCCAGCCAGCCAGCCATCTCATCCATCCATCCATCCCCGCCAGCAAAACTCAACACGCAGGCCGGGTATCTCAAAAGCATCGATATCATCCAGCAGGTCCAGAGAAGGCATCCACGAACCACGAGCATCAATCCCGTCGACGACGATAAAAAAAAAAAGGAAGAAAGAGAGACACAGGATTGTGTGTGAGAGAGAGCAACTGTTTGCTGAATTCGCTAGGCTGCGAAAGCGAAGCTCGTTAGTTTATTTCCCATCTGGCCATTCCCATTCCGTAAGCCGGCCGGGTCCCTGGATGCGATGCTGCGAATCAGTTCAGTAAATGAACGGGTGCGGTTGCTCTGGTTGAGTGGGTGGGTGAGTGAGTGAGTGGGAAGAAACAAGACCCTGTTTCGATATCTTTTTATGTGGAGGGTATATGTATATATGTATGTATGTATTCGATATTCTCATTAACTTGAGGAAATGCACGTCCTTTTTCGTTACTTGCCCTCGGGATTGGCCAAGACCAGACTTTTTTTTTTCAACACAATACACAATGCCAGAATACATATCCGTCTTAAATAGTATCCCGCTGGGATATGAGGTAGCAGGTTTTCAGTTGGGACCAAGGAATTTGGGACATACAAATCGTCTATTCGAAGCGGTGAGATTGAAAGCAATTTATTTACCCTCCAGACATAAAAGCTAGTTTGGTTTCTCCGGTGCCTTTTACCCCACGACACCCTCAGATCAAGACATTCCATTCATCGTCCGATCAAAAGTCCCTTACCTGCATGTGAATGAGCATGTTAGCCCCCGCTGAAGCCCCGTCGAAGCCGCCTTGGCCTGTCACATGTCTCAATTGCACGGTGTCAAAAGCTGTTCCAAACGAGGATGCACCTGGAGAAAATGGACAAGTACCCCAACCACTGGATTCCCTGCAGATACTCCTTGGGGGCCTAATGATGGGTGCGCAATCCGACACACGAATCAAAGAAAACCGAGCGAAAAAAAAATAGGAGACTGCTGCCTGCAAAGCCTCCCTTTCAGCAACCATCCATCATTTCCATCTTCCCAGCAGAAAATTTGTTTTCACCCGGACAAAAAAAGGGCAAAAGGAAAGACAGCTGTTGCCTAGGGTTTGAAGTCCAGAAGCTCCAGTCCAAAATAACATCCACAAACAGGCGACGGAAGCCCGCGACTGGTTTCAGAAGCGCCAAGTCCCTCATCTCTCTGGGGCCCTACAATCATTATGCAAATTTGCGGGTGACGGTGGCCTCCATCCGCTGAAGCATTCATGATAAGTATTGCAGGCATTCTCACTCCTCTCGCCCGGAATCACATGAATTTTCATCAACAAGTGTAAATAACTAGGGCAAGTAAGATTATAGATCGCTTGCAGTGTTTTGTTTCCCATGGAGAAAAAAAAGCCGCCTCGTATTTACCATAAGTGGGGCCGCGTGGATCATGGAAAACGAGATTTCCGTCAGCATTTAGGCACGAAATCAACCAGCAGGAACCAGATCGCTTAGCCATCGCTGAAGACAACGAATTACATGCCTTCTAAATGATGCTGATGGTCGAAAGGAAATGTCCCCTACGTATGACGTCTGGTGGATGTGAAGTACTGTGCATTCTTCACTTTTTGTTTCAAAAAAAAAAAAAAAAAAAAATCAAAACTTAAAAGAACCTTCAAAATTCTTTTGAAAAAACAAATTGGAGCTATGAAGAAAATTTCTGCCTTGTAGGCGTCAACTGCTCCTCAGAAAAAAAAGAAACCTGGACTGAAATTTGAAGCTGGGCCCAGAAGTGATAGAATTCGCGGAGAACGGCAGGCCGGAAAGTTGAACGACCCCAAAAAAAGTCAATAAAACAAAGAAAATAGGGTCGCAATAAAAAAATAAAAATACCGCAATTTCAGCTCCTTTACCTGCGTCACCGAAAAAGTAGATTCGTGGACGTGATCATATCTCCAGCAAATATCGACAGAGGGTATATCCTTTCTATACTTTCTCTCCAGGTTCTGTTCTGATTTGGAAATAATCTTGTTGGTGAGAGGAGAGGGGATGGATGGCCCATTTGGGGCTTGCGGCCGTGTGGGCATTGTGGGCATTGCGGGCGGGTTTGCGATTGCTTTCGTTCGGGCGGTTGCAGGATGTACACAGTGCAGAGTGACCTGTACGAATACCTTCGTTGTCGCTCAGAGGTAGTTGGGACGGGAGGAGTTGTGTAAGTTGTTGGATACATACAACCGAGTCTGGATCCAATCCAGCGCATAAAATAAAAAAATAAAATAAAAAGTAACTTCTTAGGCAACAACCGATTCGAAGTTGAGGGAACACGGTGAGTTGGTTTTGTCCAAGTCACGATCCCATGTAGCCCGTGTAATTCGTCTTGAGGCAATTCCCAAGTCGTTTATTGCTCACTCACTCACTCACTCAGTGTCTCTGAGCTGCTTCCTTCCGGAAACGTTTCCAGTGGTAAAAGTCAGGATGAGAATCACGGATGGTTTCCAAACCCACCTGAAAGGTCAACAAGAGCCTGGCCTGGTGAACGGGGTTGGTTTTGTTGGCGGGTTAGGGTTCGGCCCCAGCCACCCCGAAGACGTTTTGAAAGGTCCCCATCGCAACAAGAAGTTTGCCGGGAAGAATGATCCAAGGATAACGAGAGGAAGGAAGCAGCCCTTTATCCTCAGCTGGCCTCGTCCTCATCCGTTAGACGTGCCACTATCATTGCTCAAATAGCCCCAACATCCAAGCTGATGAACGGCGGCGAGAAGGAGAGTGGATTATGGTCAGAGCATTGACAGCCAACGGTCGCAGCCAGCGGTTAGCATCCAACACTTCACGTGAAAGGAAACTGCTCAGAGGCTAGGGGAGGATCCACGGAACGGAGCCAGAACGGCGTCCTGATTGGTGCGTGTGCAGCGTGCACATACTCGGCGGTCCCAGCCTGGAGTTGACCCAAGAAAAAGCTCCAGGAGTCAGGGAGAGCGATCCGCCAAGACCCAAACAAGAGCCGCGCTTTGTTTCCAAGTCTGCTGCAGTAAAGCAGCACCAAGCCGGGATTCTCTGTTTGGTCCGACGCCTCCTGGACGCCTCCTGGACTACTGGCGGCAGTTCTGTCAGAGGCGTGAGCAAAAGGTCCGAGGAAACTCCATGAAATGGCAGCATTTATTTCCTCTGCTACCAGGCTAAATCCATTTCTCAAAAGCAGGGAAATTACATCGGGTAGGTAATATGCAAAGCACTGCAGGTTCCCCCTTTCTGGGCATTCTTGCGGCTTCAGGGTATTCTCGGGATTCCAACGGTGGCTCCCTACCTTCCTGTAGGAAGTCAATAAAAATACCGCTGAATCATGAAATCCTGGAAGGGGGCCTGGCATGGCATGAACTGCGTCGTCACGTCGGGCTTAGCAAGGTTGGTGTGGGTCTGACTCATACCCATCCGGACCAATCCGGAATGGGGAATGGCAACATTGAACGCAGAGTAACCCTGGCCGGCCCTAGTGGGAGCAGAAAATGTGAGCGATCAAGCCGCTGATTGGCGTTACTGGCGCTGAGTAGTCCGGCGATCCAATCATACCGCCTGCAAAAGTGGGTCATGGAGCTTCCGACCTTGGCACGCCAACCATTGACTGGCCCAATGGGGCAAGTGAGCGACGCCGCTTGAAGCAGCACCTGCTGCAGCGGCCCAATCCCAGGGCGGGAGGACGACGGTGCTGGTACGGTAAAGGGGGTGGCGAGGGCCGTGTGCGCAACGGCAAAGCCCGTGTGGCCACGCTGGTCTTTGGCCACACGGACGGGGAATCCGGCGCGGTATAAAAGCAGGCGTCCTCCCAGTTTCTGGTTCTCGTCTGGAGTCCTGCTGTTGGTCTTGGCACTGTCCGGAACATCAACCACGCCGACTCTTTGGTCGTCCTTTGGTCCTCTCTGTCCCTCCTCGTTCCACCCCGCCCGGAGGCATAGATTCCGCCGTATTCTCCTCTCCTCTCCTCTCCTCCTCTCGTCTTCCCCTTGTCTCGTATTCCAGAGAGTGACGGAGGCGTGTTCATCCCCGGCTCACGCCAAACCATAAAAGCAAAAAAGGGAGAGTAGTTGCAAGGTCTTGTTTTAAAAACCAAAAAGTTATTGCGTCGCATATATCATATATATAAAGCAGCAGAAGAAACAAAAAAAAAAAGGCAAAGGGGGAGCCGCACAGAACTTTTATCTTAGGTTTTCTTGTTTTGTTGTTTATTTTCTATTCTTCGTTTCGCGGTTTTTGCCAAAGGAAACCATTACTCTCCTTCAACAAGCTTAGATCAAGGAAACAATAATTCGCCGTCGCGGTATCTTTTTTGGTCGCTGACAGCTCCTGCATTCACTTGTCAAGGGCCACACCACCCTGTCATTGCCGTCTTAAGCACACATCCAGTGATATATTTATTTGATTATCTCGTTCTTCCTGCTTTCCCTTTACCTCTTTTTAATCTTCTAGTTTTCTGCTTGCGACCGTGCGACCTTGCGATCTTGCGATCTTGTGGCCGTTTCATCTACTCTCGTGGCCGCCTTGGATCCTGCCGAAAACCACTTTCTTTGTCGAGGCTTTCTGGCACTGTCTCGACGTTTGATATTGTCCTCTTTTATCATCCTCGCGCATCCGTTTTCAGCGGCACGAATCGGACGGTTCTAATACCTTGTTCCCCCGCTCCACACACACGCAACTCTCTCTTATCACATCATCCGGCGCATTCGTCAAAGTGGAAGTGGAAGAAACTTTGGTAACATCGACCTTCTTCATCGCGACGCATCCCACGCAGCGCAGCATAGATCCGTTGTTGTTGTTGTCGTCTAGTTGTCGCACTGTCGGGGGAGACATTAAGTTGTTCATCTCCCGCCTATCCAAAAGGTATGGACGTTTTCTCCTGTTAAAGTTTTCACACAGCAGAGCCTCTTTTTACCCTTTTCGGCTTTGAACTTCACTTCTCTTCTGCCTCACTTCAACTTCACCAACAACACCGACACCACTACTTCCCTCCCCCAGCCACATAAACACTGCTCCACCCCCACCCCTCATCTTTTGTCTTGCCAAGTTGGTGGGTTCATCACAGCCGACATGTAATTCTACTTCCAATCATTTCCACTCCTTCATGAGGTTCAATATTATATGAGCATCCAGTCGCTACAAGCCTTTTTGCTATGGTGGAATCTGCTGCCGCTACATTTCGCGGGGAAACAAGTTTGGCATGCTAACGCTACGTTAAATAGACTATCCAAGTTCTAGGTCGTTCTACAGCTAGATCCATCTTTCCGTTGCACCTAATCCTCGAACCACATCTCACAACATGGAGTCTCTTACCACACATCCCTCGACTGCGCAGCAGGCGAAGGCGTTCACTTCTCCAGCTTCGTTATCGTTCCCAGGGGGTGCCGGTGATCTGACCCCACCGTCGTCGGAGAAGGACCCAGGCATGATGAACGGATCGCAACCATCGAATTATCAACTACACGTGGGGAATACTGCCACTGGCAACGGGGTGACTCCCGCAACTCCTGCTGCGACTCCTGGAGCCGGTGCTGGTCCTGGAGTTAGCGGCATTGTGCCTACTTTGCAGTGAGTATAGCTCTTGGTGTCCTGGTTTTACCAGAAAGCTAAACAGTCCATTGATATTTCAAGAAATATTGTTGCGACGGTCAACCTTGACTGCCGTCTGGATCTGAAGACCATTGCGCTTCACGCTAGGAATGCGGAGTACAACCCGAAGGTACTGATATGATGCACCTTTTTTTTTGATTTTTTTGCTTCCTCTTGCTTCCCTTTGGTTTGCAGGGGATGTAATACATTAGCCATGACAAAGTATGGCTAAGACAATTCATATTATATAGCGTTTCGCTGCTGTTATCATGCGCATTCGCGAACCGAAGACGACCGCCCTTATTTTTGCGTCGGGTAAAATGGTCGTTACCGGTGCGAAGTCCGAAGATGACTCCAAGCTCGCTTCGAGAAAATATGCGCGCATCATACAGAAACTGGGGTTCAACGCGAAGTTTACGGACTTCAAAATCCAGAACATTGTCGGGTCTTGCGATATTAAGTTTCCAATTCGCTTGGAGGGACTTGCCAGTCGCCATCACAATTTCAGCTCCTACGAACCTGAACTTTTCCCCGGTCTCATTTATCGTATGATGAAACCGAAAATTGTCTTACTGATCTTCGTCAGTGGCAAGATTGTTTTGACGGGAGCCAAAGTACGAGAGGAGATCTATCAGGCCTTTGAAATGATCTACCCCGTCCTCACTGGTATGCGTTATGAATCCGAATTATTCCTGAACACCACCCGCTATTTAGATTGATACTGACTCGTGTTTCATTTGAAGACTTCCGCAAAGTTTAACGCCTCACTCACTTCCTTCTGCGGCCCATCAAATCCATCACACCCTATCTATTACCTCGGATCTTCGGTTTACCACCTTGTATTAACAGTTTTCTTTTTCTTATCGATCATACGGCTCTGCCTGAATGGAGCATGCATTACGTAGTTCCCTCCCAGCTTGTTGGACATGATAATTTCTGCTTTGAGCTAGCTGTGCCCAATGACAAGAAGCAAAACTATCACGGCACTGACGGGAGTGAATCTGCCTTGTTATTTTCTGTCTTTGTTTTCCAATCGTGCATTTACATGGAGTTATAGCGACTGTGTTTTTTTTTTTTTTGGTTTCTTTTATTGTCTTCTCATGCTTCATGCTCCTGCTCTTTTTTTAAAGCTTCAACAAAGTTGTCTGTTATGGATGTTCCTGTTGTTTCTAACGAATCCTGTTTACTACTTTACTTAGCACACATTAGAAAAGTCGCGGTTCTCTTCTTCCCGCAGACCTGACGGGGGTGGGCGCTCAGGCGCAATTAAATTCAAATTAATATGGGATGATGATGGGTCTTGTTGATTTCCTGTTCTGTTCCTTTTTTTTTTTTTTTTTTTTTTGCTCTTTTTAACGTGTCCCAACTTTTTTACTTTGATTTTTTTTATCTCCTCCCCGACCTCTCACATGTGACAGACATATGACATACAGGGGGTTAGGTAGGATGGTTAGATAAGGGTTTTCCGCCTTCCCTCCCATCCGGCAGTTTAAATTTGGCACACGTATTGGCGGAGGAAGGGGGGAATAGAAAAAGAAAACGCGCTTGCTTCAACGTAACTAACTCCACTACAAAAAGCCATTGCGGCGGGGGCGTTCAAAAAAAAAAAAGGAATATTAATTTTGCCTTCTTATGTAGTATGTAGCTCCCCACCCCCACCCCCACCCCCTTCTTGTTAAAGTCACATCATTTCTGGTCTTGTTTGTTTGGCAGGGCTTTGATGAGGGTCTCTTTTGGTTTTTTGGTTTTTGGTTTTTGGTTTTTCTTTTTTCTTTTTCCCCCTGCATCTATTTTTTTTTACTCCTGTGTTTTTTTGAGTGGTTCCTTGTTTAGTTGTTTAGTTGGTCTGTTTTTTTTTTTTTTTTTGGGATCTTGATCTTGATCTTGTTTTGTATTTTTTCTTTTTTCCTTGGCCGTGCTCTGGTTGCATGCATGTGTGTCCCTTTGCATCCTTATTTGGGTTGTGAGTGGGACAGTTGAGGTTTACTTACTTTACTTTACTTTATTACTGGGTTAACTAGTTAATTACATAGCTATGAAAATATGATCGTATTTGACAGGAGGAAATATATTCGAACGTTGAGTCCTCTCTTTTTCCTGTTTTATTCTTTCTTTTTGGGGGGGGGGGGGGGAGATCTCTTCGAGTCTGATTTATTTATTCTTGTAGAAATTGTGTATAGTTATAGTTATATTTATTATATGTGGTGCAAGCATCATCTTTTCTTTTTATATAAGCATTCAACTGTATCTCAGTCTGCAGTATGGGGGGGAGGGAGGGGGGATGGGGGAGGGAAATATCAAATAACATTCAATATCCGAATCATCACCACACACATATATATTTATATACACCAGTTAGTTATTCATACCAGATCAATGAACCACCAAAAGGGGTTCCCACCCACCCAACTACAATCTACTTCCCCTCTTCCCCCCTTGCCCCTTCGCCAACTCATCCATCAAAATCAAACCCTTCTCGCCAGACCGGCTCCCGTCTTCTGTCCACACAACAGTAGCAGCAGCAGCAGCAGTAGCATCCTCATCACCAGCCACTCCAGGCCACCCCCACAGTTCTTGCAATTCAGGATCCAAACGACCTTGGATGGCGTCGACGATCTTCTCCCCGAGAACGGGCAGGAATTTGAAGGCGTGGCCGCTGCCGCCGGTTGCGAGGAAGAGGCCGGCGTAGTTGGGGTGGTGGGTGATTATGAAATCGCCTTTGGGTCTGGTGGGTGGGAGAGGGAGGAGAGGAAGGGAGTTAGCAGAAGTATAATTGTAATTTTTTATTTTTATTTTTTTAATGTATATAATATATTTGGATGGTGTGAAGGGGAACATGGCAGGACGAGACGACGTCTAATTGGGCGCTTAACTTACGTATCTGTATACCAGCACACGCGCGTCTTTTCAAATGGCCGATCGGCAAACGACGGCAGCATCTCTTTCAACGCGGCCCTGCATGCGCTCTCTCCTTCCTGCGGGAGCGGGACGTCAGCGACAGGAAGACTAACCTCTATCGTCGTTGCTGTTTGGCCACGGCCTGGGCCGTACACGGGGGCCGGCACGCGCTGCGGGTTCCGGTAGCCGTATGCATGTCTCGCGATCTTGAGCATGTTGTTACGCGGCGGGATGATGAACATGCCCGTCGAAAGGTTTAGGACCGTAGGCATGTTTGCGAGCTTGGCTTGCTCTTCATCGGAAACGCGGATGTAGGCAAGGGCCTGGCCTGTCGCTTCGGCTTTGCCGCGGAGGTCAACTAGACGGCCTGTCCATGCACCTGTGGCTAATATGACTAGATCGGCTGTGATGGTGGTGCCATCAGACAGTTCAACGCCGGTTACCTTAGCTCGTGCAGATGATGCGGCAGTTGTTGCTCCCTTGGCTCCTCTTTGGCCCTCATCTGGATGTGGTGGTGTTGATACTAATAATCGATTGACCTCCCCGGTACGAAAATCCACCTTCCCCATCTCGTCGATATTCTTTTTCGCAAACCTCACCGACGCCTCTGCATCGGCCCATCCAGATCCCCAGTTCACATAACCTCCCGAGACGTGCAGGCCAGTTCCGTAGCCTGGCGCCGCCCGTTCAACATCCTCTCTCGTGGGAAGTTTCTCGATCATTTTAGGGTTTATAGCTTTGACATTCTCGTAGCTCTCTTGCACATATCCTTTGCCAAACTTATCGCCAGATGATACTAGAACGAGGCCAGTCTGCATATAACGGCCTTCATGACCCCAAGCTGTCGTACGCCATTTCTCAAGAGCCGATTCTGCCAGCGCGACATACGCCGCATTGGCATAGTCTGCACGCACGATGCGGGAGGTATCGACGGAGGAGCCCTGTGGATTGGGGATCGTCGGCGAAGAGTCAATGAGTGTGATTTTCCCGGAGTGCCTAGCGGAGAGGGCGAGGGCGGTGGACACTGCAGCAGGTTAGCCTTTTTCCAACTCGCAAATGGACCCCCTCAAAAACTGGAATTTCAATATAAGATAAGGGACAGAGATAGAGAAACGAGCTGCTCTACAAGCAAGGAATATCCATTTGAATATGCCAGTTCGGCTCCTAATGGGGCTTGATAAGTTTTTTTTCCACTCACATCCGAACACCCCGCCCCCAACGATGAGTATAGAATCCGGTAACGGAGTTTCAGATCCGGTAAACATTTCCTGCGTTGAGTTTGCTATTGCCATGGTCAGAAATTGTAACCTCCTATGTCCCTGCTCCTCGTCGTCTTCCTTCTTCACTTCCTTCTCGCACGACGAACCGTGGTCAGTCGATGCTCGGCTACAGCGACGCGGCCAAGTGGAGATTTAGGCGTTTGTCATCGTTTGGTGCCGCGTACAATCGGCTCCCGGGATGATTTATCAATACGGGGTCGCAGAAGGGGCGTCGGCGGGTAAACCGACGCCTTTGCCAAAACATATCCATGGCGGACGGCGGGTGGTTGGAAGCGTCGCAGTCGTAAATCTGAACCTTCACAATTGATCCAGAGGCTTATGAGTCTGCTTGCGAGGGCAATGGAGGGAGCTTGGGCCAATCAGACCGCCTTCTGCGGATTTTATTGCCGCAACATCAACAATCAATCAATCGTTGCTTCTGCGGGAGAAAGCATCTCTGGTGCTCGACATGACATGACATCTGGAGGACGCTCTGCTCTATCTCTCTTCTGAGATTCAGGTCTCTTTCGCTTCACCGACTTCTTTCGCCTATGTCTCGATATGCCTCCCTTTGATGATGCCTACATCGTGACCCTTGGATCTCTGTCCTGAAAATATTTTTATAAGGAATTACAATACACCAGGGCCGAAGATTCTCAATTATTCTAGGCCGATTCTCACTATTATCTTTCTGTGGCCTATTGTTTCCTGTCTACCCATTCCCGCTCGTTTTCCGGATTTCATCGAGCCGCTGCTGCAGGAACGTCTGAAATCAGCGTAATGGTCTCGTCGCCGAACGCGAAGCGTCCCGCGAAATCCGGGAATGCGCGCCCGTCAAAGCAGTTGCCCCTGGCACCATCTCAAAGGTCCGTAGCGGATGGCGCTTGCAAAAGGCTCTATATTGTCGTTTTGATTACATTGGCGCACTTTAATAAATAATGGATCTGGATTGCTGAATATCCGCCTATATCGCCAAATTCCTCCAACTCCAGCGCCGATGATTCATTCACCTTAACTTTGGTCCCCGCTGTATCCTTTATAAGCTACTACCACTACTACTGCTGAACCTGATTATATATCCCTCTAGATATGTGGCTGATAGACATTGATACTGTAACAGAGCCCGGCCGAGTAGGCCTCCCTTCCAGTCTGCTCCGGTGCAGGCCGCTCCACCGCGAACCAGGTCGATAAACCCAAAGGGCCTGACGGTATGCGCAATCGCCGCATTCTGCTTTTCTACATATGGAACCTACCTGTACGTAACCTACGACAGAACAGTAAAACAGTCCAAAAACCTTTCCGTGCCGGACGACGTATCGGACAGATTCCACAAAACCGCTCCAACCTACGACGCAAATGTGGAATTGACCGAGCGAATCATGCGCATCAGCAAGAAAAGGGAGGAGCTGGTCAAGAGAGCGCGTGGAAACGTGTTAGAAGTTGCCTGCGGCACGGGGCGGAATATGCAATATTACTCCCTGGGCGAGCGACGCGGAACGGATAAGAACGGCAAAGCCGAGATCCAGGGATGTAGATCTGTCACATTCGTTGACCAAAGCCCCCAAATGGTGGAGATCGCTAGAGAGAAGTTTGAAAAGATGTATCCGCATTTCAGGCGGGCTGCATTCTGGGCGCAGGATGCTATGGCTCCTATCCCACCCCTGGAACATACAACCGTGATGCAAGGCTCATCGCAAAGCAGTGGTAGTAGTAGTAGCCTTGGTAACAGCAATAACAATAAGGGCAATGGCAACGGGAGCAAAAGCCTGCCGACGAGCGCCGAACAACAACAATCTTGCACGTTCGACACCGTCATCCAAACAATGGGTCTCTGCTCCCTCCCCGACCCCGTGTCTTACCTCAAACACCTTGGGACGCTAGTCGAGCCTGAGCGCGGGGAGATTCTCTTGTTAGAGCACGGGCGCTCACACTACCGCTGGCTCAACAAGCTCCTGGACGATCTCGCTGCCGCCCACGCAGACCGACATGGGTGCTGGTGGAATCGCGATATAGGGGAGATCGTGCGGCAGAGCGGGTTGGAGATCGTAGAGTCGAAGCGGTGGCATATGGGTACGACGTGGAGGTTTATTTTGCGGCGGAAGGAGGGGGCTGGGCGGGGAGAGAAGGACTCGGGCTTGGCGGAAGTATCAGAGAGGGAGGAGAATGGCGATGGGACTGCCAAATCTGTAATGGGATGGCTCGGCTGGGGAGCGAAGAAGTCATGACTCGTTTTGCTGTTGAAGCTTCGGGTGATGTCATTTGCTTGCGGGCATAGTTATCACAGCGCTCGTAGAATAAAACTCAACTCTCCAGTTTTAGAATCTTCTAAAAACCTTGCTCCTAGTATCATGTTGTATCGTAACATACCTACTGACATACTTACTCATAAATATATATGGTGGATAGGTTAGTTCCCCTGTTTGATCATAAAGACCCGATCCAAGTCCAGTTGAATGGAGAAGAAGCTTCGACGAAACAATCCCAGAAATTTACAGCTCCAGATTCTGGAACAGAGTTGGATAGGGGCGGGCTCCGTCCTTAGCCAAAAAGCCCCAATCTTAGGGTCGAAACGAAAATAGCCACGGACTCGAGTGGAACCCTGCAAGAAGGGTTTTTGCTTTTCCTTTTGCTTTTGCTTTTGCTTTTGTTTGTTTGGTAACGATATTTTTTTATCGTTATCCCATGATTGGTAGTGGGTGGGCTCCAGGGGCTTGACCCATCAATAAGTTACTAGTAACTACTCTGCACTACTCTGGAGATTGTTTTTTTTTGTCTTCTTGCATCTTACAGCCGAATACCGCTGAATTTCACCAGACATCGTCAGTGATGTCATATTGATTTCCTACGTAACTTTCGTTTTGAATGTTAGGCATGGGCGGTCATAACTTTCGCTGGTTGACAAGGTTCCAAATAGCGATGGCAGGCGAGGCCAGTGAGATCTGTCAAAAGCTTTTTTTTTTTTAAAAAAAAAAACAATATCGGCGATCTTTGCGGTCAGATGGTGTGCCATGGATGTGAAAGCTTTGAGCTTGTTTTGAATATAATTGGTGGTTATTATGTCCACTGGCTGCTAACTATTTCGGGGGTATATTTACTTTGAACAATGGTGAAACCGAAGGGGTCCTTGGAATTGGGGCGCTGAAAGCTTGTAACCGAATCAAAGAAAATCATATCTGGTCCATTGAGCGTTCCTATCGCATCTCTTCGTCAGTCATGGAGGGGGGAGTAATGAACGCGCCTCGTGGCTGTAAAACCTTGCGTGGTACAGTAACCTTCCGTCGAAGTCTGATATGTCTGAAGGGGATGGATGCTTTGGAGTGCGGGTGTAATCCAGAGCAGGGGATATCAACAACCAAGCTCGGCAAGACATAGAAAGGCGAAATATGTCCTCCAAAACCTCAGAGGAGGAGAGATGAAGAGACTTTCGAGGCCAACCACGGCAATTTGGTGAGACGAGAGGGGATGGGCCGAGGTGACGATTGTCCAAAATGGAATCAATCAGCCTCCCTCCCAGATTGAGGCAAGAAATCGAGCTCGGGATCGTTTGCCCTCGCATAAGTTGTGTGGACAACTCCATCTCCAAGCAGCAACCAACCTCCGCCAGACTTCGAAGCATTGCATTGCAGTGGGTTCGTTCCAGGATTCCACGCAGCTCCTACACCCGTGCCGCTGTCCTTTTTCATTGACAGGTAGCTACTACACTAGTAGTTAGTTACAAATATGCCTCTCTTTGGGAGGCACGGGATGATCCCGAATTTTACCGTGAATGTGACTTGAGCAACCCTCAAACGCTCCATGCCGTGTCATAGTTAATTATAGTACGTTTGACTTCCTTGATCGGGCATCCATGGATAGTTTGGTGCATTCATCCGAAGCTGTATCGTGTATGCGTACGTAGCACCCCGTTTACGCGAGTATGCCAGCTCTCTGAGTCTGAGCCATTGCGCAAACCCTCTTGAGGGAGGACGTTGATTCTGAACGCCTGAGACATTTTATCAGGGGAGGGGTGTTTGCGGTTGCAATGCGTTTGAGAGCCTTGCCGTTTTCTGACATGTTATTAATAAATATGTTTAACATTTAACACGCGTCACGGTAGCCTGTAGTAAAAGTATGCTTATCCCGTACCATGGATCCCAGGTTGCTGTCCGTGTTCTTTCAAGATTCCTTTCTCTTTCTAGTGTGCATTTTTAGCCTTTCCACAAGATTCCGGCTGTTGCTCGTTGTTGGTAGCTTCCAAACGTCTCATCCTGGAAGTGGCGCACATACCTGCAAGTTTCCAATGTTCCTCTCGCTCAAGCTACCGGATTCATCGATGCTTTGCTTTTGAGATCTGTTCTCGTCTCCTTTGTTTACTCTTTTCTTTTTTTGTTTATCGCTCTGCTTCCGTCTGGTGGTGGGGACCCCCGTGGCAATAACATGGGGTGGGAGCAATGTCGAGCTCGGGGTTTGCTCTCATTGTTCCTTTCCCGCGGTGATACCTCCATCTTCGCTCCTCCGTCCTACCAGGCTCAAAGTAAACTTGATTTCCTTCTCTCAAAGGGGTATTTATTGCTATCGGCGATCTCACGTGGTATGACCCAACGCAAGGAGGGCGAATGTGGTTGGGTGAAAGCTAATCGAGAATCCCCCAACACTCAATGGGGCGTCACGGTCCATGATCCATCCCCAACCCCTGAAAGCGGAAATTTGGAGCATAAGATAACAGACAGGCCTACAAATGATTGATGCGGATACTCGGAGTAGCTATTCTTTGAAGTCATAGAAGTTGACATAACTAACAGTCTGCTCCCTTCCGACTTGTTCTCCGTAGAAATAAATACCTGTTGTCCGAGTGGATGGAAACGGTCGCGGTCGTAAAATCCGATATGTCAGAAAAACCATGCAGAATGGATGTAGACAGCGAGTCCGTTCAAAGCCGTCAGGCAGAGGCCGACTTACTCAAATGGCATAAATCTGTTGATCAATTGGCATTGGCTGAAAGACCACTGACCTTAGCTAGTGTCCTGGCTGCCATTACTCGATGGATCTCGAATTGGTACATAACATGGCGATCATCAAAAAAAAAAAAAAAATCCAGGCTTTACTTCTCTGATCAAAATACTCTTTACTCTGGAAAGATCACTGAGTTTCCTATCTATTATACGGCAGACGATGTGCAGGATGCTAAGATGGAAATTTTGTTTGTGGATAACTACTGGTTTTGTTGTCAATCTGACTTGTGGGGTATATTAAGTCTATATCTATATGTGTCTGGTGTCAACCGCTTCCCTTTTTGCTCCGGATTATCTCCCTGTTGCTATTTGATGTGTACTAGACCTGGTCTTCCCTTGAGAAGCCTTGTAGTCTTGACGCTATTTCCATTTCGAACCTTTCCTTGCTCAATGGGCCCTCGCGGATGTCTGCTAGCATGTCTGTACCAGGGGGGAAATCAAACTCGAAAATAGGGTCCCCTGCGCCCTTGACGTTAGCAAGCACGGCTTGCCGAAAATGCCACCGCAGTAACTCATCGGACACGCGATTACTATCATTTGGGTTGCGACAGATTGAGTCGAGTATCCTTCCATCAACCCGAGCATTATCTAGGCCAAATGATATGATTTTGTATCCATCCTATATCTGTGTTAGTACTGCAATACAAATACAAGTGGGCGCTTTCCAATTCCTCACATCAGGGTTTATAGACAGTATATATGAATCAAAAAGAGCGTGAACATCACGTCTCAGCAGCAATCCATTCTGGGTTGAGTTTATCTGTGATGCTCCAACCTCATCTTCCATATTTGTAACCCAACAGCTGTAGCCTTGATCAATCCATATATTTTCATGCTGCAAGGGGAAAACATGTGCAGCATCGAATCCAGTCCATCTACCAAATGGCGCGAATTGATTGAGATCTCCAGTAATGACACATCTTCCATCCCTTGCGCGGACCCCATCCCGGAAGTGATCGTTCTCTTGGCTTGAAATGGAGTAGCTCAGGATTCGCAAAGAAGAAACTTCATCAGTCACTTGAATGGGTCCTATGAAAAAAAAATAAAAAGAAAACAAAAGTTAAATGTGAAATCTAGAATAAGGGGAGGTAGCGAACCTGCAGAGGAGACATCATAATCTCCAAGCTCAAGCACATGTGTAGTATGGGTGATGACTCGACTTGAAGCTCGGTGTGTGATGGTTAGCGGCTGTTCTGCAACTAGAAGGACATTTTGAATCATCCAGAGGAAAATCTCCTCAGTAATTGAGCCTGCCTGGTATAAGCCTCCAAAAGTGGCTCCTGTTGAGGCAAGGTGCAGGAAGACATTTCTGTAAAGGGATCTGTCGGACATATCTATACGGCAAATACTATTCGACGAGTAGGGAGATGGGTGGATATACTTGTGGTGATATCTCGGGGGAATATCGAACCAGTCGCACTGCAAGATCGAGGAAGGCAGCTACAGGAAAAAAGTTAATGACGTCACCCATGATAACTTCATCAATATATGATAGCTATATTACTCTTAAAATTTAATTACAAAATAAATATTTATTTATTTTTCTATTTCGTATTAGCGTTTGTATAAAATTACAGAGTAGTTTCTTTGATAACAACTTGAATAACTACTGCAATCTTCATACACTCATAGTAATTTTTGAAGAATTGAACTTCTAATACGGAGAAAAGGAAATTAGGCGAGGTCTGAGAATACGGAGTTACATCTGCAGCAGTCAACCACCCGTACAGAATACAGAACACAGGCCTGGGTAGGAGATTGGTAGTATTCCTAGTATTCTTTACCGTACCTGCGGTGGTGCGCATTGTCGCCGGGACTTGCTGCCCAGAACCCAGACAGCATCCGTCGCTGCATGGAGTACTCCGTCATCTGCCCTCAATAACCAAATAACCAAATAACCAAATACCAAATACCAAATACCAAATAACCAGATAGCTAACTACCAACTGCGCTGGGATGCATTTCGGCTACAGGCAACTCTCTGTCTCTGCCGGCTTGACGCAGCTTGCAAGAAAGGTTTCGCCGCCCGGACAGCGTTCCACGGATCGAAGGCTCGCATCGTCGTCGCAGTCGTACCAGACCGCCTGCACGGGGGATCTGCTGGTTATTCTGGGTCCTTGGTCATTGCTGACAATAATAGCCATAATAATGCGTCGATGCTTCGCTCGACCCATCACAAAAAAATTAAAAAACAAAACCAACCAAAACCAACCAAAACCAACCAAAGCGGCTCCGTGCTAGCCCGCTAGCTGAAACCCACTCCAGCGCCACAGCCAGCCAATCCTCCCTAGCAAGTCCCTATCCTCCTCCTATCCTATCCTGCGCTCCTGGTTTCCCTTTCCTCCCTGGTCCGGTTCCCCGTTAACTCACTAACTCACTAACTCACTAACTGTGTGTTTTTTGCTTTTTTTGTATTTTTTTTTTTTTCCCTTGCGCTCAACGCTGACTTCGAAAACAAGCCATCTCTCCCTTTTTCCTTTGGATCTCCCTCTCCCTCTCCCTCTTCTCCTCCTCTTTTTTCATGCTCTATTCTGTTCTGTCGTTCCCTTTGAAACGATGCCTTATAACACCCGCCGAAAGTCGCTCTCCCTCCCGTCGTTGGGTATTCACTTGCCCTCTGCGTCGCGCTCCCACCGCACGCCCACTGCTCCAAAAATTCCCTCGCCATCGGACACGCAGCAACCGCCGTCAAAGAAGGTCAAGCGGTCGCACGACTCGCCGTCCCAGTCGCCCGCGTCCGTTTCGCCCGAGTCTCAAGAATCAAATTCACACAGGGCAGGGGATCTTCTCCATGGCCCCAGCCCAAAGAGCCACAGAGGAGGTGCTGGTGGTACCTATGAGCACACGCCACCGCCGTCCCCAGCCCCGGATACGGGCCTCGCTACCAGAATCGACACCGATGGCATCAATGACGATGTCGTAGTTGCTGTGATTGAGCAACTGGAGAAGACCGGGAACAGGCCGCATCTGATCAAGGAACTGGCTACTGTCCTGTCAAACACGAATGAGACCGTTGCCAAGTGAGTAGTAAAGTACCCCCCTGCCTCCTGCCCGCTCTTCTTGCCCGTCTACCTGCCGTGGAGCCCTGACAAGACCGCTCCCCTTCTTTCGATTCATAACACAAAAGAATAGTGTTGCTAACTACTTTTATTTCTCATTATTTTCGTGTTAGCTCGGCGAATGCTGCAGCCTTATTGTCGTCGCGGTTGAGCCTCTACTTAAAACGCCCCTGGACGGCGCTTGCCCCTTGCCCGATCGTCAAGAAGTTGATCCCAGTTCATCCGCGCAAAGTGTTCTTTTATCTTGCGACATCGCCGCCCCAGGAGCTTCCGGATACGGCTGATGGTATGCTGACTCCGACGACGGAATCGAAAAGAATAACCCCGAGCATATCGGACCCAAGCATCGACCCTGACGATGCGGACGAAGATCTAGCCCGTGAGCGCGCTCGACTAAGCCCAAGTCCTGAGGTTGACTTGTCAGCACCGGAGTTTGACGATGAGGATGAACATTCAGCGCCTGGCGGGCCTCACGCGTCGACCCGGAATTATGGCGTCCGGGGTAATCTGTCCAATCTTCATCACCACCATCGTCTATCATACAACCACCGGTCGACATCTCCACCGCTGGAAGGGGATGAGAAGGAGTTTACCCAGACAGCCAGCTCTGTCCGCGAGCGAACTTCTTCGGAGGAGGTAGCCGCGAGAAGACGACAGGATCTGGAGAAGGATGACAGACCTCAGCACCATGCAGCGGATGGACAAAAAGCGTCGGGGCCCAGTGGCGATGTTGAGATGGAAGGGGCTTCCACGTCGCATAATGGATCCAATCATCAAGAGACTGATTATGCCGACTTCTTTACCTCCCACATGCTCCAGAATCCTAGCCAGGACCAACACCTGGATGACGCCTCTGCAGCTACCACACTGTTTGGCGCATCTCCGTCCCCGTCCGTTTCCTCAGAACTATCCACGCTATCGTCGGCTTCCAGTGCCACCTCACATTCCGAGACCGAGGCTGATCTACCCATGGACACCAACAAAGCTGTGACGACTGAAGGTATTTCTTCTGGGGCGCTCAATGGAGGAAACGATGTCACAGCAACTATTGGGCGTGGAATCTCCTCCACTGGTATATCCGGAGCTGCAGCCGGGCTTGCCAAGGGCGTCAAAAGATCTATTACCCTAGTTGATGTGGCGGAAACGAACTCTGCCATGGAGGCGGACACAAGAAGAATGGATGATGGTGATATCAGCAAATCGTTCGACACGGTGGATCCGACGGCTGCCAATACCATTCTCGACAAATCGGCCTTGACGTTCGGCCACACCCTTGAACTGATCAAGCCGACCATGGATCTGGATACCGAGATGGGAGCCGGAGCCGGAGTGGGCCTGGGGCTGGGGCTGGAGTTGGAGTCGTGGACCGACCTGCCCAGCCCGGAAACCGTCGAAGTCGACGAACTCGATGCAATGTTTGCGAACGTCTGATTATATTTGTGTCGAACTATTTACGTTTTTTTCTCTTCGCCATACATACCTACATGATTCAATTTTATAAACCCCCACCTCCCCGAGAATATTAGTCCCCTTCAAAACGGGCGGCATCATACGCGTTTTAATCCTTTCCCCTCTCCTGTACATATATACTCTACTCCTCCTGTTGTACTTTCTTTGCTTCGGCGTTTTAATCCCTGATAGATAGTCAGGGTGACATTTCCAGCGATCTCCAGTTTTCTCTGATGTTTTTTCTTCTTTTATTTCCACCCCTCCTTCTAAATACGGGTTTTCGTGGGGGAAAATGTAAAATGTGTTTCATTATGGGATGGATGGTCTCTTGTTGAATTCTTCCTATCTGTACTTCCCTGCTTTCCTACTTTCTCCCTCCTCCTCCTTTTCTTCTCTTGTCTTGTTTTCTCTTCTCCTTTTTTTTTTTCGGCCGGGGCTGCTTACTCTTATCTACTGTATGGATGTTTAATGTATTATTCATTGCGCACGCTTCGGTTGTTCTGGACCCGTTCGTTCGTTGGTCGTACTACTATTCTTATTGCTATTACTATTACTGTTTCTGTTACTGTTTTACTCGTTTTAATTGTTCTTCTTGCTGACGGCGCAAAAGCAGAAATTTGTCCGGAAACAAAACCACGAAAATGCAGAGAGTTTAGGTAGTTAGTCAGTTAGTTAGTTTAATATGTATGCGTATAAAGGTTTATGGGGGTATACAGATGTATATTCATCAACCGATTCCCACAGAATATATAAAAGTAGAAAAAAGATTAAAAAAAACATGATGCCCTTCTATTCTTTTGATTTCACTTGATTAGATAGAATTAGATCCTCACTCCCCGCCTCCTTTCTTTTTTTTTCTCTCTCTGATTATTTATTTACCTTTTCCCATGTTGATTGATTATTTGATTTATTTATCCCAGATCCCTGGCCTGTAAGGGTTCCCCTATATATATAGGTATATATAGAGAGGGAGAGAATAGGTGGTCTGTCACATGAACGGAACCCACTTTCCCCCTTCCCCCCCTTTTCCCCTTTTATATAGCTGATGCAGACACTAAACAACCCCCTTCCTTTCCCCGTTCTTTTGTCCAACCTCGATTCATCAAAGGGGGGAGCTTCTAGCTCACGAAAGAGAGAGAGAGAGAGAGAGAGGAGAGGGATATTCTTCTCTCCTACTTCGTCTCCGCTTTTACCTATTGTATATATATATACGTATATATACGTGATATGCGCAAGCTGGGAATAAATCTTGCCTTTCTGGGCTTTTTTCTCTTCAGCGGGCTTGATATATCTCTCATTTTTGATACATACATACATATATACATATACCGGGTACATGTAGAAACGGGAATGAGATTTGGCCAAAAAAAAAAAAAAAAAAAACAGAAAAAGGTGGGCGTCATCAGATTAAAGGGGGGTGTGTGCAGTGCCAATAATAGCCTAGTCATCATCCACGTCCTCCGCGCAACTACCACCCCCGTCATCTGTCGAGGCTTGAGGGCGATTGATGATGGCATAGGAACGAACAGTGGCTGTTTTTTTTTTTTTTTTTTTTTTTTTTCAAAGCTCCCCTTCCTCGCTCCCGCCGTCATCGTCAGCCTCATTGGTTTTGGTATCGTGGTCCTGCAGTGATGCGGTGTTCGTTCCTACAACATCGCGTTTTATTTGCTGATCTTGCTCGAGGTCGTGGCGCGGTTCAGAAGAGGGAACTGGTGGGGCCACTGACTGTTGAGGCGGTAGTGTGGGAAGTGATGTGGACATTGCTCCGGGACCCGACGTCTCTGAAGAGTGTCTCCTGGAACGGCCGTGATGGTCGATTCCGTGGTCGCGGTCATGGTCGCGTCCCCTTTCTCTTGCCATGTCTTTATCCCGATCGTTATCCCTGTACCTATCTCTTTCTCTATGCCTATCCCGATCCCGATCCCGATCCCTTTCACTTGATGATGGATGATAGTAATAATTTCCCCTAGGTTCGTGGGACCGGTCATTTTCCGGTGGCATGCCTTGCTGGATAATAGCATCGATACGTTGCTGTAATTTGTCAACATTTGAGGGATCGGCTGGTGGCGGTGGCAGGTGAAACATTGATGATACCGTCGCTGGAGGCGGACCTCTTGGCGGCGGCTGTCTATTTGGCGGTTGTGGATTGTTGCTATAGCTTCCACGGCGAGGGGGCTGGGGTTGTTGATGGGGAAGGGGAGGTACGGTGACTGGGGGTGGTGGAGGAAGCGGATGCTCTTGCCGTGGCTGATTCAGAGGGATGCGTGCCGCTTGTGGGATTCTACTTTTGGAGGGAGAGACATTCCTAGGATGGCCATGGCCGTTCATCTCTGGTTGCTTCTGACTGGATGGAATGCTGATGGCGGTTTGTGACGATGAGTTTGAGGCTACGTTCATGTTTGCAGTTGCTTCAGTTAACGAGATTTGTGATGACGATGGTTGTTGTGGTTGGCTGAATGAGGATGTTTCGGTATCGCCTTCGCTTCCTTCACGACGCTGGCGCTTCGGGGAAGGCTGAGGGTCTGGCTCCCCCGATGTTGCTCCGTTTGGGGGAATGCTTATTGGGTGTTGGCTAAATGAGCCGGAATGGCTGTCTCTTTCACGTTTGCGCCCATTGATCTCACCAGGAGACATACTGTTGTTGGCGCTATCGTCTATACTGCCCTCGCTCTTCGGGTGGTGGGACGTTCTCGTCATGTCGGTCGGTTCGTCGTCACGGGTTGACAGGTGCACATATTGCTGTCCAGGCACGGGAACAGACACGAATTCATAAATATCGGCCATGCGATTACATGCCCTTCTCATCTCGTGGAGATCAACGTCCAATTGTCTCCACCAAGGCCTATTTAGGGAGTCGTCTTCAAACGCAACTTCACAGTGCCTTGCTGCTGCATAGAGTGCAGCTGCAGCTATAGTGCGTGCCGGGAACTGTACACATAGTACCGTATATGTAGAATCATTGAGGAAAGCCCAGGCCGAATTTCTAAGCCGTTTATTCTCTTGCACCTTAAAGTAGCAAAGAAAGTCGTACAGCAGGCGGTAGGGCTGCTCAAGCTGAAGATCGAAGCACAAGGCTTCGAGCAACAAATCTTCATTGTGTAAAATGGTATCGCGCCATCTCCAAAATTCTTTCGACTGCTCATCCACGATCATGCTTGGTTTCTTCTGTGCGATGCGACAACAAGCGACGATTAGCTCCTTCATCTTGCGGCAGTTCTCCTCGACTTTGGTAGCGAGAAATAGGGCAGTCGCGGCGACCGAGTAGGGATGCATCCCTGGGCGCTGCGGAAGGTCTTTCATACTATATCGCATGAAAAACCGATGGAGGTAGACACTCGCGGTGCAGAGGGTGAGTTGTGGAAGCTTCAAAAGGATTCCGACTTGGGTGATAAAGTTGACCCCCTTGCTACGGCTTGTGTGTTCGGCCTCAATCGTCATCCCATCGAGGATAGATGGCGTCCGATAAAGCTCCGCGTCCGTGAATATCCATTGCGACTGAGCCGCGACAAGGACAGGGTTGGAGGGCATTAGGACTGAGTGAGCGGGTTCGCGAGTCGAGGAAGACGTAGTAGCTGGCATGTTTGATCAAAATGGCTGATGAGGATGAATCGATCAAACAAGAGTTCAGCTGAAACGAAGCGGAAAGATATAGTGGTATAATAATATCGCGCACGGTACGGATAGCTCACTACCCAACAGCCAGCGTTGTCTGCGGCCCGTGGGAAAAGATCTTCTGATGTCATTCACTCTCAATCACCGGGGGTCCTCATGCGAGGACATGGACGAATAAGTCATGGGCGATATTTCCTAAATGCAGGCATACTCAATCGGATGGCGTAGTTTTTGATCTGGTGGCATATAGCTCCGTGGGCTGCGTCAGAAGTGGTGAGAGGCGTATGGAGCACCCAAGGGTTGGACTTTTGATAAAGCTCGAAACTTGCGGCCGTTTCGGATCATTGTTGTTCCGGTGCAACCTTGCACCTGGCAAGCTGCAGGAGGCCAGGGGACTCAGGGGCGTTGATTAACGGGATTCTTATATAACAGAATAGCATTAACTAACTAACTGGCTAACTATGGTTTGATATCATACAATCATATACCGAAACAGGAAATAACCCTTACGCCATATTCAAACACAGTAGCTCTGTATTTCTGAACAAAGTGAGGAAGGAAAGTTTCATATTGTATTTATTCTTCCTCACTTACTTCGCTTTCATCATCGCTCATAATTTGTTGCTGCATCCGTTGCTGCTGCTGCTGCTGCTGCTGCTGCTGCTGCAATAGCCTTTGGGCCCTCTCCTGCTCTTCCTCTCTTGCACTCTCCTCAAAAGCCGCTTCCATCTCAGCAGCTAAATCATCATCGTCTATCACTTCATCCTGTCCCGTATTTTCTCCCTTTCCTTCTGGTTCCTCCTGATCATCATCCGCTTCCTCGTCCTCTTCCTCATCCTCTTCCTCCTGCTCTTCCTCCTGCTCTTCCTCCTGCTCATCCTCCTGCTCATCCTCGTCCTCATCCTCATTCTCATCCTCATCCTCTTCATCACCCTTCCGTGCTTGGATCATAGTGGTTGAAGGTGATGGCAATCTCAGGTCTTCCATCTCCCCCTCATCATCACTGTCGTAGTCTGCCTCATTAGCAGAGGTATTATTTGAGGAGAAATGTCGAGGATTTATTTTGAAGGCTGGGCGAGGGGGAGGCGGAGAACCCATATCAATAATTAAGTCTCCATCAACAATTATATTTGCCCCAGGAGATGCAGCCGGTTGTGATGGCTTATCTTCGTCTATTTCAAGCTTAGCAGTTTCTTCTCTGTCTGAAGACGACGAATCGAGGCCGATGTCCACTTCACCAACGCGGGTTGCAGATTTAGGTTTAGATATCGTCGGGCGGGTGTCCGCAGCAGCCACTTTTGGTTGTCGTTTCTGTTGTCGAAGCGGATTTACCTGAGCTTTGGCTTTAGCTATCGGCTTTGGCCTCGACCTCGCGCTGGCGACAGGTGGTGGTGCTAAATATGAATTTGTAAGGCTCGGAAGAGCATCAGGCGTAGTGACATCAGGTCCCTCGGTTTCAGCTTTAGGCTTTGGAAGAAAGTGGCGGAAATCATACGGGTTGCTCTCATCCGCAGCGCCTTCGGCGTCATCCTCACCGTTCCTTTCCTGAAGTTGGTCATCACAAGATATTTGATCTTCTCCGGAGAGGACATTAAGCTGCGGGTATTGTTCTATAACTTGTTGAGTTGATTTCCCTGGCGCGGATCGAAGGTTGAAGTTCAATCTGGTCGACACGGGCTCGAGAACGAACACTTTTTGCTCTGGGTCAAACACTAGGACCAAGTTGCTGGTCTCTGATTCGGACACTAAGGAGGTAGGATCAACGCTGCCATGGTATGTGTAAACAAGATTTTTATGTTCTGCACTATGGGATTTGTCTTGAAGTGTGAGCTTGTATTGATGCTGGGTGGAGCCCGTCGCAGTGATTGTCGCCCTTTGATGTCGAGAAGCTGACTTGGTTTTATGGTTATAAGTAATGCCAATAAATTTATCTGTACTATATTGTCCTTTCCCAGCCAATTTGCTGCCCAGGAGAATAGGATATTCTGCTTGCTTAGTGGGGTCAATCAAACCACCATTGAGTTGGGAGGTAGCGTGAGCTGCTGCCGTGGCCATCGGGCTTATATGAAGAATAAATAGGTAGTGACGAACGAGTCAGGGAATATATAAGGCTGCATAAAGGTAACAAGATATGGTCAGCGGAAAGGCAGGCCTGGCAATGCAGGCACTAGCTAGGGCGGATCTGCGATTGAAACAAAGACAGCCTGAGCGAACCGCAGGACAGAGGTAGAGAGGTGTTGAAGGAAGGCAGAGGATCTACATTTAAACATCCAGCGACAAGGAGAGGGGCGGTTTATGAGAACGGAACAAAGAGAGTGCAAAATGAGAAGAGCAAAGAAAGCAGCAGCTGAATGGTGAGAAACAATCGCTGGCATCGACAACTGGACAATCAACCTTCAGGCGAGGATGACAAAGCAAGTTGCTTCCACTAGTTAGTTAAACCTGGAACAAGATTCCATGGCCTGATTCCACATACATTCTTTCATTCTTTCACATTTATCATTCCATCTATCATCTATCATTTATCATTGTTTTATTATTTATATTATTTTATATCTATTTTTTTCATATCTAGTTTCGTACAAGCCATAAGCTTGGGGGAATGTATGTTCCCGGTTAAACGGAGAAGTATAAATAACCTCAATCTATCTAGGTTAAGGGCGATGCCACCCGAGAGATTATTTTCGGCCCATTATCAGCCCCGCTGGATGTTAGCTGATCCAGCCGTTCTGACAACATACGGTGCTTCTTCATAACTTCTTCCCATTCAGGAACGATCACATCCTCATCCTCTATATCACCTTCTTCATCCCCTTCGGTGAGGAATGACAGTATCATACTAAAATTCCCCCCCAACCGGCCCAAGCTGCCAGCACAATACAGCACTTGAGTAAGCAAGCTTTCTCGTGAGCTCTTGTCCTTGACATTTGGAAGGTACGCCTTCAACGTCTCTGTCAAGAGCTGTGCTAGATGCATCGGAAACGTCGCCAGTGCGGGAGGTAAACATGGTAAAAGGTCCGGGGTTTTCCGCAAATTTGTTCCTTGCTTAGTCTGGAGGCTCAGATCCCGCAGATCTAAAACGGGCACGCTTGCGGATACCAAGGTAGATTCCGACGGTGTAGGCGCGAATATGTTTTTGTACATGGAAACTATTGCAAAGCTTTGTTCTCGGTAGATTTCAATATATCTTTTCAAAAATCGTTCCGTTTGCTGACCCGCAGGCCAAGTATTGCTGTTAGTGGATGTGCTTATTTGTTTCCCATTGCCTTGTAGCCTTCTCTGTGTTTCTTGGTCTGCAAGTTCTCTCAGTGGATCAAGAGCTTCAAGCATTGATATTAAATTTGCCAGCCGACAAACTAAAAATAGTGCTCCAAATGCTCCCTCACTATTCATTGCAGGCGTTTCTCTATTACTAGTATCCTCTAGCTCCGGGGCGACACGCCTGAGCCAACCCACAGTTCGCATGGCTGCAGCAAGCCTTATATTTTGGACTCGAAGCCCGGCAATAAGATTGCTTGTCATATCCTTCATTACCTCTTCCGCTTGTCGAGTAATATCTTTAACCAGCGAAGAATCAGGGTAGAGAGTCTGTAATCGTTTTATGTGCGCAAACAGGTCCAAGGCAGAAGAATAATTCATGTTCGATGCTCCAGTAGTTCCAACATTAGCGGACGAGGAAGACACCGCTGTAGAAAGGAGGGTGGGCAGCTCTAATATATCGGACAGTCGGTCCACATTCCTCAGCAGCTGCATTGCCTTCTTCCTGCCATCTAACATCGGGTTTTCCACGCTTTTGTTGTAGATGGAGGAGAAATGCACAGCCTCTTCATCCAGTTTTGGAATCCCATGTTGAAGCCGCCGCGTCTCTGTAGCAATTTGTGGTATTGAAAAGCGGAGAGAGGAGAGGTGATCTGCCGATGTGACGAATGATTTATGAGACCGATTCGAGAGAGCCTGCAGCGAAACTAGGGCGGAGTGAGAGGATTGTGAAAGAGACCGGGGTTCTGTTGACGTCAGTGAGGATAGCGAAAGTGTCGATAGGTAGTTGAGGTACTTGGACGTGACCGAATCTGAAGTTGGAGGGGGTGGGCGCGAGCGAGCGTCGACGGAATCAAAGTAGGGCGCCAGGAGTTCGTATAACGGGTCAGCCATAACGGCAAGGTCCAGCTCAAAACCGGAGTCCTTACGATACGTGCAATGCGGGCGCCTAAAACAAATCTGGGATCCAATAGCGAAACGGATGTATGACAAGAAGAAGTGCTGCGTGGTCGAGGATGGATGAGGTTGGCGGACGAGGATTGACGATGCTAAGCAGGGCTTGGTTTCAATTAGCGCCCGTAACTTAGTTTCCATCTTTATGCAGAGCCAACATAGTCTTCATATATAACACAACAAATGTCCAACAGAAGAAGCATTTGAGAAATATTTCAAAAAAGGTTCCAAAGCTCATTCATTCTCTTTTCTGGCTAATATCGACTGCAGTGCTCCAAGAATGGGAAAACCTCGGGTGAGTTCAATAAGATATATTGGTGGCCTTTTCCTTTGCGATTGCGATTAGGCGAGCGATGGCATGCTAATTCATCTCTATCCAGTTGATAATTCTCATCCGTCACGCCCAGTCAGAGGGAAACAAAAACCGTGAAATCCACCAGTCGATTCCGGACCACCGTGTGAAACTTACGCAGGAGGGGCAAAAACAGGCACTTGAAGCGGGTCGTAGATTGCGAGCGCTCCTACGCCCAGAGGATACACTACATTTTTTTACATCCCCTTACTGCCGCACGCGCGAGACGACTGAGGGAATCCTTAAGTCTCTAACATCGGACGACCCTTCTCCGTCACCATTCCCAAGAAATACAATAAAGGTCTACGAGGAACCGCGCTTAAGAGAGCAAGACTTTGGCAACTTCCAGCCATGCTCAGCAGAAATGGAACGCATGTGGCAGGAGCGCGCTGATTACGGACATTTTTTCTATCGTATCCCAAATGGGGAGTCTGCGGCCGACGCCTACGACAGGATTAGCGGTTTTAATGAATCCCTATGGAGACTCTTTGGAGAAGAAAGCTTTGCCAGCGTGTGTGTTCTGGTGACACATGGTCTAATGACGCGGATATTTTTAATGAAGTGGTACCACTTCAGCGTTGAGTACTTTGAGGACCTCCGAAATGTCAATCACTGTGAGTTCGTAATTATGAAGAAGAACGACGACGATGGGAAGTATGTCCTTCAGAATAATTTGCGCACCTGGTCTGAGTTAAGGAGGGAGAGGGAGAGGGAGCGAGAGAGGGAGCGAGAACAGCTGTCAAAGGGCGATTCAGGTGCTGTAATCGGCTCTAGCCTCGAGATAGAGTCGCCTATTCCGATCAGAAGGAAATGGGGCGGCTGTCCTAACGGGTGCAATCATTCGTCAATGAAGTTTTGGAGAAGACGACCTCAGCGGCAACAAACAAAAGATATATTAGAGGGCAATGTATCAACCTATGGAGGCAGCAACGATATTCAATCTATTGCGGTACAGGATAAACCTGGATCTTACCTAGAAGTACCAGTCGATAAAGCTTCTACTACCCATCCTTACCCCGTCTCTCCTACTTCACATTCTTCATCACCAAATTCGACGCCATCACACATCTCTTTGAATTTACACCTGGACTCCAATTCCCAACTTGAGTCGTTATCAGAAGAATTGAATAGGGACCAAAGACAATCTTCCACATTCACTCAGGACAGAAGGCACTCCAATATCTGTCCCTCACATCACCTGGGCGGACGGGACGGCGGCGGCTCCGAAAGTGGCGTAACAAGCCGTGCAACATCAGAAAATGAGAACGATAACGTTGGAAATGACAATGAAGCCTATATGCGTATTGCTGCTAGCTTGAAAGGTAGTAGGCAAGGCCATGTGCAGCACCAATTGCACAACAATGACCGGAGGCAAGGACGTGGAATCGCGAACTCATTAGGCGATCGAGACGACGACGACGACGACGACGACAGCGCAGGCCATTCTGTGGGCAAACATGGCGTTTTAATTGATGGCGACAATGACGGGAACGATAATGACAACCACAAAAACTGCCTATGTGCTGGCGATGAGCTGGGAGAGGAAGGAGATGCCCTCTTTGAGAAGGCAATTCAGCATGATCGCAGTATCCAGGGGGCTGTTTATTAGTCCTGTTTTTTTTTTTTTTTTTCAAGAGGGACATTTATGTTTTGGCGTCCCCTTGCTAACTACATGCTCACCCTCTATTTTATTTCTCTCATTTATGCGCGAGGGGAAAGCAGTTTCGGGTGATAGCTTCTCAGCGGAAATATCTGACATCAGACATGATATCATACAACACACGTATCATGATGACCACTCTCCTCTAGGGAGTGGGTGGTGACAGATCACAACGATTGCTTACAATGGGAAATAAAATAAAATAAGAGGAAAATTCATCTTCAATTGGAATATATGATTGGAAGAACTGGTGCAGGATTCCACAAAGGGAGAGAGGGAGCAGAAACAGAATCCGCCTTTAAATTCAATAGCTACTACATACTGTCTATGAGCTTCTTTGAGCGTTAAACACATCACACTGTGAATCGTTGAGCCAGAGCCTGGCCATAAGTTAGGACGGTCAGTCGGTCACTTGTACTTAGGGGAGGGGAAACCCGCGTGGCAATGGTGATGTGAGACAGATAGCACACAATCTTCCTATGTTGAATGGTGGCTGGTTGAGAACTTGAGAAAGGAGTCATGTACGCACAATGGTCTGGTGAGGACTAACAATGCACAGTATGAACGCAAGGGGACAGAAAAGGAAAACAAAGAAAATTCCCAAGGAAGTGAGTGCATGTATCAGGAGCTATTATGTACATTTCATTTTTTTCTGTTCCCCTAGTTTATTATTCATTTTTTGGTTTTTTTGCTAGTTTTGTCCTCCTCAACCCTACATGCATATACTATCTAATACCTTCTCTGAACCTAACAAAAGCTTAGCCCAAGTTCAGGCCTTCGCCCCATTGAGAGTTAAAATCCATTGCAAGAAGTGTGCAAAGACAACAGGGATGTTATAAACTACTAGTTCCAAACCAGACCAAACAACCAGGTTTATTAAAAAAAAAAATCGAAAATCACAAACTGTTCAAGGAAAAATAGAAGTCACATGAGACAGGAAGGAAAGCTGCAGCAAAAAAATGAGATGGAGAAATGAGAAAATGAAATCACGAATAAAAGAGGGTATCTTTTCCTCCAAATCACACTCTTTTTTTGATAACAAAAATTTGACCCAAGGCAGGGCAAGAAAATATGTGCAATAAATGGTATGTAGAAACAAGGAACGAAAGGCAAGAAGTGCGGGGGAAAAATAAGAGTAGAAATGTAATAGAAAGGGAATTCAAAATGGGGAGACAGAGAAACACGCGGGAAGAATCATAGAATTGATTACAAGAAGTTCAAAGGCAAGTTTGATGTGAGAAAGAACAAAAAGACAAGGGAGGAAATTGTCAAGGAAATAAATAACAGACCGACCAACAAATGATGTAAGCGAAATAGCAAAAGTTACACGAAACCACAAACAAAGCCAGGGTTTAGACACAGAAGACTCGGCACAAACGCCAGCCAGCCGCACAAATTAAGAAATATTTTTCCAATTTTTGCACACGTTCCAGAATCTTAGACGACCACATATACTCACCAAACAGCAAAGCCCAAATATCAGATATGCATAATGTGAAATACTTGCCGTTGATCATCTGGGGAGAGAATTCCCTAGAAGCCATCCACAACAAAATAAACGATGAAAGGGAAAGAAACAAGACTGGATTTTGTGCGCATAAGGGGGGGAACAAGAAAGATACTCCACGCAGCCACAAAATGTCGACATAGGACGAACATCTGGGAGAAAATGAAATAAATGCTAGTTTGAACGTTGCGAAATCAATCAAGTGAAAAAGGGAAACGAAAAATCGTATCAATCTCAGTGAATCGTTTGAAAAAGAAGTAATAGAAACGGAGAGAAAACAACATGGAAATAGAAGAAGTCTATCGTGAAAAGAAATGAAAATAGACGAGGGAAAGGAGAGCGAGGTGGTGAAAAATAGCATGCAAACCACATTGATGTGCCCTTCAGTGGCTAATGGAACAAGTATTAAAGAGAAGAAACACCAGAGAAAAAGCGAAAACAACGAAAGCACGAAGGAGAATATGTTTGAAAAAGGGTGACAAATAAAATCGTAAATCATCCGCAAAGCGTAGGTAAGGAAGGTAGGCAAGACAAACAAGATGTTTTTGTGCTCAAAGTTGAGCTAGGAACGCGATTTTGGTAGTCTCGAATTGACTATCCATTTGCGTAGAAAAATTATTAAAATCGGAGACCGAAGGAACAGGAGATGGGTATAGATCGAAGAGATTTTCTAGATGCTCGCTCGCTTTTCACCGGGCTCCTGATATAATTTTAAAAAAAAGCAACTTTTTTCGGTTGGACTGCATAGAACGAAGATAATGTGATCCTTTTTTTTTGACAAGGCATAATATGGATGGTCTCGCTATATATTGGATCGTAAAACCGGATGTACCAAAATAACAGGTGTAAAAAAGTGGTCGAAAGGTAGTGACGAATAAAGAGCCGAAGAACTTTCACAACGAGGTGCATCCACTCCAAGAGTAGACGAGGGTTGATTTCCAATGGCATTCCACGATAAATTAGCAGGGTAGAATAAACCCCAGATCATCGACAGGTCACAAATTAACCGACGACAGGTTGAATGCCAAAAACTACCGTATGCAAGTAATGCTCTTGATGTTTCGCACAGTACAAGCACCCACAGGATGATCTATGACCGGTCCAAGCCACTGGCGAGAAGGCGTGGGTGTAGGAAGGGGTGTGGTGATAGGATGGCGGTTGAGATCGGGGAGCTGGAGGGATATATTTTTGAGGGACGACCCAGCCACGTGAATATGGTGGTGGTGGATTATTGTATGCCCACGGGGCAGGACAGAAATAATCAGGCGTGTTAGGGCCACTATGGGGCGCTGAAGAGGGAGAGTAATCCGACGTATTGGAGTTTAACCACGCACCCCTCTGATACTGGGGAGGGATTGGTCCGTCAGGGGACAGCAGCGTCTTCTGTTGAGATGCATGCTGTCTTTGGATATTTGTGTCAATCGGAGTGAGTTTACTCCGAGACTCGTTCGCCCTTGCATCAGCCTTCACACGCCAAGTGTCCCAATGTGCTTTCCACGACATGAACCCGTCTTCCTTGTTGTGGATGCGGTTATGGATATTCCAATCAAACCCGAAAAGCCACTCCAATTCCATCGCATTCAATTCCGCAACTGGAATATTGCTGACCTCAGCCCAGGAGCGATTTTGGAAGGTATTGTCATCGAGGAACTTGCTGCCAAGCAAAAGAGCAGTCGTAAGCATGCGGTAGACCTGAGAGCTTCCCGACTTGTATATATCGGCTGCTGAAAGCATCCGCATCCGACATGCCAAATAGTAAAGTCCTAGAAGAATGGTGGAACTAGGCAGGCGAGTTGAAGAAAGAATTTGCGAGACGTATTTTCGGAATTGGGGAGGGACTGTTGTTCCTGGATAAACACTTCGAGCGAAGTCAATATCTGCAAGTACAATCTTGGAGATATACAAAGCATACATTCCCTGGGCCATTTCCGCCACGAAATCCGACATTTGATCCATCTCGTAATCCAAGTGGGCCGCAACTCCTCCGGTCGGCTTATCCTCATTTGGTCGAGAGTCCTGGTGAATAAGGTTTTCTTGCCGACGATACTGGGGAGGAATCACATTTTCCATCGGAGGAAGCTTCGTGCTTGAACGAATGGGAGGCAGGATAGAAGGGTTCAAAGTACCATACATGGATTGCGGAAGAGCCTGGTGAGAAGCCATCGTTTGAGCAGAACCCAGGTCCCGACCTCCGTGTACGGAGTGTAACGGCTGCGAGTGCGTGGTCATAGGACCATGGCTTTGGTAGCTGGCGGTCTGCGAGTACTTTTCGATAAAATCATAGCCGTTTTGAGGATATCTCATGACTAGGGAGGAATTATTGGGCGGGTAGAAGAGCGTCTCTGATTCGTGACGGCTGCCAATAACATGAGGTGGAGTGGGAGGAAAGGTAGGAAAGGTAGAGGAGAAGAACGACGGCATGATGGAAAGGTAGGCCCGTACAGATCTGCGGCTTGGGGGAAGATTATTAGATTATTAGTCTCCCCCAAAAATTGATTCTTCAATTTCCAGAGGTGTTAAAAACCCAGCATGGACTAACCGGCTATACGACCACCAACGCACAAAGGGTCAAGGGTTTCGTCGACGAACGACGAGCCCTAGGCTCTTCAAACGTCTTCACAAGGTAGAGGGCCCTTTAAAATAGCCGCATTTGAGGCGAATGGATCCAATAACGTGAGTAAATGAAAGGGAGTGAAAACAGTAAGGCCGGCTGATGCTAGCGAGGAAAGTCCAGATAACAGCGTCAATACGAAAAAAGGGACGAGCCTTAATCGAATAGAATTGTTGTAGATTAAAATCTAAATATTTAGAGCCGGTTGGAAGGGAGGGCCATAGCACCAAACCTAAGTTCGGATCTCGGAGAGGAGGAAAATCGAGTGAGGGAGATCGGATGAAGGAGGAACAAAACTCAACGAGGCTTAGTGAAAAGCTCGCAAAAGTGAAGGGAGGTGTCGGAAGAAGGAAGTAGGTGGGTGAGGACGAGGATGAGGTTGACTTTGGATGAGAGATTGAAAGGAGGTCGTGGTGAGGGGGGAGAGGAGAGGATAAGAGATGCGAAGGGGGAGGAGAGATGCGAAGCGGATGAGGTTGGAAGAGATGAGTGAGGTTTGTGTAGTGAGGGCCAGAGGCAAAAGAAGTCCTAAAGGGGAGTCATGATTACCATGGTTACCAAAAAAACGCAATCTATACTGCGTATTACGGCTCCAAGGTATCCGTTTAAATATAGCCGTAATAAACGATTTCAGCGGCTTACAGCCGGAACCCCGTTATTGTCAAGAATAACATTACCACAATTTACCAGCCCGAGGCCAGAACGAGAGGCAGGAAGATGAGTATCAGAATGCCACCCTCTCCTTCGCTTGTTTGATCCCAAGGAAGGTTATTCTTAGACAACGAGAAGACTGCGCCACGAAGTTCCTCGAAACCACAGAACCCCCAAATGGAGACGGACATCGGTCTCGCTCATCCAGTGGGGAACCCTGAAGATGGATGGCCCTGGGTGACGGCGGTGAACCTCTCTTCCCTTTCGGAAGCCTTCACAATATGCGAACAAAATGATGATGGGAGAAATCGTACACAGCCTACGCAAAGGAATCTAGGTAGCCATTATTCAGGAACCGCGTGCCACTCACCCCCTTACGAGGCTTCTTTCGTTGCTGATAAGTTCCACACACCCGTGTGCAAGCAACCCCGAACCCTCTTTTTGTGCTTTAGGCTGGATGCTAAATTTACGACTACGATGATTCTGAACCCAATGAGAGACCCATGCAGTGTCCTGAGAACGAGCACCTGCACAGTCAGAAATTTCATGAGGAGTGATGACAATACTGATACATTACCAGTATGACACTTTGGCAATAGGGTAGGTATTTTTTGGGGGGCCAATTACCTCATAGGAGGTGAAACCAAGTTCAATACACATGTATTACCATTTTTCCACAGAACAACAAAGTTTTCAAGATCTTGGCCTGTTGCAACTTTCCGGTGAGCCTATGTTTTGATACAACTGTTTATGTTTGTTGTCAAGTTTTTGTTGATAACCATAACGGCCAGCGAAATACAACTGACATTGATATTCATTCAGCCAGAAAGTTGCGGTTGCGACGCAAAGGAGCTCTTGTTCTCCTGGAAGAATCGTGGAGGATGAAAGATTCTACGCAGCACCCTAGAACAGTATGAATAATGCCATCTGCCCGCCAGGACAAAAAGAAGAAAAGAAAGTAGGCTGTTTAAAAAAAAAAAAAGGGCCCACTTAAATCATCATCGATCACAAGCGTCGTCGAAAATTGACTAACCGCAGAACGAAAACTCAACACGAAAAATTCCCGCTTAGATGGGGCTTCAGCGAATCTATTGGGACTCAAGACAGGTTTGAACACAAAAAGAAAAGTGGAAATTTATTTTTCTTTGAAATTTCCAGAAATTCCACCAATGCCTCCACACGTAATACACAGCTGGTCTTCCTTGAGCTGCATTCCCCACCTGAGTAATTCCGAGGCGTAGCGGCAAGCACCTCTGTCGAAGAATTCTGCCGTCTCCTGGCCAAGCACGAAAGGAGACCTGGTTATTTCAAACCAGCCAACCAGGAGAATTTTGGGAGGATCCAACCGGTGTTCCCTTTTTTCCTTCTTGTTTGTTTTGTTTGTCTCTGCAGCCAGTCAGATCTTGCCATCAACGGGCGACCATAGAAAAATAAAAAAATGAAAATGAAAATAAATAAAAGAACATCCAAACGTCATCCGTCCATCATGTATTTTTACATCACCCTTTTGCTACGCAACCTGCAGCGCGTTGCGTCCTCAGAATACGTAGAAGGTGTGTCACCTCCAGGCTTCAGCTCTGCCCGCCGCCACCTGGCTCCAGCCTTCGCCCAGGCAGACGGAATCTAGGAATCAAACGGGGGTCCCTTGGTCAGCACAAACATCCATGTGTGCGACTTCGTCCAGGTTCCTCATGAAAGGCAGAGCAGGATCGAGCCCCATTTTCCCGGACGTTCCTTCGATGCTTCTTTTTTAAAAAAAAAAATTGCGTGGCAACTCATACCACCAGTACCCACCAGTATACAATATCGAAGACGGCGATTTATTCAAACATCCCTTCTATTCTTGATAGATCGTGGTCAATAGTTATCCACCCCACAGCATTATTAACTCAACTTCTGCGTGGCTATGATGCCCACTTTCAATGTCTGCCAGGGCACTCTTACAAGGGAGCCTATGAATCCTCTCTGGCTTTCCCCCCCAACCATGAACCCTTCTCTACAGTGTATAGGCTCTCTACAGTCTCAGTTAGAACTAGTGCTCTCTATATTTTAACATTTCTAATTTTAAAATTTAGAAGGGGTCTATTTTTGCATGGAGAGCTCTACGCTGCGTATAAAGAGCTTTGAAGGAGTGAAGAATCTGTTAGTTAAGCAAGTGTGGATATCATGCATGTATTATTTTTTATCAATCCTTAAGAAATCACTTCCCAAGCTATCCTTTAGATACACTTTTGATAATCAGTAGGGAGTGTCGGTATAAGATGGAATTGCCTACATGTGCTCAAACTTTTTCATAGCCTCTCTCTGCTTCTTTGGAACAACAAACGTTCGACAGGTAGTTAGTTGGTGGGGGTGGGGCAAAAACTGAACGGGTATGCATGGGAAAACCGAGTCAAACGTTGATGTGACGCTGAATGAACCATCACAGCCTCCCCCAGGCCTTGAAAAGGGACATGGGTTTCTACATATAGAAATACGTGTAACGACATGCAGCGAGTCATTTCAGTGGACGTCTGCAGCTGTGCATGTGACGATGATGATGATGAGCAATAATCATGATTTATCTTCCCGGGGGCTTTCTGGCAATCACCAGATCAATTCATCTATGAGAGAGTATCATTTATGATTCCTTTTGCCTGTTGCTGTCAGCCGCTGACCCGTCTCCGCTGACATTGGCCTTTTGTGGAGGATTACTCAGTCAAGTACGACTCTACTCAGAAGCCAATGCTAACTATAAATAATAATAATAAATAAAAGCTCAGCCTGAAATATCCATGTTGACGCCAGTCGTGGTAGGTTTGATAAGCACGAATTCAGCTCAAGATATATCTATATATATATATATGTTTTACATATATACCTTGTCTTTTCCTCTTTTGTTACTATATCCGCCGGTAGCGAGGAACTTGACTTCCCGGGAATGGAAATAAGTACATGTGGCCAAGCACTCTCCAGTTCAAGTAGATATGTCTTCCTACTGCATGAAAAATGGAAAAGGGCGAATGCGACTGAATGGTCTGAAAGGGCCCATATGACCGAAGGATGTTTCGTTTGTGGGTGAGTGGCCCGAGCCACTAACTATATATATATATATTAGGTTGCATAATGAGGAGAATCCATATGATAAGTGCGTCAGAAGCAGTTCTTGTCCGTACGTAGCCTTGGATGGAGGGGAAACCCGCTACTTAGAAATTTCCGGTGGGCAAGTATGCAACGATTAAAAAATTCGCCCATTGATCCTCAGAAATATCTCGAGCTCGCTCTGGAAAATTTTTGCTTGATGCTGAAGGACCTTATTATTGGTAAATCATATTGGATATATCAAGCTGGTGGAGAGAATGACTAGGGGACCTGTTCACGTTGGGGTGAGGAGGTGAGGAGAGTGGGGTTGGAGCATCAATGATATATGTAAGTTGTACCAGGGAAGGGAGTGTTGAGACAGGGACTTGCTCATGAGCAACGTTATATCTAGGCCTAGTATGGAGTGTCACATATGATAAAATATTACTTCATCCCCAAAGGCCATACCAATCAACTCGCAATCCCGCAAAGACGCCTTTTTGATACAAGCTTTTTGGCCAGTCCAAAGAGGAAAGTTTCACCACCTTCTTCGAATGAGCGGCTCCAACACCCTAGTTTCTTTTAAGTCAAAATAAAGGCTCCTCCTGGAGCTAAGTCTAATTCCTTTGACTCCATTCCACATTTCATCAGTGGGTGTGATGGCGTTTGATTTTTGTTGAGTTTCTGATCTCAGTAGTGTTTTCCCTCTCATCGCCATCGACAAGGCGGTCGCCAGGAAGCATGACGGCGCGATCGAGTTGGGATGGTAAACCGCGATGGCGGCCGCGTAACATCATGGCGCACATGATCAATTTGCTAAAGACGCTGAATTTTCCGGATAGAGAGGTGTTGATGCCGGGATAACCTAGACTGAGGCCGACGTTTCCACTTGGGTAATTTAGTAAGGAAAGGAGAAATGTTTTTACGAGAAGGGAACAATGAAGGGAAGAAGAACCCGCTGTACTTACTAGCCAGATGTCACTTCGAACAACATCGCGAAAACAGAAAATGCCTGTTATCCATTAGCCCGGAGAACTCTCAATTGAAAGCGAAATTGAAGGAAGGTTAAGGAGAATTTTTCAAGCCGGAAAGAGGCAGAAAAAAGGGGGGAAAATTATACAACTCTCACCGGTTCATTAGGATCCATGATCTTTTTCGACTCGGAAGCGCAGATGCAAAAGAAACCAAGGAAAATATACCATAGATCGAACGTCAGTTGGTTCTTGATATGGGCCAAGATGTAAGTTTTGCCGTTATATTCATCCAACTCACGATCATGTGGGTATATCCCCAACGCCCGTTGTTCATATGTGTTGGACGCGCGCGTTGAGAGTGCGATGGGAAAGATACCGATGTACATCATGACCAATATGCTGACTTGGACAGCGGGATTTACATTTGCCAGGTTGAATGACGCCGTTCCTGTGTGTCGTGTGGACGCTGCTTGGAATAACGAAGCCAGAATTCGCTTTCCCCAGGGTAAATCGTTAACAGCTGGATTGTGGAGGTCCAAAGTTATCATCAGAATTATGTCCACGAAGTTCAGGATAAAAAGGACCGCAAAGAGAGCCCAAGTTGTTCCGCTTGGGAAAAGGTGCGTGTAACATCGACGCGGATGCTTCAGAAGGAAATTGAGCTGCTCCTTCAGCGGTGATGTTTTCGGGACTATTAGGGACATCGTCCAAATTATAAAGCGGAGGAAACAGGGGTAAAATGTGTTTCCGACATAGGCAAGGAAGCTCATGAGGATCATCGGCCATTCCGCATCCCGGAAGGAGATCATCGAGTCGGGAGTAAGTGTGAATCCAAGATTACTTATCATCGTCTGCGATGAATAAAATGCCCTGGAATTGCGTTAAGGGATCTGTTGAAATTTCCACACCTTTTAGTTGAGGAAGCGTACTCACCACCACACAGGGGACTGAGCACACTCTTTTAGATACTTCCGATATTTCGGATCCGAATGTAGGATCCAACCAAGCAAACATACCGCGCCAAAGAGGTGAAGGCCGAAAAAGTATGCTTTATCCGTCAGTTCATTCGTTACACCAACGCAAATAGTAATAGATGTAAATCACCAGTGACGATTTTGAGCAACAATTTCAGACTACGATACTCGATCCCGCCCAACGTTTCTCGATCCTCGGCCGTTAAATTGCGAAACTGAGAATTGGGCCCTAAAGCTGCGTGAGAGGACAACGGTAGATGCAAATGCTCTGAAAGAGAATGTTGAAGCGGCGGTTGTTTTTGCCTCGTACTAGGCCTCCCCTCAAGCACGAAGATAGATGAAGCGACTCTCTCAAGCGTGGTAGTACTAGTAATGCGAGAGCTACCCATTATCTTTCGACGTGCGGGGAGCGATCCTCTAACATTGGAATCGTTTGTCTTCGTGATTTCATCGTCGTCACTAAATATTTCGTCAATTTCTACCATTGGTCTCCCTATTTCTCGCAAATCAGTACTACATATTGTATTTTCATGACATTTTCTGGAAAACGATCTTACCCCTGTCACGCTCCTGCGGAGGCGGCACATATAAGGCTTTTGATTTATCGTAGCCTCTCACATCAGCTGCGAATGATATGCTTCTACCGGTTGGTTCGGCAGTTTGAGCCTGGGGCTTATCTGTTTCGTTCGTATGTTCACCAGTCGATATCCTGAATGGACAGGTTAGCATGGAGCTTGGCAACTGTAGATGCGATCACAGGGCAATCAACTTACACATTTAGGGCAGTAGCATCAGTTATATGCTGATCGTTGCTAGTATATTTCTTCCCATTTTCAAGGGGTTTGTAGGCCTTGGCTTCTACATCGTGACGATGTCGAACCTGAGTGGGAGCTATTCCTAGTTCAGTGCCTGTAGAATACCTTTACTCGGAGAAATCCCAAAGTACGATAATGGGCCATATTACCGATCTCATCGAGTCGTTTTCTGAACCAATGTAAACGCACAAGGACTACTGCAATGTTTATGAATGCATGGTGGGAGATAATGGGAATGACATAAATGAACAGTTGCTGATAGGTTTTCAGATCCTTGACGTCGTAGCTAGATATAAACGTTCATCCTTAGTAAGTCAATTAAATCATGCAACTACATCCATCAAACTAACAAATCGGAGGCAGCGTTGGCTCACGTATTAAGACCAGATTCTGTACAGGACGAGGCGCCGAAGAAATATGCGTCGATTGCTTTCAGATTCCCATAAGGATATAGAACGACCAATGAAGAAATGCTCAGTGTGACAATATAAGCATCTAGTGACAGGTTGACAGAAAGTTAGTCCAAATATCAATGCCATTTCCGGGTCCAGGAATGAGAGCCAGCGACGAACAATGTATGGTGATGAAATTTAGCGGCGGTTTCCACATGGTGGCTATGAAAGGTGTTGTTGGGCCTCCTATTGTTTGACTCGAGAAATTCGAATAGAGGAACGGCTCAGACAACACGGCGCAGACACAGACACAGACACAGACAACGAACGAAAGAGGGAGCGGACAGACCCCCGTAATGAGTGATTTATGTCCGCCATACTGGCTTCCTTTCCCCTCGAGATAGTGCTCTCCTAACTATGAGGGATTTTTGGACGAATCGAAGAAAGGGCTAAAAGTGTTTGGAGCTTCTCAAGTTGTCTCAAACAACAGGAAAGGGGAGTCGAGACTGGGCCGTATTATGTATATCCTTCCATAGCCATCACAGAGTGGACATACCATTTCCAGGCATTGTTGAAGTTGATGATGACTGAGGGGTGTTGCACTGACTTTCTCACGAAGCTTGCTTCTTTAGCTCAGGAGATACTAGCAATTACTAGAAGCGAAGGAAAAATCCGTGGCTATTTTCTCGATTCTGTTAGTGGTCCCTGATAAGCCTAGATTTGAGAAGCATGTCGACACCAATTACGCAATGACTCTTCTCACACGCGTCGACGGGAGGACCCGTGAAAGAAGGGCACGGCATAAGATATCCCAGCCTGTGATGAATGTGCGCAGCTCAGGGAATCAAATGCGACAGCTCCAGCTCTACCCCCTTGTTACAAGGGTGAAGTTCGTTAGCAGCGTTCAGCTGCAAGGGTTCGAGTAGCTGACTGGAGGGAGTTGGGGCACGGCTCACCATGTGGTAGCTAGCTAGCTACATAGCGGCTCAGTCGTTGCGTGTCCAAGCTGTAGAACAACTTCCCAAGCGTGATGCAAAGTGGAAACCCCGCCGAGAGTTCTCATTTCATTTCACCAGAGAGCATAGAGCGCTGGATAGGAGATCCGCCCCCTTATGGTGTATGGGTTGGGAACATGAGCTTAACAGATACAAAAGGGTGAAAATTCACTCACCCAAATGCCGAAATCAGGGGATAGCGAAGGGATTTTATAAATAAATGTATATAATAGTTAGCACAGAGTACGAGCATAAGCATACAAGAAAAAAGTGATTAGCGCGCCTGCTCCACCGAAAAAAAGGCCTTCTTAAGACGCCATCCATCGCAAGAGAAAGTAACAAACTAAAGTCATCCACCCAGCCAGCCAGACTCCATATGTGAAGAAAAGAAAGAGAATCTCTGTTTGAGCGATCCAGACGGACAGAGAAGAAAAAGAAGAAGAAATAGAAAGAAAAAAATCCCCGCAAGTCTCTCATTCTGATTTGATTCCCTTTTCCTCTCTTGGAACATCCGACTTATCATCCGAACCAACTTTATTATCCCAAGCCGAAAAAGCCCAGTGATGATAGTCATTACTATACGAAAACGCCATATTCATTTTCACCGGCCATTTATTTTTCTTTTTCGTCATGGATTCCACGAATAATTTAATTTCAACGGTGCTCTTAGCCCATCCTCCCTTTCGCTTCTCCACCGACTCTTCCACTCCCACTCCCGGACGGCTGCTTCGCGGTAGGCAATCTGGCATTCACGTGGCAGCTCTGCAAGCACCTCGGGACTGGTGTGGAAGAGAGGAGTGTTCCTGCCAAGCGATATACTAATTAACCCATTCGAACCTATATCTCGTACATCCCCATCTGGGCCGGGAAGACCCAACGAGGACTCTGGTGGCGTTTCATAGTATATGTCTTGGATTTCAAAGTTGCGGCTGAAGATAGCAGGTACGGAAGGGAATATTGTGGATGAGGTTTTGGTGGATTTGTCCGTTTCAACTTGGCTGGGAAGGTCATTGGACGTTCGCTCCTTCACATCATCAACTGAGCTTGCTGGTGTCCCATCCGTGACGCCAAGGGCAGCTGTTGAAGCGCTGCTGATGAGCTGTGATCTATCTGCCCGTGTTGATTCTGGCGGTGGGATAATTTCCCATCGAACGTGGGTGGATTGCATGATCCTAGGATATTGCATGATGTTTGTGTGGATGTCGTAGTGGCCATCAAGATTTTCGCGGCGAGCTGCGAGGAGTGTAGAATTGAACCGACTGTAGATTATTGATTAGAATTCGATATTGATAAAAAAATATATGTAAAACGAAGCGGACGAAGGCCGAGCCATGGCAATTTACCTTGCTTCCCTGGCATGCTCAATCATCCAGTTATCCCCCGTTACAATCACCTTCCGTTTCTTGGGATCTACAGTTTTTCCCATTGGCATGGGTACTGAAGGAGCCCCGGAATGATAAACGCTACTTGCACCATGCCAGGCAACATAGCGATTCTTGTCATATGTTTCTCCAGGGCCTGGCAGCTTGTCCTCCGGCACAGCCAATTCACCCTCCACGTCCCCTCGTTCCCTGGCGGCTTGCGCCGAATAGTCATCGATGACCTTGCGTCCCCCAATAATTATCTTGGCTCCAAACTCGCGAAATACTGATCGTGCCGTTACCACACCGATAGCGCGCCCCTTGTATGAATGCGGTATAAGGTCTCTCTCTATCAAATCACGCTTCGCATCGTCGTCAATGATGATCTTAAAAAGCAGCCGGTGCTTCTGAAAAAAAAGATAAGAGTCCCGAAATCCAATACAACGCGCCGGCTCCGTTGACAGCATGTAGAGTCTCTCCCCTTTATTAAGAATCGTAAACGTCCGCACGCGATATTCGCGCCCGCCCAGGAGATTGCCCAGTTTATCGACCTTCGTCTCCCCCTCAGGATCTTCTGGGAGGTCAACCTCATCGTTGATAACATCCATCATATTTCCTTCTTTATCGATCGGGACCTGGGTGACGTGGGAGGGGCCCCCCTTGGCCCGTCCCCATCGTCCACCCGCCGATGGGCGGCCTCGTCCCCTTCGTCGGACGGGAGTACTAACTTCTGACCGTGCTTCGCCAGCTCCATCATCCACCACTGGGGCTCTAATTTTGGGCGGGCGGCCGACCCGGCCACCGCGCTTTCTGGGGATAGCAGACACTCTGCCTGTGCGCATAGGTGTATTTGGCGTGGCTGGCGATGGACCGTCCGATTCTTCCGCTTGTCGTTCCGACTGGGATTCCGCCTCCTGTTCTTCTGTGACGGGAGTTTCATCTTTCTCCTTTGGGGTATCATCATCGGCATCACGAGGAGTGGGTGAGTTTGACGGGGCGGCATCCGGCATTTCTTCGTCGACCTGTTGCGGCGCGGCTCCTGTGAAACAAATATTGCAGGGTGAGAATGATATTCTTATTTTTTCTGTCACGATCGTTTTTTTCTGCAAATTTTTGGGGAAGGGGATACTGACGCAGCGATTGCGCAGCTGCTTGAGCTGCTGCTCTCTGTTTTCGCGCCATAGTGTTGTTGAGCGCAAGGAGATATGCTCAACTATTCAGCACGGGAATAGATAGCTCATCTTTTTGCGCGACTGGACCTCTTAAGTTACAAGTTCTCTCAAAGTTGGTTTTCGGAGCTCTGGTTTCGCCGACATTATGATCACGTGATATACATCGAAATTGTTCATTGTGTGATCACTAGCTAACTACTATGTATATACACTCACGAACATAGGGGTGCATTTGAATTTTCCACTTTTTCAACTGTTTTTCACATAATTTTAACCCTTTAATCTATTCAAAATCATCAAACACTCTCTACAGTCTTCTCATACATGTATTTTGCACAAATTGAGTGATTATAAAACTCTCAATATTCTTCTATCTACTCAAGATTTAAAAAGATTTATCAAGTTCTAGCTTTATCTTGATGATATTAATGTAGAAACAATTCATATATACAGCATAATAGCATGCATGATACAGGACCGGAAACCGTCCATATTAGATACATTATCTCAAATAAAAGGTTATTGCAGCAGAGATGATTTTTCCATATTAGATATTGGTGCTTTGGAGTATCTATTCTTAGATTCTCACGTCTGTGTGTTGGTATCTTAGCTGCGGCCTCTGTCACTTCAAAGTCCTCAAAAGATGAATGCCAATCAATTGTGAGATTAGCTGCTTGGTCTCAAGAGGGCCTAGTCAAATGCAGATAGGCTAATTCCAGACATTGTTGAGTTCAGATATGAGAATGATGCATGAAATGCTCAGTACAGAACATGCTGATTCTTTGATAGCTTAATAGACTCACTCATGCACCCCTCTAAGCATCCCACATCCATAAAATGAGAGGCGCAGCCAAAACATAGACCTTTAACTCAGTAGGATGTTCCAAAGTTGATGTCATAGTAGATTGAGACATATGTCAATTCATCATTGACCGCAAAAGATTGAGCTTTCTCTTGTGCTTCTCCTAATATATCTGGGCTACTATCTCTATGGAAAAATTTGATCCCACAGAGATAGCCATTCCTAGATAAACATTCTGTATAAATGGTAATCCTTGACACTGCTGTGAAGTCTGCCATAGAAAGAAAAGCAACAGTCAGCTCACAAGATCCAGTGAACTTGATGTTAACTGTTTCATACCACATTGCTGGCTGCAAAGTATTGACATCTACATGCTGTTGGAGAGGCCCACTCTGCAGAACACCAAGAACTGATATACAGTTCATCTCTATACTCTGTCCTCATTGTTTCAGTAAAATAGATTGCAAGGAAGAGAAATAAACACTCACTCTAGAAACAGAGGGGCTAATTCTAGATGTACAGAACACCCCCTTTGGAAACACAGCAACACACCAATTTTCCACTGTTGAATCTCTGAAAATAATGCTCCTGCCAAAATTGGTGAAGAACTAAAAATATAAGTAGGAATTGCTAAACAATTGAAGAAAATGAAAATCTCATCTTCATTGCTACACCAGAGTTTACATTTGCCTCTGCACAGGCAAGCACTGTGAAAACCTCTCCTACTTGGAAGTCAACATGAAAAGAGATCTTGGTTGCCAACAGATGTGGGTGGCTGATATTGACCAGACTACTTCCAAATGTAAACTTGAATCCCATAATAGATTGAGTCCACACATCTATGAACACACTTATAGCTTTTGCATCTCCAAAATGCTTATCAACAAAGCTGAAGGATAATACACCATCAAGTGGGTGTCAATTGACTAGAACAGTTGATGTCACACTCTCAGATGGCAATTTGGAGTCCCAGGCAACTGATTGACTTTGAAGTGAATCTGATGTATAAGCAATCGCGTGTACTTTAAAGGCCTAACAATCAATGATTTAGTGATGGAACCAAGAATGATAATAGAAAGGGAATGTACATCAACAGAGATGGCAAGTTCGACAGAATGGCTACTAGACCACTCCATCTGAGCAAACATAAGATGGCCTGAGTCAGGAGCAGAGCCATACCAATTCTGTTCCCAAGCTGATATATTCTTTATCTGCAAGGCTGTAAAGCCTTCACCATCTGATACTAGTCGCAGGCCACTGAACCCTTTCAGAGGGATTGTAATTGACAAATCACCCTCATAGCCTGAGATATTATCATCAAACTGGAAGCCACACATGTAACGTCGGTTGAGAATATCACTGAAATTAACTGATATCCTTGATACAGCATTGAAACAGATGGCCTTCTTCCTTAACTGGCCTGATCTTAGTGTGGAATGGATGACATGGCACTCAGCAAGGTTTATTTCAGTATCTAGCCCAAATAATTGCTGTTCCATCTTTGAAAATATCATCTCAACATTTTCCCACACTGTGCTGTAGTTAACAACATTAGGGAAACAGCTTGGGTGATTATGAAGATTCCAAAGGATTCCCTTTATTTTACTCAAGACCTCTTCATTTGAACCTGTAAGGAATGGCGACCCATAAGCTAGATATTTCCGCCTGAGTATGAACCACTTTCTGGCACCTGGTCCAATCTGTGCCACTTTTTTCAGGTTATTGTGGCGGATGTAAAGCTTGCAAAAACAGAATTTTCTGCCACCCCCTGAAAAGTAGTAGCAAAACACCACAAAAATAATCAAAATATCCATGTATCTCTAGAATCATTCAAATATCATTCAATTCATTCAAATACACATCTTTATCATCAAATACACACCTTTATCATCAAATCTGTCAATATACCCCCTCAGCTCAGCAAATTTACCATCAATGAGATTATACATCTTCTAAATAATGATTATATATCTGCTCAGATTGTACAGATCATTGAGTATCATCTGATCACTGTATATCAAATTCAACAAAATATTCACTGCTTTGAAACTGCTAGAAGTTCTTATTTAATATGAGATGTAAAGTCAAAGATCACATCAGATATCTTATCAGATTTGAAGGATTTTTTTGAGATATATTCAACTACATATTGTGATGAGGCTATCTGCTTTGTGAAGAATGAATTTGATGTTGATATTCACTCTCAATCAATATCTAGATTGTTGAAGAAACTGAATTTGATACAGAAAAAGATGATTAATTATTGTAATTATTACTTATAGAATCTGCTAATTCATCAGTTCTATTTGATATAGATTGAATCTGTGATCACTCAATATAATAAAGAACTTCAAGCTGAATAGTATATTCAAGTTACTCAGTATCAATCTGATCAATTTATATTTTTAGATAAGAGTACTGTGAATGAATATACTGCAAATTAATAATATGAATAGTCAAGTAGAGAATTCTCTTGTTGTATTAGAAGACTCTGTAAACAATCTTACAGATGATTAATCTTATCTGCAATAAATGTCAATAAATATCTTGATTATAATATATATCAGAGATTCTATAATACAGAGAGATTCAATGAGTTTGTACATGTCTGAATACTGCTCAAATATCAACAAGGTTATCACTATCTAGTAATAAATAATTACTCTTTTCATCATTCATAAGCACTGCAAAATCTCTGCAGAGAAGCTGGTATTGAACTTTTATTCTTACTCTTATATTCTTCTGATTATAATTCTATAGAGAAGTTATTTTATATGTTGAAAGAATGAATTAGAAGATACAGATGTCAGTTAGAAAATCAGTTTAATAAAAATTTTGAAGCTTTCTTACATCATACAGTTGAGAACTTTATGAAAGAAGAAGATATAAGAGGATATTTCAGATCTGCTTATATAGAATAGTATTGTAAAATCTAGAAAGATTCAGATTGCAATTTAATTATGATGATATATAATATCTAAATTTCAAATTCAGAAGCAGAAGCAGTATGAGATCTGCTGTCATTACTATAAACAGCAGATAAAGATAATTTAATCTTCTTCAACTGTGACTATCAGATAGAACTCTTTAACTTATCTTTTATTATCAAAAATATATTCATTTCAATATTTAATTGAATCATCTGCTTATTTGTCATTGTCTGTATATAATTCAGTTCAAATTCTTCATTCTAAATAATACTCTTTACAGTTAAAAGAGCTTCTGCTTTTTGAGATCTCTCTATCATCAATCAGTTGAAGAACTCATCAATAAACAGATCTGTGTATTCATCAAACTGAGAAATTAAACTACTTTGAATAGAAGACAGATTTGAATTCAATGACAGATTTGAATTCAATAGCAGATTTGAATTCAACAGCAGATTTTGTGACGGGTTAGCACCCGTTAGTAGTTAACTTACGCAACCAACCCCCTATCGCCCGTTCGCCCTCTCACGTGCTCTCGCGTACCTACGAAACGCCCCTCTCCTCGCGATCCCGCTCCGCGCTCGCGTAGTCTCTAACGATTCCTCCGCGTAACCCCTAACATTCTTCCGCTCCGCGCTCCACTGCAGCGCGACCCCCGATATTCTTCCGTCCCGATCCTCCTTCTATAAGAACCCCCTCGTACGACCCCTTCTTCTGATCTTCTTTCTCTTTCTTTCCTTAATCGATTCGTAAACTGTTACCAGGATAGTGTCAAGTCCGTTGATATTGCCGTTGGAACGGATCGTACGAACTGCGCAGGCGGTACGAACGGTTTAATCTGCAACATCGGTAACATCTGCTTAATCGGTGGCACGCCCGTCACATTACGAATCGATTCATCTGTGTCGGCCCGAGTGCCCCGTGTTTACGATCGCACCTAGGTGCCCAAGTTAAAGTTTAAGAATAAGTTACCCAAGTCCTACGAAGCCGCACCACTGTGATAGTGCTGCGAAGAAGCCCGAGTGCTTAGAAGTCCACAACCGCGTGTCTGTGAAGAGGCCAGAGTGCCTACGAAGTATTTCCTCCAAAAAGAATAAGAACTGAACCTCCTGGTCTCCAAGTTACCAGGACCAAGAACCATGGCCTCGTACGAAAACGAGATGAATTACGAACACCCCTACGAACACCCTTCCGCGGGCGAAAACCGAAACCTCGCAGAAGACAACGCTGAACTCTGTAGCTTCCTCCAGCAGCAATCCCTGCAGATGGCGGAGCTCCAGCGACAACTGAATAACCTGAATACGAATACACCAAGAACCACGCAAGCACCAACACCCCTTATGTACGAAAGAAGAGAACGCCTCCCTCTCCTCGACAAATTCGCGGGAGAACTCTCGACCTACTTAGCCTGGAAATGGAAGGCGAAAGCCAAGCTTGAAGAAGATGGGTCTGTGATAGGCTCTCTGCTCTCGCAAGCTCGCTATGTTCATAGTCGGCTAGAAGGAGATGCTCTAGCCAAGTTCCAACCTTGGATCGAGTCGTGCGCGCACGAGATGTGCACCCCTGAAGAAGTCTTCCGCCAACTAGATGTCCTGTTCTTGGACCCTACACTCCAAGCGCGCGCGATGCAATGGTTGAACAGGAACCGCCAGAGGAACACACCACTGGCGAACTATCTACCCGACTTCGACAGCAAGATACGCGAAGCAGGAGGTCAGGACTGGGACGATGCTGTCAAGATCAACCTCCTGAGCCAGCATATTAGCTTTGAACTGCTCAAGCTCTGCACCTCGCACCTCATGCCCACGCGTTACCATGACTACTGCACCCACTTACGCCAACTCGACAACAACCTCGCACGCTTCCATGCTGTCCAAGGAAGACGTAACAATTATAGGCAGAACTACACGCCTACTAACGCGCCAACTGCACCAGCTGCCCCTGCGGACGCCATGGATTGGACCCCTCATGTGAGCACAGGACGACCAAAGATACCTGGCCTCTCTGGACGAGAAGTTACTGATCGAATCGCCCGAGGCGTCTGCATTCGTTGCAACAAGCCAGGGCACTTCGCAAGCCAGTGCACCAATGCAGTAGTTCCTGCCTCTACGCCGCGAGTGAACACAACTACGCCCACGAATGAACAAGGACAGGGAAAAGAAGAGCTCTCGCCCTAAAACGCGGACGAGAGCTCAAGGAGCAAGAAGCTAGCTGGAGGTTTGAGCAGAAGATGCAAGCGGACGCAATCATGGTCCCTGCCATTGTAAATAGCCTAGTCAACGTACGCGCAATGGTAGACAGTGGTTTCCTTCACTACGCTCTTATAAATACCCAGCTAGTAGAAAAGCATAAGCTCCAGCGTATCCCTTTCCCTGAACCGCGTAAGCTCAGTGGATTCGACGGCCCCAGAGGATCCGCCTCCTACAACATGGTAAGATTTAATGTCGATGTAGGAGGGCACGAGAAAAAGAACGTTTACGCATACGAAGTGCAGGACCTTGAGTACGACTTAATGCTCGGCCTGTCATGGCTTACGGAATTTGGAACCTTGTTAGACGCACGCAACCGTTGTCTTATTTTCCCAGGAAGCGACCGCGTCTATGAGAAGGATGTTGATAGGACTGCTGATCTCACTCAGATATCGGCAGAAGCGTTCAAGCTATTAACCCGCCAAGCGCGCGAGAAGAAGAACGTCCAAGTGTTCGCTGCTAGTATGGCGGATATCAAGAAAGCGTTAGAAAAGCTAGAACCTAAGGACCCCAAGAAGCCCCGCAAGGAACTCCCCGAATCGTATAAGGACTTCGCAGACGTGTTCGATGAAAAGGCGGCCGAAGAGCTCCCCCCCCACCGAGGACGCGGCATAGATCATACGATTGAGCTCATCAAGGAAGATGGCAGGGACCCGCAACCACCCTGGGGTCCTCTCTACAGCATGTCGCGCGATGAGCTCCTCGTCTTACGAAAAACACTCAATGGATTACTGGACAAGGGCTTCATCCGCGTTAGCAATTCACCCGCTGCAGCCCCCGTACTATTCGCGAAGAAACCAGGAGGAGGCTTACGATTCTGTGTCGACTACCGAGGACTTAACAAGATTACGCGAAAGGACCGATATCCTCTCCCGCTCATCAATGAGACACTCGAGCGGATAGGAAAAGCAAAATGGTTTACGAAGCTTGACATCTCCGCGGCCTTCTACAAGATAAGGATTAATGAAGGTGACGAATGGCTAACCGCCTTTCGTACGCGCTACGGACTATACGAATGGACAGTGACCCCCTTTGGACTAGCGAACGCCCCCAGCACGTTTCAGAAATATATCAACTGGGCCCTACGAGACCTGCTCGATGAGATCGCGTCAGCGTACATGGACGACATCCTGATCTTCACCGATGGATCGCTCGCTGAACACCGCAAGCACGTACGACAGGTACTTGACCGTTTACGAGAAGCAGGACTACAAGTGGACATTGACAAGTGCGACTTCGAGACCAAGTCTACGACCTATCTAGGATTCATCATTGAAGCTGAAAAAGGCGTACGAATGGACCCTAAAAAGGTGAAAGCAATCCTCAACTGGGAGGCACCTATCTCGGTAAAAGGGACTAGGAGTTTCCTAGGATTCGCCAACTTCTATCGAAGATTCATCAGGGACTTCTCGGATATCGTACGACCACTAACGGACCTGACACGGAAGGACGCTGTATTCCAATGGACCACTGAAGCGGACGCTGCTTTCAAGAAATTGAAGCATATGTTCACGACCGCCCCGATGCTGCAGTCGTTCGACCCAGATAAGCATACGATTCTCGAGACAGATGCTTCAGGTTATGTAGTAGGTGGAGCACTGATGCAATATGACAATGAAGGTGTTCTACGACCCTGTGCCTTCACCTCAAAGAAGATGTCGCCCGCCGAATGTAACTACGAGATTTACGACAAGGAGCTCCTGGCAATCATACGATGCCTCGAAGAATGGGAATCCGAGCTCATGAGCGTTGAGAAGTTCGAGATCGTCACCGATCATAAGAACTTAGAATACTTTACAACCACTCGCAAGCTCACAGAGAGGCATATGCGCTGGTCACTGTTCCTCAGCCGTTTCTCGTTCGCGATCCGTTACCGACCAGGGGCAGAAAACGCCCTTGCGGATGCCCTATCCCGCAGAGAACAAGATATGCCCTCTGACGACCTAGATGACAGGTGGAAGCACCGAGAACATCGGTTAATCGACCCCGCGATTATAGAAAGTCCCAGGCAATCAGATAGCTCCCGCGTACGCGTTAACCTGTCCCGAGCTCAGGAACCTTCGCTCGAAGAACAATGGAAGCAAGCAGCAGAGGCGGACGAATCCTGGCAACAGGCCGCGGAAGCCGTACGAAGCAAAGCACCTCGATTCCCCGCAGGCGTATACCCAAGAACGGACATCTCAGCATGCTCGATTGACGATGACAACTGCCTACGCTTTCGAGATAGGCGATGGGTCCCTAATTCAGAACCCTTACGAACACGGATCATGCAGGATATCCACGACTCGCCGATGACTGGGCACCCAGGGCGTGAGATCATGTACAGCATCATCGCCCGAGGATTCTACTGGCCGGATATGTCGAAGGATGTACGCCGGTTTGTACGCAATTGCGACCGCTGCGGCTCAGTAACAGCATGGCGTGAGCGCCGAAAAGGAATGCTAAAACCCCTGCCTGTCCCCGAACGAACTTGGCGCGATATAGCTATCGACTTCGCAGTTTCCTTACCTGAGAGCGGTGGTTCTACGAATGTCCTAGTCATTGTCGATCGCCTCAGCAAGGGCGTGATACTGCAGCCCTGTGACAAGATGGATGCTGAAGTCGTTGCGGACGCCTTCGTCAGGAGCCCATTCTATCGCATGCACGGCCTACCTTCGTCCATTGTATCAGATAGAGGCAGTCAGTTCGTGAGCGCACTTTGGACCCGCGTATGCCAGCTACTGAGAATCGAGCGAAAGTTGTCGACAGCGTACCACCCAGAGACCGATGGAGCCACTGAGAGGATGATACAGACAGTTAAGAACATCCTCCGAAAGTTCTGCAACTACGCGCAAGATGACTGGAGCGACCTGCTGCCGCATGCTGAGATTGCCATAAACGGCCGAGATTCTGCTACGACAGGTGTAAGCCCGTTCTTCCTTCTACACGGTTATGATTTAGAGATTCTGGACTTCCCTGAGACCCCCCGAGAAACCACGTACGCCCGCAGTCCCGTACAGGCGGCAGAGAACATAGTCAGCAAGCTCAAGAAAGCCCGCGAGTGGGCCGAAGCTTCGATGGCCAGTGCTCAACAAGACTATGAGGACCAAGCGAACACCAGAAGGAGTCCTGCGACCCGTTACAGCATAGGAGACAAGGTCTGGTTAGATCTCAAGAACATAAGAACGGACCGCCCCTCGCGTACGCTGGACTACCGTCACGCCAAATACACGGTAGTAGAAGTGCTAGGCACCCACGACTATCGACTGGACACCCCGCCTGGCATCCACGATGTCTTTCATACGAACCTGCTCCGACCCGCGGCCGAGGACCCGTTCCCTTCGCAAAAGACCTCCGACTGGCAACCACCTGCCATCGTAGGAGAAGACAATGAACTCGAATGGGAAATTGAAGCAATCCTCGGCGATAGAACCAATCGCCGCCGCCGCGAATACCTTGTCAAATGGGTAGGATACGATCGTCCAACCTGGGAACCCGCGTCCGCCATGGACGACACCGTCGCACTCGACGCCTACGAATCCTCGCTCGCCCCGGTAGGGGGGGATAATGTGACGGGTTAGCACCCGTTAGTAGTTAACTTACGCAACCAACCCCCTATCGCCCGTTCGCCCTCTCACGTGCTCTCGCGTACCTACGAAACGCCCCTCTCCTCGCGATCCCGCTCCGCGCTCGCGTAGTCTCTAACGATTCCTCCGCGTAACCCCTAACATTCTTCCGCTCCGCGCTCCACTGCAGCGCGACCCCCGATATTCTTCCGTCCCGATCCTCCTTCTATAAGAACCCCCTCGTACGACCCCTTCTTCTGATCTTCTTTCTCTTTCTTTCCTTAATCGATTCGTAAACTGTTACCAGGATAGTGTCAAGTCCGTTGATATTGCCGTTGGAACGGATCGTACGAACTGCGCAGGCGGTACGAACGGTTTAATCTGCAACATCGGTAACATCTGCTTAATCGGTGGCACGCCCGTCACAGATTTGAATTTAATAACAGATTTAAATTCAACAGTAGATTTGAATTTGATAGCAGATTTGAATTCAATAATAAGTTTGAATTCAGTTCTCTCATATCTTTCATTTCTTTTATTATATATTTCATCATCATCACATTGATTATCTCACTTGGAGATATAATATTAGATGAAGAAGAAGTTAAGAGAGAAAAGATAACTGCTGATATCTGAAATGTCTGTATAGAAGAATTAGAAGTAGAGATAGATTTGCTTTTTTATTTCTTCTTCTTTTTTCTATTTATTAATTTTTTTATCATCTTTCTTAACAGATTTTTAACTATTGTATGTTTATATTCAATATCATCTATTCAACTGGCAATCTCACTACTCAGAAGTTGAATATAAGTATCATCAAAAGTCATTTAATAAATACTCTGCTCAAAGTTATGACAATTCATCTTTTAATAATATCAGTGAGTAGTTATCTCATACTCAATCTGCAAAGAATTGTGTTTATTTAACTATTGATTTCAAATCTTCTTCAGCTGCTGACTAGTGACTGTGAATCTTGTATATATAGATGACAGTTTTTTGTCATTGAATATTTCATAAATTTAAAAGAATTTGACAGAACAATAGAGAGGGAATTTGACAGATAATGAGATTATCTTTTTTTTGATATCTAATACTTTTTTTAATATCAATATCTGAATTGTTAATTATGAATTCAATATTTCAATGAAAGCTGCAGAACTGTATATTATAGAGATGTTTGAGAATAAAGTTGAGATATTAAGAAGATTAAAAGAGATGATAATCTCAATACTAAATTCACTCATCTTCTTTTTATATAACTTTTTCAAAAGAGTGATAATCTCTCTTCAATCTGTCTTCTTCTCAAGAGTGATTTTGATTGAAAATCTATATTTATTTGATGAGATGACTGCTATACAATTTACAACTTCTATCTTTTTACAGTTCTGTTTTATAATATATTCTTCAGCTATTCTTTTTACAGTATATTAAATATAATAGAAACTGACAGTCATATCATTTGTTGTAACATTCTGTAACTTGATCTTTATAGACTTCTTTATTTCATTGATAATCATTCATTCATACAGTCTGAATAAGATCTTGAGCTCAGAGATAGATATTCACAGAAATCAAAAATCTTCTGACTGTGTCTTCTTCTTCTTCTTCTTCTTCTTCTTCTCATTATCAGTTGAATTCTTGTCATTATCTGAAACATTCAGAATAGACAGTTTAAGCAGATGAAGATGCAGAGTAGTTGAAGTTCTTTTATGAGCTTGTAAGACAGTAGAACAGTGAGTGTTGCAGGATATATTGACAGATTTGATGATAAAGATGTGTATTTGATGATAAAGATGCATATTTGAATGAATTGGATGATATTTGAATGATTCTAGAGATACATGGATATTTTGGTTATTTTTGTGGTGTTTTGCTACTACTTTTCAGGGGGTGGCAGAAAATTCTGTTTTCGCAAGCTTTACATCCGCCACAATAACCACATCCTGATAGCTGTTCAAATGTCTGTAGATAGCTTGGACAATCTTGTGTGGAAGAGCGAATCTGTCAAAAACACCGCTGTTACCATCGATAGAGGTTTTACTCATGGGTTCATTGCCGATGCCCTCTGTGTTATTGGGAATTTCAGGACTTTCTGGAAAGAATATCGGAGTGAAAAATGGTCCCATATCTCTGAGAAGATGGCTGAATCTCTGCAGCCACTCAAAATTGACTGCATGTGTTCCAAGAGCTTTTGTCACAACCAACCAACAGAGTGAATGGGTAATGTCTTTAGTTCCAGCTGGTATGTAATTCTTCGATGGTTTGACAAGGCGGTGCCCGCTCATCACATCTTCCTCGAATTGCAGAGCCTGAAAAGATGCCCTCCATGCTTCCACTCCTACAGAACATGTGGAGTCGATGGTTCTACCACACAAAAGGCAAGGTTGACAGTAACCCATTTCCACCACAGACCATGCAATGTCTCCGTGTTATTGGAGCACGACACCGGAGTAAAACTGTGAAAATGCTGTGTGTCCAATTTCCCACATGTGGTTGATTACGCGGGTGAAAAATAAACCATGCTCAGGGAACAACAACAGAAAGCGCTGCAGTGCGCTAACCAGCTGATATCTCAAGAGTTGCTGAGAATCGAAGTCCAGTATTTGGAATTTTATTGAAAGAAATCACACTGGAGCAAAAGAGCTCAATCACCATCAACTAACTAAATCTCGAGCATGCAACTTAAAATAAAACGTCCCAGCATTCGCAATGGCCTTTTGAAGATCGGAAATCCAACTACTACGTAGGCATACGGTCCCGTATTAGGGTGCCAGGTGTCGGATGGAGGGATTTGTGCACTTAATCAAACAGCAAACAGAAATTTTGATACTATAACGCGGGAGTATGGGAGATTTTGCGGATGAATTAACAAATTAGCCGGGCTTCATGAAGTTGATAGAAGAGGAAAAAAAAATAAAATAAAATAAAAGCCTGCTGTTCCAAACATCATCCTGATGAGTTTGAGTCCCAATTTTTCAAATGTTAATAAGAACTTCGTTGCCAATCCTCATGCGTGAGACTGTGTATTCACATATTTCATAGACCGGGAAAGCTTTATGCTTCCGCCAGGAACTTGTCTGGAACTCACTACCTCCATCTCGCTTTTCCTTCCCTCGCACCCTGCTGGCCCCTCCCCAACTTTTTGTTTTTTGATATTTAGTTTCATGTGATACACTCTTTTCATTCCTAGCTACATATTCCCCCTTTCTTCACTGTCTTCCTCTTTCTTAGTTTCAAAAACAAAAGTGGCTGGTCTTGATTAATGTTCGCATAACGAAAATTCCATATATTCCATCGCCTCGCGCTGCTCTTCAACAACCGCCTTCCTTTCCTCCATAAGTTCTAACCGCAGCGCCGCCGCATCCTCCATCGACATCAGATAGTCGTCCAGATGAGACAAAACTTCACCGGATAGCTCAGGAGGGAGCCGGCCCGTGACGTGTTCCCAAGGCACCTGTTCCTCCCACCAATCGCGCCTCTGGCACGGAACGTTGGCAGAGGAGATGATGCGGATATTGGGGTCGACCAGGAACAGCGCAAGGATTTTCCGGTGGCCGGGCTTGGAAGGGTCTTCGAGCTCGAATGGCGAAACGCGGTGCTGGAGGATGTTGGGGAATGTTAAGAGTCGGCCTTGTTTGCAAACTACGTCGCCGATCTCCTGGATAGCGGGGCCGCCGTTCTCGCATCCGAACACGGCAGATAGCCACTCGTGCCGGTTTTGCTCGTACTGTATCCCTTGGCCGTCTTCCACCTCGCATAACTGGCGGAAGGCAAGGCGGCTTTCTGTGATGTTGTCGCTGTCATAGTAATATAGCGCGGTAGCGCATATGTGTTCATTCTGAAATAGTTTGTCAGTGCCGTATCTGTCGATGTAAAAGAAAGAATGGACCTCCATAAAACGCGAGGATTTTTATTGCATGGCAGTACATACTGACTGCCCTTCAACATGCCATGTACCGCCATGGTATTTGGGCTGTTCCGGGGTAAGATGGATGTTGGCAAGCTTTACAATAACTTGCAGACCAGTGCTTCCATAATCCCGCTGCAGGTTAACGAGAATATCTTCGTTTGGAGGAGAGAATTCAGCGTTTGGCTCAGGGAGTCTAGGTTTTTGAGCCTGTTCTTCCCATTCACTTAGACGGTCGTAATAATCATATTCATTGTCGTAGGATTCCCGTTCAGGTTTTGGAACAGCTGTTACAAAATCGTGATCAACATCCATTTCGCAGGAATCGTATGGTATTCGCACATAGTTTTCGGCCTTCGTGTACCGTAGTGTGTTATTCCACAATGGAACAGCACAAGAGATAACCTGCTCGATCACTCTATATAACTCTTGGTGCCTCTTTGGGTGCAAATTGTTTATATAGCTAGTGATCTTGCACCTATTGAGATTTTGGCCATTTTCGTTAGCGTCCGATGGTGTTGAATTTCGAGTGAATTCCACGTCACAGGGAAGCCACTGGAATTTCTGGCTGTAAGGATTTAGTAGGTGGCCATGCCATCCACCCAAAATTGACAAAGCTTTAAGCTCTTCCTCCGATGGGATTTTAAGAATTTCGCCACATCCTGCTCTAGCGATACCTTCGTGAATTCCTAGAACGCCATCTGTGATAATACGAGTCTGCCCATAAACCACCGGAAACAACGAGGGATGCACTAGGTCAAGGACCTGGTTGTCTGAAAATGGATGGTAATCCTTTTCGTTATCTGGAATATCTTCTAAGTGGGCAGCAGCGGCTTTGAGCGTGTTCCGGAGAGACTCTGAGACTGCAGTATCTGACTTCACAACACCCGCGTCATAGACTAAGACTTGCCCGCTCCTTTCAAAGTGCTCTGCTTTGAATTGCAGCTCATCGATGACCCAATCCATCATTTTATCTGACACATCTATATCCCTATGCGCCATCGCCTCCTCTCTCCATTTGTTGGTGGTGTCTAAAGAAAATATCTAGATATGGATAAAAAATAAACAGCAGCCAACTGTGAGTCAGTCGAGGTTGGGCGAATAGCTTCGTAGCGTCTGTATAGATAAAAGTATAGTGTAGATATCAATGAAAAAAAAACTATGACGAAAATAAACGGGTGAAGGTGTAGGGACAGGGACGGGTTGTGGAGATGTCAATGCACCTTCTTTTCCCAACCAGGCTTGTCAGTTATAGTGTTCATGATCTGAAGCATTGCGAACTCTCGAATAGGGGTAAAGCGTTGCCTTTACCAGCCATGTCAGTTTCATGATCAGAATAAGGTAAGAGCAATTGGTGCCCTGGGGGGAGTGGAGGGGGGATGTAAATACTTAACGTGATCTCCTTCGGAGGTCCGTAGGTCTAATAAAGACGGGAATATACTAGGCCCACTCGACTTCTTTGGCGTATTCGTGACATAGCCTTTAGCAAGAGTTGCCCTCCATGATGCTGCGTGATTCAATTTGATGCCAAATCCAGGAAGCCACAAAGGGTGAGGCTTAAGTTGGACATCCATGGTTTCGGTTGGGGACGTTTTTTTCAAGTTGGTTTTTACGATGATATGATTGTAAATGAACGCCTCGAAAGAAAGAAGTATGAATGCTTGATTCAAGGAAATGGAATAATTCCAAAATCGTTCAAGGCCAATTGGGAGGTGTGTTGCAATGAAATACTTTGTGGAAAAGTGGTGCTGGGGGTGTTGCAGGTACGAGTGCGCGGGGAAGCATCAGTTGCTGGACGCCGCAATCACACCAACCAGGCTCCAGAGCCTCTCCGGTTCTCACCTAGGCAAACAAAAGCGTTTTTGGGCAGAGAATTTGAGTTTTCGGTTTTTGAAGCCCTGGTATCTGCCTACCTTGGCGTCAACTGAAAGGAATTAAAATCATCCAGAGCTTCGAGTCAAAGACTTTGTAAAGACGAGAGTTTCTTCAGAGAAATTGAGAAAGCTGGCATTATTGGCACAGCAGAATTCGAAGAGTATAGTAAAGTTGCCATAATAGTCTTGGATGTCCCAGAAAAGGTTGAGGCGTATGTTACCCCGCTGAAATAGATGTCAATGTGGCCTCATCGGAACCTCTTTCGCCTGAGTTATCGTGGATCTTCCCCGAGGCGAGCTCCTTGTCACGTAGGATGCAGAAAAACGAAAATACGCCATCATATTCACCATGCAATAAACAGTCTAGATCTTCAATTTCCAGTGTGAATGAGTACCAAGAAGATATTTGCTGTGGTTTAAATTACTCATGACTAGGCATTGAAGCGCACGAAAACTCATAAGAATAATGTACTTCGAAACATACATATTGCCCCAAGTAATTATGTGATTTGTGAGGGATTCGAAACCATATTTCTTTTCAATATCTCGAAGCTGCGTGCACAGAGGGAGTATGTAGGTCGCCCAATACATTTCCTGAAGCTCTGTGGTGCTGGAAATCAGGGATAATCAATGTAGCTCTTTCTCCACTTATCATCAAACTCCTGCAGCCAAATCAGTGTCTAGTGGCGAATATATAGATCTCTTTCCTGCTCAGGTGGTGATACGTGAAAGTCTTGATTGTGATTTTAAAATCGCCAAACAGAAAACCCATATGTATGTAACCTCGACGCCCACAGATCAGCAGCGGTTGGAAGTGGCGTTCTCGGAGCCTGAACTGGTTGGCGGCTGAGGCCTGCCCCGTTGTGGCGGGGCGGAGGTTAAGACGCCTAGCACAGTTGTTTGGAGCAGGAGCTGATTATTATTTCATGCAGAATTGCGACTTGGGCTGGGCGAAAATATGGACCCTGCGATGCTGCGTACAGTCACAAAATGAGGGCGGTTAATGCGTAAATGCCATTTAATAAACTATGCCCCAAGCTTTCTCAATGGTTCCAGGGATATATCCAATGAACCGACATATCGCCCAGGCAAGGCGTAACGACAAGCACGATTGGAGCGGGGGCAACAGCTTGAGCCTTGAAGTTGCCAGAAGCAAGCTGGGCCTGGAAGGCTGTTGATCCGCTAGATCATGGCCTGGTAGCTAATCGCCCGACGAGACCCTGAGACCGCTGAGACGAATGACATTTCGTCAATAATCTCACACTCCGCAGCCGGAAAGAATTGGATGCGGATAGTGCGAAGTTTGTTGGTGAAAGCTGCCGTTCTCCTCAGCAATTGATGGGGATTGCTAGGCTCCCAGCTGGCTAGGAATGTGACCTCTGGATCTCTGTCTGATATGGCTTCGTCAGGCTAGCAGCGGCTTATCAGTTGGTAGGACGGAGCTGGATCCGTGGGAGAGACATCGAGGAGGCGCCATCCGGAAGCTCTAACTTAGAAGAGAGGAAGGACGAGGACGAGCAGGCGGAGGAAGAAAAGAGGCTGCAGGTTTGTCGCCTCCCCCTCTTTTCCCTCCACAACAGCAGCAGTTGGCGGGGCCAGTTGGCGGTTGGCGGTAAAAGAAGAGGTTGGAGGTTGGATGTTGGAGGCTGCTCACTTAACTCCCTTCTCTTTCTCCTTTCTCCTCGTGTGCTTGATTGATGCTCGGATAACTCTGCTTCTTCTGCCTTCTGCCTCCTCTTCCTCCTTTTCTTCTTCTGTTTCTTCTTCCTCTTACTCGTCCCATACAACCCCCCCTCTGCTGTCTTCTTCGCTTGCCTAGTTACATGGCCCCCTCTGTTTTTGGATTCTCTGGCTCCCTGATCGTGCCGATGTTCCCCGTGCTGTGAACGTGCATACTAGTTATGAGGAGAGATACCTCTCTTATTCAACAGAGCTTTTCTGGACTTCCCCCTCCCTATTGCCAGACCAGACAGCAACAACTGCATCTACGGCTACAACAATAGCAGCATCATCATCATCACAAGTAACTTGTTTGCCCTTTTCTCGTCGAGGCAGCTGGATAAGGCTGTGTCCAGCCATCCCCGCGTAAACAGTGGTTCCCCCAACCTAGGTACCTAGGCATGTATGTTTCTAACCCCCTCATTTGTTTCCCTTTGCTAGTCAACTTAAAAATAATCACCCCCGAAACTCACCGCCGCCCAACCCCCACCATTTCCATCCTACTGTCCTGGCCCGAGTCTGTTCCGCAGAGTTTGCTAGCTCCAGGACAAGGCGCAATTTTTTCTTCGTTGTTTTTTTTCACCTGCTGCTCACCTTTCCCTTCTTCCATGTTGAGGATTCCCCTTTGATAATTCCCAATCAATTCTTGGTTTGTTTGAATTTCTAAACATACTCATCGTGCATTTGCCTTTTGTTTCTTTCGACATGTAAACTTGTTTTTAATTTTAACATTTTCCCACTCTTTTCTTGAATCTAGAACGAACCGTTTGCACCAATTCAGACCTTCGAAACCTGCGATCGACTCTCGACCCTCCACTCTCCATACATACGCTTGTTTTGAGTGGGTACTACGGCGGCAGCTGACAGCTTTTTAGGTGGAGGGTCAGCTTTGTTGCATGAAACATGGCAGGACAACGGACTCACGCTGATTTACTACGGGAGGCCATGCTGTAAGTCTGGTGCTTTTTGCGGAGGCTCTGGACCATACTGCGCTGGAAAAAAAAAAAAAAAGAAAAAAGGAAAAAAAAAACATAACCTAACCTCTACGCCAATGCCAACGGGCTGTCTCCGTCCTTATTTGAGGAATCGCATCTCTCCCGTGTTGAAATTCCCGCCTTTTATAACCCTGCAATCTCCCTTTCTCTGGCCTTGAGGGGTTTCCTAAGACTTTCCCAGCCTTTCCACCTACATTTGCCCAATGCATTGGGACTGTAGCTAATGTTGAGTAGAGAAAATGATGACGATATAGGCTCTGCAACACCTCCCGATGGGATCTCTGCCACGCCACAACCAGAGTTTACCGACAAGCGTTTCCCAAGCATAATACCGAGCTATTTTCAGGTTCGTGGTTCCGATTCTACTAAAGAACACGATTTTCTTGTATATCCTCAGCTTGATGTGGAGGCGAAGGCTTCCCCTGATAATACCTCGTTATCTGGCTCTGTTGTAATACTTGAGCGAAATCAGTCTTCTGCTCCAGTTCCATCTCAACCTGAAAAACAATCAGATCAGCGAGGAAGAGTAGGGATGGCACCTTCGGACATCAACTGCTTACCCACTCCACCCTTATCTTCTTCCTGCTCGATTTTGCAAAAGGAGGCGGAAGAAGCAGAGAATGGAGCACCTCTGATCGAGAGCGGAATGAGTTCTATCTGCCGCGCAATAAAAAACCTGCTTTCGCAGAATTCCTTGAAGATTGGGCGGCATACATCAGAACCCGTTTCTAGTAACCTCTCAAAGGATCCTGCCCTTGCATCTCATTATTCTAATTCGTCTTCCCCCACTTGCCCCACCCTGTCACCTTCTGCTCACTCATGCACGCTTTCCAATTCTTCTGAGGAACTGGCAAAGCTGACTGCCAATAAACCGCCAAAGAATACACCGCCGTTGACCCCGAGGGCGATGTCAACAAATGAACCTCCCCAACTAGATAGATCCGCTCGTTCCCCTCCTCATGATCATCCTGAAGCGACAAAGTCGGGCGAGCGAACCCCCCAGCCTTCGTCTTCTCGTTCTACTGGCAATACAGTGACTCAAGGGATTCCGGTAGGGTCTCTAAAAGGAAAACTATCCATCAAAATATCGGAGGGACGAGGCCTACGACCAAGTTACGACCCTTACGTTGTGTGCGTCTTCGAATTGAATGAGTACATTTCCAAAGGCGCCCAAACGGGGGAGGGGGATGATGTCGAGACTACGAAGGAAGCAGAGGATACTCTATCCTCAGTACCAATCCAACGATCGAACAGTGACTCTGGGCGCCCAATGGCAATCCCAATGAAAAGTCGACAAAGTAGTAATAACAGTCTGTTGGACAATCATGATCATAAAGAGTCAGGCGTAGTGATGGATCCTCAGTGGAATCATGAAGCTGTTTTGTACGTTTGTTCCTACCTCCCCGTCAATCAAACATTAACTTGAAAAGTCTCCAGCAGAAACCAGAAATGCATTCTTGCTGATCAATCTTAGTGATGTCCTTGGAGACGAATCGGAAATTGAGGTTTCGGTTTATGACAGGTCGAATCATGAAGCGTTTTTAGGTCATGTAAAATTGAGTGCCAGCTTCAAGGAGGATAACCAGTCTATTGAAGGTTGGTATCCGCTAGTGGCTCGCGGTCGGCTCGACGGGCATGTGTCTGGAGAAATACACTTAGAAATGAGCTTTCAGAAAACAGATAAGAAGCAATTTGGGCCAAATGATTTCCAAATCCTAAAACTCATAGGGAAAGGGACGTTTGGACAAGTATATCAAGTGAGGAAGAAGGACACGCAACGAATCTACGCAATGAAAGTCCTCTCCAAAAAGGTGATCATCCAGAAGAAGGAGGTTGCCCATACGCTTGGGGAAAGGAATATCCTGGTTCGAACTGCAATGACGAATTCTCCATTTATAGTGGGCCTCAAATTTTCTTTCCAGACGCCAACTGATTTGTACCTTGTCACGGACTACATGTCGGGAGGGGAGCTATTCTGGCATCTACAAAAGGAAGGCAGATTTCAAGAAGCCAGGGCGAAGTTTTACATTGCTGAGCTGATATTGGCGTTACAACATCTACACGAACATGACATCGTTTATCGGGATCTTAAGCCAGAAAACATTTTACTTGATGCAAATGGCCACATTGCGCTTTGTGATTTTGGACTATCAAAAGCAAACTTGACGAAAAATCAAACGACTAATACGTTTTGTGGTACAACAGAGTATCTTGCCCCTGAAGTCCTCCTAGATGAGCAGGGTTATACGAAAATGGTGGATTTCTGGTCGTTAGGCGTGCTCGTCTTCGAGATGTGCTGTGGGTGGAGCCCCTTCTATGCAGAGGATACGCAGCAGATGTACAAAAACATCGCCTTCGGGAAAGTGAGGTTTCCTCGTGATGCCCTTAGCACTGAGGGACGCAATTTCGTGAAAGGTCTGCTTAATCGAAACCCAAAGCACCGGCTGGGAGCTACGGACGACGCGAAAGAACTCATGGCCCATCCCTTCTTCCATGATGTTGATTGGGTCGCCTTGGCTCGGAAAAATGTGGTCCCTCCCTTCAAACCGAAATTGAAGTCAGTGATGGATACCTCATACTTCGATCCAGAGTTCACAACTGCATTGGACCAAGCGACTTCCCTCAATGCGCGCGCTGCTGCGCTCGCGGCGGGCGCCATGCCAGCGTCAACACCTTTATCTCCGGGCATGCAAGCCAATTTCAGAGGTTTTACTTTTGTCAATGAAAGCTCCATGGACCAGCACATGAGGGATGTTCACATGGAAAGCACGAAATCAGATGATGCCTGGGTGAAACCGGCACAGCCCGCCGTGAGTGGAAGAGATCATCGAATGAGCGGGATCGTAAAGACGAGTGAGCCCACAGAAGGTGGTATTTTTGGGGATGATGACTATCACTTCGATATGTGACCGCTGAACGAAAAACAGAGTTGAGAATATATTAATGAAGATATTCATTGCCATGCACATACTTCTTCTGTCTCTGTATATGATCAGGACGGCTTTCATCCTCTTTTCCTTTGCTTCTTCTTTTATCGTGTTAACGAATTGCATGCGGGAGGCTTTTTAACCCTCGGGAGGTGTTTCTTTTGCTTCTGCAAATGATTATTTATCCCTGTTTATTGTATGAGCCATGAACAAACAATAAAAACACACAGAAAAAGTTTTTCACATTGATTTCTGATTCGACAGCGCCGCACCACTGCCTGTGTGTTAAAACACTTCCGATCAAGACGGGCTTCCAGCGAATTTTTGTTGCTTTGCGTTTTACCTTCATAATTTTTTATCTAACTTCTCTTCTGCACCTCCTATTTTTTCCATTTGTAGGAAATTGCCCTCAGCTTTCAGAATCCTTGCATCGCGTTGCGTCTGATTTGATTGATTGATAGATCGATTGTGAGAAGAGAAAGAAAAGGGCCCCCGGAGGTTGCGCCCAGCGGAAACTTTCATCAACCTTTCACCCCATTTCTTCCTTTTCCATTTTGGCGGAAGGGAGAAAAGGACGCAATCTCCCTGTTTTGTCTGGAGCCCGTGCTTCTCCTCTGCCCCCGCCTCTTCCATACTGCCGCCTGCGTATAGTTTTGCAAAATGATATCACTTTCCACTTTCTGGTTTGCACTTTCCTTCCTTCCTTGACCTTGAGATTTTACTATCTTTGCCTTGATCATTCTATTTTGCCTCGCTGAGATATACTCATCCATTTTCTTTCTTTTCTCTCTTTCTCTTGTGAGCTCCACCCGCCACCTCAACTTACGCGGTCCCTACTTCAATCCTACGATGCATCATTTCTCTTTTATTTATTTTCTATTCTTGCATCTTATGGGTTGTTAAAAAGAACATATTGGCATATCAAAATATTTCGTGTTTTTCTTTTGCTCTGCCTTCTTTTCTTACTTTTTTTCCTCAACGACTTTCCTCTCTCTTTCTGAGAGATTTATATATTACATCACGATATCCTCTGGAGCGGGCATATATATAGCTATATATCTATCGTAAAAAAACGCGGCTTTACCCCCTCGTGGTCTCGAACGCAAATTCATGGCCTACTTGGGGATCTCATGAGAAGGAAAATGCCGCTAGAAAAACATTATGATTTTAACTACGCATTTCTGCCACGTCATACTGTCGTAGTCTCCGCCCGCTCTAACAAGGTTCTTCATCAAAGAAAATGGGGTAATAATCCGTCGTATTCATGAATTTATTCTAAGACTGTACATAGTAGTCAGTAGTTTGTGAGGATTTTCAGCTGTCTCTGCCCAATGCCAAGATGTGCTTCCTATCAAACCATCATTCATTTGCTAATATAAACGCTCATAGCTCCTGTTTATCGGGCGGAACAGAATCCCTCCGCCGCTGACGCTGCTTCTGGGGTTATCGTAGAGTGCGCTTTAGCACTACTAATCTAAGGTGCCCAAGCATTTCTGTTCTTCCTTCTCCTGCAGACGGTAGCGTGGTTGCAGTCCAGGTTTTGACAGTTGCCCAGTGACACTCCATATTTTCCCAGAATACCGTGCTCAAAAGTATCGAATACGAATGAATATCCTTTGTGTACTCTTGGGAGGTGCAGTATGCCTCCCCTGTTGCGGTGAGGTTAGCCGGAAGCAACTTCGTCTGACACGTTCCGTCCGGGAGTCTCCGGGCTGGGAATTTATATGTTGAAAACTTAGATCCTCCTACGATGCCAACACTGTGAATCGTGATGTGGACTGCCTAGTTTCAATAACTATCTCCAACTCGCCCTCAGTCAGCAACCTTCCGTTTTTTTTCAGCACAATGCAGCTGCTCCGCAGGAACTTGTTTCTGGAAGATAAACCTTCCATGATCCCTCAAAATCCCCTGAGACTAAGCTGTCAAACGGAAAACATGGGGGAAAAAAAATTGCATAATCCTTTTCTTATTCTCCAAAGTTGATAGTCGCTTCCTTCACGCCCTGGACTGTTCACTCAACATATATGCACGCCCGAGAATTGGAATACAAAGCATGAGCAAAGGAGATTCCTGCGTTTTCATTGTTAATTCACTCGAGTGCCAAAATACGGCCAATGATGGTCCCGTAGTGTAGTGGTTATCACGGTGGATTTTGATGTACTCTCAACTTCCACTGACCCCGGTTCGAATCCGGGCGGGACCTGACTGCACGCAATCCTTCCGATCTCCCCTAATGACTGACCTCCCTCGATGGCCAGGAATTTCGCTGCTACGTAAAAGCTGTTTATGCAGTAGACTCTGGAACCACAGCTAACGGGAAAGTTTTCTGCTAATCCCATGCATCACTCGATTCCACAGATTCATTGATGATGAAGCGTGAATCCAACAAAGGCCTCAGTGACTCCGCAGAAACCTAAAACTTCAGAACACCTCCGAATAATTCCGCAGAACACATGGATCGATACCCGAAAACCCTCGAAAAATAAATTAAAAAAATAAAAAAATAAAATAAAAAACCTTTTCTTTTCACTCCTGAGAAACTCTCATCCTTCCTTGCCTGTCATTTATGCATGGCACGGTAACACGAGGTTTAGCAACATGATTGGGATGTTAGTGAGGTCTGGTGAGAGACAAGAGAGGACGGTAGAGGCCGCCAGTGACGCCACTAGGAGAGGAAACAGTTTATCACCACAACAAAGCGGCTGGTGATGCACGTCACAGATCGAATCAACAAGGGTCGATTCGTGTTTAGTTTTTTTGCATTTGAGAATGCATCGGGTTCAACGAGCCGCTGCTGTGGCTGGCTCATTACCTGGGTAGCTGAAGAAACATGGCCCGTTCTTGATCCGTCCTAACTTCGATCTCATGAAATTGAAGCGAGATTTTATCCCATCTGGCTGGAGAGGTCACCTTCTTGCTTCTGATTCCAGGTCTCTCTATCATCGACATGTTCTTGGACGCATGGTCTGACCCAAGGGGGTTAGCTGTCTGAGCGCTAACCTTTATCTGGCCAAGTCCTTTAACTTGAATCCTTAGCCCCGATCTGACAGGAGACTCGCAGACATCTGCATTCTCCAAAGTATCGATTCAACCACAAAATGAGCTGACGAAAATCCCCAGGAAGGAAAGAAGCAAAAAATGACGGACAGTATCAACCGCGGAAATCGAAGTCCGCTACTGCGGGAGTACCAATATGGCATCATAACGGGCGCAGCCAGTCACTACCCCTATTTCCTCTCTTGATACCCCCACTGGCTGGTGGCTTTTTAACCTCGCGACCAAAGTTGCTGCTCAAGCGCTAAGAACAAGCTATTTCTCTCTTGGCTTTGCAGTGGGCCTATCGCAAGCTTGTCCAAGGAAATTCGCCGGTTGCGAGAGAACGACTGACGGGCGCCCGGATGATCAAAGGATGAAGAGCGGTAGGTGGACGCTGAATACAGTTCACAGCTCAAAATAATTTTCTAACGATTTCTGTCTCCTCAGACAAAACATACACAGTAGTTTGTTGAACAACGAAGGAGATAGTTGCGAGAATTTCACTCCAAGGATCATCCTGCTTGTGGAGTTGATCGGCAAGGCTTGTCAGATTCCTTCAGTTGCTCGTTTGCCAGCCAACGCTCTTAGCCTGTGTCCATCTGTCCAGCAGTTGTTCGTTTATCACTTGATTTCATCCGTTGAGTTTCCAGTGATCAGGAAACAATCCATTCCCTTTGATTCTTCCTGAGATCCTTTCGTTCATCGGCGCTTCATTCTTTCCCCTGAATAGAACACAATGAACGCAGTTGCAAGTAGACACTCCTCTTTCACAGGAGTGGCCTGCGATGGTGATGATTCATATCGAGGCGTGGCCTCCAGCCGCCAGGCATCTGTGTATCCTGCTCCCATGCAATCCAGGAGCCCTTCTCCCAGTGCATCTTCGACGCAATCTATGCGAAATAATAATTATCCCAACGCGGGAATATACTCGCCTACCGCAGCTGCTCCCTCCGGCAGCTTCATTTTCCGCTCGTTCAAGCCAGCTAATTCAGGCTCCAAAGAACCATTCCTATGCTCAAGGTCATTGCCACAGGAAGTCTATGACTGCATCCTCTCACATCTGCAATGTTCTCACCTAGCTCCCCATTGCCAGGGGTGTATAACATGCTATATGCGAGATTTATATTCCCTAGCATTAACGAGCAGAGCTTGGGAAAAAGCCGTGAGGGGTAAACTGTAAGCGGGCCCAGCATAAAACGGATCGATAATTGCTAAACCTCTTTAGATATAACAAAATCTATATCCAAGGTAACGACTCGCCCGCTCAACTCAAGAAATACAAGTGGAAAAGAGGAAGTAGATTAAGATTGCTGCGACGATCTTTGAGAGAAAGAAAGTTGCTGGCCAATGCAGTGTTTGAGCTTAGGGTGCCTGATCTGGAGACGGCAATGGGGGGAAATGGAAAACAAAGCATTACCGCACAGGAATATCGGGACCTTGTGGCATCAGTCGTGATGGTGTGCCCGAACTTGGAACGCCTAGTCGGACTTTCGTTGCCCTATAACCACGAGTTTGACCGCTTGACACACGCTCTTTCAACGCGAAAGAAACTCAAGGAGCACGCGTGGATCTTTGCGGGCAACCCCGAAACCAGCGAACGGTCAAAGAATCAATCTGCCCAAATTTTAGATAATGAACAAGTTTTCCAGTTCCTCAACTACCACGCTTCATGGTCTAACCTCGACACCCTCATGGTACATTCTTTGGATTCTAGTGGAGTAGTGGGACATGGCATATTCCTACGGATACTCAACTTCCTACCATCCTTACGTCATTTGACAGTTTGCGGTTTCCAAGCTGATGATTTTACACACCGTACATTATTATTTTTGCCTCAGTTGATCTCGCTCCGTCTCGAGAATCTCCCAGGATTGACGCAGCACGGACTGGCCCATTATTCAACTCGTCCAGAGGCTCGCGCCCTCAAGTCATTAACCTTAGTAGAACTGAACATTAGCTCTCTCTTGATAATTTCTAAGATTCTTGCGTCTTTGAGAAGACTCGAACGCTTCAGCATTGTCCAGACCAAGACTGTGCCGATACTTTCTGATGGAGGGATGATATTCCAACCATTACTCGCTTCATCAACCTTGAAGCACCTCCATTGGGATGTGGCATGTTCAGATACGAATGGTTCTCTAACTGATTTTCACTCTTTCCCACCCCTGTCATCGCTCAGCAAATCCAACACGGCAAACTCCCATCTCGCTCAGAGCATCTTGAATTCGGGGTTTCCGTGCTTGGAGTCTCTCCGTGCACCTCATGACGTGGAACCCCTTGGGGCGTTGCAGGCCGTTTGCCGGCCCGCGCGAAACGGCCAGATCATGGTGCCCGCAGACCGCTATTCCCTCCCACGAAGCTCGCATGGTTCAATCCCAAAGCGACCTCTAGCACTCCCAAGTGGAAACAACTTAACTTCGGCGCGCATACGCGGCCAAACACTTATCGACAAGGCTGCTAAAAGCAACGAAACGGGTATTAGGGTTGTTGTTAGTGATCACTCAGGGGCGTTCAAGCTACCAACACCATCCACATTTTCCGACCTTACTTCCGAACCAGGACCGGGTGATACATATGACGTATTGGCCCCATCAACAAATAAAGAATTTATTCCTTCATCTGAGCGAGATTCACATGGCATTACTGTGCATGAATTTACCATTCCATTGTGCATCGGACGAGTGTGCACATCATCAAGCACAACGGTGGCTGCACCGCCCCCCCGTTTTATACTCACCCCTGACATCCCCGGCTCAGACGCTGATGGCGGTTTAATAAGCTGGCGTCATTACTTGTCCTCAAACCAAACGCCAGCATACTTGACCGCTGCAGGAACAAATGCTGCAGCATCATCACCATCTTCCACCGACAGAAGAAATACCGGGTCGAGCATGAATGATGACACATCAACTCCCTCATCGTCCCCATCTTCATCTCTATTCAGCTCCTGGGGCACTGGTGGCAGTTCCGGACACAACAATTCAAATCATAAATTAAGGCAGCCATTATCTCCGCGTACGCCAGACCCCTTGTCTCCGACGTTGCAGATGAGCGGTTCCCAAACTACCACGGGAATCGGTGTCGGCTCTGGCGCTTGGTCAGGCCAGCCGTTTTGGACCACTAGAGAGACCTGCGACGGATCCTGGAATCGGAGGCATAAGTTGGGAAAGGATTGGTGGTGGCATGTCGAGCGTGACAGACCATTAACAAACAATGTCTCGGCAGATATAGTGAGGCTTGAACAATTATTTTGAAGGAAAATTTACATTAATATCGAGGTGGATATATTTTGCATGGTTAATATTCTGGGTTTACCCCTGGCTGCCGAGCATCTCTTGTGCGCTTGCGTTTTCATTTCCACCCGTTTCCATGGCTCCTTTTGGTCCTTTGCTTTGAAAATTGTTTTTGGAATCGCCTCTTTTTAACCCAGAACCGCCGGTTCAGAGTGAGAAATAAACCACTCTATGGAGGTGTGGAACATAAGTCCTTGCGCATGCTAGAAACTTAAGCGGAAATCTCAATATTGGAGCTCAAATGAATCCGGTCCTTACAGCATAACTCTGGGGGCCCTTGTTAACTGGTTTGTACCATGCTTACCGTATAAATTTCTAGCGCATGCAAAGGCTTTATTATGTTCCACACCGTAGTATTCGCCGTTTCCTAGATTCCTGTTGGAAACGTGGATGTATTTCTATGTATTTCATCTCGAAAGACTCATATTTTTCCCTTTTCATTCTCATTGCCTTATTCGGCATTTTGAAATGAAGCTGGCCTTGTTTCTGTCGACATTCTGTATGTAATTCTTGTGATTTTACTATTTGTATCGGGTGTTCTTTGAAAATACGGGTGATCTGCTCCAGCGTCCATGAAGGTGGTGAACATGCACAACGCGCTCAGCAAATTTTTGCGATGACAATACTAGGAGGTCATTTGCTGTTGCTTTCTTGCAAAGATATCGCCCGCATCGCAGGAACTATGTTCAAAATAACCACATAATATGCTTAACACCAGGATTGATCCAATCCGTCCTAAGAACCCTTCGGTTTCAGTGTTGAATTCATTTTGCTATTCTCACACATGAATAACAACAAACTCACCACGGAAAAGAGAGAAGAGGCGTCAGCAAGTGCTGCTCACAGCAAAGGAATAACGATTGTAGATAATAGGGAACAAATAATAATCAAACATAGATGCCTGTGCTTGAATCCTTCTTCTTCGCCATCACCTCAGCAATGGCATCAACGTAATGCTCATGGCCAACCTTATTCATCCCCTTTCGCAAGGCGATCATTCCAGCTTCCACACACACAGCCTTCAACTGCGCACCACCAAACTCATCTGTACTCCGCGCCAGTTCGGCCCAGTTTACGCCGTCGTCGACGGCCATCTTACGGGAATGAATGCGCAAGATCTGAGCGCGAGCTTCCTCGTTCGGGAGAGGGAATTCAATCTTGCGATCCAGACGACCCGAGCGCAAGAGGGCGGGATCAAGCACATCTATACGATTCGTGGCAGCAAGCACCTTGACGCGGTCGTCAGAGGCGAAGCCATCCAGTTGGTTGAGGAGTTCGAGCATAGTTCGCTGGACCTCGCGGTCACCGGACTTTTCCGAGTCGAAGCGTTTTGTACCTATAGCGTCAAGTTCGTCGATAAAGATAATTGACGGAGCCTTTTCTTTGGCTAAGGCAAAGCAGTCACGGACAAGTTTCGCGCCGTCTCCGATGAACATCTGGACAAGCTGGGGCCCGGCGAGTTTGAGGAAGGTGGCGTTTGTTTGAGCAGCACAGGCACGGGCAAGAAGAGTTTTACCTGTGCCGGGCGGGCCATACATGAGGGCTCCTGTTAGAGTCGGTTAGTAGTTAGCCAGGGGTATGTTTTGATGATTAGGGAAGTAAAAATAAAAAGGAATTAATGGAGGGAGAACCTTTTGGTGCTTTAATACCAATCTTCTTGAACCGCTCAGCCTCTTTCATCGGCCATACCACTGCCTCAACAAGCTCCTCGATTTGCTTATCCAATCCTCCAACGTCGGTATACTTCTCTGTTGGCTTCTCGTCAACTTCCATGGCTTTCACCCTACTGTCATATTCAGCTGGTAGAGTGTCCAATACAAGGTATGAATCCTTATTAACACCGATGAGGTCGCCTGGTTTCAACTTCTCATGGTCGACAAGGCCGATGAGGGGGAGGAAGATAGTTTGGCGGGTCGAAGTCTTGATAACAGCAGATTTTCCAACCCGAGTGGCGTCCAGGTCAATATTGGCACCCTCCTCTGCAGCTTCTTTTTCAACATCAAGATCAAGAAGTTCAACAACGTTGCCTACGAGATATGGTAGTTGTCTGTAAAGGCAATGCAAAGACGTTAGGCATGAGTATGAGTCAATCTAATAGCCCCAATTGAATTTGAAGGCAGTTGTGACAAACCAGGCAGACATACCGGTTATTCTCAATCTTATCCATGTTATCCTTTATTTTCTCCTGCATCGTATTCTGTTCATGTGACAAACGCTGGAACTCGCTCTTCATGACTCTCATGTCATTCTCTAGCAGTTTCCGTCGGTTGATGATATCTCTGGTACTTGATCGCAGGATTTCGTCATCTATTAGCACTTCTTCCTCTTCCTCCTTCTTGCATTCTTCTGAATCTTTCATTTCAGCATCACCATCCCGGTCTTGTTTTTTCCCCTTATCATCACCCTGGTCCTTCTTGTCCCTGTCTTCACGCTCAAGATCATCGAGATCCTCCAGAGTTGACATGACTGCGGTGGAGATATAAAAAAATCAGTCTCGGCTAGGAAATTTACAAATTCGTATGTTATACAGAGATCAAGAAACAGTAAGGTGTAGAAACGTGATGGTTAGCAATAGAAGGGAGAGTTGGTTGTAGGTGCTCAGTAGAAGTTGTTGCTCTCTGGAGCTTTACAGATTACATGAGGCCAATGTTGCTATTCCTGATCTGGACTAGCCTCCTGCCATTATGGGTCATGTGATATACAAACAGACTCCATCCTTATTATTTTCAAAGCATACTGATATTCTCAAGAAGAATGCATATTTACGAGGATCCTGTATGTGCTTTTTGTATACAACATATCTAACCAACTATATTTTATTCAATACTTTCTCTCGCCCATACCTAAGCAACCAGTATCGAGACATGAAATCGTCGTGATTCACTATTGAAATGTATTATTAATACAGAGTAAATTGATCAAATATTGAAATAAATGGGTGGATAGAAGCGACACTCACCGTAGCCACCACATATCCTCCGCTTCCCCGAAAATGGCGCCCGACCGTGGAGCATTCTCCAGTTGTCAAATACTGGGTATCAGTTAGCGAATCGTCCAGGAGTAGTGATATCATATAGAACACATGATATGGCTGGCTATAAGGGGCTTACTCATTGGGGAACCTGGATCCAACTGAAACCAATGTTCCATATCCTTCCTCGTAATGATTTCATTCCATTTCCGTGCTGCAGCGTACCATTTGCTTATTTCCTCCGGAGACCCGTTGACCATTGGCCTCCTATCCTCATTATTCCATCGGACTTGATACAGTTCTCCAGTAATCGGGTGATGGTTAAAGACTGGAAACGGACACGCCGGTTGGATACAGACATGCTCATTGCCACTAGCATGCCCATCGACGCCAAATTCTTTCAGAACCTCATAAGCCTCTGGGTCCTCATTGTAGAGGGTCTTAGCAGCCTCAAAGCCATCGACGAGCAGTGACTCTCCACCAGAACCGTTGGTATGGGAGAGCATATGGAACATCTGAAGGCCTGCCGGATCGGTAAAATACGTGGTATCGGTATGGCCGCCAAGACCTTCTGTTGTGTAGGCCATGTCCTTTAGAGAAAGATCGGATGTGAAGTCCCAAAATCCACCTGACAAGGTTGTTTTAGTTTCATATTCCACTCTCATATGGAAGATAATGAGCCGCAAAACCTACCATAGTGTGTTGGTCTGATGAATGCTATTCGTTCCAGGAGCTTCTCCGTAGCTTCAGGGGTTGCCGGGCATCCCTTGACAAAAGAAAAGCCCCACCGGTACTGTTATGGTAGATCGTCAGTACCAAAACCATCCTCGGCGAAATGAGGGAGGCAAACAATTTGATCTGTCCATTTTCGAACGCCATCATCTGATAGCATGACCTCGTCGTACAAGACAGTGGGGTATGTATTAGGATCATTCGAAACAGATTGTTTCTCAGCCCTGGCACCAATGTTAAATAATCAGGCATTTGTAAGAGCCAAGGTGGTAGGAGGGTCTTGAATACCCGAATCTAACAATGTCTGATTCCCCCCTCTGCTTGAGATGATGCTCTGATAACCAGGAATAGCTATAGGTACTGGTATGGCCGTCATTTGCCCCTAGAGAGGAGGTAAGCAGGAATGAAGCATCTAGGAAATGAGCATCATTGACATACATTCAATCTCTAAATAATTGTCCAACTTTCTCACTGTTGATGGATGAATATCTCCGGGTATCTAATGTTCCATTCGGTTAGGATCTTGCAGAAAAGAACAACCATTTTCTTCTCGATGCCAGGGTGCTTTTACCGAAAATGTATCCACAAGCCGTTGCCTCGTGTCAGGATGAATGCATTTCTTGCACTGGCAGTTATCTCTGCGTCTTGGTGAGTATAGTATTCTCACAAGCAACCTGAAAGACACCGACCGACCTTAACCATAGACTCGGCCTAGGTAAATTCTGTCAACAATTTTCAAAGCAAAATGCTTCCAACAGAGCAAAATGATATTTACTTATAGAGTTTCCAGAGTAAAATGATAGCAAATGATCCAATTGGCTTACCATTTGCCCGTAACTCCCCCAGGAAGGTCAACCGAGACAGGTGGATAACCTTGCTCGCTCACAGCGCCGGAATGTTTCGCAGCTCCGGCGAGCGCTGCTGGGTGATGATTGGCAGCAAGGGATGAAAATAATCCCATAGACCCCATACGGGCTCGTCCAGGAAAACTAAGGCCGTAGGAATGCGCCTTTCTAGCAGACCATGATGTGATTGCCTGAAAAGGAGGTCAGCAGTAAATACTTGATAGTTAAACGTTGCGTTGCAGCCGCAGCAAGTCCTCCATTGGTCGGGGAACAGTAACAGATGATCAAAAACAGATGCAGGCGCACGTTATCCGGTGTACACTTACCGGTTGTCCTCTGCATGCTTGATATACAAAGCTGGTGCTTGGAATTCTGAGTTTCCATCGTCAGTTATGCTGCGGGGCACACTAAAAATGGTTCTCACCTTTCGCCTACAACCTGAATGGCTCTTTTGATAGGCACGAAGGAGGAAGAATTCATGGCTGATGTGATTCTACCAATGGCTGCTTCTGTATGTAATTGATGGTGTACTTCATTCGTTGAATGGTAACAAATTGTTGTTTGGGGTTTGTAGCACGTAGCCCTGGAGGCTTTCGACAGCTTTCGTCTTGCCGAGGCGCCTACCAGTAGATATCATCTGTCTGACCCGCCACCCTACAAACTCAAAAACTCCATATTACAAGCTCTCTCTATTGATACAACAAGCTTTTCATATTACAAATGAAACATTGAAATGATATGATTAATTCTGAATCCACCCAACAGGGGGCCGATGCCATTGTACTGAGGGGCCAAAATCAGTAGGTTTAAGACAGATGATATCTACTGGTAGGCGCATGCATTGAGAGTTGAGTTTCAAGTTCAGCGCTTCAGGACGGCACACCAACCTTCTCCTTCAAAAAACCGAACAATGTCATCAATCTCATCAGGAATCTTGCACCAATGACCAAAACCTCCATACGCCTTCCATGTAACATCCATGTCGAGCCTCTTTTGCAGAAAGTCAACCATAGACTGCCCCAGATTCACTGAGACCTTCTCATCTGCTGAACCATAGCCGAGAAATACAGGACTTTGAAAATTGTGTGTTGCAAGGGCAGGCAGCATTGAGAGGTCAAGGATGTCGCGGATGTGGTTGATTGCTTGTAGTTCTGCAGATTTGCTGTCATTATTGTCGGATCCGTCATCGGCTCTCAGTGGAGGAGATTGGGTGAACAGGTCGAATGTGTTATCATCCATGACATCTCCTGCAAAAGGCTGGAAAATATCTTCTAGCTGTCTGTTATATGGCAACCAGCCACTCATTCCCGCAAACCCTCCCACTTGCCTTCTGTTGCAGCCCTTCCATTTCGTTACTATACTCTTCTCCCAAGCCACCAGCAAGAAACGCGAAAACCCCTGCTGAGCACCCTTGACTCAGGCCATCAAGGATGATCGTTCTATATCCATCCCCCCCTTGGCCAACAACTTCCTTTGCCTCTTTGTCAGTCAGTGCACGTCAAAATGTCCGGGCTTGACATAACCCGTCAATCCGAAGCTCTGTTCTCTCGCCCGGATCTTCCAGCCGATCCGACTGGGATTTTAAAATCTTTCCCATTCATACGTTGTGCCATAAAGACTGTGGTGCCGTGATTTTAGGATCTTGGCGGTGGGAATGAATAAAATAGGGACTGAAGCTGAGTGGTGACTCTGGTGAGACTGTCAAGACTTAATTATTTATTTCTGCAGCCTAGGTTAAATATCTCATCAGAGCACGAAACCTACCTGGGCTTACAGCTTACTATTCCCACCAACAATATTGACCAACGCCCGACCATTGCTCAACACAACTTTTCCCTCGCCATTCTTAACCACAAACACAACTTCTTCAAATCCACCTTCGGGCTTCCCCGTCCTCCAAATCTCAGTGATCAGCTTTACCCCGGGGATCACCGGGGACGCAAATCGTGCCTGGAACTCTTTGAGATTCTTCGGGTTACTACCACCCAATGTCTTCAGGATTGCGTGGGCTGCCATGTTCCAGCTGAACAGGCCGTGGATAATGACACCGCCAAAACCCATTTTCTGTCCTGGCTCCGGCGTGGCGTGGAGAGGGTTATAGTCACCATTCAAACTGTGAATTAGAAGAAAAATTTTTAGTGCTTGTAGGGAAAAAAATATGTAAAACGTAAAAAGTAAATTGTTAGACAGAACATACCGGTAGAGCAACGGTGTATTCGCATCTGTCTGGTACTCGTAGACAACATCCGGCTCCTTATCCTTGGGAGGAGGGTAATTCACCGTAGCCGGACCTACATAAGAAACCAACAGCATGAATTATTATCCTTCAGCTGGTAGGTTGTACGTATGCATAACCCGAGCGCTCCTGAACCTTACCCCAGCCCTTTGGCGATTCCCAAAGAAACAAAAGGGGAGGGATCGAGTTTAATCACCTTTCGGGCCACCCCAATTTCCCTGCCCAACGAAGAACCCACTCCCAACAGCCTTGGTATAGATTTCCCCGGTCTCTTTATCGACAATCTGCTGCTCCGTCTCAACGACAGATCCCACCTTTCCTTTATCATAGACGCCAATAACTGAGCTCCGCAGTTCGAACTGGCGGCCCGCACTAGAGACAGGTAGGGGCTTGAGAAAGGTCATTTTGCGCTGTCCGTCAACAACGCGGCGGGAGTCGAAGTTGGGAACACCAGGGATGGCATTTCCAGTTTTCTGCGCGTAGAAGTCGGTTACTTCTTGGTTTGTGAGTTTGAAAGCTGCAGCGGATGGTTTATATCAGTTTGTGCTTCAAAGTCCGGGTTGGATTCCTTTGCTGCATTTTCCTTTCTTTCTTTTTCTTCTTGGGTAAAGCTGGCACATACGGAGGATAATAGGATATGTTGGGAATAGAGTGAAGTTTGGATGTAGTTCCTAATGAACGGAGGATGTTAACAACCAAATATTGCCTGTGTCATCCCTTTTTCCGTTTAAATTCCGACGTGAAAAATATAATTTGAGACAAACGTACATAGAGAAAATGAAGTTCATCTGCCTTTGCCCCAATACTATTTGCGAAGAGAAGTGCGTCTCTTTTGGTCCAGCTCACATCCTGGCTTGGGAACTGATGTCCAACTCCGGGTCCGCTCATGATGATGGATGTACAGTATGAATATAGCCTGGAATAATTGAAAATGTTGGGAGACAAACAGTCAATAATAACGAATCTGGACTTGCAATCTATAATGATAGGAATACAACATTAAAGGAGGAGAGCCTGCGAGTTCTCTCTTAATTTTAAGGGTGATGACTTTCTCCTCCCCCAACATGCAGCTCGGGCTGAGAAATTATGCCGAGGTTGCGGAGAGCTACAGACATCGGTTATTTTTGAAATCGCAAAAATAGAAAAGCTCTAGACGGAGTCTTGGGCATCTACAAGAAAACGAAAGTGCTGAATGAAGCAGTAAGATTAAGCGTCAACTCGGGGTATCTCTAACAAATCGAGGAGCTTGAGAAATCATGTCCTATATATCATTTGCTCCATATAATCGGACGCCACATTATATGCTATTTTCCCCAAAACGCCTGCAGTACCTTTTTTTCGCTCTTTCCCTCTCTACCCTTCCTTGCTCCTATAAGAGTTCGTCACCATTGTCACTTCCTTTTGCCTGACCATAAATAGGCGCATGCAGGCGACGCAATGCTGCTTGTTTGTTTTTGAAGTAACGCCATCTCCGCATTCAGGGCTGAACATATAAGAAAGAAGGGATAAAGAAGCAAAAAAGGTAGAGTATCAAAAAGTCAAACAAAAATTTGAAAGAAGAATCAACGTAAGGAAAATATGCAAAGCATAAATTCTTCGCAGAATAGTAGAATTTTTTTCAAAAGTTGAACGTTTAACACCTGAGACCAGAATTAGTATTTTACTTGTCCAATAATGAGAGGAAAGTATAGAAAGGAAGTGGATGCCATATGCCATACATTTTATACTCACAGCTGCCCTGGGCAGCACGTGTTTCATCTTCTGTCTCAAAGGTGTACGAGATCTTAATGTCCAGATCCCGCTTGTTTTTCTCATTAGGCTTATTGTCCAGGAACCCAGTGACACATTCATTTTCCTCAATTGTAAGGACTTCCCGAATATAGAACACAGTTTGCTTCCAGTGGGTGTACTTGGCGTGGGGTCCAGTGGAAAATCGAATTTTTTTGTGGCAGGCTGTGAAATCGATATCGAACCACGCGATGATCGCGTGGATGAAATCGTTGCGTTTCGCGGTGAGCCTGAAGGGGACGGTGAATACGAGATCAGCAGTGGTGACTGTATATAAATCGAGAGTGAGGACGGGACAAGGGTCGGTGACTAGGGCTTTAAGCTCGACAGTGTCAACGAGGGGTTCTGTCAGAGCCACGTTTTTCATAGGGGAGTAATTGAATCCCCAGACATTATCCCAAACTGTCAAGTAATTGGTTAGAATTAGCCTGTATTTTGCATGAAGGGGCGGAACTCAGTTCAGGACTTTCGTGGGGCAAGCATACATCCGATCTTATCGTCCTTGTATTCACCATCTTCAATACCGGCGAGGTAGACGGTGGCTTTGTCTGGGAAGATCTTGCCGTCGGCAACAAGATAATTGTCGCGAGCATACAGAACAGTGTCAAGCATAGATTCGTAGAGAAGGAAATATCCCATCCATTCGGATATAATGATATCGACTTTTGGGTAGGGGAGTTGCACTTCTTCCATCTTACCCTGCAGAAGGGTGATGTGGTCCGCCATCCCGTTTACTGCCACGATTTCGCGGGCCTTTTCGATGATGGAAGACATATCCACTCCAATAACGTGTTTGGCTCCAGCGCGAACCGCAAACCTGAGAAATTATATAATGCCTTAGAAAGTTTTCAGGAAGATGTTGTGTTGCTTTAGACGGATTTCTTTTCCTTTTCTCTCGCGACATACATGCTGAGAATCCCAGTTCCACATCCCACATCAAGTACTATCTTATCTTTGAAAAGATGCCGGTTTTGGTAGATGGCATCTCTGTATGATCTCGTCCGAACCTCGTCTTTCTAGGCATGGGGAAAAGTACGCAAATTAGTAATGGCTATTTCTTATTTCGTTTAATTTCGAAAACAATAGCAGCGAATACATTTATTGGGATGAAATGCACTTACAAGCATTTCCTCATGAATGCCTTCCCGTTGGGTTTGTTTTGTCAGCTATGCATTTGAGAAGAGGGGTGATGCAGGCGAAAAGGCCAATTTACCATGGTGGTCGTAACTAGTATAGAACGGATTAGATTTCTGTTCGTAAGAAAATGAATTCAAAATGAGGACAAAAAAACCTCGTAAAATAGCGAACTTCCGCGTGGTCCATTCCAGCCATCCTGTCTGCGCTGGACGGCAGTTGAGGGGCTGTGGGTGTGATGTCCATTGGATTTGAAGTTCCGTTCATGATCGACTGCAGGAAGGGAAAGTTAAAAGAATGATTAACACCCAAGGACAAAAGAACGAAACCTAAGGAGGTGGAAGAGAAAAAAAAATCAGGCAGAGAGAGCCTAATAAAGGTAATTGATATCAGGGTTAGCTTGGCAAGCAATCCTTGGGAAAAAAATATTGAACTTTGAGTTTGGATTTTCAGGTGAGGCTCAATGTTTAGGGTTACTAGTCCATAATAAGTTAGCGGCTTGAAGGGTGATTGGCGGAGGATTTGATTCGATGGATAGCTAAATCGCTTAAACGAATGGCTCATCATGGTTACATCGGTCTGTGATGCAAACCATTGGGCAATTAGCTCAGTTGGTAGAGCGTTCGCTTTGCACTCTCCGCATGCGAAAGGTCGTGATTTCGATTATCACATTGTCCAACAATTTTTGACCCTCGGTTTTTTTGGACATATTTTTTTTCTTCGGTTTTCATTATTCGATTTTCTCACTCATTACCCTTATTTTTGTTTTTATTTTCTACTATTTTATTTTTGGAACTCCCGACCCGAGGAGCTTGAATGTTATTACACAGGACTCTTTGATGCGGCTCGTTGAACGAGCACGTAACTGCCTTGCCACTTCCAAATAAACGGGAAACACAATCAAGTATCCGCAACAACCACGGCCATGACGGGGAGTGGGAGGCCATCGTACTGGCGATTATTTGTGTTTACAAGTTTGATATTCTTAATTGGTAGGTCCTCCGCGTCTCTAGGGGACAGGCTCCCGGATTTCAAGGAGTGCGTGACGGTAAGCCTTCTCCGACCCGTAAGCAGCGAAAATAAACAGAAACAGGAAATAGATTGTTAATCACTAATGCTTGGTGCACAAAATAGATATGCAAAACCGAAAATTGCGAAAATGGAAAGACATACATACGTAAGGATATATCTCTTTCGCTCATCTCATATCTATCGCTGACCCTTTTTGGGGCTTTTAATATAGCATTTTACCTCCGCCTCCTCCTCTGGGACTGCCCAGCAGAATGCGACTACACATGCCAACACATCATCACGGACCGACGGGTTAACCGGGACCCGCCAATGCTCGAACCCGTCGTCCAATTCCACGGAAAATGGCCCTTCTACCGAATACTTGGCATGCAAGAACCGTTTTCCGTCCTCTTCTCCTTCATGAATTTCCTCGCTCATCGCCATGGTATGTCGCGCGTTCGAGAGTCGATACCACATTCGTATCCGATGCGCAGGTTTTATCTTGCCTTTGGATATTTCGGCTTGGCTAGTTGGATTTTCAGCATGGTGTTCCATACGCGGGATCTGCCCTTAACTGAAAAGCTCGATTACTACGGTGCAGGCGCAAGTGTGCTATATGGGTTATATCTGTCCGTCGTTCGAATATTCCGCCTCGACCAGACAAGGCCCCGCCAGAAGCCGAAGCTCCTCCGATACTGGACGTTCACCTGTACAGGACTGTTCATTGCGCATGTCTCCTACTTGAGCTTTTGGTCCTGGGACTATACGTATAACATGGCGGCCAATGTGGCTGTTGGAATCGTGCAGAATTCGTTGTGGACATGGTTTAGTATCTCGCGATACCGGAAGTACATGAAATCGTGGACGGCATGGCCTGGAATGATAGTTGCGTGGATTATCGTAGCTATGAGTCTGGAGCTGTTGGACTTTCCGCCTTGGCATGGACTGGTTGATGCCCATAGCCTATGGCATTTAGGGACTGTGGTACCTACTGCTTGGTGGTATTCGTAAGTTTGACCACAATCCCATTTTCATTACTTGACGAGTGTACATTGCGTTCCCTAACTTGAGATTGGTAAACAACTAGGTTTATTGTTAGGGATGCTCTGGATGACATAGCCGGAGAGCGGCTGAAGGCTTGAAATATGTTTCCGCCGTGTGTATTCATCCTTCTTTGTAGCGTTATTCAATTGGGAAGATAGGGGGATTTATAATTTATATAGATATTTTATTCGCGACATTTGCATATATTGTCAACATGCTCTTTAAGTTTTCGTTACAGATATATACAGATATATCTAATTTTTGGAAGTTCATTGGGATGCTTTTTTTTTTTTTCTTTTTTTCTTTTTATAACAAACTCCAGACATGCAAGCAGTTGCTCACTTAACCCTTGGATGTATACTATTCCTCCATTAAGTCACATTTAGCCAAACACAGCAAACTTTCCTCCTCCAAAGCTTGGCGTCCGTGCAGCACCTGACCCGGGTCCCTTGGCAGATCAGCCGCCATTCAGCCACAGTCATCATCTCAAACACAACCCAACCAACCAACCATGCCCGCATTCCCCTCCTTATAAAGCCCCTCGTTCCCACCCACCACCAGCCATCCACGGTGACCCGGCAGATCATTATTTATCCCTCAGTCACCATGGCGTCTCCAATGGTCAAGCAAGCCATTGTCGATGCTGCTGCAGCGTACACCAAGCCTGAGGGCAAGGTGTTTGAGTATGGCACAGCCGGGGTGAGTTTTGCCTGCTTCAGCCTTGCAGCCTCCATATGAATTGTACCCCTATTGATAATTTACCGTACAGTTCCGCCTGAAAGCGTAAGACAAGCCGGTGTTATCTCATTGTTGCTTTAACTTTCCCCAGTTATTTAATCTTTGAATTCTTTTCTTCCCTTTGTTTCCCCAGCAGAAACGCGCAAGTTAGGACACTGCTCATATTTCTATGACAATTCAGGGATATGCTCAATACTGTTGTTTTCGCAGTCGGGCTTTTGGCTGGGCTTCGCTCGAGAAAGCTAAATGGCCAGTATATTGGCGTTATGATCACCGCCAGTCATAACCCGGCGGAAGACAATGGCATTAAGCTTGTGGACCCAATGGTAAGTCCTAATCTTTCCCATGATTTGAGTAAGGGTTGACTCGAAGTACTGACAAACTCATGCTTTTGCTTTATTTAGGGTGAGATGTTAGAGGTAGGTGCCATACCTCATCACGTCTCCTTGTAGATCTGTTGGCTTATTCACCATAAAACCATAACTTTTCAGGCTGATTGGGAAAAATACGCTACCCGATTGGCAAATGCACCCCTTGAGGCTTTGGGAGATGTATACAACAGCCTTATCGACGAGATTGAAGTCAAAATGGAGAACCCTGCTCGCGTAGTTTTCGCCCGGGATACTCGTGCTTCAGGCTCCCGTCTTGTGGGCGTGATTTCTACTGCGCTCAGAGCATCCGAAGTCGAGTTTGAAGATTTCAAATACCTGACCACCCCCCAGCTTCATTACATTGTACGCTGCAAGAATACTCTGGGAACGCCGTATGAATATGGCGAACCTACTGAGAAAGGGTATTACCAGAAACTCAGTGAGGCATTCAAAAAAGTGATGAAAGGACGAACCACTAGCGGGCCAGTGACCGTTGACTGCGCTAATGGCGTCGGAGGCCCTAAACTTAGAGAGCTGATGAAGTATCTGCCCAGTGCTCAGGAAGGTGGTGTGGATATCAACATTGTTAACGACAATGTGATCAATCCTGATAGCCTGAATTATGAGGTAAACTATCTATCCAAATATCCACCATTCTTTTTGTGTACTTTTGGCTGATGTTAATATTTCACGCAGTGCGGTGCAGATTTTGTCAAAACGAAACAACGTGCCCCACCATCGTCTAAGGCCTCGACTCATGACCGCTGCGCTTCATTGGATGGTGATGCAGATCGATTAGTTTACTATTATCTTGACACAGGCAATATTTTCAAACTTCTTGACGGTGACCGAATCGCAACGCTCGCGGCCTCGTTCATTGGAGAGTTAACAAGGAATGCTGGAATAGGACACAAACTCAAGATTGGCGTTGTTCAAACGGCATATGCGAACGGCTCAAGTACTGAGTACATCGAGAAAGTCCTTAAACTCCCAGTTATTTGCACTCCCACTGGCGTAAAGCATCTCCACCATGCCGCGTTAAGATTTGATGTGGGAGTTTATTTTGAAGCCAACGGACACGGAACCGTAACTTTCTCAGAGCACGCGCTCAAGACCATCAAATCCACTGAGCCCCAATCCCCAGCGCAGCAGTATGCCTTGGAAAGTCTTATTGCCCTAACCGAATTGATAAATCAAGCCGTGGGTGACGCACTGTCGGACTTGCTGCTTGTCGAGGTGATCCTAGCACATAAAAGCTGGGGCCTCAAGGAATGGATATCAACCTACACTGATCTCCCATCACGCCTCGTTCGCATTGAGGTAGCTGATAGATCAATATTCAAGACCGTTGATGCGGAACGGAAGCTTGAATCGCCAGCTGGTTTGCAAGGACGTATCGATGCTCTTCAATCAAGATATAATAGGGGCCGGAGTTTTGCCCGTGCCAGCGGGACGGAGGATGCGGTTCGAGTGTATGCTGAGGCTGCGACTCGATCTGAGGCTGATGATCTGGCTACCCGAGTCGCCAGCTCGGTGCAAGACGCTGGCAAGATAGCCAAGACTCTGCAATAGAAAAAGAAAGGAATTGATAACGTAAATGACAAAAAGCAAACTCGGCGTCGAACATACACATAGACAATTGACAATGCATCCCTTTATTCCATACTTCGAATGTGTGTCAATGTCAATTCAGTCGACATGCGAAACCGAGGAAACCGAGACAACAGAGTCTGGAAAATCCAACAACCTTCCAGGATCCCTCAGGGTCCGGATTAAGTATTTGTGACGAACGACAGTTCCTTCGTTTCCTTCATTTCAATATCACAAAACCAGACCCTAATTCACAGCTACTCCTTATACATTGTTTTAATTTGTTTTATTCAACGCTGTAGAGCCATATATTATTGTGTCTCCCATCTGTGTTTTATGTTTTCTTTAGTTACCTTTTTTCTTTTCTTTTTTTTCCCATACTCCTTTCGAGCCATTTACTTTAAGAGGCGATCAGAGATTTGAAAAGCGTCCTGAGAATGATTGAATGAACTGAAAGATTAAATAAATCGGATGGAATTTCAGACATTAGTCTTTCAGTCCCTCTACCCTTTGCATACCCGTGGCAAGTCGAGGATACTTAGTCACAATCGAAAAATGAAGTATTACTATACCAAAGACACACATATATACAAGAGTAGCCAAGCAATGACATAACAAAGAATAAAATTAGACACTGGATTTACTTCTTTTCATCGTAATGACTACCATTAATCTAACCCTATCTACCCTTCCTCACGATCCATTTCATCCCGCCCCCTCTTCGCCCCCTTCGCCGGCCTTCTCCCCTTCAACGTGGCCCCCCTGGAGCCCCTCTTCTCATGTAAATCCTTCATCTCGGTAATCGCATGCCGCTGCGCCTCGCCCACCCTATCACTTAGCACCATCACCTCCTCTTTCTCAACTTTATACTCGTCCAACTTCTTACCCAGCGCATTTTCGATCCGCAGCCAGACCTCAATGTCGTACTGAGTTACAATGCTAAAGGCATGTCCACTCTTACCTGCTCGCGCGGTCCTGCCTACGCGATGGATATACGTCTTGCTGTCTGAGGGTAGATCGAAGTTGAGCACCACGTCAACAGAGGGGATGTCGAGACCGCGTGCGGCGACGTCTGTCGCTACGAGGATGTCGCGGCTGCGTGAGCGGAATTTACTGAGTGCGCCTAGGCGGGAGGACTGCGAGAGCTGGCCGTGGAGCGGGATGGAGCCGAAGCCGAGAGCGCGAAGCAAGATGGCTAGGCGTTGAGTCTCGTTTACTGTCCGGGTAAAGACGATGGCGGATTGGCCTGCGTATTCGTTGAGGAGGTAGACAAGATAGACATCTTTGTATTTGTGGGGAATGAAGAGGTAGCTTTGGAGCAGGGTGGCGACGGTTTGATATTTGTTGCTGGAGATGGAAACGCGGAGCGGGTTGGAGAGGGATGCGCGCTGGAGAGATTCAACTTTTGAGCTCATGGTTGCGGAGAATAGGTATGTGCGGCGTTCACGGGGAAGAACTTTGAGGATTTTGTCAAGGATGGGTCCAAAGTCAAGATCGAGGAGGCGGTCGGCTTCGTCCATCACGAGGTATTTGAGGTTGCGGAGGGAGAAGCCCTTTGTGTTTTCAAGGTGGTCTAGAAGACGGCCTGGTGTTGCGACGATGATGTGAGGTTTCTTCCCCAGTGAAATTGCTTGGGAAACCATGTCCATTCCACCAACGATGACGGCACATCGGACTGAGATAAGGGAGCCGAGCGCCTCGAATGCTTCTGATATTTGGCAGGCTAGTTCTCGGGTGGGAGCTAGTATGAGGCCAAAAAGGGATTGGGGTTTGTTCATCAGAGCTATCGTACACAGGTAATTAGTCAAGGTTCGTCGCTTGGAGGGCTCTCGTAAACGGGTTGAGCTGTTCGCTATTTACCTTGGAGAATAGGCAAAGCAAATGCGGCCGTCTTTCCACTTCCTGTCTCTGCCAGCCCAATGAGATCCCGCCCTTGAAGTGCGAGCGGGATTGATTCTGCTTGAATCGGAGTGGGCGATTTGTAGCCTAAAGCTTCACATGCTTCACATAGTGAATCAATAATTCCTAGATCTTTGAAAGACTTCGTCACAGCCTCTTCTCGCTGCACCTGCGGGCTCTCGTCATCTTGTTCATTAACTGCGGTGAGTTGCTCATCGTGCGATTGCTGTGAGGCTTCTGAACTGGAGGATTCTAGGTCGCTCGCAATGGGGTCTGGCTGAGCTGTGTGGGCAAGTTTCCGCTTCTTCAAGGCCGGCATTTTGTATGATGGATATTAATCCGCAGATAAGTAAGAGTGTCTGGGTCGGTGATGGTGATGGTGATGGTGATTTTCCACCAAAATATTTTTGATAACCCGCAAAATCATTGTTCCGGGCACCTCAAATCTCCCAAAAAAAAAGTTGAGATTCTCAATTAAAAAAAAAAAAAAAAAAGAATCGAGCTTTGATCATGGCGAAAAGGCGCACAAAGAAGCGGACTCACCTCCGTGCTGCAAATGCGAGCAATGCCACTCCTAAAAGTGGCTCCGCGTCAATGCAAAAGTCCCCAAAGAGTATGGTGATTCGGGTCGGTGCTGGAGAAATTGGACCCAGTGTCAGCCAGTTGGTGAAAGACGTGCGGGCCATGATGGAGCCGGATACAGCCAGTCGCTTGAAGGTAAGAATTGACTTTTCAATTTGGGAGATGACAATATCTGTGGTCTTTATCCCATTTTAACATGCACGACTCGCATCGTACAGGAGCGGAAATCGAACAAACTGAAGGACTATACAGTGATGACAGGGCCTTTAGGAGTGACACATCTGCTCTTATTCTCAAAGTCCAGTATAGGAAATACCAGCCTTCGCCTTGCACTTGCTCCTCGTGGACCTACTCTTCACTTTAGGATAGAAAATTATTCCCTATGCAAAGACGTCATCAAGGCGTTAAAACATCCAAAGGGATCGGACAAGCTCCATCGAACTCATCCATTGCTAGTAATGAATAACTTCATGTCTCCGAAAACAGATGATGAAACCCCCTCCTTGAAAGCCGTCCCTAAGCACCTCGAATCCCTTACGACTACTGTTTTCCAGTCTCTTTTCCCCCCTATCTCTCCCCAAACCACACCATTTTCTTCAATTCGTCGCATCATCCTGTTAAATAGGGAACTGTCCCCAGATCAAACAGAGAATGGCTCATATGTCATAAATCTTCGCCATTATGCCATCACCACCAAAAGGATCGGCATACCGAAACGAATACGGCGCCTTGATCCCAAGGAACAACGGCATAGGGACCGAAAGACGGCGGTTCTCCCAAACCTTGGAAAACTAGATGATGTGGCAGATTATCTCCTCGACCCATCAGCTGCTGGATATACCTCTGCTAGCGAAACTGAGCTGGACACTGATGCTGAAGTCGAGGTGATGGAAACAACGGCTAAAAAGGTTCTGAATAAGCGCCAAATACAACGTATGAAGGAGGGCGATAAAAAGCCATCGACTTCATCGGATCCTAATGTCGAAAAAAGGGCAGTGAAATTGGTAGAATTGGGTCCACGGATGAAATTGAAATTGACCAAGGTCGAAGAGGGTTTGTGTAGTGGAAAAGTCTTGTGGCATCATATTCTGACCAAGTCGGAGGAAGAGACTCGACAACTGGATGAGGCCTGGGAGAAGAAGCGCAGGGAGAAAGAGCAGAGACGAAAAGAGCAGAAGGAAGCTATTGAAAGGAAACGGAAAGAAAGAGGCAAGGGGGCAAAGGATGTAGATAAAGAGGGTGAGGATGAGGATCTCGATGAATATTGGGATAGCGAGGATTTCGATGACGTTGATGAAGAGATGGAAGACGCAGCTGATGATGGTTAGAAACTTATATTTTCTGCTTGATGAAGCGTTGTTTTAAACACAACTTTTCCTTTCCTTCCTGTTTGCATTCACCTTGTGGGATGGATAAAGTGGAAATGTTAGGAGTTTTAAAGGAATTCTTCACTATCTTTTCAGGCTTGTAACCCAACTTGGACAAAACAATGATTCCGATTAATTTTCACGGTTTTATAATTTATTGAGCTATTCTTCTCCCACCTGAATCCTTTTGCCTGCTAGTCTTGCACTTCAACCCCGACACCATCTGTGCAATCGGAATTGTATTTCATGACATGAAATAGAGATATACCATTGTAAGGAAATATCTTAAGATTTTGAAGTCCGTAGCTTTTCTTCCACCAGCCTTCCCACCATCTTCTCCAGGATAGCAAAATCACTTCCACCTCCGTGTCCTTCAAAGTAGCATTGAACGCTCTTCTCGACGTACTTACCAACGATATCAATTTCAACGTTGACCTCCTCTCCAGGACGCTTCTTAGCCGTCACAATCTTCTCTTGGGTATAGGCAATCAGCATAATCTCAAACCATCCTGCTTCACCATCCACCACTTTCGTCACCGTTAAACTTGCGCCGTCTAATGTAACATATCCTTTCTCAACAATGTATCTCAACAAGCTTTTGTCCCGTGGCTGGACGCGGAAGGTCAGCGCATTGCCATCTGGCGTGACAGATAATATTTTTGCGACAGTGTCGACATGGCCTTGGACGAAGTGGCCGCCCATCCGTGTCGAGGCAGTGACAGAACGTTCAAGATTGACACAGGACCCTTTTGTGAGGGAGCCTAAGTTCGTGCGGCGTAGGGTTTCCGGAGCGACTCCGACCTTAAAGGAGGATTTGTCGAAGGCGGTTACGGTTAGGCATGTTCCTGTGGGCTGTTGTTAGTGCTCTCCCAGTATCTTCGTTGGCGCAGGGTAATAATATGGTCTGCTTCTTACCATTGACACAGATGCTGTCACCCAGATGGCAGTCCGTAAGTATTTCCTCGCAATTGGATATTGTCAAAGACGTTCCGCCACCGCCACTAGCTGTCTCATCCTGAGCTTCTAGCGACGTGACCGCTTTGGTGCACAGTTAGCGGGGTGAAAGACTGTGGAAGTGGGGGATATAATAATGCTCCTTACTTACCGCCGATCTTCTCAACCAAGCCGGTAAACATGGGCGCTATGTTTAATGCCTTCACAAATGAATCAAATATTGTTTGGCTTTTACCATGGTATCTCCTGGCAGATCGGGTATGTTTCCGGCGCTTGCTGGTTTCTCGGTTGCTTTCAAGCTTTCGGAACCGGGCCGTTGGTGTTTCTTAGTGCTCCGCAATTCTGTAAACAAATAAGTCGAGAAAACAACCTGCACCAATGAACTTTACCAACTGAAATCTGCTTGTGGGTTGAAGTGTACGCTCTCTCTCCTTTCATGATGAAGTCGTATCTGACATTGAGAAGCATCGCGAGGAGATACAACCGTTTGCTATCAAGGAACCATGCTCTGACAACACCGGCTAAATGGCGGAGTTTCGTAACTGCCGCTACGACAACTGCTCAGAGCATTGATAATCTCCCACTTGCGGGCATTCGCGTTTTAGATATGTCACGAGTTCTTGCGGGAGTAAGTTTTTGTCTTTAGTTGTATAAGAATCTATTTGGAGACCCCTATGAATTGACGGCTATTCTGGTGCTTTCTTTCTCAGCCATATTGTACGCAAATACTTGGGGATTTAGGGTAAGCAACCGCACTCTGGAATAATAACATGGCGGAGTAATTGATACTTCACTTGCTCGAAGCTTCAATTTCTTGATTGGCTTTAACGTGCTAACAAAATACCAACCATGTAGTGCGGAAGTCATCAAGATCGAGCACCCAACCCGCGGCGATGACACCAGGGCATGGGGACCCCCTTTCGCCAAATATAAAGTAGACGGCAAAGAGGGACCAGGAGAAAGCGCATATTATCTATCGGTATGTTCAAAAAATTCCACCCCTATTGTCTTGTAAATACGTCCCAGTCCGACTTACCCTCCTGATATGTAGGTAAACCGCAACAAGAAATCTCTGGGGCTGTCTTTCGCCCATCCTTCCGGTGTCGAAATCCTCCATAAGCTCGTGAAGGAGTGTGACATTCTGGTGGAGAACTACATTCCCGGATCACTAAAGAAATACAAAATGGACTACGATACCGTGAAAGTTATCAACCCAAAGTTGATTTACGCAAGTATTACGGGGTATGGGCAGACTGGACCTTATAGCCAACGGGCAGGGTACGATGTCATGGTTGAGGCTGAGATGGGCTTGATGCACATTACTGGTTCTCGAGATGGACCTCCAGTGAAAGTTGGTGTCGCTGTCACGGATCTAACCACGGGACTTTACACGTCCAATGCAATCATGGCGGCATTGCTGGCACGAGCGAAAACTGGGAAGGGCCAACATATCGACGCGTGTTTGAGTGACTGCCAGGTGGCTACGCTATCGAATCTGGCAAGTTCTGCACTGATTAGCGGCGAAAAGGATTCGGGGCGATGGGGAACTGCTCATCGTAAGCACTTCGTTTTTTGTTTCCCCGCTTTGTTAACCGCGTACTCGTACCGAAACTAAAAAATTATCCTTCTAGCTTCCATCGTACCTTATCGTGCATATGAAACGAAAGACGGCGATATACTTCTTGGTGGCGGAAACGACAAACTCTTCGGGCTACTGTGTGACGGATTAGGCCAACCGGAATGGAAAGTAGACGAGCGTTTCGTCAGTAATAACCTTCGAGTAAAGAATAGAGAGGTCTTGGATAAGATGATCGAAAACAAGACAAAACAGAAGACTACTCAGGAGTGGCTCGAGATATTCGAAGGCAGCGGCATGCCATATTCCGCTATCAATGACATCCAGGGGACCCTGAACAACCCACATGGTAAGTTTGCAGGTTTATCTTTACCTTAACCATTATATGGCCTCCGAGAATTAATTGCTGACATGAATAACCAGTGCTGGCCCGAGGGATGGTTGTGGAGATAGAGCATCCGAGCTGCGGACCTATAAAGTTGGTCAACACTCCTGTTAAGTTTTCCGATGCTAAGCCAGGTATAAGAACATCACCACCAATGCTGGGTCAGCATAGCGACGAGGTCCTTCGAGATCTTGTGGGTCTTGGAGAGGACAAGATTGCGCAATTGAAAGAACAGAAAATCGTTGCATAGACACATATATATATATATTATCTTTCAGCGGGCGCAAATTATGGGCTTTTTTTCCGTCATCGCTATCCTATCCATGACAATTTAGATGCAATTTATTCTGCGTTTACGCATTAAGGGAAATAGAGGCTAAATAATCGTCATTTATTTGGAAACGAGATATTGGCAGTGGATTCATGGATACTGAAGACGAAGATATAGAAATGTTTGTTATGTTCAGGTAGTTCTTTAACTGCCGTGTGTGTATATATTCCTCTAAGCATAGAGGTTGGAAGCATATTTGGCTTGATGGTAGTCGGCTGCTTTAAAAAAAAATTAAATGGCAAGTTCTGAGCCCTGTGGAGAAACACATCTGCTGGTTTGTCGTCTTTCGAGATGATGAATTCAAGAATTCAATGATTTACAAGTTTGTCCTTAAGGTTTAAGACATGAAAAGAGTGATATATTCATGCTGACCAAAATATGAAATCATCATCATTCAATTATCGATGTATGTGGTCAGGGGCGACGGCATCTACCTAAAAATCTTCTTAATTATTCAAGTGTAAAAAAAAAGAGTAAAACAGGGAGGTTGGTAGGTCAGGTGTGGACCGAGAGTTGGAGGATCCCGAAGAATATCCATCTTTATCTTATCCCCGTTCCCCATTGAATCCTCCCTGTCGTTCCCGGGAAGTTCCAGAGGAGACTGCTTGTTCAGGTTGAGCCTGGTCTTGAGAATGGCTGTCCTTGTTCTGTTGCAATTGTGTCGCCGTAGAATTCGAAGTTGTGTATATCAAGGTATCAAACCACGATGTGATAACACCAGCAAGATATGCGGCGAACAAACTTGACGTCCCAGCATATGCAGCGCCAGCCACCAACCCTAGAAGCAAGAAGATATATCCGAGAAACGCGAACTGAGGCTTGTGAGTAAACTTTGGCAACTTACCTTTGGACTCGAAAATCTTGATCAGAATCGGGCGCGCCACGAATCTACACACCAAGACGATGCCAACACCAAACCCGATCGAAACAAACAGCGGCCTGAAAACAGTCACAGCCCTAAACGAGTCACCATTCCCGCCAAGGTTTGAGATGATCTGAACCAGCACAAGGCCGATAACGTCATCAAACATCGCAGCACTGGTAGTTACGGTGGAAAGGCGCGAGGTGATCAGCTGCGTTGTTGAAAGGATAGTGAACGTGGTCCTGAGACTTGTCGCGCTGAGAGCTGCACTAGCAGTGAATGCCTGGAGTGGCGTTGCTGAAACCAATTCCATGAGAATAAACGGCAGTCCTATAGGAACACTGATTCCGGTAACAGCAACAGCAAGAGCGAGGTACATATTGGCGCGGAGCGAAGACGGAGGAGTTGACAAGCCGCCCTCATACACGAGCATGATCAATCCCAGGTAGCCGAGTTGCTGAATCACAGTTTCCATGTCGCGGTTGAGCCATTTGGCTCCAGGTGTACCCCACAGGATACCAGTAACCAATTGACCGATCAAGCCACAGTATAGAAGTTTGTCAAGACAGGCGTTGATTAGATTCAAGACCAATAGAAGACCAGCTTGGTTGAGAATAGTGAGAATCGTTGGCTCATGGTAGGTAAACGCTGATTCTGACATTTGAACTCGTCAGAGTGATTTATGCTGATCGACTTGACTGTCAATTAAGGAGCTACCCTGAGCCGTGTCATAACAGCAGTCTTGGTAGTATCGCAGAGGACTCCATCCGAGCCGCGATAAGAATGTAGGATGGAAACACGCGTAATTCTACCACAGAGGGTAGGGAGTGCAATGGAGGCAAATTTGGGTGAAAGCGAGACGAAGATAAGGAGAGATCATTGGGAAAAGTAAACAGTAAACAGTAAACAACAAGAAGATAGTTATGAATCCTTAAGGTGAAGTGTAGCCAGATGCCAACTTTCTATCACGTGACCATAAAGCCAAAATCTGAAGATGGAAAAGGGATGTTATGCATTCTTCAAATACATGGAAACAATGAGTCGGCTTATATCCGTATGACTTCCATTATATTGCAACTATCGCTATGGCACCGCAGGACCAATATCAGCTCCCTGTCACCTGACAAGTCCTAATCCTCCACCTTATCAGGGGAACCGAACCTCTACGTCAACATCTGTATCAATTTCCACGACCACTCTTCAATTTTCTTCTGAAAGATCTGGCACGGCAGATTCTTCTATAGTATATTCTTTCGACATCTCAAAAGATTTCTGCTGCCATTGCGGAACTTCAAGACCGCCAAATAGGAGCTGGATGATTCCGCAAATCTGTGCTAGCAACGGAGCCAATGCGCTCATGAACAGCAACAATAACATGGGAGAGGCTACATGTTCCATCCCCAGCGGATCGAACATAGGAGTGGCTGGTTCCGCAGCTCTGGAATACGGTGAAAATAATGAGAAGGAGTGCGCGAAAGTTGCATTGATTACATCGAGCTCTAGGACGATGGCCTCCACAGATATAATGCTCCAGCAGCAACCCCAACTACCTGCCACTCCAGGCAAAGAAGGTATTCACAGCTCTGTGATATCGAATGGCGATGTTACTCCAACAGCGCCCGATCTAACTGCTGCAAAAAATATTCACCTGAGAAATATTGCTCCTCGCCCGAGTAGTACCCCTCTTGCCACACCAACAGCTGCATCGAAACGGCAGAGGGTGGCGGTAACAACAACTCGTCGTCGTAGAAGTGACCAGAGAGGCTCCAAAAGGCGCAGAACGGGGAGGAATAATAGTATGGATGATGACGACAAGGAAGTCGAAGCCGGTGATTCTAGTTCTGATGGATCCTCCAATGAAGCTACGCCGGTCACCACACAAACCAAGTCGGGTCGACAAATTCATCGGCCGACAGCATTTTGTCCCACACTTCCTGGTGCTGGATCAGGATCGCCAACTGGGCCCGATGCATCATCGTCGTCACAAGCACGGAAGCGAAGACGAGTCTATCGTAAGGGCAAAGAAATGAATATCACATGCAAACATTGTGAGAGAGCCCATAGCTCTGCCGGGAATGCTATTGTGTTTTGTGATGATTGCAATCGTCCCTGGCACCAGTTTTGCCACGATCCTCCGATTGAGAAGGAAGTGGTTACCGTGAAAGAGCTGGAGTGGTTCTGCAAAGAGTGTCAGCCTCCGGCTGATGCTCAGCCAGATGAGATGCCGTGCCCTCAGCAAGCCTCTACTAATAATAGGATAGATACCTCTAATCATCTACCCACTCTCCCATCAGAGATTAAAGTTGGCGGCGCGCAGTTCTCGCTGGAGCAGAAACGAGGATATCTATCCAGTCTTTCCCACTCCCACCTCGTTGACATTCTACTAGACCTTTGCACCTCTGCGCCTGAGTTACCCATCTTCCCCGATAACCTTCCAGACCTACCATCATCCACTCTGCTCCAACCAACAGCACAAGCACCAGCAATACAGACCAACGCAATTGACAGATCATCCCTTATACCCGGCGGGTCCACCCCATCGGCTCCAGCCATCGCTACCCAGGATTCCCTAACAACCCCTCAATCCTCCGCCGCAGGCAACCCGCCCTTACCACCTGCCACCACTGATCCCTCAGCCATCCCAGAGCAGAGTAGTTTAACCGGAAGGGATGACGACGAACTCAGTGACGATGATGAATATATGTATGTAGAAGATCACCGGCTATACCCCAAGGCTGGAAATGGTTTCCGCCTCCCCCCTGACTCAGAGGATCTGGACATGCTCCTTGAAGATCCGGCGTGCACCACATTCAGCCACGCCCTCCACGGCCCGGCAAAGGCAAGGCTACTGGGCTCAGGCGGCTTACCGATCAGTGGTGCAGCTTAAGCTCTTTGGTAAACTTGATTTCCTCCCCTCCATAACAGCTGTTTTCATGATGCATTGTCTTAAGTGGGAGCTCATGAGCTTACATTTTCTAATGCTCGTTTTTCAACTTGTGGCTGTGACTGGTGGGCGCTGGGTTGGCTTGCTGGGAGTAAGCTGGCTTCAAAACTTAATTACCATGAGGGTTTGCTGTACGTGCTTGTGTTTCCGTTTCATTGTGTGTTTCTACCTATAGAACGGGGTGGAAGAATACTTTCATCTTGCACTGGAGCGGCTGTTAACATTAGCCTATATGACTTTCATAGCTTCAACCTAACGATTAGCAAGCGGATATTATAATGCAGCTGATTTGCAATCGAAATATTCAGCAGTATAGTAATAGTAATAGAAAATCAAAAAGAGAGAGAAGGAACTATTCGCCTGAACAAAGTTAAAGAATAGGTACACCCTGGACATAAATATATAATTTAAAAATTATAATTTGAAAAAAAACGAAAAAAACGAGAGAACATGAGACAATCAAGTCATGGGCGCTATCCATTCTATAACTGTACCAATTTGGTTCATCAATGCTCCGAAAAGAAAGGGAAAGAAACAGCAATTGGAAAGCGTACAGGAAAATTCTATGACCTAGAACCAAGTGAAACTAGGCTGATGGGCCTTGTCTCGTTTGACTGAAAATGAAAATTAAAAGTAGTGCAGGGGATTCCCAAAAAAAAAGGGAGAGTCCTTAGTTAGAAAATAGCATCGTAAGTATAGCAGGTAGGTAGGATACAGGAGGAAAAAGAACTAGGCTCAAAAAAAAAAAAAAAAAAAAAAAAGAGAGAGAGAGAGAGCAACGCCAAATACATCTCCGGTGTAGTGAGATGTATGGTTGGGAAAATATCAATCTACACTTTCCGCCTCCGAGCTGAAGGAGCAGTTGCAGTGCCAGTCGATGATGTTACTGTTGTTTTCTCCCCATCGGAATATTCAGGCATGCCGCCGTTGATGAAGAGTCTCTCTTGTTCTTCAAGTTTAGCAGCTGCTTCAAGCACGGCGTCACTGCTATCGGAAGCTTCCCTTTTGGCCGCTGTAGTGGGCTCGTCCGTTTCCACTTTCGTCTTCGTGTCTGGTGCTGGCGCTCTGAATCGCTTCATGACAGTTTCGATCATTCTCCAGAACCAGAAGAAATTCAAGGAGTTGAGGGTGAAGTTGCTGCTGAGGTACGTCACGACAAGCCACAAGGGGACGCTACCAGCCATTGAGTCATCCGCGAATTTGGAAGCTTCTGCATTTGTTGCATTTACTGGGATCCGGGTAGAGCCACCACTGGCTCCTGAATAAACCGTGAAGACGTCGATGAAAACCCGGAAGGACTGCCATGTACCCCAAACAAGGCGACAGCAAAAGAACACCAATAGCAGCATCATTCCATTGTACCATTGTGCCTTACTGCCTGTCATGTTGACTTTATCGAAAAACCAGTGGAAATTGAGAAACGGGCTGGAGAGTTCATAAAGGATGAAAGTTGGGGCGTAGTAGTTTACGAAAGGCCGCTACCAACCAAGATGCCAGGTTAACGCAATTAGTCCAAAATGTATTTTATTGAGAATCCACAAACGAGGGAAGCAAGGAAATGGAGCCAAAAAATAGCGAGGCGCCCATCTAGGGCAAAATTGGTATTTTTCCGAGGTCGAAGAACCTATAGAAGATGGAAGAAAGACGACTTACAAAGCCCAAGCTAAACACCCACAACGCGCTGACGGCATGGAACCAAAGCCCAATACCAAACACACCAATATACCGCGTGCTAACAATCAGGTCCCAAATAAAATATCCCACCGCCATAGCCTGTACCAGGCCACATGTGCCTGAATAGCCACTGACCCTCTCAGATGAAGTCATCGCCTGACGCTCCTTGTCCGCAAACATAACCCAAAGAGCAGCGGCATTAACGAGGCAGCTTTGAACAAGAGAGACTACATGAACATCCCAGTTCAGCTTCGTTCGACGGTTAAAGTGAGGGTAAAATTTGGGGAACAGAGCGGTCGAGAGAAGCGGCGACACCACGGACTGGATGAGCTGGTAGAACGCAAAAAAAAAGATGACCTCATGGATGTGAAGCGTCATGGAATGGAGACCCAACTTCTCTGCAACGGGGAGGATGGCATCTTGCAGCCATTTGGGCGGTGATGGGACGGGGTCCAACATGGAGTACGGCTATGTCCTCTCCACGGTATCCACGCTCTCTATGGCTAAGTTTGGGAGCGAGTACCTTTCCAGGAGCAGTACTATTAGTGACGTGAAAATCTCCAGTTTGAAGGAATGACGAGCTTAAATATCCATCGAGGCAGACGGGACAGGGACAGGGACAGGGACAGAAAGAGAGCCACTGTTAAATCTCAGCCATGCTGCCTGGTCTTGTGGTGGCTGGAGTCTGGTGCCAGCGTCTGATGCTGATAATGGTCTGGCATTCGACGAGTCTCGTGTGGTTGCTGCCACATTTCAGCCGCCTGTCCAGCCAACCGCCTGCCAAGACCGCCAAGGCCCCCAGACTCTGTTGGGAACTCATGTGATTCCGAAGAGCATTGAAAGCAGTTATCAGATACATCATACAACCGAAATCTTTTCATTCGCATGCATACTAGTAATGAGCAACAAAGCACGAACTAACACTAATGATATCGTCTACGGTAGGCAATGAAACACGTCAACAAAAAAGAAAAAAAAAAACGAGGGAAAGAAGTGGAGGGCAAAGAAAATAAAAAAAACAAGAACATCAAAAACAGAGTCTCCTGCCAATTGCCAATGACCAATTGTGGCGATTTCCTCACACATCACAGACATCACGAAGGTAGGCGACTCTCATATGCTCAATACCACATAACTGAACGCTATCACGCCGGAAAAGCAAAGGCAAAAATATTTCAAAAGGAGGGCACATCAACGTAACGGACATAAACAATTAATCAAGAAAAGAAAACAACATATCATCATAATCATCAATAGAAGAAGGAAAAGAGGGCCAAATGCTCGGGTTTCCGCCCAATCAATCGCACTCGCTATAGACCGATTCCTGTGCGAACCCCTTTTCGCTCGCTGAGCCGGGCAATTCGGTTCCTAGGCCGCTGTCACTTTGCGGCATGTAGACTACCATTCCACCGGGATCCACGCCACTTTCATCGTCGTGAGGTTGTGGTTCCAGGAGCTCCGCGCTTGTGAAGCTCTTGGTGTCTAAATCCCGTAGACCATCCCCGTCTTCGTCCGGGCTCTGTTCGCCCTCGCTCCCACTTTCATATTCTTCGACCCAAGTCCCCGGCTCCGCACTCACTAAGCCGTTGGTGGAGCTGCTGTAGCTCGATTGTCTATCTGTCGTCGACATCGTCGTTGCATAGGACATGCTGTCTGTGCAAGTTCCCGTATAGCTGGTCCTCCTTTCTGTTGCAGCATCACTTTCATCTCCGCTAACTTCCTCATCCTCCTCCTTGACCAATTCATTTTCTTTATTGGAAGTGGGGCTCCGACTATCCCACAAAGGCTTAACTACCGGATAACTTGACTTGACTGAATGGCTTCGTTTCAAGTTGGTTAATCCACTCCTTGCCGAAGGGAGCATCTGTCGATCTGTCGACCTTTTGTTACCGGTGACGTTGCTAAGGCTGAGAATTCTCCGCTCTTGCTTCGTGTGTGATGCCACTGCAGATCCCGCAGTGGTTTTCAAAGGGTTTCGTCGCCGCTTCAGAGCCATGCCAACGCCACTACTGAGCACGCTATTCTCTTTGGCGGTACTCGCAACACTTCCACGCGTCACCGTGCTCGCTGAACTCGGAACTCGTTTTAGATTCATGGCCTGAGTGCTACCGGGTCGACTGATCAAAAGGCTTCTCGCATGCTCGAGAACACCTTCGACAATCCTTCGCTCCAGGCCTTCTGCACGGTCCTCCATAAGCTGCATTTCTTCTCTCCGGATACGCAATGCAGTCTCCAGCCCTGCCAATTCTTTATGAAGCTTCAGATTTTCTTTGCTAAGTGCTTCCTTTTCCTCCTTTAGCTCCGTGACCATACGGAAAAGAGATCCCTTTTGGTCATTCAGTTCGACAACCTCTGCCTCTACTCTCTCTTTCTGTGCCAGTCTCTTCTCGAGCGCGAAGGCTACATCTTGAGCCTCTGCATCCTTCTTTGCCTGACTTTCGGTCAATAGAGCTGCTTGAGCCACCATAATTTCACGCAGCTCATTTGCTGTTGACGAAATCTGGTCTTGGATTTGGTCCAGCTTTTCAATTTGAGATATAGATTTGCCAGTAGAGGCAGCGTGGTCAAGAAGAGTGTTCAACTTGTCGTGGACTTGTGTGTCGTCGTACTTTTCCGGGATAACAATCTCTCGAGGCTCCACTGGAGGAGGTGGTGGGGGAAGAGCTGGTAATAAAGGAGGGATGGCTGATGGGATGGCTGAGACGTTTCTTTGGAGTTCCTCGCTAGTCTGTTGCGAGTGGTCATAATGCTTTGAGACCATGGACAAGATATCTTGGATAGTAGTGAGAATTTTTGGATGGGAGTCAGCGAGTTGGCTTTCTAGTCGATTTGTTGCTTCAAGTGCTCGTGTTAATTCTCCCTTGAGATGATCATGCTGTGATTGGACGTCAGAGCGGAGGTCATCCACTTTCGAAAAGGATTCATCGACACGATGGAAAAAGGTCTTAGCATCATCGCTCATCCTCTCACAAGCCTGAGTTACGCTGTCTCCCATGCCACCTATAACGAGCTTGAGATCTTCTGCTATGTTTTTGGTGTTCGTCAAGGTGTCCAGGCTTTGGACATCACGTTGTTCGATAGCAGTGAATTTTGAATCTGCTAGCATCTGCGCGTCTTCGTACTTAGCCAACAACTCAGCAAACTTCTCGTCGATTTTCGTTCCAAGGTCCAACACTATTGCTGCTCGGGCTTCCTCGTGTTTTGCAGACGAGGAAATTTCTCTTTCAGCCGTTTCAATTTTCTCAGCCTCCCGATCACCATGGGATCGGTCAAATTCGCGAGTGATGAGGTCACTAAGCTCCTTGAGGCTTTCAGCGGTAGCGAATGACTCTGACGCATCACTCAACGCTCCCAGAATTGTCTTGATGTCGACAAGGCCTTCATCGCTGTCGGTGAGTTTGCTCTTGAGTTCATCCTTCAAATCAGTGATAAGCTGCTTAGCTTCGTCGATTTTTTCTGCCAATCCACCATGCTCGATCTTTCGGGACTCAAACGCCTGAGCCGTGAGGTCGTTTTCCACCTCCACCTTTTCCTTGAACTCAGTTACCATATGGCAAATGGCACCTATGTCGTCTTTTGTCGGAAGAGTTTCAATGTCGGGCAGAACGAAATCCTCAAGCTGCGATTTGATTTCAAGCAACATCGCCTCGAGGGTTCGCACATCCTCCTTGATCACCTTCTCTGAGGCGTCTTCGGGCTGCGCGGTGTTTGTTTTCAACTCTTCCACAACGACCCAGATATCCTTGACGATGGTTTCAAGATTCTCTAGTTCTGATTTTGATGCACCGTGTGTTTCCACATGAGCAGCAAAGCCATCCAAAATTTCCTTTGTCTCCTTTGCGAGCGCCTCCAGCGCATCAGCCCTATCTGCCGTTATTCCATTCGGGCTACTTGTCTCTACTAGCTCGTCAACCTTGGCTTTCATGTTTACGAGCAGGGTTTCAATGGCTTCAGTATCCTCCTTTTTGGCAGCATTTTCGTCCACTGCGGCCGGGAGGGGTTCACGACTAGCAACTTCGATCACTAGTTCTTGTACTTCTTTAATAGAGTTTAGGACATCCACAAGGTCATTTTTTTCCACAAGATTGGCAAGGTTTTCCGAATCACGTGGTCGGGGTTCAATTGCTTCGACCTTATTCTGGAGCTGAGTAACGAGAACTTTCAGACTTTCAATGTCGCTTCCAATCAAGGATTCGTTCGCAAGCATAACCTCTTGGCCGCGTGCGGTTTGAGTGCCTTCGGCCTCTTTCTGATCATGGCGGAGTTGTTCAATTTCAAACTTGACGCTTGCTAAACCGTCCCTTAGTAAAGTGAAAAGCTCCTCACTTGCGCTTGTGGTTGTCTCCGCTGGCCTATTCATGATCTTTTCCATATCAGAGCGGAGGATATCGATTCCGTCATGGAAGGCATCGAGGAGTTCCCCAGTGTTAGAAAAAACACTCTCATTTCCATCTTTCCTTCTGTTGTGCTCGTCTTGAATTGCTTCAAAACTCTCCCTGAGAATGGAAATTAATTCGTCTCTTTCAAGAGTCGAATTTGGTCTCATAATTGTGAGGGTAAGGGTTTCCCGTAGATGCTCGAATTCCTCTTTAACCATCTGAGAAGTTTCCGAACTGTTGTTTTTTGAAGTATCACTTTCTGCAAGATCGCGGATAGCATCAAGAATTTCATCCTTGTCACTCGAAGCGCTGTTTCTAATCAGCAGGTTGCTCATTGTTTGCCGGAGATGTTCAAACTCTTTTTCCATCGCGTCGAGTAGTTCGATTGTATTAGAATGCCCACCATCAGATGCTCGAGCAGCTTCAACAATGGACTTTTCAAGGTCTGACTGTAACAAGTGGAATCCATCCTTAACAGTATGAATAATCTCATCTTTCCCGGTAACATCTGAAGCACGATCCACATAGGATTCGATTTCGCCTCTGAGAGATTCGAGCCCGTCCTTGATGGCATCCAGCACCTGTTCCGTGTCCCTTCCACTTGCCGCAGAATACTGGCTGAATTCATCCTTTATCTCACCCAATAAGGAATGAAGCTGGTCCAAGAACTGATCACTAATGTTGTTATGCAACGACCCGGAAACTTCACCGAACCCGGCCTTTATGGCATCTGCAATATCTTCTCGATTGAATTCAATCTCTTTGGAAATACCGTCGTGAGAAGCTAATCCCTCTTTGACTGCGTTTAAAACATCGTCGCGGTTGATTGCAGCTTCTCTATCAAGCACAGCAGGAGGAACTGGCCACTCAAAACTCTCTAAACAATCCCTTATTGTCGCTGTTATTTCTTCCCTTGTTATTGCTCCGTCATGCTCAATACGTGGTGGTGTGAAAGTTTCTAAACCCTGTTGGACAGCTTCGACAACTTCGTTATAGGTGATACCTGGTTCGGCTGGCTCTTTTGGAGGCTGGTACGCCTTCAAGCCTTCAGTCAAACATTCCAAAATCTCATCCCTCTCAAGGCCAAAGTTTTGAAGCTCAATCTCGGGCTTGTACGTCTCCCAGGCCTCCCGAACGGCTTCAAGGATCTCCTCCCTTTCTAAGACTGATCCGGTTATCTGAGGCGGGGCAGGTTCCGGCAGAGGATGATCTTCGAGCGCTTTCTTAACAGCCATATATGCTTCCTGACTGTCGATCGCGCGAGGAATTGTCGATGATAACCGATGTTGGTTTTCATTTATCACCTGTTCCATATGCACCCTCAGGTCCATTAAAGCACTATTGACAATATGTGCGACTTCCTCCGCCCTGGCGCCTGGTGGTATTGCTTGGTCTGATGCATGTTCTGCATCGGCTTCTTCTAATTTCCGCGCGATCTCTCGTCCCATTCCCAAAACCTCGCCTCTAAGTTCTCGCACGAGCGCTTTGACCTCGTTCGTTAAACCACCACCGTCGGCAACACTGCTTTTCACCTTGTTGAGGATGGTTAAAATCTCCCTAGAGACGGTGTCAGTAGCTTGGGTTGTGGAACCACTATCCAAGCTCCGGTTTTTGTTTCGGTTAGGAGTCTCCGCCTCAGTATTACGGCACAAAGGACCCGACCGTGGTGCTTCATAATCAAGTTCTAGGGACGGGGGTTTGTCGCCACTGCCATTTGCTCCAGGCCCATGTCTTGAAGGTACAAGGGCGTGGTTGGTAGAATTTTGCTTGATTAGGTTGAGGATCTCTTCGAGCATTCGGGACATGGCATTGTCGGTACTCTGTGCCCCACTAGGTCTAGATTTTACTTCATCCATCAGCTTGAGCAGCTTCTCCTGACCTTCTTTTGTGGCCATCTCACGCAAAACCTTTTCGAGCAGCGCGATGCTTGCAGAGCCATCCGTGGAGATGGAGGGTGAGGCAGTTAATTCCCTTTCTATCGTGGCTGCGAAGCTATTAGGACTTTGCATCCGAGGGAGTGTATAACTTTTCCTGGAACAAGGAGAAGTTGCATCATGGGCCTTGCTATCGAGCATGAATCCCGCAGAACCAGAATGGCCATAAAGGCCAGTAGATTGTGACGATTCATTTTCGAGCAATTTGCCAGTCAAGTTTGTTGCCAGGTCTTTGAGACTTCGCCGTATATCTTCATCTCGTGCATTTGTTGCAGCCTTGAGACTTAGTAGGTCGGTGGCATTATCTTTACTGCGTCTGCTTAATTGTGACATCTCTTGTTGCAAGGCTGTCGCGATAGAAGTCAAACTCGAAATTTGGCTAGACAGTGAACTAAAATCTTGAGGCTGTGGTGATGGAGTGTAGTTGCTGGCGCCCTTGGTAGGGGAATCTATCTCGATTGGGAGCTGCATGTTCTGCAAAGCAAGCATTGTAGCAGACGGAGGAGTGTTCTCCCCAAGGATTGGCTTAGACAGATAGCGGCTCGACGCACGGAAATTGGAAGGATCTTTTCCAGCGGAAGTAGGGGTCTTTACGCGAGATGGGCTTTTCTCTCGCGTTCGTCCCCCATCAGCATCAAATGGGCTTGACCTGGAATTTCTCTCGGGAGAGCGTCGTTCTATGTAAGGTGTGAGCTCTCGGCTGTTTATTGCCGGCTGAAGTGATTGTATGCGCTTATGGAATTGTCCTTTGACCAGAGATTTTTCTGGCGATGACTTGAGTACCATAGGATTGACCGTGTAAGAGCTTGGAACATTTTCATTGCTTTTCTCTGATAATGCAGCGGCGACAGCCTGTATAGATGCGGAAACATTTGGTCGGGTTGTGGGACTACCCGAACCGGGGTTTAAGGGGAGTGGAGGTGGAGCTCGCTCTGGGTCTGCACTATCCCACCTACGCAAACAGAATGATGTTAGCCTCGTTGGTTTGAGATACATGCAATGGCAGAAACACAACGACCTGTATTAACGTACATTGGGATAGCTGGCCTGTTGGACATTTCTGAAAATGAGTGCCTGTCCTTCAATACCAGCTCTCGATCTCGGGACGGTTCCATTTCGGTTGGCTTCATAATCAATTCGTCTTCCAAAAAGCAACACCGAAAGCCAGTCTTTCAGAAATCTGGCTGGAGATGAGGAGGAAACACGTTTATCTCTCTTGTGTAAATAAGTGTGGCTATGGGCGTCTCTATGCCACAAGGACCATCGTCGTAACGTACTCTAAAAGCAGTGGTCGGGATGGGATATCTCAGGTCAGATAGGAGGATTTTTGGTAAATAGGGAAGGGAAAAAAATATATGAACAAGTGCGCAAAACCAAAACAAACAAAAACAGATGGACAATTCAAAAAAAAAATATGAGGCAGAAGTCATCCAAAGGGGAGTGATGTGTGAAGGTAAAGCAGTCACGGTGGAGCGATAGAGTTTGATATTGGCCCACGGCTTGGCGGCTGATCCATGGATGTAAACAAACAATTCCAGGGTTACCGGGAAACCAACGCCCATGGATTGGAAGCCGGGCCGTAACTCTGATGCACGTGATATAGCAAGTTTTTCCGGCTTCCGGATGGAGAAATATCCCATATAAAGTTAGTGTAGTTGGTCGGTAAGCGGACCAATCAACCTTGAGCACACAAACTCCGCCGCTCACTTCGAAAAAAGAGCGCGGAGAGCAAACGACAGACTACCGACCCAGTACACCAAAACACCATTTGTCGACCTTGCTCACTATCGTCAGGACTTTTGAAAATGAAGTGTACGTTCCGCTCCTCTAGTTTTATTTGGGGAGGTATCTGGATTTTTTTGTCCCCGCTGACAATGCGAAAACAGTCATGAAAGTGGGCCGTGTGGCCATCATCACACGAGGACGTTATGCCGGCAAGAAGGTACGATAAAATTTCCTCCCTTCGTGCCATACACGAAAATGGCCGCTTTGCCAGTTTTCAGAGGACTCTTCAAAGAAAGGAAAAGAAAAGAAACGGAGAGGGAGAGGGCATCGTGTACAATGATTTCGAATTTGTAAAAGACGATATCAAATTGCGGAGGGAAAAAAGAGAGAACGAAGGAGAACGAAGGAGAACATCTCCATACAGAAATTCGGATCAACGACGAACTGACATTGTTCTTTCTTTCCACCATCTCCAGGTCGTAATCATTCAGCCATACGATGCTGGTTCAAAAGCCCACCCGTTCCCCTACGCCCTCGTCGCTGGCATTGAGCGATATCCTTCGAAAGTGACTCGCAGGATGGGCGCCAAGAAGGTCGCGAAGCGAAGCAAGGTCAAGCCATTCATCAAAACCGTCAACTACAATCACCTTATGCCCACTCGCTACACGCTCGAGCTCGAGGGGCTCAAAGGTGCTATCACAAATGATACCTTCAAGGAGGTATCGCAACGGGAGGAGGCTAAGAAGGTCGTCAAGAAATCGTTGGAGGAGCGGTACACCAGTGGGAAGAACAGATGGTTCTTCACCCCTCTGAGTACGTATACGTCGGTGCAATGCTATTTTGGCCATGAGGGGTCAACGAAATTTGAGGGAAGTTTTGCTAATCGGATTAATTTGCTTCTAGGATTCTAAACGGGAGTTTTTTTTCTTTTTTTTGCTTGGGATGGGTTCTACTTGTGATTGAATTTCTGCGTTATTCATAGGTACACCATATAGCAAAATAACGGAGCACTGCATAGCAGATTCAAAATAAAATAAAAAAAAGCAAAAGCTCAAAAATTAGCTATACTTGTATGCAAATGCTATGACATGACATGTTTTCTTATTCCTTTAGTCCATATCCCCTTCTCCTATTTTACCAATGGCAAGGAAAACACTCGTGTACTATCGAATTTAACCGTGGTGTTTGCAACGAATTCCATTCCTATTCCAACCTTTCCATTTTGCGGGAACCTTCGTTCATATATAAGTTACCACTGCGTCTTATGAAAGCAAAGATTCATTTGCAAAATATTCCAGTTCATACCAAGTTTATGAACTGCTATTAAGTGAACTGATAGCTGGATATACTTTGGCCAAGGCCTCATACAAATCTTGGCCCTCTCCAAAAGGATCATTCAACTGACTAGGTGAACTTCATATACTGCCTCTATGTCGTCCTGCTGGTTGCCTAGGTGCGTATGGTACCTAGACTAAGCTGGTCTGTACAGCCAAACGGATATATAACTTGCAATGAGGAAAGTTGTTCCTCCCCATCAATATCGCTCTCCCAATGCTTAAATATTACAAGGCGCATACGGCTTAATCGCCACCTTCCTCAGCAAGGTATACCCACGTCCTTGACTTGAAGCGCTAGTCCGGAACCTGCAAAGGTTTTTATTCCTAAAACGAGTGATATATGGAAGCTGAATGCTCTGTGTAACCCTGCTCTCCTCTACCTACGTTGTCAACAGGAGAAACCATTTTCAACACCCCTCCACTTGAGCATTTTGTTTCTGCATTTTAAATTTTCATATTTGTCATAATTACAGAACGCGGGTTCGACCACGCTCCGTGACACTGACGCCCTCTCCTGAAAAGAGAGGCGAACCATAGAGATTGTCACATGTCTTCCGTAATGAGCAGCAAATACAAACCTATCAGGCCCAGGAGAGGTAACCTCGGATTTCATCGGGTTGATCGACTCGGCAATCAACCCATTTCCCCGCCGCTCCGATCCCTATGATGTCGGGATCTATTGCTGTACGTTAACTAAGTCCCCCTGATATCCGTTTGCTTCATCACCAGCCAATGATACGACATGCGCAGGCAGAAATGGCCGATGGCCACGTGTGACCCATGCTGGTTACAATATGCAATCCATGGAGATTTGGGTCCCCCTCGACGTTTTAAAATTTAAAACTTAGAAATTTCTTTTCACAATAGCGACTCTGGATCGATGACCACTGGAGTTAATTAGATCTTGTCTATCAATTGAGGTTTCTCTTCCTCCTTCAAACCTTGAAAAGAAGGAGAGATGCAGGAGATCTGAATCCCTCACAACCCCAGCCTCGATAGAAAACAAGAAGAAGAAAAAAAATTTGCAGGGATTAGCAGGTCATGATGGACTTCGGTCAAACCGATATGTACGTGTAGGTGGTGCATTGCAGCTTTGCCTGTTAATAGTCTCTTGAAACCGGTCAAGCCCGGGCAAATAGTCTATCTAGCAAGCCGCGGAAAGAGCCAAATGCGCATCCACGATGCTACGTAGCTCATGATTAATAATTGTCATGATCTAGAAAAATATTTCCATCCGTCCAAAGTGCAACGATCAACATCCACATTCGGCAGTGAGCGAGTGCACCGCCACACCGCCACAACTTTATTTAGTCGATAACGAGCTAGTGGACGCTAGTGGAGATCAGCTGACCTAATCCAGTCAAATGTGGGACGTCTAAGTGGTTGTATTAGCATGTAGGCAGCTGAGGCATATATGTGCGGTGCGCTAGTCCGTGATAGGCAGCCTAGGGCCAACATCAAACTACTGCGGTGGGGTTATCGCGTATCTGAACTTTATCTTTTATTTTTTTTATATCATGGCACTACTCGGAAAGAGGTGATACATCTCAAGGAAATTAAATATGCCTGCCTGTGTATATAAAGCAAGAAAGCCATTGGTATCCTGTTTGTCCTCATTGGCGTTGCTACTTCCGGGGATTCCCAGGACCAGGTTGATCTGATTAATTTGTACAGAATAATTAATGATGGAATATAACTAGCCCACTTATTATTTAGTTAACCCTTTTCTGCAAACTGATGTCATGCTTAGCAGGAAACAGCAGAAGACCGTACTTCCGAGAATGATCATATGCGGCAGATATGTTTCATGTATGTTCAATTTCACTTGAGTCATTGAATATCAAAAATGTAACCCTATCTACCGCAAGTAACGCGTCGCGATGCCAAGGCCGAGGGCCCAGAATACGTATATCAAATCCTTAGCTCCCCAATTTTTTATGTGTCAAAACTACAGATGCAATTCCTCGGTTAAATGGCGACTAATAAGGGAAACACTTCAATTCGAAGCACTTGCGGAATTGCGTCATTGCAAGAGCGCTGCGGACTCCGTCTGAAATGGAGTAATTATAAAACAAAACATGGTTACATCACATTGTCAAGACAGGAACAAGGAAAATAGAAAGGTTCCTTGCAATACATTAAAAATGTTAAGACCGAAACGAGGAGGAAAATGGAAGAAAAGATAGAAAAATCAATGGTAAACAATGAACAATCGGCTAAAGGAAAACACAACATCAGTAAACCCCATGGATCCTATCCTAACCCTAAAGTGTGAAAGCAGCAAAATGATGCTCCAGAGCAAGAAAAAAACAAGTATGATCTATTAAAAACACCCAGAAGAAATCGCTAAAAGCCAGCACAAAAAGATAGACCAAACCTATCTAGAAAAAGCGAAAAAAAAAATAGATAAAAACGTGAGAAAAGTCCAGCATTTCTCCGAACGAGGATTCCAGTCCTCCTTCTCACCACTCTTCCATCACCACCCAAAAGTTATCATTCGTTGTGACGGTCAGATTAGAGCACACATGTCGTCATGAGTCGCTTCGTGAAGATAACCATCACAATATAATCCATCCGGGTATGCGGGTATGAAAGGCACCAAAAGCACCCAAAACAAAACGCAGTGGTAAAGCAAATCCATGAGAGGGCAAGCCCGTTTTAGAAAAAGGAAATCATGCACCTGAATGCAATAATAAACGTCGAGCAAGGGTATATAGCAGCAACTCAAAAATCGGAGGAGCTTTTGTTTTTCCAGTCACAAAAGGCAAAAGGGCAAGAAGCAGTCTGACGAAGTCGATGGTAAGTATCGTAGCAGATAAATTGTTTTTGGATCCCTGTCGTAGGGAAACGAAGCGCAGCTTCAGGAGGAGTAGTGTTGCGAGCGAATCCAATTTAAAATGGTGCTTAATGGCGGATCGTCGACTAGCCAGTAGCCGGCACGGACATCAGCCGATCGTAAGTCATTGACCACAACGCTGTCAGTTATGGCTACAAGTTCCTAGGGAAAACAGTCCACATCAGTTCCAGGTTGCTCGCCAGCGAAGACGAGAAACCCCGATAAAGAGAACAATCTCACAGTGTGAAGAGCTTCACTGGCAGAGCGTAAGCCGCTAACATGCTGAGCACTCATTTTTTGTCCTTGAAGTATTTGATTTCGACGCAATACCCATCGGCTTGCTGCAGCCATTCTGAGATAGATTTTGTGCGCTTGGAAACGCCGAGCGCTTGCGTCGACGATCACCCTGGCAAATTGAATGGCAATTAGAGATGAGAGTGGTTCTCACAGGTATTGACGTTGCAGAATTCAGTACCTCTGGAGATTTGCTTTCGCATTTTCGCTCTCGGTTGACGAGCCCTGGATCTGGGCTATATCAAAAGACGAATTGAGGAGTGTTTGCGCATCAGCAAGGCATTGGTTCATTACAACATATCCTTCACTGAACTGTTCCTCTGGGGCAGGGTCTGTCCTAAGCTGTACAATATTGATATGTATTGTTCGGAAATCATTCATTAATTCGGTGACCCTCAAAGCTCGGGCATCATTGACTGCAGGGAAAATCAGCAACCTTGCAAACCACGTCTATGAGTTTAGGTATAAGATAAAGCCGAGAGCACTCACGAGGGTCAGACATTATAGGAGCAGGGTCCCCGTAGGGTAGAGCAAATGCCAACATGTGATTGATCGAAGCCAGCGATATTCATTGATTCCTCGCCTCATTTGTTATCGGACTCCCCATTAGCAAGGACAAGATGGCGCCTGTGGCACCTTTAAATATAAAATAGAATATAGACAAGAAGTTAAACTCGGGGGGAAAATGGAAGATCCCGCGAGGGAGGCAAGCAAGGGCCATTGGACAAACAATGAAGTGGAGCATTCAATGGTTCGTTTCGCATGGGAAACAAAGCCATGGCCAAACAAGCAACTAGAAAGTAGTGCATAAGAAGAAGCAACCATGGCCGAGAGCCAAATCCAACGCAGCGTTCGATCAGAGCTGGAAATGCAATGGAGCACTGTGGGCTAGGAAAATCGATGGTGCTCCAGCCACAGCTTAATCCCGGCAAGCCACACAGGCCAACGCCACCCAGGGCTGTGGGACCTGGCCTTGGTGGGTCGCGCTAGCCACATCTGGTATGGCGCCGGGTTGAGCGAGCTGACCGTAGTGCGTCTGTGTGGCCAAAAACCAAGGGCGGCGCCTATCTCTGCACCAAGCCTGTGTGTGCCGAGGATTTCCACTGAGGAGCTCATGCACGACGTTGACACCACACCGTAACCTGAGGCAATTTGGGCTTTGATCATAGCTGAATGATCCTTCCTAGGGTCCAATTATTCCGGTCGATGCTTTGTCTATCCCCGCTGCAGCTTCCACAAACCACAAACCAAAAGTGAGCAAACTTTTTTCCCTCGGGACAAATGTGCCGTTTTAATGCTTGCCGAAAGGTAGTGGAGTTGCGGCTCATGAGTCTATCGTATCATCACTCACAGTGACAAACAACAAAAAAGAAACAAACATCATATGGCGAAACGAACTGCGCTATCGACGGTTCTCCGATCGATTGGATATGGTTTTGCATAGTCTGGTTTGAGATGTGTTAAGTTCAAAGGGAACGAAATATGAAACGAGAGAGAAATGGGCTAAGGAGATAATTGCCACGACCTAGACGTTTGAATTTTAATTCTGCATTGGATATTAAAAACGCAAAATCTAGGGGAGGAAAAAGAAATTGAAATAAATAGGGATCAACGTATCGATCGGTTCAATTCGTCACAAATATCTCTAGCAATCACGAAGCTCTTTGCCATCCCCGGCTTTACAGATTCACCGTAGAATGAAGAGTTAAATTAGAAAATATATTCTGACGGCCCTCAATCCTTCTCACTAATTGCCTGTAGTCGTTCATCGATCTCGTCCTCTGTAAGAGAGCGGAACTCCGTCTGCGTCCCTTCCTTGCCATCAGCTCGAGGCCCACCAACGATGCCCACCTCTATCTCATTCTTCTTGAAGTCTACACTGAGGACAGTGCTCAAAGTCGATATGGCAAGCTCAACGACGTCTTCCCATGATCCCTCCGCATATTCCTTGTTTTTGAGCTTCTTCTCCAGATGGTTGAATATATCCTGTTGTTTGGGACCGGAAGCAGTGGCTCGATATCCCACGTAATACCCTGCAGGATCACACTTGTATAGCTGTGGACCGAATTCTGAATCCACAGACACCAGTGTTATCGCAACACCCAGTGGTCGCATGTATGCCTGAAAACACGCAAGGTCTGTCAGCAGCAATCCAACTCAATTATGCGGGGCCCGGTGAAAGGTTTAAAAAGAAAGAAAGAAAGAAATGCGGAATAGGAGTTTATTTGCGGACTCTTTGGGTGTAGACTTGGTTGATATTCGCCAGCCGTTTGGCGAGGACATCACATGGCATCTCATATCCAAATTTGTATCGAAATTCCGCCGCTTCGCTTTGTGCCCTAGTTACTGATGCTCTAGCATCCGCTATCGAACCGGTCATGACACATCCAACTGATGGAGAGAGTTGGAAAATATGGGTAACGGATGAAGGATCGATCAGCTTGTCCTGTGATTCAAGATTATGGTCGTTAACCAATTGAATTGACCCATGGATGATCACCGTGTTTCCAAGCTATACGCACTGGGACTTTCTTCTGAGACAGTACAACAGCGCAGTTTTTTCCCTTGATCCCGAGCGACGTGATATTGGCAGCGGTGATAGATTTGAAGGCATATTCTGGAAATAAACCTCCGTTAGCTTCCAGAGCACCTTAATAGCTTCAGCGACATACCACCATCAGAGGGTTACTTACCAACTTGATACAACCTGCCTTGATCCGAAAATATGGTAATGTGTCTATCGTAGCCTGCGCTTCCTGTTTCGAGCAACGCTAGTCAGTTGCTGGTTTTCAAAGACAAGCCCAACCGACTGAAGAACAAGTTACCGACCTGACATCGTGGCTCAAGGGACAAGATTCAGATCAAACCAATAAATACGAAGATTCAAAGTAGATTCTAGAAAAGTAACAGGTAGTAGCGAACTAATATAGAGAAAAAATTGAGACGAGAATGCTGGTTAATTCATGGTAGGTGAACGCGTATAGGTAAAAGCTGCCTTGGACGGGGGAAAGCTCCAGAGTTGATGTTGGAGCACCTTCACCCAATCGGGTAAGGCGTGCCTTGAGGTATTGCGAGCCACAAAGCAAAACAGCCGCTTACAATGAATATATATAATAAATATGTTGGTGGTGGCATATTCCAATTTTTTTCAAGTAAATAGCCCTTTTAATCTAACCTCTTGTTGTTGCTCGTACTTGAATCATTACTTCTGGTTTTGGTTCTGCAAAGCTGTGTATTGATATGTACCATTCCAGAAAAGCCGACCTTTCACTCCATTATTACGGGAAATTTTACCGTATTAGATACGCAGTGATATCTTAAAAATTCCTATATTTTCCCTCAGAGCATCCACTTTTATAAATATTTTCTGCCGCGAACATGACCGGGATATGTGAGATATCTTCGATGCCACATGTTTTAGGAACCTAAGCTCAGCTAATTCTTCCTCAATTGAGAAATTCCTCGCTCGCGTACATTTGCACTCCTCCTGTCTCGCATCAATCTCCAATAATGGCCGCCCGAATTCCGGCATGGAGGAAGCTCGGATTGCAGCTCAAGAACGCCACTACCTCTGTTATTGAGACAGATACCGCTTTGTCTGTTATTGAGAATACCTCTTTTCAGTCAAAGGGAACCAAGAAGAGACCTCTGACGTCAGAGAGCGAGGAATCTAATGGAAAAAAACCCCGGGTAGAGATTATCACAATTGATGAAAAAACGAAACGGGAAAACACCAAAGAGAATACAAATGACAAGACACCCAAAAATAAGGCCACAAATCCGGAATTGAAATTGTCCCTTGAGTCATCCTCTGTGGAAAATCAAGATAACAAACCCCTCTCCAAGCCCAAATCCAAGAAAAGAAAATCCGTTTCCTTCGCTGAGGATACAAAATTGGAAGATGGGGATGGAAATGTCGAATTGGAACTTGAAAACGAGCACGAGGATGCTCGCGAACCTAGCCCAGCCGTTGCAAGAAAGGCGGAGAAGAAGAAACTGAAACGAGAACAGCGCGCAAAGAATCGCCCGAACTCAACCTCCAATGCCCCTCCAATCGACCCGACCCTGCAATACCTTACGCTCTACCACAAATCCCGTGCTCAATGGAAATTCCAGAAGAACCGTGAAACCCATCTGCTTAAGCACGCGCTATTGGTAGATCGAATACCTTCGACATACAACGCCCCGTTGGCTACATATCTTGCCGGCATAAAGAGTGAAGGGGCGAAGAAGAGAGTTGCAGAAGCTGCCGTAGAAGCTATCAAAGCGGATGATGCTGATGTCGATTCGGGGGAGAATGGTGGTGGTGGTGGTGGTGGTAGTGATGCGTCTGAGAAGGATAGGTATAGAAATTCGATATCGTCGTTCAGGAAACGGTTAGCGGGGTTAGTGGCAGCAGATCCACACAGTTGGGAAGGAGATATGGTTGGTGACGAAGCTACAGACCTAAATGCCGATTGGCTTAAAAAGCTAGAAAGGAGGCGGAGAGCAGAATTGGTTCTTCGTTTTGTTGGTGGCAGTGTACCGGCTGCTGAAGCGGCCGAGCTTCAAGCAGAGTCGAGACCAGGGGTGAGTGAGAAGAAGAAGCAGAAAAAGCAGAAGCGGAAGAAGAATAGGACGAACGTTATAGAGGACACCAGCAGCAGCAGCAGCAGCAGCAGCAGCAGCAGCAGCAGCAGCGAGACCGATAGTGATAGCGACAGTGATAGCGATGATTTCAACTCAAAGTCTACTACAGAACAAGTGAGCGAAATTACAAAAAGCACAACAAACGGACTTCACAATGACTCTTCCTCCTCATCGGAGTCAGAGATTTCATCATCCGATTCGAGCTCGGATTCGGATTCAGATACAGGTATGCCCTTCCCATTTTTTTTTTTGTTACATCGATATTCAGCAGCCAACATAATATTTTGCAAAGAATCAGAAACTTCATCGAACTCCAGCTCAGATTCGGGTAAGTAATCTACGCTACCTATATTCCCATCTCCAGCTTCTACGTTGATGCTAACAATTCACGTCCGCTTTTAGACTCGGATTGAAGGGGGGATTTGCATCTTCCACTCAAAAGAAATACCCGTCCCAAACTATACCCAGGTACCAGACAAACATCTCGTGACGGGTGTATAAGCCTATTTCGAGAACGGTAAAAAACATTCGTCATCCCCATTTCCCTTTGCCATACCTACGATACCTTAAAGTAGTACACTACCTCGCTATATACCCGCTTTCGGTAGAAAGCAAACAAGCTTGGATTCTTGACTTCAGCGTCTATATCAAATGACCTTTGTATCTCTCCATCTTAGTATATCCGTATTTGCACATATTAGAATAAAATCACGAATACGTATGCATAATAAATTATCAATTCAAAAGGTATCGTGAAGAAAGTTCGCCAATCAGACCGTTGAAAAGCAACGAAATCAAGACTAAGGCACGGTAAACGGGAGGACCTAGAAACTAAAAGCCTTCCCTCCCCATGGACAACAGAGATATAAGCATCAAAAGAAGGAACGAAACTCCACCCTCCACCTAGACATCTATACAATGAAAAAAATAAATAAATAAATAGATAGAAGGAAAAAAAGAAAAAGTGTAAGTGGCATCAACCACTCCCTTTCTCCTTCTCCTTCTCCCTCTCCCTCTCCCTACTCTCCCCTTCGCCACCAACCTTCCGCCTCTCCCTATCCTTCCCAGCTCCCGTCCCCCGTCTCCTCCTCCTAACAACCTGATATACATCATTAAAATTCATGACCACGCCCAAAAACCGCATATCCACGTCTGGCTGATACGCCAAGTCGCCAAGGAGCGTGAGAAGGCGCGTGCGGAAGTCCTCTGCGAGGTCGCGCAGACGCGTGCGTAAAGAGGGGAGGAGATGATCTTCATCGCCCGTCGTGCCGACGCCACCAAGTAGCGCTGCCGCTGCTGTTGGGGTTATGGGTTCAGAGGGCGATTTTGAATGTGCGCCGCCACCACGGCCACCAAGGGGAAATGATGAGTCGGCTGAGGGAGATTCGGAAGCGGAGCCGGGGACCTTGCGCGTGGCGGAGTCTGAGCGGTTGGGACGGTTGATGTTGCTTGTAGTGGAGGTGGTGAAAGGAAATAGGGATTGGGATTGTTGGAGGAGGTCCTTTTCGGTCACACCCCATTGGCCCTGGGCGGTGCGCGTTTCGATCTTTGCAGTGAATTCTTGGCGGCGGGTGAATTCTGCGACGGAGAAGGAGTAGAGGCCGTCTACAGCGTCTTTGTAGGTGAGCATTATTTTGAGAATTTGGTGGAGTTGAGAGAGAAAAGAGTCTTCTCTGTTGTTGCCGGCAGGATTACTGGAGGAGGAGGAGCCAAGAAGGCCCTTGTGGGTGATGGAGTTGAGGTATTTGGTGTGTGCTTCGATGAGGTCGTCCAGGGTGCAGCCCGGTTTTGAGATGGCTACTTGCAATTGGTCCCAGCTTGCTTCAATGACTTCAAATAAGATATAGTATTGAAGCTGGCTGATGAAATGATTCATCTCAGAAATCACGCAACGAGCGCGTTTCCAGTCCTGGCCGACCTTGTCCTCAACGCTGCCTAGCACCCCCCTGGCACCTGTCATGCAACGTCTCCAGGTGCTACCCAGGGCGAACTCCACTCTCTTGACGCGCCAGAGAAAGTTGAAGACTTTTAGATACTGAGTTGAACCCCAAGGTGTTATTACAACGTCCACTGGAGCATCAATTTTATATTCAAGAGTAAAACAGTCCCAGCCAATTTCGCCATGGCTTAGCTCCAACATGCGAGCGTCAAGGCGACGTAAAACATCGGGAGAGTCATATTGTGCATTTGATGATCGGATGGCATGCTCCAGCTGTGCTGTCAGGGTATGGCGGTATTGGGAGTTCGCCGGGCGATCAAGGTTGGATGCTAGCGATTCCATGAGCAAGGCAATGAAATCCCCCTGACCTAGCAGAAGATACTTTTTAAGCGCCATAAGATGATCGAAGAGTTTGAACTTCGAGTCCATAAGATAAATCAGGCGAGCCATTGTTGTTTTATACGCTTCATCGATCGATGTCTCGAGCGTCGCGGTATCCCCGTATTTTAATTCCTTTGATGCATCTCTTGAATACGCCGCTACCCACGCCGAATCCCCACAGCCATACCTAATGAAGTTCAGAGACTTCCCAATTAGGAAAATTTTCTTCGCAAATTCCGGCGTCATAATTGTCGGCACCAGGTCATCGTCGAGCTTGTACTTGTCATCCCAAACGCTTGTTGCAACGCGTCGTGGATCAACGCTCGGCCGAACCTCCGGCTCCACGACGAAAAATTCCCGATATGGGTCTGAAAGTTCACCGTCGTATATCCACTGCCTCAACATTCCGTAGAATGGCCGGGTTACATGGGCCAGAAGACGCTCAGCAAACGCCCCGACGAAAGGATCACCGTGAGACGAAGAAAATTCGTGTATCATGGTGATTAACTGTCCACCCCTTTTGCCTCTTGACTCTTCTACTATCAAACTCATCAGTCTTAGCGCCATCGTGGCCTCTCTCATCCAAACAACGCATCTTTTCAACGTAACGCCGGCTTTCAAGGTTCCCTTGGGTTCTGTGGAGTTGTCCGAAACAGTCGCTAATGCCGATCTGATCTCGCCTTCAAGAGTGGCAACTAAGCCTAGGTACGATCGAAGCTCATTTCCAATCGCTGCCCGTACACTCTGCTTCACAAGGCCGCCTTCCGTTTCTTCGACAAAAGCTGATAAACCACGGTATAGTAGACAAGGTTCCGCTAACGTATGTAAAAGAGACACAAGTGGTACTGGCAAAGTCTGTGGTAGCTTTAATGAAGTAGGCGATACGAATTTCATATTCGTCGATGACACCCCTTGAAGAGTGAAGGATAAATCCCGTAATATAACCGATTCATCAGGTTTGGCGGGCCCACCCTCAACCCCTCCTTTATTTTTCTGTTGCCGCTGCTGCTCCTCCTCCTGGCGTTGTTCCGCTTGGCTGTGACTTCGGGACTTCGATTCCCCATCCGGAGTGATAGAAACAGCTCCCCGACTAGTGGCTGGTATACCTTCTCTCTCTTTTTCCCTCTCTCTCCTTTCCACAACTCGTTTCCGTTCCACTGCCCTGGGGCTATATGAGCCTCTATCCTTTCCATTCCTAGTGAGCACCGATGCGCCATCATGCGCAGCAGCAGCCGCCGCAGAGGGACTGTCCAAACCCACAGCGGAAACGGACGAGCCAGGCGCGATATCATCAACCACAGATCTTCGACCAAATTTATCCCGAAACAGCAGATGATCCAACTGATGCTCATCCATCAACGGACTCCTCGCGCCATCATCCCTTTTCCAACCCCCATCCTCCACCCTCGTCGTAACGGTGGTGCGCCGAACATTCCCTCTATCAGCAGCACCATAGCCACCACTAGCAGCAGCAGCAGCAGTCTCCGCACCCCCACTCCTCCCCGCAGGTCCCTTACCCTCCCCGATCCGATAGAGCAAGTACAAAATCGCCCACTTCTGCCCCAGCACCGGCTGCGTCAACAGCCTCGAATACAAATTCGAGAACCGCACCGCTTTGTCCGGCGACGCATTTTCTCTCAGCAACTTGCGCTTGATCAGGTCTGGCGCATTGTTGATAACGTCCGCTGAAACGACACCGCCACCACCTATCCCTGTAGAACTGGCCGCAGCCGCGGCTGCTGTGTGGGAATCCAGAACCCGCCATGCCATTTCCAAACAGCGTCTGTGCCGTCGCTCGTCGGCCTCGGCCGCTTCGAGACGCGCATATTCGTCCGTCGATGTTTCGGAAAGGGTTTCATCGTCTTCATTGTGGCGGGGGATGGTGGTGGGGATGAGGGAGTCGACGAGTTGGCTTAGCGCGTCTTCGATGCGGCGCGAGCGGTGATGATGGGAGTGGGGAGTTGAAGAGGTGGAAGAGGTCGGCGGTGGCATGGTTACAATAAAATAACAACGAGTTTGAAAATCTGTATATTTAAAATAGAGAGAGAGAGAGAGAAAGAAAGTCGGAAAAGCGGATGGAATTGACTCGGACTCTCATTCAATCTTTGTCCTTTTGCTTCCTCTTCCCCCTCTTCCCCCTTTTTTGTCCCCTTAAATCCCGCTCCGGCACCCGGTACTCCCTTATCCCGTCGCAATCAATCAAATGTGCGCGACTAGCACTAAATCGCGAGAGAAGGCGGGGGAAAAAAAATAGGACGCCCTACCGCACGCGTAAGAACCACACACACACACAGAGAGAGAGAGACGCGACGCAGATTTTCAAACGATGGTGGTGTATATAGTATCTAGATATCCACCACCATCCCACCCACACGCTCCGCAGCAAAAGGAATGAATAGCAGCTCGTCCTACGGCTGGCCCTTGCATAAATGAGAAATTTTGTTTGTTGCTTTGCTTTCTTTTGCGTTTCAAATTTTTCAATTTTTCCCTTGAGCCGGGTCGTGGTTATCTTGTTCCGACGCAAAGGGATGCGGGGACCGGGTTGTTGGAGGAAGAAGAAGCTGGGTGAAGCTGGCCAGGGTCGGGTATCGGGGTGTGCATCCCTCAGTCCTTATCTCTCTCCTTTTTTTCCCGTCTTCCTTGCGACTCCCGTTCTCTTTCGCTTTGGGAACGGGAAACAATTCGCGTCGTTGACAGGCAAAGAAGGGGCAAAAAAAACGACGTTCTGCGAGAGCAATGTTTGGCGATGTTTACCAATTTTGTTTTCGGGCGTTCCAAACATGAAGGCCCTGTTTGGCTTGTTTGCAGTAGGCCTCGACGTCATCAATCCCTAAACTAAACTAAACCCCTAACTATTTCTCAACGACAACAATCATATAAAGAGTAAAGACCATCCACCCTATCAACAGAACATAGATAGGCAGTATTTACATCGGAGCAGATGGGACGGAAACACACGTCCAGAGAGTTGAGTAAAAGGAAACAAAAACAAAAGGAAAAATGGCAAAAATGGAAGATTGAAAATATTTAACAGCCAATCAATGGCTTTCATCACATTTCCATCTCATCGTTTTCGGGTTTGCGCTGCCGCTTGGTGAGATATCGAAGACGATATACCCTTAGGAACCCTCCTTTTTGAACATAACAAATGGTTAAGAAATGACAACCTTACTTACCTTAACCCAAACCAACTCAAAGGGAAATGAAAAGTGAAAGTTGAAAAGGGGGCTGGAAGAGACGAAGAAGAACATAGGATACCACACACAAACAGACGAAACCATGGAAGTTATTCATCATAAAAAAAAAAAAAAAAAAGGTGAGATGAAATGAAATGGAATGAAAAAAGAACGTTGTCGAAATTCCATACAACCAAGACTTCAAAAAACGATTAGACAAAGATATAAACAAGAAAGAAAGTAAAAGTGTGTGAAAAAAAACCCCCGATCAAATATCACTCATCGAACAAATAGCCGCACCCGTTTATTACTATTCCTTCTTTTTGAAATTTCAGTTCCTGCGACGCCCCGCCTTGCCCTTGAATACCCCATCCATCCCATCACCCCCTGTCGTTCTCATTCCATGGCCCTCCGTTTCAAGATCCGTCTCTCTCCCTCCGCCCGGAAACTATATGCTTTTTGGGGAGTCGAGGGGGAGCGGGGTTCAGACCGGACTCCAACTAGTAAAACCATCATACTCATTTCCATCACCGCATCGCCCATACGTACATATCTATCCCAAATCAATCCCATTCCAAAATTATATTTTGTGCAGCGCAATGATGACGGGTGGGGGAAGAAAATAAGGAGAACGAGGGAAAGGGGAAAAAGAAAACGACGAGGGAAAAAAACCTTTTCCATATGAACTCCTACCCGACAGCTCCCCCAGGATACAAAACATACACGGAAACAAGAAAACAAGGAGTACACAGGATATAAAGTAAAAATTCGAAAGAAAGGTTAGAAGAAAAAGAGGGAAAAAAATGTGCAAATTTTCGATTTCTAACTCCACCAACCGACCCGATTAATTTTTGCCCTCCCCCCACGAAAAAAATACTACCTCAACGAAGAACGGACAAGAAGAGAGAACAAAGAGAAGAAAATGAATAGAAGTGATGTGTGAAAAGGCAAAAATGACGTGAAAAAAAAAGGGAGACGAAGATGAGGAAGAGAAGATGAAGATGGAGCAGAAGAAACACAAATTATCACTGTGTAGCGGCCAATCTAAATAATTATTTCCAAGAAGTAGAAGTAGAAGAAGGCCAAGGGAGGGAGAGGAAAAGATACACTCCTTGGCGAATCAGAAAATTTCCTCGTTATAGGTAGGTAGGCAGGCACGGCAGGTATAGAAGGTTGACGCGGTATATCTCTTGGTGGCTGGAAGGTTTTGCAGCGCTTGAGAAATCAATTATATATAAAAGGGTCGCTTTTGCCTTGTGTGGGTGGAGAGAGAGAGTGTGTGTGGGTGTACGTATGCAAATGAGTATGTACGTATGTGTGTGCGGGACTTCGGAACTTCGTTTTATTCGTTTTTACTTTTCGTCGCCCTTTTGTTTTTTTTTTTTTTTTTTTAAAAAAAACACCCTTTCCTTTATCGTCGTGGCATGGGCTGTGTAGAAATACCAGGACCACCTGCCTGCATGGCCATATAAGGATTGGCATGTTGCGCATATTCGCCATTCATGCCATTCACCATGATACTATTTAGTCCCTGAGCTTGAGAAACGGGACAATCCTTATGGGCCAAAAGCAATGTCTTCAGGTTGACGATTTCCTCTCGCAGTTGGGTCACGGTTGACGAGAGAGCGTCATTCTCATTACTGTAGTACTCGACTTTAGTTTGCAGACTCTGGAGCCACTGTTTCTTGCGTTGTCGGCATTTCAAAGCCGCGACACTTTTAACAAGCAAGCAGTCATGTTAGCCATGCAATTAGAACACTTGGCCACAGTAGTTTTGGAGAAAGTCAAAAAGCCATACCGATTCCGTTCAAGGAAATTCTTCCGTTTTTCTTCATCAGTCATCTTCTTGGTATTCCCGGGCTCAGATTGTTGGGGTTTTGTATCTTCCTCTTCCTCTGACTCATCAACACTGTGGTCCATTGCGGAGCCACTATTCCCTTTCGCCCTTTTATTTGCACCCTTGCTGGCGTTGTTGTTATCGTCAGCCTTCCGTCGACCATTATTCTTTCCAGAACCGGCTTTCCGCCCTTTAATTCCACGAGCATTTGATTTTGACTGGTCACCAGCGCTGTCCGAGGCGCCACCGTTCATATCTTGGGCAGGGTTACTTCCGTTCTGCATATTTGAGGTCGATTCGTTTGATGGATTCTGGGCGAGAGGCTGCGAGGTAGGGACAGGAAATTGGTTGTTTGGCTGACCTCCTTTGGCTAGCATAAAAAGACCGTTGGCTGCATCCGTCGCATCGTGATGCGCAAAAGGATCTACATGCGCATCAGGTTTGGCAACTTCTAGATTGGTGGGTTGTTGGAGCAGTTGATCTGAATCTTGTGGGTTGGAGGTTCGGGTATTCTTCCTTGCAGCATTTAGAGCTGTCCGGTGAAAATCTATGGTTGATGGAGTGGCACCCCCACTTTGGAATTGTTGCATTAGAGCCTGTGTATTGGGGCTCGAAGCGGCAGGAAACATCGAGCCTCCACCGCCAGGGGTGAGCCCTGTGCGCAGCGACGACTCTTGTGGTGTGGGGAAACCGCGACCGATACCGTCGAAATAGTCGCTGGGGGCAGCCGGTCCAGCAAGCATAGCGGGACTGAGTGGTCCTGCGCGAAGAGAATTGCTCCAATTGAAACCACCCGCTGAGGATGTACCGGGTAAGGCAGGCGACGTGAGCGCAGCGACGGGAGGCAGGATAGACTTTCCGGGAGTATCAGCGGGCTGATTCCCAAAGGATTGTTCGAAAGGATTAGGCTCTAGGGAGAATTGAGTGGTGCCATGAACGCCGGAGAAATAATCGGGGGTGTCAGATCCCTGTTGCTGTTGCTGTTGCTGTTGGCCCTGGCGATGATTATTGGAGAGGGATTGGGATCCCTCAGCGTCGCTAGGCTGCGTTGTATCCTTTTGATCAGAGGTAGTACTTTGCGCATCTAGATCACCGAATGGTTGTGAAAATAGTTAGATTAGAATCGCAGAGGATAAATGTATTGTCCGTCATGGAAACATGCAACTACGGTGCCCCAAAGTATAAAAAATAAAATAGCAAAAAAAGGTGGATACAACCAGGAATGTGTCCATATGAGAAGAACAAGGAGGTTGCTGGGGCGGGAGGGTCAAATGGAGTGGTTGTGGTTGATAACGTGTTGAGCTGCAAGAGATGAAAAGGCTACGACCTAGGTAGGTAGGGGGTATTGCGCCACCCAAGCCCAAGGCATGGCAGAAGATGTAGGGGGGGAAATTCATAATTAACAATTAAAAAGACATCACATGGTGGAATTTAAGATGCGAGAGGAGATATGAACAATGAAGCTATCAAAATAAAATAAACACATACCTTCTGACTTCCAAGAGCCCTTTTTGGGGTCCATGGTCGAGTCAGCGTGGGAGGCCGGGCGCCCGATGCGAGGAGAAGGCCTGGTAGCAATCGCAGCGGACATGGCACCGCGCAACAAAGAGAAGAAGGAGGAGGAGAAAACGAAGGCGAATGCTCACTGCAAACGATGATAACAGCGGCGGAAGTAAGTCGGGGCAACACGAGGGAGCGCGGGGAGGGCGGGTGTGGAAAGACTCGAACACTTTTGGGGTGGTGGTTGGTGGATGACGACAGAGAAGTAGTTCCAGCAAGCGAGCTCGAGCCAATGGAGCCGGGAAGCAAGGCCAGAAGGAATTAAAGAAAAAGGGGAAAGCAAAAGCAGAAAGGGGCAGAAGCGGCGAAGTTTGGATTGAGGGCGGCGCGAGAGCCGGGCGATTCGATGGGGGGCGGGAGGCAGATGGATGGGATGATGATGGCTTGATGATGCGATAGTGATGATGACGGCGAGGAGAGAGAAAAGAAAAAAAAATTGGGTTGTTCGGCGGAAAAATGGGAAATCTGACGACACCGATGATGTGGTTGTTATGTAAGCAGCCTCCAAGCAGCCTCCAAGCAGCCTCCAAGCAACCCACAGCAACCGAATATCCTACGCGGTGTATAACTACGATAATGGATGTCTTCTACACCTGCTACACCTGCTACACGGGGGAAACTGTGCGCTGCGGATTACGGGAGCAGACATGGAGTCCCAGGCTGTTTGTCCAAGCGCGCCAGCCGTTGTGGCGTGGAAGATAAGATAGTCCATGCCCATGCCCGTTGTTGGCTTTGCGTGAACGAGAACAGAAGAAGCATTAGTATCACCAACTCCGAGTCTCCTCCTTCGAAAAAGAAAGAAGCAGATTGGAACAACAATTTAACTTCTTTTTCTTTTTCTTTTCTTTTTATTTCGTGCATTTCTTCTTTTCTTCGTCCTCGACTCACCACGCCAATACCCGTCTCAGATTTCGAACCGGCAAGGGTTCGACGTTGTAGATCCAAGATTTTTTCTCTTCTCTTCTTTTTTTGGAGATTTTTTTTCTTTTTATTGTTCCGTTTGGTGTTTAAAGAGTTGAATTGGAATACCATGGATCATCCCCAAAGCCAAATGTTGGTTCGAGAAGGTTTGATAGGAAAAATATAACTACCATCTTGCAACATTCCGAACCTCTATCTGATCACAGGTAGGCAGGAAGATCGAATTGTGTTCATATTTCATGTTCCCGCCTGCTTGCCAATGTTGACCATTTCAGAGAGATATATATCATAACGTTCTAGGAATGAATTGTAGATTATCATTCGGTTTATTGTTAAAGGTACTCTGGAGGCCTGTGATATTGTAGTTCCTCCTCGCCCTCCTCCTCCTCCTCCTCTTCCTCTTCGTCTTCCTCTTACTTCTCCTCTCTTCCCTCCTCTGGAGACATCGATTGCTCCGGACCTCGGTGATGACGTAGCTCGAGCGCAAATGCTCCCGGGAACGGTTGGCCCGCCCATTCATACAGACCCTTAACCTGGGTTCGGGGAAGGGAAAAACAAAAAAGCCTTCCTACCGCGTTGGATTGAACGAGTTCATTCGATAACCAACCACCACTCTGATCTTCCAACAGGCGCTTTCTTAGAACGTTTTTCTTGTCTCTTCCCCTTCCCTCCCCCCTGCTAGAGATACATGTATTTATGAACTCAGCTGCGGCCAAATTCTCCTAAGAAAAGAAGCGACTTACCTCATCAGCCTCGAGAACGCGAACGAACGAACGGGTCCCCGCTAGACTGTATTGGGCTGGTGAGCCCGGTCGCTGAACCACCGCTGAATCGCATCTCGTTTGGGGGGTGATGACGTGTTGTGTGGTTGTTCCAGGGATTTCTTTCAGGGTTGGGCTCCATCTCCCATGGGTCGATGGGGTTAGCGTGCTTTGTTTTCTGCCAGTGGAATTTTGTGCCAGATCAAAGCGGTGGGGAGGTGGTTGGGGGAAGAGGTTGTTTACCTCTCTGCCCTCCTTTTGGGAACGATTTATGGACCATAAAATGCTGGAGTATCTGTACCTACCTGCCTCGATGTTGCTCAATTTTAGGTACTAGTTAGTGCCTCTAGCTGATGTGTCGAGGAGACGAAATGGTGGGGGTTTTGCCGTCGGATAGTTACAGCTAAACCATAAAAGTCCCAGCAGCCGCCCAAGCTATCAAGCTCTCTTATTCTGTCCCATAGTACGTACTAGTTAGCAGTTGCTAAACTACTGGTAGTAATCATTCTCATTCTCAATCCTCAATCCTCACCTGCGAAAATGAAACAACCCTCCAGGTACCGTGCCACCTTTCAGTCAATGAATAACTAGGTAAAAATTTATTTTTAGATATTTCAGAAATTCTTAATACTACTAGTACTTGTAAATCTTCAGCTATACCCCCTCATTTCCTCCCCTACCCCGCGATAACCGGCTGCTGAAACACCGTGTGCCATAGAGCTCTGCCCACTGGGACGGGCATATAATGTACCAGTGGCATAATAACAATACGTAGATGCATATCATTCAAAGCATATATAACATAACATTTATTCGACGAAGCTTGCCCCCCCGGTAGGAAATAAAGGTGGTATTTATGGTATATGTACAGTGCAAACCGCCCGTTGGCAGAGAGCGCTTGTCTGCCGGCTTTGGGGGGATGGAACGAGCACAATTAGACGTGTTATTATTACCATTATCATAAATTGTGCGCACGGTATGTACAGTACATACATGGAGTCATTATCGCGATAAATAAAATTGAAGCTCCCAAGAACGGAAAAGAAGGAATATGAAAATGAATATCAAAAGACTCTCCCAACAAATGCAACTTGAGTTAACATACGCAGAGCGATAGTTGAAAGAAAAAAAAAGAAAAAAACCATAAAACAACCATAAAACAATAATTGGAGACAATTAACCAACTACGTCATTTTCAATTTTACCATATCCGGGAAAAGGACATGGAAGAGGTAGATTAGTAGTTAGGAAAAAAAGGGAAAAGAAAAACCCGGGGAATTTACACGGCGCCTACTACAAATCTCCGCCCCTACGACCCCCGATACGTCGTATAATTCCACGGCCCCAACAGCACAGGGACATGGTAATGCCTCCACCCATCCCACCGCTCGCTGCCCTTGACCAAAAATTGCACCTCGATTTCGCGCCAGAAGCTCTCCACCCCTTGCTCGGCGTACCACTCGCCCACGTTCCGGATGCGCAGGGTCCAGATCGAGCGCTGCTGGCCGCCGCGCTGTTCGTGGATGGACGCGAGGAGGGAGCGGATTGAAGGGCCTGGTGCTGGTGTTGCTGTTGTGTCGGCTGCTGCGGAGGATGTGGTTCCTGTTCCTGTTCCTGTTCCTGTTCCTGTTCCTGTGGCAGCAGGGGATGTCGTCGTCGTAGTAGCAGTAGTAGTAGTAGCAGAAGACGGAGGATGGGGAGGAGGGTGCCAGTGTTTGATACGACCGTCAACGTCGGTGACGGCGTGGAGGGTCGCGGGGAGATTGGCCGGTTGCGGGGCGCCAGCGGGCAGGAGGATGCTGTGGAGCGTGAGGGTGCAGGCGAGGCCGGGAGCCGGGGTGCCGTTAAAGGTGTTGAGGATATGGCAGGTTATTGGGTCGCGGTCTGCCATTTTTTTTATGTGTATTTGTTTGTGCAATTCAAGTTCTTGTGGAAGAGGGGCAGTTTTCCAGGTTCCCCAGCGCAAGCTGTGGTGTTTCTTTGAATGGGAAAGTTTTTGATTATTTTTGTATTTTTATTAATTTTATTTCCTTTCATCTGCTTTCCTTAATTTTTAAATTCGAGGCTCGGTTCAGGGATGTGGAGATTTGGACCGTTTGCTTGTTCCTTTTGGCAAGGGGTGGAATTTTCGGGCCGGTAATTGTAGGTAGTAAGCAAGAGGGTGAATGACTTAAAATGAGTTGGTTGTGAGTAGCGGCTAGCTTTGAAGATTGGAATGAAGAAGGGAAAGAAACAGAAGATCAGCTCTGGAAGTGAGTAAACAGGTAAATATCCGCACTCGAGCGTCTGGAACAAATGCGGCCCCTCCGTCGTTTTTGTGGGGCGTCAAACAATCTGCACAATGGAAGTCCCAACACACGATTTCAGTTAAGCTCGGATCTCAAACCCTCTCCCCAGGTGGATAGTTAATAAACTCAAGAGCTTTGGAGGGAAGGCAGAGAAGCCGATGTGGAATGCTTTATCCTGCCGGGAGAGTTCAAGGCATGACGTATATCCAAGTCTCGATATCGCTGCCCAGAGTGGCGCCTGTCACGCCTGTCATCGCTTACACGGACTGGAATATCATAATGCCGGTCGCCTATCTGCCTAGTGGCGCAACGTCCTCCCTCACCTCAACAAGTATATATCAGGCTTCAGGATAAGTTGGCATGTTGCTCGGGAGACAAACAATAATCTTAGAAACATTAAAGAGGAATCTCATTACCTTGTTTCCTCCTCATAGGTCCTGCAAAAAAGCTTTTGATTTCTAGGTAAGCCGAGAAGCTTCCTGCCGAGAAGCAATTCGATTGCCTATCATCCAGGGCGAAATAGTTCAGAGTTGTCGCTGTGCTCAATGAAAATAGACTTCTTGGGAGTAAACTAACTGGCAATGGCTAGTTTTCCTATTATATTTTCCCGTCCTTCAGTTCCCCGGCGACATTCGTCTTTAGAGCAATCGAGCTCAGTTTCTTCGCCCACATACCCACCATCACACTCCCGATCCGAGACCCATTCTTTCGAACTGCTCCCAAGAGACATATTTGGGCAAAATACATCCAGCCTAGTCTCAAACATCCCCTCTCCAGTCCCCTAAATCTACGCACAAACACCAAACCAACGAATTGCAATATCGCTGCCTACCATGTCATCCACCGCCATGGTCTCCGGAGACGACTCGCTCGAGCCCACCCTGCAAAGCCTCCTGGACCAAAAGACGCTTCGATGGGTATTTGTCGGTGGGAAAGGAGGTGTCGGCAAGACAACTACCTCATGCTCACTAGCAATCCAGCTTGCCAAAGTCCGCAAATCTGTTCTGCTCATTTCCACCGACCCAGCCCATAACCTGAGTGATGCGTTCGGACAAAAATTCGGAAAAGAGGCGAGGCTGGTCGACGGCTTTGACAATCTGAGTGCCATGGAAATTGACCCTAATGGGAGCATACAAGATCTGCTCTCCACGGGGGGTGATCAGGCAGATGACCCCATGGCTGGGCTGGGGCTGGGTGGCATGATGCAGGATTTGGCATTCAGCGTAAGTTCTTTTACTTCTTTTTTTATGAGAGTATGGTATGTAATAGGAGGGATGGTGAATATGTAATAAAAAAATTTTTTTTATAGATACCCGGTGTCGATGAAGCTATGTCGTTCGCTGAAGTCCTGAAACAAGTCAAATCCCTCTCGTACGAGGTAATCGTATTCGACACTGCGCCAACCGGCCATACCCTCCGCTTCCTTCAATTCCCCACTGTACTAGAAAAGGCTCTTGCGAAACTATCTCAACTATCCTCCCAATTCGGCCCGATGCTGAACTCCATCCTTGGTGCGCGTGGTGGGCTCCCCGGTGGTCAAAACCTAGACGAGATCCTCTCGAAGATGGAATCGCTCCGAGAGACGATTGGAGAAGTGAATGCGCAGTTTAAAGATGCCGACCTCACAACGTTCGTCTGCGTATGCATCGCAGAGTTCCTGTCCCTGTATGAAACCGAGCGGATGATCCAGGAGCTTACAAGTTACCAAATCGATACACACTGCATTGTGGTCAATCAGCTGCTATTCCCCGGTAAGGACAGCTCGTGCGAGCAGTGCAAGGCCCGAAGGAAAATGCAGAAAAAGTATTTGAATGAGATCGAAGATCTGTATGAGGATTTTAACGTCGTGCGGATGCCGATGTTGGTAGAGGAAGTGCGGGGGAAAGAGAAACTTGAGAAGTAAGTCAGTTCCGTGTCTGTGACGATTGCTGTTTCTGAGGGGAGTATCGAACATCGAAAACGAATGAAAGGCGCTTTGCTAACCAGTAAACCCTTCCCCTTTTCCCCCTCCGAACACTAGGTTTAGCGATATGCTTGTAAACCCATACGTTCCACCTGAAGAGTGATTGACTGATTGATTCATAATACAAAATAGATAGCCATCGTGAACCTAGGTCTTACGTATAAAAAGCGAAAGAATAGAAAAAAAATTTTTTTTGAACGAAGCCAGCTTTCCTTTTCCCACTTGAACTTTTTCACCCCGTACATACGTTCTATCCCAGTTCGTTGTCGTCGTAATGGAACGTTCCCTCCCAAATTCCTTTGTCCTTCGTGCACTCACGAGCAAGCAAACAGCCGGGCTTGGAAATTCATTCCCAAACAACCTACACTTTGCGGAGGCCCTCTCCCTCTCTTTCTCTCTAATCATATATATATATCTATATATGATTATAGGACTCACCCAACTAACCAATGCCTTTCATTTAGAATCTCACCCTTTTTATTTCAATCACTTTCCTCTGGTTCCATCAGGACGAGCTTAAGGGGTGTAATTTACCGACGCTCCAAGGGCAGTGTCTGGACGTCCGGCGACAACCGAAAGAAATCATTATTTTCTTCTGCTCTTCGGACAATAATTCCCATGGCATCACGATTGCTTGAAACATCTACATATCGTCTGGTATCCGCTCTTAACTTATTCATTTCGCGGAAAAGGGCCACTCAATGAAGGCAAGAATAGTCCCCACGTTGAGTCTGGAAGTATAACGAACAAGAAAAACAAAGGAAACTCCTGTTACCCTACATCTTACCCAACCCGTCAAATTAATACTTGCAAAACCTTCCAGGAATCTTCCCCCACTGTTATTGCGCGCCCCACTTGTTCAGGCTACCCTCCATCTCTGTATTGGGGTCAGCCATTCAGAACCACAGGGACGTAGCTGGGTGAGCAGAAAAGTTGCATCTTGTCGAACCTTTCCCAGCTACTTCCGGTTTATGAGTGACTGAGGACCTAATGCCCCTGGGCGCCTTGCGAAAAAAGCATATTTCCAGTTTTGCTTCTGGGAATCAAGAGTGAATGACCCTTTCGGAGCCTGCCAGTTGGGATATGCTGTAAACTGGCTAAACTTTGGAAAGACTTGAGTATGAATTGGAAAACGCGGAAAGTGAGGCGATCTTCCAAGGTTTCCACTTCCTCTCCCCCCCCTCCCCCCGCAAGGATTAAAATCATCATCAAGCTGTTTTTATTGATGGTCATGTCGGAGCGGTGATTAATCGTCCGAATATTAACCCAATTACTGAATATCGGTATATAACGAATGAATTGAATTGAATTGACTTAATCATCTACATCCTGATAATTACAAGTTAAAGAAAGCATTATTTATAAGGAAAGGAATGCTCGATTACATGAGCTGAAGGATATTCTAGATAGGGCATGTTGAACATGTTTAATTTTTCGGACCGGAACAATTTTTGGCATGGTTAATGCATCCACCATTATCATGGTTAAAATGTTACAAAAACCATGTTCAACTTGAGTGTCAACTAGTGATAATATCTAACAATGATATCTAGTGATGGTATATATTGATGATGATGCCCAGTGATGATATATATATATATATCAATGATGATGTCTAGTGATGATAGCTAATGATGGTATATATTGATGATGATGATAGCTATCAATGATATACATAATAGCGATAGTTATTACCAGTGTGAAAAATTGAGCATGGTTTATCTACAAGACCCACTTTATCAAACCATGTTCAACTTTCAATAAACCACGTTCAACTGTAACCCGTCTAGATAGTTAACTTTTTACTTTGCCAAAAATGAGTCATGAATGAGGGAGGCAATGCGAACTTACCAAGATATCCTAAAAGGTTATCTTCTAACATGGTCAAATTCATCAGTTAGTTGTTCTTCCTCTTGTCGCACAACCCTCGAACAGTGCCTCTTGCTTCTGCAACTGAAAATACTAACAGGGCTGTACTTGCATCTTCTTTTTCTTCGTGTGACTCCTTCCTCATCCGTCAACGGTTGGCCAAACCACATTCATAAACATCTTTTGAAAAAAGACTCCTGTAAACTCCTGTAAGTATGCTTTCTCAACTGCAAACATGCCAACAGTCAAAGAATTGAGAAGTGAACTTAGGGCTCTCGGCCTGTCTTCGACAGGCAGAAAAGCTGCTCTCGAGCAGCGACTGAGACAGCCAAGGAGAAGTCAGCGACGTCGGATTCGCAACTGTCAACACCCGACGGCCACTGCGATGCACTCATGGCAGTGAGAATCGAAGTCGGGGACCCATCCACAATGATTGAGCGTGCCGAAGAGGCCTTATTGGACTCAGTTAACAAAGAGGAACTACAGTTCACCATGGTCAACGGAAACCCAATAGTCACAAATACACGAGCGCTCAAATACGCAGAGTCGCATTTCAACAGACCGATCCTCGAGGACCGCTTGAATGCGACAGAATCCCGCTTGTCCGCCATGGAGAACAAACTAGAGTTAGCAGAATGCCGTATCTCTGACCTCGAGAGGTCAGTTTTCGATCTTAAAGCTGTCAGAAACCGGTTCATCAGCACTTACAAACGGGATATACTTTCCAACGACACCGAGAAAGATAAGGTGGCCATCAAGACTGGAAATCATTTTGTACATGGAGGGGACTGTAAAAGAGATGCAGAATTATATGAAGCTCCAGCACTTCGTCGCGATTTCGATACCTACATCAAGCTTTACGGCCTTCATCCTGGAATTGTCCGCTCTTCAATTTGTAAGTATTTTTGCAGTTGGGATATTGATTGACTGATGCTAATAAATTTAAAGCATACCGTCCGACAATTGACCTCCTCGATAGACACGCTACTACTGTCGCTGACAAAAATATCGAGCTTCCTACGAAGTTTAACGACCTGTTTGTCAACTTCATAAAGGCCCTTGAAACTTCAAATTTTGAAGAAGACTATCTCGCCAACCCAAAGTCAGATGTTACAGTTGCATATTGGGCCTTTTTTCAGTCCTGCCCCTAGTAGTCTTTGCTGCGATTATAGCTCCTCGATAACGATGCCAAAACTACTTTTGAGAGGGACCACCAATGTTGACCTATTCCATTCCTGCACCATTATTGTATGTTAACTTAGTATGACATTCTTTCATGCGCACCATGCATGAATTTTGCAAGTCTTGCAGGGCATTTCTACCACTTTGCTTGATGGGGTTCGCCATCCAATGCAAGCTCATGCCCTTAATAACTTTGTATTTGTATTAGGATTTGGAGTGCAATAAAGATATTGCTGTTTTCTTTCGTCTAAGTAGACCATCTTCCAGCTACATCAACTTTGTTGACATGATCTTCTACAATTTAACCTCACTTGCACTCTTGCCTCAACCCCCCTTCCTTCCACTTTACATCCTTTAACTTTGTAGCCTTCCCAGGATGCACAGAGGAGCGGAGGCACCCGGGCGAAGAAACGCGCAGGCCAAAAGGTTCGCAGTAGTCTTACAGGAATATCTGCAACAAAATGGTAATTCGAGACCGCGGAAGGAATAACGGCCAAATCGCGGAAGAACACGATACTTTCACTCCTGCACCGGGAGAAGCGAAGTGCATACAAAGCTCTCACAATGTTTCGTATGGGCCAAGTAGGAACGATCTGGATGGACACCGCCAAACTCGATTCAAAGTGAGGCGGCGTAAACGGGGCGACCCTTGTTGTCTGCTTGCTGTCATTAAACTTGTCCAATATGGGTTTCGGGAAATATGCCGCCATGCCATTTCAAGTCTAGTGCCGTCAGCCCTGCCGAAAGCTTGGATGAGGTCATTCAACATCCGAAATGGGACTTCAGGATGTATCCGCAAGCTTCATATAAATATGGCCACTCATTCCCTCTGTGAAATGGATTTAGTTTGCCTTACTTATATCACTCTCCGTGTATTCCTTGTATATCAGTCTCTTCGTCTTTCAACATCTATCTATCTACTCTTCTTGCTTAAACCACATTGATCAAACCGACTCAAAGGTTCATTGATACCTCCAATCTTGACCTTTTGCAGAATGCCTCAATCTCAGCAATATTGGCTCCCCGGATATGGGCTATCACGTCATGTCGTCGTTACCCAAATACAATTTTTCCTGGGGCCTGCTTCTTCGGCCAGGCCGTTTAGTTTTCAGGTATGGGCACCCGTTGCGTGAATTAAGTGCTGTCAGATCTAACCCAGATTGCAGGGACGTGAAGGCTACCTTATAACTGGGACGCGTCTGACTCGGGTATGTTCTGACCTCATGTTAAAAGGGGGAGCTCCCTTCCGTTCTCAAGGTTATGATCTAACATTTTGCATAGCAGCAAATCGAGGATCTAACGACCATGTCTTTGGAATACGAGAAAGGTGCTGCTATGAGGATGGCTCACAACAACCTCAATTTTACTACCAACGGCAAATCGGCACAGTATATCAATGAATTGGTAAGCTTTGGACCACGCGATCAGGAACCAGAACTTCCCACCGATCGAAAAAACGACCGCGAAAGAGAAACCGAGAGAAATGGAGACAGATACGTTCCATCGGACCGTCGTACCCGGCAGAAACAATCGTGGTGAAAATAATATTTGCCAATCGTATCATCCGATCATTTACGTTCAAAAACCTCTGCCGGTGTTTGGACATTAGGGAAGGGCTTTTCGAAAGTTCTTAGCAATTTTCTCACCTGCGACAAGTTGATCCGTCTCCCAAAATAACTCGCTCGGGGGTTGGGGTGGAAACGGGCCTGGGATTTGGAATCGGCAACGTCACGGTTACTTTCAGGCGATTGGAATAGGACGGATATCGTTGGTTTTTTCGGAATGGAAGCGATACGGAGTTTCGAAGGAGTTATTGGATAGCGAAAAAATCTGTAATCGACTTGTTTCACTATTTTCTATCCAAATCGACTTTTTCGTGCTGAACAATTCTGTGCATGAGTGTTTTCGAATCGCCTTCCTTCCTCCACCCTAATATCGATTTCAGGCTTACTTCCGCAAGTGGTAAGCTAATACGCACATAGAAATCCTACCTCCGAAAATACCAGTACAGGACCCGGGATACATCGCGGGGCTGAAGCAGAAACGGGGATACAGTGGGCAACAGAACACTTTTACAGACCTTGGATCATCCCCTAAGGCCTTGGAAATTCAATGGACTTCACATTCCTCCGGACAACCAACCACTTCAAGCCGTGGGTTTCCTATTTTTGGGATTTCTAAATTGGATGATGGTATAGAGCTTCTGATTAGTTGTTCCCTCATCTTGTCCCAGTGAACAAAAGCTAAGCCTGTATGAAAATAATATATCATCTGAAAGGCCGGTCTGGAAAAAGGATCCAGTCCACCAATTCCTCAGGATGTTCCCGTTACGAGACGAGATGCTGATCTCCATCGCCGCCTGTATTCCCTGGACTGGGCCACGTTTCATTCCAACTTACCTATTTTTCTTTGGCAATATCATAGGTATATTTAAAAAGGATAGAAAGGATAGAAAAGCAAAATAAGTTTTTTGGCCTTAAAATAGCCATCTTGAAGGTCTCTATATCTGCCCCGTTAAGTCTCTTGCCTGGCATCAGCGCTACTCCCAACAATATCTCCCCATTGCCTCCCTGGAAGACTTCGGCTGAACCAAACGCCACCCACCAAACTGTGTACCCATCTGATTTCTGTGCCAATGAGACTGCTCCCACAACTTCTCAACACGGATTGCAACCTTGCATTATCCTTCACCAGGCAATCGATTTCAAGTCTAACGTCAAATCACGAATCACATTTTGTTCGACAACTTCATCCACCCTAGCAAAGAGATAAATGCCTTGCAGTTCTATCACTCAGTTTTGCCCCTCGCGAGCTCCATTTCTGGAAACCTGCATCATCCTACTACGTTTCGTCCACTACATGCTGTGAAGCTCCATCACTCTATCACAATACCCTACATGAGGTCTTGTTACATGCCGTTGGACATTGGGCCAATGTTGCGGAAGAGGATGTCGGTGGTCATTTAATATTGTGATTTCTTTCAATGGACATTTTGGTGCAGGCAGCGAAAATTTCTGTGTCAATGTATCCTCAGACGGAAACAAGCATCCGACCTCCAGCGGAAAACAAGAACCAGGGCTTGAATAACGAATACACCATCGTTATCTGACCGACCACGGAACATCACTCCGGCTATCATGAGGATAAACCCGTGACCCACGTCGTCCCCTGCCTATATGAATGCGGACCGGTAGTTTCGCCATTATATTTCTCGATGGCTGAAGCAACAGGAAGACGACTACTGCTGAACCCTTTCTCCTCCCACCGCTCCACCCACCCTGCCATGAGTCGGTTTTATTCGGACGAGCTTTGTGCACTTGTGGGAAACCAGCGGTCAATGGCTACTGTTACTGCTGCTGCTGCTGCTATAATGTCCATATTCACCGACGGTAATCGCTTGTAATATCGCTTTTATAAAACAAATCTTAGCTAGGTTTGGCTTCTCGGGTGAAATAGATAGGTAGGTAGGTAGTATCCATCCTACATGCGGTCAATCACAACAATGCCACGTCTTTCTAAGGATGACAAAAGGAGACTCAGTAAGTTTAACAATAACCAGTCCATTCCCGCAACCCGACTGAGATCTACGACTGCTGTGAAAATCCTCTATCACATGGGCCAAGGAGAAAGAAAACCTTGAGAAGAAGCGCAAATAGTCGACAAAAATTCCGAATCAAATAACAAAAAATATTTTTTTTAAAAAAAACAAAAATGTTAAAACGCCAGCCAGATGCCCAACGGCCATTCATCATAGGGGTAGATCGACATAAGGTCGCGAAAAGGAAAAAGCGGAACTTCACGTGCAACAAGATATTTTTCTTTTTCTAGGACAAAAAGAAGAATAGAGACCGAGGGATTAAAAAAAAAAGAAAGAAAGAAAGAAAGAGTAGGCCGCATGTTGTATCATTAAATCCCGTTTCCAGTCCTTCTCTCGTTATTTCAATCGAACTACTAACTTCTATCCGTAATCATCTCTTTCTCGATTATACTTATTTGGCGACAGCCGCACTATTACGGAGAATTGGAATTAGTAAATTTATATATTATACGAAATACAGAGAAAGAGACAAAACTGCTTACCTCAACACTTGCGTTCTGAAAAATGCACCCTTGGTTCTCTCGATGACTTGCTGATATACTGACTGGGGTGGATGGTTCATAAGAACAGTCCCTTCTTTGTAGTCGATTTTCGCATCGACACGAGTGTCACGGATAAGGTTGACAATCCACTTCTCGCCTTCGTCTTGGTTCAGACCAAGTCGGGTAGATAGATCCCTACAAATTCGCTGTTAGTTTGGTGTACATATTTCTTGGAGGGGAAAAAAAACGACATACTTGATATCGATACGCTGGTGAATCTTGCAGTAGCTCTCCGAGATCAAATGTCTTGCCGCATCGACAAATGCATCTGCCGCGGCAACGAGGAAGAAATCATTCCTCAGAATCTCCTCCGCCTCGCCCAGCTTCTGCTGAGCCCCTTCGAAATCGAAATCGATGTACAACGCCTTAATGAAGTCTACGATGGGATCTTGATATTCATATTGCTCTTGTCGTACCACGCGAATGAGGTCTTTCAATTGCTTTTGATACAGTGATGTATTCTTATGGGCACGGCTGCGGCTGGTGATAACTGCAGCAGCAAGATATCGAAGAATCCATGGGCAAGCGGTTTGGATCGTGTTGATGTAGGCAGGGGAGAAGAAAAGATCGGTCAGAGTGTCACGGGCAGGGTCGTGGTTAAAGAAGGGGAAGAGGGACCAGTGGATCAGCCAGGTGCGATGCTGGAGCTGGGCGAGCGGGTTGTTAAACAGGCGGGTATCGATTGATTCCTTTACTTTTTGGACTTCCTCCATCGCAGCCTCCCAGTTGGTGGTCAGGATTTCCGAGGCAAGCTTGCCCCACGTAGCAGACGCAACCTTGTCGTTATCAGTAGACAGGACACGGAACTGGTAAAGCAGCTCAGCAGCGTTTGCATAGCTACCACAGCTATATTGAAACCGGCCATAGTCGTAAAGAATATTAACCATATCCATCGTCACACCATGTTGTTCCTCAAGAAATTTCAAGTTCGCGGCCTTGTCGTTTCGTAGATTGCTGACCACATTATCGTCCTGCAAAAGCTCTGTGATTTTGCTGCTGTCCTCAACGTATTGCTGCAATTTCTTTACAACTTCTTCCCGCTTCTTGACGAATTCCTCAGGCATTGTCTCGGAGTTGTTGATTTCCTGCCACAGGTTCGCGACGTAGTCTGTCATGTTTGTCTGCTTCAGAAGCTCATATTTTGCCTTGGTTAATTCGTCGACCTGTTCATCCCCTTCCTCCTGGCCAGATGCAAACTCGAGCAAGGGGAAAACGAGGTGACGATCGAGGTAGGGCATGAGTTTTGGGAGAAGATCATATTCTTTGGCGATCTCCTCGGGGGTCTTTGCGGAACGCGATGCGGCACCCTTCAGCAGGGTGTCAGCAGACGGGGGTATCTTGTCTGTCATGGTGAAATAGCGGCTGCAGCGGTGGGATGGGATATAGGGTGTCTGGCTGATGCGTTCGGGAGCTTTGCGAAACTGTTCAAAATGGAAGTTCAAAATGTAGTGGGAGCCGCAAAAAGTTCGCACTAGGCCGAATAAAGATAGTGCAGTGTCTGCTCCAAGCTTGGATAAAAAAAAACCGACGTCAAATTGATATCACGACCACAACACGCGGGGAACAATCGGAAGACGATTCCTGCCAACAGCTGAAGGCTATCAAACTGTAACGATACCCTCGTTCCTCAGTTCTATACCCCTCTACTTAGTGTCTAATTCGTTAACCCCAGCCCTTAACCTCAACAACTTCTGTCCGTTGGTTCTAAGCTTTTAACATGGCCGCTCTCCTCCCTTCATCACCCGTCTCGTCGGTGCTTCGCCGACAATACTCAATGCTCTCTTTATTCCTTAGATCAAATTCGTCTAGCAAGCCGTCATTTTCGTCGCTATCACAACCTCTTCCACGGACTCGGACATGTAGATCGCGTAAATTTACCCTTTCCCTTCTACTCTAGCAACGCTATCCATCGCACCCATAGTGGATAGACGGATCGCTTGGTTGACAATTACATTCTATTTTTTCAAAAGAATATATCTAACCTTCCCTAGAATCCCTAAACCGCCCGTTTATATCCCTCACCACACAAGCCCGTCATATCACTACCCGAATCACTCGACCATTCACACAATCCAACTCCACAAAGCCAAACAAATCGACACCCACAACCACACAGCCTGCTCCAGTCCATCCTCCTCTTCCCCTCACGAACCTCCCCTACTTCATCCGTCGCACCCCTTCAAACCAATTGCCCGTCTACCTAGTAACCAAAGCTGGTGGCACGAAGCAGGAGACGAAGATCCAGAAAACCGAGGGAGATGTTGATGCGCTATGTTCGGATTTGGCGAAGACACTAGGGATAGAGCCGAATTCCAAAGATATATATATCAATCGATTAAATGGACATGTAGTTGTTAAGGTGTGTATTTGTGTTTGTTTACTCACCCTTTCTTCAGTTCTCCCGTCATTTGCCCAAAACGGAAAGAAAAAGAAAAAAAGAGGAAAAATAGAAAAATAAACTCCAAAACCCTCAAGACTATAAGATTATACAAGGGGGGAACATTAATTTAACTGGTGTCCATGGAATAACACAAAATCCAACCTGTAAAACACTAACAAAAAACCTGGAAAAAAATTTAGGGCTGGCGGAAACCGGAAATCCAACAATTCTTATTAGATCGAAAATTCTAATAGGAGGAAAGAAGAACAACGGGAGGAGTTAGCCCGGGGGCGGGGGGATGGATATCGAAAGAACGAACAAGATTTTCTATATTCCGACGACACAGCTCCCAACTCCCTATTTGTATATATTCCGTCCATCCCATCCGTAACGCACGAGTTTAAGCACAATACAACTCACCTTTAAAAAAAAGAAAAGGAAAGAAAAGAGAAAAAGGAGGGTGGAAAGGACACGTCCCTACCAATCATTGATAAACGACGAAGAGAGGTGGAATGTTATGTGTTTGCTTGCGCAGGGACGTAAAAATTTTTGCGATACCATTTTCTTTTTTCTTTTCTTCTTTTTCTTTTTCTTCTTTTTTTTTTTGCCCAGTCAGAGTTATTCAGGAGGGGGTGGAACGTATCAATTGACACCGTTCTTCTTTGCACTCTTGGTTCTCGTTCTCCTTCTTGTTCCCTGCGGAGCTTATCTCAAAATTACGTGTCACCTTCATCACCATCATCATATCATCAAAACAATTCCATTCCATCCCATTCCATTTCTTATTCGTTGTTTCTCCAGAAGAGTTCCCATTTCCACTTCCATTTCATTTCAGCTTATTTTGCTTACGCGCGTCTCGTTCGTAACATTGCACATGTCCTGTACATACTATATTTTTTGTATATTTTCTCACGTCATGTATTCACCCCCTCCTTCTCACTATGTTGTCACGTACAGTGACATTTTTACGAAGTTGTTCCAAGCAGCGGACGACGGCGATGTAGACGGGTAGATAGGCAAATAGGTAGGTAGGTAGGTAGGTAGGTAGGTAGGTGTTGTATCAATTCGCCATTGCACAAAACCAGCACGACACAATAAGAAGAAAAAAGGAAAAGGAAAAGGAAAAGGAAATGAATGTCGATTCTTTCATGATAAACATCATTCCTTTAACCATGATGATATAATAGTGAGTTATCAATCAAGTGCTTTAACATTCAAAGGATCCAGCACCTCCTAGCTACTAGTGAACGAGAATAGAACAGCCCATTTTCTTTTTCGAAATGAATTTAAAGTAAATCGAAAATTAAAAGTAAAAGTAAATGCAACGAGAAGAAAAGATAGATAAAATCCCTTGCACAGTAAGAAACATATACCACTAACCGTATACACACGCGTGCGTAGATAGACAAGGCCAAAAATGAACATGAGAAGGATACATACAAGACAAAAAATTGAAGACGAAGAATGATATATGTAGGGTAGCTAGCTAGATACACAATAAAAAACCAAATCAATCAATCAATCCCTCACTCACTCACTCACGACAAAAACGAAAATGAAAAATACAGTGGAAAATATAAAAACACTCAAGATTGAGAGGGGGAGACAGAGACAGAGACAGATGAGGTAGGACGAAGAAAGAAAAAAAGAAAAAGGCGAAAAAAGAAGGAAAGAGGGAAAACAAACGGAGGAAGGATTCGTCGACAACCCCAATTTGCCCCCTGTACTCTGCATTCGCATTGAATTGCGTTGCACATCCGCCCATTCCGTCCTGTTGAGAATACCTTCTCCTTCACACAAAATACAGACAAGGATAAAGATAAGGATAAAAGCATATATATATATATATATATTGACGCCCCATTCCAACCCAGCCAAGCCTGGCTGAACAAAAAAAATACAAAAGTGAATAAAAATGAATAGCAAAGGCATAATGCAAAAAGGAAGAACAGACCAAGGTAAATCTCAACCTCCCAACCCCGCATATTCACAAAGCTGCCTTACAACATTTGGATCAATATTCGGCGTCAAAAGTGCGCCGAGCAAATTCTCCTTCTTCGGCAACACTCCCAACGGAACTTCACCCTCTTTACTCCCATTTCCACTTCCACTTCCACTCCCTCCCGCATTATTATTACCGCCACCGCTAGTAGAATCCGCCATCCTCGACTTCCGCGCAAGGCGCACAAGGGTCGCTAGTGCCCGCGACGTAATGGACCCATAGCCATGGAATTCCACCTCCGCAGCCCGGGCGCCTGGGTGGCTACCGTGCCGGTGCGACACTGCCGTCGCTGAGGACGAGGTCACCGAAGAAGCGGAGGCGTTCCCTGCTGTGCGATCTATGCTCAGGAGACAGGCGAGGCGGAGCAGGCTGGTGGCAAAGCCATCGGTCGATTCGAGCCAGGAGCGCGCGATGGTGTTATCTGCGAAGCCGGAGAGGATCTCTGCGGCGAGCATGCCTTGCATGAGTAGTGGTTTGCGGGCGTCGACTAGGCCAACGATGTTTCCTCGCATGTGCTTTGGGATGGCGGCGATGGAGAGGCCCAAGGTTCGTGTGAGTAGTTCATAGGGGGGTGATGAGGCGCAGTCCTGAGCGAAAATGGCTTTGTAGTAGGTGCGATTTGGGTCGTCTCGCGCAAGTAGTTTGGCCAAGCTGTCTACGGCGGCAGGCATGTATTTGTGTATGCTTGGGTTGTATGGCGTGAACATAATAGTGTTATTACCGAAAGAGGTTGGGACAGGAGTCGGGGCAAAGGATAAAAGGAAATGTAATAAACAGAGTGCTTCGTCCTTTCCAGGAAGTTGAATAGAATGAGACAGATTGCTGAGGTAAATGACGGCGTCTTTCATGAAATCCAGGGTATTTTGGTGAGTTCGTAACAACATGTTTCTTGTTCCTAAATACCGTATTATCGTCGATATAAATCGGACGACAAAGGGCATACCCAGCGAAGCCAGGTTCGATTCAGCGAAGGAGAAGTTTCGTATGATGGTAGTGATACAGATGAGCCGGTCCACGGCGCGATCGAGTTCATAATCTAGGCTGCCAAACTCTGGTACATCCAGCAAAGCTTCCATCTCTTGCCGACAGCCTCGGAAAACCTCCTCATACGACGGAAAAAGCATAACATCAGAAACTTCAGCCGCGTTCTCCGCAAGAAGCTCTGCTTGTTCCTCAGCGCACTCGACCAGTGCTTCAACGAGGTCTTCGCAATTATCGAGTGAAACCTGTATCGATCGTTCATTGGACATCTCCGTCAAGGTGTCCAACGCCATGCGCATCTCGGCGTGAATGCCCGATTTAATGCTCATGGTCAGAGCGTGAATATCGATTACCCCAAGTTCCAAAAAACTAGGTACATTAGGTTTCAATCGTATAATTTCTTCGCCTAGTTGGAACATTTCGTCCACAATAATAGGCCCATGATATTGGCTTTCAGGAAACACAGCAGGTTTGAACGTGTCTTCTATAGGTCGTCGCCAAGATGTGCTCGTCAGTTCCTCACCCGCCATACCGCCACTGCCAGGTTGCGATTTTGTCACAACGGGACTGGGCTTTTTCTCCACTTGGATAGGGGATGCTGAAAACTGGGCAACCCGTCCATTAGGAGACATCGACTCTGGTGGCCGGGACAAACTCGATCGTTGCTGATGGCTAGTATGCTTCTGCTGTTGAGATTTAGATTGTGACGGAGTCGCGAAGCCATTTACCGGTATAGGAGGGGCGTGATTATGCGATTGTACTTGCTGGTTCTGAGCCGAGACCGGGGAGAATTGTTGGGTCATGGGCATGTCGAAGGAATGGTTGCCCATGGGCTTGGCGGGTGACATTTGAGGGTTAATGCCGAGAGGGCCTTCTAGAGGATCCCGCTGGGAACTACCGTGCATCTGATCTGTGAATTGTTTCTGCTGCGAACTTAACCACGCTTGTTCATATTGCGCGAGGGAGTTCATGTAGTGTTCACGGATCTCCTGCGCTGCTGTTGGATACTGCATGGCGGGAAACTGTAGTTGTTGGGCCACCACAGGCCACAAGTTTGTCGCAATAATCTTTTTTGAGCCACCCATCTTCATGACAGTCGCATATAGCTGCATCAGATTGAGTGGTCGTCCACTGACGACGGGGGTCAGGTTGACTTGAGGATGGCCCCGTGACATCCAGAACCGTTGAAGGACCTGTAAAAACCCTTCTTGACTCGTAGGTTTAGCCATATTTTGCTGTATTTGTCGCATGGTCGCCATATGGGGATGTTGCATAGGGGTCTGCCCCGTTCCACCAGGGCCAATTGGACGCCCCACTGAAACAGGAGAGGCAACTGCCTGCATCTGGCGCGCTTGGTTTTGGAGCCGAATTTGATAAGGCCGCTGTTTCGAAGACATTTGCTGTTGCTGTTGTGGTGGTGGTGGTTGTTGTGGTGGTTGTTGCTGCTGTTGCTGTGGCTGATGAGGAAATCCTTGCGGGAGATGGGAAGCACTGCTTTGGTTGAATTGCGCTTGCATCGCAGGATGAATGCCAGCGGAAGTCATTGCGGGTGATGGCGAGAAATGGGATCCGACAACCTGGCCATAAGGTTGACCTGGGGGGAAAGGGCTGTTCTGTGGAGTATTGACGCGACTGCCATGATCAGAGTGTGAAGGAGATATTTGTGGGCCAACATGGATTCCAGCGGGCGAAAACGGACTAGGAGACGCAGTTTGCACCCGTTGCACGGCTTGCTGATCAAATTCCGGGAGGATAGGGGATGGGCTCGCATTAGCCGAGCCTCCCGGTTGTAGGTGCTGGTAAGGAGTTGGCGCATGCTGCGGCTGAGGAAATTGCGATGCTCCATTTATCTGTTGGCCCTGATAACCCGGATATGGCACTTGAGGGGTATGCGAACGAGAATTAGGCAAACCACCAGGGGCAAGCCTAGGAGACATGGACATCCCATCATCGGGACGCGGTCGTTTAGAAGGGATCACTGAGTTGGGGTTGTGGAAGCCGGGCGATATAGTCTGGGGGGCGCCATTATTGAACATGCGCTGGAACTGGGCAGGATCGGCAGAGGTAGGTGATTGATGAAGGAAGGCCATCGATGGGTCGATGGTCGGGTTATTAGTGAAAGCGCCATTGTCGTGGTTGGTTATGTTCGCAGTCGCGGCGTCGGAGAGCCAGGCATTCATGGCGTGTAAATTCTAGCTACCCATCCGTCTTAAAAACAGCCATGAGGTGTCAGCAAAACTCAGCAACAATCGGGACCAATACAGTAATCGCATGGCAACGTGACAGGAAATATCATCCAGGAATAAAAACTCTAGGTTAGGCGAAGCCGGGGTTGGTAGCCAGGGGCAAGTAAGGCCAAAAAAAGAGGTGAAGAAGAAAGAAGTCAGATAAAAAAAGGGAAAAGGGAAAAAACGCTAATGCAAATGGACGCGTTCGCTAGGCGGGAGAGGGAGACAAAAGGAAGGATAGCCATATCACAGCATCAAGAGGTTTGTGGGATGAAAACGAGCCGCGAACCCACAAGACACCGCAGCCACAGCGATGAAAAGTCGGAGAATATTATGATGTGGCGTGTCATGGAGCAGATACTTGGGATGATTATAATTGATGTGGACCATGGGAAAGCAAAGGATGAAACTAGGGCAAAGCATAATAATAATAATAATAAACGACAATCAAAAAGGAGCTGCAAAAACTACTTAGCATCGGATATGAAAGTAAGAACGTACCTGACACGATCGATTCTACCAGGCTACGGCAAAGCCAAGGAAGATTGAGCAAGAGTGTGCGTGTATGCGTGCGAGTGGAGGGATGTATGGAATGCTTCTTTTCCTTGATGGGGGGGAATGTGAGTGTGTGTGTTCTGGCTGTTCGTCTCTTCGTTCGCCAGCGCAGGACAACAGAGAGCGGGCTCTCGCGCTTCTTCCCCGGGCTCGCAGGCGCAGGTTCTGGTCGGTCAGTGAGTGCCAGGCAAGGCCGTCGCGGGTTCGACTAAACTCAACCGACTGTTTTCGTTCGCTGGACAGAAGGGACACCAAGGGCACGCTGGGTGGCCGAAAGGAGAAGGCGGTGAGATGGTAAGAAGGATATCACGTGGACGACGGCATAACCCGATTGGGAATGTGGTGACTAATCAGCAAGGTGCCATGTGACTTTGCTTGATGAGTAAGCGGAACGTGCGAACACGTAGAATTAATACTGAGAAGGGTGGGAATTTTGGAGAGCAGGAAAGGCCAGGAAGGAAGGGGGGAAGGGGGTATGGGGGGGATGGGGGAATGGGGGAATGGGGGAATGGGGGCAAAAGGAAAAGGGACGGCAAAGGACAGCAAAGGATAGCGACGAGAATAGTATACAGTATACAGTAGTATGCATACATATTGTAACTAACAGCGGTGGGAGGCTGCTGTTGATCATTGGGGATAGGGCTGAGGATGAACCGGGTGATACCCATAATGACGACAGTAATACATAGACTATGGGGGGAATTCGGGAAATTATAGTTTGAGGAGTCAAACGCACACACAAGACAGGAACTTGGGAACTGGGATCTAGAGAGGCTGCTGTGAGTGTGTGTGTGTGTGTCCGTGTGCGTGTGTATGGCACCCAAAATTAGCCGCCCAGAGAGTGAACGACAAGAAGAGAAATAATGGTAGCATGGGCAGAAAAAGGGGGACAAAGGGGGACAAAGGGGCATAAGAAAATATATGTATCATCATAGGACGTCATCATACCTAGGAAGTATTATTATTTTTACGGGCAAAGAGTTAAAACGAAGCTTTATGGATGTCTTTCCCGGGCGGATGGAGAGCGAGCGTTAGAATAGCCGGCGAAAGAGGCGAGGCGGGTGTGGCCTAGTATTATTTAATTATTATTATGGGTTAATTTAAATCCATCAATCCCTATCATTGGGGGGATCGGGAAAGGGGAGGGGGTAGTGTTTGGCAGAAGGGGCCCAGGAACGGTCAGTAGTAATAATAATAAGTCCCGAGATGGGAACAAATTCGAACCAGGTAAAGAGGCGTCGGAGCACGGCCGTAAGAGTTAAAGAGACTTGCCTGAGGGGGTAAATCAATCGCTGCTGCTGCAGGCCGGGAAGATCGGGTCAGGCCAGAGCTTGTCAGGGTCGGCAGCCTGGTTGGCGGGAACTTGGAAGGGGAAGCGAAGGGCCAAAGATCAGAGGGAGACGAGGCAACGCTGGCAGCGAAGGTGACGGTGACGGGTGACGGTGACGGTGATGACTGACTGACAGACAGACAGACGGACAACACAGGCTCTGACTCTGACTCTGGGGACAGTGGAAGAGGAAACGAGCCGCCTTCCAAGGTTGGTTTGGGTCACTTGGGTGCGCCTGCTGGATCCCTGGGAAAATGCCCAGCCGAGGCTAGCCCGGTGGCGCCTTGTGGCTGCTGATGGCGGCCAATCAGCGCCGCGGGGGGCCCCTCGCCTAGGCCTCTTCGGGCATGGCCGCATTGGTGCTGTTGCACTTGCTGCGAGTCGGTTGTGCATCCTCCAAAAGTCTGCGCATCAAATCTGGATTGGGAGAGAGTTAAAGACAGCAGCAACGAATAACTGGAATAGTTGATATCAATAGTTGATATGAGGAGAACAGGAGTTAGTTAGCTAGTCAGTCAGTCAGTCAGTCAATATAATTGGGGCCCAGCATGATGTAGCAGCAAGTAGCAGCAAGGAAACCCGGTGGTCATAATATATTAGCTTATTGACCATGATGATATGATCTCGACAATGGTCGGGAGCCTTCGGTGCAGAGTTCACAAACGCCCCAGCCAGGCCCGTGGTTTTACCCACTTCGTTCCCAGATCGTTCAGCCATACTCAGGTTCTTCATTACCCCGTCATTACTCGTAATATAATGAAAAGAAAAGAAATGGGAAGAAATTGGAAAGTCAGTCAATCAGTCAGTCCATCGCGTCCAAAAGCTGCAATTTATCATTCAGCTTCCGCCTAGCAAAAAGTGCCAGCAGATCTCCTTTCCTTTTCTTTTTTTTTTCCCTCTCTCTTCTTCCCAGAGATATGTTGATTGATATCGCGAGATCTTCTGGGGAAACCTAGCGAGCATAGTCCCGGAATTCTAGCTCGAGAGGGAAGGGCTGGTTGGCTTTTTAAGGGAATAAGCAGCGGAGTCCTGTGTGACAGCAAGTCGAGGAAGTGAAGATATTATCGGTAATGTATTGCAGCGGTCGCGATGAGTTGGGAGGGGGGAAACATTAAATATATATGGATGTAACCAGTAATTATTGTCCGGATATCACAAACAATGGAGAGGAGAGGGAAAGAAAGATGAAGCCGACGAAGCGGAAGCGGAAATCAACAATAAGAATATAAATAAATACTAAAAACCGGAGGGAAGTGGCGGGCACATCCTGCGCCTTTTATACGTACTCCTATTTATCTATATAGTATGTATTCCGAATGTACTACTGGATAATCATTATCGAGACTTTGGTGGATTTGCTGCGCGTTATTGGCCTTCCCCAGAGTCAATCATTGTTGGAAAAACTCTATTTGCTTCTTCCTCGGATGTTCTCCAGCTGTGCCGGGTAGTTTTATCCCCCCTGCTGGAATCTTCCCCTCTCCCCCCAGGTATTGTATCAAGGGCCCGAGGGTGAAGATGTCGCTGAGACTACTATTATCATTGCTATTTACGAGGGGGACAAATTATACTGGGGGTAGGCTGCCCCTTGCATCCCCGTTAGAGGGGCGTAACAAATGGACATTCAAATAAGTTTTGGGGCAGAACAGAGCGCAGCAATCAAAAGACAATAGATATTCCTCTTCCATCAAATTTGTATAGATGAAGCCATGCTTAAAGCACTGATATAACATAGTTAAACAGAACGAAGCAAACCCATTTAAATCCACCATCAGAATACAAAGTTAAATCTCATCACATTTAAGCATCAAATAAATACTCTGCTGCAAGTCGCAACTACTATTTGATTAATAGAATATATAGTCGGTATCATTGGGTGTTATGTTCAACGGGTTTTAAGTATACCAAGAACACAACAGATTGAGATTTGTTTATGGAATGTCATTAAACACTCAAAAGAACTTTAAAGGAAAGAGGAAGAGATCCTAGTCAATGTCAATTAAAATCATGAGATGGAAGGTTGGTTTATCGTAACCACTCTAGGTTAACCGATCAGACCTTCGGATAACCCTCAGTTATGTGAGAAGGCATTTATCTTACCTTTGTTGAATCCCAAAAAACCTTGTTTCATTTTGATATTATCTTATCGGCAAAAACCATAACTAACAGTTCCCTCGAATCCTTGAGTATGTTCAACAAAATATAAACGATATTATTTACCCCGTTCCTCCTAATATCAGCTCTAATCTAGGTGTCGTATATTGGTGGCAGGATAGGATAGCTAGGCGCCGGATGGACCTATCATAATCCCATATCTCGAATCTCGATACATATCAAAACACCCGTCATGGGGTATGAATGTACAGTACAAATTAGCTCGTCTCAGAGCAAATGGCAGCGGCACCAAGCCCCTCAAACCCTTCCTGTACAACTTTGCGGCCCGCAAGATGATTCGCGAAATCCATGGCCCGTAGAAGACTGAAATCATCGTCGCCGTCAGATTCAGGACGACGGATGAAGTGGTGCAGCATTCCCGCTATGAAGGTGTCGCCTGCCCCGATCGTACTGTTGTTTTTAATTTTGTGGGTTTAATGGGTTAGTAATATAAAGGTAATATGCTGTCTTGTCTCTACTGTCCTCCCCCGTGTTTTATTATTTCCTTTTCAAGGACGCACAAAACCACACGTAGGAAAGGATATTTCGCATACTCAACCACGGGACGTTGCGTGTCTATATACGCCGGCGAATGGATATATTCCATGCTGCCCCTGTGCAAGCATGCTGCTCCACGCTCGCCCCACGTGCAACATAATATCGACCTTAAAAAATCTATTAGATACAGCCAATGTAAGGGTGAGATGGAGTGAATCTTAATATGTCGGGAGGTTTAGGGGTTTAAAAAAAAGGACATACGCTCGGGGCGTTAGAGGCGATTGTGCTCGTAGAAAACCCTCGAGTGATCCGTGGCCGTTTGCCTAGAAAGGAGGGCTGTGAGCAGAACGGTTTTATTGTATTTGTTTATTTTTGCCCCCTGCGTCACAGTAGATAAGAGTGTTTTGATTTGCAGTACCTGCGCCCAACTTTTCGAGTAGAAAACCACGTCTGCTACTGCAGCGAGGTCCTGGAGACCCTCCCGACCCGGTTTTTCGACCTCGACGCTGACTTTGTCACCGGGGAAGCTCTGGCGGAGGTACTGTATGCATTTCAGCGTGACGGCTGGTATGCGGCCCTGGAGAAACTGGTTAGGATATCGCTACATATATAGCACAAAATAAAACAAAAAGAGAAAGAAAGAGAGAAAGAAGATATACACGCCTCAAAGTGAAACCATCTAGGACAACAAGCAGCAGCCGCCAACCTCTCCACAATCTCCACAAACTCCGATACTGTCATCTCTGGCAAATTATTATAGTTTACAATAGTCCTGCTGCCTGTAGAAGCACTCTTAATGATATAACTCGACGCCGCGTCGCTGCATTGTTCACGGTAGATGCAGTGTTGGAGATCGACGCGAGAACCTGGACCGAAGGATGCTTCGAGCTCCCTGGTGGCCGGCGACGATCTCGCAGGTAGTACTGCAATGGCACATAGCGGGGAGGTGGTATTCTGCTGCTGTCTGTCCGATAATATCTGAGCAGCGCTGGCAGTATTTGGAGTATTCATGTCCTTTGAGGAACTACATTCGAGTAGCTGCTGGAGAACTTCGAGTGTGTTCAGAGTGTTTCCGCCCCGTCGTCGGGAGATGTGTGATGCGCGGAGTTTTTCGTCTTCTCCTGGATAGTGGTCTACGCTATGTGGAAATGTTAGTATTGGGGTTTAATAACCCCCTCCCTCTCTCGCCCTCTCTTGATATATACACCTATATTTCTCACGTTAGGATTGTATCAAGATAGCAGGCTCCGATTGTTACAAGATTCCTCATCATGTGTGGTGAGGGGTGCGTAAGCTTTGATATTGGGCTTTTATACTTGGATCGATGTCTAGAATCGTGCCGTTGCAACAAGTCCTGCTATATCGACTGTGAGATGCAAGGATATATAGGTGGATACGATATCATTTACATACGCAGAGACGGTTATGTTATGTTATCTCGAAAGATTGATGGGTTTAGAACCCCGTATGCCAGACCAGATCCGTTTCGACAGAAAGAAGATGGAGACCGTGAGGTTTCGAAAGCCCTAATCATTTTCAAATTACACTAGTATTAAGGCTATTATTTATCACATCCCATCAAGCTTAATCTCCTGGACGAGATACTCCCAAATGTGGATGAGGTTATGAGCTTCACGTGATAATCTTGGCGCTGTGTCGCCTTGCAGTTCCAGCTCGACTTGTCTGGAGCAAGCTCAATGAACAACTACAACCTATTCCGTACCGCTCTTGTACCCATATCTTCCCCCTCCGCACGAGATATTTAGCTGAGCTATCTTCGAAATAAGTCCTCATATTCACCGTTAACATCTCCTTTGCTTCTGTATTGAAATCCAGTAGCTATGGGAGACGTCGTGGTTGCGAGCTCAGCGGCCCTTGCGCCGCCGTACAAAAGGACCACACCTGCACACGCGACCCCGAATATCGATCCTCTGGAAGGAGTTGGAAATGACTATGGAGATGACTATACTACGCTCAAGAGATTGCAACGACACCTAGAGTATGTGCGGATTTGTTTGCGTCGTGCATGTTGACTACGGACTAACATTCGTTATTCAGGTATTTAAACCTTCAGGAGGAATATATCAAGGACGAGCAGAGGTATGATATCTCCAACACCCAAGAAATACTTCATTATCTAATGTCTTCCCAGGAGTTTGAAGCGGGAACTTGTTCGAGCCCAAGAAGAAATTAAACGCATACAAAGTGTTCCCCTTGTTATAGGCCAGTTCATGGAGGCTATCGACCAAAAGTAAGAGGTTCAAACAACAAGGGGTTTTGCGTGTGTCGCTCCTCATGCTAGATATACTAACGACCGTCGCCTTATTACAGCACCGGTATAGTACAATCGTCAACAGGCTCGAATTATGTCGTCCGCATACTATCAACACTTGACCGCGAACTGTTGAAGCCTTCCTCATCCGTCGCTCTACATCGCCATTCCAACTCCCTCGTCGACATACTTCCACCTGAAGCTGATTCTTCCATTGCTATGCTTGGCATTGACGAAAAGCCAGACGTGACATATGCGGACGTGGGAGGACTGGATATGCAGAAACAGGAGATTAGAGAAGCCGTCGAACTACCGCTAACGCATTTCGATTTATACAAACAAATTGGTATTATAATATGCTTGGCGTGATTGATTGTCTAGGTTTTCGGCAACTAACCAAAAGCTCCTATAGGAATCGACCCTCCGCGCGGTGTGCTTCTATATGGACCACCCGGAACCGGCAAAACCATGCTTGTCAAGGCGGTAGCCAACGGCACAACAGCCAACTTCATCCGAGTTGTCGGATCCGAGTTCGTTCAAAAGTACCTAGGCGAAGGTCCTCGAATGGTCCGCGATGTTTTCCGCATGGCCCGCGAAAATGCCCCAGCCATCATCTTCATCGACGAAATCGATGCCATCGCTACAAAGCGATTCGACGCTCAAACAGGTGCTGATCGCGAGGTGCAACGTATCTTGCTGGAATTGCTCAATCAAATGGACGGCTTCGATCAGACAAGCAACGTAAAAGTCATCATGGCGACCAACCGCGCCGACACGCTGGATCCTGCCCTGCTGCGGCCAGGTCGTCTCGATCGCAAGATTGAATTCCCCTCGCTGCGCGATCGACGAGAGCGCCGGTTGATCTTCACCACCATTGCTTCCAAGATGTCTCTGTCGCCGGAGGTAGATCTGGACTCGTTGATTGTTCGGAATGATCCGCTATCGGGCGCTGTCATTGCCGCTATCATGCAGGAAGCTGGCCTGCGGGCAGTTCGCAAGAACAGATACAATATCATCCAGTCGGACTTGGAAGACGCTTATTCGAGCCAAGTCAAGGGAGCACAGGATGCTGATAAGTGCGCTCTCCATTCCTTTCTACATAAAAAAATATCAACCATTATTACACACTTGTTACTGTTGCTAACATTAACCGATAGGTTCGACTTCTACCGCTAAACAAAAGAACAGAAAAGGGGGAAACAACGACCTATGTTTTCTGGGGAGCCACGTATGCATGTTGGACATATTCGTTTTGAAACTTTGCCTTTCCCTCTCTTTATGGGTGCAAGAAGGGAAACTCAGAGACTTGTAGGAAGGAAAGGCAAAGCATAACGGGATCACACAAAGCCTCACCTCCATGCAATCCGATTATTTAAAATCCAATTCATACTGCACCAAAGCAACAAGCACTCTCCATGGTTCTTCCCCACCTTACCTTTTCAAAGGTCTTTTTTTCTTTTATTCGCCCCACAGAATAGAAGCTGAATGAATGGATATCTAAATCCTACGCCAGTGTAAAATAGAATCTATCTATCTTCATATCGTTAACAATTTCTCTCAACCCGGTCCTAGACTTACTATCCTAACCTCAAAACATCTCATACCGTCTTCTTTCGCGCAAGATTTTGCTTATAGCCAGTCTTATCACTACGAAAATAATCCCCCTTTCCCCCGATCTTTAAAAGGCAGGTTCCTCCAAATTCCCCCACAAAAAGAGAAAGCATACGATCCAACGACCAGTCCAACCCCAACCCCAACCCACCAAAGAAAGAAATATAAGACGTAAACCCCCGTAAACTAAACTAAACTAGTTTATCCATCCATATCAAAAAAAAAAAAAAAGAAAAGAAAAGAAAAGAAAAACAATGGACTGAACAATCAATAAAAGAAATCCAAGCCTGTCTACCCACCTACCTACCCACCCACCCACCTACATACATACATACACCACCATGGATAGACCCCCTAAGTACAGTACAGGAATAAACCAACTTCCACTAACTACTATATATATCCTTCCTCACTCAAACCAATGTAGAATACCAGTAAGGGCCGCACTCACTAAAAGCAAAATGGGAAAGGAGATCGAGAAAGCGGGCTTAAGGGGAATATAAAATTTGAAAAAAAAAAAAAAAAAAAAAAAAAAGGATGGCGGGAACGTGCGTGTGAATATATGAATGCATGTAACCGCCCAACATATTTTGCCTGTACGCACAAAAGTAAATTATAAATTTATCATCAAGGGAACCACCGCTGTGAAAAGCAGCTGCTAGCTATACATTTACATATTTCTCTCGGAAATTTGGATTTGGGGGGGGGGGCCGGGGCGGGTGAAACGAAAATGAGAAAAACCGGACGCCTCGCTATGCTGCTTGTTTGATAGATGGATAGGCAGATTCAAGGATGGATGCTGCAGGACGACAAGAGTTGGGGGGATTTCGACGAAATCGGAGGAACAAAAAAAAGAGGCAAAAAGCAAAAAGCAAAACGCAAAACGCAAAACGCGTCTGAGAAGCAAAATGAGCCGGTTTCAGGAAAACGATGAGGACGAGGGACGGGTGTTTGTTCCACACGAGGACCCGAAGGAGTGAAAAGAAGCTCAGTGGTTGAGTCCCTTCACCCTTACTTCATCCAATCTTCACAAAAGATAAATAATCATACCGAGCCGAGCCCTGTGTTTCTCTTCCTCCTCAACTACGCCCCTGGCCCTCCTCCATCCCCTCTATCTTCCTCCCCCTCCCCCTCCCCATCCTCAAAAGCCGCCATCATCTCCCTCTCCAATGCATCCTCATCATCCTCCGGATCCACATCGTCGTTATTATTACTATTATATTCAGTCGTGTCAGACTCATCTCCGATATCGTCATCATCTTCAGCATTTGGCGTGGGGTTCGGTACAGGGACAACATCAGGTGCCTCCGAGGATCCCCTAGACCGGATCGTCGAGACATTTTTCAACCCCGTATTTCTCTCATGGGACAATTTGATCTTTCGCGCCAGGCGCGATGATCCTGAAGAGCTGGCAGCTGGACCACCACCACCGGCACCAGCACCAGCAGCAGATATGGAACCTGAACCTGAACCTGAGCCTGAAGATGCGGTTCCTTCACCCCTATCTTCTCCCGCACTCGACTCCTCATAACTCTCATCGCCGTCCTCGCCTCTTTTCCGCTTCTTTCCGCTGGGCGTCACTGGCCGTTGTTGTTCGCCAAACAACGTCCCAGGCGAGAAATCACTATCGCTCTCACTATCCTCATTATCACTCCCCAAAAATTCCCTCAGCTCATCATGCACCGCGGCCTGCTGCTCCGCATCGTAGCCGATGGGAGAATGCTCTGTGAGTCCCGCGGACTGTAAAATCTCTTTATCGATATCGTTAATGTTGTTATTAGTCCGTACGCGTCGCTTCGATGTATCGCTCTCGGTGTTGTTCCCCTCGCTGTCGCCGTCGTCATCACTACTGTCATCGTCATCTCCTGTCATACCAAAATCCTCTTCCGATGAAGTTAGGAACGAGAAATCATCGAGACTGCCATTGGACTTGCTAGAGTCCCATGGAGACATATCGTCAGCGCCGATCAGCCCCCCCCTATCCTCCGGGTGCACCGGGACAAGGTATGGTTCCTCGTCCAATCGTTTCCACTGGGTTATCGAGTCAAGCAGCCATTGCACCGTTACGATTTTGATGTTAGGGTACCGCGTCGCTTCACGGACTTTGGCGGTGCGGTTCCTGCCGGCGACGAGATGGGTGGTTTTAGAGCTGATCTTGTGCGAGATGATTGCACCGAAACTTTTCGCCCAGAGTGAGATGTCAGCATTTTGCGTGTCGGTTCCGAGGGGTAGGACCCCGGAAAATACCAGGTCCACAGACTGGAGTACGGGCCGCTTGATCTGTGGCATGATGACTTTAATATCAGGTACAATGCGAAGATCGATGTCTTTGTCTTTGGAAGGAACGCGTTGGCCCCTTAAAGCCGAGACTCTCCCTCCAAGTGAACTGGTTCGTCTCCTATCATATTCATCGAAAAAGGCCGTGTGTACCGCCTTGAGCCGCTCTTCAAGTTTGGATAGCTCAGTGTCGTTGTCTTCAAGGAGGTGATGGCGGTGTCTTGAAGAGTCGTGCGAATCAGAGCTGGATGAATCCCCGTTTTCGCCCGCCGCTAACAACTCGGCCGCTTCATCTTCAGCATCTAGTTGCTTCTGTTTCTGCAGCAACGGCCGTTCTTCAACTTGGTGCGCGATCGCCTCTTCCTGCTCAGTGGCCTGTTCTTGGAGCAGCACTGGGTTATCGCCTCCTCCCATGGTAACCAGTTGCTCCAGTGCTGATATTTCCGTTGTCGTTTGCTCATCTGCGTTCGTCGCACTAGACCCATTGGCCGTTGTCCTTGTCGTTTCAGTCTCCTTTGAATCCAGCTCCTTTTTTGACTTGGCCACGCCCAGAGGGAAACCTTTGAACTCCTGTTTTTTCGGGAGGAAACTAGAGTTGATATCTCCAATACCAACGAAAAAATCGTAAGGCACCACCTTGATCAAGTTATCCGTCCACTTCCACACATCTCCTCTGTCATCTATGATAACAACCATTTTCGTATCGACGGGGAAGAGGCGTTGCAGGTTTTTGGCGGTCAAACTCCCACTCTCGTCCCGGCTAAGAATCCTGTCCCCGAAAATCTTGCGGTCCGGATCCACGATGCTTGCGATATGCTGCGCGTACGCGCGGGTCCCCATTGTGTAGATGTGTAGTTCGAACAGCGTGGAAATATTTCGCAGAAACTCTTCTAGCCCAGGCCGTAGTTTGATGTAATACCAACACCCTTTCATGCCAGGCCCATCATCCACAAGCTGAAAAGCGCGCACGTCCTTGACCGCTTCATGGTTCGGGTTATCTTTGTCTTGCTGCCACTCTGCCACCGTCGGATCCACCGTTGCGTGAATAATTGTCTGGTCTAAGTCGACGACGAGGGATAATCGTCTCGACGAGAGGAGCCGGCGTTTCGCATCCTCTTCCACCCTTGTTGCTTCGTTCTCGCTGACCGTCAAAGCAGAGTTATCGTGCACCATGCGAATCGGGGCACGAGAAGAATCCAAAACCTCCGTGTTATAGTTAAACCTATAAATTGAGGGGAAAGCCATCAACAGAGGTTCGAATAACATTCAGAGCAAGAAAGTAGGCATTGAAGAAAGAAAGAAAGAAAGAAAGAAAGAAAGAAAGAAAGAAAGAAAGAAAGAAAGAAAGAAAGAAAGAAAGAAAAGCCCATACTCATTCATATCTTTCCCGCAGCGACCGCACATTCCCCCATACTGAATTTCATGCGAACAAGGCTCATTGATCTCCGCAATATCAATCCTTCCAGATATAAAATAAAAAGTTAGCATCAAGCGCAAATACTTGAGATAAAACAGAAGAATGAATCATATAAATGGAGAACAAAAGAAAAGAAAAGGAAAGGAAAGAAAAGAAAACACTCACGGCTTCTCAATCACAGCGCCCTTCCTAACCTTCCACGCAACCAGCTCCCCATCAACTGCGGACTCAAACCTCGTCGGAAACGTCTTGAGCACGTCATGCTTGTTTCCCAGCCCATCACCTTCCGTCACCGTAGTGCGGTAGTAGTATGCGAAGATGGCCTCGCCCTGCCGGATGTTATCGCCAGGGCGCTTCAACAGCTCTGTGACGGTGATGGGGTAGTGGAGGCTGGCAGATAGTCGCAGAAGCATTCCTTTGGGAAGGAGAAAATGATTATAATAGATGGTGATCGGGTGTGCGTAGGTGATGTTTATATTTTACTTTTTGGGTATGTAGGGGGAGGTGTTTAGGCGGCCATAATAAGGATTAAAGTTGGTGGAAAGAGGGGAGAGAAAGGTGGCGGAGAAGAGGAATGAGGAGGAAAGAGGAGAAATGAGGAGGTGAAGTGCAGGCAAAATGATGAATGGGGCACAGGTAGCTTCCGGGTGGTTTGGGTGTTTTGAGTTCGTAGCTGTTGTTTGTTGTTGTTATGTGTGTTTCTGTGGCGTGGAGGGGAATGAGGGAATGACGCAGGAAGGTTTGGGCCCAGTTCGTTCGATGCGGTCTGTGAACGCAGCGGAGAAAGCCTGGATGGGAATATTTCGCATAGGATGTATAGAGCTCGTTGGAGATTGCAAATAGCCCGTACCGTTATGCTCTCGTAACTGTGTCCTCGACTCTTTGTGGTCTGCCAGCGTGTGAGGGAATCCAAGAGGGATATCACGAAAAGGACGGCGGTGTTCGCGGAAATTTGGGCAGAGGGAGCGACGGGACAGTGAAAGCTGGAGGCTATTCAATCGATGTATGGTGACGGAAGAAGGGCGCGCGGTGAATTGAGGAGGATATGGGATCAAATAACGATGACTATTGGAATTGCAGATAAGGTAACGTCGGACTTGTAGGGCGTTGGAGGTTGGAGGTCGGAGGATCGGACTGAGGCTGGAAGATGGAGTTCCAGGAGCTCGGGTTGTGAGGTGTGGGTGAGGTGTGTGGGTGTGTGCGGCTGCCAGGACGGGCCAGAGCGGGGACGGGGCTTGCTTGCTGACGGGAGGCGACACGACTGGCTGGCGCTGGCGCTGGCGCTGGCTAGCTGGCGGCGCCGAACATGGTTGGTGGGCCACCGGGAACAATGTTAACTCTGCGCGGTGGGCACTTCCTGACGTTGACGTTGCCGTTGACGTTTGATCCATGTGGTTGTTCGCCCATACATAATACATAAGGCGAGCAGCTCTGGGGCCCATGCTGTCGTAGCTGTTCTGTCCGCGGTTCATCGTCCGATCGTGCATGAAAAGCACGGAGTGGCCTGTTTTAACACTAGTATTACGGTGTCGAACAGTTCACTGCAACCATAGCTAGCTCTCTAAAATCATAAAATATAGTAGAGGTTGATAGATAGAGATATAGGGAGTGGCAAGGGACTGTCAACTACATGTACGGCCACAGTCTGCAGTGTGAGATGTTCCGTCCGCCAGCTATCAGCTATAAACGGTAAACATTGGCAAAAATTTACTGGAGATGAGATTGTACTTGGGCACTGCAAGAAGAGGGGGAAAAAGACGGGAAAGGACAAAAAAAAGATTTAATCAAACAGGCCAGGCAAAATAAACAGGAGGCAAAAGGTTGACGGGGTGGTTTAACAGATGGCTACGGATCCCACAAGCAGCAAAAGGATCACCGGGGAGAAAACTCTACACACACACACACATATATATATATATATAAAGACAGAAAAGAAACCAGCACATCGTGAAACGATTGATCAATTGTCCTATCCTTTCTCCTCGCCAGCTACCTAACCTGCATACAAAGCTCTCCTGCTCTACCTAAATGCCAACAAAAAGGAGACGACAGATAAAAACACACACAAAGGCAGTTGAGTTTTTACTTGACTGGAGCCAAGCCGACAGCATCATTGCCCAAGTCATAGACGGTATAGTATCTTCTCAAGAAGGCATCGCCAAGGATGGCAAGAGGGCCAACCGGCGCTGGGAAATCCATGCCCATGAAGCTGCTGATGCAGGTCCCCTGCACCTCTAGGGTGTAGTCATAGGGACCGATGGTGAAGTTGTGGCCGGACAGACCGAATGTTAGATTGGGGAGACTGTCACGCTTCGCACATTCAATAGTGTATTGCCCATTGAAAGACTTCTTGGCCCCGATTTCCTTGTTACTGATAGCAAATATACACGTTAGCCCAGTGACCGACACATTTGTATCGATACTGATACAGAGCAGAGGGTACTTACAGAAGCTCGGCGATGGTAGATGGGAGGGCAATGAGGGATGTGCCGGTGTCAAGGATTACACCCGTGTTGGCCATCATAGCAGTCTGCTTGCCGAAGGTAATAGAATCGAGATCAACCTCCCAGTAGGCCTTGCGGCGAAGAGGGATCTTTGTAAGTTCCCCCATAAAACGATTCTTGTTCATGCCTCCAAAAACGACCTCTGACTCATCGCCATCGACGTTGGCATCACCCAGATAAAAGCTGAACATGGGTTCGTCAAGTAGGTTTTTGTTGAGCATTTCATAGAACGGAGGGACGATCTTGTTGACGGAGATAGTGTCGTATCCCAAGCCAAGGATGCCGTCAAATCGGCCAAAGGCAAATGCAAGACCAGGCTCACTGGTTGCCTCAGCAAAAACTTGATTTTCCACAACCAGGTCACCAATCGTCAGACAATCTTGTGAAACGAAGCCAGTGAGACTGCCAGAGCCGTAGGTAATGGAGAATTCGGAACCATTCTTCTTGTGGGTGGACGACGCGGACGAGTCGTACTTGTTATGAAGGTAGCAGGCGATGGAGCCACATTCGGATGATGGAACCCAGAGGTTGGAGCTTCCTGTATCGAGGACAACCTTGAATGTCTGGGGGGGAGTACCGATGCCAATCTCAGAAAAATCTAGCGGCTAGTTAGCTGGCGAATTCCACTGGGAAGTTGGCGAATCACAGGGTGCGTGGGCAGGAAGGTAGGCAGACAGGCAGGCTGCTGAGGAGAAATAACATTTCTAGTATAACATACATTGAGCGTTGAGGAAGTTGTCTACTGGAAGAGAATGACCCCCGGAAGCTTTGGCAGGGTCTCCGAAAACGTCCTGGCCATTTTGATTCGGTTTGACTCCCATGTACTTTTGCCCAAGCGCCCGGACGTGGGCGTCGATGTTGACATTGGCCTGGAAGTCCATCGTGCGAGTGGTTAGTTCGGCATCACCTCTCGATAAAACAAAATAAGCTACTATCATCATCAAAAACTATCCACTTACAAACTGCTCCGAGAGAGGTATTTTCTGGAGTTTTAACTTGTGCACCTTTGCAGACGACACGCCCAGAAGAGCAGTCGCTGCAAGCAGCAGGGTGGGCTTCATGGTGGCTGGTCAGGCCAAGACGCAAGAGGAGAAAAGGATATAATATAAAATAGAATGTGACGTAGGGAATAAGCAACACGAAACAAGAAACTTGATGGAAGATGGCGATGGGAGTTTGATGGAGATAGGAGATGGGGAGAGGAGAGTTGAAGCCGGGAGAGAGCCGGAGGATGGAAAGGTTGGGTGATGAGGTAATGGGGGATTTGTTCCAAGGTTGGAGACTTGGGCAGTGCGTGGCGGGATTGGCCTCAGACGGTCGGATCACACGATGGAGCTGCAGGGTGACGACTCCCGCCGTCTCCACAACAACGGCCGTCTCGGTTTGCAGGACTGAAGCTCCAAGACGAGAGAGAATCTGATAGGCCTCTCTCGTTATATATGTTACTGGACCTTTTTCCAGTTCAAATTCCTCGAATGGCCCGTTTCTCGAATCGACTTTTAAAACTGCTATTTTGAGCCTTCCAATTGGTACCAAGGCAACCTTCTTCACGAACTTAAAATAACAAGCTCGCCCGGCAACCGACCCTGATTCGGGAATAATAAAGGTTTACATTTTATCTATCTCGAGAAACAAAATATGCTGCTGGGAAAATGATGTTTGCTCATACATTGAAGCCATACATTGAAGCCATACATTGAAGCTAACATGTGTGCCTTGATATTTTCCGGGAGCGCCGGTCACTTGCGATGTAGGAATGGGAAGTTAGGGTCTAAAGTATGCTTTTTTGTTATCCGTGGATACCTTTAGCATTATCCGGAGGCATCGGTTCTACGCCGTATTTGCTGTTACGATGGGGCTTCCTAGGTAGAGAAAAACAAAAATAAAGATAGGTTCTAAAGAAGGGGACAGCCAGAAAACTCCCTTCCCATGTTCACTCTTCTCCCCCTTCCTGAACGCCATGCAAGTTGTTTTTTTTTAAAAAAAAAAAAAAAAATAATAATAAAAAAATAAAAAAAAAAGGGAACGTCAATCAAGCACAATCAAAACATATATAATCTTCCTTTTTGTCCACAAAACCATGAGTTTCCCACACACTTTTGCGAGCAGTCCAGCCCAGTCTCTTTCCCATTTCACCCCCAAAAAAAATCAGACAAAGAAAAGCAAATAAATGAACTCCAGATCATGTGTGGGATATCAAGATACCGAGTGAGATATAGACATAATATACAATATATATATATATGAAAAATAACAAGAAGGAACGGTCGTAAATCATAAACAGCGAAGAAAAGGAGCTAGATGAGATGCGGTGAGATGCGGTGAGATGCGGTGCGACGCGATACGATGATGGCTTTCGGCCTATCTAATCAATCAAAAAATATCAATGTGCTTCCGGACCTGGAATGCCATGACAAGCATCCAGATGAGGAAGACTGAGACGACCACCTCGAATGCAAATGCAGCTTTCCAGCAATTACCTGTACAGTCTTTTTGTTAGAAAACAAAACAAAAGAAAAGAAAAGAAAAGAAAAGAAAAGAAAAGGAAATTGGGGCCCGAAAAAAAACATACAGATATTAAAATTCGTTAACCACGCCAGCGTATTGATACTCGCGCCCTTGAACTCGTACCCAGACACCCAATTCTGGCAATTCGAATTGATGCTCGCCTTGCTTCCATACAGCTGCACAGCCGTGCCGATCAGGCCCGCGAACCAGAGCACGAAGAGGATGAAGCTGCCCAGTATTATCATTTCGGGTATTAGGGAGTGCTGCATGGCGAGGAACACGATCAGGCACAGGAATATGAGCGACAAGGCGGCGGTGGCTATCATGAATGGAAAGACCCTGTAGGTTTTAAGTGAATGATTTAATGTTAGTGGTTTTGGCCATTTTGTGGGTAGGGCATGGAATGGATTTAAGATGCGGGAAGATGCGTGGAACTTACCATGGTGTCGGTAGCTCCATCTGAGCCTGCACCGTCATGAACCAACTGAAGATGCCTAGACATGTCGCTGACCCCGCAAGCACGACGGAGAACCATATGTTCAGTTGTATATCTGGCCAGTGGAACTTTCGCGTTACGTGGGTCGTTGTTGCTGTATAGCTCGAGCTTGACATGGCGAAGAGAGGGCTGCGAACGAGAGGGATAGCACTTGCTCCCTAGTCGAAACTTTGGATAAAGTAGCTTCAGGTGACTTCTGAGGACGCAAGAGGAATCTACCAAGCAATCGCGGGGTTGCTCGATCGACCTGCGAAAAGAGAAGGGTAGCCTCTTCTCCGGAGGACGGTTCGCGAGGGTTCGAAGGGCGGATGGGATCGTACAGCGTCGAGAGCAGGGAATTGCGTGCAAGGAAGAAAAGAATAATCGCGGATAATAATAGCCTGGGTTTGATTCAGGTATAAAGCGAGGTATTCAGGCCGCTTTGCAGCTATTTCTTTATCTATTTAACCAGTTCGACTGGGAAATCCTCCGAAAGTCGACTCTGAAGACCAATGTACATCACATGGGGGGAGCCGAGCCAATTTATCTAATGAAGGTGACGCTGTTGCGGACAGAGGCAAGGGAGCAAGACCCAGAAGCAAGAGCGAGAAAGTATTGTCGTGATCTGCGGAGCAAAGTATTCATTTAATCAAAAACTTGATGCAGGAAGCCCAGGAAGCGTTGGGCGCACGACGACTGGATGCGTGATGATGTGGACAGGCAGCCCGACGCTCTCTCACTCTTTTCGTTTCCTTTCTGTTGCAAATCGGAATTGACCACGACGACAGAACCAACGGTGCGTAAATAGATGGCGCGGGGAAATCAATTCTGTTTCAATTCAATGAACCGAGGATACTTCACTCAGCGCATCAACTGGTCGTTCAACCTGGGTCAATGGCCTGGGGACGCTAAAGTAAAAAGTGTCTGTTTCTGTCTCTGCTTTGTATAAAGATGGTGGTGGTGGACAAAGGATAGGAACATATATTCGAAGTTATGGGAAGCAGAATCAAATAACTTTGGTCACTTGTTTGAATATAACTTGACTGATCGAGCTTTCTTGCGTGGTTGTTTTCGACTGAATTAAATAATTGAGGAGGCTGGGGGAATCAAGCCGGTGGCAGGGAATGAACATCCCCGTAGCCCAATGCAAAACAACTGTCTGTAGGCATTCTGGCGAAGAACACCTCGTGAACGGGATTCCTAGAATTCGTCGTTTACGCTTTGTCTTCGTTGTGTAAATATTTTGGGTTGTTGATAACGACGTTCAATATCTTTTAAGCTACGATCTGCGTAACGAGTGGTGATATCAAAACAAAGACAAACACCAAGGTTTCTAAGAGCTGGCTAGGCTATTATTTAAATACACGACCATTTCAGTTCGCACATTACAAAATATCCCAATTCCCGCATCCTCTAGCAGTAACCCCCGGAAATCAACGAAAATAAAATCACCTCCAACAAATCAATAAATCAAAATACGTCTCCTTGCGTGGTAGCTTCAGAGAAGAGTGTCACCCAATGCACAACGGACCAACGAGCAGCCTGCCCGGATGGTCTCATTGGCACCAATGATTTCCAAGCTTGGGTTCACCTCAACCAGATCCATCGCAATCAGGTTGCCCGTCTCGTGAACGCATTCGGCGATAAAATCCCCTTCCCGGAGAGTCAACCCTCCTCGGACGGGGGTTCCTGTGCTGGGAGCCCACTGCGGATCGAGGGCGTCCACATCGAACGAGAGATGGATTGGGGTATCAGATCCAATATGCGCCAACGCCATCTCGACAACTCGTCCAATCCCATGTCTGATGCCATACTAGGTTAGCGACTGGTCGAAGGAAAAAAACAGAGGATGAAGAAACGGAAACGGAAATTAAGTAATGGTAATTTAATGAAGTAAAAGGAACATACTTATCAATATCATGCATACTGAACGCCTTAATTCCATTCTCCCTCAGAATCTGCTTCTCCCCGCGATCCACATCGCGTAGGCCAATATACACCAGCTTTCGTGTGCTAACCAGATGGTCCTTCTCCAACCACCCGAAAATATCGCGTCTCTCCTCCTTCGCCAGTCCCGTCAGGAAGGCCACGGGCATCCCGTGGATATTCCCACTGCCGCTTGTCTCGGGCGTATTGATATCCGCATGCGCATCCACCCAAATCAGCGCTATCTCCCGCCCCAGCCGTTCACGAATGGCTTTGGCGGTCCCCGACACGGTCCCGATTGCGATGGAGTGGTCGCCACCAAGGGTTAGGACGAACTTGCCATCGCGCGCGTGCTCATAGACTTGCTGGCTGAGCTTCTCCGTCGCGGCGCTGACGGCCAGCGGCTTCTTCATGCCGCGGAAGTCCGGGTCCGTGGTTGGGACGATGTCGTCGTAGGTGTTCACTGTGTTGTCGTAGGAGACTTTGTAGTCTAGATCTTCGTGGAGTTGCTCGAGCAGCCCGGTTTCAATCAGCGCGGTAGGACCTGCATCGACCCCCGGCTTGGACTGGCGGTTGGTGGGAGAGTTAGTATTTTGCTATGCGTCCTGGGTGGCTGCTGGTGGGAGCACATAAATATATAAGGGTCCAGCGGATATGTGTGTCATGATAACTAACATACCTGCCCGCCAGCAAAGCCAACCGCCACTACTCCTACCTCGTTGGGCTTGGAAAGGAATCTCCGTTTGGTCATAGGCGCAAGAATCCCGTTGTTGCTATTTTCCTTGGCCATTTTTGCGCTCCTTGGACTCAACTGGTGGCTCCTGCGAATGATCTACCTTGTTTGGCCTTTAGGTTCCAAATTTAATATATAGAACCGAAACTCTAGTCAAAAAACTAGAGGTGCGCGTAGCTCAAAGTGACAGACAGGGACTAAGCTGAGCAACGAGAAAGGTTCAAGAACCGAGAGACAGGCAATGGTCAAAAATATTCAGATTAACTCCCGTTCTATTATTTGATTTCTTGCGCTTTTTCTGCAGTTGTCTCGGGACAGTGTAACGGAAGAAGCAGAGGTGAGAAAACTGAAGCTATCCCCCGGGGGCCAATCAACTGAGAAACAAGGTGGAACTTCAGCAAAATAAACAAGTAACCAAATAACAAGTCTAATATTCTTCCCGCGAGAATGTGGTTGGGAATGTAAGAAATGTAATGTACAAAAATAACGGATATCAGCGGTGGTTTGCAAGCAGGAAAGAAAAATGATGATGGTGATGATGATGAGAGAGAAAAGCACCCTGCTTAAATAGGAACCCAAAAGAAAGAGAAATCAGAAGAGGAAAATATCCAGAAAACGGTTCCCAGCAAATCAGGCCACTGCAAGGTAGCATTTGCCTTTCTCCCCTTACTATTATCCCATTTTTTTTCCCTCCGGCCCCCGTCCACCCCGGTTCAACATGCTTTTAGGGGAAGAAAGATGGAGCTCTGCACAGCGAGGGCCAGGCCAGCCGCTTTATATCCCGCCCCATTTCCCCTAAGTACATGTTTAAGAGAGGAATGTCGTCATCGCCCAGAACGCCGCTGCCCGCTTGACCCCAATGGCATTGGTCACGCGGACGGACGCGGTTATTCTCGTCGTTTTGGTGGAGTTTTGGTTTGCAATGGCGGAATGCCGCGATTAACTAGCACCACGGAATACCTTCAAGCACCGAAAATCGGTTTAGAGCAAACGCAAACGTGAGGCTGTTTATATTTATGATGGTTACTTTTTTTCTCCTATTGTACAGTACATATATATATAACCGGGCCCTCTGCTCGCCACGCTACTAATCCCGACAGCGGATCGAGCAGATATTAATCACTTGAGAATAAGCTCTCGTAAAATCTCCTCCGCCTTTTGCGCCTCCACTCTGTTCGGGTCGCCGATCCGCTTGATCTGGCCAACAAACCAACCCATCTTGCCCAGTTGCCCTTTCTCGCGAATTTCGCTGACCATCTTCGGGTTCTGGCGCATGACTTCCTCCGCCAGCGCAATGTATTCATGGCGGGAAAGGCTTTGGAAAAGGAGATTTTTGTCCTCTACAATCTGAGAAATAGATCTCTTGTCGCCGTCGAACGCCATTGCAAGAAGAGACTTTGCCGAGCTGCTGGTGATGTTTTTGCGCGAGAGGAGGTTTATAATTTCCGCTAGGCTTTGTGCGGGAACCCGCTGGGAATCCCAGTGTGCGCTCGATTTAGTCAGTAGGCCGCCGAGTTCATGGAGGACCCAATTGCCAACCACCTTTCCCGCTGAGAAATCGGCAGACAGGTCTGGTTGAAGGGTGATGAGGATTTCAACTGCGTCTTGGTAATATTCTAGCCGCTGTCCGTCATCAAGCTCAATTAAGGTCTTGGCGTCAACTGTGGACAATCCGTACTTTGGATCTTGAACAAGCATCTGCAGGAGCTCGTCAGGTAGTACTGGAATATTCCTTCTGAGGTCAGAAATTACGTCGTCTCCGATTATCACTGGCCCCAGATCGGGATCCGGCATATAACGATAGTCGACTTCCCCCTCTTTACCTCGAAGTTTCCGGGTTTCGGTGCTGCCAAGTGTCCAGCCTCGTGTCTCGCCTTGAATGGTGCCACCTGCTTTGAGTACCGCGATTTGACGGTCGCGTTCTGCGATGATAGCATATTCGACAGCTTTAAAACTGCTTAGGTTTTTAATTTCGGTTCGTTGACCGAGCCCCGCTACCCCATCGTATTGATGGTCGCCAGCTGCTTCGCTCCGTTTTCTTACTGATACGTTCACATCCGCCCTAAGGCCTCCCATTTCCATACCTGTTGTAACTGCTCCAACGGACTGGAGTATCGCCTGGATTTTCCTAACGCAGGCCGCGGCGGTTGTTGCAGAGTGGATCTGCGGTAGTGTGATAATTTCAATAAGAGGACGTGAGACGCGGTTGAAGTCGAGGAGGTAGGTGGAGGATGGAAGTTCCTGCGATTTGGCTGTATCCTGTTCCATCTGTATCTGTTTTATACCAATTTGAACACCTTCCCCGTCTTCTTTAGCGATGCCATCGTGTGCTCCTAACCAGATGCTCCCGTTTTTCGCATACGGTTCTATTAGACGATGTGTAAGCTCATATATTCGTTGTCCCCGTATCTGTGGGGTTTTTTCAGTACCATAGTATTGTGTTATTTGGTAACCCGCAGGCTGGTCCTGGTAGAAGTAATGTTTTCTATCGAAACGACTCACTCGCTGGATGTCGCAATTTAGGGCAATGGCGGCACGGATTGCTGGTATCAAGGTAGACGGCTGGAACAGCTGTTCAATCGTCAGGACAAATGAACAAAACGGTCGCACTCTGTATCAAAAGCTAGTGTCAAAAGGAAAAGGAAAACTAACCGGTTGGCTTCCTGGAAGCGCAATATCGAAGAGTGCTATGTTCGAGTTTGGAACATCGTCAAGGGCTGCGGAGGCTCCTGTTCACGACGTCAGATTCAACGAAGACGATACAACCGCCCGCCGACAATTGCTTACTTGAAAATAGCTTCGCATCCGTATCCAATTGCGCGTGTATTTCAATGCCCACAGTCAATTCCCAATCCTCATGTTCCGGCGGAGGTGCGCCGCCCTTCCGCATTGCCGCGCGCTTTGATTTGGCCTCATCCTTCAATTGTTTACGCAGAGGAACATACTCTGAACTGCTTCTCTGGACATCTCCCCAGGAATCATGAGGACAACGTACCGAAGTCGACCAATTCTTCCTCCCGAGCGGCCGGGGGCTCGGGTGATGGAATGGTTCTGTGAGTTCAACCCTTCGCACGGCAAGACGGTAACAGGGAATACCACGGTGGGAGACGCATTGCCGTATCATGTGCATCAATCGAGCCGTCAGCGCTGCCCTCAAATTGCACCGCGTCGTGATCGTTGAAGAGCAACGGGCTCTCGATGTGAGGAGATGAACAAATCGACAGATTGAGGCTTGGAAGGCTGGAGTTTCGAATGCCTCAGGGAGCTCCAACATTCATTGGTGCCGGAGAAGATTGATTACGGGAAATACGAGCTGGGGCATGCGATTTGGTGTGAAACGGGCATGAAACAGGGTGAGAGCTCGTATTTGGAGGTAAAATTACGGTACCCATATAAATTGGAGCAACACCTCAATCAGAGCGACCTCGAGATATTCAGCGGGGAGTCCGAAACTGATAGGTCTAATCGATTGTAGCCAATCATTACTACAAACGTCTGTTCCTCGCCATCCTTCGACCAGCTTCAAGTTATCGTCTGAAATCCCAAGGTTTGGACGTAAGGACGTGGCTTAAGGCATGTATATGAGCTCGCATTCCTATTCGCGGCAACCTGTTGTTAACCCCACAAAACCCAAGGAAATGTTTGATCAATTGATATGGTCCCCATCTGCCAATCGGTTTATTATTGGAAACCCGAACTGTGACAACTAACGAAACACTCCGGGGTTGGGCTGGCCATGGATCTGCAGTTATAGGTGGGTTGGGTTATGGCATGTTCAAACCCAACCCTCACAATAACCAGATTATATGTGGAGGCGCAGTCACTCAGCCATCAACACCACTGTATATAACCTGATTATTGCTGGCATGTATTCAATTTCATATTCATACATACAGAATACTTATATTTAGTAAGAGAAATACTATTAAATTCAGATATATGTGACTTTGTATATAGAAAGTTATATAACCACTAGCTAAATAATCTGCTTGACTTCATTTCTACTAAAGAGCTACTGATCTCAGATATTGTATAGAAGTACAAATCAATTATCTGAGTATTATATACAGTTTATACAACTAGATCTAACTCTATAATAATAATATATATACATCTATAATAATAATGAAGAAATGAAGATTAAAAAAAGAGAATAGAACAGAATAGAACAGAAAAATAAAAACTTTATATATACTCTATTCAATAAGAATGAGATTATTCTGTGCATCAGACTGAGTATTATGATTTATATTATCTACTACTGACACTTATAACTGTGATGACTGTCTATTATAGAAATCATTATATATATCAGACTGATCTACAGAGCTGTGAAAAAAGCAGTACACTGTATGATTATATTATTTATAGTTGATATATACTTCTTCAAAATAACTATACATACAGCAGTACAATGAAAATAGTTTAAACTCAGAAAATATACAACACTGTATACAGTCTGTAATAAAAGTTCTATTACAGAATTGAATCAAAATAATATTGATATATAATAAATAATGAAACAACACTTGATCAGCTCTGATATATATACAGATATATAATATATTAAAATCAGAGACAGTAAATAGAGTATAGAATTGAAGATTATAATAAAATATACTCAGCTGAAAATTACTGATATATATTATATTATACTCTGATTATTTCTACTACTTATCTTGATATTCAGTAGCTGAATGATATAAATCAATTAATTTAATCTAAATCAGATTCCACTGAGCAGCAATAGAATTATATAGAATAAAAGTTCTTGTATTATAATCAATTTTCTATACTGTATAATAGAGAAGCAGAGAAATACTTATATTATTTATAGAGAGAAAAGAAGAAGAAAATACTATTGAAGAGTAGAAGAGAGCTGATCTTCTTTTTTATAGAAAAAAAAAATCAAAAATTTTCTCTGACTATATATATAAGTCTCTGTCAGTATTTTTCTTTTTTGATATAATGAAATAAATATTTTATATAGTATACAGAGTGAAAAAAAGACAAAGTGAACAGTGAATAAATAATTTTAATGAATTTTAATAAAAGAATAATAAATTCTAATACAAAAAAAGTTATATATATCAGTAGATGATAATAAAGAAGCTAAAGAGAGAAAGAGAAAAAAAGTTGAGAAGAGAGACAGAGAAAGAGAAGATTTTATAATCAACTTATTATTATTATTATCATGAATAAAAGAGAAAAGCAGAAATATTTTATATATAAAAGAGAAAAAAGAGAAAGAGAGAATACTCACTTTTATGAATTCTGCTGAGGCAGTCTGTGTGTATAAATAAATAAATATTCAAGATTAAAAGATATATAATATAGTATAGTTAATATACACAGATTATCTTCTTACTCTTCTGAGAAAGACAGAGAGTTTATTCAGATTCATTTTTAATTATATATATATCAACTCAAATTTCTTCATAATCTCTAGAATAGATTTTGATTTCATTATACAGTAACAATTGAATATCTCATCAATGATTATCTTTTATTAAAAAAAGAATATATACTTACTATTTTTCTTTCTTCAGTTAGATTCATACAATGACTTCAGATGCTGTATAGAAAGCTGTTTATTCAATCTCTATTTTCATTTCTTTCAGAGATTATTGATCAATTGAATTATACAGAAGAGCTGATATATTTAAATATTATTCTCAGTTAATAATACTGTAGCAGAAATGATGACAGCAGCAGTAGTAGTTGATAAAGAGAAAAATAAAAATACAGATATAAAAATAAAAAGAATCTTAATAATATTTTTCTGTACACAGATAGAAACAGAGACAGACTGAAAGATTCAGAATTCAGTTGTTATTATATCAATTTCACACTGAATTCTATCAATCTTCTTCTTTATTTATACATCTCTGATCTTTATCTGATTCATCACTATATTAATCTGTTTTCATACAGTACTTAGACTTTCAGAAATCTGTGATACTGATTATTGAAGTATTATCTTCTATAAAGAAATGAGAACTGACTCTGCAGTTTATACAGCATCTGCAAACTACTTATACTCTGTATACTAAAATACTGAGTCAGTTTACAGTGAATAAATTGAAAATTCTCTCTGAAGAAGAGCAGAGTTCTGTAGTATTATTATATAAAAATAATCTAATAGTTACAAAAATCTCTAAGCTGTAAGATCATCTGAGTCAAATAAACTTCTACTATCAAACAGCTTCAGACTTATATCAGAGATTTCAGAAGAAATAATATAAAAAAATCTATTCTCAGAATAAAATCAGATAAATTATTTATTTATTTATAATTAGAGAGATTTCTTCAACAGTTCTGATGAAGTAATTGTAGCTTGTGAAAGATAGTAATTATTTAGTAAGCTAGAATTAAACTCTGTAATTCTTTATATAAACTTTCAATTGATCTGACTGAAATAGCAGCTAGTCAAAGAGTTATTATTTTATCACTCAGCTCTGCAGATACTGTTTTTATTTATTTTATTAAACTCTGTCTTCTGTACATCTGTGAATCATTCAGTATAAATCTTTTTTATTATCTCTGATATATCTGTATATATAAAGAGCTTGTTTATTCACTTAAAATGAATTCTGTAGAAAATCTGCTTATACAGATTCTCACTCTTGAATAAATAAATATTATATTAAAGCTGATAGTAGTGAAACTGAGATAGAAACTTTTATACAATATTTCATCTATAGAATAGATAGAATACAATCTGTGATATTAAATAAAAAATATAATTTTTATATTATACAATAATTGAATATTCAAGTCTGTTGTTCTGATTTATCTTATTATTATTTATAATCTAAATAAGAAATCAGCAGAGTATTGATTTCTTATTTAACAGCTCAATTATAAATAGATTAATCAACTGCATCTTTTATCTGAATTACTCTCTCAATAGTATATAATAATTCATAAGAAAGTCAGCTACTGTACAGAGAAGAGACTCAATTATATATCTTTTATTTCTCTGTCATCTCTTTCAGCACTGATATATAAAATTTATTATATTCAACTTAGTATAACTGTTCATCAGAGTGTCTGTATTTCTATTTATAAACTCTGTATATCTCTATATATACTTTATAGATCTGTAAGTTTTTAATATACTATTCAAAATCTAATCAATTGAGTAAGAATGAGAGTTCTTCTGTCTGCTCTATTATATACAATACAGATTAATAAAAACTGCTCAATACTATTTAATTAGATTCTTTTCTATTATCTATATAATTTCTTCTTTCTCAGTATTTATATATTTTCTTTTGAGATAGCTTTCTCTGAATGAATAATTGAGAACTCTTTTACTAAAGAATCAGATTATCTTCTACTCAGAGATAATCTAACTATCTGAAAACTTCTTTTTATTATATTATTTCTATTATACAGATAGTAAAGATTGAGTAGTAGTGAGAAATTAGTCTATCAAATTTCATCTCTCTTCATACACAGAAATAAAGAAGAAATAGAAATAAAATAAATCTATATATTATCATTTATTTATTCTGTTTCTCTGTATATACTATCTGTATATTTTTTGATCTACTTTATCTGCTGATTTTCAGTGTATTCTCTCTCTGTATTATCATCTCTATAATAAGATTATACTGTAGCTGCTCTTATACAGCAGCTGCTTTAACAACAGTATCAGCAGTAGAAATTATTATCAGTCTTTCTTACTTATACAGAGATACAAGAATTTCAAAGTAGATGAATAAAAACAAGAATAGTTAAGAATAGAAATCAATACAAGAGCAGAGGGAGAAGAATACAGTAGTGAAGTGATAATTATTAAATACACATTCAGAGAGAAGCTGATACAGTCATTGTATATAATATTACAGAAAAGTTACCTCTTTTATATAATCAAAGAAGATAGCTCACCATACAGAACATGTATGGGTTATTCAGAGGCCTTGGCTGAACACCATAGGAACACATGTTCGAACACAGGCAAATCCACCTTCATATAACCACTAGTTAGTCTCTCCCTTACGGGTTTAAAAATGCGGTTTTTTTGTACTCGATATACAGCTGACAAGACGCAGGTATTGAGATTGTCAATAGCAGCCCCAAGCCCAGACAACAGGATATTCCAACTCTGGTTATCTTGGATGTTGGCATACGGGCATATATTGTCGTGCGAGTCGTCAGTTGCACTTAGTTGCATTAACGTACAAAACAGAAAAAAACAAAGAAAAGAAAAGAAAAGAGAGAAAGAGAGAGTTAGAAATAAGGAAAAGTGCTGAGGTGCTGACAGCCTGATTAGTGAGTGAGCTACGAACCCTCTCAAGCTGTGTGCTGGGAACACATGCAAGTATTTAATTCCATAAATTAAATGCAGCATCCTCGCAAATGGGCTAAGCGCGCGCAATGTGTCCTGTCGTTCACAGCGGGCAGGCGGGCGAGCGGTGCCAGCATCTGAAAGTTGTGCTTATCGCAAGAAAGCAAAAGAGCAGAAAAATTCGCTGTGGGAAGATTCCATGCGCACTCAGCCAGCAGCCATGATGAGTTATGTAGGCTACTTTACGTACATAACTCCATCCCAAACGGGCCGTCTTAGCACTACGAATGACGGATAGAAAGGGTAAAGAATAACGAAGATTGTTCAACCCTTGAACATTTCGCATCCTTGGTTGGTGATGAGCGAGTCACCGTTGGCCAACGCAGCATGCCAATATGTGTGTATATGTGTACGAGATCTGTCTGCATGTATGCACGGTCTTGGTGCCAATTTGAGCCCAACTGCATAACTTCATGTACTGCGTCCGTACGATGATGAAATTCTGCGCTCTTGTATTTATGATTGCAGCAAGGACTGCAAACTTTGATGGTGGTGATGGTGGTGTTCACTTTTATGCCCCACAGCGAGCTAACGAAGAACGAGGTGGGCTGCCGATAATATTAATAGTGACGGGATTTATTTCGATGCCCACTACGGACTAGCAAGGGTCCAATTGAATAAATAGAATGTTGTGCTAAGAAACCATCAGCGTTTCCAGTCTGCCCAGTAGCACAACCCCAGTTTGCCCAGAAGGCCCTGTCCATGATTCATGACTTTGTCGCAACTGATTCCATCGGGTCAACCACCGCCCAGGAGCGTTTCAGAGTCGCTGGCTGTGCAGCCCATATCATTCTGGCGCAGGGCGCATTTCTTTTTTTATTATTCCCACTGTAATTCTTAACCCTCTGTTCCCCCCATAACCCACTTCTTACTGCCCTGTGCCCGAAAGTCCTTACTTGATCTTGTTTCTCAATCGCAGAGCATCTTCCATACCAATCCATCATCAGATTACATCCTGAGCATTTCTATTTCTGGCACAGCGAGTATATATACTCTGATACCTGGCTTTTCGGAATCCTATATCCATCGCTGTTTGCTCAAATCCTGATTCAATCCCCGCGGCTTCATTGTGATACCCATACAATTCCACGCAGCAACTTTGCTCCAGCGTGTCCACTCCGTTTACCGATTGAATCCAGGAGTGAAGAAGAAGAAGAAGGAGAAAAAGAAGAAGAAGAAGAAGAAGAAGAAGAAGAAGAAGCGCTAAACTAGCATTCCTTTATACTTGGACAGGACTGGTAGTTCTGGGATATACTAAAATCCCTTATTCCTTTCTAAACTGAGGAATATGCCAGGGAAGAGCCACAAGAAGGACAGTTCGAAGAAATCATCATCTCCCAGGAATGCTGCTGTGGACCCAATCCCTGTTACCACTGTTAAATCTTCCAGTTATGCCAGCGAGAACTCCTCTCCTATTGCGCGGCCCCGACAACGTTCCAAATCTTATATTATCAAACCATCGACCAGCATTACTGCTAAGGACATCCCAATTTTGAAAAGGAGCGCTACTGAAAGGCCAAGTGAACTGCGACCTAGACAGCAGTCACCGAACGTATTCGAGTTTTTGGATAAGGACGATTCAGAAGACGCCAGTGCCCACTGGGCGCAGACCATAAGGCCGAGGCAGCCATCTACCACCTCCGCAGCATCTCAAAGTTCTAGACGAAAGTCTAGTGCCTCTTATAGCTTCAACTCAGATTCAGGAGTATCACTCAGGGGACACAGTCCGGACCGAGCTTCATCAATCTCCTCTACAGAATATCAACCAGCAACACCTCCCGATCTCTCCCTAGATACACTCAACTGGAAATTTGCAGATGAATCTAGAACCCGCCGCCGCCTCCATATGGCCGGAGCGTATACGACCGATTCGGAAACAGTATTGGAAAGTCCCACATCTCCAGGCCTTGGATATTTTGATTTCTCTGTCCCTGAATCATATTACACTCACACGAAACACACCTTTCCTGAGCCCCCTCCCAACTCTGCTATCCGCACCTCGTACCCATATCGTCAGCCAAATCTTGACATGCACAAATTCGACATGAGCTCCAGCAAAATGCAAAGGCGTGCTTCTGTGGAATCAGATCCAAAACGAGGCGAATCGCGCGATGTTGACCGCCCCTTACTTTATCGCAAGTTTGAGCCATTAAATCATCGCCTACTTCGTCATCTCCAGGAAGAAATCGCACAGATGGAAGAGGATCTCACAATCCTTGACGATGTCGAAGAGGTTCGACGAGTCGCAGTCAATGTTAAAAATTCCGGAAGACAGAAGCTGTTCTCAACAACAAATCAAGACCTCCAGTCTGAGGAATTATCTGCGCTTCAGCAGAAGAAGTCTGAGTTGGTGGAAAAGCTTGTGCTGAAGATCGAGCAATATAGTAAGATTGATCCTCTTCCTCCTTCCTATTTTCTCTTCTCTCTCCCGTGCAAGGATTTGTAATACTTACACTCTCTCCAACTAGATCGCGCCCTCTGCTCATATCATGAGGTTTCCTACAAATTGCCGACTGCCACAGACGACGAAGTCGAGGCCTACCGTAACTGGGTTCACGATCATTCGTCCAATACCAAGTCTGATCTGAGGTTCCTCGCCCATGACAACGACCTTATCTTACTCGGAGAACGTCCATCCTCCTCCCGTACTCCGAATCCTATATATTCCACTATTGCTGCTGTTTCAGCTGCCATCCTATTCCCGCTGCTAGCCTTTGGTGTTATATCTGAGTTCTTCGGACGCATTGCCGTGGTCTCCATCTTTGGCGGAGCTACTGCTCTGTTCGCTTCGAATGGACCACCTGGCAATGAATATTTGATCGATCCAAATGATGGCTGGAGATGTGCTGCATTGTATGTTTCTCTAACCACTTTCGTTCCCGAATAAGTTTCTTTGCCAATCTGTGTTATGAATAATCGGCTGATTCGTGCTTACTGTCGTAGATATTTTGGTTTTATGTCTGCCGCTGCCATCATTATTTAACGACAGATTTACGAGTAATGACTCTCAATATTCTTTTTGCTTTATCCTCTTTGCCTTTTTTTTCTATCATTTTTCCCCCACTTCCTTCCTGATTTCTTCTCTTTGATTTTCTTCTATATACTTTTTCTTGCTTCTTGATGTTCATGGCATATGGTTACTCATTTTTTTCATCATCTCACTCTTTTTCCATGCATTTTTTACCTCATTTGCATGCAGGTCATAGCCAGCGAACGTCTCGCATCATCGTCATTATCCTCATTCCATTTTCATTTCACACTTTTTATACAAAATAGTCACCGAACTCTCTACCTTCGCTTTAGGGCTACATCTTCTCCCACTAGCAAAGCGCACTTGCTATGTCAGCAGGCATCCCAAACCGGAGTATAAAATGAAACCAGCGACATTGGAAATGCACGTATACGTAACCCGCTGGACGGGGGAGGCGTAAGAATTGACCCTCCGACTCACTTTTCTTTTCTTTTCTTTTCTTTCTTTTTAAATATTCATGCGGAGTAATATATATGGCTGTGTATACGGAAAAACAGGGGCTGGAAAGCAGAACTGGAAAGGAGCAACAAGAGATATCTAGGCCATTTTTTCTGGGGATTTGTGTTCTTCATTCATTTCATTCAGTTTGTATTTTGCTTATTTACCTTTACTACTTCTCGATTTGTATTGCTTCTTTGTTCTTTTGCGTAGCCGTTGCTGTTGAATGGAAAGAAACTCACGAGTCCGTTAATTTTAGTCTTTTTTTTGTTTTTGTAAAGTGTTCCAGGTGGTTTAAGGTATTTCTAGAAAATATCAACTAGTCCATTAAATTTTAAATTAACAAAGTCGATTGTTTTCTTTCTTTTCTTTTTTTAATTGAAGCGCACGAGGATAAGTTGGTTATCTTCGCGATTTCCTTTGAGAGCATGCCACTCAAGTTACTCCGATTGAGAAGCGGAGGAAAGGGGTGTAAACAAAATAGACAAAATCAGGCCATACAGAGCATAAAATTAGTCTAATAATATAAAAAGGTTCAGAACTAAAGAATCCAATAATATTATATATATATATATATAATAGTCAGCACGTCGTCCACTGCAAAAGGGAAATTACTTTTGAACCAGAATCACTGTAAAAAAGGTATGCTCCACACACGGTTACAAAAAGAAGAAAAGGAGTTAAAAAGTTGCTCCTTCTTACCCGCCGCCACCTCTTTTCTCTTTCACTATCCACATTTTGGCGGTAGAAGAAATTTCAAAACAAAGGGGACAGAAAAAGAAAGAAAAATGGATTATAAAGCCGGAAATAAAATACAAACCTGCCGCCCGTATTTTTGGTCACCAGAGGAATTTATTGGATGTCGTATTGTCACATCAAAGGAAATAACAGGTAATAGGGTTGAGACGAAAGGCTGGTTTCTCTCCTCCCGTTGCCTATGATAAAGTCGATGAAAAAGTAGCTGCGATGAAGAATATGAGAAAAGAAGGGCAAGAGAGGAAGTAACACAAAGAAGGAATAAAAGAATATCACTGCTAAAAAAAAAAAAAAGGTCAAACGAATTAAAAGACTAGACGAAAAAAATACAAGTTGCTTTCTTTTGTTTTTTACGAAAGCCAGAAAGTTGAAAACGAGAATATGGTAATAAGTCACACGCATAACCTCTATAAAACATAGGAACGAATAGTTATTGTTGGACCTCCTTTGTTGACGTATTAATTTACTCCTCCGAATGTTCTATAATTTTGTTTTGTCCTTTTATTGTGTCGCGCCGGCTGATCCCATTGGCACACTATTCTGTCGATGAATTGTTGGAAGGCTGCCTTGGCCACTGAATTGGCTGTTCGACGATCCTGGCTGGGGAGTGTTAGACTTTTGGCGTTGATTCTCGGCAAGTTGTGCTTTGTTGCGATCCATAAGGGCCGCTTGTTCAGCAGCGCTCCGGGCATAAGTCATCGCGGCAGCGCTGTTGGGATACGCCGCTGGTGCTGGGTTGCCTTGGGAAGAACCAAAAGTTGTAAAGTGTTGCGGTTGTGGCGGTTGTGGCGGTTGTGGGGTTTGTTGCTGGAAGTATCTCGGTTGAGGATTGCTAGGGGTAGAATTTATATATGGATGTCGCTGCGGAGATGCACTGAAGCTAGAGTGTCTTTGGGGTGATGCGTTGTGTGTCTTAGGAGCAGGTGAGCCATATGGGATATCCGGTGGACGTTGTTGATAGGATGGCTGGCTAGTTCGACGGGGATAGGGCTGAGGCGATGCCTGCGCAGGGGAAGGCATTCGCTGGGAAGGATACGGTCCCACTCCGTTCTGGGTTGGCCTCTGGAATTGCTGAAGGATGTTGCCTTGGCTATACTGCGGAGTTCCGGCCTGTGAGAATTGAGGTTGTGTATAACCAGGGCGCTGACCCGATGGCTGTCGAGGCGTATTGTACGGTTGAGGAGAGTTGTTGACGGGAAACTGGATGGATGACGATGTTTGCCTGGTTCCATAAACTTGATGAGACGGATGGCTCATTGGAGCCGTTTTTCGGGGATTGGATGGATACCCCCGGGGCAATGGGGCACTGGGGGCGGTTGGGGGAGTCTGATATGATGGTCGAGATGGGTTCATGTTTGGCGTAGGGGGAGGACGGGCTACATTTGGCATCTGCGAAACTCTGGGTATTTGTTTCTGCTGCATAGAATAGTCATCGTCCTCCATCGTGCCAGGGTAGTCGGCATTTTCCAGAAGTATTTTTTTGCTGACATTTAGTTCTGCTAACTGGTCCCCATCCAATTTCGATACAGCATATGGAGGTAGTGTGGCTATCATTGCAATTAAACTTGATTTTAGGGTTTCATACAGGGTAACTTCCATAGTTGAAGGTGATGACGCATCTGATGTTGCTGCGATTTCGTCGTTCGGTTTCGGAACAGGGAGTGATTGCCCGAGGTTTCGAATCTGGCGATAGGAATTTAATGTGCGTAAAAGATCCGAAATGTTTTCGAGTACTTCTCCCAGATCTTTATCATCGCTTGCTCCATCATCGCCGTTCCGCGGTTCGACTAAGATTTTATCGTCCTCTGGCTCATATGAATTCACAGCCTCTTCGAGGCTCGTTTCGTCCAATAATTGGATTTGTAAGTTCGGACTCTGATTGTCTGTGTGTTCAGTTTCCAGATCATTTTCAACGGCCAATAAGCCATGTAAACGGTGCTGGCCATATTTGTCCCACCAAATTTGCTCTTTCGCGTCTTGGGATATAACCGCTCCGGAGCTATCAAATGAGGGAGCAAATGACGAATAAAGACCGCGAAATATTGCACTGCTCTCATCAAAAGAGTTTTGGAATGGCTTTGAGAGACTTTTCCCGGTATTAGTATCGCTATTTTGCCTTCGACTTCCCAGCCGAAGGGATGGTTCGTAACCGTAATGTAGCCAATCTCCTGTAGGAAGAGATAAGTAAGTGTATCCTCTTTTTTCATTTGGCGGGAATTTAGCAGCTATGGCAAGTTCGTATGGGTCAAGCCAAGTGACGGTCGGATTTTTTGATGACCGCGGTTTGCCCGGAGGTTGTAACTGGGGAAGGTTGGGGCGGGCTGCAAATACGTCTGCAATGGTTCTTGCTTTCGATTTACCCAGCTCCACGTTTTTGACATTGAACGGAATTACTTTGGATGTAGTAATGCCGTTTGGCAACGTTGCTTCGTTGATCGTAGCCTGTATTTCTGCGCCAGTTGATTTCTCAAGATTAGGAGAGTCTGGTTTCACGGCAACTGCACGTTGTAAACTCGAAAACAAATGTCTCCCGCGAGGTGCATTTCCATAGAGCGTGAGAACTACTTTGTCCTCCCGATCATATGGATATTTTCTATTATTCTTGTTTTGAGGTTCATTCCTCTGAAGTTCCTGAGGCTCATCCTTTGAAAGAGAAGAGCCTAGAAGTGGACTTCGGAGGATAAAATTGTCCAAGTGCTTTTTAAATATGCGTGAAAGATTGACCAATTCTGCCGAAGATCGAGAGTTTTCTGATTTATTTACAGTTGCTTCTGACTCGCGGCGTCGTTCGATAACCAAGCAGGACGCAGTCTCAACATCGTTAATTACTTCCTGAATAGACTTGTATTGACCCGCCTTAATTTTGCATTCTATCGTTTGCGAATTGTTCGTGTCATCTGATAGTTTCGCACGTTTACGATCTGGTTCGACCACGGAATTGGGAGGACAGGGGAATTTCAGAATACCAAGATCTGAATCATATCTGCAGAATTGGGTTAGAACTAAGTCTCAGATCCGCCTTCGGGAATGTCGGAAAATTGAAGCTGAAAGGGACTCACTTTTCTAGAACCTGGAGCAGATCCTTCAAAGTTTGGTCAAGCAGTCCTCCTTTTGACGTGTCAGATGGATTTGATATACCGTCAAGGTTGGGGGATTCTTGGGCGGGGCTGAGGACGCGTTTTCGCTTTCCTGGTGTCGGGAACGAGGGCGAATCCGATGGCAATTGGGGAGAGGTAAGCTGCCCGTTTGTGGTGGCTGATGCGGCCAAATTATTGGTCTCCATGCTGGATCACGCTCTAGCTGGGTGGATCAACGTCCCAGCGAGAGATGGAAGAGTTTGGAGTTGAGTGATGTATCCAACTTCGCACGTTTCGGCTTCTCAGAGAGGTCAACGAACGCAAATACAGAATGGGCCTCTGAAAGCATTTAATGCGATCGTTCGAACCGAAATTGCGACGCTCGATAAGCTCCGTCTGGCTAGGGAAATCTTTTGGCGTGTTAGGTCGATGGGGGAACGCCAGGCTTTGCGAATTTAGTCCAGCAGGGGATGGAAGGAGGACGTGACAAGACGCCGAAAAGCCCAGCGACAAAGCACGCCGGATACCAGCACAAGCGGCCTGTGATACACCAATCGACAGAACACCAGAACCAAGGCAAGATATTCAACAAACTAGTCTCAGTGGAGGATGTTGGATGGGGAGACTAAATGAGACGTTCTCTCTGGCGGCGACTCAGGAACGTGTGGTGACTTTAAGCTTTGCACGTGACCAGCGAGCAAAAAACGGATTTCCAAGGTAGTTGACTAAGCATCCATATCATCCATGGATCCAGGATTTGAAAAACATGCTTTCAAACCAAAGCAATTCGAGAAGTTCCCGTTTTTGATTAATCTAAAATTCCCTTGCTGTTCGCTGCAGGTTTCCCCATCCTGTCCTCATTGCTAGGGTGGTGGTATTTTATCCAACATCGATGGATGTGCTCCATTAACAGCTACATTCTAGGCCGGGTGGCAGGCTCTCACTCTAGTCGGGTGGTATCCAGTTATTTCTCGCTGCTACAAGTATGCCATTACCACCTGTACAATTCCTTGGAAGACCCTCTTCTCACGTTCACTTAGGATGGACTCCGCTCCAGTTGGGCTTCGGACCTTGGACCTCTCATCTCAGTCCAGTGCGACTCGCCACAATGTTCGAGCATATCGCAACGTTTCGCTATTCCGCAAAAATATGGCCATAACTTAACCGTCATTAAGTTTGTTCATACTGAGCCTTCTTCCGGACTGGCCAATAGTGACAGCCGGACGACTCGTGGTCCTGGATCACAGGGAAACTATACACCACGAGAGAAGAGTCGCGACAAGACAAAGAAACCCACCTCGTCTCCTTCAGCATACTTGATATCTGTATTAGAAAATTGTGGCTACGATGTCGGCATTGCAAAACCGAAAAGCCACAGCGTGGATTTATCGTATAATTCTCCCCTCGCTACGACCCGCTCCTCTATGAAAACCCGTCGAAAGACTAAGGTTAAGAGCTCTCAGTATCCGAATGCGCGCCTAGCCTGCGCTACAGTAGTTGCAGACTATCTTCGTTATGTTCATCCATTGCTTGAGTCAGAGCCTTCTGGGCCCGTTTCAAACCAGGGATTCGACAAAACGTTGGACAATGCGCTTCTCACTGTTTTTAATGACGAAGTGGTCCAATACTTGTCAGATAGGGGTTATTCGATAGAAGATGTGATGGTTTGGGCTTGGATACTTGCCTCATCCCAACCTCTCCAGGCTGCAATGCGTTATAAAATCTTCGAAAAAAGGGCTTCTGAAAATAGTCTGGAAAGTGCTAAGGTTCCATTATTTGTGTTACTTTTTACTCTCCGGCGAGAGAGCATCTGTGCCACTGCTTTCAGGATCTTATTGTTCCAAGCTTGGGATATATTAAGTGATAACCTATCCAGCGATCAAACTTCGGAAATTTCTTCTGGCCCTAAAAGGAGTGCCTGGAATAGATCTGGAGATGACAATACTATTATGATTCTTGCTGTGCGCCTTCTACGGCTTGCTGGGCAAGTGTGGCCACAAGCCTTCCCTTCCATAGCTGCTTTGATTACCAGAACTCTTGGAACTGCCTCTGCCGCAAATAAATCGAACGAGGCTTACGAAAAGAAGATTAGAGGTCTAACTATTTATTATAACAAACTCCTTTCACTTCTAGCAATCCCATGTCGCCTTGAACCGTATCGTTCAGCCATATTTCAACAACGTGCTCAGTTCCAGTTGCTAAGGGAAATGTCAAAATTTAACCCTCCCCTCCCTGTCACTAGGGAAGGCTATCAGGCTATTACTAACGTACAACTGGCCCAAAAGAAGACTACTCTGGAACGACAGTGGGCCAATTTTAAAGCTCAGTCGTGGCCTCCTTGGAAAGAGGAAAAGCTCGGCATTGATTTCGAAAGGGGAAACGAGGGCAGTGAGAGTAGGGCGCTTAAGTCTATTTCACATATGAGAGATGTCGGATATGGTATGACTGCATGGGAGCAGACTGCAGCCATATACGCTGGATGGGATACGGATAAGACTCCGACGATCCAGACGAGAACGTTTCTTCCGAAGCCTAACCGCTTTCGGATGTCATCATTTTCAGGACAAACATCCACGCAACCTTCCTCGAGAACCGGCGTTGGTATGACTAAAACCCCAGATCATGGAAGGTACTTCGATATCTGGTCTGCTCGGATACGCGCTACGAGGACTTTAAAGGAGGCGTGGGCATGTTTTTTGTCCTACAGGGATAGTGGACTCCCACCCCACAAAGCCATATATTTCGCAATGGCTGAAAAAATTATCTTCCATGATCGTTCCCAAAATTCTCATTCACAACTCTCGACAGAAGCCCTTCCAGGTGATGGAAAGGAGGTTTTCCCTGAACCTTCTTCACCGCAAGATGTCATTTATGTCCACTCCGAACCGCCAACATTGGATGATTTGCTTCAGCAAATGATTTCACAGAACATTAGACCCTCAGGAAAATTACTTATCCTTCTTCTTGTTAATTCAAAGTCTATTGAAACCGGTATAGAATACCTTCTCATTAGCAACCTCTCTGATCAGCAGAAATCTGCTCTTGTTTCTAGCCTCTTTCGAGATCAATTAGTGAACGAGAAGTCCCTTGCTGATGTGCCGGACGACATTTTTGCCGCATTCATACAACTTCTTTGTAGGTTTTCGGTATTAAATGAGCCATCCGCCGATAACTCGAACACGCAAATGTGGCAGTTATTCCCGGTCTTGTTTTTTGCCAAGAAGGGAAGTAGCCTTTCTCCTTCAGATTCCAATCGGTCAGGTGAAGCTGAGCAGTTTCATCGGCACAAAGCACTCACTCACGCGGTCCAGCTGATGAAGTCAAAATTGCCACGGTATTTTCCAGCATGGAGTCATTTCTTGTCTGGATTAGCAACGGACAGAGTTAAGTTCAGCAACCACAAGATCTCTATTCCTATGCAGCGTGTTATATCTTGGTGGGAAGTTTGCCATGTTTTAACATGGATGCAGGATGCAAACATCCCCCTTGAAAGTCGAGGATTCGAAATTGCTTGCTCCGCTCTTTCAAGGCTTATTTTGGCAGCTAGGCAAGACATGGAAGGTGCTGAACACGGCTTAAAAATCGTCGAAAATGTCACAGGCCAGAAATACGGCTCGCCAGAGTCGTTGTCCTACTCAACAATTCGTGAAATGGTTCAGCAAAGCGTGGCTTTGCTTAAGCGCCAATTTGATTCGGTGGAATTGACGGGCGGGAAGAAGAGCATTCTGTCATCATTGGGGCTGTCCAACGAAAATGGTGAAAGTAACATTCCTGCTATGCTACCAGGTATATTTGAATCAACAGCCCCGTCTCTGCTCCACGCTTATGTTCGGGTTCTTGGTTTGGCCAACGATCGTGCTGGATTGTTAGAACTTCTCCGGTTGATGAGCAAACGTGAGGCTGGTCTGAAATTCTCTGCCAATGAACGCATGGGCGGCAAAAGACTTGTACGTCGTACCGTGGTGGCCATAAGAGTGTTTTTGGAGGGAGATTGGGAGTTGACTTCTGGTGTGTCTGAGCCTGGGGCTTCGTACACCTCTCCTGCCTTAAAACATCGCAGTTTTATCTGCGAAGGAAATAATCCGGTCAACTCAGATATTTCCGAATCCACCCAAAAAGCAAGGGCTTTTGCTGACCCTATTGTCAATGAAGCATACGACATCATCGAGAATACTGAGCTCCTGTCCCCTTGGCCCACAGACGGTGAAATTAAGGAATATAAGGCTGTCCTAACTGGATTGCGAAGATAGTTGCAAATATTTTTCTTGCATGTATATATACCCTTGTATATTGTATAATAGCATATTAGATCTGAACATATTGATAATGATACCGACGACGTATCAAGTTTTTAGTCTCATATCAGGAACTTGTAGCCCACGACAATATAAACACAGTTAGTAGTATTATACATATTTACATACAATGATCAATCATAGGACGAAAGGCAACAGAAAAACATGCGGCCATCTATTGATGGATATCAATCCGGGCATATAAGTGCGCAGAGAGATGCCAAGAGCCGTTGGGCCACGGCAAACTTCGCTGATCCCAAAGCCGCTCCTGGCCGAATCACCGAACCAGGTTTGTTTGCTCCTCACTGACAGAATGCAAACAACAACCTCAAAGATCTCTACACATATTTCCTCCTATTTAGTCCTATTCTCCCATTCTCAGCTAATAATGTCTCGCCGCTTGGTTCCCTCTCCATTTACTCTCAATCGATTCGCCGTTGTCCAAGTCCGCTATAATAGCACTGTCGGCACTGGCGCGCGTGGTTCGGTGATCGACACCCAACACGTCCCCGCACCAGGAGCAGGTCATATCAAGGTCCTTCTATTAAACAGACCAGAAGCCCGGAATGCTATTTCACGAGAGTTGCTGGACAGCTTAACCAAACATGTCAATTCAATTGATGCTGAAAAGGGGAAAGGGCCTACGCGGGCTTTGGTTCTCGCCAGCAACATAGATGCGGCATTCTGCGCTGGCGCGGACCTGAAGGAGCGGGCCAAGTTCACGAGAGAAGAGTAAGTATTCATATATTTTATTTTTTAATTTGTCTTAACCTCCCCGCCCAAGACGTTACGTCTCCTCCTTGGGATTTTCGTTTGGTTGCCCATAGCTGTGCTTCTATACTGTAAACTTTTATCATTTGCAATTCACTGGATTCCCGAGGATATCCGCTAATTATGATTGTGGTTATTTTGACTACAGGACCGAAGCATTCCTCGCCCAACTCCGGCAAACATTCACAAGCCTTGCTGCCCTCCCAATCCCAACCATCTCAGCCATCTCTTCAATGGCTTTAGGCGGCGGCCTCGAGCTCGCCCTGTCCACTAACCTTCGTGTCTTTGGCTCGACGAGTATTGTGGGTTTGCCTGAAACCCGACTCGCCATTATTCCTGGGGCTGGGGGAACTTACCGGCTACCCAAGCTCATTGGCGAAAGCCGGGCGCTTGACATGATTCTCACTGGTCGGAGAGTTAGCGCGGCAGAGGCTTACTTCATCGGGCTCTGTAATCGACTGGTGGAGGTCAGCCCTGAGGAAGCCGCCCAACCAGGCGCAGCGAGGGAAAGAGTTATACAAGAGACCATAAAGCTTGCCCTGGATATCTGTGAAGGTGGCCCCATCGCGTTGAGGCAAGCCATGAAGGCAGTTCGTGGATTTGAAAAGGGAGCGGAGGCAGAAAACCAGGCCTACCTAGGCGTTGTGGAGACGGAAGATCGATTCGAGGCGCTCAAAGCCTTTGCAGAAAAGAGGAAACCCTGCTTTAAGGGCAGGTGATTGTACGGGCAGGATATATGTGTCACATATATGTTCTCTGGGATGACTCAAGGGATGCGGGCTACATTCTGCAGACACGAAGAGGGCCAAGCAGAGAGCCTATGTCTGCAGATTTGCTACGGAGTTTAATTAACCTGTGTAATACATGCGGAATTTTACTTAGGTTTTGTCCATTTCTCGCGAGAAAATCTGCCTTATTTCGACGAGTATCTATCATTTTGGTGGGGAAACACGCGGCGGTTGTGGTCTCGTCAAATAAAATATAACTCGACAAATCGTGGAGGGTGGCAGATGCGTCGTTCTGTTCGTGAACAGGTAGTTCATTTTCAACATCACAAGAGGCTACCGGACAGGCTACAGGATTAATATATGGGGCCATAATAGACAGCCGAACACCATACAATTACCATCTAGTGACATCATGTTTATATGTGTTCAAGATTCCGCCACAGCAACTTGTTACGGTTGCATCTTCCGATTTCCCTCTCTTTCTCCGAGCCAGCTCCATCACTGCTCTCTGAAGGAGGGGGTGTCCCACTGAAAATCCCATATAGAGTTTTTTCGCTAAACTGGGAAACAAAATGCTTGTTTGCTCTACAAAAAGACACCTGTTTAAATTGCATCAGCTGAGAATCAGTGTGGATGAAAGGGATTACTGGTGCATGGAGAGATTATACACTTCTCAGTGCCTAAGCAGTGTTCGTAGATCCATACAGCTAGCCATCCAGGATCAGGGATCCAGGCCATCCCTTCCCTTGGCCTTCTCTTGAGGAATCAGGGATTGCGAGATCCTAGTTACCCAATGCCAAATAAGCTGCGGGTAATGAACTAATTATTGTCGACAACCGCTTCCGTGAGATTGAATTGAAACACCGTGCTGTGTTTAAAATAGTTCCCATTTTTATGATTTTATTACCATAGCTAGTCGGATGTCACAAATGAACCATGGAGAAAGGCTTTTTGATATCACCATGACCTTTACATCTGTTCTCTGAACCCATTCTGTACGCCACCATTATCTGCGCTATTCACAACAACTGGCTACTTTCAGCTCATTTCCTCATATCTGCTCCCTTGGCCATAAATTTTCAGCAACTTGAATGCTCCACGGAGAATATTTAGGGACGCACGACAAGGAAAATAGTCGAGAAGTTTTTATTATACATACAGCCCTTCAAAATATTCCTCACAAATTGCTATTCCTTGGAATTTGGCATCGGGTATGCAACCGGATAATGACATTCTAAATGGAATGGCTTGCCAACTGCCGATTTGACATCCCAGACGGCAAAAAATTGCAAGTCGGGGGGATAAGTTTCCGATGCGAAACTTTGCTTTTCTCTTAACCACCTGAGTGCAGAGGCCTCGCTCCTGGTGCGCAAACCAGCAGATAAATTGTTGGTGACTTTGATGGCATTCATAAAATCTTGAGATGAGTGTTGTGTTATGGTTAGCGACGTCTTGAGAAGAGAGATTGCCTTGATAGTCCTCTCTATGGTTTGACCCATCACTTTGCAAGGTCTCCATGAAAGTGCAAGGCTGTTGTTGTATCATGATGAAACCAGTAACGGCCTCATCAAGGATTATCTCCTTGGCTGATTCGCTTGTGGCTGTACCTAGGCTTACTGGGCCAGGGCTTTTGTTTGGCGGAAACATATTATTATGGCCGGGGGGGGCTATTTTTATGTTCTTTTCGGGCTACCCGCCCCCGTATCCCACAAGCTTCAAGCTTCGCCCGGCCCATTTGTAATTTTAAGTAACTATTCCTGACATGTGCGGCTCTGCGTGGGGTGGATGGTTTTGTGGACTCGATGGGGTTTCCCAGGGATCCGAGCGCGCTTGTCCTCCACAAACGCATCAACGGTGCCCGGGGCGAGAGATACGGCATCTCAACACCTGTATCAGCTAACTATTAATATGCCATCTCGTGCAGGGTACCTCGAGGTATAGTTAAGCATTGATCGCCCCAGCGAGTAGTGTGACAGCGTTCGAGAAACTGCGAGTGACATCTGACCTTGCCCACTCGCACTGCGCCGCGCCGCACCTAGATGAGTGTGCGAGAGAGAGTGCGTGCTCATCCCTTCCGTTATCAAATAATTACGCAAAGTAGGCTGCTGTCCATACAGCTGCTCACGGGACCAGGTTGTCAGTCAGGGCTGTCAGGCAGCTTAGTTATATCTAACTTACGTCCTCACCACCGTCGCCTTGTTGACTCCTCTGCTTTGCATCACATTCTCTCGACTTGTCCTACCGCAAGCTCTCCTCTTTTCTCCCTGGCAGAATTCATAGAAAATCCAGTTATTCACCCTTGTTGTTGTTTGCAGCTAAATTCCATATATATATATATATATGTGGATCACCCCGGTTGTTTGCGGCGGATTCTGGATAACACTAACATTACCAGTCTGAACAACCATGGGATCTAACACCGCCAAACGTCTCAACGTGAAAGAGTTTGGGTTGACGGAAGTTTACCGCTGTGCCGAACCGTTGGTACCACAGGTCGAGTAAGTTTGCGCTTTATTTTCCTTCCCGAGCCTGCCCTGCGCTGTGCCCAATATTTGCAAGTTTATTGTGTCACTGACTATATATCCTTGATATCACTACAGCATAGTCTTTGTCCACGGCCTTAACGGTACTTCCTACAACACATGGGCAACCAAGAAGCCCGAAGTTTTCTGGCCTGGCGACCTTCTTCCTCATACCTTGAAAGGTCAAAATGTACGGATTTTGACTTACGGTTACGATGCGAATGTCACTTCTTTCGCAAGGGGCACGTCGAAGGAAAGACTACACAACCATGCCGAGCATCTGGCGGGTCAGCTCATTGCAAATAGAAATGTGAGTCTGTCTGCACTGAGACACAAAATGGGTCTGCATTTTATCCTTGTAATTTGCAAGTCGCTAATACAAAGGCCCCATAGCTGCAAGATGCGGTCGAGCGGCCAATTATCTTCGTATGCCACTCTCTCGGTGGTATCGTAGTAAAGAAAACTCTTCTATACTGTGAACATCTCAGACACCCGAGAACCCAACACATTCGATCAACATACGTCTCTACCTATGCCATACTGTTCATGGGAACCCCTCACAACGGGTCTGATCTGGCGAACCTGGGAACCGCGATACAGACTATATTCAGTCTCGTGCCAAGAAAACTTTTCGATACGACGCCGACTCTGCTGAAGACCCTGAGGCCTGACAATGAGATTTTGCAAAACGTTAACCGCCAGTTCGCGGAGATAATGGGGAGGTACCGCATATATTTTTTTCATGAGTCGAAACCAATGGACTTGAAAGGCACTCGAAAGTTCATTGTGGAGGAATCTTCTGCTGCGCCAGTAATCGAGGGGGTGGAGCGCATGGGAATCGAGGCAGATCACAGTTCCATGTGTCGGTTCGAAAGCGAAAAGTCTCCAGGCTATGAAGCTGTGGCAGAAGCTATCCTTCGCTATACCAGAGAGGCACCAGGTGAAATCGCCAATAGATGGGCACAAGAACACCGAGCTCGGAGAAATAATATGAGGGAGGAAGCTGAACGTCTTCGTAAGTTATTCCTTCATCATTTCCACACATGAAACCAACCTTTGGAAAGCCCTCAAATTCAAATTTCTAATTGAGTTAGTGTACATGGATGATGTCATGCGACGGAGTATGGATAGGCTAGATTCACTTGGTAGGCCATTTGATATAAATAAACCCCTTTCCCTTGTTGAGCTGGTTCGCCAATATTCAAAGAGGCGGACTGGTTCATTTGTCTTTAGAGTCTCTTTTGCCTCAGAAAGCAGATGTAACCTCAAACCCGCGCAATCTTTACTTGCCTTATTCGGTATGTCATGGTAGGGGAATTCCGCTGACAGTCTTTCATAAAGGAAACTCAATATCATCGTTGCATACAGGACAGAATTCAGAGTTGATACCCATCACAAGATCGCAATTGATGTCTAGCGCCGAACTGCCCCCACCACAGGAGACTGGGGAACCTCTCCTTGTTGCCCCCCCAGGTTTTCACCCAAACTCAATATTCGTTGGCATGGAAAAGGAGCTCGAAGAACTCCACAATCGACTCTTCAGGATGAAAAAGAGAGCGGAAGATGTCGTTTCCGTCCTTATATATGGTGGGTCGGGATCAGGAAAGACACACCTTGCCCGCCAGTACGTTTTCAAACAGCGCACTACGTACACCGGTGGCATCTTTTGGATTGATGCAAGATCCCGGGAATCATGCTGCCAATGTTTTTGGGACATTGCCGAGAGGGTATCCTCAACACTGCAGAACGAGACCCCGGACCCTGACTGGCGCGACAGGGACAAGTATATTAGCAAAGTATTGAAGTGGTTCAGCTCGAAGCAAAATTGGCTTGTGGTCTTCGATGGCGTATCTTGTGATGACGATGACGAAATCAACGGGTTCAAGACCTTCATTCCATATAATACAAATTCGAGTATTATATATACTTCTGTCGATCGCACACTCAGGAAGAAGAGAAGATTGTTCGAGCCTTTTGGTCTGAAAGTTAGACCCCTGTCTGTTGAAGATGCCAGGAAACTCCTTTTCAAGGACCTCAACATCAAACAGCCGACTGCAGAACAGGTGCGGAAAGCAACAGAGTTGGTGGAACATTTTGAGTGCTTACCACTTGCCATTCATGCTATGGGACATCGCCTCAGTGCAACTGGGAAAGCAATCGAAAAGTTCCGTATCAAACCTCAAACCACAGACAAACGACTCGCGGAACCATACCGTGGAATAATGGCCGACCTACAAAACAACCAACACATGGAGGCAGTCAATTTGATTACGGTTCTCTCCTTTTTCGGACACGACGTTCCTGTTGGCATGATCCATTTGGGCCGGAAAGCTCTCTTCGAATGCGGTGTCGAAATTCGCGCCCCCGAGGAGGATGGAAGTTCTGGAAGACACATAGATAACACCTTCGCCATACTAATTCGATATGGTTTGCTCGAGCGAGCGCTCGACCCTTATTTTTTGAATGAACAAAGTCCCATTATTCGACGGAGCACGGAATTGTCTGATAGCCAACCTACTTCAGAACTAGACAGTTCCCAAACGAGTGGTAGCCAAAACACATCATCGATCAGGGGAAATAGTTCCATCGACGTTGTCAAAATACACACCGTGGTGCAGACATTTTTCCGTGATGAACTCTCGCGACTCGGAGTTGGGGCGTTCGCTTGGTGGCTTATTGTATCGACAAGGCTTTTCTTGACGTCGTATGCCAATGCCACTGCCAGAATAAGAACTCAACAGGCTCCTGGCCTCGTTAAGGACTTCGGGCAATATGAAACGCATGCGAGCGTTCTTCTAGGCTTCTATAAACAACTTCGACCCCATAAGGGTAACCCAGACCTACCCCCCGATTTGGTGCCATTAAACCACGCACTTTCTCAAGTGAAAAATGGTATCTCGGAAGAAATTAAACACCGGTCGCCAGTTGCGTCGCAGCAATTAATTAAACAGCAGAAATCTATTTTCGACCGAACTAGTAGCACATCCTCCATGCCAGATACGCCAACCAGTGGGTCTTCCCGGTTTACCTGGGAAATGGATGTGGACCATGAAAAGACCCATTCGCCAATTGAATATATCTCTTCTCGTCAATCAACACAACACTTTCCATCTACTATTTCGCAGAATTTACCACTACCTGTTGCGGAGGATCAGGGATATGAGTCCGATTTAGAGGGTAGCCGGACTGCTCCTGCCATGTCGCCGGTTCCATCCCAGACCACTGAGGTACCAACATCTCCAACTGTTGGACAAGAGGAAGGTGATTGGAAGGTCGTTGCGAAGCCAACGAAGCCGAAAAGCCAGAGCTTCTTGGGGTCAGTGACGTCTCGTTTAGGAATCAGGAGAATACGTGGCCAAAGAAATTTGGGAAGTTACAGACCTGTTCACCCTGTTGTGTCCGTTTCTGGAGTCCACGGCCAGGGGTCATCGAGTCGACTGAAAATCAACAATAGAAAACAGGAATCTCCGGCTAGATCGCACGCTGAAGCATCTCTTGCTGCCATGCATCAGGCGAGTGCCGCGAGTGCCACATCTCGTGGTGAGGGAGTAAGGAATATGAATTTTAAAGCAACCCAGAAAGAGAATGCTCCAACTTATGCAAATGTTGTCGCAGGAAAACGCCCAAGTGCCTCTTCATCCCCTATCCGATTTTCTCCACCCATAAGTTGGGGATCAGATAATCAGCATGTCGAAAACCCAGTTGCAGTACATCCTAGAAGTGCACCGTCCCATCATGGCTGGTCTCCCAGGTCATCATCCGACCAATTGACCAACTCATACCACAGTGAGTTTGGTACGGGATCGTCATGGAAACGCCCGGAAATTGAACGTGTTGCCACTCCCCCATCACGCTTTCATTCCCGTCACCCGTCGCACTCATCAGAAGGATCGAGTGGAAACATTCTAGGGCTTCAAGACGCTACTCCACAACACTTACTGACAGCACCCGCCAGTCGACCCTTGCCATACGAAGCTGATATAGCAATAACCAGGCCGCGATACTCAAGCGTCGTTGTCCCGCCCCCAGCCACTCAAGGCCTTGGAGTTGCATCATATCCGAATGCTGGGGCCTATGGCAATTCTATGGGGCAACCAATTCCAACTGGCTATTCATCTCAGCCCATGTCTCGAAATGGGTCTGCTCAATCGAGCCAGTCCCTTCATACCGAGCCAACAAGAATTCCCCCTAAATTTTCACCTGGCCTGGGGAAAAGGCGTTCTTCTCCCCTTGTTAACTTTGCTCAGTCTGACGTTTCCAGACTTGATACCCGTTCTCCCCAAATGATATACGGGCGCGGCGGTGGAACTGCCATCGTGTCTAGTCCAAGCAGCCCGAATTCATTCGAGGCTACTGCAATGTCCCGTGCATCTTCAGGCCCAGGTATGATGGTAGACTCTGGAGATGGTGTGACACGAAGCTTTGTAGAGATCAGCCGTCGCCCTTCAATGCAGCATATCAGGTTCGGGGAACATGAACCCATAAACATTGCGGATGCACGGATGCGATCAGGGGTGTATGAAAACCCGACCTATGCAGGCCAAGGCGTCGGTGCAGCCTTGAAACGTTCAACCAGTCCTCCCTACCCTGACCAGAATCTGATGCCTAGTGCAAGTGACGATAACAAATTGCAATCTTTGATCGGCGGCCCACTAGAAAACATTGGTAATTTCCCGGTTCGTCGTCGATTTAGAAGCGGGAGTTCACCTGCTCGACCAGATATGGATGGCTACCTCCACCGTCAATGATCTTCTAGTTACTGCTGATTAATTGGTGACTGTCTCGGGTTCACGTCGACAAGTTTCTTTCGTCTAATCTGCTGAACATTTATCATTATCTTCCTTGCTCATGGGGTTTATTTGTTGTGTTCGACGAAAATTGGACTCTAGGTAAGCAAGTTTTTTTTTTTTTTTTGGAGCGATGCAGCTCAACTTCCAGATGTATGGAATTCATTATGCATTTGATGGTGTTATATATGCTTTGTTGCCCGTAGTAATGGAGGAAAAGCAGGGCGGACGGAGTTGATGCAAAGAATGGGTGGATTGTTGACAGGTAATTTGTGTCCGTCCCGGGAATAATAATGGAAACAAGGAATTTGAGGGGCAAATGCACGGCTGTATTTTTTTCGGTGTCCGGTTTATATATTCGAGTTTTAGATATAATATATATACATGGCAGAGAATGATGGTAGTCGATCTGGGCTTGAAGGCGTAGAACAATATTTCATTTTTGTCAAAAAATTTCCCCTTGCAATTTTATTTTCTATAGCATATTATATATCTACAACCTAAATATTGTTAGAGGACTATTCTAAACCAGATTTAAGGCTTGAAATCGTGTTTGAATCGTCTCTGCAACAATATCACATGACCATATCTCCATCATGCCATCACTCCACGAGCATGACAGGGGTGACGTCACAATGAAGCTTTCCGGGTAAAGCTCTCCACGGAATGACGAGAAACAACGTATATAAACTGGGGAATGGCTTCTTTTCTCCTCGCCTCATTGTCACCGATATATATATCAGGAATATATAACGTTCCATTCCCATCATATCAAAATTCGGTTCAATTTTTTGTATTTCGTTATTTCGTCGACGATACCTCGATATCATATTATTTTGCTTGACATTGATTTGGAAACATTATTCCACTAGATCTAGGTTTTCCAAGTTACTCCGTCGGAAGAAGGTAATTCATATAATATCCCTGTCCGTACCCCGCGGCTTTCTATTGATGCGGAATCAAGAGACTTAGGTTCGCTGACCATACTGTCGTCCTTCTGCTGCATTCGAGCCCTGAAAGCAAAATCAGTATCTTCATATGATCAAGATGCCTTTCCTTGTCCGCGTCACTCCCGTCACGAGGGCGGCCCTAAGGCCAGCCACCAGCGTTGCGGTTGTTAGACCAACATGCTTCTCTACCTCCACTCGTAAGGCAGAGAAGGGACCCATCCAAGCAACCATGGAAACACTGAAAAAGGCAGACAGACTTGTGTCAGACGCTGCCGTGAAAGGAATTGAGACGGGAGGTATGTAGTAATGATCCCAGCTGATTTTTAGTTTCCAGCCTTCTCTTGTGCTGCTGCTTCTGTTGTTGATGGGAAGGGTTCCAATAGAAAATCGTGTTGCTTTTTGGCGAGTTGGTTCCTTTTTCTTTTTTTCGCACGCAAGGGCATGGGGCTGACAAAGGTGGTACGAGAATAGAGAAGGCAACACACAGAATCAGAGATACTATTGGTGGTAAATCGGGAAAGGTTGGGGGCGAGGCGTCCCAATTCAGGGACAGGGCGGGGGGCAAGGCTTCAGAACTTAAGGATGAAGCGAAGGCCAGGGCAGAATATCTTAAGCAGAAAGCTAATGAAGAATCGGAGGAAGCGACTGGCAAAGCATGATTTAATGCTTGCACGTTAGAGACCAATATTGTCTGGAAAGGAAAAAACAGGAAGGTAAAAACACAGACATGTTTTAATATGCTAGTTCATGACTTAGGGCTATTCGTCATTGGAATGAAATGTAGGAGTGGTAAATGCTATTTTGACGCCATTTGTATCACAGTTCATTGTTTTGTTGTGGAGATGGGCTCGTCCTGGACATATTTGTGTACTTTTTTGTATTGGAATAACATTTAATGACCTAAGTCGATTGGGAATTTTCTTACTCTGCACAGAGGTCCATGCCGCTCAAAGCAAGAAGTACTCATCACCTAGATGGCGGCAGCATGAGAACATATTCTCTCGTGCTGAACCCAAATTTCAAAACATCCTTATCCATGAGTTCCATAAAACGTCCCTTGGGAGCGGGCTCTCCATTCACAGTTGATCCATTCGCGCTCTCCAAGTCAATTAGATACGGCCGCACCCGACCGTCCCTATCGCCGTACTCGTTCCGCTTCTCGACAAAGCGGAATTGTAGTGCAGCGTGTTGTTTGGAGCAACTTGGATGATCAACCGGCAAGTCGACGACTAATCTTTCCCGCCCAATGAGCCAACAGCTCCGCTCACTCAACTGTATCGTCTCAAGTAGGTCCTCCCCCTTAAATACGTAGAGGCGCCAGGGGTCCTTTGCGGGCGGTTTCCGAGCTTCAGGGGGCTCATGATATTTGAGGATAACGGAGGTCAAACCGTCACCAGATTTCACCATGTTGGTCTCGGCAGCCAAGCGGCCGGTATTGGAAAAATTCGGCTTCTCCTTTTCTGGAAGCGGAGGAGAGTTTTCTGGCATTGAGTCTCCGGAGGTTTTGGAGAATGCATCTTTCTGGGATGGGAGTGGGTTTTTTGAGCGTTTGGTGAATCTGGGAGATGGACTACGAGACATCTGATGATGGGATGATCTTGTCTTTGAATTTGACAAACTTCGCCGTCTCCTGGACGACCTGTCACGATGGTCTTCGTGGTCCACCTTATCCCTGTATCGTCGTTCGTGTGGACTGCGCCTAGAACGGTCGTTTCGTGTTCTCGACGTGTCATCATAGTCTCTAGAGCGGCTTCTCCGACGGTAGGATCTATGCTCTCCGTGGGATGACTTGGCCGGGCTTCTAGAGTGTCGCCTGTAGTCCTTCATACGTGGTCGATCGTCGTTAGATCTTCTTCTATGGCTTCCACCATCTTTATTTTCAGCTTCTTGAGAACGCGTGTAATCAATGGAATGCGGAGAAGCTAAACGCTGCCCCCCGTTCCGCCCATCATATCCGCGTCTAGGCATTGTTTTCATCGAATTGCGCGACGAAAACTGGGGGTTGTGGATATCAAACCAGGGAATGATGCAATTTGGCAGCGAAAGACGGAGATTCGCTCGGCCCGACTTATCTCAGCCACTCTGTTCAGGGTGTACTAACCCGATTTGGACTACTGCCACTTAGATGATGATGAAGTGTGTTTTTGGAATAGATCAATCAACATCAGCAAGGACTGCAATGTTCTACTGTTCTTATCTCGTCTGAATACTGGATCACTTGCTCTGCTTCATCCAAAAAATTTAGCAACTCTATATCTTTTACAGGCGATGAGCCGCATATGCAACTTCAATTTTGATGAATCACAGAGAAGTTAAAAAGTGGCCAGCTGCATCATGCAAGGAGAAGAACAGTTCAAAGAGTCAAAGATATGCCTTGACACTTATCTTTCAACTCCGGGGCTGTGTGAATCTAATTGACTTCTTGTTCAATCCACTCTTACTGATCTCTTATTGTGAGTTGATCTACAGATGGGGAAGCAGAACTTTTGTCTCTCTCTGGCAAATACAGTGGTGGAATTGAAAATTAAAAGATTATGACTATCATCCGGTCGATATTGGAAAGGATTTCAGCGCTTACTTCTTTCCCTAGCGGATGTTAGGATCAGGCAGGGATGGCATCGGGATGCTAACCTTTTGACTAGAGAGCTGATAATGATATATGACAACATCAGCGAACCGGACATAGTGGATCGACTTGGCCATGTCCGGGCACTCATTGCCTTTGCGCGTCTCACTCCATCACCCGAGGATGCATTGAAGAGATGGAAAAATGGTCTAGTCTACCACCAATTGAGTAACCTAACCCAACAAACGCCCTGGCCATTTTATCTCCAACGGCGGTAGAACGCATTTCCGGCAAGATCCCCATCAACAGTCACCGTAGCATAGTAGCTCTCAGTAGCGGGATGGGGAAGGTATTTCTCTCGCAGACGGCGTGCACCAAGCTTAACAGTTTTCCCTTGGAATGTATTAGATATGACAATTGAAGAAGATCATTCTGGCGTACATGGGTTCCGTGAATGCTCTTCCCAGGTTCCGTAGTTCTCACTGAATAGTCTGGCGGCTGAAGATAGCGTAGCATCGGTGACTATATCACCAGAAAATATCTCATACAATTTGATTTTCTATGTTGACATTACCATATATGCGTCTTGCGAAGCTTGTCTACGGGAGTAGCCGTGGCGGGTGTGAGAAATCTGACCGTACGAAGGGTTGGAGATGACGAGGTTGAAGGGTCTGCTGAAAGCGGCACTGTTGCATCTGGCACACAATCTTGGAACCTATCCATAGTGATGGAGGATGGAATGACAGACGGGAGATGGTGGTTGGCGGGGTATGTATTCTCTGGTTAGTCAAAGAGAGGCTGAGCCTGCTGAGATAAGCTCGGCCCGACGTCTTAGCCTTGATTTGGAAACAAATGCGGGCAGTGGTATCCACCACGATAGATAAATGCTGGTTTACTTTCGTGCGCCTATTCGAACAAATGATTCAAAGAGGGTATGCTGGCTACTTATATGGAGAGTGCGTAATTAACAACTTATTATGTTGAAACAGTCCACACTGTCCTGCTGCTGTGGTGGCTTGCAATTGTTTGGTGAATTGCCAATCGTCCTACAATCGACGTCTACATCCTCCACCCGTCGAAAGCAACCTTCCATTTCACGATGCGGCAGAAGATTTGCTCATACCAGTAACTCATATCCGTTGGAGTCTGAACCGGACTTATCGTGGCCTACGACGCCCACTTTTTCCCCTTACGACATATTCAAACTGTCCAAAGCCGAATGTTATTCCAAGAGACGATATTATGATCTTGTCAAACTCTACCACCCCGATCTGCAGAACAAAGATCATCCGTTATTCAAGAATGTGCCTGAGTCCATCAGGCTACATCGCTACAGACTTATAGTTGCGGCACACGAGATTCTTTCTGACCCTGCCAAGCGGGAAGCATATGATCGGAATGGACATGGTTGGCACCATCGTTCTGAGCTCTTCGCTCAAAAGGCGCCCCGGAGAATGGACGTACGATATGAAAGAGGCATGGGCGGGGATGACTCAATATATAGAAACGCTACGTGGGAAGATTGGGAACGGTGGCATCGAAGACATGACCGGAACCAAAGCCAAGCCTCCACGGTATCGCATGGCACATTTGCATCATTCCTCATTCTGTTGATGCTTTTTGGTGGTGTAGGCCAGGCGGTTTCAATCGGAAATTATTCGAGCCATGTTGCAGATCGCGCGAGAGAATCTCATGAGAAATGTGCCAAGTTTCTGCACTCCAGAAGGCAGCAGACTATTGCTCAGGTCGACTCGTTGGATTCTGGGCTTCAGAGCTTCCTGATAAGGCGGGATCCGTATGGTTACGGATTGAAAGAGGAAGAGGAGGAAACGTATCGAAAAGTTCTTAGCCCCAACAACAAGTCTCACGCACTTCATGCTATTGAGACGCCGTCGCCACCGCCAGAGAAGCCGCCGGAAATAGCAAAAGGTTGAGAGTCAACGAGGCCTAACCCTTTCATTTTCAGCCACTTGTTTTCCGTGCGTTTATTCTTCTATTTTTTGTATTTCTACTTCGCATTTCCTGGGATTTATCGTCATACGTGCATTGCAGGCGTTCGAAATCAAATTGTATCTCTACTCTAGATCATAATCATTCTTATAGTTCAGCTACACTAATAGCATTGATTCTTTTGCGAAATGGTCAAGTTCCCTTTTGCTTTCTCTATATCTCTGTTTTTCCACTTGCTATATCCCTATGATTTGGTCAAGAGGACATTCAACTAAACCCCCAGCACTATATGGGATATCACACAAGTCTATTTCTAATGAATGCAGAGGGTACTCCATGAAGATCAACACAAACTCCCATGGAACATTCGGATTTATTCCTCTCAGTAATGTCCTGCATCATCGACAACAGGGCAAGTTACGGTCCATCAAATGCGTCTGGAATGGGACCAATTTCTGTACTTTTTGCACCGCAACACATTAGCAATGACAATGATTTTAACGACAAAGGCTAGTTTATCCCACTACCACTGCGGTCCATTTATGAATGGGTCGAACTGCACTGCTGTTTAGTAGACGCAATGGCCTCTCACACAATTGCCGGTAGTTTTGCAGCGCTGCTGGCCCCCGGCATTCAGGGGATTTCCCATAAGCCGTTCGAGTTTTGCAAACGAGCAACTATTCTGACCACCCCGTCGTGTTGGAATGAGGATAGAGGGAGGGAGAAGCTGAAACCTTTATCTAGCTTTCCGCCGTTGCTACGAGTTTCATATTCGATGAATGAAAAGGAGATGTTTTTTGATGCCTATGTGTTCGACATGAGTGTTTTGGTGCATATCATTTCTAATAGCGCTAGGCTAGGCTCGAACTTCTAATCTCCGACCCTGCCCTGCCGGAGATTCCCAAGAAAACGTTTCGATAACCGAGATCCTAGATACTTTTGTCATTGGAACGAAGATGGAAAGCAAGATGAATTGACTTCTAGATAACGGCTGTCTAACGTAGCTACTGCGGAAAGGAGCCCCATACTGTTCGATTCTGTTTCTTTCTTGGTCTGCAAGATGACATTGGTAAGAGGTTAAAACGTCGAGGGGTTTCCCCTGCTCAGGTAGTGCTCAAGCGAACGGCAAAGAATAACAGCTAGGCCTCCGGGGTTGCTCTTGGCTTATGCTGAGTATGGAAAAAGATGGGGGAAAAATCACTATCCATCCAGATGTTCATCTCTTATTATGTCGACATTTTGGCAGAGTATTGCAAACATATCTCCCAGAAACTCAAGGTTAGGGCTTTTGAATTTCGGCCTAGGTATTCATGATGCTTGCCTTCTTCAAAATGTAGATTTGAGGCCCAGGACTGCAATTTTTTTTAACATGCAGGTCAGCAGATTCTGGAGTGGTTCCAAAGAATTTCATAATACACATACATTGGATGATGGGTTATTAGTGGAGAATGGACAAGTCTCATATCGAGACCTGATATACGCCTGTTTGATCTCAGAATCGAGAAGAGTGTGACTCGTTCAAGACTTTCCTCGACAAATCACTGTTGTGGATTGATAAATTCCAAACCCTGGCGATATCCATGAACACACCCCGCCTGAACCGTATTCGGATTTGAAATCTGGAGGGATGTCTCCCGCTATTCCCACGCTAGCTGTTTAATCTTCGTAACTTAACCCCCTTGCGCCGTGGTACAGAGTAGGAAATATATGGAGAATTCTGTTCTTCTTCTCCTATGTAATTTGTATCTCCGTTAATGGCAAATGCCATAACCCGGTCGATGCCCGTTGCCGGCACTATACGCGAGCTTCATCAAAAGCCGGATGATCATGCCCCTCGATCGAATATCGACTTTTACCAACAGGCGGTGTTACACTCAACAGCCGGGGAGGGCCAAATGGCTCTAGGGGCGAAGATCATTTGATAGCACCGCCCCATCCCTAAATTTGGTGACTCGAAACATCAAGACACTTGAAACAGTTGAAATGCGTATGCGAAGTGGGACGCAGCGCAATAACTTGTATGCCGGGTTAAGTTGTGGTGCCCTCTGTTGGGTTGAGCGGACGTACTGGACGCTGAGAGTTGCACACATTCAGCCCTGGATCCTGCAACACCACTCTGTCTGTGTTGCCAATGCCAGTCTTAACTAATTGCAAGAAGATATGCGTCTGCGGGGTTATTGTCGCCGGTAACAATGGTCTCATGTATTTAATTCACTTTCACTAGGGTGCGTGCAGGGAAACTTTCTTTTGCTCCCCCCCCTCCCGTGTAAATAAAGCTCAGCAAGGACGACTCGTAAAACAAACCATTCGGTCCTCGAGTCAATGATGAAATTTAAATCAGAGGAAACAGCTGCCAACTTCTTGTGAAATCTGAAAATCGCGAGGTTTTGCCCGCAATCAAAAATCAATTATGGCAGAGAGCGAAGCAGATATCATCGTTGTAGGAGGTGAGTTCCCACCTTGGAACATATTGACGCACAAGTAATCTCCTATTAACCGTCCTCTTATTTAGGGGGAACGGCGGGTTTGATTACTGCTGGCCGTTTGGCTCAGGCTAAACCGGACCTCTCGATATTGGTGATTGAGGCGGGAGCCAATTCTCGAGGTAACCCGATGGTGGTCAACCCAGCGATATACCTTTCGCATATCGCGCCGACGTCAACGGTCGCCAAGTTCTACAAATCCAAGCCCAGTGATTACCTTGCAGGACGAGAGGCCATTGTCCCGACTGCTAACATTCTTGGAGGAGGCAGTTCCATAAATTTCATGGTCTATGCCAGGGCCCAAGAAGTAGATTTTGATGATTGGAACACAGAAGGTTGGAGGGGAAAGGATATGATACCGTTCCTTCAGAGGGTAAATACAAAATACAATGCAATAGTTTGAGCGGTTTCTATTGCTATACCTTGAGCTCCAGTTCTGATACCTAACTCTTTGCAATGCTCGTCATGTCAGATCGAGCGATTCCAAGATAGAGATCCCGAAATAGATAAATCTATCCATGGCTACAACGGGGAGCTGAGCGTTTCGGCGGGAGGGACATACGTGCAGGACTCGTTCCAGAAAGATTTCTTCAAAGCTTGTGAAGAGATTGGTATCAAGAAGGTTCCAGATGTACAAGATTTCAAGACGGCAAATGCTGTTGGAGTAAGTCACAAAATTCTTAACCCGGCTATATCTATCCGCCTCTCTTTGTGATAGATGCGAACCTTTTTGTTAACCAGTGTAGCGATGGAATATGTGGATCGATGAGAAAACCGGCTTGCGGCAAGATGTGCCTCACAATTTCCTCTTCCCGATCCTAGATGCCGGGAACACGAAGCTCAAGGTCCTCACCGACTCGACGGTAAAACGAGTCCTCTTTGATGAATCCAGCCGAGCATCTGGCGTTGAATATGTTCCTACGGCAGACCCTTCAGCAGATCCGATTGTAGCACGCGCGAAGAAACTCGTCGTGGTTGCAGCCAATGCGCTGGGTTCTCCCCAAGTCCTGCAGAGGTCTGGAATTGGTAATAAATCGAAACTTGAAGCTCTAGGCATTCCAGTGGTTTCTGATTTGGATGGGGTGGGGAGCAACTATCAGGATCACAATGCTGTCTTTTATCCATATTCCTCAAAAGCAACAGCAGAAGAAACACTAGATGGGCTACTCACAGGCCGCCTCCCTTTCAAAAAAGCAGTGGAGCAAAAGGCTGCCAATCCCGAGCGCCACCTGCTTGGGTGGAATGGCCTCGACTGCTTCGGAAAGCTTCGGCCCACTGAAGCAGAAGTTCAGGAATTTGGCCCAGCATTAAGGGAAGCATGGGATAAGGACTTCCGTTACAGGGAAACTCGGCCGTTGATGCTTATGTGCACAATTGCGGCGAATCTAGCAAGAAAAGGACCACCAGTCGAAGGACAATATTTTTCCATGGCTGCGTATACCGCGTACCCATACTCACGAGGGTCGATCCACATTACGGGCAAATCAGTCACCGATATTCCAGAGTTTGATGCCGGCTTTCTCAACCACCCTGCGGATGTAATAAAGCTGATATGGGCATATAAAAAGCAACGGGAAATCGCGCGAAGACTGTCATATTACAACGGTCCCCACAGTATTGGTCATCCCATATTTCCGCCCGGATCAAAGGCAGACCCCGAGATAGTCGACGCAGCTTCTAAAGCCCAGGGATACCCAGCGCCGATAGAATACTCTGAAGCAGACAACAAGGTCATTGAACAGTTCATCCGCGAGAATCTCACCACTACATGGCATAGTATGGGCACCTGTGCGATGAAGCCAAGGGAGCATGGGGGAGTGGTAGATCAAGATTTAAATGTCTATGGTGTTAAAAACTTGAAAGTCGTGGGTAAGTCTAAGTTTTGAAGTTCTTCAATAAGCTTCCCCCTCTCTGTCATGCGGATTGCTGATGACGGCTCTCTTATTAGATCTGTCGATATGCCCTGCCAATGTTGCAGCAAACACGTACTCAACGGCGCTTGCTGTTGGGGAGAAAGCTGCGAGCATTATCGCGAGGGAGTTGGGAATCTCCGCGTATTCAAGTGGATTCTGAGATAGTTTTCACCGTTATGAACTAAGGATGTTGCCAGTGGATGACCGAGCAATGCTCATGAATAGTTATGTTCAAACGGACCTTAAGTTAGAGTGCTGAAATTGAAGGTTTGGTTTCAAAATCCATGTAAAACTTTAATATATGTCTTGCGTATGATCCCGAGGTTTTACCTAGAATTGTAATTTACATTGCTTGCTCCGTACTATGCAGTATGTAGCCTGTTAAAAAAAAGATTGTTGTTCAACAGCACAAAAGCGGTTTTCCCCCAGGTGAACTGAACGACGCAAGCTCCAAGAGCAAAGCGGGCGGGTTGCTGGCATGGCAGCGCGACCCAAGGGCCATCGCAAACCTTCTCACCCCTGTAGCGGTTCCAAGCGGCGCTATTTTGTCAGGCGTGATACATCGCAATTACATACAACAATAAGCACTTGCAGTTAAACTAACTAACGGCTGTGCTGATCCACTTGTGGATTAGGCAATTGATTTCCATTGTCGGGACAGCAGGAGTCGAGTGGGTGAGGGGAGTTAGTTACTCAATTCTTCTTACTCATGAAGCCACCAGGACGCCGAAACCCATGCGCAGGAACGAAAATCGACAAGGTCCGGGTAGATGAATAGAGATATTCGGCTCCCTTGGTGAAAGTGAAAAGCCCTGTATCCAAACAAGGGTATCCATCACATCAAAAATGTACACGAAGAAGATAGGAAATGCTCTAACCAGCACGGTTCTGGTCTAATTTTGAGAGGGATAGATGAATATAGATATCTATATGTACAGTGAAACTGCTCCGAAAACAGGCTCATCCAATATATATTCTTACAAATTTCCCTTGAAGATAATGGGTTCTCTATCACCCAACGCGACTTCCCTCGGGAACAAAGATATATGTACATGGATGGATGTGATATAAGAGTAATATTAATAGAGATCCCACTATCGGGATAAAAAAAAATCATGAAAAACAGAGACATGGTTAGAGCGAACAGGGGAATATTGTATAGACAAAACTTATAATAAGCATGATAAAATAAATAAAAAAGAAAGGGAATTTTGAAATGAAATCCAACTCAAATCACGGGTGCGGAAGGCAATCGCAAGAAGCTCCGAAGGTGAAGCCGTCATCTGTAACGCTATCAAGAACGCGTGGGATATTAAAGAGCTATTTTCGACAGTAACATATATATGGTTGCGCTTGGTGGAGTTCTCCCAACAATTTGCATGCGGAAGAAAGACAAAACCTGATAACAGACAAAAATCATCTCCTAGAATCGCGGCTATGATACCCCTCAAGCTCAGAAACCGGAGCTTGCTGCTGAGGGGTGGGCAGCTCAACCGGCACTTCACCTATCTTGTTTGATTGACCGTAGGTGGGATAGGCTGACGGGTTTACTTGTAATCGGCTCTTTCGTTGTCGACTGCGCCAGGCAAAAAAAGCAACGAGACCGAGCAGGATTACCCCGAAAGACACGCCGAATCCTATGCCGAATTTTGCCGGCTGTGACATTCCGGGAGATGACAATGCGGGTTGAGGATTATCGGGATATATGGTGGAGGTCGGTGAGCCGGTAGGTTGAGTTTCGTTGGGAACTGAGATGGATGTGGTCGTGGTTGATGCCTCCTTGCTAGAGGTGGTCTTGGAAATGATTTCGGATGTGGTCTCCTCGGGAAGGGTCTCGTTCGCGCGACGTTCAATGGATCCATCATCGTTCAAAAAAAAGCCACGCTTGTCGGCGCAGCAGGTTGGATCTTTGACACAGCAATAGCTGCCGTCTCTGCATATATTGACTCGTGGAAGGAATCCAGATGAATCCTCTGTTCATTTATGAGCCGTTAGCCCATGATATCGCATATGCTCTCTGCTTCCGCTGTTCTAGCCTCACGGCCGACTCACCCTCTATACAAACTTTGGCACAATTGTCATTCCAAGGGTTGGCGCTGCATGGCGCGCGGACGAGAGTATCTGGGTCCTTGTTGGAGACGCACAATCGATCCGGTCGGCATTGCTCTGCAGTCTGGCAACAAGAATCGGAATCTGGGCATTTCGTATTGTTGCCAAAACGTGTTCCTGTGGAGCCATAGCATATTATCTTCTGTTGGCTGCTCATTTTTTTTAAATCGAACGGCGAGGATAACTCGCGAGGGAGTATGGAGAGGGTGTGTGAGGTGTATGTATGACGAACACCCATTCTTGATGAAGAAGCCATGAACAACGCACGTCTGTGCCCCTTAATAATAATGCTTAAATAATGAATCCTTCTGCAGCCCCAAAGTTCCGTTGAGGTTCGAGGTCTCCCGGGTTTTCAACTCGCCATGGTTGGTCTGCAGCCTGCAGGGAGAGAAAATAGTCTGCCCCCAACTTCTCTGTTACCCACAACCCGTCCAGAAACCAACCAGTCGTGTTGGATTTCCGTCTCATAACTCGTACTGGTGCAAATCGGTGCAGCCAATACCTCACTGAGTCTTAGCGCGAGCTGTCCTCTTTTTCTTCACAATACATTGGTGTCTTTCTTCATTTTTCAACAGCCAAGAAGGGCGAACAACCCCGATCGCGCGCTGAGATGAGTTGGTAAAGTTTGTTTTGTTAGGTTGCATTTGAGAACTTGGCTTGTTGATTTCAGCAACGGATTGTACCTGTCGAGTTCATCAATAAGGTTAATCGCTAAGGCTAGCGTCCTCAACCCTGACCGACCTGCCATGGCTTTCCGTGACAAGGTCCCGCCGAATGTTCAGCCCTGTCAAGGGATGACAGGAGAGCTTGAGGGTTGGGATCCAGCCAGCCTTCAAACGACACAGCAGACGCCGCTTGTGGTGTGTCCGGTTGTCAACTCCGAGCAGTGTGTGCTTCCAACAGCAGGGTCTCCTTGCTAAGAATGCAATTCTTTGACCGGTTCGCCCGGATACGTTAGTGTCATCTACACAAGATCCCTTTTACGCGTTGCACTAGAATTTGGCTTTGGCGAACAGATCATTAGCGCTGATTGAAGCCGATACAAACATAACGCAATTTTAGGTTCCTGGTTCTCCACAGTCGCCCTTCCGGGCGGCACAGGGTGATAATCGCGTTGGCGAAGCGCATTGTGGCGGAAAGCGGTTAGGCCATGTTTGAAAATCAAGCGCTATGTTTGTCCATGCAACGTTGTTAAGCAAACAAGAAGCAGTTGATGACTGCGGCGCGTATAACTCTTGGCTGCTTCTTTGGTGGAAGTTTGATGCGGGATATGATGGAGCGTATTCATATTGACTGGTATCTCGGTATCTCCAGCGACTCTCCAGCGAGCATTTTCATCAAAACCAAAGCGATCGAAAAAAAAAAAAAATAAAGGCCAAGATTCCAGAACCGGTTGCTCCCCGCGATTGTCAAAGAATAAATAAACTGATGACTCCCGCTAAAAAAAAATGCCAATGCCTATGAAAGTTGCACACAGCCAAGAGAGGAGAACCAATGAAACAAGGGGTGATGAGAAGACTATGGAATCCATATTCAAGTGATGGGTCTCCACCCAGTTAGAAGTTCCTCACTGGGAATAAATATTTATCTAAGTGGATGAAAAATAAAATTAGAAAAATGGAAATGGCTATACATATTCATCCTGCATCATCCCCATATCCATATCAGATTCAAAGCGGTCAAAATTCGGCTGAGAGAAGGGTATATTCTGCTGGTAATCCACAGCTGGCCACTCCCAACCAGGTGGATTGTCGAAGAACCCGTCCCAGAGACCTAGCAATTGTGCTATGAACCGGAACCCCGCGACGAGGATTGCCCACACAGGACTTAAGATAGCTGAGAGGTGCGACCAGCGCCAGAGCATGGTCGGTATCACTAGGGGCATCCGCGGCGCATTAGGATCAAGACAATTCCGCTCACACGTCGCGGCATACAGTGGATGACAATAGAAGTCGCACATAACCAACTCCGTAAAGTACCAAGTGAAGAATCCAAGGACAATCCAACTAAGGCGCGTGAGACGGAGCCGGTTGGTGCCTGGGTGACGATACCACAGTCGAGGTAAGGGAAGTGCAACGTAGTGATGGCCATCGTTATGGAGACCACAGGCATCACAGGAAGAGCCCATATGGCGACGAAGCGGTTTCTTACTAGGTTTGGTGCTTTGCGATAATAAAATACTAGCGTCCTTGGTGATCTGGCGTTCAAGGCTTGCAAGCCCGGTCTGCGTCGCGTTGATACTCTGAACGAGAGATTGGAGTTTTTTATTCAACCGTTCAACCACGGTGTCGTCTGCCTGACCAGGAGATGCATCATTGGTCTCCTCCTCCCACGCCTTCTCTTCCTCTTCACTTTCAGACTTAATAAAAGGCTTAGAATCCAATATTGTCGAGTTCTCATTAAGCAGCTCCTGTAAAGAGTCGAGGGTGCTTTCTCCAACCAATAGGTCATGATTTCCAGATTTTGCGTCCTCAATAACCGCCTCCAACGCGCTCCGCGGTAATTTGGGTTTCTTTAATGTTTTTGGAGGATCTCTCTTTATCTTTGGTTTCGGCCTTGTCATTTCTTGTGGCTTTGGTGACGATTTTTCGGGCGGCGGCATTTTCGGCGGTGACTTTTGTGACAAGGACTTTGCTGCCTCTGCTAAGCGTCTGTTTCTGGGCTGGTTTTGAGCTGCTATCGTACTAGGCGAATTAATTTCAACAGAAGGATCTTGTGGGAGTTCTACGGTACGGTCCTGGGCAGGCGTATCTATCCATGCACCAGTCACCACCGGGGTCTTAACGTTTAAGAGGGTGTTATCAACTGCAGTCTGCTCCGGTGTGCTGGCCACACTCGGGCTTTCTCTTCTCGAAAGTGTCCGTAAAAGTTCCTGGGGGTCGTTTTTAGATAAATGTCTCGGTCTTTCCCGATCCATCTCGCGATATATAGTAATGGGAGAATTTGGTATATGTTCTCCTTCTATTGACCGTCGGGCCGGCTCCTGTGGCACCCTTCTTTCATTTTCCGCCAACCGAATTTCAGCAAACGCTTTCTTCCTGAATTCTTCAATCTCGTTCCTTGGAGCGGGATTATTTCGCACGGGTGGGCTATCAGAAATTTGTAATGATCGGGCAGTAAAGTCGATATCATGCTCTAGTCCTTCGTCGGTTGACTGTACCGTTCCATCATTCACATAATTATTCCCATTTGGTCGACTAGATTTGTTTAGCCAATCCTTGGACACGCGCCCGCGCAATCCCCACGTCTTTGGAATGTTGAGGGAAGGTTCTACATCTTCCCGAAACGCCTCCTCTTCATTCTGGCGTTGTAGATTCTCTAACGACAAAGCAGCTTTCGGCCCGACCTTAGCTTTGCTGAAAACTGGGGATTCTCGCTGTGTAACCTGTTTCAACCGGGCTTGATCCATAGCATGTTGAGTAAGGTTTCGTCGTAACGACTCATCTGAGATGTCGCTGAAACTAAGACTAGAGTCATGGATATCACCCGTACCAGCGTATGCATCCTCGCGTCGTGTCATCCCAGGGCTCGGGGAGACGCTTTGTGTCCGATCGAGTTGTGGTTGATCGTAGGAAGGGTCAAAATGGTCCGGAGCGACAGATTCGGCCAGGATATCCGCGTCAGAAATCTGTTGGTAGGTTTCGATAAGTTCGTCCGGAGGGGGGCTTGAAATTTCCGCCATCGGTGATGGTTCAGAAAATTTCCTCTCCCTCGCCATCACTCGTCTTGGAGGGGTTTTCACTTCACCGCCATCGTTGGCAGGTGGAGGTGGGCTGGCGGCAGCCTGGAATGCGCCCTTCAGCGTCCTGGTATTGTTAAATGTGATGCGCGATTGTGCGCCATTCCCAGGACTTAAAGTAGGAATTCGCGACTGATTGATCATGTTCTGCGTGTGGCCATTTCGTTGCGGTCGTCGAGTTCGAAGCTCGTCATTGTCGCGATCTTGCGAGTTAGGAGGGTGGGCGGTGTGGTCACCGGTAGACATAGCTTGAGTTACACTAGCCCCAAAGTTCCATCATATGCAGCGCCTACATAGCGCTAGATGGCTATATCGTTTGATGCTTTCCCTTCCAAAAATCTCAAGTCCGGCGGGAGGAGGCTGTGTGTTGTTCAATCCCGGATCGCGTCTGTTTGAAGGAATGACATGGGAGTCCCAAAAGGGACTAGCGGGAGGTATCGCTCTCCGCCATAGTTACCGTTCGGACATCAAGCTTAACCGCTGGATAAAAACGATGTCAGAATTGACACCAGCTCATTCATTCCGCTATAATAAACCAGACGCTAACTGGACACCAGCTAATAATTCATCCTTTATTCTGCGCCTGTATTTAGCTTCTGGATTGGTCTCCGTTGTATGATACTTCTTTTGCTGTTATAATGATAAATACTCATGGAACTTTGTCTATGCTATACTGCCTTCTTCGTCCATGTGAGTGCCAACTGATCTGTATGACTGATGCAGCCCACGACTGACACTTCCATAGAATAAATCCCACAATATCTGGACATTGCGGTGACTCTGCACTTGCTGTAAAGTTAGAACTAGAGACCAATTGCGGGTTCTGACAAGGAGATTAAGAATATCCGAAGAACTACCAACAACAGGTCAAAGAAAACGAGAAGGGGAAAACAAAAATATGGCAAAGCCCACCAAAGATGCCTCAAATAATAAACTGTCAGCATATACTACGAAGCCCCCAGATTCGTCTTCCAAAAAAGGCAGACTCTCAACAGCGCCAGCCCCCTTCACCAAAGTACCACAATCGCTCAACCCATTCCTAGCATCCCTCTCACCAAAACATGTCTACCTCATCCACCTAGACACACTCCCAGAAAAGCACAAACGCCAGATTTTCGCCCTACCCCTCTTCCTAAACATAGTCATCTCAGCCTTGATCCTCCTAAGAGTCTACACAGGCTACTCGACCTACATCGACATTCTCGCCTTGGCGTTCGGGCAAGAAAGCCCCGCGCAAGTCGACACAGCAAATGCAAGCTGGTCGTATCTACTCACCACCCTCCTCCGCAGGACCCTAACCTTTCTCTTTGATTACCTTCTCCTCGCCATCCTCCTCCCCTGGCCCGTCCGCTTTGCTCTTGGACCCGCTCGCTGGCGCCGCAAGCTCGGCTTCCAAGCCCGCGAAGTCATCGTGCGAAAAAGCAGGGCGTCGTGGAGCGATGGGCTAAAGCCTCCAACGTGGATCCGGGAGGATAACGAGACGATAATGACCAAGGTCATCCCAGCTGTCACGCCGCAGCGGCTGCTGAAAACCGGGTATCTGCTCATTGATGCGGATTGGGATCTGGATTTTGCGGCAATGGTCAAGGCGCATGAGCTTGTTGTGGAGGGGTTGCTGAAGTTTGATGATTTTAGGACTTCAGTGCTTGTGCATGGGGGTGGGGAGGAAGGGGCTGATGGGCTATGGTGGCTGATATGGAAGGTTGGGGCGGAGGATGGTGGTGCTGGCAGAGGCGCGCGGGCAGCAGATGGAGGAACGCTGTCAAATCCCCAGCGAGACAAAATTATCATGTTCCAGGAGAAGCTGGCGTCGATGGGGAAGGAGGATTTGTTTTTCCGTTGGGTGGAGTTGATTCAGTATGAGAGTACCCAGCCCGGTGGATTTACGCATGAACGACAGAAAAAGACGATGCAGGAGACGCAGCAGCTGTTTGAAGACCAAGGGGTTGATTTTGAGAAATTCTGGGCTGACGTTGGAGGGATGGAGGGAATAGACATGTAAATATGGAGCTATGAAGGATGTAGGATACCACTTTTTTCTTGACAATTTTTTTAACAGTACAGAATTTCATTGGTGACCGTCCTAAGGAACCTGCTTGCGCTCAATTCCGAATAATTTTGCCCGACATGAGCGAAGACAGGTATCGTATATTCAATTTCATTTTTTGGTCGTTTAACATTACGTCATACACGGGAAATGATATATTGTTATGGGTATAAATGAACACGACGCAAAAATATTAAAGATGCGAGTTAAGCCTATAGGTAGCAAAGAATACAAAATGATCAAAATGTCAAAATATTTGGAGCAAAGGAATATCATCCAAAGTAAACAGGAGAGGTGTGGAAAAACCACAATATAGCAAATTCCTTTCCCCAAGTGGCAAAACAAAATAGAAAATGGCACATGGATAATAATAATTGCAGTAGAAATAAAGGAGAGTCGAATGCTTGAATGTACGATTAAATTGCAGAAAAATTGTGAACAAATAAACTTGGAACAAAAAAGAAAGGAAAAGGAAAAAGAAAGGAGAAAAATAAGCAAGGAAATCTCAGAATTAGAAGACACTGATGAAGAGAGAATTTTCCCGTCCGCTTTCTCCGTTTCGCTCTGCGCAAATATAATCAAATCAAATCATCGCTCATGTGTTTGTCATTTCGTCGTTGTTTGGCCCTTTCAAAGAATTAGGCACAAAAAAGTTTGGTCATACCGTCGTATCATCGTAAGTTAAGAAGGGGGAAAAATGCATATTTTAGACATATCATGTTTTAGTTTAAAAGCAGGCAGGCCGTGGGCATCATCAGGTTCGTGAGTTTCGTTAGGCTTTCTTCATTTCCATCCCGCTCGTATAGGTAGTATGACACCAGATCGATGAAAGGGAGGGTTTGTTGCAAGCCAGGATTTGCCGTGAATAAGCCGTACCATCCAAAAAGAACTTCGATTCATTTATAAAGTCGAGAGTGACGCCGAAGGAGGGTAATCTCCGACTCAAAGTCTTCCGCATCTAGCGAACCAGAACCGAAAAGAGAGTAAGCAAACCCATAACTCTGCAATAGAAGGATTGGATAAAGGGGGAAAAAGCAGACGAAGAAAATTTATCTCCGAACCCTCCTCATCATCACCCAGGTAGGACTGGAATTAAACATCCAAGAGATGATGATGCAGCATCGACATGGGCTGAAAAACTAACTTGAAAAAACAAATAAAAATAAAAGCAAAACAAAACAAAAAGCCACTCACCGGGTTCTTTGGTAAAAGTAAGCACATGCTCATGATGTCGAGTTATTCGAGGAGTATATTGATCCGAATGGATGAATGTCGCACGGTCGAGATCCGAAAGGATAATTGTTTTATGGTCCACGCGCCGCATCCATGATTTCGACCCTATATAATCGTGTATAAAAGCCGTCCATACAGGAACGCTGTTATTTCGGGAATAGGATTATATGTCAGCTCCATGATCTCTGGCAATGGGGTTTTTGGAGGGCAATTGGTAGTTTTATATCAAAATTAATAAAGGGGTGACTATATCAATACAGCCGGAGGAATGGAGACTTACTCTGCCAGTTCACCAGAGTGAATCGAGGCCTGTAAACGGATAACACCGGAAGCGCGATCCTGGAAAATACGAAGCGCGTGGAGATAACTATCGTCGAGGATCAAGCTTTGCAAAAAGTGATTTATGTTAGTATCAAGAGGCCGACATGGAATATTTAGTCCTAGCTTAATTCGCTCCTGTACGTACCCGCCATAGATTTCCTTTTCATCGAGAGAAAATGGGTCTGGAGTACTGCTGATTGGGTGACCGGAATCTTGTCCTCGAAGCGCAATAAATGCGCAATGAAACAATACCATTTCTAGCAGGTTAAGTTAGATGATGATAAACAATGGGGCTGGAAGATGGTCTGGCTTTCTTACTCTCAATAGTGTCAAATTGGAGACTCAGCCAGGCCCTTAATCCTTGTTCTTTCGATGACGATGTACACAATAGGAGATGGGACTGTTGGCGAGAGAGCGTAAGCCTGTTCAACGGCTCCGTCGCATAAACCGTCTTTGACGGTGAACAGGTGACTTGGCATAGGATCCGAGCGCGATGGTCACGTGCACGCAAGTATAGAATGACGATCAAATTTGGTTCGAACTTCCTGAAAGCCACTCAGTACCAAAAATATAAACGGGAAGGGAATAATATATAAGACATATACTTACAGTCGAAACAGCTCGTGGAAGTCCTTCTCAAGACGAGCTAGTGTATCCGGCATACTAAAACCGGCGGCATAACATTTGGATCTATAACGAATTTTTTAGTTATCCTGAATATCACAAAACCCCGGGAACTTTTAGTAGAATGAAAAAGCAAAAGAACAAACTAACCCTTTGTTTGAATGAGGTAATGGCGTCTCGGTTGTGGTTGTAAGGCTACTGAACAAAGCCACAGCCCAGTGATCAACAGGATCAAGAAACGAAAACGAATCAGTGCTGGTAGAATCCGTTGTCGAAGGAGAATCTAGCGATTCAAACGAAGGAACCGGACTTTCAACCTCAAACCAACCAGGGGCATGTGGAGATGCGGTGCGACCACCAGTTGGTCTTCGACGTTCATATGACCGTTTCAGGGTTGGAGTTGCGGAGACCGGTGTTGGTTTGCGCAGTGCACTCTTCAAAGGTGGAGTATTTGAACGGGGACGCGCACCTAAAGTTGGAGGTGGGGGTGCGGGAGGGACTACTGATAGAGGAGGTGCGGTGGGCATGGTGGGTGCAAATGTTGTGGATGGTCCAAGAGGAGTAGTGGGCGGAGGGGGTCCAAAGGTACGACCGTCATTGGTGAAATTTACCTGACGCCTTCGCTCTGTATCAGCGGCATATCGCTGATCTTGGGCCATGCGGAGTATAGTTAACGCTTTACGGAGGTTAGCGAGGGCCGCTTGATCTCCACGTTCACTGAAATTGCAGTTACAGATCAGTAAATAGATTCGTCAGTTTTGCTTGTGGGTGGGATATAGAAGCAGGTTTTCCAAAACTGATAAATTTACAAAGGGAGGAAGAGTTTACTTTCTGACAACCAAAATAAGTTCCGCTAGCATTTGCTTATAGTACTGAAGCCGGACAGAGAGCGGGTACCCAGCTTCGTGTTGGAAGTAATTGTGCAAATTCAACCAGGTCTGCCGGACAGTGTGCTGCGAAGCCTGTGCCTGGCCACCGTTGTCCATTGCAATGAACGCTTCATTGATCACCCGGGTAGTATGGTGAAGGCTCACCCCGACGACCAACTCTACATCATTGTTAATGTAGATAAAGTTAGATCTGAGCGGGGAATTGTGGAGAGTTTCCAGAGAACGGAGACTGGCACAGATCGTAAAGAACTCTGTGACTACGGAGGTGATATTGGAAGCATCATCCGGCACATAGGCGACAAATTTGCTGAAGGTGCTCGCGACATTCTCAGCATCCAGAGCTGCTTGGATGAAACTCATACTGGCGCAGTTGATGACGGGGTCAACGGAAGACGCCCATCACAGGCAAAAGATTTGGGTGGGGGACATTTACATCTGAGCTTTCTGGAAGGGGTGAAACTTAAAAAGATATGGGATGGTATGTAGTATAGGTAAACAACCTTGAGGGGGCAATCAGGGAGTTAAAGCACAAGGTAGTGATGAGTTCTGATCAAGGCTTCCACTGTCCAAAACGCTCGCTTCATCCTCATAATATACGGCCGAGTGGAGAAAATAAATATTAGACGCGGCTCCTGGGGAATTTCAGCGGGTGAGTTGGCATTTGAAGCCGCATCGATGCACTAAGCCCAGTAAAGCCTAGCACTGCCCCTCACCGCCAGGCGCGGCATTAGTCATCGAGTGGCCCCCTGACCCCTGCTTCAACAGGATTATGGGCGTTGTTTGTTTGTTGCCAGGTTGCCAGATGCTTCAGCAAGTTGGTTGCAGCATCTCTCTTCACATCCAATAACTCACATCCTCTATCCTCCCAAGGTGCCCTCTGAAACGGCGAATAGTTGATTGACAAACAAGAAATGGGTAGCCTGTATCCACCACTGCCCAACACAGAGGCACAGCACATCGGAGCACAGCACAGAACCTAGGTTGAAAGAGTCAAGCACCCAGCCAGGAAAGAAATCAATCTGCTAACAAATATACCCTTGATATAGAAACAAACAATTCACTCTCTTATCTTTTGGGCCTTTCACCAGCCTGGGAACTGAAGCCCCGTTCTTGATCTAATATACTATGGTGGCAATATAGATGCAATAATGCACAAATTGGAGTGGATATTTGCAGTCCATATCCACACTGTATGTACTTGATACACATAATAAATAAATATATGCGTGTTTATGGATCCAGGCAGCTCTTGCGCAAGCCAGTAAGTATGTAGTAATGCTACATGCATAAAAGCTCAGAACATGAATCCATTGATATCAGCACAAGAATAAACCGCAGCCAGTCACGGAGTACTACTATCCTCTCTCAAATAGATTAAACCAATAACAGGAGAAACTCGTTCGGCTCCATCTGAATTTTCCCTTCTCTAGGCCCTTTGCATTTTACCTATTTACGCCCATTGCCCCATTTCTCCTTTATATAACAGACACACTCATATTTTGTCGTAGATATTAGAAACGGACAATAATAAATCAGACAAAACCAAAAAAAACAAGCAAGTCAGAAAATCAAAAGGAACACACAGAGAGAGAGTGTGGGAGAGAGGGAGAAAGGCAGAGATTGAATAAGAATTAAAAAAAAAAAAAATCACCTTTTTCAGACAGACCTGTAGTAGAAAGTTTGACGCTCACTTACTCTCATAGGTCAAACATATTTTAAACGAAGACAAGAGAAGCGAAAAAAACCGCATTTTGTTTCCCGCAGAGCAAAAGAAAAGCAAAATACCTGCTTACATACAATAACAATTTAAAAAATCACAGGTTGGAGAAAAAGTATATAAAAAAGAGAATTACAATTAAGAACCCGATAAAACCCTTTCATTAGAGTTAACATAAAATAACAGCAGAAACAGCAAGAGCCATCATATGGAATATTTTTAAGTAAAGGAAAACAAAAGGGCGAAAAAAAGGAGAAAAGAACAAGGGAAAAAGGAAATAAAAGCAAGTAACAAAAAGAAAGGAGCCACAATTGACAACCCGCACCATCATTCCCGTTTCCCATTCCCAGGCAAAAGGCACAACTATAAATAATAAGAAAAGGATGAATGGGGAGAAAGCAAAGAAAAGCCATTGGATCAACCGATATAGAACCGTCACAAGAGAACAGCAGTAGCAGCAGCAGCAGCATCATCATCATCATCATCATCGTCGACAAACAACAATTAGTTGAAAGCAACAATGAGAGAATCAAACAAAGAGTACAGAGACAGATCACAGGAGCCAGCAGGGAAGAAAACAAAAAAAAGCCGGCCACGATCTCCCTTTAAAACGTCGATTTAATTGCTGTTTCATTTTCATGCCCGAAGCCCCCTGCCTGCCTACCACTTAGGAAGACTCGTCATCCTCATCCTGTGCCTTGTGCGGGAGTCTTGTCAGTACATTCGGAGATTGGCATAAAGAGGGTAGGGGAATCGAGGAGGGAACGGGGTGGTGGTTGTGGCTGCCAGAGCAATGGGGACGTTTATGCCGGGGGGAGGGGGGGGATAATGAAGAAAAATGCAAGACATACATTGTAGCTCGCCTTCTCGTCCTCGTAACGCTTCTTGTCGGCAGCAGCTTTAGCCTCGTAGGGCGCACGCTGCTTCTCGTTCAAGGCCTTCCATCTCTCTCCGAGGACTTTACCAACTTGGCCTGCGATAAGGATACGCGTTAGATACAACTTTGGGCTTAGGGGAATGGAAAGGATTGGGGGATCGGGGTTGGATGGAATTGAACGGCGCGAGGAGTTTTTTTCATCGCGTTGTTTGAAACATACCGAAAGAAATACCGGGGTTTTCCTCCCGGACGTTTTCGCGCTGCTCGTTGGCGAAGAACATGTAGGCGGAGAGACCACGCTTGGGAGCATTGGGGTCTGTAAATGCGGGTGAGTTAGAAATTGAAATAGCCGCAACAACAAGAGTGGGGGGGAATGTGCCGCCTCCGCAGATTGGATGGATTTACGTACCTTTCTTCTTCTTTTCGATACTGCGAGGCTTAGTTTTGCGGGAAGCTTTTTCCTTCGGCATGTTGATGCAGTTTTGAATGTGGTGAGTGTGGTAGTTGCTGTGTAGATGCGATGCGGTGTCAGTCAGCTTCTTCCGATTGAGCTTATGCAACTACGAGAAAGATTCAATCATGTCGCAGCCAAAAGAATTGAAGAAAACGGTGAATGACGCGTAACCCGGGTGGAATTTTCAGCCGGACAGTTCTATGGTGGTCATGGCCTAGGTCATGAAAGGGGTTTGTTTGGGGTGGGCTGCGATGCGCGTATGTCGTGTCGTGACAAAGCACCAGCTGCGACGACGACCAGCGATGAGCTCCAAAGATGAAGCGCCTTTTTGGAGCCGTTTAGAGACGCGACAGCGCTCAATGGGCGCATGTTTTTACATCTTGGAGCTCCTTGTTGGGCGTGGAAGCAGGGCTAGCTCACGGGCAACATTGTAAAGGGAATGAACAAGCAATGGTTGGAATGAAAACAGGACAGCGACAATGGTTTATGAAAAACAAACAAGCGCGTTTAAACAACGATGAGAGGCATTGTATGGAGAGAATAGAATGTTGTGGATACAAATAATTTGTCGAGTGTTGAGGAATAAGTAAAAGGCGTGCTAGGAAAACCAAAATTTATGAAGAGGGGAGCTCGACTTACTCAGTGTGTCGTACTTTATTTTTGTATGGGGGGCTTTTTTGGGTTGCGTGGAGGGGGAAATGGCAGCGAAAAGTTGTATGGGAGAAATTTGGTGAGGGAGAAAAGAGAGGGAGAGCAGAGCAGCGAGGAAAAGAGAGGCAGCGCAGGAGTGCCGCCTTTTGGCCTGGCTCTGCTGAGGCAAAATCACCGGGCGAGACCAAAGCAATTGCAGGGCCCGCATATTCTGGCCTGAGGACTGCCCGCCGTACTGTCATTTACCCCAGTTTTACCCAGTTTTACCCAAATTTACCGCGCAATTACAGCACACAGTGCCATACCAACCAGGCAAGGCAGCCGCTTGTCACAAAAATGGGCCGCGATGAAACAATGGGACGTGACGATAAGACTCGATGGGGCGTGGTTTTTCGGAATCCACTGGCGGCTCTGCTTGGTCGGCTCATCTGGGCCTTGTTGAGTGCGTGTTGATTAAAATTCCCCCCGTCCCCATAACCCTGATGAATTTCCCTCTTGATCGAGCAGCTTTCCCTTCACAACAAAAACAACAAAACAACAAATAATCGTACGTTGCGTAATCACACTGATCCTTCCTTCCTGTAAGTTTAACTATTTGTCCACAGTATGGAGTATGTAACAATCACTCATCTTGAGTTGATCCCCCATTATTGATTCCAACTTTCCACATCCCTTTGCTTTCCCGTTGACTTTTCCCATCTCCTTTCTAATTGGTTGTACCCTTGGAATAAATATTGGGGTAATCATTTCTTATACAGTAATTCCGCATGCTGCTCTTTTCGTCCACTCCAAATATCCGCTAATCATTCAATATGCTACTGCGTAGCGGCAAAATTTTCGTCCGGTTGACATAAACGGGCCCAGCCGGGGGATTTTTGCGAAGTACTCGTCAGCAGCAACAGCGGGGAAAAATACATGAACATTTAGTGCATGCCCATGATGGGCGCATTGTGCGGAATATACAGATCGTGCGTTTTTCCTTGCGTATATTCCGTATATCATAGCGATGCAAAATCAGCTAGCTGCCCAGCCAGCCAGCCAGCCAGCCCAAACAAAAAGAGGAACTTTTGTCTTCAAAGGAACGCCCAAAAAACCGACAAGCATCCACCGCAGCAGGGTCGGTTACTGGTTGCTTCTTCCATGATCCTGCCCGTTCTGTACGATTCAAGGATTGCACAGTATCAAAACTTTAGTGTATGACCGACCATCCATACAGAACCAAGAGAGCATGATACTGGTAACAGCTCTCCCCTTCCTCTGCAGAGACAGGTACCCTCCACCAGTGTGCTGGGCGACATAATCCCAATAAGGCGAGCCGGGACTGCTGGAAAGTGATGGTTCCATGCCTAGTTGTCCAGGCATTTGGCAGTTTCCACCCATAATGCTGATATGAGGCTTATATCGATGCTAGAGGTTGGTATTCCAGCTGGCAGAGTACACAAGGAAAGCAGCGCGCAGTTGGGTGGAGTGGACGGTTACAATACCGTTACATGTATTACGGTGGGTGGATACAGACAATGTGATGAGGGAGAGTTGGAGGGGTGAACACGTATGGTAACCCCAATACGGTTTCTAGTTTGAAAAAAGTTTGTTTGTTTGATCTTTTTCACAGCCAAAAGCAGTCACAAAAGCGACGCAGGAGAAAAACCCATGGTGTGATCATTGCAACACACCCACCTTCACTTTCATCATGATACGATCATAACAATGAATGATACCTGGGCATCCTGTTTTGCTCCCATACATATCACACACTTACGTTGGTCGTCCTCCACCGCCCACCTCTTGAATCGCCCAGCATACGCTTTCCTCACTAGTTTACCCCTCTGGTGCATCATCACACTGGCGACCCGTCTCCCATGCAGTATGGGAAAAATGGTCCGATACTACCCAAACGCTTAATACGCAGTGATAATTTTTGGAATGCGGTATCCATGGATCTACTCAACTAGTACGTAGGTATCTTGTACCTGAAACAATGAGCCTGTTACCGAACAAGTAAAAGTACCAGATACTTCAACATCGTCAACATCCATATCTACGGACCGCGTTGTTGATATCAAACCATCCAATGTTAAAAGTCCAAAATAATAATAATAACAATAACAATAACAATAACTCACCATTAACCTCCTTGTGTTTATTTTATTTTATTTTATTGTTTTATGCACAATATTATTCTTTGCGAAAAGGAACGACAAACCGACAAATCCATGTACCCTTACCTTACTATGGACCATTTAATCTGCACGACAGCCTCCTTCACCAGCTAGCAACAATAGTCCGGTTTCGTAAAGGTCAGAGTCGCAAGAATAACGAGCAAACTGGTTAGGAGGCCCCCGAAGGAGGAAGACGGACCCCCCCTTCAAAGCTTCCAACTCCATTTCCTCTCTGCCTTAATGATGATTTGATGAAGCAAACAACATTAATTTTTTTTTTTTTTTAAACAAGGCTCACTCACTAATGAGCCTATCTCAAATAGATAAGAGGATAGAAATAAATAAATGGATATATTACAGCTAATTTTTGTTTTACTGTGGACCCTTTCCGTCTTTGGGTGTTTTGAGAGTGTATTATTTAAACATACTATGGAAACTATCCCGGACGTGGGGAAGAGCTGGGCAGAACCACAACCCCCCCATTATATGCTTTCGTTATCGTCCAATGTGAGGGCTCTGTACAGCTTAAAAGCGATATGCTCTCATTCAGGCCTGAACCATCCATGGATCCATGGATGCCTTTATCTCATCACGTGATGAATTTCCGGATAGCAGATACCGAGGGAGGATAGTTAGATATACTCCATGCGCTGAAAGCGCTCCTCCACGTTAGAGATGGAGACAATGTCCGAGATCCGTTTGCTTCTTCGTTAGGACTTTGAGAATTCCGGAGGGGGGTATGTAGGATCACACGGGGGAAGAAATAGGCGGATCAAAAAACCGGAAACGCCTGATCCTTCAGGTGCCGTCCGAGACATCATCATCTTCGTCATCAACCACCAAGTCATGAAGTGCTTCATCCGCTGCCCAGTCAATGCCACTCGCGACAATGAGGGCGCTGACGACGCGTTTCATGGTCACCCAGCTCGCTCTCTCAGCCTTGGTCTCTTTCTCCTGCGCTTCCAGTTGAGATATAAGCGCCGGGTCTGTTATCGCTTCTCTCCGGGACTTTTCTGCACTCGTGAGCCCGAGAAGGGTCTGCACCAACTCCTGGGTCTTTGCGGTGCCATGCATACTGTCCACTTTTGTGTTGGAGAGAGATTGTGTACATGACGCGTGGGCACGGGATAGGTTCACGTAGATGAGTGATAGGAGATCACGGCGGTTGATAAGCGGTAGAAGGGCTCTGTACATATATACATATATATATATGGAGAGGGAGAGCCGATGAGTAAATCATACAGAGCCACAAATATAAAGAAATAATCATGAAAACGGGCGCTGGGGAGACATGGAGATATATATTGACGCATACCTCTCCGCGGGAGAATCGGATATGGAGTGGACTGATTGGATGCTCGGATCCGTCATGAGGATTGTTTCAATCGCTTTTCTCCTCACGGAGTATGTAGATCGGGCCTCCAACAACTCGCGTTCTGCTGCCTCAAGCTGGGCTTCAAGATCATCATCGTCATCGTCCGGTCGGGGCTCAGAATAGTCTGTAACGAATAAGTTCTCCGTAGGGACGAAAAAGGAAAGAATAGAAGCAGGGAAGAAAGGGTTATATAGGAATAAAAAATACCTTGTGATAGCAGGGCTGTCTCAAGTTCTTGTTCCTGGATGCGGTCATATAGTTCTAGCGCCTCCAACTCTTTGCGGGACAGCGACAAGACTTCACGCGTATTCGTAGTCTGGGCAAGTTCCAGCAGCGCTGCTTCATATGGGTCCAGCTGGGAGTGTGACCCGGCTGCCAGCCCGTTACCCGGTGCCATTGTGGCAGCGCAGAGCAGTCAGTTGTGCAAGTGATGCATCTTGTGACGGGTGGAAGAATGCGCGAGATGGCAGTAGTTTATTTTGCCGGAACCATGGCTGATTCGCACCCAAGCCCAGTCAGGCGGGCGGTTGCCGGGCAGGTTGTCATGCAGAGCTTAAAGCGGCTAGGCATGCCCCAGGAATCCCGTGGAGCTTGCCAGCGCTGGGACCTATATCTGCGTAGACAATGTTGAACTTAGCAATTTGCCGATTCCTTATATCTCAGCGCTCCCTTCGTGGATGAATCCGCTTCTTCCGCCTGCCAACCGCTATCCCTCTGAGGGTTTGTTTCAGTGGCTTTGGAAGGGGGGATGTCATTGCACATCTACATTGCTCACACGGGCGAGCAGCTGTTGGCTGACCCGGTTTCGTTTGCGTCGTACGTTTTATCCCTTCGTTAACAATCACGTATATATTCAATCCTTGAAATAGATGTCCAGGCACTAAGATCATTTTTAAATAGACCTGATGCGTTGCGAACATGGATCTCCCGGAAGATCTCCATGCCGGCCCAGCGACAGATATTGATGACTGCTCGTGGGAGGAATGTTAGGCCTCAGACGCTTGCAACGGAGGTATATATAACTGCGATCCTCTATTCATAATGTGACGGTTATTTTGCCAACTAACTCCAATAGAATGAAATATTTGTTTACGATCGGCTATATATAAGCGACGGCACTGTTAGAGATCTCCCGGTGATCACGCCGCCCGAACGTTTCACTCCCGAAAACCCTCCCGATACCCTCGCAGATCAGAATAACCTGCAAGCATGGCGGAATCTCTACATGGCACGGAGGGCATGGGCCTTGAATCTGGCAGCACAATGCGCTCCGATCAGCAGGGCGATAGACGACCAGATCGAGCACACCCACAATATCAACCGCGCAGTCGATGTCGCCTTAGAGAATCTGAAATCGCATGTTGGAAACCTAGAGCATAAGTTCCAGGAGGCCCAGTCTTGGGCGAATGATTTATTGAAGGAACAACAGCTGGCGTTGGATGGCTGGCGGAGCGCATTGACAAATATCGAAACTATCCCAGCCAAGAAAGATTTCACGTTCCTACGACGACCATCAACGCCGAAGAGGGCGACAGAGCCTCAAACTGGCACTCTAAAAGATTATATTGATGTGGATCGGATAAAGGGTGCTGCATCGCAGGTATCCTCGGTTTCTCAGCGTTTTGCTCGTCGCATGGATGAGGTTGAGAAAGCGGTTCATGAGGTGGTTTCAGAAACGGAGTCGCTGGTTGAGGCGTCCCATCCATCTCCTCAAGAAAATGCAAGTGGGTATATGGAGGAGATTGAAACAATCGCCAAGAAAATTGGATCCGATTATGAACATGTGTTGGCCCTTCCTAACTCCCAGAAGACGTTGGCGAGTGTTTCACGGATGGCATTGAATCACACAAAGGATCTCCTACCCTCCATGTTAGAAATGTGTCTCGAAATACAGACCGCCTTGGAGCTGTCCATAAAACAACGGAACTTGGCCATGAAGGCCGCAGTCAGCCGCATGCAGAAAATCTCCAACATAGAGTCTCGATTAGCTGGTGTCCAAACAGAACTAACAAATCTAGATGTTGAAGGAGACGCCTTCGAAACGTTATATGAAGCTTCCCAGTTGCCCATGATTTACGGGTCAATTCTCATCGAGGCTGTCCGCCGCCGTGAATGGAATGACAAAATGAAAACCGATTCTCTAAGTATCGCTGAAGAATTAGCAGTCTTCCGGAATGAAGAGCAACGCCGACGGAAAAAATGGATAAAAAACATGGGTAACTTTCTCTCATTTTCCGAAGACACAATCCCCAGTATAGAGATAAATTTGCAGAGCGGCCAACTACCTGGATGGCCAGAGGTTTCTCGCAAGGACGTTGACGCCTATATCGAAGAGTTGAAAACGAAGCCTGATACCAACTCTGCCGTTCGAGACCTAACACAGCTCTTGAAAGATTTGGATGCACCTACTCGACAACAGAGACGAAAAGCAAAGGCATTTAAACATGGAAGTGTTTTTGATATCGGCCAAAGCTCATTTCTTAACCGCGGGGATGACATGGTCCGGAGCCTGAAGGATGAAAAGATGAAGCTCGAAGACAGGTTAAAAGCTTCGGAGAGCCGTATACGGAAACTAGAAGACCTTCTCCATCGCCAGAGTCAGATGAGTCGACCTGTTAGCGCAAATTTTGGTTTTGATATACCTATTTCTCCAGCTTCACCTCGCCCGGATGGACTCTCAAGGAGGTCATCTGTATCCTCCCGGCGTATGTCGTCAAACCAGACTCCAGAAGACAAGGCTTTAGTGCAGCGAATTGTCGGTCTGGAGGCTGAACTTCTTGCAGAGAAAGAAAACGTATCAAGACTTCAGAAGGAAGCACACTTGGAGCGCCTGTCAAACAACGATAAAATACAAGAGGCCCAGTCTACTAAGAAAGATTTAATGGACAATTTGGAGGCACAACAGCGGGAATTTGAAGGTGAGAGGAGGTTTCTGGAATCGGAGGTGAAGTCGATTAAAATCAAGCTTGAAGAAGCTGAAGAGGAACTGGATAAGGTTATGGATGCCCGGGAGCACGACAAGCTTGTTGCAGATGGACGAGCCGCCGCGCTACAAACGGAACTCGAAACCCTGCGAAATGCTACTACTGAGGAGATAGCCGATTTCACGTCTGAAGTCCAGGCTCTCCGGGAGAATAGCGACAAGGCCAAAGCCCACAACACCACGCTACAAGAGAGACTTGAAGAAATGGCGCGAAACCAACGAGACTACGTAATCGGCTTACAAACTGCGCATGCGCATCTATCTCCAGGCGGTTCTGCTCCTGAAGATCTAACTTCTCTTATTAGAGCCATTGAAGTTCTGTCGGAAGGGTTGGCTATTCATTCCAAGGGAGTCGAGGAAGCATCTGCCAAGTCCAATGAGGAAAACAAGTGTTTGCTAGAGAGAATAGAACAAATGGAAGCTGAATCTAAGGAGTTGAGAGCAAGGCTCGCTGCTGAAGAATCAGAACGATCCAAGTTGCAAGCAACACTAAGTGAGGAAGCGCTAAGACTTTCAGCAGTCAGAACTGAATTAGAAGATGAACGCAAACAACTCAACATACTGAGATCTAAATTCTCCGCGGGAGAAACTGGTTCAGAGGTGCTGAAAGAGCGAGTTGCGGAGGAGGAGCGCAAAGTTGCCGCTTTAAGGGAAAAGCTCGTCGTTGCAGAATCTCACGCGCAAGGTTTCGAAGATGAGATTCGTACATGGAAAACGAAGGTGAAAACCCTGGAGGAAAATGGGGAGCGTAACACTAAGGCAATCTGGGCGAAAGAACTCTCTGAAAAACTCTTCTCTCATGTGGGACAGCTCAGCCGGATACTGCAGCAACTCGGCTTCACAATTATTCGACAAGATAATAAGATGGTCATCTATCGAGCCTCTAAGGTCAACAACAGCAGTTCATTGCTTGGAGAGAGTGTCAGCTCTCCATCGGCTACTCCAATGACTCACGATCCGAAATTAGTAGAGTGGGTTAATACGAACAATCGGGAGGAGGAACAGTCAAATTACACCGCGTTCATCACCGCAATTAATGAGTTCGACGTGGAGCTCTTTGGCGAAGCAATCGTTAAGCGAGTCAAGGATATCGAAACGTTAGCACGTAAGTGGCAAAAGGAAGCTCGAGGGTATCGGGAAAAGTCACACCGTTTCCAAAGCGAATCTCACGAAAAGATTGCATATCGATCGTTCAAGGAAGGGGATCTAGCGCTGTTCTTACCAACGCGCAACCAGGCCATACGATCTTGGGCCGCATTCAACGTTGGTGCTCCCCACTATTTCCTTCGAGAACAAGAAGTGCACAAATTACACACTCGTGACTGGCTACTTGCGCGGATATCAAAGATCGAAGAGAAAGTGGTGGATCTCTCTAAATCTATGAACGGCGCAAACCCGGATCGTCGGTCCATCGGGGAAGCAAGCGATGGTGCATCGATAGATGACGATAACCCTTTCGAACTCTCGGACGGTCTGCGATGGTATCTGCTCGATGCATCGGAAGAGAAGCCTGGTGCTCCCAGTACACCTGGGCTAGCTAAGAGCACTGTTGCATCAGCCCATGTGGATGCGACAGGTAGCATCCGTTTAAAAAGGTCAACTAACGGTGGAGGAGCAACGAAAACTTTGACGAAAAGTCTCGATAGTCGGCGGAACAGCTCAACATCGAAAATAGGCACTCCGGTGCCTACGCTGCAATCTACCGAGTCTGCGGGGGATAATGTTTTGCCAGCAGCGGGGGATGCAGGTGCCCAGCAACGGAGAGCGGAGGCACCTATTTTCGACGAGGTTCGCAGAGATCTCTTATCGGGTCCCTCAAAGGGAGAATGAAAAAATTCAAGATTTATGAGCGTTATATGCAAATTTATTATTGAATCATGAAAAAAAACATGTTTGTTTGTCGGCTGATGATTTTTTGTCTTTTTTTCTTCTTTTTCGCCCGCAAAATAGGGTACTGGTTCTCGACCTCGAACTCCCAATCCACACCATAATGGTCGTGGCCCCGCCGTCCCCACATCTCCTTCGCCATCGAGCAAGCGCGCATCGAGACCACGCCCGTGGGAAAAGTTGTGGTCCTTGGATTACCGCTCTGGGAGTTCAAGCAGCCACAAATGAACAACCGCAATGTTTTTTGGCGCATAGGAGACCAAAGCATAACAACTGCTTTCACCCTGTCTGGCAAAGAGTGATTGAAAGGCAAGAGAGGACCCCAAGATTTATTATCAAAAACCTCATGTCAGTTCATTCCTTTATTGGTTTGTTATTTCTAACCTGTCAAAATGAACAAAGTTGACTCACTGTCACCCCAGAACTATTTAACACTTTTTGCAGAAGATGGCTCAAGTGAATAGCTATCCATCCTTTCACACTTCCTCTGGGCAGGGAATAACAAGAAGTGAGAATATATAGATACATACAAAATATGAGATAGAATTCTGACATGATCACCATCAACTCTGTTATCTGCATTTAACCCAACTGTATTTTTAATTCTCCTTATGTCGCTACCTATTTTATTTACTATGCATTCAAGTTTTCACCTTGCCAGTCTGCAGGTAGGCAAAGGTCAGCGCAATTTTTTTTTTTATATTTTTTTATTTTATCTTTTGGATTAAGCATGATTCCCCCAGGGTGTTTCGCCGTTTTATGCACTTAGTTTCCCTGCTCATGCATGATATCGCTCTTTTCATTGTCCCTTTGCTTTCACCTCCACATTTACTAGCAAATAGAACACTCAATGTTGTTGGATGTTTTACAGGATAACAACCACATCAATAGAACTATGTTTAAAATTAAGTCTAATCCAATTAAGCGACGTAATAATTCCCATGAAAAAAAGGGTATATAAACGCCGGCAACCAACCCTTATTGCTATAAAGATGAGGTGTATATGATCTGGAAGAACAGAATAAGATAAATAGATGAATCTCCATGCAATGCATTTAACCTTCCTCCTTTCCAGGATCACAACCCATGCCTCCTATATCGCCCAGCCCGTTCAAAAACTCGTCTGCCCTCCTCTTCGCCCTGAGTTCTTCGATCTTCCTTCGCCTCTCCTCCTTCGCTTTTTCCCTAGCACTCTTCTTCTTTGCAGTCGCATCTCTCTCACCGAGAGTTTCATTCCTGGCCTTCAACAATTCATCCATCTCCTCTTTGCGGGCCACCTCATCTTTTGAAAATGCGTAGAACCCTGTGCCCCTGGTGCGGACTTCCGCTTCGGCATCATAATGAGCTTCTGGCGGAGGGGTAGGGGTGCGATCCCGCGCCTTTGCAATATGTTCCATGCGCGCGGAAATATTTGCATCTGGGTTGAAAGCCGCGGATTGGACTGTGGAGCCATAAATGAGGTTTGAAGGACGCTTCGGTTTTGCTGAGGGGAGGATGTTGTAGTTGGTGGGGTTTTTACTGTCGTTGTCTGGGTCATTTCCGTCCTCAAAAGCTGCAGTCCGCGGTGGTGGTGCGCTGCGTCGTTGTAGCGCTGCCTCCGCCGCTTCTGCACGGGTACCCCGACGCGAGCGACCAAATTCATCAATGTAGTCAACGAGTAAAACACGTTCCTTCTCACGGTCGTCATCATCGGCATCCGTACCTGAACCGGACAGGGAAGCTGGGCTTCGTGCCCTCCGCGTCCTTCTGGCTTCTTCCTCCGCCCACTTGCGATCAAAATCGACTAAGCTGTTACTCTCAGCCCGCCTCGCTGCAGATGCTGCAGGGTTTCTCAAGACGCTTTGATCTTCCTCATCGCTGCTATCCACCAGATGCTCGCCTTTCTTCAAATCCTCGTATAGTTTTGCCTTTTCGGCTAATCTTCGTTTGGAACGGTGGAGCATCGCCTCATCAACATAACCAATGTCTGCTCCTCGTTTGTGGACTTGATGAATGACATGTGGCGAGTCCCCTGATATATCTGCGGCGGCGCGCTTGTGTGTATTTTTGTTGTGGACGGTGAAGATATCCGGTTTTGATCGGGACGGTCGGGGCCGACCTTTGGTTAGTGGCTTCGTAGAGGGAGATGCGGACGGATTTGATTCTTTAGATATAAGGGCAGAGAGATGAGTGGTGAAGGCTAGAGTGGAGGAGGACGTGAGGTCCTTTTGCGAGGCGGTGGATTTGGGGCGGCGGATGCCATATAACGATTGGGAATCCGTCGGCATGATTTGGATAAAGGCGGGTTAAAGCTAAGTTGAAGGCGTTGGGGGAAAGAGAAAGCATGTAGATTGTCATAGGCCGCACCCATAAGCCATGGTTGAGCTGCAGGATGAGCTGAGCGATGGATATATACATATCTCTATGACGCTCCCGTAATTGACGGTTTGAGCACTTGGTCGCTGACGTGATTGGATCGCCGCTTTTGCTCCCTACATTTCTTGCCCCGCCACATGCCACTTCAACATCAATATTTTAACGATCCACGATCCGGGTAGCTGAGCAGATGCTGTTTTAGAATCCACATTTGAGTCTTGGAATGTTTCAATTGCTGCTAATTCCTGATATATGAACTGTCTTCCTCCAATTGAATCCCCACAATGAGCCACAGAGCTGTCTACCTCGGAGTCATTGGTGAGCTCATGTCCCTAAAAGCGAGAAATAAAACATAAAGAAAATCCTAATCCATCAAATATAGGCGTTGGCGGCGTTGGGGCACATTTCCTCACCCAATTATCACGACTCCCCAATGCACCACCGCTCGTCCTACTTGCCCGGTCATCAGCGACAGTCACATCTCCCGCCTCAAGTTATTCCCCTGCGATTGACCCTGACAACTGGCAGTCCGCTTTCTCATCTGCCTCTCCCTTCACCAAATCCGAAGGCTGGAGCCCAGAGCAGATAGCTTCCTACCTGTCCCAGGCGCCAGGTCGCGTTGTGCTGGTAGACAATACCTCAGACCCCACAATCGCGGACGCCTACCCCTTCTTCCTCAGCAAGGGTATTAGCATCGTGACCCCGAACAAGAAAGCATTCTCCTCCTCCTTCGACACGTGGAAGAACATCTTCGATGCGGCCGCCAGCAGCTCCTCTCTCGTATACCATGAAAGCACTGTCGGCGCCGGCTTGCCCGTGATCTCCACCCTCCGCGATCTTGTAGCAACCGGCGACCGCGTCACTCGAATTGAAGGCGTGTTCTCGGGAACGCTCTCCTTCCTATTCAATACTTTCGCCCCTGCTATAGCTCCCTCTGGTGCCCCTGCGCATAAATGGAGCCAGGTCGTCTCCCAAGCCAAGAGTCTCGGGTACACTGAACCGGATCCTCGCGATGATCTGAATGGAATGGACGTTGCCAGGAAACTAACCATCCTAGCCCGGATTGCCGGCTTGAAGGTTCAGAGCCCTGAATCTTTCCCGATCGAGAGCCTGATCCCGGCGGAACTTGAAGCGGTCGCTAGTGCTGATGAGTTTATGCAACGTCTTCCTGACTTCGATGACCAGATGGATGCGATCAAGAGGCAAGCAGAGACTGAAGGGAAAGTTGTGAGATACGTTGGCGATGTGGATGTCCTGGGTGAGGCTGTTAAGGTTGGGCTGAAGAAGTTTGACAAGGATAGTGCCATTGCGGGCCTAAAGGGAAGCGACAATATTATAAGTTTTTATACCGAAAGATACGGGAATAACCCTTTGATTATTCAGGGTGCTGGAGCTGGAGGTGCTGTTACTGCTATGGGAGTTTTGGCGGATCTTATCAAGGTCCTGGAGCGGCTACACTAGAGTTGATTAGGGTGGGCGCTGATAACAGGCATTTTGGTCATGTCTGAGGGGGAATATAAGAATGACAAATTGAAACGAAGTCAATGTATATTTAATAAAATATAAAGGGAGAAGAAATTTAGACAGTATGATACATTAGAAGATTAGAAACTTAGCTTGCCACTTGTAACAAAGCGGTATCTATTCAAAAAATGCCATACATCCAACGATATGTTGTTAAATTGTCATCAAAAAAGATTCCCTTCCAAATACAAAATAGTCTAGAGAAAGCAAATAGCAGTCAAATGACTTCGTCAACTCCTCAGAAACTCCTTGATGGCTTCTCCCCATGCTGGTACTCGCTTATAAACCGCCATTTCTGGGATGCTGCCGCTTTCAACACCATCGATTGCCGTTGCCAGGTCTTCGGCTGACCCTTCATCTTTAATTTCTTGGATGGGGTACCGATACGTATGGAATGAAAACACCATTGCCCCAGACTGCGGCAGACGATAGAGAGTCTGACGCTCACAACGAAGGAAGGTCTTCCATGATGGTTTCTCAGTTAGCTTATATTCGTTGAAACAATAATATTTTCCTATACGCACAGAAATCCACATGTCATCTGCATAGGAAAAAAAAAGAAGAAAAGAAGAAGAAAAAATAGGCTCACATTATCAAGATCCACGTCCTTAAGCTTGAGTTGAGTAATTTCCTCTTCTTTGTGTGCATGGATCCCCCCAAAGGGCGAAAACAGTTCTGCATCAACCGTAACACTCCAATTGACACGCTTGACATACTTGCCAGCTGGTAATTTGTGGAAAAAGCGATCCATGCTCTTCTCGAGCTTTTGTTTATATCCAGGTACCAGCTCATGAATTTCAGCTAATGGTTTGCCAAGCTTCTCCCGTGTATCGAACCCTGAGGGGAAACATGCCGCATATGCCTCAAGGACGTACATGACATCATCCGATGAATCACTAGGTGAGTCGCCACTGTCCTTTTCGTTATTCGCATGGTTATCTTTCTTCTGTCCTCTTTCTCCTTGGCCATCACCACTATTCCGTTCCGGGAGCAGGATCAACATGTCTTCATCCACGGATTTGATTAACGTTTCCAGAATGCTTCTTGTCGAACGGGTTGTGCTGATTTGTATTGGGAAAAGCTCCATCGTAGTCAGATTGCGGACCATGAGAGCAGGCCCAGTTTCAAAGTCTGTCTGGACAAGTTTGAACATCTGGGGATATCTATTGGGGAGGTATATACCCATGATGTACCGGTAGAGCTCCTTAACAGCGGTACGGATTCGAGGATCTTCTTCATCATCCTTGTTCACGCGACAGACGACATCGGGGTACTTTTTGAGTAATTCGCGGCGTAAGTTGGTTCTCTCTTTGTATGTTTTGTCCATCAGGATGAGTTCATTGGGGTCGAGGTTTTCGAGAGCTGTTGAAAAAGTAAGTTGAATATACATTTACGCTTTTCCTTCTTGTTTACTTTGCTTTATCCACCCAGGGTGGGCAGTGGTGGATAGGAACTGCATACCCATAGTGAGATGGTATTTGGGCTTGTATGGCCGCAGTTTGAGCGGCTCCGTTTTTTCCCAATCGAACTTCCGTAATGGTTCAACGGGAGGAAAGTCTGAAGTACATAACATAGCGTCGAATTTTTTCTGACGCTCTATTTCTGCTCTCTGTTATTTTATTTTCAGGTGTCAGCTATACTCGATACTGTGAGTTGTATATTTAATTCCCTACAACCAAGGCGGAAGAAAATTCGCCAGAAATAAGCGAGCAAATAAGTTCATTAAGGTGAGAGTCGAATAAGTAGTGATTAAAACAAAGCTTGATCTCAGAAAGCAGTAAAAACAATTCAAACGATCCTGCATAGGGCTATACTGCAGCTGGATATAATGGCGATGACTGTCATCTCACCGCGCCAACGGCTCTTGCGCACATTTTGAATACATGTCAAATAGAGGTAGAATGCATATAAACAGGGATGACAGAATATACAATAGCAATATCGAAATGGGCTTACATGCCTTATTGGATTTGTGTCTCTGCAAAACCATCACAAGCAGCGTCCCCAGTACGACCTTTGTGATGGTGTTCATGAGCGAGAAATATTGAACGAGAAGGTCCATCGCCTTGGTCATCTGAGCCCGGAAGGGGACAGCTTCGATCAACTGTGATGCCCGGTCCATGATGCTTGACGGCTTTCTTCCTTCTCCTCAAGTGCGTTGTCGGATGGGAGGTCAATTTGCGATAGTTACAGCATCGGAGCGGATACTGAGCCAATTCCGCCGCGGACTTGACTATATCATCATCTAGCGAAATGAAAGTTAATAAATAAAGGAAAGTGTCAAACTCGCTCCGAGGTATTTCTCGTAGCTGTGATATGAAGGGCAAATGCGACTGAGATATTTGTCGCCCCAAGGACCGAAGCGAACGCCAAAGATCGACCAAATGCGGAGTTTTGTTGGTTGCGATGAGAATGAGGCTTAATTCGTCCGTCACCGGCGCCAGCATGGTTTAGCTGCTGTGGAGCAGTTTGCGCCAACTCTTTATTTAGGTTAAGCCATCTTTCTTAAAACAATTCGTGCACTCTTCTATCGAAGCCTTTAGTTCTGAAAAATGTATATTTGATGTCAACATGAAGGTGCAGTTGAATATGTATCTAGCTATAGGTTATGAAACTGGGAGCTTTCAAGACCACACTTATCTAACCTAGTAACTTCAACAAAACAAGAAAAGAATGTAGGCAATGTAAGGGACAAAACTAAACACATTGATCTGGTAGAAGTCCCAATAACGAAATAACCGGGTTCATAACTGCTATGTGCACGTCGAATCTGAACGGCTTCAATTCGATGGGGTGATCCTCGGATGCTTAATTCTGATAACGTCGAGGTATTCAAGCAGTTCCAAAATAGGAGCAAGCAAAGTACAGCCTCACTCCCTGATAATATGCTGCTTGACCTGGGGTAGGCTGTGGGGCAGTAACGATGTCATTCTGGAGGCCCACCCCGCCTATATTTGCTATGAATGACGCCTACAGAAATTTCCAAAATCCAACTCCATATGTATCTTTTTTGGGAAGGGTCATCATGATGGCAGCCTTTCCCATAGCCCTATTAGGCGCATATCAGCCTAGTAGTTTTGCATTATTCTCTCAAGTCCCGATCAAAAAGGGGATTCTCTCCATCTATCAGGGAAGGCTGATGTTTGAAATCCCGTGCATCACTAGCTGAATAGACGGCATAGGCGGCGGGGCAAGCGGGATACCCGCTCCCACAGTGTGGAAGATTTCTGCGCAAACGAACCTTTCATGGCTTTGTCCCTGCCGTTAAAAAGTTTTAGCAACTGTTTCCCACTCTAGATCTTAGGAAAGTTGACAATATTGAATAGTTAAGCGACAAGGTTATATTTCCATATCTACATCATCATCATCATGTATGTACACACACTTGGAAATCAAATCATATTGAACTAGTTATTCAATTTCACAGAAAACAAAAGGCGATAATTTTTTTTTTTTTGAGGCTTTGAATTATTCTAAGGCTCCCACTGTGTTAATTGACTATGTATGACTGTGAGGGTTTCTACGGATTTCTTAATTATATCATCATCGATTTAACAATCAATATGTATATATTGACGTATCTTGTCCAGACCGAATGCTGAATTGCCTGTGCTGTGTATATAATATTATGGAATATGTATTAAAACGAAAACTGGTCATCTTTGTATGGCCCAATTTGCCAGGAAAACCTACCTTTTACTTCTCTTATATATATATTCAGCAGATTGCGTGCACTCGTAGACCATTTTGCTAATAATATCCAATTTTGACTTTGTATTTACGAGGACATCCACATCAAGGGCTTAACTACTATGGATAAACCCTGCCCAAGATAAGCTTTCGACTCAACGAGTCTCGAACAAAGAAAGTCTATTTTGAGGCATTTTTAACTGATCCTCGATCATCTTCTTCGATGCTTTGCGAGTGGCCATCCGCCAAAACCGAGTGAACCTAGAATTTTTCTGAATCATCACGCGCAAAGAGAGAAAATGAATAAGGGAGCAATATCAGCCAAAAAAGAGAGAAAGAAAGAAAGAAAGAAGAAGCGGAGTGTTGTGGCCACTGTATCATCCTCCCGAAATCGCCTGGGCATACACAAATCATATAGATACACAACATGAATATAAAATCTAGAAAGAGTCACTCTCGCTTTTCCATGTTCCAAATATCCAGAACATCAAACCCAGGTCTCATCAATCTACCTTCAGCAATCCTGACAGTCCCCAAATATTCAAGGAGGATGTGTAATTTTGCCTGACGGAGGGGCGAATCCGAGCCTACAGAGTTCACTAGAGTACTTCGAAGCCGTGATGGTAAGGAGAGAGAGTAGCGGAGTCAGAGCACAGTTCATATTCCTGGAGGACACGGTCGAGTTGGGAATCTGTTTTCGACATTTGTTATGTGTTTTTCTGCTCAGATTCCATAGAAGAAACAGATATGAACTGAATAAAGCGGGCACCATAGGGGGGGTGGGGGCTGGCAGGTGGCTGCTCATGTTTGATCCATTGGAGAGAAGGTGATTATGGTTGCTGCTGGTGATGGCGAAAGGGTAACCTATGCTATCAACCCCGATGCTATAGGGTGAAATGGATAATTTTTTAACCTTCGGATGTACAGACAGGCTTCTCTTTAGAGTGTCAGATATCCTGTAGATTTGCAGCCAAAGCCGCGGCGCGTTTAGTCCGGACGGCGGACCGCTATTCGGAGAAATACAAGCCCAATGAAAATTAAAAACCATGTGGGAGAAGAGTGTTGGGTAGCAAAATAAAAATTGACAACAAGGCTCACAGAGCGGAATCAATCATCTTCGATTGCATAAGATCAGTTACCTTGACCATCGTGTTTCTATGCAAGTTACGCTGCCTTTAAAATAGAATGGTTAAAATGGACACTGCAAGCCAAGAAAAGGTTCTAGAAACGTTGAGGACGAGGTGCGTCAGATGCACAAGACAGTCACAGACCGAGCTTTAAGTTAAGCAAAGTAAACCCCCATGCCCAAATCCCTAAGAAAAATGACAACCTAAACAATGCGTAAGAGAGACCAGGATAGTGGAGAAAACGAAACGGACAGGCAATGCACAAAAGTCAGGGAACTGGGGGAGTCGTACGGAAAGAAAACAACAAACAGACAAGGACAAGGACGTACATCAGGTATAGAGTTTGCATAGTAGCGACAGTAAAAAGAAAAGGAGAATAGGCGAGTATGGCATCAAGGGCAACGTAACCTAGCTTAATATGGATGCCAATTAATCATCTCTGAAGTATAGATGGTGGCATCTGGGCGTAATGCCCGGTTGAGATGGTGATTCAAGTTGCTGTAATATCTCAACGCCAAACAAATCGATACTTCGCCCCGCACCCCATCTAGGTGCGGCAGGAAAATCGGTTTCATGCATTTCGCATCGAGGCGGCTCACAATTAGGACGGAGCTATCCAAATCCTCATCAATGGTGGGCCAATCTGGTCAATTTAGTATTCCAGCTGGAACTAGCTGGCTGGCTGGTTGGCTGAGTGATGTTGATAATCAGCATTTCCAACTTCTGATAGAAGTTTCAACAGAATGGTCGTCTTGAAACAGGTGCGCAGCATCCGGCGCGGTGCGGGAAAGAGAGTATGTGTAGTCACCGAGAGAGCAGCAGAGTGAAAAGAGCGGCAACAGGAAATGAATCAGGCCTCGAGTGGTACATTCCTCCCCGTTTACCCTCCTGCATGGTCTCCAATCACATCAGGTTCCGCATACACTTTCCTATGCCTAACCCCGTCCGCACTGCCAGCCTCCCTGTATTTCTCAAAATCCGCACACGCATCAGACTCATTTCCATTCCCATCGCTATTACTATAAGAACCATTATTACCAGTCAACTCGGGCGGACAATCCGTATCATTAACGCCTCGGTGTCCTTGTCCCTCATCACCATCATACAGCGATCTCGTCAAACTGAACGTCCTCCTCCTTCCGTCTGGCCTTTCGCTGAAGCTGGGGGCTTGGGGTCTCTGTCGACCCCTCGCGCGGCCTCCGATGACAGGGATCTCATAGGTGAACGCGCGCCAGATGTAAAGCAGAAGATCATAAAGGATCAGGAATGCCCAAGGGGCGATGATGATCGTTCCTAGGATGATCTTGACACATCGAGTGGGGCAGAAAACGTGAGAAACTTTAAACACACAACTTCCAAACAGATGAAGATGCGAAACAGTTAGAAAATAGGTACAATACATACGAATACTCGAACTAGCGACGATTCAAATGCTGTCAGTCCTGGAGGAAGTAGAGAGTACCACGTCATGATGCTGGTTCCTCGCTAGCGGTAACGATAGAGCTATCCAGACCTAGACAAACGTTGACAGGAACGGGATTTAATCCACGCCTCCTCCTTTTGTTGCCCCTCTCGTTCGACGTTATATAAGATTAAGTGCTATGGAAGCGTATATTGTGGTTTTGTCTCGCAGGTCCAACGACTTGTCGCTTTAAATTGCCTGTTTGTATATCTTCGTTTTCTCTATTTCGGGCGGAAGAGGGAAGACGAGGGAGAAACTCATGATATTCTTAACGAGAGCATTTATTTACTCCCAGAAGCCCGGGAAAATAAATGAAGGAGATGAGAAGATGTCGTTTTTAATATTTATCTGGTCATAGACGGGTTTCGCGCGACACAATCATGGCGAGATATTTAGGCGGATGAGGAGGTTCGACACGGGGTAGATACGTTGAGTCACTGGAAGGCCAGAGTATTCTAGATGGTGTTTGTATTTTCAGCGTCGAGATGTCGGGGAGAGCGAGGTGGGAGATGTACATTCCAAAGCGATGCTAGTATGGAGGAGGAACAAGAGCAAGCTCCCAACAGCAGTCGTTGCGGGGGAAGGTACTGTACATACATAAAGCTCAGCTGTGAGCAGGCCAGCGGACCGCCAAGTCATCGCCAATCATGACGCACTAGCGACCTTTGGCGGAACCCCTGGGAAATCACATGATTTTCACATCCATGGATGGATTGTTCGAGTTGAAAAGGGTCAATCTCTCCCGTTCACTGTCTTTTCAACTGAGTCCGCGCGGGAGCATCCGGCTATGATCAGTTGGTATATGGACGCGAGCTCGGCTAATTATCTCTGCATATATGGACCCAGCCCATCCTAAAACATATAGAGAACGCGCGAATATCGTCTCTCCCGGGTCAGTACCCCGAGCGAACGTCTTCATATTGAATGTCAACAATGAGGTGGTGCAGTGTACTGCGGTCGGGGCAAAGGATGGCCACGAAGAAGAGGACTGACTAGTCACTTTTGACAGCAAGTTCAAGAATTGAAGAATCTATGCTCTGCCGTAGGTTCACAGGGAGTCAGTCCAGGGTTACGATCTCCCAGAAACTTATTAAAAAACTTCGCCAATAGATCGAGGTCGTTTCTCCTATCATTCCCCAGGATGGGGCCACCAAATTTGAGGTGTCCGAGGAACTGAAGGAAAACAAGTCACTTACACTTTTTACAACAAGACCTCATGCTCTGAAACCCGAGCCCGGCGCATGAGATGGTGGTTTTTTTTAAGTTCTTGAAGCCTTTCCGGACCACTGAGCCAGAGTGCCGACCACACCTCCCGGGGAGACTGGAGACTCTGGAGTCCGTCTGACATGCCATTAGATATATAGATGGTTTCGAGGTCTTTAGAACGGACCAAGGCACGGGATTCACAAACTCCAATTCTGTCTGTACTAGCATCCCGGGTGGGCCATCGCGGGAGGGCGTGTGCAGAGAAGCGCTGTATTGGTTGATGAGTTGATATTCATTTAATAATACTTACTTTCCTAGAAACATATCACATCATAATATATGACGTATATTGCATATCTAAAGATAGGATACAAATTCCATCTGAGCGGCGTGATACTGTTGTTCAAGGACTCGCGAGGCCCCAATGTTCTTCGAATATATTGAAAACGGCTCGTTCAAAAATGGTGGATTGGGTTATCTATATGACAAAAAAGTGGATCTTAAAAATAAATAAGTACAAGAATGAATATCGCCTCTAAAAATCGCGCCTCCCCTCTTCCCCACCCAACCGTGTATGTACGAAAAGAAAAAAACCCAACTTTTCCAAAACTCTAAGACGCCCCCAAAACCCCCATAAAACCGAACCAAACCCAAGATCTAAGCCTGCCAGGTATCATCATCAACAAAATCATTTTTATGTATAAGGAAAAGCCCATACTGACACAATATTAAGCCCCTGGTTGTTTAGTACCTTGACCCGTAAGATACCTCAAACGCACACACAAAAAGGTCGAAAGTAAAAGCAAAGAAAAGAGCCAGCCTCCTTTAATACTGCACACCACGATACGTCTCGTAAGACGTATCTTCATAACCCCCGCGCGTTCGCGGCAACCCACGTGGACCCCTCGATCGACGATTCTCCCATCTACCATGCGACGCAATGTCAGCAGAATATTGAACAGGGCGAGCCTCGTCGTTACTCAGAAGCGCCCGCTCGCTCTCGTTATCCGCCGTCACCCCAGAATGAAATTCTGGATTATTATCCCCCGATCGATACTCAGGGTTTACCGGACCGTGAGGAACTGGAGGTGGTGGAGCCTGGCTATCGAATGGCTGGGCGTACATACGGCCGCTGGGCCGCATTGCAGGTCCATTCCCTTGTGCCCAAGCTCCGTTCGAATGTCGCACTGGCGATGAGGCCCGCGAGGAGCCTGGGGAATCAAAACCGTTGTTAAAGAAGTTGCGGGGCGTGTGGGAGCGCTCATTTATCAAATCATCCGGCCGGCCGTAGATGCCGCCGCCGAACTCGTCGCGGAAATCGGGCCGATCCTTGAAGTATGAGAAGTCAAGTTGGTTCTCCGGGATTACTTCAAAGGGCGCATCATCCGGAGAACTCGATGTTCGGCCCGGCTCTTTCGAGGACATCTTCTGCAACGCTATATCTGAGTTCTGACTAATGCCTGATGTGTCACCACCTTGTCTCGGTTGGAAGTTCTTCTCCAGCACACCAGCGGCCTTGGCAAAGACCATTGGAGTCATAAGGGGCTTGTAGAGTGCTGGATGACCAAATTTGGACGCGATTCGTTCAGAGGCTTTCTTTCCGCCTTGTCCAGCGGAGAGGGACTCTGCATCAGTGGGTATCCGGCGGCTATAGTACGTTAAGCCATCGTCGAAGGATCGTTTGCAGAACCATTTGAACGCGAGCATTAGGAAAGGGAGGGGGACTAAACAAAAGACCATTGTCCAGGTTCCCTTGGCTTTGACGACTAATGCAATTGCGAAGTTGGCGAGGATTACTGCGAAGACAAGACGATTGAAGAGGACACGCCAGAATTGGCCGCCGGATTCGGTTTTGGTGACGAACACATAGAGGAGAAGATACTTCTTGAGCCAGGAATCCAGTGCGAAATAAAGTGCGGTAACGGGGAGGATTATTGGCTGCAGGGTCGAGAAACAGAGAGCTATCGTCGCATAGAACAGAAAGTAATTGTAATAACTCGCGAATTGAAATGGGGGCGGCGCAGTCCATTCGATAGCCTGTCTGGGAGTCGTCGTCAAAAATCTCTTGGCAAACCAGATCCATGTCAAGTTGAAGATCTGAAGCAGGTCGAGGGTGGCGCCAAGGTTTCTCTGCAAGATCCAGGTGACCCAAAATGGGGAGACGTTGCAAAGGGCTGTCGCGACCTGGAAAAAAAATTGCCCCTTCAAGATCGCATCCCAAGTGTCGTCGTTGTTGTTTTTGGCTTCGATCACCGTGGCCACAAACGTCCAAATTGCTGAAAATATCGAAAATACTACCAAGTTGTTAAAGACGAAGAAAGCGTATAAACTATGGATGACATGGCGCTCCCGCGATGTTTTCGTGATGTCACCCGCCCGGATTGAGAGGCGCCGGAATATTATGGGTAAGACCAGATAGACAAAGGATGTCACCGCTGGAGCTGCAATACCTTGCACCGCAGCCCAGGTCTTGGGATTCGCGTAAAGCTCTTTACGAAATGCGGGCCAGACTTTGCCCAAGTTGGACAGATTGGATAAGAAAATGGCAATTAGAGCGTTGGGTGCGATCCACAATACAGTAAGTACAGTAGACCAGAAAAAATTGATTATGCGTTTCCATTTCCTGCTCTTTCTTGAAAGTGCGAGGTTTTCCCAAATGATATCATTAGGCCGTGGAGCAAGAGTAATTGAGGAGCCCCTTGGGTGCTTGTTTCGAGCAGTATAAGCTACAAAATGGGCGGCTTCGATGGATTCCCAGCTTGCGAACCCATAGGGCATAGCGTTCACGGTATTGATCGACTCACGAACGTGCTTGATCTCGGCCTCGAGGTCTCCAATGCGGGAAGTGAGGTAGTCGATGGCGTCGATTCTGTCAGAGCCACGCGCTGCCTGATCTGCTTTGAAAGGACGGCATGTGGGGCGTTTGACAGGCAGTCGATCTGGATTTTTGAAGTATTTGGCAAGCACTTCTTCAAGCTGTCTAACTGTCTTTTCATGCTCTGCGATGAGTTTTGGTAGTTGCTTCATGTTGCGACCAATCGAAGTAAGGGGCACTGAAGATGTGGGGTTGATGTCGTCCACCAAGCGTAGGAGGCCGTCATCTGTCCTGAAATCGGGCGGTACATGTCTGATCTGTATCCAAAACCAATTAGGGCAAGATCTTCAACAGAAAACACAATAGTAGAAGCTTACCAAAAGGGTTTTAGCATGAAGAGACTCTTGGTAGTCAGAGCTTTCAAAATAATGGCGTCTCAAGGCGGAAACAACCTTATAATTCCGCCACAAAAAGTAGGCGACGACAACATCAAAGATCCAGAGGCAAACGACATGACTCCACATTGCACGAGTTGAGACAAACTGCGGAGTCATAGTTGCAAAGGCACTAATACCAGCAGGCGAGGAGCTCTGCGAAACGTTGACGGGAATCATCACCAAGCAGCCGATAATGCTCAGCACCAGGAACATGTTACGGCACATTCTGGTGAAGCGCAAGAACACTGTGGCATCAAGGCCAATGCAATCGACGAGGTTGCTCTCCTTAGTTTGTATAACAGGGGTAAGCCAAGCTAACAGACCCTTCCCCACGGGAGGAGGGCTATGCTTCCGGTCCGCATGTTTTATTTTAGGCGCGTAGACCAGTGAGTTGCGGGGGCGGACAAAGGAGAAGCATAAGGCAAGGACAATCGTCAGTCCCAAGGATGTACCAAACGAAGCCCAGAAGGCATTGAGTTGGAACTAAAGGCAAAGTGCAAAGGTCAGCTTAAGTCAAATGGTCTCAGGAATTTGGATATGGAAGAGGATACTACGTACTGCAGCGCTGAATGGATTCTGGATGAGTTCCAGGAACTCTTCCGCGGAAGACTTGGCAGCGGCCTGGCGAGCCAATATAGCGCCCTCCATATGGATCGGCAGCGGGATGGGATGGTTTATCCTGATCGACCAGTTGTTTTATATGCGGACATGTACCAACTTCACCTCGAAATGAGTGCCACAAGTATATTAAGTGTCATCTATACGGTTGAGGGTTTTGCCATCACCAGACCAAAACGTTGTTGAAGACTCCACGTGTCCAAATATGCACTAGAAGAGCGTGACCAAAGAAAGGTCAGCCTGTGCAAGCTCGAGGATGTGGTAAAAAAAGAATGTAAGTATGAGACTGGAGAATTGGAATTCAAATAAAGCGAGTGAGACAATAATTAAGCGCGAAGGGATGTTATAAGAAGCACAAACGAGGCGCGGGGAAGAAAACACCTTATCAAATCCATTCGTGAACCAAAAACCAGCAGAAAAAACTTGGAAGTTTAAGAGATTTTGGCAAATATAAATAACTTTATCCATCCACGGTTCAACGTCCAGCCGGCCCGCACTGGACAAGCCTGTCCCTGTTTCAGCAGGAGAGCTCGCGCCAGAGCGATGAGAATAGCGCTGTCCATGTCTTAAGTGTCTGAGGCGATTTCCTTCTGACGTTGAACGGCTTGAAGAAATCTTCTAAAAACTGTGCCCGGGATCAGAGAAGAATCCACGTATCATGGTCCCGGTATGGCATCAAGCTCACTGGCTGAGCTAGTTTCTGCCAGGGGCCCAGGCCTCTGCACGCGGCCATCAGCTTCTATGATCCACCACAGTGGGTCCTCTAGAAAAGCTAGCGCGCTTGGAATAAGAGGAAAGGCAAAAAAAAAGCGTGGCTGAACCCGAGCCTGAGCACTGATGATGCACTTGTCAGCGAAAACAGGATCCATGGCTAGAACAAGGAAATTTCCCGTACCTAGAATAGGTTTCATGGATAACTAGGGGTTGGTGAAGAGTCAGCAAATGTCACATTGCCCTGGCTGCAACCCCATTGTTCCTGACTCTCGGTAACAATCTGAAGATGAAGAACAAGAAGAGACGTTTCTCGTCGTGTGCAGAAGGTGAGGTTGCGTCCTTGGCCAACTGCTATTTATATCTCTGCTCTCCGACGCGTCAGGAGCGGGCCCGGTTGGCCAAATATAAATATATAATAAAATAAAATAAAATCAATCAAAAATCAATCAAAAGGTGTTGGCAACGGCGATTTCAAAGGGAACCCAGCGACCGTCGCGCCACCAAGAAAAAAAGCCTTTTAATGATGGTTAGAAGGGATTGAGGGGTCCAGGCTCCAGGCCAGTGGCATTGTCACATATATTAAGACGCACCCACGTTCCTCGCGGAAACAATTTCCATTTGTCGATTCAAAGGAAGTTTTGTGTTACAGGAGAGATCGAGGTGGTTGATACTTTCAAAACACTCTATTACTTTCTTTACTCCTCGCAGCTCATAAATACAGTCAGAAAGAGATGTTTGCATCGCGTGGGTAGTAATTGGTACCCTCCATGGAAGCAGGGAGAAAACACAGGGAACAGACAATGCGGGAGTTATATCGTTTATCATTGTCAGAAAATTGCTGGCGAGCTATTAATATGATCTGACATATCAAGATGACTGTTACTCCTTTTCCGGTCAAGTCTTTCCAAGCTAGATGGCTGTGCTGCTCATTCTCCCTCACCGAAACGAAACGTGAACATCCCAACCATATATATATAGAGTGTTCTCATCAATATTTTCTCTAAATAAACCATATCGGATAAATGTCCCTGCTCTCCCTCCCCTGATCAACAAATCCAACGTTTGGGTCATATTTCTCCGACCAGAAGTGGAACTATCAGCTGCATCGTCTTTGGTTGTCTACTCCTCACGATGGTCCTTGAGCGTCACGCGTTCCCCTACTTTCATACGGAACAGAATATCTAATTTCGCGACCAGGCAGAGTTTATCACCAGTGACCACAAAAGGTCCCCAGTGATACAGAATGTCAAGGTTGATTTGGAGCATGCCCACGAGGCTTTCACAATGCAGCCAAAAGAAATTGGTTATGCCTTCAGGGCAAGCATCTCCCCAAACAGTGGATCCTTTTCTGTCAATTTATCAGCAACAGACTCAGACCAGTGTTCCCTAACTTTCTATCATGATTCTCGATCATATGGCAGGTAAGGCCCGATTCACATGTAGAACTTTCTTCTGTTTGCCTACTCTATCTAGCAAAACAGTTACAAATCAGCTTCGAGATTCTCTCCATGATCTGAATGGACCACTCGATGAACTCAAAGACAAGTGGGATTGTGACAGGTTGAGTCCAACACTGCATTGGCGATTGACCTCTTGTAGAGACGTATTATCACTTGTTCCGCAGGACGAAATCGGAACTGGGAAGAATGATAAGATGTTGAAGTCGGGAAAATCGAGGTAGAATCTGAGGTAAACGGACGACCAACGCATAACTACCAACTTTTAAAGGTGTCGCCCGCCCGGTCAATTCCAATCTAGGGGCTCCTCGAGCTTCACGACCGACAAGGGTAGCAAGGCAAGGCTTTACTCGTGAGAGGCCTCTGCGGATGCCAGGCATTTCCAATTCACGCCCTTGCCAGGGATGGTAGGCGGCGCTGAACTGGAGTGTAAATTATTATAGTGAGGAGGATAAATCTACAGCTCCGATGATTTACCAAATTAAATAAGAATAGTTAATAGTCTTATACAAATATCAATAATTTCAAATCTGATATTTATTTATACTGCTGCATTTGCATATATGAATGGAGAATCTTAGCTACTATTCATCGGGTGTAAAGAGAATATATTAGGAGACTCTTAAGAATTGGAGAGATTAAGAGGAGAGAGCTCTCTGTTATTTATATAAAAACCATTGTCAATGGTAGGCCATTTCCTGAAGCGGAGGCCCTCGGCAGAGGCAGACAGCAACAATAACAATAGAAAACAGGAGAGGAAGAAGCGAGTAGTCGAGACTTTCGTATTTCGCCTTTGCTTTCACAGCCAAGATGCACGGAAAGGGCATGCTTCCGAGAAAAAGCAGACTTTGAATGCTAACTAACTACCGGCATGACATTATATAATATCATGGGAATGTTGAGTTAGCAGGAAAACCAAGCACGCAGCTGAGCAATTGATATGGATTGTTGATATCACCCATATGATTGCTGGATGCGCCCCATACCCCATGCATGCGATGCGCGGGCAGAATCGGAAGACTCGCCCACTGAAACACGGACAATCATCGAGCGATACTTGTATTGTTGCTCATCCTCCGCAGCGCCGGAACCAGGAAAGAAACCATTTTCCCAGAGTTCCCACACAGTTCCGCTGTGCGGCCACCCCGCAGTCCATACCTTGTTTCCCTTTCTCTTTTCCTTCGTCCATCCTGCGTCTCTGTGTTCCCATATACCCAAAAGCCCTTCCCCCACTGTACAATCAACAGGTGTGTTTGGCCCCGTTCTCCTATTTTATTTGTGTTTGTGTTTATATTTTTATCTTTGGATTTTCTTGTTTGCCAATGTTGCTGTTATTTTTTGCCGCTTTTACCCCTCCATCACCACCTATAACCCCTCCTATTTTTTTTTTTGTAAACCTCAACTCTTGTCATATATACATATTTTTCACTCCAATTGCCCTTCGATTCTCCCGTGCACTTCCCATCTTATTTCACATACGCTAATCTCGTCAATCCGGATGTCCTAGGTTTCCGAGTCTCCAAAGCTACCCCGCCAGACCCTTGAACCGCTTATACAGTCATCATGAGCGTAAAGGACGTTCTCTCTCGCAAGACCGGCGTCATTGTTGGCGACGATGTCCTCCGCCTCTTTGAACATGCCCACGAAAAGGGCTATGCGATTCCTGCCATTGTATGCTCACAATTGTCTACCTAGTCACCCCGAACAGTCCAACTAATCCAATCGCCTTCTTCAATTCAGAATGTAACCTCCTCCTCTACTGTCGTGGCCGCTCTCGAGGCCGCCCGTGACAAGAAGAGCCCTCTCATCCTGCAGGTGTCTCAGGGTGGTGCTGCATTCTTTGCCGGAAAGGTGAGTGTCAAAGACCCAAACCCGGTTTATGCAAGTAGCAATGAAAAATTTACATCATCTAACATGAGATGTGAAAAAAAAAAAAAAAAAATCCAGGGCATTTCTAATACCAACCAAGAAGCTTCCATTGCTGGAGCCACCGCCGCAGCTCACTACATCAGAAGTGTTGCCCCCTCCTATGGCATTCCCGTCGTCCTCCACTCCGACCACTGTGCTAAGAAGCTGCTCCCTTGGTTGGATGGCATGCTCGATGAGGATGAACGCTATTTCAAACTCCACGGCGAGCCCCTCTTCTCCAGCCACATGATCGATCTGTCGGAGGAGTCCGTCGACTGGAATATTGAAACCACTGCCAAGTACCTCAAGCGCGTTACTCCCATGAAGCAATGGCTCGAGATGGTGAGTTATACATCCCACATGACCGACGTAAAAAAGCCAGAAAAGAAGTAGAAAATTAATTAATTAATTAATTAATTATTTTTTACTTTTTCAATATATATTGATTGATCAATCTCACTAAATGCAAAAATTCCTCTCGATTATTAAAATAGGAAATCGGCATCACCGGCGGTGAAGAAGATGGTGTCAACAATGAATCTGTCGACAACAACTCCCTCTACACCCAGCCCGAGGACATCTACGCCATCTACAAGACCCTCTCAGCCATCAGTCCCTACTTCTCCATCGCCGCCGGCTTCGGCAATGTGCATGGCGTCTACAAGCCCGGAAATGTCCGCCTACACCCAGAGCTTCTCGCCAAGCACCAAGCCTATGTCAAGGAGAAGACCGGCTCTTCCAAAGACAAGCCCGTCTTCCTCGTCTTCCACGGCGGCTCCGGCTCCTCCAAGGCTGAGTTCAAAGAGGCCATCAGCTACGGTGTTGTCAAGGTCAATCTGGACACGGACATGCAGTACGCATACCTGAGCGGCGTGCGCGACTACGTGCTCAAGAAGAAGGATTACTTGTTGACAGCTGTCGGGAACCCGGAGGGAGATGATAAGCCGAATAAGAAGTACTTTGACCCCCGCGTCTGGATCCGGGAGGGAGAGAAGGCCATGAGCGTCAGGGTGCAGGAGGGGCTGGATGATTTTAACACTTCGGGCCAGCTGTAAAAAAGGGGGGAGAGAGAAGGAGGTTAAGGAAAGGGAAGGGGAGGGGTGGTGGTGATTCTTATGAAACACGAAAAAAAAAACGAAAAAGAAAAAGAAATAGTGATGATGTTCCAGTTTATATACGGCATTACACGGCTCGACAATTCCCTGCACCCTGACGCAACAAACTTTAAACTAGTAACTTGCCTTCTTATTTATATCTCCCGCACCTTTTTCCCTCTGATCTGAACAAACGCCCCCCCCCCCCCCCTTCCCTTTCCCCCCTTTTTCGCGCCTGTCTGACTTGTGGGCATGGGGAAGGAAAACAAATGAAAACCGCAGGATTGTTGGTGTGAAATTGGTCAATTGCTACATTTATTATTAATTTTTGTTACATTTCGCAAAAAAACTTCTTTCTTTCTTTCTTTCTTTCTTTCTTTTTTTTGATGTGAGTTTTATAATAATAATAACAGGGACGTGTCCGTCACTTTGGATGCCAGCCCAGTCGTTTTCTTTCACCGTGAGAGATGTGATGCGCGTACTTGCACAACCTCGAAACAGAAACCGATCTTCAGCGCCTCTTCCGTGAATACCGGTATGAAAGGAAGAGTTTATGCGTGAATAGATGTCTTAAAGACTTTGTCAAGTTCGTCTTGGAAGGGACCATCGCACATCCAAACTACGAGGATATTGTTGAAGATAAGCGGAAGAAGAACAAGAAGTTGGCTGGAGCCGACGAGGTCAAGTTTACGTATGCGACCTCATCAGTGCTTGCCAATCCCGTGTTCCTATCGCTGTCTGCCGAATAGAGGCGCACCTCATACCTCTGACAAAGACCCGAAGATGCGAGCCTCGGGCTAGATTTTTCGGGGAACAACATCCTGTCTAACTTCGGTCCATGTCTACGAAGATGGAACCGTCGTCTATTCGAAGGAGAGCGCTAATGACGCTCAACTAGTCCAATTTTCAGTATGCGCGTTTCTAGTTATCCATGCCATTGTTCAGCGTGTGCAGAGCGTTGACGCGATTGGCTCAGTTGCAGTCGAGCAATAGCCTCTGTGGAAGTCGGCTTGATGAAATTGTGGGAGCCTTCATAACACATTTCTCTGTAATTCCTGCGTTTTTCAAACAGTGCCTTTTTTACGATCCTGAGAATTTCCGGTTCATATTCATTCAATGTTGAGTGAGCGCCACCTCGGAATTGATATACAAATCATCCAATTAGGAATACGACTGCCATTCTATGCAACCTAGTAGGCGTGTCTTCAATCTTCTTCAAACTCCGCATAAAGCCAAGGATCTTGGAGCAATTCTTTAGCAGTGCTCCGCTCTTCTGGCTCCCATTTAAGCATCCGTTTGATGAACGTGATAAACATATTCTTGTCCTCACCATGCAGATGAACGAGCATATTGTTGAAATTGAAACTTGGCGGGGCTTGACTCTTGCAGATTCCTATGGACATTAAATCAGTGACAGCTGGTGAAACAATCATGTTTTTTACTAACCTTCAGGTCCATAAAAAAGATGTGTTCTCTTTCCCCTGTCTAAAAGATCTTTTGGAGGAGAACCAAGCAGTGCAGCGATGTGTGCGAGATGGCCAGCTTCATCATACTCATCAGTAGCCACAGAATATACGTTTTCGAAAAGCTTTCTATCTTCAATTATGTCCCACAACTGTCCGTGATGTGTATATCAGCGACCAGTCCCGCCATGAACGACAAATTCTTTTAACTAACATACCATCACACCCAAACTCCATATGTCGGCACTATACGAATAGCCAGCATCTAAAATCACTTCTGGTGGTCGATAGACCTCGGCCTGGATACAGCCGCTGTTCGGCTTGTCTCCACGGACAGACTGATCAAAATCCACAATACGAATAATGCCGGTGGTGCTTCGCGGAGGACCATAGTTGTTTCGAGCAAGGTATATCGTACGGCCGTCGGGATATACCTTTTGCGGTAGTGGATTTTTAAATTCGTCTGCAGCAGCTTCCTCTAGTAAGGATGGATCCTCTAGCTTGACCATGATATTGTCCGGCTTCAAATCTGCTACTGGTTAGCGAAACGTATTCGTACCGATGTGAATCATTGGAAAAAAAAGAAAAACAAACCAGCATGGATGATACGACACTCTGAGTGCATATAATCCAGCCCGTGAAGAATCATCTGAATAATCAATTTCAGAATATCCGATGGGATGATCCCACCAAATCTCTTCTGGTATATCCACAGAGGTTCTCGTAAGGGCTCAAGAACAAGGCTTAAATGATCATTTCCAGAGTTGGACTTGAGCGTGAACGAATCAAGAAGATGCCTGACAAACTGCCAGCCCTGATGGTGACGGTTGGTCTTAGAAAGGATTCGCAGTGTATCCAGCTCGGATCGTGCGGTACGTTTGTGTGATTGACGAATATTGGCATTGATTTTGACAGTAACATATTTCCCTTTTAACCAGCGCCATCTAGAGGAATTAATTAGCAACCATATGACCTAGTTTCGATGGACCAAGAGTCGACGAACTGATTGAGATCCCGGGCAAGCCAAACTGTCGAATTCGAACCGTGACCAAGCTTTGTCGCAAGTTGATACCTGCCGTTGAGGACTTCACCAAGTCGGGCTGGATAAAATCTAGCGGGACTATAATACGGAGTCTTTTCCTCTTCAACAGGCTCTTGAATATCGAGTTTAGGCGCAAGCGCCGCTGACTGTGGCCAAGGCTGGTGTTTCAGGACTGATATTGGGAATGACAGCCTATTTCTGAGGTTTGCCATATTGAATGCCGACTGAATGGAACTTGGGAGGAACGACCTTGTCATGATTCTACTATGATAAATGAAAAATCCTCTAGTTACTCAACATATATATCAGCTAGCCAAAGCCGCCTCCCAGAAATAAGCAAGCATCGTAGGGGTAAATATTATGCTGTGAATTTCCATAGTTAACAAAAAGAGAATAAAAAAGTTGAGATATCATATCATGGACCATATAAAAATGAAAAGTAAAAAAAGAAAATCAACTTGCGACCACCGAAAACCAACGCCTTAATCATTAGGTTTGGTTTTATGGATTATCGTCCAAGTTCCCACTAATTGTGGGCTAAATTCCACGTTGACACCATCCGTTTAAATCGGATTATGATGCTGGAGTAAAATTAAATATATTATTTGTATCCTGGGAGATTTCTGCCGAGAATACACCAATGCAAAAAAGAGAAAAAGTTAAATGAAGAAATAAGAAAAAAAAAGGGCCAGCAATGAATATACGAATTAAAACTGCAAGAAGGGGGAATGATATCGCTATATGTTCGTCAGAGATCATCAATGCAATGCCAAAGAAGAAAACGAAAGATAAAAGAACAAAAGCGAGGACAGCATTGATAAATAACAACCATGGACAATAAATTCCATTCAAAACCGAAAAGGAAGGAGTTCATCAACAACCCGCTCATCCCTTTCCCCTTTATTTATTGTATGAGGCGAATCATCCCCATTTACTGGATGGATGGTACTTCCTGCTTACCGGAATAATTTCGCCCCCGACTTCCCTTCACTCTAGGGGGCAGAGGGATTTTCGGGTTTCTGAGCTCGCGTGAAATGTACCCAGCTGTACATATGTATATCTCGACTTTTGATATCTTTGCGTACGCCGGTTAGAAGCACCTGGGTCTCCTCGACAGTCCATCCCAGAATTTTCGTGAAGAGGAAGAGTGAGTACGGTTCCAGCGCCTGCAATACCTGCAACTGCTGGAATCGCCCGACTTCTTTCAGCTTCTTGTCCTTGGGCCAGGTGCCGAGTGGGAGCTAAATATATTATATATATAAATATTTTTTGATATGGTTTCGCTTAATTTTCGTGGGAGAAGCAGGAGAAGAAGATATGGAGAAGGGAATGGGAGGGGCAGGCATGCAGGAGCCGCTCACCTTCTTAAGTTGGGTCGTAACATCCTGGAAGCCGGCCTTCTTCAACTTCTCCGGAAGCAGCGGCACGATCTCCAACGGTTTCCCGAACTTGGAACTAGCCTCGAATTCTAGTCTCACCCAATCCACCGCGTGATTTGCCTTCGCAAGCGTACCGTCATCGCTATAGAAACACGGCTCGATGGACTGGATCTCAAAGTACCCTCCCGGAACCAGGTTCTGATACGCCTGTTCGAAAAGTTTGTCGAAGTCGGCGATCGATCCGGCTAGTTCGCGCGCATGTATGAAGTCGAATGGTCGGGTGTATGGCCATGCCGCCTCGAGATCGTCGATTTCAAAGACACAGTTTGTGGGAACCCTACAGGTTGAAGCGAGTTGGCTGTTTTGTGCTAACAGATGAAAAAGAAAGAACCAATGAAGATGAAAAAAATTTTGGGCTGAGATCGGGTGTCGCTAAAGCATAATGTATTTACCATGATGGTTGGATGGGGCTCAGGTCATTTCCTATAAATTGAATGTTAAGATAATAATAGTCCATGGGAAATTATTGGAGTGCATTCTGGAAAAGGATAATGCTCACCTACTACCTGAGATTCAGGGTGTGCGCTGCATTTATCATAATCGAGTTAGATATATAATTCGCATACGAAGAAACTAGAATCGTAGTTTGTAGGCCTCACTCTGCAAAGTCAATGGCCCATATTCCTGTTTCGAGGGATGTCAGAAACAAGACCTAGATAGATATGGATACGAAACCAACGCCGTACCAGTTCCTGTTCCAATGTCAAGGACTCGTTGTGGGTTCGGCTTAATCGGGGAAATATATATATCTCCGCCTAAGAGCAGTTTGTAGATGTGGTGGGTCTATTTTTGGGGGGCGCGGCTGGATGAGCATTGTTTATTCTTCAAAGGTACCATTCACCAACATATAAAGGGTGTAAACCGGATTATGCTTCCGGAATCCTTACCAAGTCCATGCGATCCTGTTCATCCTCATCATTTGGCTGACCGAGGGAGCGAGATTATGTTAGTCTTGGTTTTCCAGCGCAACCATCACGGTGAGGAGACTGTGCTCTCACCAAAATATATTGCCCTGCACGGAACGAATTGTAACGTCTTCCGTTCTAAAGTCCCAAAGGGTCGCAGCAGGCGATCGTATAATCAGCCACCGCAATCATAAATGTTAAATAGTTGGCTTATTGGGCATAACAGAAACGGGTAGAATGAGCGCCGTATTTGCGTGGATGTTTCCCCGTACCGCATATCTAGTAGGCTGTCAGAGCTCTTGAAATGCAGGGGAAAAAAACATCCAAGAAGGCGCCGATAGAGGGGAGCAATTCCTTACACATAATTTTTTACACTGGAGGCGAGGGTCGTGGCATAACTGGCACTTCCCAGGCTGTGCGACATTATCAAAAACCACGAATCAGTAACAATACGTAAAAACATTTCCTGTTAAGGAGCGAGCGATAGTTCCCAAGTTCTATTCCCAAAGCAAAATGGGAAGCGCTGGGAAACTCACGAGCCCTCGAATGCAGAGTCGGTGTCCTCATTGGCCTACAAATACACACAACCTCAAGTTAATCGCTGAACGTTGGCGTCTGGCAAAAACAAAGACAACATGGGACGACGGAACAGACATCTGCTTCAATATGCGGAATCGCAACGTTTGCGTCGGAAGTCATAGTGAAGATATTCAAAAAAGCGAAAATGGGAAAGCTGTTTTGGTTTCCACAGACCGAATGAATGCAGAAGCGAAGGATGGTATTGGGGTTTTCGTTGCAGTTATTAATAGCAGAACAAGCCCAAAAGCTGACCCAGAGAGGCCTTCTGAGGGGTCCACGGGTTTGGAGCCGGGGCAAAAGGAAATTAAAGAAGCGCAGGGGATATTTTGAACAAGAGGGAAACCGGAGGGAAGAACTTTGACTTCGGGCAGATAGTTGCTTCTTTGTCGTGCTCGAGCTAAAGATCACCCACCACCAGCATCATTCCCTGATAACCACCAATCATGGCGCCTAAAGCCTGTGGCGAACGGCCATCGAAACTGGTTGTCTCTCGCTTTGTCTATTCCATTCGTCTGGCTACTGGTGGGATTGGCCGCGTGGGAGACGAGGGTTGTCGACTCGGTTGTGAATCTTCAACAAGCACGAAGAAACCGTCTTTAAACGGCGACTTGCACTAGTTTCTCCGCTTTGGACGCATTCTAGAATGATGGTTTCGCATCCCGGCTCCCCGCGTGCAGTGATTCGATGGGCGATGTTGCGCTTGAACCGAGTTGAGCAAGTCAATTGGCATGCAGGGCCCCATGCGAACGATAGTCCCTGCCCATGCGCTGTGCACACGCTATCCGCTGTCCGCTATCCGGCCCGGCCGCTATTGTTCTTCTTCAACCAGGGATTTGTGACCCTTGCGTCGCCCAAGGGCCAGTTATGAGGACGTGCTGTTCCCCTACCTCAAATGCCGCCTCTGTGAGCTACTCTGGGAGATCGAATTATTGCATTGAAACGGAACAAAATAACTTCTGACCGGAGTGTTTTCAGCAGCTGAACTCATCGATCCATTTCATACCTTACTACATCTGGAAGTGCGGCGGCACTTCCCCATTCGATGATACGAGCCAGCCAGCCTGGTCGCGCTGTGTGCGTAGTTGACTAACCAAACCTAGGCCTTAGGTTTTTCTGCAATGATCAATCAGCTCTTCGGGAGCATACCGATGGGCAGACCAATCACAAGATTTGTTGGGAAATGCGCTTCTTGACTTGAGGAATGTCTTCATCCTGATTTTTCCATCAGCCGCTTGGTCCGGCAGTTGAGCAACGTTGATCCGCTCTTCATATCGAACATACAGATTCTACTGGCTGGAATCGGATTGCGGGGTATTTCGTCGTGATTTATTCACTGTTCGATAAATTTTACCTCTGCTCGAGGTTGTCGCCAAACACCGCTGTACATTGCGCATGCTTCCATTTCCATTGATCATCCCAATGTTGGTTCAAAGCAGACGCCGATGAGCGTTAGGAATAAGATTATGAACAGGAATAGGAACGGGAATGTGAGAAATTGCTTCCACTGGTTACCCTACCGGTTCCAATCCGACTCGAATGAATAGGGGTACTATGCAAAAGCAAATACCACCCCGTCCAACAGGAACAATCGGTGCGGGCTTTTCCAAAGTCCCTCCTGAAACTCCGATTTGCTCTGGGATTATCACGAAACTGCATTTACCATATCCCACGTTAAATCCGGAGAGCGAAACGACACGTTCAGTTCGAACAGTGGTGCCGTAGCTCTAAGATGATCAATCGTAGGCATTCCCACAACCACCCACTCTGGGGGAATGCTCCCGCATATCCCCATGCAACGATAAATTCTGTTAACATGGCATACCAATCGAGGAACGGGATTTTGTCTTGATATCTTACAAGAGCTTGCAAAATCAGTTTCCATGCTCGAAACACTCTTTTGATATCTTCTCATCACTCAGCGAGGACATCCCTATCCCTCTAGTTATCAAGAATGATTTGAAGGTCATTTTGGCTGTTTGTTTTCCAGAATGCTTCGTGTAGACAATTCGAATCTGGTAGGTAATTCATGAATGCCTGTGTCAGGAACCTTATCCTTTCTGGGCTCTCTTCCACTGTCATTATATTATATTCCTGGGATGAACATTGTCATCATACATCTGCGCATCGTGGAATTCCATTCAGCCCATCAAATAGAATTTTTGCATAGTGCTTGGATGTGTCTAGGTATTCTAGTTAATCATTCAAAATCTTAGCAAAACCAGTATCAGTTTCGCCAGGATCGGTGTAGAACTTTATTTGTTTTTCTGACTATATGAGGGTAGTTATGCAAAGGTGATGGTGATGCTTTCCGAAATAAAGATAAAAAGATAATAAAATAAAAATATCAATGAAAGGGAACACAAATCATTCCCCCCCCCCCTCCTCCCAACCGTCTCTATCCCTGACATAGAATGATTTAATCTTGCTCATCATCACCCGGCCTTTCCATTTCGTAGAAAAGCAAATACACCTCTCTCTGCATCCCCAACACATCGCTAGTTTTGCATTCTTTAACTTTATCATCGCTGATCCGCCACCAGCGGTCATTCGCCCTTTTCTTCCGCCGGATGCGGGACTGGAGTCCAGCACCCGGCACCACCGTTTTTGTTGTTGCCTTCGTGCTCGACTGGTGCCTTAGACTAGAGGAGGCCGATATATCAGCATCTGATGATGGAGATAGGGTGAGTCGCGGCGTAGCAAATGATGAGACGGAGTCATTGTTCTTTTGTTGAGGTGGTTCTTGATGTAGGAGTGTAGTTGATTGTTGCGAGGCCGGAGAGAGAGGGAGGGGCGTTCCTCCGTTTGTACTGGTAAGGGGGGCGGCAGGGGCAGAGAGGGAAGTACTGGACGTTAATGGAGACGTGGTGTCATCACATACGGTGATAGGGCTAGCATCGAAATCCTGGCCGGCAGGAGTCTTTTGTTTGGGGATAATTTTGGGACTCGGGGCAGTGGATGGGTTTCTGCTTGTTGAGCGACTTTGCGAGTAAGAGCGGAAAGCGTCTGGGGTGGAGAACGGGGCGTAGAGATGGTTACGCCGAAAGGATTCGTAATGACCGCTATGATGGCTGCCTTTGTGACAGACTATCCCCAGCAGCTTGTACCATTTCTGGTCGAGGATGCCGCCGATGGGCATTCGTTCGGGAAACGACACCTTGGCGGCATTCTTTGTAGAGCTGTTCTGACCGTAGATCGAACGGGACAGATGTATGGCGATTATTTTGGGGAAGGATGTGATTCGCATGTGTCGGGCAATCTTGCGTTTCGGGACGTTTTCAACATTTGGCATACTGATGCCCTTGGGGATGGTTTCTGGGTCAATCTCAAGCGCTTCTTTTATGAGCGATATGTCGCGGTTTAGCCGCTTGATTTCCCGCTCCGAGGTCGCATTCTTCATTTCTGCTGTCTTCATCTGATGTGCGTGAAGAAGCACGCAGTTGTCGCAACGGAAATCATCTATATATTCCGTCTTGAGCAGGCCGTCGAAGCACGAACTTAACGTAGCAGAGCTTTGCTGGGGCACTTGGAGTGTAAGGTTGACGAATGATGTCTGGTTTGGTTTGTACTTATAGTGACACGATTGACATTCTATTTGAGACTCCATCTTCCCTTCGAAAGGGAAAGGAAACTCAGTATCTAAAGTCTCCACTGTCGCATCGGCGGACGGCGATCCGTCGTCTAATTCTGAGTCACTGTTTCCAGCACTGTATCCATTTGCAGACTTCACATCCAACATCGAGTCATCAGCATTACCATTGAGGGAGCGCTTGACTGCCCTTTTCCTTGCCTTAAGACCGGCGTGGTATTCGTCACAGAGCCGTTCTGCAATAATTTGCAAAAATTCCTGGGCATCCTGCTGATTCCGACTGATTCGCGTCTGAAACGCCGTCTCCAGAGCCACAATAAACCCACGCGCTGATATTGTCTTCCTGTATATCGGCCGCTCATTCAAGCTGTCGAGCATCTCCTTCAAGGCTCTGGTAACGGGTGCTTGCTGCAAGTCGCGAACCATCTCAGGCGTTTCTCCACGTGGAACGCTTTCGGCATCCGGTAAGACATTGTGTATTTCCGGCCCCTCCAGCTGGCGTCGATGTAGTTCTCGGATCAGGTATAAGCGGAGGTCGCCTAGGCCAGCTAGGGCTTGAAGGATGGAGTTGATAAAGCAGTCATTGGACGGGTTCAACAGGCCAACAATCCCTTTTCTCCTGTCGCTGTCATTCGATTCCTCGCCGTCGATCGTGAAATTGGGGCCGAAGACGTAGAAGAGGGTGATAGCGGCTAGGGAGGCGCCAGCAGCATAGGCTGCAACGGTTGCCGGTTTGTCGGGCATATGACAGTTCAGAATGTTGCGACTTACCGATCCATGCTCTGCAGCAAAGTCGGACTACTCGAAGAACGGCATAAACGACTTTTTGCTTTCGGGTCTTTCCGTGTTCGTGGAGAAGAATTGGGGAGCGCTAAGGTGTATATCTACCCTTACTGTTGGAGCACGGGTGGTTGCAAGCGGGTGGAGCGCTGGTGGAGATTACGGCCGAAATCGACGTCGTCGGGTGGTGGAGGGAAGACGCAATCCCCAAATGCCGACGAGGGTGGAAGCAGCCGACTCCTTTGTTACGCACATGAATAGGTCTATAGTTAAGAAGAATAATATCGTCCGAAAATATCAAGGTAAGAGATATTCAATCGCGGAAGCGCTTGAGGCCAACAACGATGAACACAGTATTTGGGTGACAGTGACAGAAGAAATTCCTTGCGTTTCTCTACAACTATTCTCTAACACAATAAACGCCTTTCAATTCGCACACTCAATCCGGATATGCACCATATATTTGCTCAAAAAAGGGAAATTCTGATTTCGTTTCATAAATCACACAATTTTTCTTGTTTCAGCTTTTTTAAAATAGGCAGCGTCTTTTATCAGCCGCTTACATTTGCCGAAAAAGATTAGCCAGTCACAAAATTATGTTTAAGCAATGCAGAACAGTGCAACAGGTAATCGAAAAAGAGCCCTGTGAAATATTTTAACATTTTAACATTTTGAACACCCGTTTAATTTTGTAATGTTTTGTTGTCCCATAATGACAGGGGCCTTCTTTTGTCCATTGGCCCCCTGGCCACTCAGTTCCGAGGTGCGCCTTAGTATGTCCACAAGCCGAAATAAGATAGAGAGAAAATGAAAGAGACAGCGAATGGGAAAAAATAAAAACATAAAATAAAAGGCACACGTGGAAAATGTGAAAAAGAACTGAGCCCAGAAATTATTTAGACAGAATGAGAAGAAAAAAGATTTTTTTTGTGAAAAAAACAAAAACATAGACAAGAAAGAATCAGAGCTCAACCACTAAACATGGCCAACGACAAGTTGGGTTAGGGAGCACGAGAATCGAAGGAGTGCGCTGAAACCCGCAGAAGCTGAGAATATTAGCGATATTTCCCGTATGGAGTACATAGCAGTTGTTTCTATGCCTGAACACGACTCCTAGTTCTGCTTCCAACTCCCTCAGTCGCGCGAGGCTTAGGGGTTTTCCTTTCCGGTTTCTCTCTTGTCCCGCTCTTCTTTGGTCTTCCTGGACCCCTCTTCTGATCGCCATTTTCCGCAGTGCTGGTGTGGGATCCACTTGCTGCCTTGGGCGGTGCGGCATCGGTTTTCTGTTTTTTTGTCGCAGGTTCATCTTTTCGCGGTTGGTTGGCATCCTCGGTTGCATTGGCGCGCTCGTGCTTATCTCCCGCGCTTTTTGCAGAGCTGTCGGCATCTTTCTCGGCGCTAGCTGACGTAGCAGCTCCCGCTTCGGGTGCGCTGACCTCCGTGGGCGCCTCCCCGTCCACCGTGGTTGATTTACCAGCGTCCACGCCAGCGGTGTTGTTGGTATCCTCTTTCGGAGTTTCGCTTGGCACGGGAGCTGCGGGTCGATATGATTAGTTTTTCAAAGAAATAAAATGAATTGTGTGCCAGAAGAAAGCTCCACAACGGTAATTGAGATAGCACATCCATCAGGTTTGAATATATAGTTGGAAAGTAAACTAGCAGCAGAAGATGCTAGATTGCAGTACTCCATAGCTAGTACTGGGGCGTCACTCTAGGAACATAAACCAGTTTAATACATACCTCCATTGACTGCTTCAGTGGCCATGGTGGTAATTGTTGAGTGACTGGCAGTTGTGTAGAAGTAGAAGCGCCGAGGGAACAAGCAAATGCGGAGCGGAACAGTGAGGAGGCAAATGTGCGATTGGGCCAGATATACGGTCCAAACGGCGTGTTTGGTGAATGTAGATGAAAAAGAAGCTTGAAAGGAATTGTAGACTGAGTTAGAAAGTGATGGAGATGATGAGGGTGATGATGGCGACACAGCAGTGTTCAGGAGGTGAGGTTGGAGGCTGGATGTGGTTGCGACGTCTGGGGCTAAATGGGTCAGTCAGCTCAAGGTCCAGATCGCGTGGCGACGTGAAGCACTGCTGCAGGGTAGGTTCCTGGTTTGTGGTATGGAAGAGATAAACCAAGCCACTTGAGCGGGAGGCTAATAATAAGTGGTTAGACACTCGAGGCAGGTCTTCTATTTTTAACACTAAACAGTGGTTGATGCTCCATGAAGAAGTCCATGTTTCAACCTTTTCTATATCGATCCATCTCTCAGACTACCATGCCCAACGTGTCCATCATGTGTTGAAGGATATACACGACTTGCCAAATGTTTTGCTCTTCCATTAGTTACCCTTTATTCCGCAAGTTGGGTTCTTAAAGCCGTCCCTTCCCCTCTCCCAAACTCGAGCCTAGTTCAGGCTGCGCGCTGAATCTCACATCCATCCGTGGGGCAGCGGGATGTCTTTTGCTACCCTGCCGGTCGCGCTCGTTCTTGAAGTCGCGAGCTATCTGAAGTCAGAATGAATGTGATATCAACCCGATTGCAGTTGCTGACACTCGTCTTTTCGCGGTTCTAAGTTAAACCTTAACCTCCTCAAATGTCATGTAACCTAGAATGGAAGCAAATCAGCTTTGATATAGGCCACTAGGACATGAAATACGGCATCTGCTAACTTGGTACTCAGTAACACAATTTGACCATTATTGCAAGGATGCCACATACGGAACAACTCTCCCTCCTTCGTAGCAATAAACGGCCGTACCAATATCGTTGAACCTCTGCTTGGAGCTCCAGGTATTGACTTGGGCTGCACGAATAAAACCAGACGGACACCTCTTCTGACGGAACCTTGCAATTATTGGCTCCTTCTCCTAGGCTCCTTTGGGGAATGACGGAGAGCTATTGTAGGAAGGAGTAACTACAATGCAAAACCTAACCGGTTGAGAGTTTACTCCAACCACCAGCAACTGGGTTTTATACCACTCTACTGCCACAGCATTTGCCACCCCTGCAACGGACGGGGAAGCCCACCTGTGGATCTGATGTTTGTGCGGAGGGATGCGCTCGAAGCCACTGATCGGTTTGGCGGTACCCCCCCCTCTCTGCTTAGCTGCAGAGTGCATGTATGAAATAAGAGTAGAACTCCTCCTTAATAACATAAATCGCCAGCTTTGCATCCTCCAGACCGATCCCCATTTGTTATTTTGCACTGGCAAACGACCTTATCTCTCAATTATTCGCATTCTACTGGAAAGAGATATAGAGCATGCATTTCACACAAGCGCGGATGGAGCAGCTTTCTCGTTAAACTTAGCGGCTAGGAGAAGAAGCGGAGAAGTAGCGGAATTGTTGTTTCAGAAAACAATATATCAGGAGTCGGCTCTGGCTGACCGCAGCTTATAGTGGCCTCCAGAGAAGGCCATGCCGGGCCAGTTGAGTTGTTGGTAACTGAGCAAGCCAATGAAAGCAACTTTTGGAGGTCGCCTACAGAGGACACGAAGAGATTGTAAGCTTGCTTCTTGCGGCTGGGGCCTCAGTTGATATGGACCAGTGCCTTATTGATGGTAGGGATACAAGCCATTGTTGACTTTTTGACGGGTCGACACATCGTTGTCAGCCGCTGTATTGAATAGCCACAGCAGAATCGCGGAACTACTGCTTGAAACAGGAAGTGGCGATGCGAATGCAAGATACTAACATGTACGGATTGCTACGGAATGGAGCGAATAGCGACATGCATGCAGGAAAGCCCATGTACACTGAGCTCGTTGACGGAATACATCGACGGCTCCCAGTATCGCTATCCCTACGGTATTATTCTACAGGGCCAAGTTGCCTCCATCCCGTCAAGCGTGAGGAGGGATGATCACCCTCATTACTTCTTCAGTGAAATTCCCAACCCCTTTCGCAATAAAGAACCTGACCCAACTTATCCCTATTTCAGCTACCCATTGTCCTTGACTTAAGAAACTTTGCCATTAAATATACTCGACTAGATCAAAATATTTACTAGGATTCTGTCAAAAGGGGTGCTCCATTTCTGAAAAGCTTCCAATCAAATGAGAAAAACATATGTAATTGTGTGCTGGGTCAATCCTGCCTAACAGTGAACTAAAAGCGCGGCTTGATTGCCCTTACAGCAGGGGAGTGGCAAGCCTATTGCACACACATTCCAGCCAATAATGGATCATATCCAAGAGTTGTTAGTTGGTTGGACCTCTCTGAGGGCTGTTCGGAGGAGATAAGTTCTTCGCCCCGAATAAATTGTTTGGCATGGGTCAGCAACCAAGATGCCTCCGAGTACAATTTTTGTTCAAGGCACAGCTGCGCCGCGTCCAACGATAATCGTAACAAGTGTTTCTGCATGGTTGGGTGGATTCGCGTCCCGCGACTCGCGGGTCCGTATTTCATATAAGATAAGGCTGGTTTAACATCTGGCTTGGTGGGGTGATACAATGGTAAACAAGCTCCCCAGAAGTACTTGCTATTGGAAAACTGGTCAGAGAGCATACGGAATTCATCGAACAGGGCAACAGGAACCTCCTGGACTTCGAAGGTTTTGTTGTGGCTCGAAATCCACATAGCCAAATCGGATCCTACGGTTCGTAATGACGCACGGAAAGGATCATTGTTTCGAACCACTGAATTTATCACCTGGAGGTAATATTTCGCAGACACGGATATAGTACCTCAAAGCGGACTGAATGCCATGGCCATACTTTATCTCAGCGGTGACAAACTCACGTAAAAGGTTTATTAGGCAGAGGCGTTGTGTGGGTAGGAGGGAATTCGCAAGGCCGTCACTCGAAGGCGCCGTATACACCATCTTCACCCATTTGATAACCGTGTTTTGAAGTCGATCAACGACCATATATGGCATGGCTATGCCCATAGTAGGGCGGCTACCGAAAAAAAGCATTCTTGATTCAAAATCCGCGGCGGAGTACCATGCAACGATTCTCGATCCCACGCTAGAAGCTTCGACATTAGGTAGTTTCGAAGGGATCGAAGGGGGCCCATACTCTCGTAGACAACGGTAAAGGGTATTATGATCAGCTCGTCCGGATGCTATTAATTCGTCCAGCAGTTGTAAAGGATCCTTCGCTAATTTCTTTCCAGCATTGGGTACATTTTGAGCCTGATTACCATTATGATCTCTCTGAGGTAATGGCTTAGCAGGGACTATTCGGAAAAGCGGGTGGTCTAGGATAGAGCTCAAGTGTTTGTCGGTGTCCTTGCTAGAGGCACTCAATCTGTTGTCGGGATTATTTGGATGACGATTTGGAGTCGAGGACTGTGTCGACCGGGCCAACGGTTTGCTAGACTCATGGCCGTGGAGAAAGGATAGAAGCCGGCGAGATTCTTGAGTAGAACGGCCAAATTGGGGACATTGTTTTGATAGCGACCTTAAACAATGTACTCTGGTAGCCTCCATCGGCCCTCATTCACCACCCGGTTCGCCCGTAATTGTGCAGTAACTGAGCACTAGTTCTCCCATTCGCCGCGGATGTTTGACCCCTCCTCTCAGATCGCTGCTGAGTGACTGGCAAGCAGTAGCAGGAACAAATAGGCGAGAGGGGAACCCGACGAAGTTGGTGGAAGTTAGCCAGCAACAGGTGGATGGACTAGTGAGATACCTCTAGACAGTGGGTAAGTGATCGCAGTTATAATTGTAACCGCAATCGTGGTTGTGGTTGTACGTGCATCTGCTTCCCCCAGCGGTTTCAGTGGTTTGGCGCCCAACCTAGCGCGAGCTCGCGTAAATTCTTCCCAATTGGGACAGAACTGGACTTTGAGCCGCCCAGCCAAGAAAGCAAAGAAAGAGAGAAACGCGACATATTCTTAACCTCCCAACCATCCTTTTGTGTCTTCAAGACCTATCCCCCCGACCGCTCCGTCATCCAAACTCTCTGTTGTTTCTCCTGGGTTTGTTCTCTTCAAGAGATCGAGTTTTGTCCTCTTTGCTGTTTACTTTTTGCCTTTTTGCCTCCCGTCTTGGCCCTCGCCGCCAGCTGTCTTTTTTCCCTCCTTGTTTAAGCTCGTGAACGTTCTCAGTCTTCTACTCCACCCTCTCCTACCGCAATCGCCTTCTTCCTCCTTGCTTCTTTGCTGGCATCTTCATAAAAATAATCTCTCACAGTCATGTCTGAAGTTCAATTCAGGCCATCCGGCTCTCGTGGTCGGGGGTCTGCTCGTGGCGGCAGAGGTGGGTACAGCTCGAGAGGTGGACGATCCAACAAACCAGCCAAAGCAGACTCGGAAAATATGTCTGAGCCATCGTATGAAGATGAAGGAGAAATAGGCCAACTTAAGAAAAAGCATGCCGGTAACCTTTCGACCATAAAAGAACTTTTCGCAGACTGGACCGATGAGGACCTTGTTTTTGCACTAGAGGATGCCGATGGGGATCTTGAAATTGCGATTGAGCGCATCACTGAGGGTTCGTTGGCCTATTCCCTTATGTATTGCGACAAGCTTCTGCATCGATTTCTATATACTGATAATCATCAATATTCTTTGTTTAGGCAATGTTTCGCAGTGGGGTGAGGTCAAAAAGAAGCACACTGATCGATCCCGTGTCAAGGCGAAAGAGCCCCTCTCGCAGGCAGAATCTACCTCAGCACCACCAAATCGTGGAGGCCGTGGCCGTGGAGGTTTTGAAACTCGCGGACGCGCTCGGGGTGATCGTGGTCGTGGGGGACGTGGTGGTAGAGCGGGTGGACACGTAAATGGGACTCGTACTGAAAAACCTGGGGTACATGCTATAGAAGAGTCCGAAGCTGCTGCTGCTGTGCCAGCTGACACATGGGAAAAGTCGGAAGAACCTGCAGTTGCAGACGTTGCGGCTTCTACGGAACCAGGTACTACCGCTGTCGCAAACGAGCTCCAAGAACAGGCTACGCAAAAGAGCAGCCTTATCCCAGAAGGTTCGAAGAAAGGCTGGGCAAGTTTGTTTACTCAACCAGCTCCGCCTCCACCTCAGAAAAAAGCTCCTCCTCCTGCTACAGCGACCGCACCTAAGCCTACCGAACCACCCCTCCAGAAACCGTCTGAACAACCTTCAGAAGAGCCAGAAGTCGTCCGTCAAGCAACAGTCCCTCGCGCTGTGGAACCATTAACCTCCACCCCCTTACAGACAACGCATGCCCCAGTGATTCCAAAAGATGAGTTGACTCAAACAAACCTTGAGCGGGTTCCTGATGTATCGCATCCACAGACAAGCACGACAGCAGCGAGCACAGTGGCAACAAGCACCCCAGAGCAACCCAGCGGTACCGGCGTCAACGCATCGCAAACCCGACACATCTCAGGCTATACTGCCACTGCGTACAAAGCTACCACTGGATCTGGACGTGCGGCTAACTTACAGCGCCGTGTTATGGAACAGCAGGAGGCCGTTGTGATGCCTGGAAACCATGCCGTCGATCGTGCTGCGGTCCAATTCGGAAGCATGGGATTGAACGGACCAGTTGATCTTGACATTGACGAGGAGAGAGAAAAACCTGAAACTCGTGCTCAACCTCCTCAACACTCACCAGTTGCGCCCCGCGCATCCCTCCCTCCCTCCACCCAAGCTCAAACGCAAGCTCAGCCTCCAGACACCGTCGCTCTTCCTCGACCCGCACCTGGCCTTCCCCCTGCCCCTTCCGCCAGTTCTACAGATGCTCCATTTAACGACTTCGGGCGGTATACCGAAGCACAGAAGCCGTATGATCCTTTCAGCCAACAAGCTGACCAGTCGCAGCCACAAACACAGGAACCATTTTCCAACCAAGCTCCTATCCCATCCCAAGCCACGGCTACCACCGCCGCAGATTATTCGGCAATTTATGGAGGCGACCAGGCACGAAACCCCTACTATTATGGCTCATATGGCCAGTCCCAGGATGGCGTTTCGACACAACAGAGGGCCGGGAGTGGATTTAATGTCAGCGGTGCAGATGTGCAACCTCAGGTCGCTTCGACGCAGCCACCAAGCCGTTTCACCCATGTTGAAGCTCCAAGCAGTGGTCAAAATACACCTAACCCCACACTGCCTGGTCAAACTACACAACCGGCTCAACATGTCCCTCAGGCGCAGGGTGCGCATGGTGCCTACAACTATGCTTATCCCTATTACTCCAACCCCCATTATGCAAATACATACATGAGCCAAATGAACCAGCATCAATATGGAAGAAACCGCCCGATGTACGATGACGCAAGGAGATACGAAGAACACTACCTTCACAACAACCAATTTGGTTATGGCAACCAGTATGCTGCTCCCTACGGCGCCAAAGGCGGCATGTACGCGCAGCCTCAGCATGGATTCTCTTATGATCATGCTTCTTCTCCGGCTACTGCTGCTTCATTCAACCAAAATGTTCCTGGACGCGAAGCAGGATATGGCCGTACAGGCTCTGCTCAGCCGTCGGATGCCCAAACCTCAGGCCATACTGCCTTCAGCGGAATCCCGGACGTATTCGGCCGGACACAATCCGGATTTGTCCAAAGCCAACCTATTGCGCAACAGCAGCCAGTGAGCGCAGAGGAAACGGCAAAGGGATTCGAAGCGCCCAAGGCAGGCGGGCCAAGCCCATCCTTAGCTCAAGCAAACCGTCCAGGATCCGCAACTAACAGTGGTCCTGGCCAACCCCAGGCTGGGCAGACGAGCTTGCCCCCTACACAGGGTCAACCAACAAGCCAGCAGGGATTCGGGGCGTATCCTCAGCTTAACCCACAATACAGTGGATTAGGAAGCCTTGGAGCGCATCACCAGGGAGCCAATGCATCCCATCACCAAGCCAGTGGATATGGCAATTACGGGGCAGGGTTTAGTGGCAATTATTACGGAAATAGCGGTCGTGGAGGAGGATGGGGCGGCAACTACGGTCATTAAGAAGCAAACCACAAAATGAACTGGTTCACAGGCCGTTTGGAAGCAGCGCTGGGGCTAGGTCCTTCCGCCCTCCACGTGTGCTCTCCTTCGTACATGGGAGCTTACTCCTTCGTTTTGTTCCCTAATGATGATTCTTTTCCTTTTGTCTCGTTATTGATTGTCTTGCAACAGGGTCTATTATTTTTGCGAATGACCCCTGGCCCCCTCCCAAAAAAAAGGTTTTGATACGTGATCATTTTTCCTTTTTAGCTTTGTTTATTGGTTGTTTTTTTCCTCCTATCAGCTCCTCTCTTTTTTTGTTTGCCCTCATACGGATTTCATGTCGGTTCCTCTCCAAATCCCAACAAACACAGCAAATCATTCTTGTAACAATTATATTACATTTTCGTCTTCGGGAGACTGGACTCGTTTTTTTCTCGTTTCCCCCCCTTTTTTTTTCTTTTTTTTTCTTTTTTTTTTTGCCAATAAACTATAGCTTCGATTGATTAATTGAAATGGAAATGATACGACAGGCAAGCAGACAAACCACACGGTTATCATTTTTCTTGGTTTTATATTTCTCCTCTCGGTTGTTCCAAGTTTCTCCTATCTTCCCCTCTTTTCAGATTGAGGATAGAACCAAACCATGAAATTGAAAAAGAATCGGAATTTGGTTTTGTAATGCCGCTCTCAATCCTGTGAATTGCCGCGGGGACAGCACCCACCACCATGACATGAGCAGGGGCCTACGTTGCCATGCGGGTTCCCAAGGCGCTCTCTCCTTGTATTTCAGTCGTCAACAGCATCTGAAGAACTGCGTGGATGCAGCCACACGCCAGGCAGAACAATTATATAGTTATATTTATAGCAAGCACGGTGAGGGGGCAGATCAATTACCCAAAAAGGCAGCGGTAGCACTAGCGCCGCTTCTGTGGATTCTGCCCTCGTTTAAATCCGTCGCGGCTCTTGGTGTGGGAAATGTGGGAAACGTCATGAAACGACAGCCAACGAACTAATCTGACGTGTGGCGGATATGCTGCGTACGGAGTAGGGCTGCATCGGTGTCGTAATTCTTTGATAGCGCCCCTCAGTGGTGCGCTGCGCTCGGATTGGCTCTCGGTGCGAACACAGCTCCGCTAATATCCGTTACTCTGGGCGTTTCTCCTCCACGGTGATAATCTCGCTCCCGGATCCCACTGCTCACCTCGGCTCCACCCCCTGGAAAATCAAAACCTGAGATCTCATTTGCGTGACTAGCACCGGGCTATCTCGATTCGGCGAACCCACACGTAACCCCTGGGCAAATAGATCTGTTCCGATCGCGAATATCCCCTGGTGGTCCAACCTTTGTTGGAGCACCTAACCCGGTTCCCACCTCACTAAACAGCGACATCACTCCACACAAAATACTAATTTGAACTTTTGGCCCATGCTCCGGATAGCTGCCAAACCACAGTGGTGAGGGCTTTGCATCTCTGCTGGGGTTGTGCTGACCTGCGGAGGATCTTGCGAAGTTGGTCTTGCGTGGCTTGACAGCGAGCACCAGCCAGCAACAACGTATCACCATGCTCGATAACGTCCTTCTCGAGCTAAGAAGAAAAAAAAGGTCATAATATTCGTATCGATACCCGTCCCAGCAGGGGCAACAAGTATCATCACAAACGGGCAATGACGAATCCTCTCGGATTCTTCTGCAATCATTACTAGGAGTCCAAGTGCGAAACTATCTTCTTTGATACTCTAGAAGTCTCGAAAATGCTTCGCTTTCCTGTTGTCATCAGGTCGAACTAACCAGGACTGGCTCCTCGCAACTGTCATCTAAATTTAGCATCGACCAAAAAAAAAAATATGCATTCCAGGTTCGTCTGATGAAAGTGGACTTTCAATATTATCTAGTCAAGCGATAAGCTGGAGCGAGGGGACGATTTATTTAAGTCATCATGGATGCCCCGATTTTCTGGCTGTTTTGATTCAGCACACATCTTATCTCAGAATTAGATCGTTCCTTATATTATTATCTCACTACACATCTTTTCTCGGTGCACCTTGGCCTTTTCTTTTGTTTCTGGTCTCTCCTTGTGATTCGAGGCTCTCCTGCACGGAAGCAAAAGACAAAAATGGGCCGCTGTGATTTTGAGAGAAATTCGGAGACTGTTGGGTGGTTATATTGTCCCTCTGTGGAGGCTGCCATTCTGTTTACCTCGCTCTATGCAGTAACTTTATTGGCTCATATCGTTCAATGGTTTACATGCCGAAAGGTGCGTTTTACACCTTACCTAACTTCCCCTCGATCTCCCTTCTGAATTCGAAACTAGGGGGAAAAAAGTGGATATACTAAAACTTGGATCTCCTGTTTTACTAGAAATTTTGCTGGGTGATCGTAATGGCCGTCTTATGGGAAACTGGAGGCTTCGCAATGCGCGTAGTTTCCGCGAAGAAGATATATGGTCTATGGCACTTCATCCCACAACAACTATTGATCATTCTCGCCCCTGTTTGGCTAAATGCTTTTGTGTATATGGTCTTGGGGCGGATGATCTATTTCTACATTCCGGAGAAGAAGATCTTCGGTATCAGCGCTCAGCGCATTACGCTTGTGTTTGTACTGCTGGATGTGTTTTCCATGTTCGTGCAATCGTCGTCTGCAAGTTTGATGTCATCCGACAGTTCGAACGTGGCCAAAATGGGCGTCAATATTTGTATGTAATGCCTACCCTGATTTCCCTTTCCTCCATCATTCAATTACGCGCCCTTCGTTTTTACGGGGTCCGTTGGCTCCTTCGGCAATTTGGCGCCCTATTAACCTGTTGTGCACGTCTACAGACATGGGCGGAATCGGTCTCCAAGAATTCTTCATAATCATGTTCCTTTTCCTCGCCGGCCGCTTTCAGTACCTAATGAACAAGATCGAAGTATACCAACCACAACACCTCCCCTGGCGCCGCCTCCTCTACACCCTTTACGCCGTGCTCCTCCTAATCACCATCCGAATCATTTACCGCCTAATCGAGTTCTCAAAGGGTATGGAAACCGGCTTGGCCACGAACGAAAAGGCCTTCTACTTGCTGGAAGCCGTACCTATGTTTTTAGGTTTCGTTCTGTTTAACATCGTGCACCCTTCGATTGCGCTAGTGGGGCCCGAGAGTGAGTTCCCGAAGAAGGACAAGAAGGAAATTAAGCGGAAGAAGGCGGCGAAGAAGGCGGAAAAGAAGGCGGAAAAGGCGGCGGCGGCTGCGGGTCGGTCGAAGCATTCGTGGAAACATCTCGGCCGTCGTGTCAATGATGTCGAGTCGGGAAGTGATTTGGAAACCGAAGGGTTGCGGATGCAGGACGGTTTACGGAATTCCCAGCGGTATGACCGTTCATTCGTTTCTCCAGTGCCATCGGAGTATCCGCAGGCACATTATCACCGATGATGGGGAGTTTTAAGATTTCTTTCATTTTATTTTGATATTATTATTATTTTTTTTACTTCTTTTTAATTGCTTTGGACCCTTTCCTTTCCCGACTACGCGGATACCGGATAAAAAAATTTTCTTTTTTGGCATGTCTTTGATCCTTTTTTTTTTTTTTTTTTTTTGACCTATCGTACTATGTGTTGGAGCCGGCAAAGCATTGGTATTCTCATTTTTCCGTTTTTCGCCCGCCTTGTTTCCTCCTAGCTTTCCTTCCTCATAATCCTGCTCTCCCGTCAATGCATTTGTTGGACATAGCATGCATGCGGACCTCTCGTTTTTGGGCTACGGTAGCTAATAATGGCTTGGTTTCTTTTTCTTTTTTCTCTTTTACGTCTCATGTTTGCATGTATGTATATATACCTATCTCCTGTTAGAATCTAGAACCCATAGCAAATGGCATCTACGTATACATATACATATTCATGTAATATATTATGATATATGATACCTGTACAGACTTCCAGGCTTGGTGGCTATTTTGCACAAGGGGTTGATGATGACAGCAAGTTGTTATATCAAGATGTCTACGTAGTCAATGAAAAATCAAATATTTATATAAGCGTAAGTTAGTTAACTAGCTAATGATGAAAAGATATGTATTTATATGTGTGTGTGATCCATAACCTCTCTAGTTTGAACCACTCCAGCTGAGTAATGGATGCTACATACATATATCCTGTTCTTGTAGATATATATATATAAAGGGCAGCCGTTTGATAAGTTCTTATTACCAGTGCCTTTCTCTCTCTCGTCTTATTTTTCTACTCAAATATATATATATATATATATATATATATATAAAATAAAATCAAAAAAAAAAAATGAAGCGGGAATTTAAACCACGTGTAAAACAAAATAGGCCCAGCCAAATGCAGATGCAGATGCAGATGCAAAATCAAAATTCTTTCGAATCATCTCAGAACAGAAAACGGTGGAGGAAAATGGAAAATGGAAACGAAAAGAAGGGGAAAAATAAATGAAATTAAAAAAAAAAAAGGGGGGGGCGGGAACGGGTTTGTGTCCTGAAGTGGGTCTTTAAATCCAAAATTGGGAAGGGGATAGAAACAAAAGTATCTCAGAAAGAGAGAGAGAAAGACAGAGAGAGGAAAGTAAGATGTAAGTGAAGAAACGGCGCGGAGCCCTCTTTAAGTTCCCCTGGCTTCATTTCTCAACTGCTTTCCGCAACCTCCGTTGATTCCGTAGCCTGTTCAACCACTACAGATGAGTTATCGCCGGCCACTAACCCCAGACCGCGGGCCCCATCTTTATGATAGGGCGGAACCGCATTCTTAGCTGCCTCAGGCAAAAATCTCCACACACCGCCTGTTTTATCGGACTCCAGACCGCCATTGCCATTGGAATCCACCCAGCCCAGCTTCTCCGCCAATTTGAGAAACACCTGATCATCTTCGCCGGACTCCACGCGCTTGAAGAACCGCCTTTCCCACTCGCGGCCCTCTTCGCGCTCCAACTTGCGCAGCTGGCGCTGGGCGACTTCGATCTTCGATTTGGCAACAGAGGTGGCGTCCATGTCACCGCGGCCGATGGCGGCTGCAACGTCCTTCCATGCCCTTCGTGATTCGTACAGATCTTGTTCCTCTAGCGGGGCGAGGGTGAGTGGGGTCGTCTTCTCCGTCCTGGCACAGTAATTTTCTATGATTTCTTGCTTTTTGCCTTTGGCGGTTTTGATGACGAAGGTGTTGGACCATTGGCCTTCAGCTGTGTAGAGGGGTTTCTTTTCTCCTTCGCTCTCATGGTATAGGATGGCGGTGAAGGAGTTCTTCTTCCCGCTCACCCACCCTTTGCCGGAGTATTCGATCTTGGCAACGTAACCGGTGGAACTAACGATCTGGGTGTGGCGGTTGAGCTCGACGAAGGGGGTTCCGTAAATTAGGGATTCGATGTGCAGTGACGGGAGGGTTATGAGGTATGTTTCCCGTTCTGGGGATGGGTTGGCTGTGGTAGGTAGCGGAGTGAGGGAGTATATAGCATGTCCGATTTGTTTGACGTTTATTGTACTCGAGAACGAAGCTTTTTGGGCGTTATATCCTTGTAGCTGAACGCCGCGGGGGAAAAAAAAAAAGATTCAAGTTCCAGTGTCAGCAAGTTGCATCTCAAACTTATCGAGTGGAATGACGGCTTACCTGCACACCATGCTTCTCATTCTCGATTGCATAAGCCGTTACAGGTGGATGATGGCTACCAGACAGAGTAAGCATTTTCAGCACACCACAAACTCTCCGGCAAAATGCTGGGAGTCAGATAACAAAAAGGTGCAGGAACGAATTACGAACCTTACTTGCTCGCTAACAAGCCGTGTTTCTCCAACGTCGCCATCATCCTCCCACTTCCCCAGAAACAGCTCACCCAAGAACGGATTTAGCGGCTTCTTCTCGCTGCCCAACTTCTCGCTGCGGCTGCAATATTGCTGATGGAGCGTACTAAGGAACCATTTTAACACAAGGAGGGCACGCTTCTCGGGATCGGGCTCTTTGGCTGGTGCAACAAAGATCTTTGGATGCTCGGCCCAGTAAGCGGAGTATTCGACGAGGGAGGTGGCGGAGAGGATGAAGGGCGGAGCGGTTAGGGAGGAGAGATCGCCGTTAAAAGAGGCGATTGACTACAAATCGAAATGTCAGAGAAGTATTTCAAAGGGCAGATGGGATATGTTCCGCAATATCATTTTCTTTTCTTGCAAAAAAATGTACTCAATTAACTTGTCTCCCCCTCACCTTCAAGAACGACGACCAGGAACCCCGACTGCCAGCGGGGACACCCGACCCCTCATCTTTTGGGCTAGACATTGTCTAGGAATAAGGTTCGACAAGCACAAAACCAAGATAGCCAAATGAGAGCAGAAGCCGAATGAGATCGGATAATATAGCTAGGACGGAGAAGATCAAAACTGTGCGGAGGAGAGAAGCATTGCCATCCAGCGTGGTATGTGTTTGTTGTGGCGCATTGGGTTTCGGCAAATGTGCCAAGCTTCAGATCCTCTGAGTGGTCAAGTTATCCCCGAGAGACTACCAGCACGGACATCCATCTACACAGCATGGAAACTTGCTGATGCGAAAGTTTTAGAGCATCCTCCCCTCCTCCTCTCTGCCCTGTCCAAAAAGACACGCTTAAAAACATTCAGCCGGCCTCTTGCGTCAACATTGTGGCGCCCATCCTCAGCCTCTTTGAAACAAAAAAGGCAGACCAACTTTTTCCCTGAGACACACAAGGAGCAACAACATCTCACTTGGTCACCTCCATACTCCATTCTCCCTCCGTTACACGAAATTATGTCTTATGCCATGCAGCTGCAGCTGCAGTTGATTGCTTCTCGATTTCTTGTTCCGTGCTCATTTCTGCAGGTCTCAATGCAAGTGTCAGTTATATAAAAGCCAACCACAATATCGAGATTCAGCACTGCGAATCATCTGGAGACGTCTTATGGGTCATTGAAATTATCTGATCTCTATTTGTTTATTTTCGTCATTGTTCAAGGGTGTTGTAAAAGCTCTTTTGTTACGTGTTATATGAAGCGGGAAGAAAGACAGAAGAATTGTCCTTCAAAGATGACAACCAACTAGGGTCGAAAGTTTTAAGAACCCCCGATACCCTACTATCCTGAAGACTCTCTAGTCCTCACAATCAACACTAGCCATATATTTAGGGCCATGTTGGGTTCTAAACCGCGATTCTATCACAGGAATTCCCTATAAACCGAGAGAGATGCGGAAGACAAAAGGATAGGCTCCTTGGAGGCTCTTCTTCCATCTCCCGGATTGGGCATCAGTTTGGAAATGTTACAGGACTTCTCCCAGGCCGAACAAGGAGCTTGAGTAGTTCCCCAAGCCAATCAGACCGACTATACAAAATATCGAGCAGCTGACACTCTTACATTGTGATAGCTGCTAGCGGGCCTATCTAACGGCGATTGACGAGGTAAAGCTGCAAGGCCAGGGGTGGCGGATGTTAGGAGGCCAACGCATCCACGTGCCGGCGGAATAGATATCCCTCCTCCCTGTGGATCCGGATAGAAACTTCCAAGTCGTTGAAGGAAGGACAGGACTCGAAGTTGGGCCTCTGGCTCCGGAGCAGCACAGCAGAGGACCTTTTGCAAAATTTGAAACTTGGCTTACCCACACTTTTTATTTGCACTCCACAACTTTCCAGTCCTTCCTTCCTGTGTTGCTAAGTACAAAACCGGATTTTTCTGCATTTAAGCCTGTTCCCGACCAATCGCCCGATTCCCCTCCCGCACGCGGCAATGCTGGAATATACTTCTTCGAGAAGAAAGTTGCGTGGTACGAGGTAAAGATTCATAATGGAGAAAAAAAAGAATGGACAGAGTATGGATGGATGCAATGGAGTTTTGAAACTAAAAGGGAAGAGAAAAAGACATGGAGGAGACAAAGATCGGGAAAAAAAACATGTCAGTCAGTGGTGCACGCACCCCATACATGCATGCATGCAGGGACAACCAACCCTTCCTTCAAAAAAAGAAAGAAAGAAAGAAAGAAAAAAAGGAAAAAAAAAAAAAAAAACTTCCAACTTCTTTACTTATCAATATTTCTCTCTTTCGATTTTTTTTTTAAACTTTTCAATGGTCGAGTACACCGATAACTCCGCAACCAAAATATAATTTTTTCAAATTTTACCATAACTATTCCCCGGTTGTCCCTTGAGGGAAACCTTATAACCACAAGGCGTGTACGCTGCGTATACACACCCCGATCCGTTCCCCGCCATCCCCTTCTCAAACATAGCGGATAAAATTTCTCCAGGTGGGGTTGGGGGGGGGGGGGGGGGGGGGGGGGCCGGGGTTTGCCCATCTGCCCATTCAAACAACAAGGGAAAAAAACAATTAACTACATAGGAAGCCCCGTCCATAGACTACAAGACACAGATACAGAGGCAACTATGCACTGTACATTTTTCTTTTTTCTGCGGGCGCCTTCACTGCAAGAAAAATCGCCCGGCCTGCCGAACAAAAAAACAGATGGTGTCAGTGGGGTTGGAGGGGGCGGCCAGGTTGTTGAACCTCCAACCTTTGAGGGATTGGCTAGCACAGCGAAGTAGCTGGGTTCGGAGTTTCCATCGCGCAGGATTTACAGAGAGTGGGTTTTACTTACTGGAAGAAATAATATGGGGATGGAGGGGGAATGGCCTTGTTCTCTCTTGTTTTCCGGAAGATTTCCGCATGCGTGCGCTGACGTTCCAAGGAGGGGCTTGGATTTTTGGTCAGACGAGCGATTTGGTCTATACTTACTGCGTAGCTAGGTCAAGATGGATGTGAAGGGGAAAGCGAAAACGATTGGAGGATAGTTGTGCCTGTTCATTTTTGTGTTTTCCTAACTTACTATTACCTTATTATTTGATTGGTTCCTTCTCTTGGTCGTTCATGTTGACATCCTGTCAAAAAAAGCCTCTACCTCCACTTTTCAGTCATATCTGGGCATGAGATGTATGAGCCTCTCGTTAGCAGTACCTACTTCTCCTTCCTGCTAAATGGCACACACAGTAGGATTCTGATTATATTGCCTATTATGGCCTCTGACCAAGTTGGGCACGGTGGCCGGGATCTGGAGGAAGTACGGAGTAGGGAAATGCAGATTCGGAGAAATTTTTTTTCCCTCTCCCAACCATAAACAAAGCCCTGTATTTGAATAGTTCTTTTTTTTCTTAGTGGTTAGGGGAGAGTTCCCACTGATGATCAAGGGTTGTTGCTATACACCTCTGTACTCCGGTTGCTCGGTCTTCTGAAGGCTGATGGCTGATAACAATAAGGATCGGGACTGTATCGTGGAACCCTGGTAGCCGTCGAACCATCTGCTCGAGGTGCGCGGTCGTGTGTGTATAGGGTTGCGTATGCGCGCACTGCGCACTGCGCACGCCCACTTTCACTGCTCAGCCCGCTTCAGCCGTAAGAGACGCCGGCTGCCGCTATGGACAGCCACATCGAAGATCATGATCATCTTGCTGCACTCGTCCAAGTTAGTGCATTTCGTTCGCCCGCCAACTCCCAAGGGATGGCGCCGGCGCTGCTGCTGCTGCTGCTGCTTATCAAGAGGGTGGCTCTTGTTCTGCCCTTGTATGCTCTGAGTAATCTGTCGATAGAGTAACGTTTTCCTGTGATGGAGTAGAGTTTCCACAACATGAAGAGCTGTTGTAGAATGGAAATTGCTGGGCGATAAAAAAGAAAGCATTTGGTGGCGTCTGCCAAGCCAGCACCCCTGAACCTTCCCTGCACAGAATCATCTCACTCGTGAGTCGTGAGCCGCTAACAACTCAGTTGAAACATGAGTTGGGGTGCGAAGGAGTTATCAGACAGCGATACTTTGTACATTCTGCGTAGTACAGACAAACCTTGACATCCGTGTATAAAAATCACACGAGGGGGATCCGTCCAGTCACTGGCCGCCCTCCTTGTGTTCTAACCAAGTCGCATGTCAGTTAGTTCTATCGGCGAAATTGGTGGGTAATGTGGAGAGTGCGGAAACAGGATCCATGGATATTATCTCCACATCTTGTCGCCCATCTTGAGATCCCTGGCTGAAAGCAGCTGGTGGGGGGCCCCCGGCAGCGGAGAAGAATAGAAGTTGAGGGGAAGAGAAGCGGGGACCACAATATAAGCAATCCCGTTGTTCCAAGGTTAGTTATTCGTAAACAGTATTTGCTCTTAGTTACTTTCCCTCAGGTAGTTAGGGGTAACTGGCCTGTTACGCGTGACATCACTTTGAATTACGCCTGTCTCTTAACAGCAACTGGTGAAGTTATGATGGGTAAATTCCACCATCTGAGAATACAAACACCGCAAAATGAGTTGGTCATATACGCACACATACGAGGCAGTCAAGGCGCATTGACGTAATTGATCAGAGTTCTGCTCACGGGCGTTCAACCTACGCTGTAGAGAATGCAGTAGTAGGCTATGGAGGCCAGTTGGTTCTCGGCTACTGCACCGTGGAAGCAACACCATAACCGTGCTGGAACCGTGCTGGAACCGTGGTCGGGTAACTACGAACCGGGGGTAAGCAAGGCCAAGGCTGCACTAGTGGGCTGGTACTTGCTCCCTAGCGCCATTTTCGCCTGGGAAGCTTGGTACCTTCCCAGGATGGCGTCCCGGAGCTAAACCAGCCCCGAGTGCGCCGTTTTCGTGACGGTCGGCCTGTTTTGGCGTTCTGCCCAGCCAGGATCGTCGCTGGTTAGTTAGGTTAGCACCGACAAACACTAAACGAACATCCCACGAGAGAGGAAGGGAGAATCGCCATGCTCCACCTGTGTCAAGACTGCGCATCCCCCATGGCCAATCGCTCAGCATTGCTGCTTGCTGTTGCAGCGTCGTCCACTCTTCTCTCTCTCTCTCTCTCCCTCTCTCTCTCTCTGTTCTTTGCTTCTTCGGACGTTTCGACGCTGTGCAACACAGATCAGAGACTGATGAAGTAGCTCGGAATCTTGTCATTGAAGCTTCTGCTCTCACTGGCGGACTACGCAGTATGGCGGTTCCAATAGATATGTGTAGCTCATACTCCTTCCAGAGCCATCGTCTCCTCCCATCCGCGGGCTCCCTTTCTTACTATGTAGCTTCTTGTTTGCTCCTCCCCTTCTGTCTCCACATGAACGGCACCGCTAAACCAATGCGGATGTCGAGTCAGAGGCGTTATTACAGGGTTTGGACAAGGCCCCGGATGACGGGTGGAAGCTAAAATGGTAGAGGCGTTGGGTTTCGATGTTCGTCATTGTTTATTCGCGATTTGAAGCGACCGCCAGACTCCAGTCCGTGGAGGTTGGGGCTTTGATGCCAGGTTTCTCTGCTCTAAATTTACCCAGGGCTGCTGGTACAGCAGTTACATCCACGCGCACATCTCTGCATAACGCAGTACATTGCATCCAGGAGTGGTCGCACCAGAGCCCCTTCCCAGGATATATAACCGTCTTCCCACGCCCCCGTATATATATTCTGCCCCTCAGCTGGATCTATTCTGTCTGTCAGCCCTTCTCGCGGTTCCCGCTATCTCTCCCCACAGGCGCAGGTTCTGCCAAACCCGCGTCTCCTCCGTTTATTCGCGTCACATTTCGCACTATTCCGACATCTGCCTTGCAGCTTGAGTTTGGTCTTTGACCAGCCTGTGGCCGAATATGGCAGACAACAAAAAGGACGAAGTTTCTGAGGCTGTGTCCAGAGATCCCATTCAAAAGCAAGAGGAGCAGGAACAGGAGGTCGAGAAATCAGGCGAAAGGTGTGTGCCCGATAAAAAAAAAACATGATATTCTCTACCGCCTACATCTATATCTGACACGCGGCGCCCCCCAAAAAAAAAAAAACCTAATACACAAATCACAAGGAAATTGATGTGCTGACCCATATTGCGTTTTGCGGCGCCAGCTCTGACCAGAGCTCTGACAATGCCGAAAGGGGGGATCGGGAAAGGATCAATCTAAATGCGAACTTGACTGCAAAGTATGATCAACCTTCTCTCAACGGGACTCCTCATTCCGCCTTTCGACATTAAAATAGATAGCTAGAAGCTGACAATGCGCCGTGTCACGCGTCTAGAATCAAAAACCCCCTTGCGGATATCCCAAACCCTACCTTATTACGAGATGTAAAGGATTTCGCGCAGAAGTTCGGCTTGGATCACGTTTTGCCTACTCTGCAGAGGGGCGCCCTGGTGGCGAAAGATCCAGCCAATTTCGAGAATGTTGAGGGCATCACTCCGGATGAAGTTGAAGTTCTCCGCAACGAGGTTCTTCACAAGTGGCGCCAACCAAAGCCCCTCTTCTTCACTATCATCCTGTGTTCGATTGGTGCGGCCGTCCAGTAAGTTGAGCATTGGCCTTCTCCCCCAATTTCTTTTCTTACTAGGTTTCTGACTTGGAATACAGGGGGTGGGATCAGACTGGTTCCAACGGTGCCAACCTGTCATTCCCGGAAGCCTTCAATCTCCCTGAGAAGGATCACCCGGATGCGGAGAGGAACCAGTGGATTGTTGGTTTAGTCAATGCGTATGTCTGCAATACCCCCTACCCGTCGAGCCTCCCTTACCGAATTGAGAACTAACGATTTATAGGGGACCGTACATCGGATCGGCTTTCCTGTAAGATCTGGAATTTCATTCCTGGTACCCCTTTATGCTTTGCTCGCATGCCTAACCTTAAAAATATGCAGTGGTTGCTGGTGCTCTGATCCTCTTAACTACTACTTGGGTCGTCGAGGGGCTATCTTTATCTCTGCTGTCTTCTGTGTACTCACGCCTATCGGTTCTGCTGTTTCACAGAGCTGGCCCCAACTACTGGTCACGCGCCTGCTCATGGGAATTGGAATGGGTGCTAAAGCCTCCACAGTGCCAATTTTCTGTGCCGAGAACACTCCTGCCTCTGTCCGTGGTGGTCTTGTTATGTGCTGGCAACTGTAAGGCTAGCCCCCACCCCATACTTTCGCTTTCTTCTCATTATTACCTTTTCCTTTTATCTTCTCGCGAGGTTGCAAATACTGAACTAACACATCGTTATATAGATGGACTGCTTTTGGTATCTTTCTAGGATTCTGCGCTAACCTTGCCGTGAAAGACACCGGCGACGTCTCCTGGAGACTTCAATTGGGTTCTGCATTTTTGCCAGCTGTCCCTCTTGTTCTTGGAGTTTTTTGGTGCCCGGAGTCCCCGCGTTGGTATATCAAAAAAGGGAAAATCGATAGGGCTTACCAATCCCTACTTTCCCTGCGGAATCATCCAATCCAGGCAGCTCGGGATCTGTACTACATGTACTCACAAATCCAAATTGAGGAGCAGATCGCTGGAAAGAGCAATTACATCACTCGGTTCTTCCAATTATTCACCATCCCCCGTGTCCGTCGGGCAACTCTCGCATCGTTTGTAGTCATGATTGCGCAGCAAATGTGCGGTATCAACACCATGGCGTTCTATTCGTCGACCATTTTCGCGGAAGCAAACGCCACTGTTACTGAGTCATTGTTTGCGTCATGGGGTTTCGGTTTGATTAACTTCGTGTTCGCGTTCCCTGCCGTCTGGACCATTGACACATATGGACGACGTGCCCTCTTGCTCTTCACCTTCCCGCAGATGGCTTGGACTCTGCTTGCTGGAGGCTTTGCATTCTATATTCCGCAAGACAGCAAGGCTCATCTTGGTGTCATCGCTTTCTTCATCTACTTGTTCGCCGCGTTTTACTCTCCAGGAGAAGGTCCTGTACCCTTTACCTATTCTGCTGAGGTCTTCCCTCTTTCGCACCGAGGTACGGCATCCTTTATCCACCTCGAAATAGCTCCGCGCCCTCCCCCCCTTCCCCCCAAATATCAACTTTATACGTTTATTTGAGCCAATGCTGATCTGTAGTTCAACAGAGGTTGGTATGGCATGGGCAGTTGCGACGTGCTTATTTTGGGCCGCGGTGTTATCTATCACCTTCCCTCGGCAATTCCGTGCCTTGACCCCAACAGGTGCACTTGGGTTTTATGCGTATGCAGCCCAGCTCCCTTTTCCTCCCTTCAATAAAATATTTATACCTTTTCTAACAAAAAATTTACCAACAATCCAGTGGCCTCAACATCATCGCTCTCATAATGATCTTCCTCTGGGTACCCGAAACGAAACAGCGCACCCTCGAAGAACTGGATTACATATTCGCGGTGCCCACCCGCAAGCATATGAGCTATCAAATGTTTACCGCACTGCCTTACTGGGTTAAACGGTACATCTTCCGCATGAAAGTCGAGCTGGAACCGCTGTACCACTTTGAGAAGATCGCGGAGGATGAGAAATACAAGAAAGAGATGCGCAGACAGAGCGAAACTGCCGCGCAGTCCCGGAATGCAAGTGTCTCGAAGTAGAGCCAAAACGTGTTGATATTAAAAAATAAAGGATTGGCAGGAAGGTTGGGGAAGGGATATAAAATTACCGCCCTTTACCACTCTTGTAGACCTTCTCTCTCTGATTTATTTCAATACTTCGGAACGAGGATCTGTTTTCTCTTCTTTCCTTTTCTTTTCTTTTCTTTTCTTATTTACTCAAATCAAATTTGCCCTTTTGCGCCGAGATCCATCTCAAACAACCAGCCAACTCAGGCGTTAATTTTTATGGCCATCGCTCCTGTACATGCTTTCTTCTCTTCGTCGATAATATGTATTTACGAGGGTGTCCGGGGAACAAGTACCGTCCTCCCAGCAAGCAAAAACAGACAAGACGAGGGGGCGACGTTTTATTTTTCTTCAACTTCCGTCTGAGGAGTTTCTTATCTTTGTCTTTCCTTCTTTCCTAGTTGTCGTGCTCCTCGTCGGCAGTCTATTAGGGGGTTGCAGTACAGCAGGGATAAATTATATTTATGAGCGGATTCTTTATTTTGCTTGCTTGTTTCCTTCCCATATGTCGGATCCCCCCTTTTTTTCTCTTTTTCCCATCTTTCTTTCTTTCCCCCCGCTACCGTCCTGTTTGCCTTGATCAATATTTCCATTCGACGGATTCTTTGGACAGGGCAGATGGATTTTGTAACATCGCTCATTCTCAATCAGTTACGGTCCATCCCATCCACTTACATTCAGAGTTAACTTCTCAACTTCTAAAATAAGGGGATATGAATTTATCAAATAGATATCTTTGAGTGAAATCTACTATCCAATTTAATTTACTGTTTCTGAGCTGAAACTCTGTATTGTATATATGATATATCAAATTCTATCTTTTATTAATTTTTCTATATTTTTGTTATATTTTTGATATTATTCAACACTAAGCATTTTCTTCTGTTGAAGTTCTGTATAATCAACTCTTGTCTGTATTTAACATCATACAAAGACTCATTATAAGCACTGCCAGCAGTGGGTCTTCGATGTTTTGGAATCTTTACTTGATGATGGTATCATTACAGACTATGATCATGGTGAGGCTAAACACAAAACTGGAGATGATCTTTCAAGCTGAGATCGAAGGTGATGAGTGATGAGTGTGTAATGCCTGCTTCCTTTTGTCTAAAATTCCAATTCTAATTGGATAAGGTTTTCGAAAAGGTGTTTGATCTACGGTTTGATAAATTGGTCAGACAACAGCTTTGAAAATGTCTATCTATGACACAAGTTTCTCAACGAATTGATCAATAGCAAACTCAGCAAAGTACATCCCCATGCCCTTATGTGGAAGAAAGAAGACCCAATCGCCGCTGCGTACAGGTAGCATTGTATTAAGAGACTTTAGAAACTCCCAATACTCCGGGTAAGCTCCGCCTAGCTCCCAGTCAACAAGCCCGGTCACTTGAATGGATTGATCTTGCTTCTTGCTAACCATTATATTCCGTGGATGCAAGTCACCATGTGTCATGACAATTCGGTGATCATTACGTAGCATAGAGTGTACAAACTCAACATAGGCTCTCATTGTAGGTGGGTGGTTACCTGAGATGAGGAATTCATTGAACTGAGCTTCGTTCTCAATTTGTTGTGGACTTACCCGCTTCCACATTCTGCAGTCAATGCAGTAAGGTGGATTACCACTACCAAGGTAATGAGAAGATAGAGGGAGCATTCTAAGTTTCTTTAGAATAACATCTAACTGACCTTGGATAGAAATTTTTTCTTCTGTAGAGAGGGAAGACCAGAGCTTATCCAAAGATGAGCCTTCAATAAAAGTCATGAACATGTAGGTTGTCTTGCCGATAGAAATTGCTCCTAGGGGGCGAGGAACTGGAATATCCTTCGAGAGACTCTGAATATAGGCTGTAATATCGGCGTCGGTTAGAAGCAAATTATGCCCAAGCTTGACAACAATCTGTTCATCAAGTTGTATGACGGCCCGTGAAAAATGGCCCCAAAGCACCTTTCCATTTTGCAAAGCACGTGAGAGAGCCAAATGAACTGCAAGTTGATCATCATGATTACTGCTGGATAAGCAATCCTGCTCACAACCATATTTCCACAAAAGTGTATTGACTTCAGGCGCAAGGGGCCGAAGAATGACCGGAATCTCTGCTGGGATGATGAAAGCATCTTGAATTTGGCGTGTATTTGGAGTGTTGCTGCCACGACCTATACGGCAAGATTAGCATTGTTCCCTCCTATGTATGATACCTAGGTCCTTACATACAGCTTTGGCTCTTCCTACCACATACCTCCTCCAGTTTGCGACGGTCTGATGGGTACTTCCGACCCCATCTTATAAAGAATTTACTGAGATTGGCTGATCGATTCCAGTTTAACTTGGTATGTAGTTCAGTTGTTGCCGACTCATTCAGTGCAATGAAGCCTGAAAGAACATCTCCATCATCGTCGCACCCCACTTTTCGTGCAGCATCATCCAGCTCGGTAGAACAGGGGAGCGTAATGGATGACATTGGAGGAGATTGATTCCTTCCAAAAAAGTAAATAACGGGTAAAGTGAGGACGAGTGCGGTGCTGGCGCCGAGAAAAAAGCTCAGGCAAGTGTCTGGTCTAATGTAATTGCTAGACATTGCTTCAGAAGCTCCTATTTGGCTGGTGGTGCAGTTTAGAAGGACATGTTTCTCGTACGACTGACACAGCTTCAAGTAATATCCACGCTCCGTTTTTCTTCCAGAGATCCTTGCATGGCGGCTTCCGTCACCTGACTCATAAATTCCTGATCCGCAGTTGCAAGGAATATTTCTCCGCGATATTTCTACCAGCAGCAGGGCTATATGATTCGGGGTAGTTAGAAGGAGGTAGATGGGATATGATATTAGCGCAGTTCCCACCACCAGCAAACCGTTTCCTACGCTGGGCTGCTTGGCTGCTTGGTTGGTTGGTTGGTTGGTTTTGTTTGCATCCAGGGAAAAGGAAACAGGGAGCAGAAGGTCCGTCGTTTTCCCCACGCGAAACTGGGTCGATTCTCGCTGGAACCCGAATACTGTTCTTCGTTTTCAGAAAAAGGTGGGAGGGGGGCGCGTTGAGCTTGCTAGGTGATCTTATAAAGAATAAGAAATAGAAAAGAAAAGAGAAGAGAAGAAATAAAGTATCGGTGTTCTCCCGCTACGTTTTCTCCTTCCGTGGAGTGTAGGGCGATTGCAAGCTTTCGTTGTTTGACTGTGACTATATGTCTTCCGCCTCAACCGCAACTTGCCGGGCGAAGTCGCGGGGGTTGCTCCTGGGAATATATATATATATATATATGTACATGTGTGTGAGTGTGTCAGTGCGAGAAGCAAGATAAAACCACTTCTTCTTTACCTAAATCACAACAAAGAACCATTTGTTTTAGCGAAGAACCCTTTCCTCTCAGCAGAAAGGACTTGAGCCGATGATTTCCTGTCGCCCACAGGCCCCACTAATTGGCTAGAAACCGCATCTAGGAGATCTCCGATTTGCGGGGGGGGTGGCTCTGGATTTTGCGGATATCAGAAACGCTATAGACATGGGTGAAGTGAAGGGGCGCTACAGCATTTCTTTTTTCTTTTTTCTTTTGTCGGGGAATTAGAACACGGAGACGGAATGGGGAGCACATGCTTGCTTGCTTGTACTTTACATTTCATTTTATATGAAATAATTTTGCTTTGGCGACTTGGCCATTTTAGATAACTAGCTTCTTGCATCATGTAAGAATCTCTATAGTACTAAATGGATGCTTATGCTGCTGCTATTCACTTTTTTGCAGTATTGACTTTGAGCTATTGCTTTTGACCTCCGAAGAGCGTGGAGTCAAAAGAATTGAATCGTTTTGTATTTTTAACGCTCACCGCTACCGAGGGGTTATTGTGAATAGCTAGCTAGCTAGTAATCTGCATGGAGGACGCATCAGTCTGAAACGATGGCCTGCAATGCAGCCGTGAAATTATTGTTATTGGGATGAATTCAGCTGGGCTGGATGCCGGTAGCATTGCAACTCAGTCTCCATTCGACGTTTCTAGCTACGTCCAAATTGGGGATTTCAAAATCCCAGAACCAAGATATTGAGAATCTTGTACGTGCTGTACATACAAGTGCCTGGGTTAACTTATATGCTTGGTTCTTCACCCTCTATGATTGACGCATTCATGAACAGCAATCTTCCACGACTCTAATATCGAAGTTGTCTAAGTAAGGATATTGTCTTTGAACATATCTCTCAAATATATACGCCGTCACATTGATTGAGAAGGAGAAGAAACCGGCAGGGTTTGAAGGCGCCGTCATTCCAAGGAGCAACATCACGTGGCCGCACCACGACCCAACGTCGACCCTCCAGGGCTAGCAGCATCTGCATCCACAACTCCACCTCCTCGTCCTCTTGTAAGTGTGTGGCCCACCGCTGGATCCCGAACATTCGCTTTGCTTGCCTGTCTAAGCCCTGTTTTGCAATCCAGACCATCTCCTTCATGGAATAACCGTTTTCCATCTGCCTTCGCAAGACACTGCCGTGCGAATTAACTGGGTTCGAGAGGGTGGAGCGCGGAGTAACCTTAATCGGTGTACTAAGTTGTGTGTTGTTTATGTGGGTGCACCCGAGCTTGATATTCTCCCAAAGAACATTGTCTCTTGAATCCCATCGCCAGGATAAAATAATTGTACCCCTTTGTTTACATTGCCTTGTCGATTCCCAGATCCGTTTCATTGTATTGTCGGATAACACTGATTTTCTGCTCCAAAGCCTAGCCAATTCCCGAGAGAGAGCTCGTGCATAAATACTAGTATCATTGATATTTCTTCCCTCCTCCTCCACCCACCAGCCTTCTATATCTTAAATGGCCCGCCGACGGAGCTGCTAGTATCCCACGATCCACTGTTCAGGCGGTTCCTCACAGTCTTGACATATATCTGCGGGATCAACCCGTTATCAAATCTGTCCCGGTTCCGACGGCTTCACTTTTCTTTTCCGAACCCATCTATCTCACCGCCTCAAATTCCAACCCCCACCACCAGCACTTCGCTCCTTTGTCTTGGAAACCTCACGCACGTACACATACATGCAGGCATACATACATCCATTTGTACATACATAAATCTATCTCATCCATAGCTCCAAGCCACAAATCATGCCGTGCTTCAAGGGCCTCGCGGTTAGCATTCACACGCCCAACGGGCCCCTACCGGAGTACTCTGTCCAACGGCAATCCCGCGCCTCTCGAATTGCCTGCTATATCCCCGTGCCGCCAGCGAAAGTCCCAGATCCCGCAACAGGTAAATCCGAGCAATCCACATTCGCCATCTCCATCACCCTACTCACCCCTGGCCAGAGCGTGCCATACTCCACCCCAAAACCCACTCCTGAAAACCCGCACCCAAAAGCAAAAGTTGTGGGCAGTTTCCCCCGGGCCACAAACTCCATCGGGCCGTATCAGCCATTGACTACTTCTCCGAACGAAACTATAGCGGCGTATATATACTTTGATGGCCGGCAGAAGGAAGAGGTGGCTACGCTATTGCGGCGTGGGGAGGAGACATGGGTGAACTCGAGATGGGTTAGTATTCCGGAGTCGAAGGGTGGTGGGCTTGCGGAGCGGGAGTTTCTGTTTCAGGAAGTTGGGCTGGAGAGATGGCTGAATGGGTTAGATTTGGAAGGGAAGGAGAGGGATACCGCAGCGAAGATTGAGAGGAGGAGACAGAAGATGGAACGGAGGCGTAAGAAACGAGAGTTGGCCAGCCGACAACTCCGGGAGAAAGGGGATCAAGCTGGCTCCGGAGAAACGATGATGATGGATATGGATGAGAGAAAAACCAGATCTGGACAGAGTGTGTTGCGCTACGGGGATGATGCACAGTCCCCCCTTGAGAATTTGTCAGATGTTGAGTATTCCTCTGAGTCTGAGGATGACGATCCCATACCAGAAGCAGCGGGCCAGATTAAAGTGGCCCTGTTCAGGGTTTTGGCGTCTGGAGAAGTCAAGCGGGGTGAATATTCGCCTCAGTTCGATGCCCAGGATGACGATGACGAAAATCAAGCACAAGGCTTGAATGGAAAAGGCGGTGATGATAGGGACGTCGATCATACTACCAGTTTTGCGAAGCCGAAGTCGTTAGATCCCAAAACCATCAGCACGCAGACTGTTACGGGAATTGATGGGCCAGACAGGCCGTATGCGATATTTACGTTTATGTATCGAGGAGAACGTAAGTTTTGGACTTCATTTATTTATCTCTGTCTTTTTGTTCTAGGTATACTTTTATTGATTCTTATGTATGGCTAACATGAAATTCTCTTTCTAAAGGCCAATTGCAAAAAATGGGCATTCTCGATACCAAATCGCGGGATGGGACTAACAAGGCCTCATCTACAAAGCGTATTTCATTGCAAACCGACCTTGCGAGCCTCGCAGCGCTCAAATCTAGAGATGTTACGGGTCTTGAGAAGTTTAGGGATCATAATAATGTTGATCACGGGCCAGGGAAGTCGAGGAAGAAGCCTAGGAGAGGTAGTGAAAGTGACATGGACGATAGCGATTATGATGATGACGATAATGGACCGTCGTCTATACTGCACAAAGCTGAGGAGGAAGGAGATAAGGACGTTAGTCCTTCACTACTTTCAGCAGATGATATTCGGCGACAGGGCGAGCTTGCGGAGGGAGTGAGGCAAATAAAGGTGAGCTTACTCAAACTCGTATTTACTTATTATGCCAATATTGTATTGGCCCACTCCTTTGGGAATACGTGGGCTTTAGTTTATTCATATACAATATTATGCAAGATATCATGCTTACCATTGACATCTCTACTACCAGCTAAAACGACAGCACTCTGCCGAACCCATTACGCAAGCTGGAAACGCGACCTCGAGAACTTCCAAATCAAACACGCCAGCATCAATATCCACTCCACCAGCCACCACCACCACTGCCACTGCCACCACCGCTACCATTACCACAACAGCGACGACGACATCAACTAGCACGACTGCCGCAATAACCGCTACCACCCCTCCGCATCAGGGGATCGCTGGTGGTTCTTCATCTCGAGAACCACCACAAACCCAAATGAGCAGCCAAAGCTCCGTGCTGGAGAGCGAAGCGGAGTTCATGGGCAGTCCTATGAAGAAGCATCGGGCTAGCGTGTTGGGCGCTGACGACAATGTTTTTAACATTAAACGGCTGGATGGGTCGGGGCTAGCCACCAATATCCAAGAGATTATGGGGTCAGGTTCAATTTCAGGCACTATTTCCGGCGGAAGCGGTGCCAGTAGTGATATTTTTGCTAGTACAGGGACCAGTACGGCTACGGGTGCTGGTGCTGATACCAGTGCTGGCCTGGGTTCTAGCATGACACCCAGAAGCAATCTGAATATCGAACAGAAGCCGCCACAAACCGGACACGAGGAGCTGGAGGAGGATCTATAGGGAAAGTTGGAGGTTGGGTAATTTTCTTTGGACTTGGTGGAGTGCTTTTTTCTTTTCTTTACTTTATGTGCGATTTCCGTTACTATGGGTGCACATCTCTTTTCTTTTCTGATTTCCCCCTCCTCTCTTTCCGTCTTTTGTGGAATGCAGAATTGGTTTAGATGTTTCGGAAATTTGAATGAGTGAGCGGGGTGACCGATACGATATCGTTTTGGTTCGGAATTTGGCTGAGTGAAGACTTATCCAGGAAGCCAGACGGTGATAATATGATACTCAGAAATTTGTGCTGGGAACTTATTCTCTAGCCAAATATTTAATAACATGAGAGTCAAAAATAGGCCTCCCCCATCCCTATCTACTTGTATTTGTCAAATTGAGCTGTATGGAACTTGATACGTTAAGTTTCGACGTGGACAAGAACAGGAAAATCCTTCCATCCGGCCAATTTCCTGATTGATGGTCGCCGCATGCAATCTGGCTGTTATATGCGCTTCCGTTCCGACACTGAGGCCCCCTTTGCGAGGAAGTGTTTCCCGAAACTGGGCTTTAAATCGACATCTCCGTCACGATCTGTGTGGCAATTGAACTCGCAGAACTCACATGAACATGGCGGGATCATTGAAGGATACATAATCAAACAGACTATAGACTGTAGCAGTTCGACGGAACAATCAAACCATGATCACAAGCAAGGCATAAGAAGCAAGAGAATAAATCTATATGTCGGTAACTAGGAAAGGTGGATCTTTGGGATGGTCAGGTACTTTTGTGATATGCGACACAGGCATGTGAATTGTTCATGTTAAAACAAATAAATGTTATTTGACTCCTAGTTGTCGCGTAGAAAGCAGTGAAACATGGAACCGTCAAATAGCTTGACTCCAGAGTCTTTCAGACTCCAACCGATAACCAACCTACCAACTCAATTTCCTTCTCGTAAATAATGAGATATCGAAATCTTTTTAGTCTCACGAAAAAATACAGCTGATGCGCACAACATGTCTCTCGCCCGCTCCACCGCACCCCTTGTCTGGATTGACTGCGAGGTTCGACCCCCAGCCAGCTGCTCCATCTCCGAATCGATGGCATAGCTGTACATTTCTACCCACCTTCCAAAACAACAAAAACGATATGGTCCTCCAATAACTAACCACTATTTTCCCACCCGGGGATGAAAAGATGACAGGTCTCAACCCTCGCACAGACAAAATCCTGCAGATATGCTGCTTCATCACCGACGCGGACCTCAACCTTCTCGAACCCACCGGTTTCGAAGCCGTAATCCACCACCCCGAGTCCGTCCTTGATAACATGAATGACTGGTGCATCAAGACGCATGGTCAATCGGGGCTAACAGCCGCCGTGTCTGCGTCGACCACTACCCCAACGGCCGCCGCAGAGGGTCTCCTTGCCTATATCAAGAAGCACGTCCCGCGGGAAAGGACAGGGCTGCTTGCGGGCAATAGTGTCCATGCGGACAAGGAGTTTTTGGCCTGCAAGCCATATTCAATGATCCTGGAGTGGCTACATTATCGGTTGCTCGATGTGAGTTGTTTTAAAGAGGCGGTCATGCGGTGGGGGGATGAGGAGATGCTAAGAGATGCTCCGAAGAAGGCGTGTGTACATCTGGCTAGGGAGGACATTCTGGAAAGTATCGAGGAGATGAGGTATTATCGACGGGTATTGTTTGGGAAGAAGTGATGAGTGGGGATATATATAAATTATATGCACTCTGTGAGGGTTGGGAGGGAGTAGGTGGTGACGGATGAGATTCCGAAATCGACACGAGGATTTCTCATGGATTCTTATTTGCGGATTTATGCTACGAAGCTCTATCGACTCAATATAGTAGTTGTAATTGTCCCTACAATTGCAGCATTCGTCTCTTTTGCTTTTTGGCGGACGAGACACGGGGAGAGGGTTTGGCAGTAGCTGGCGGCCAATAGATAATATGGCTATTATATCAGTATGGCTATGCTGTCGACTGGAATTAGAGCAGCTTTTCGTGTCCCAAATGCAATTGAATTCATATAGTAATTTCAAGGCATTTCATTATAACAGCTTTGTTGGTGATGGTGGGGCATTGTTGTTTCATGATGACGCAACTTGCTGGCCCCGCCAAAAAAAAATTGTAACAAAACAATCCATTCTCAACATCAACAAGCTCTCAACTATCCAAAGCCCTGTTCATCCAATAGTGAAAGGTGCAGCAGACACCGTGGTCAGGCCGTTTACCCTCTGCGTTAGAGATATATTACCCGTTAGTTATTCCATCTTTTACACATCTCATTGCTGAAACCGCGATCGCGTTTGTCTCCAAAACATACCCCTTCCAGCTCACCGAACAGTGAAATCACCCAATATGAGCGTCAAAACCGTGTCAATTACTCCATTCCAGGACCAGAAGGCCGGAACGTCAGTACATCCTCTCAAAAGGCAAATGGTCATTCTCAGCCGCTAATATATTCCAATATCTAGGTCTGGGCTTCGCAAGAGAGTCACTGTCTTCCAGCAGTTACATTATTCTGAATCCTTTATCACAAACATTCTTCTATCCATTCCGGAAGGTGCTGAAGGCTCTTTTTTGGTAATTGGCGGCGATGGGAGGTACTACAACCCGGAAGTCGTGCAATTGATTGCCAAAATCGGAGCTGCATATGGCGTCAAAAAGTTGCTGGTAGGCCACAATGGGATCCTGAGCACACCAGCTGCTAGCCATGTTATTAGAAAGAGAAAGGCCACCGGGGGTATCTTGCTTACTGCAAGCCATAACCCAGGCGGTACGTGTTTTAATGTCGCTAATCCTCCATGATGTCCACCTAGCTGCCATCACCAACCTGCATAAAGAGACCTCATATGTCTAATATGCTTGTTCAATAGGACCAAATGCGGATTTCGGTATCAAATATAATCTTTCCAACGGTGCTCCGGCTCCCGAGTCAGTGACAAACAAGATATATGAAACCTCGAAGAGTCTCACATCATACAAGATCGCTGAAATACCCGACGTCGATCTCACGCAGATCGGGACGAAGACATACGGATCCCTGGAGGTGGAAATCATCCATTCCACAACAGACTACGTTGATATGCTTAAAGACATCTTCGATTTTGATCTTATTAAATCTCTGTTTAAAACGCATCCAGATTTCAAGGTGCTCTTCGATGCATTGCATGGTGTTACTGGGCCGTATGGAAAGGCGATTTTCGTAGATGAATTGGGACTGCCAGCTTCGAGTGTGCAAAATTGCGTTCCCTCTCCAGACTTTGGTGGCGGACATCCGGACCCAAATCTCACATACGCACATTCCCTGGTGGAAGCCGTCGACAAAAATGACATTCAATTCGGCGCGGCGAGTGATGGAGACGGAGACCGCAACATGATATACGGGGCCAAAACTTTCGTCTCTCCGGGAGACAGCTTGGCTATCATCGCCCATCATGCAAAATTGATTCCCTATTTCAGGAAACAAGGTGTGTATGGTCTAGCCCGCTCAATGCCAACTTCAGGCGCCGTCGATCTCGTCGCCAAAGCGCAAAACCTGCAATGCTACGAAGTTCCCACGGGCTGGAAGTTCTTCTGCGCCCTCTTCGACACGAAGAAAATGTCAATCTGTGGCGAGGAGAGCTTTGGGACAGGTAGCAACCATATCCGCGAAAAGGACGGACTCTGGGCCATCGTCGCCTGGCTCAACATCATCGCTGGCGTCGCCAAAGCCCACCCAGAAAAGCCCGTGAGCATCGCCACGATCCAGCACGACTTCTGGAAAGAATACGGCCGCACCTTCTTCACGCGCTACGACTATGAAAATGTCGATTCCGATGGGGCTAGCAGGGTCATCGCCAATCTCAAAGAGCTTATCACGACCAAGAAGGATGCTTTCGTTGGCTCCAACGTTTCGGGCCGCAAGGTCGTTGAGGCCGATGACTTTTCCTACACCGATCTCGACGGCAGCGTGAGCAAGAACCAGGGCATTTATGTCAAGTTTGACGACGGGAGTCGTATCGTGGTACGGCTTTCGGGGACGGGTAGCAGTGGGGCGACGATTAGGTTGTACATCGAACGCCACGAGCCGGATGAGAAGGAGTTTGGAAAGGACGCGCAGGAGTATTTGAAGGGAAATATTGAGCTGGCGGTGCAGTTGTTGAAGCTGAAGGAATTTATTGGACGAGAGGAGCCGGATGTTAAGACCTAAGCAAGAAAGGGACTTGGGGAGTATTGGACGGCCAGGGGTGAGAGAGATTGAGTCATGCAAGTGTGAGCTTGCCTCTGAATCAATTTTGCTCTTGCAATGGTTGGCCTGATCCTGACGGGAGCTGTGATTAATATATAACTTATCATGGTTCGTAATACAAAATGACAAAATGAGCTTTTTGCAAGATCTTCCACGAAAGTGTATATGTACTTATTTGAGTTCTTCGTTTCTTTCTCCTTCGATTTTGCAGGTGACAAAAATGAATAAGTTAATAAATTTAGTTTTTATCTAGTCAACAGCCCTCCGCTTTCACTCTTCCTTCCTATTGTTTTTGTTTTGTTTTGTTTACATTGCACTTGTCTTCTGCTTAAAGGGGCGAAAGAGAGGGCGCTTTGCACCCCTATCTTGATATTCATATTTCTTCCACATCAATTAGCAACGGAAAAAGCCCGACGTGTACGAGTAAACCCGAAGATATGAAGAGAGGACAAGGGAGGAAAGATATTATTTGCTATTTTGCATCAGCCTATGAGCGAAAAATCCGGGGAAAAAATGTAGAATTAACCCTAAGCTCTCACATCGCAGGTGAGGATGATACGCAACAATGGATCCATAGAACAGAACAAAGAGGGCCCTATAAAGAACCAAAGCTTCCTCCTTGCCCCGGCTTAATTTCCCCCTCTCATCTACATGCCTATCTCCCCCCGTTTTGCATCCCACCACTCCCTCCACCCCACAACCTTCCCATTCCTCCTCGCCTCCTCCGCCGCAAACACAGTCGCATGGCTCCTCAACGCCTCATCAAACGTACACCCAATAATCTCCCTCTGCGCCTTCCCGACCTCCCACCCCAAACTGTCCACCGCTTCCACAGCCTTCACAAACGCCCTCGTAAGCCCATAATCCCCGCCCCCATGCGCCTCCGTCTCCTCAGGAGGCACCTCAGGGACTGTAACGACAGTCGTCTCCCCGCTGCCGAAATTGTAGCTGGTTATGGTTTTGCCGTCATAGCTCAACTCGCCGAGGGTGCCGTAGACGCGTCCGCGGCGCTCGCATTGCGATTCTGTCGTCGAAATCATGTGGAGGGTGGCGGTCTTGGCACCACGACCGTGCAGGCGTGCATGCATATCCATGCCGCCAGTACTGCTGGCGGTGGTCTCGGGCAGCGGATCATCGACCCAGGAAAGGGTGACAACTTGGTCCTCGAGGACATTGTTGTCGGCTTCATACACACAGCGGCCGAACCAGGGGCGTGCGGCGACGGTAGTGTCCGGCGTCGTGGCCTTGTCGTAGTCTTCTGCGAGGGTTTTCAGGAGTAACGACTCCGCTGCGGCCATGCCGTATGTCTTGAACGTATCTTCGATATCTGGGCAGACAATTTTAATGGGCCAGCCAGTACGTCCCTTGGAGAGGAAGCGGTCTTTGTAGATCTTGAGGGCGCTGTAGATGCAGTCTTTCTCTGCGGGACAGGAGAGGCAATTTGTTGCGTTGCCGGCGGCGACGGGTTTGCGCGATTGGCGGAATTGGGTGAGAGAGCCCAAGGAAGTGATTGATTGTGGGGAGTGGTATGGGTAACCATAAGTCGCTCCCGGGGGTGGGTAGCAAAGGAGCCAGAGGATAAAGTCGATGTCGTGAGAACATTTTGTGAGCAAGCTCCCGTCGCCATTGGCGGTTTCGCGGCGCCAGTTACCCCGTACGAAGCTGTGGGAGAAATGATACCAACCAACCGGCTCTGTGTGTTCCAAAGAAAGGACCTCACCCACAACCCTATCTTCCAGCAGTAACTTGCGCAGAATCGTGTTGTGTGGGCTATATCGTAAGACATGGCCTATGGAGAAGATTCTAGACTCGAGACATTTGTTCTCCTTAAGTGCGCGGGAGATGGCTAGACAGTCCTGTAGAGATGTAGCCAGGGGCTTTTCGCAGAGCATGTGCAGGTTCAGAGGCGCAATGGCGAGCAGGATCTCCACATGCATTTCGTCCAGGGTGCAGATGAACACCCCATCCACACCCGTGGCCTGCTCCCCGTCCCCGCTCCACACGGTCTCCCGCCGTGATTTCTCCCACTGCAGCCATTCCTTCCAGTCCGCAAACTCCTGACCTTCCGCTGGTGAACCGCTACCCCAGATGTATCTCTTCCCAAACTCCCTGCGCTTAAAGGCATCCACCTCGGCTACCGCATGGATGACACCGTTGGTTGCGTTTGTGACAGCGCGAGCGTAGGCGTGTCCTCGAGACCCGGCTCCAATTACTAGGAATTTGGGCGGCCTTGCCGCGGCGTTTTTGGATGTAGCCATGGCAGGTGGTTGATGGGCGAAGAATTCTAGGCAAGAGTGAAATGGCGCGCGAGGTTGGAAGGCTAGATATCTACTTGTATATAAGACCTTTTGAACGGAGGTTACCCTTGGGAGGCGTGATTAACGAGCAGTGAGTGAAGAAGAAGTTAGCGAATGACCCTCAAGGCAGCAACCAGTGTTTTTCTTTTATTCTCAAATGAAATGTGGCCATGGCCTCTCACAAACATGCAATCCCTCAGTTTGCGGGGTAAGTGATGTAAGTGATTGAGGGAGCGATCAGTGCAGCCCGAAGTTGAACTAATAACAGCGCAGGCAACACTATTGCCGCCATTCTTATTTGCCCACCGTAGCAGCGAATTAAGCGGAGATCGTATCGACGGATGTCACCCTGTTAGAAATGTGGAGGTTCAGTTCAGCCTTGGAAGTGCTTTCTGGATGCGATGCGGGTCAACATGCTGAGGTAAGCCAGGCAGTTAACTAATCGCCGTGCTGTGATTGGAGGACATATCCAGCCAATGATGTTTGTCCTGCCGAGGTATAAATAGCACAACAATATTGATCGGCTCAACCTAAGCGCTCATACAGATTGACGCCAACAAACATCATCAGCGGCATTTGGCAGTGGACAGCGCGTAAAGGAGATCGATAATGCAGAGAGCTATCACTACGATCTACTTTGCATTTTGCTATGGTTTCCCCGGAGCTAAAAGGAGCTGCAGAGTTAAAAATATGGGCGGATGATCGACCGGTCAACCCACGTTTGTTCCAAGCTTGCTCTGCCGAGTTTGGAGAATGGGGTAATACGTAACAAGACCTCCTTTTGGCGTTATGAATCCAGCACTATGTACAGATATGGATGTGGAATGTGGAAATATAGATGAGGGTAATGAAACACGACAGTAGAACAAAGGCGAGAGTCTATGTAGGGTATAATTGTATGGATCTAAGGAATTGAAGATTTGCAGAAGAATATGTGCGCAATGTAAGTTAAATAGAGAGGCAATAACATCGATAGTAATGCAATAATAGTACAAGAAGAGGAAGAAGAGGTAACATTACTATACAAATGAAATAATGATATATATCACACATATCACAATTCGCTTGTGATGATGTTGAAAGTGTATGAGGAATGTATAAAAAAAGGTATCTTTCATACGGGAGGAAAAGAGAATAACAGGAAAATATTCCAAAAACAAGGGTAGAATAAAGTAAATATATAAAATAAAATAACAAGAGTCACTTCAAACCCACGCCAAAAAGGAGTCCTCAATATGTACGTAGAAAAGAAAAAAGGAAAGAAAAAAGAGGAGAAACAAAACACCTCCTGATCCCAAAATTCCAAGGACAGCCTCATTAATTGAGCGTTAAACAAAAACACCCCCGAAAAAAAGCCCAAGACCAAAAAAAAAAAAAAAAAGAAAAAGAAAAAGAAAAATCGTCAACGTAGAAAGAAACATTAAAAATTAAAAACTAAGAAAATATCATCCCTCATCCATCGTCACTCATTGAACACATCACATTCATTACTTATGCCACTTTTTCCCCTTCCCCGCCACCTTCCCACTTCCATTTAGCTGCTGATTCTGCTGATGCGCCTTCGCCCGACTCCCCGAGGCTACCCCCTCGCGCCTATGCCACGGATCCTGCGGCCACACCCACCCGCGGACCCTCTTTGCATCGCGCTTCTCCCCCGTCTGCGGCTCGGGGATCCATTTGTCTTTCCCCTCCGGCAGGATGTGTTGGCGCGTGAGGGTGCCCTGGCCGCCGACGTTGAGGTAGCCGCGGGGCTGGGTGGGGAGGGCCTCGGCCTTGGAGAGGAGGACCAGGTAGTAAAGGGCCAGGGTTGCGGTGAGTGGGGTTGAGGTTGATGATTGTGGTATGAAGGAGGAAGGTGGGGAGGGAGAGCGGGAGGGGGTGGGGGAATAATCGGATGATTGGGCGGAAGAGGATCGGTGGGAGCGAGAGTGGGAGTGGTGTCGTGGTTGGTGTTGCGGGGGTGGGGAATAAGACTCCGACGAGAGGTTCGTCATTATTGGTGGGGCCACCTGCAGGTAGCCGAAGTAGGGCGTGTCGGTGACATCGTCGTAGCCTGCACGGACGCAGACGAGTTCGATTTCCGTCATGATGAAGCCGTAGCGGCAGGAGTGCTCGCGCATGCAGCGTTGGAGGTGCGCGAGGCCGTTGAGGTATTCGACGCGCTTGTGTGGTGGTTCCTGGCGCATGCCGCTGTTCCAGCAGTTGAAGCTCTTGACGAGGCCGACGAGGCGGCCGCGCTGGTTGCCGGAGGCTGTGAGTTCGGTATCTGTGGCATAGTTGGCGATGAAATGGGGCCCGCTGTTGGTGCGGTTTCCTGTGAGAAAGGCCTCCGTTGTTGGTTTGAGGATCAGCCCCTTGCCGATGGAGGTTTGGATAGCGGCGTTTACGCGGGGAGCGTAGATGTCGCGGACTAGCTCGGCGAGAGCGCCCTCAGAGCTCGGGGAGAGACGCGATGAGGTCACAGTTGATATGGGATGGCAATCTTGGGAGACTTGCGTGGTGAGGAGAGCGGTAAGTTTTGGGATTGAGTGGATTGTGGAAAGAGAGAAGCTGGACCAGCTTCGCAGATTTCGGATGTCCCACCAGAAATGCTGCTGCTGCCCACGGCCCACGGGCACTCTTACATGCTGCACGAGGTTGATGGCCTGGGTTGGTTCTGTTAGGTATTTGAGAAGAGTAGTTGAAAGTTCCAGATCATCCGATTCTGAGTAAGGGGGAGTAGTGACGGAGGGAGCATGGATAGGTGGAGCTAAGGTTGTAATTGGAGCTTCGACGTAAGAATAGACAGGCTGAAGAGGTGGAGAGGGCTGTGGGTGAGGGGTGACTGGTTCACTAGGTGGTGGATAAGATGGGAATAAAAAGGATGTAGCCGAAACTGGAGTTGTAGGGCTGCATTGGGTCATGTATCTTGGGTACTGTCGGTAGGTTGGGTATCCATAGCGGGCCAAAGTTGCCTCGTCGATGCTGTTGATAGACGTTGAACGGGAATGTCCACGTGCAAGCCTTGTATGAGATGGAGTTAAAGTTACTGGTGAAGAGAGAGTTGAAGGGGCGCGATGGCCCAGCATAGAAGAAGTTGAAATCGGCGAGATAAGGGAGCAATCGATTGGTGAGGTCAAAGACCCACGCATCTGAGATCGACTAGCTGGGTAAGGTGTGTACACGGTGGGTTTGCGGATGGTTGACTGGCCCTTGCGGTGACGAATAGGCCCGCTAGAGGAGACAGGCTCAACTATAAGGTCCTGAGGTCTGATCTTTGGTAGAAGAGCTGGCCCATGCTGGCGGATGACTGGTGACAAATTTGGGGTAGTGAGATTGGTGACGGCAGAGTCTGGAGATGAGTTATTTGAGGAACTCGAGTCTGCTCGGACATGCATATTATATCGACCATTAAAATGGCTGGTAGCCATCATGGCGGGAGGCGTTGATGGCCTGTAGTAATATAATTCCGAAGACATTGTTTCTGCGCCATTGCGTCAGGGGTCAAGTCCAAAGGTATAGCAAAGTCTTTTTTTTTTTTTGCGGGCGGGTTTGTGGTGGTGGGGGTCAACATACAAAAAAAAGGGGAGCAAATTGATATCGAAAATTCACCAAAACCTATTTGCTCTTCAGCAAAACAAAATTTCCAAAAAAAGGATGTCTTTGCTAGCAAAGACGAAACAGGCAAAGAGCTCAAGTTTTGAATTGGTGTATATTTAATTTGAGGAACACATTCGGAAATGATATAGTAGGGATGAGATAGGTAGGAGGAAGGGGGGAGGCCAATAAGCAGCTAGAACAAATGTCAGGCACAAGATAATTGAGACAAGAAGATTGATTGATTGATTGATCATTGAATGACTGATTGAATATTTCTGAAGAGGGTTTGAGAGAGGATCGAGCTGGGTATTAAATCCTCTCTCAAACAGACGTGTCGCGACAAAGGAGTAGACGCATCCATCGTATCGCACCGATGCAATCTAGATGGAGCAACATGAAACAAAGCTACATGGCGACAAATAATCCATAATAGGAAACACGATACTAAAGCAGAAGATAAAAATAAAATAAAACATTCCGAGATCCATCACATCGCGCCTAAGGGGTTTGTTTGGGAATGGCATGGTTTCTTTTTCGACAATGCCAGTGGGGAGAGCTCGCGCGATACTGAGGAACAAGGACGCGAAGGGGGAAGGGGATTGGAGGGCGGGGCGGTAAGGGCAATGGGGATGGGGATGGCGTAACGCGAAGGGAGGGGCAAAAGGGACAAGCTTTGTGTATCAGGTTGATCACGACAGCTATTATGAGCTGCATAGTCGCTGAATTGTGAATTATTATTGAGGGAAGTGTTATATTTGGCAGCATCTTGCAAGAGCTCTGGGGATCTATTTCCGGCACACGGCGGTTGTTGAGACTGGAGTAATCTCCAAGCGCCAGCACAGAGCTGGCGACAAACAAAACTGGGACAGAAAGGGCACAGAACAGACTGAATCAAAGCCGGGTGAAAAATCACCAGAGAAAGTGGGAGATTTCGCCCTTGTTCTATTTCGAGTGGGGTGGGAAGAGCAGCGGTGGTGGTGGACGGCCCTGCCCATTGGGTAGTGAGATGCCCGGTGTGCCCAAACACTGGCAACGAACTGCAAAATGGGGGTCGTTTCTGCAGTCCCAGTTGGCGCCCTCAGAGGGGATTCCAATCACTCGGTGCCGGGGGGGCCAGCGTTGGCCCACTGTCGTGATGATTGCCCGCTCTGCTGCACGGCCGAGCGACAAAGAGAGCGATATCACAGCGGCAAGCACGCTGACTGGTCTGTGAGTGCCACCAACTGTGCTCTGGCTGTGGGCCGGCGCTACCGGATCCCCCAAAGACGCCCCAAGACCTCAAGGGCCCAACCGGGTCAACAACAGCGCGTTTGCTCCAGATCACGGCGTTGACGATGGTGGTTGGCCAGCGCCAGCGGAGTGAGGCTCAAACGCGTGATTCATCCCAGCCCTAGCCCTAACCTGCCTGTTCGGGCGGTCAACACTTGAAACGAAACATGAAACATATCTCAGTATCTTCCTGGCTGGGTTCACACGACTATCTCGCTCGCGCGCGCGATGGGCAATCCTGACCCTGACGCGACTTGAGCTAACTAGGGCCGCTGGCGCCCTTTTTTACTTCTCTCACCGTTCCATTGCTGTTGCACGTTGGCAGCATTTCCAGCGCGTCAGCCAGTTCTATTGGTTCACGCTGCTGCTTACACCTGTTCTAAAAACATGTTTCATCTCTGCTGAACTCCTGGATCAACTATCAGTGACTCATACCCTGTGCAAGCAGGGCAAAAGCGAGAGAAAAGAAGCTTTCGTTTTCTGCTAACACGCTGCTGTGCGCGTATCAACATGGAGCATTCGCCCATGATCAATGAAGTCCCATTGCGCCCAAGGCGGTTACTGAACAGCATCCTGAAACTCGTTTCAGGATTCTGTTGGGATCGAATATGACAAGCAACGGTGGGCTTGGTTCCAGGGAGAGAAAAATATTTTCCAGTCTGGACATTCAATTCATCCCGCCACCCCAAGGAGCGGTCAAAGGGGGGCGCGTGAGTCACCTCTGCGCGGAAGCTAGGAAATTCAAGAGACACGATGGAGCCCTCAGGAACAGAGACGAATGGAAATGCCTACTCGGGATCAGAGTCGACGAAGCAAGAACACACATCCATCACAGATCTCAATGTCGATTTCCCCCTACGTCTTCTACGCGACGAGGGGAAGAAAATCTACCGACATTGTGTGCAGAAATCACATTGAGGGAAAAATTTTTTTTTTTTGGAACGAATGTTACTCTTTTCTATAGTATTCTCTATCATGGATCCCGATTCATCAATCAACCAAATCCCCTCTATAAAATGAAGGAGGCAAAGAGGGAAGAGAAAGAAAGAGAGGACGAGAAGAGAAAGAAAACCAGATAAGTTATCTTGGGATTTTCTTGAGAGAACTCAAATGAATACACCACATTGAAAAAAAAAAACAATAGTTGCGCAAGTGCGAGCAAGATGCGATTTCAACACCCCCTCTCCCTCTTGTTATTCCCCAAATCTTCAACCTCTTCAACCTCTTCTTCAATCATCTTCATGTCTATATATCTGCAACCTCTCAGAACCCCCTTTTCCCTCTCCTTGCCGTTGAGTTGGAGGGGGATAAAATAAATGAAGTGTTATGTATGACATGGTGCCCCAAATGAAAAAAAAAAAAAAAAAAATGAAAAAAATGAAAAAGGAGCAAAAGAAAGTGAATTAAGAAAGAAAATGAATTAATAAATTAACGAAAAAATATATTAGAGGAGAAAGAGAGAAAGAGAAGCTATATAATAAAGAATCCTCTGTTGGGTTCTGAAACCGAGCTACCCCTCCCCCACCTCCCTTTAACATGTCATGATAATAATACCGTAGGGGATGTAGGTATGTTGGGTATCTGCGGGATGGTGATGCTACCTATGCCTTGATCTGGTACTCTCGTCGGAACATATCATCCACCTTGACCAGGTAGTAGGTTCCGGGTGTGATGGTGTCGATGTTTCCGGCGGGTGTGAAGTTTTTCTTGAGATGAGCATGTTCGCGTAGGACACACATCTAAAAGCAAAATGTGATTTGGTTAGAGTGTTATTTTAAAAGCTTGCAGTAGTAGTTGTTAAGAAACACTGAGAGGAAAGGGAGAATGTATGGGGAAAGAATTCGGATTGCATCGCGTACCTCGTCGTAGACCTCCGGCGCAACAGTCCTCCTCGCCGCAAGGCGTTTCTTCAGATCAATCTTCTCCACAATCCCCGAAATATCGCCCACAACCTTCACGCTGAAGATGGAGCTCGCAAGCCCGCTGCCATAGCTGAAGACCCCAATCCGCTTCTGGTGCTGCGCCGCGTTCTCGAACGACGCGTTCGTCAATAAACTGACCAAACCTCCGTAGACGCTTGCGCAGTACATGTTCCCGCACATCGTCGCCACCTCGATGGAGGGTTGCACGCGCTCGTTGAAGCGCTTCTTCGCCAACGCCATGAAGGCCTTCTCGATGGCCCGGTCGCTGAGGGAGGCTTCATAGTCCAGATCTCGAAGCTCGGCGGGGACCTCCGCGAAGGCCGGGTGGGCTGGGTCAGCGAGGTAGTCGTTGTACAACAGGCGGGCGTAGGACTTGGCGACGAGCTTGCAGGTCGGTGCGTGGAAGACCACGTGGTCGAAGCGGTCCAGGGGGGTCTTGGTGTTGGAGGTGGATTCGCCGTTGCTGGCGGTGCTGCCGTTTACGGCGGTTGTATTAGCGCTACCATTTTGCTGTGCCCTGGCTTGCAAGAATTTCTCCTTGGCATTGTAGGCCTTGTAGCAGGCGTCAACGGCCTGTGTGTAGCATTTGATTGAGTAGTGGCCGTCGACGTAAGGGTATTCGCTGGTGAGGTCTGGCTTGTAGAAATCGTATTCGTGGGTGATGTGGGAACCGCGGAGACCGGGCTCGAAGACGATAGGCGCATCGGGCCCGATAAGCATGGCAATGCAGCCAGCGCCACCAGTTGGGCGAGCAGCCCCCTTCTTATACAGGGCGATATCGCCAGTAACCACAATGGCGTTTCTGCCATCCCACGCGGATGATTCCACCCAATTTACCGAGTTGAAAATCGCATTGGTTCCCCCGTAGCACGCGTTCACCGTGTCCACGCCCTCGACGTTTGTGTTTCCCGATTCCGCGAACAGCTGCATCAATACCGATTTGACGGACTTGGATTTATCGAGGATGGTTTCTGTGCCGACCTCAAGTCTACCAATTGACTTGGGGTCAATGGAATACTTGCGGAGGAGGGAAGAGAGGGTGGTAAGGCACATAGAGTAGATGTCTATTGTTTTGCAAAATTTCTCAGCAAAAAAAAAAAAAAAAAAAAAAAAAAAAAAAGGCTCAACACAGCTGTGTGCATGCCTATGTGACGGGGATTTTTCTTTTGTTCATACCTTCCCTATCATCGCAGAAGCTCATCTTCGTCTGGCCAAGGCCGATGGTGTATTTACCCTGACTTACTCCATCGAACTTTTCGAGTTCGGCTTGGTCGACGCACTGCAATTATCCCCTCAGTCAGCCACCATTTTGTGGCTGCCCAGGCTGGGTAGAGACGTACCTGAGATGGGAAATAAATCTCAATGGCCTTGATGCCGATATTCTGAGGGCGGGATGGCATGTTTGCACGTGAAGAGTAGAGTCACAAAAAAAGAATAAAATTTTGAGGAGAGATGAAGGATGCTTGGTGGAGCGGGGGAAACGCGGAGGGGGGTATTTTCTTATATTGTTAGGGTTGTGCAAGCACTCGTAACTAATTTGCGCAATCTGTCTCTCATATGGAAAGACAAGGGCTGAGTTAGAAGCGGGTATGAAAAAACGGAGCTCTGGTCTGGGAGTCAGGGGGTGTGTGGGTGCTTGGACGCGGTGAGACTTTTGGATGGTCGAGTCGCATTGGAGAGCCAAGCGAGGAGAACAATTTATTGTGCTGGGCCGTATAATAGGGGCAGAAAAAGAGAGTTCTCAACACACCTATTGTCTACTATCTATGGCCCTATGGGCAATACACTGCAGAACTCTATGGGTCTAGCGTTTTTGGACAAGAGAATGCAATGCGAATAATAAGAATATATACGGATAGGGGAGAGTCAGTGTAACAACACAGGAAGAATGGGCAGCGGAGGTGGGCGATGGCGGTGAGATATATACATAACTAGTTGGTGCCAAGGTGTCAATCAATCACCGTCTGCAGGCTCTGGGCTCCGCTGCACTTCGGGCGGATGTAAAGTACGGTCTTTCTGGGCTATTGTTGTTTTTCTATGGAGAGCAGTTTCTGTACATACAGATCGTACCGTAAAGTAATTGTTTTTATTTGAATACTCCCCCCCCTTCTCTCTCCTGAGTCTGAGCCCTGATGTGGAGCAGTGGATGGTTGCAGAGACGCGCAAAAAAGGATTTGGGATGCTTTCCGCTAGAGCTACTAGCCTGGTGCATAACAAGCCACGCCGCACCACGCCAACCCTCGACTTCGCTGGCATCCATGACATCCACAGTAGTGCTCCGTAGCGTTTCTCTATTACCTCTCCCTCCAATTGACGCTGTGCAAAGAGGGGAACAAGCAGCGCATGGGAGTAATAAGGCTACCAAGGCACTGCTACAGCTCCAGCTCCAGTACTGTGATTCTAGCAATGAAGAATAAGATCATAATTGCTTACTTTCAACCCATCGATCATATCATCTCGGGAAGTTTTGAATGCTAAGCAGGGTGACAGTACAATACACTCTTATCAATCAAACAGTAACCATCTTACCGTACCGTACCATCCATACAACCCTCCAAGCCCGTTGCTCCTTGCCCCCGAGAATTCCCTAATCAGGGAAAAATGCCAACAAGATTGAGCTTGTTGGGCTCCATTTTTATGCTCGAAATCACCTGTTTTTCTTATCTGATCATCCGAAGGCTTTGGGGCCCACCGGAGCGCAGGGTTCTGTATTTCAACCCTTGCTCCTGCTGCGATGAAAGCTCCACCATCGCCGGTACTGGCCGATAGAGATGTTGGAGGCTTGTTGCTTCTTGCCTTCCGCATCGTCCCGAGATCATTGTGTTTGGTGGCATGGACTTGGTTCCTGGTATCAGACTCTTACCGGTAACTAAAGCTGTCACGTAAAATCTGACAGTCAAAGAAACAAGTCCACGCTTATGATATTTTCCCCCCAATTTTGCCCGAATCCCCTCCACGCACGCGCCAGGGGCAGCTTCAATAAAAGATCTTAAAGCAAATCGATAGTGCGACGATGGATAAGTGGGTTTTCTTTGCTTTTCGACCGTGTTCCCAGAAAAAAATCTTGGAGCCTAAGCAGGCAACAACTTTTCCCATGGGCAAACCGCTTCTACAGCTAGCTACAAACCATTGATTGACTCTTCCGACTGTCGTTCCTCGTGCTGAGTTCCCACACTGTGCGCAGAGCTTCCACTGCTCACGCCGGTTTCAGGTACCAAGCCCCACTTCGTCAGTATATCTTGCATCATGCTGCAAGGGATAGGAAATGAGATGACCTGGGTGAAGAAACTGGACCAAGGGGCCAAGGAAGTTTACGCTGCAGCCTGCAGCCGGGATAATCCTCTTTTTGCTCGCGGTTTTGCGGTTTTGCGTTCGAATTATGGAGGATTGGATTTACGGTTTTCGAATTGGTGGGTTTCATCATTCGGGGTCATTATTTTTATTTTGCTGCGCCGTATGGCTTGCGCCTGACTTCGTGTGAGAGAAGGGTCTTGGAAGGTATCCATAGGTGTGGACAAACAAAGGTAATCAAGTCATTTGAAGAGTTGGCCAAGAAGCTCATGGAATTGAATGACATCAGCCTCTGCCATGCTCATCCTGGAGCTCCGGAAGGGAACATATTTTATGTACGATTTCTCTGCCACTCCTGTCAATCCTGACTCGATAAGGAATATACTCGAATTCGGTTGAGACATAGTTATGACTTGGGTAATATATAGCCTTGAGCAATGCAGAACTGGACCTCAAATTCTTGAGTGCTCTGTGGCGTATGGGGACCAGGTGGCATCAATCATTTTGACTTGGGATTTAATTGAGTCATCCGCAAAAAAATAAAAAAAAATAAAAGAGGGGGAGGGAGGGAGAGAAGGAAGGAAAAGGGAAGAGAAATCATCGTGCCACGGGTTGTGATACTCTTCATTAGCCGAGCTTATCAACAAAGCTGAGATATTGTTGCGTCCAACCGGGTGGTAAAACTGGAATCGTAAAAGCAATGTGAAGAATGTACCTGTGAATTCCATGAATATGCAAATATATCTCGGAAATGTGGGCTGTGCCATATATTGGTATTGTCATAACCAGTCCTCGTGAGCTTGTCTGTTGTGTGAAAGGTCTCAACAAAAGACATAATGACATCAAACTATACGACTCTGTCCAGGATAGAATGGAAAGTAGTCAAATGGGAGGGGATAGAAAAAAAATGAGTCTCATCAGCAAGATACAACGGATAGCCTCATTGACCTAGCCGACACACTATGCTGTTAACTCATGGTGCTGCACAACGAAAGTCAAACAACTAAAATACGGTACGGATTTACATGCAAATAGCCTCAGCCTAGCATCGCAAGTCAACCGGCAGCATTTATATCTGTATAGGAAAATCGCAACAAGAAGACATCGATAACTGACGTTGAAAGTGGGGCAAGCGTCATCTGCCTTCAGCCTACAGAAACGGCGCTCTTAGAGGCTTTAATCTCCCCCGAAGGGACTTGGAAGAGGCAGCAAGTGTGAACAGGCAGATAAGGAACAATTCGAAATAGCAATCCCAGTGGCTGGCTATCGTCCATGACACCGCCCACGGTGTAGTTGTAGTGTATGAATGGAGATTCAAGAAGTTCTTCGTTCCAAGTGATCCATCTCAATCAGCCGCCAAGCATGATGCTCCACCATTGCGGCTAGTGGCCTCAAACCGTCGGAGGATTCTGAGACTCCAGACCAAACCGACCTCGCCCGCTGTCACCTCGCAACGACAACACCAGGGCTTGACTCCAGTGAGTATTTGGTCTTTGAAGTTGATTTTACCCAGACGATGCCGCACTTTGCTCTTTCAACGATAGGAAGCATATCATGATCCCGCACTCCTCCGGACCCCCTTAAATAATATAACCTCCGAAAGAAAAGTTCTGCGCCTTGTAAGGGAACTCAGGGGCCTTCCGTCGTTCGGAGCTTCCCAGTTTCCACCACTTATTACAAGCCAGAAATGAGCGACGAGAAATCAAAATACGAATTCCTCCCCATCCCTACCTACGAAGAAGCCACTTCCTCCCGTCCCTCCTCCTCCCAATCTCGCCTCGGCTCAGAAGAAGTCAGTGACGATGCAGAAAGGCAGGGTCTCCTTAGCCGCGGCGCTGGCGAGCGTCAGGAGCCTAGATATCCGGGCAATTACCAACCCCCAACGGTAGAGTCTGCACGGTCGAGCCTCGATTTCCTTCCCTCGTCAAATGGTAGTTCTGTTCGTGGCTCGACCGAAGAGTTGCGGCGCGAGCTGGAGCAGATGGATGTGGAAGAGCCCGACGAAAACTCCTCGTCGTCATCATTTTCGAAACGATTTACACATTTCCGAAGGACGCTGTCGGCTATACATTTACCACTATGGAAATATGTGCCCAAGTTCAGCTTCGCCAAACCGCAGTTTCTGAGGGAGGTCGTGTCGCGGTTAGAGCATCAACATTGTATCATTATCTTGAGGATGATTGGATTGTTTATTGTCGTTACGATTGTATACTTTCTTATAGTTTCAGACGTGGTCAGCTTCACCCGCCCGATAAACCTAGGACAGATGTATGAGCCTGAATCCGTGCGGATATATGTCCAGAGCCATATCAACGAGTCGTACATCGCGGAGAATCTCGAGATGATAACAAAGTTCCCTCACGTTGCCGGAACGGAAGGGAATTATGTTTTGGCCCAATGGGTCGAGGACAAATTCAGGTCTGCATACATGGATGATGTTGCGATGGAACAATTCGATGTATATCTAAATTACCCCAAGGACGGTGGAAGAAGGGTCGCCATTGTAGATCCACCAGAGCTGGCTTGGGAGGCCAAACTTGATGAAGAACAATCCTACAGCGGTGCGCCCAGAAAGCAATATCCCGTATTTCACGGGCATTCGAAATCTGGAAACGTCACGGGCCCTCTAATATATGCGAACTATGGTTCCCAAGAAGATTTCAAGGCGTTAGCTGGTATGGGTGTGAAACTGGAAGGCTCCATTGTTCTGGTTCGATATTACGGCACACAGGGAGACAGAGCGCTGAAGGTAAAAGCAGCTGAGCTGGCTGGAGCTGCTGGATGCATCATTTATTCAGACCCTGCCCAGGATGGATTCCTTCTAGGCCCGGAGTGGCCTAACGGCCGGTACATGCCTAGTGATGGGGTACAGCGAGGAGGCGTGAGTATGATGTCTTGGGTAGTTGGTGATGTATTGAGTCCGGGATTCGCGTCATCGCCTGGAGAAAAGAAAAGAATACCTCTAGATGACAGCCCTGCACTCCCTAAAATCCCCAGCATCCCCATCGCGTGGCGTGATGCCCAACCCCTGCTAAAAGCACTTCAAGGTCATGGTAAAAAAGTGCCCAAGGAATGGGTGGGCGGGGTTCCGGAAATTAAGGAGTGGTGGTCGGGAGACCCATCATCGCCAAAGGTCAACCTTGTCAACATCCAAGACGAGGTGGAGCGCCAACCCATATTCAATGTTATCGGCAAGATAATAGGGATAGAGCAAAACGAGAAAAAGATCATCGTTGGCAGCCATCGCGATGCATGGTGCTTTGGAGCTGCAGATCCGGGAAGCGGAACTGCAGTCCTTCTCGAGGTGGCTAGGGTGTTCGGATTGCTACGTTCCCACGGCTGGCGACCATTAAGAACTATTGAGTTCGCGAGTTGGGATGGGGGGGAGTATAACCTGATCGGATCCACAGAGCATGTGGAAAAGGAAGCCGACGAGCTCCGTCGAAACGGCTTCGCCTACCTAAATGTCAATGTTGCAGTTTCAGGTAACAAGTTCCGCGCCGCAGCGTCCCCAGTCTTTGAGCGTGTTCTCCTTCGGATCCTCAAGCGGACCGCAGATCCAGTTACGCATCAAACTCTGCGGTCCCTCTGGGATCAACGAGGGTCCAAACTCGAAGTTCTTGGTGCAGGAAGTGACTACGTTGCCTTCCAAGATATTGCAGGCATGTCGAGCATAGATTTCGGCTTCACTGGTGACCCCTATCCCTATAACAGCTGCTACGACAATTTTGACTGGATGAGCCAGGTTGGCGACCCGGGCTTTCAATATCACAAGGTCCTGGGTCAGATATGGGCTCTGCTCCTTCTCGAACTTTCTGATAATCCAATCTTCCCCTTTGACCTACAAAACTACGCCGATGCCGTTACGAAATACGTCTCTGATCTAGAGGAATACTCCAAATCCAAACATGTATCTTCACGAGGAGCTCGAGCGGACGCCAAAACATCTGGTGACATCGACCAAAATTCCCATCCAAATGCGGTAAACATGCAGCCGTTACATGATGCTGCAAAGACATTCCGTGAAAGGGCTGCCAGATTCCATCGATGGGGCTATGGTTGGAATAGAACAGTCGCGTCTTCGGATGGCTATGAGAGCAATGTCATGGCCATTAAGCGGATGAGCTATAATAGCCACATGACTTATTTCGAAACCAACCTCTTGGATTTGGAAAATGATGGCGGAGTAAGTTTTTTTATATATAAGAAAATTTTACGATTTAATATAATAAAATGTCCCTCTTTCATATGAAGCAATCCAAGCCGATGATGGAAAGTCGGGGAAGGAAAACCAACTATAAAACTAACCATCTCGCTTTCTCTTTAGATCCCCAATCGAACACAATTCAAACATGTCATTTTTGGACCACAGGCATGGTCAGGTAACGACGAAACATCCTTCCCGGCAATCCGCGACGCGATCGATTCCGGGGATTGGACCGAGGCGCAGAAATGGATAGAAAAGATATCCAGGATCATAACAGACGCTAGTATTGCGCTGAATTGAAACGCATTCAGAAGCAAAGAGATCGAGACAGGTGTAGCTCTTCACCCGCCCACCTACCGCAACACACCTCCCTCCAACACAAGACAGGTAAATAATATCCCACGAGCCAGAAACAAGCCAGACGTACCCATTTTTATGCCCGCATAAACCAGCCTCTCCCTTTAACCTAAAACCCATCCAGAAATATGTATATCCTCTCTAGCGGGTGTCACATGCCTACCTGTCCGTAGGCTTACCCCTGACGCATATCTACTACCGATTTACATTCATATATACCAAGTCCGTGCATCATCTTTTTCTTCTGTACATACTCTGCATGTATATACCTACACATCGTGCTTCAACTGCTGGTAGCCCGTTTTTCCTTTTGATTTTTCAATACCTGCTGCTGTGTCTTCTTTATCTGCTCTTTATCTTTTTTGTCTCTCCATTTTTCTGATTTTGTTTAAGAGATCCAAATCACTTTCCTCATTTGTTACCCCTCCATCGTTTGTTTTATTTTATTTTTGCGTTATTTTCTTTGTTTTACTTACCTTACATCACTGTTTTATCATTCATGGCATTGAGTTTTTTTTTTTTTTGCTTCGCACGTGTGAAATTTAAGCATCCTGATATTCAACGTATGTTCTCCATTTCTTTCTCCCCTAAGATGTTTTATTTCTTTGCTTTTTCCCTCTGGTTTATTAAACATTCATATATACCTTTTCCAACGATCTTGAATCTCCCTCATCTTGGATATGTGGCTGTTTCCATTGATAAACCTTCGCCGGGAGCGCCCGCCCCCCGTTTTTTTTTCAATCGTCATTATCATTATATTTGCTCTTGTGTATATACTAGGACCTAGGACACAAAGCAAGCAACCCTTGAATACCTAACTGCCTACACATGAATATCTCAAATTTTAGAGTAATTTATCCAGCATGTGATAGATAGCATCAAGTTAAGAATGAAAGCAGGATATCATTGACTGAATTATTACTTATCTATTAACTTTTCCCGCCGGTTAAGTGATGTCTACTATACAATTAAGTCCTCCGCCAGCTAGTTATTCGCGGCTAATATTATCAACTCAAAGGGGTGCTGGCCGCCCATCCATTCAGTCCCGGTTCCACACGCTCAGCCATTCTTGTCTGACGCGATCCAAGCAAGCCTTCGTTCACGAAAACGTCCAAGAATGACGACTGAGAAGAAGCAAAAGAGGGTATAACATAAGAAGCACAACTGATCTTGCTCATGATAAGCCACTAATTGCAGACTGGAGATGGTATCATCCCATCCCATCCCATCCCAAAACCCCATCCGCTGGGCATCCAACCTTCATAGAATCGAGGGTGTTTTCCGGTTTTCAGGCTCTCGTTCCGCCGTGGGTGGATTTTGTTGGCGTTTTGGGTATTGTGATTCGTGTAAAAAAGCAAGACTACCTCAGTTTGATTTCAATCTGTTGGTGTCGCAGGCACAGAGCAAAAAGATAGAAGAAAAGCAAAGCAAACGGGAAAACAGACAGAGCATGGCAATCGCGTATTAGGAGGCGCCACAGAAAAAATGACTGTTGGGAAAAGCAGACAACCGGCTTATGACACCTAAAAACAGGTGAACTTGTTCTTATTTCCCCCCTTTTTTTTGTTTTCATTTTTTTTTATTATCGTTTCTTTTTGGTTCTCGCTCTTTTGCTAAACGAGCCCGAACTATGGAGAGTCAGACTTATTTCATTCATCGCGCCCCCCGAATTCC